AAAAAAAAGGAGAGAAAAAAATTGAATACAAGGACTAGAAAACAAATAAAAACAAAAAGACAAAAACAAAAACATTAAACCCCTCTTATTTCGCTCATCGTCGGAGACGGTCGATCGGAAGCTTCTTACGAGCTGTTTTTTTTATTTTTGTTGGAAATACGGTCCATATTAGGTGAGTCTGATGTCACGAGATCTCGCGTGACACTAGACTGAATGGGGATTAGCTCCATTCAAGCTCGAGTATATCCTCAAGCTCCTAGTCTTCTTAGCTCTTTAGTCAATCAACACTGATTCAACCTGCCTGCTTCCCTGCCCTCGTGATCCTTCTAGGTGATCATTACACCTGAAGGGGATACGAGTTAAAGAATTTTTTTATTTTTAAAAAAAATTACTGCCCAAGCGCAAAGCGTTGTTTGTTGATATTTTGATATATTAAACCATACGGCCAGACGGCCAGCCAGCCGAATTGGTTTCCGGTCGAAGCTTTGCTTTTGCTTTTGCTTGTTAGAATTTATATGCGTGTGTAGTTGGCGAATTTTGGTAATCAACAAGAGAGGAGAGGATTAGGCTGCGTTGGTAAGTAGATGGATGGATGGGGACCTACAATCGATAAGAGGAAGGGAAGGCTGAGGGAGGGGGGGGGCGGGGGGGGGCTAGTGTGGGTTGGGTTGTTGATGGATGGATGATGGTATTGTTGGTGATGTTACGAGGGGGTAAGTCTCTGTAATTAGCTCGGAAACGTGCCGGTAGCTTTTCGTTTTTCGAGGGCAGGTTTCCTTCGAAATTGTTTAGCTTGTAAACAATTAGTTCTGGCTACGTGCTCCGCTGCTGCTCGAAAGAAACACACTCCTATGCTAAAATATTTAACAGACTACTGCAACGACGACAAACAACATATCCCATCTTCACCTACCTTGCATAATCTATTCAGGACTACTGTAATCATCCTTCCTTCCAGAGCTTGGGTAGGTTGATTCAAAGCTCACCTCCTACTATTTTAATGAAAAAGCAAGAGCCGCCGCGCACTTGAAATATCCTACTTTTATATCCGTGTCACCTCACAATACATCACATCACATCAACCAAATTCAACCTCTCATTAATTCATCATCAATTCATGCATGCATTCCCCTCCCCCTCCCCACCTAACTTCCCTCCCTCCCTCATCCACAATCTATTACAGAGCAAAAAAGATTAAGGCAACCCCATATAATACTCCAACATCTTAGGAAAATTCGGGGTCCCGAGCCCCGTCACCGGATCCCAGCCCGGGACGGCGGAGAATCCGATCGTGTTGCAGCCTGGGTTTGAACCTATTTTTTTCTTTCTGTTAGTATCTATCTATCTCATCTCAAGGACTGACTGTATCCTATCCTTTCTAGGAAGGAAGGAAATCAAATTTTTGTTCAACAAACGAACGAAATCGCCTCTTTGCTAATTAGAGAATATCCCTCTGGGAGGTCCTAGAGGAAATCGCTTCCCAGCCTCCCCTCCCAACAATAGAGACAAGACTAGTTACATGAAACGACGAGGAGAGAGACAGACAGTGACAAAAAAAAAGAGAGGAGCAAAGAAAGGAAAGGAAAGGTAAATACACACCATTCACGATATCATTCAACATGCCCGGATTAGCATACAGACTCGGATTCAAGAACCCAATCGGGCCCTTGCCGGCAATGAGCCGCTCCTCGTTGATGCGGTTGATGACCGCGGAGAAGATGGGCGTGCTGGCTGATGTGCCGCCCGAGAGGGAGAAGTTGCCTCCTCCGTAGACCTGTTTCTCATGTCGTTACTAAATTGTAAAAGGGGGAGAAGGGGATGGGAAAGGAATGGAAAGGAAAGGGGAATGGAGGGAGGAAGGAAAGGAAAGGAAAGGAAAGGAAAGGAAAGGAAAGGAAAGGAAAGAAGACTCACAGCAATATTATCCCCATTAGCACTAACATCCGGAATCCCCCTTCCAATCCTATTATAAATGCCCCCACTACCCCCCGCCAGGGCCCCCACATCCGGCAACAATTTAATATCCCCCGTATCATTGCTCAACGCGCTATAAAACGGGTATCCCGGATCATGACTCTCGAAATACACCCCCACAGCAGCAGCCTGATAGCTCGGGATCGGATAGATGTTCGAGAAGCCGCCGCCGGACGAGTAGTTGACGGAATAGGGGAAGCCGGCCGGGTCGTAGACTGCGGATTCCGGGTCGTTGACTGTGAAGCCTGGGTAGACTTTGGTGGCGCCGACGGAGGTTACGTAGGGGCAGGTGCCGGGCCAGGTGGGGTTGAAGATGTTGAGGTTGGGGCCCAGGCAGCCGGTTGGGCCGTCGATGCCGCCTGCTGAGGAGGGGTAGTCTTTTGGGGGGGGTTAGTATCATTATTTATATCTTTCTATACTCGAAAGAAAAGAGAAGAGAAAGAGGAGGAAAGGGATAGAGAAGAAAGGACATAGAGAAGAAAAGAAGAAAGAAGACTCACTCGAAACCCCCGAATCCCCCGACGCAAAAAGGAACGAAACGCCCTGGAGCCCGAGCTTCATGTACTCAAGACACTGCCGCTTCTGATACGAGATAGGCAGATCTGATTCCTGGCCTCCGTACGAGAGCGAGATGACGTTGGTCGGTTTGAAGGTCCCGCACATGAGTTGGCCGGTCCAGCCTCCGATTAGAGGGTCTGGGTACGCTTGATCGAGATAGGGGTCGTTGCCCGTTTCGTTGTATGCTGAGAAGGAGCAGTATGACTATTGTATTTGCATCAGTTTCCCTTCTCTCTTTTGTTTTGGGCAAGAAAGGGGAAGAAAGAAAGGGTGACATACGCCGTCTAGAGCGTCCAAAAATGTGTTAAACCCAAAGGTATAAGTATCATTCTGATTCGCCTGCACGATAAAATCATCCACGTTATACAACGTAATCGTCTGTGGATACACAATCGGATACGCGAGCATCAAATCCAAATTCACCTCTCCCCCCGCCTCATACGGATCATCGACCTTCTGCATGCCCCCATCGATATTCGCGGGCACGGGATGCGTCCCATTTTTGATATTCCGCGTGAAATTCGTAAAGAACGAGTTTAGATCTTTCTGGTAGTAGAACTGCAATTCCGATTCAAAAATCCCCATCGAATTATTCGCATGCTTCGTCGTCGTCGTCGTCGCAGGCGGGATCTGATACAGCGCCGCCACGCACGCGGGCGTGATGGCCACATCGCACGTGCTGAGATCGTCGGGCGCAGAGCCCGTACAGTTCGCCTCCGCCTGCGTCTGCAGCAATCCATGCGCATTCCTCTTCTCCAACCCCGATTCCTCATCCCTCACCACCTCCCGCTGCAAACTCCTGCGACTCTCGACGGGAGCCAGCAATTTAATCCCAGGACTCACATAGTCAATGTGCCTCCTCACGTGCTGGGGGAGGTGATAAGCGTCGCATCCGGGAATGACGCCGCCCGTTTCGGCGTCCTCGTACTCGTGGAACTCGGTGCGCAGCAACCGCTCTGCGTCGGCGGCGGTGGCGTAGAAGGCGAACCAGCCTTTGTTGTCCGAGTGCGTGATTCTCGTGCTGGGGATCCCGTTCTCGATCAACCACGTGCGGACCGCGTCTTCGGTTTCGCGGGAGGGGCGGAAGGCGGCGATGACTTCGTCGGAGGTCCAGTGTTTGCCGAAATTGGGGGACGTGGGGTTGGAGCTTGCGAGAGAGGTTGAGTTACCTATGTTATGGGGGGAAAAGGGGAGAAATGGGGGAATGGGAGGGAAAGGACTTACACGTCCATGAGATGCTCGTAGCCCATGTTGAGATTCGTTTGCGTAAGTCCAATTCGCATAGGGAATAATTTATGGGATTCCACTCGATCCCGTTTCGTCCATCGCGGGTGCAATGTCTCTCGCTTCTCATGGACTTCATAGTGAGGTGGTGGGATGGCTGATGCACCAGCCACGACCAGGAGAGCTGCCAACGAGAGTAAAGTTGTGATGTCCTTCATTTTGGCTTGACGTTAAGAAGGAAGGAAAGAGAAGAGAAGAGAAGAGAAAAGAAAAGGAAGAAGAACAGGAATACTCTAGTATTTATACCTCAACACTCACTCACTCACCCCGCTCACCTTTCCAAAAGAAGGAGGTCGATACCAGATAATGAATGACGATCTGCTCCCTCGAGGCAGAGCAGCACAGCACAGCACCTACAGGACGGTGATGGATGGATGGAGCTCTTTGATTGCATCTCGTCGGGTAAGCAGATCAATCAAGTCGTACAATGTGCTCGCCGTTCGTGCTTACACCCGGCACGCTAGAGGGAAAGCGGCGATCATCTATGTAGGATTCCAGAGTGGGCAGGTGGAACAAGCGTTTCGTTAATATATAAGAAAATTGGGAGGTTGGGGATCGTGATCGGATTGCGCGACTTTTTGGAGCAAGTACTGTACCTAGGTCATCTTCGTGATTGAAGCGGATAGATCATCTAAAAACTTAAGAATTGCTTTGAATGTAATAGCCATCCATACACAACATCAAACAACAACAACAACAACACTCATCAGAGAAACACAAAGTCTGTACTGTACTCGACGGTACAACGTCATGATCACTCACTAGTGAGGGGTAGCTAGCTAGCTACTGTAATCTTACGGTCCTTGCAGCAAGCAAGCTTTTGGCCCTGCAGCAGCGGGGCACAGGTACAGACGGACAGGCCCTGGCCGGCACAAGCGAGCGTAAGATTACAACGATCATCACCTGCCCATTCCAGGTTGCACACAGGCACGTCGCGGAAGATACTCAAAGAGGATCTCGAGCGAGTGTGCGGTGTAGCTGCAAGAATAAATCGCAGGATAAGTAGTTTGCTAAGGGTACAAAGCTACATAGCAGGATACTTTGCACCTTGCATACCTACCTAGACAAGTAAAATCGTTCAGAAATAATACATACTACTTTACATCCCCGAATAGATAACTTATTCACTATTTTTCCAAAACCCCCATCACATTAAGATAGAAGAAACTCCAAAACCCAATGAAAAAAATCCTACCAACAACCCAGACTGTCGGATAAAAATTGAAAACTCGGTACAACCCCACAAACCGGCCAGTACTTATCTTCAGTGACACTGGCGCCACAGCGCAGACATCGGAGAATTCGATCCTGCTCTGCTCTGCTCTGACCTGCCCTGCCAAGCCCTGAAGCGATGGTGGATGCAGCCTACCGATTCCAGCCCCTGAAAATAAGCGAAATACGCAAGGCGGGGAGTTACTTGCTCAACAGCGGAGTCTTCGTGGGCTGGCGATCATTTTGAAGGCTTTTAATGGAAATGTTAAATAAACATTATATTTGTCACCGAAGTAGATATTTCTGAGGTTATGAGCGATGTTGCAAAAGCAGTATATTTTCTTTTCCTTTTCTCAGAGCCCATTGACGGATATGGCCGATCGATTTCTTGCTGTAATTAAATGAGACGTGGTACGCAAGGATAAATCAATGTAGATAGAGACCGATATCTCGTTTGCTTTTTTATTTTCGTGAATAGATGATAACAAAAGTCTTTGTTCGTATAAAAATGGCTTGGCGCTAGAGACAGAGGAAGTTTCTACAATCTTCTTTTGATCGACAAGAATTCTCACGGAAACATGCTGTCTTGAATCGATCCAACGGCCTTAAATCCTAGTCGATGAGTATGATGTAACCAACATAATTCTGTAGTTTCAATAAGTGGTGAGTAGAGCGATGATAGAGACTACATCAGGTTCAAGTACAGAGTGCAATAGCTTTATGATATCACGTTACATCTCAGAAAGAGTGTATGTGTGTGTGTCTTCAAAGTCTTATTTGGTATGGGCCGGAGTAGATGTCTGGAGAACCTTCTCGCACCCATTTAAAGAAGTCTAGCCACCTATTCCATCCCTAAAGAAAATAAACCATAAACAAAGACAGATATAGAAGAATAGTCTTTGCCAATGACACCAGAATAAGATCTTCACTCGAGCCGGAAACTCTAGCAGAATCTCTCTGAATATGCTGTCAGCAGCTGACTCGGAGCGAGAACGGCAAATCACGTGCAACCCCACTAATCTCAACCGAGCCTTTCTCGCTCCATCTCAACATCTGCCCGCCCACCTCTGCACCAGCATCGCGGAGCGAACACGCAAAGCATAGTCAGACATTGCGGCTGAAATATCAATGAGTAGCGAATCTGCACAACAGCCACCACGGTCGTCGTCCCCTGGACCGCGTGCGTCGAGGACGAATCGGGTTGTTTGCACAGCATGTCGGCAATCAAAGGCTTGTTTCCACATCACATGCCAAGATTCAGTACACTGACTAAAGATAGGTACGTTGTGTGGGGACCGAGAATGAGGATTGTGCGAGGTGTATGAGGTTAGGGTTGGATTGTCACAGAGATACAAACTTCAAGCGGGTCTCTAAGAGTCGGTATGCATGATTTCAGTCCATGGGTGTGCAGTTACTTACTTCGATAGCAAAATCGCGGAATTGGAGAAGCAAGTCCAGCTTCTTACATCAGCTTTTACTGGGTCCTCCAACCAATCACCGCAGTCGCCTCAAGTTTCCGTGCATCAGCAGAGCCATGTACCTCCAAGTTTTGCATCCCAACCTACGCCGCCAGCTATGTTGACGCGGACTCCTTCACAAGATGTCTCGGGCCGTACTGTTTCTAGGACTCCCCAGTATCAGAACCCTGGTCTTCAAGGTCCATCTGTTATGAGTATCTTTCATATTGACGAAAGTCCTCGCCCACGACCTGGAGCAGCTTTATCAAGGTCAATTCAGTCGGCATACCTGACAGGACAAACCATTGATGAGCTATTCGAGATGTAAGTATATCCCAATCACCAGTTGTATACACTAACTTCTCCAGTTTCTTCGAACATTACCATCCAGCACTTCCATTTCTGAACCCCGCCAAGTCACCTGACGACTACTATGATTCAGGAACAATCCTCTTCTGGGTTATCATCAGTATCGCTTCTCGACGCTACACTAATGATATGTTATTATTCCCCGTATTATGTGAATGGATACCCAAGTTAATATGGGAGAGTATCTCGAGTCCACCATATACGATACCCATGGTTCAAGCCATCATTCTCGCTTGTACATGGCCTTTCCCTATGCCATCTATGTGGAATGACACGATAGTCACATTGAGTTCAATCGCAGTAAGCACTGCAATGCAGTTAGGACTACACCGACCCTTAAACGCAACTGATTTCCTTCGTGGGTATAACTTTTCTCCGGGCTTGAATGTAGCTGATCGCACACAGGCAAAAAAGCCACCGCAGACGAGAACGACTCCCAAACAAGAGCCTTCACATGGGCAGCAGCAAACATAGTCTCACAGTCGTCGGTCCCCCAATTATCTCTCACCACGTAAAATCTAACAACCCCAGCATCGAAGCCACCTACGGCGTCCTTCCCACAACCCCGTTCGACCGAACCATCGAAGCCTCCTGCAAGCCCGGAAACATGTACAGCCTCCCCAACATCCTCCGCTTCAAACTCGCCATCTTCCGCTACTGCAACCGAATCTCCAACCTCGTCTGCCGCGACCTCACCGACAACGGGGACCCGTTCTCGCCTGGCACTCCGCAAACAAACCCCACTTTATCATGGGTCACCGAGCTCCTCGAATTCGAAACCAGGATGCAGAGCTGGAAGCAAAAATACCGGGACCAATTATCCTGTCCTCCTCCCCCCATCCCCAAATTTCTTTTTCTTTTCCTTGCTGATTTAGAACCGACAGTCCACGACGAAATCTACGCCGCCGCCGCCGCCGTCTACACAACCTCCATGTACTTCTTCGACTCGACCTCCTCCGCCGCCCGCAAACACAATATCCTAAAAGCCTACCGCACCTCCACCTCCTACATCCAGCTCCTCACCTCCTTCGACCAGACCTCCAACTACCTCCTCCACGCGCCCTCCTACCCATTGAAAATCTTCGTCCTAGCCTGCTGCGTGCTATTGAAAGTTCTACGAAGTAGTTACGCGGCAGACGTCGATTTCGAAGAGGGGAAGCGGTTGTGTAATCTTGCGATCATTGCCGCGAATAAGAGTAGCGTGGCGCCGCAGGATAGCGCGGGGAAGGTCGCCAAGATGGTTAGTCAGGTGTGGCATTCGGGGGATCTGAGGCCGTTGGGGGAGATGCCGGTTTTGATGGTTAAGTCGAGGTTGGGTGCTAGGTTTGTCGTTCCTTCTTTTCTTTTGAATGGGAAGTGTGTGCTGATGGTGTGTGCGTGTGTTTGCAGTATTTTATACGACTTCATCTGGACGTGGAGACAGGAGTTTGGCGGACAGCAGGGGGCGTATCCGAGGGAGGGTGATGGTGGGTCTTCTTCCTTCTTGTTAGGTTGAGTTTACTAATTCTGTGCTAGGTATGGAGCCGGAAACGGAAGATATACTACTCCCGACAGATGGTGTGTTTGATGATGCGTCGATGGTTGATCTTGATTTTCTGAATGATCCGGATTGGATGGAGAGTATCACGAATTCGATTGGGTGATGGGATGGGATTTGGTGCAATGGGTGTAGATGATGGGAATACCACTTGGGGAGATTTGATAAAATTTTATTACAAGTAATCTACAGATTCTGCAACCTAAGTTCCATCTCAATAAGTCGCTTTAGTGCCTTCAAGATGACTGGAGTTGCCTCGCTGAACCCCACACCGTATCTGTACAAAGCACCCTGGAATCCTTTATCAGCACCCACACATCTCCAAAATCTCAATAACTTACCCATCTAGTACAATTACAAAAGCTAGACATCTGCGCCCCTCTCCAAGTTCCCAACCAACGAGCTCCTAGGTGCTACGAACCATCAGTCCAAAACAAGACAACTTTACTCTCTAGTACATACCACCGTCGCAACGAGCCAGAAAATAACCCAACACGCATCGAATCCTATATTTCACACCATCAGGCGGCGGCAGCTAGAACTTTTCCCATTCTCAAAGCTAGTCTCATGGTTTGCGGGGAATCGGGGGGCTTGCAGGAGGGCTGAATAGTTGCGAGTGTTCAGCAATGCGTGCGGGCGAGAGAGGACCTGGTGTCGACGTACAGTACAGTACCAATCCGAAGGTCTGGCGTACGGCCCGGGCTTGTGGAAACTTCTCCTAGATCTGATCATTGCACTTTCTTTGGATGATTGGAAGTGCGTTCGGGATATCTGTTGAGTTCGCTGCCGTATTCGGGAACGTCCTCTATAGCCGGGAGAAGTCGACTGAGAAGTCAGTGAGTATTTTTTTCGGGCCTTTATATGAAGGAACTTACCCAGCACCGCTCCTTCATTGGTGACTGACCAGGCCGTGGTGGAGGGAGGCCAGCGTGGGTTCTCCACACCGGAGTTGGGGGCTCGTCCCTCCACCACGACCTGGCAATGACTCTGCTGTATCTCATCGGCCCGCAGACCTCTGGTGCGATGTAGTCGGGAGTGCCGAAGTACTTGGCTTTGGCGGGCTTCGACACTGACTTCTTGAGTTTGAAATCTCCATCTTACATCTGCTTTGTTCTATTTGGTTAGCAGATAATCTTTGAAATTTTGATGTTGTACTCACTTTGGCGGGCTTCGACACTGACTTCTTGAGTTTGAAAGATCCATCTTGCATTTGTCTTGTTGTACTTCGTTAACAGACACTCTTGGAAGTTTTAACATCAAGACACTCACCGGATGACCCGAAGCGCATCGACGTAGTCAGGAGTGCCGACGGTCGAACAAGCCATAACACTTCGGTTACTAACGGTCAACTTGATCTGGTCAAGGTTGACAGAGTTTCGGTTCTGCGGTCGGCACACCAACTGTGATGCTTGGCGGCAGAAGTGGAAATGGGTGAGGGATTGGATCTCACCCATCTCCCTCGAAAAAGAAATCATGAAGTGGCTGGGCTTCGACACTGACTTCTTGACGAAATCCGAGTCACGGTATGTCTAAGCAACTTAGAGACCATTACGTTTGGTACCGACTGGGCTTGAATGGCTGGGTTCACTGCAAGGCTGACACAGCTGTCCAGACAAGGCTACCATGAGGTGGTTTATGGTACGAATATTGGGAAGTCTGATAGCTCACGACCTCGAAAGGATTGTGGACTTTTCGAACAGCTTTACGGTTGTCACTGGAGATTTGTCAGTACAACCTGAACGAACCACCAGGGCATCGCTTACCATATGGTCTAGACGAAGCTTGGAGTCTTCGAGATAGGAGTGGCTTTTCATTAAGGGCCTCCGCAGTCGCAACATTGTAGGCTTGCCTGATCGTGTAAAGGTATTGTTTCCTGCTTCTTCTCCATTTCGTATCGAAGAGCTTCTTGTTTGGGTGCTATTCGAATGCCTCGGTGGAACCCCAATTGAGATGTTTGGGAGCGGTGGAAGCGGGTTGAGAGTAAGAGGTCGTCAAAGAAGCTGGCATGTCGGCTTTCTCATAACCTGAAATCGTCTGAGCTGGGGCGAAGAAAGACTCTGCGAGCGAAGAGATTCTCCTTTAGTTGCTTTGGGCACCTTGTCCATATCTGTCTGGGTTTCTCTCCGGACCGAGTTGAAACTCTGGCCAGCTCTGTTGAGGCAGCTAGCGGGGCGTTCAAATTGCTTCCGTAGCCAGCAGGTTGGCCAAGAGCACCGGCAGAAACGGGAAAACTTGTCCTTCGATGACGCTTTCAGAGGTTGGGATGTATTGCTTCGTCTAGTTCTAGGAGGACATACTTTCTACTATCTGTTAGCTGGAAGTTTTGTCTCTTAGATTCCGCGACCTTATCATAGAGTGATAGGAGTTGACAGGATATTTACTCCTCCCATGGTGGGGCATTGGGTGTAGCTGTAACCAATCCATCCATATATACCTCCAATCGCGCTCAACTTGAATTTGCATAATTCTTGTAACAAAAATCATCGTCTCCTATATTTTTTGGAATGCATCACCCATATTGATGGCTGTGCCGACACGTCTGAATGATGACTCTTATGATCGGTATCTGTGAGGAAAGGTGGCGGCACACTACCAATACCTGTTAGCTTTATCTTTTCCGCAATTTTAAGAAAGATTATCTGCGGGGAGCTGCACCACTTTGACTGTTCCATTCCCTGAGTTTGACATGAAGTTATCCTTTGTAGCCAGATGATATGCAACCTCGTGGGCCACGAATATGGAAGGTATCCTAAAACAAAGTCTTGTTAGCCTCGCGACGCATGTGTCAAGATTGAGTGACTTACTTCGTCGCCCAGAGGACTCAGGGGCCTAGAGTAAGACAGTGGAGAGGATTCGCCGCAAGCGTCGGTGCCATGGCCATGGCCACAACTTGGTTATTGGAGTCATGTGTACCGACGTTGAACCATTGGGCAGAACCAGGAATCGTTGATCTCATTGCATCCAGAGCGCAGAGATCAACATGGTGGTAGTAGTCCGGCGCGCCTTCACACAACGTTGGCAGGCCGCGCCAGTATTGCCAAAACCAGTCTCCATCTTTCTTAGCAGTCGTCAGGACAGAGAGCTTTGCTGCAATCGAGACAGCAGCTTGCCAAGTAGGCACACTCAGCAAAGAATATGGTTGGAGCGACGAGATTGATAGAGAAGGATCTAGAGGCAACTGAAGTCAGCTCTGGCTATTGTCGTTGAGGTTCGAATTGAGCGCGAAGAGCCTTTGTTAGAGTGGTACTGACCTGCGCGATGGGGATAACTCGAAAACTTCGAAATAACTTGTTCTTTAGCTGCAAAATCATTTGTTGGAAGAGAGGCAGGTAGGAGAACGGATTAGGATCGAGGATGAAGTGAGGGTTGGGAATAGGGAGGGTTGGGGAAGAAAAGAGGAGGAAGTAAATTTTAAGTTCAGATCTGCCCCGCATGGTCTTCCGCGAGCTTATTCGCTCCTGCTTCAACTGGTCAGCCTTGCTTAGTCGCCGAGTGTCTTGATTAGTTGATAAGTGAAGTATATGAATGACATGACTAGGGGGTCATTCGATTACTTTACCATTCCTTCAATTGAAGTCTCTAGTGCGTGAATCTGCTGCAGAATTACACGGCAGGCACGAATTGCAAGCCATGGATCAGCTGTTCACTAACTATTATAGACCCCATGATTACTATACTATACAGCATGTGGTAAGTCAATTGTCAATTGTGTTGAGTGCAGAACGAGTCAAAAGGCAGGAACGAGCTACAATGCGTGAAACAGTTGTATGTTGGTGTGAAGTAGCTACCGCGTGAATAAACTGCATACTGCCGCCCATCTACTACTCCAAAGGTAGGAACGATCTGCCGTGCGCTGATCGTGTAGAGTCTATGAGGCAACCGTTATGTGTGAATGAACAACATTGTGGGCAGGAAGGGCAAGACGTTGACCTAGGTGTCCTCCCTAGATGTTTGTAATACATAGTCAATTCCGTGAGGTCTTACCTTTGAGACCCGCGTTGACCTCCTGGAACATTTCCCTCATCCAAATTAACGCTTCAGCTACAATGCGAACTGCTCTTTCATGAAACAGTCCGCCATTGATGCACACAAGGAAATGAAGTTCTTTCCGCCCCACTTGACTCTACTTGCCGATTCAATTGCCCTACAGTGACCAGTCCCCTTTGATGCTGTCCCAATGACTTGTTTATCAGAACGAGTCCAGTACAGAAAGAACGCCCCATTGTTGAAAGTTTGGACCAAGCTGTGTTCTTGTGGAAGGAAGGATTTTCCACGACACACGTCGTTCCCCCACAATCGAATTCATCGCCAATCAAAACTTAGTTAGCATCTGTCGACATCTTTCAGAGCTTCCTCTCTGGAGTCCACACCTACATCAAACACCAAGCCACAACTCCTTGCCCATTGTCATGCCGGCAAAGGGTAAGTGAACTGAGCCTATATTTTTCAGATGTCAGATCTCAAGTCCACACAAAGCTAACGCACTTTGGAAGGAAAAAGAGTCCGTAGATTCTTTTCGTTGCTCGATCTCCACCAACAAAAGCAACCCCACTGAGCCATTGAACCGATGGTATGCTCGGTGGTATGCATGCACTTCTTAATTACCAGCAGAGTTTGTTCTAGAAGTGCTCTCGCTTGTGGCACACTCTTGAGCTTCCCAAGTCCTGCGTCTGAAAAATAGTTTAAGGCATGCGGTTTCGTGATTACAAACGCATTAACCACGTTCTGTTAGTTCCTTTTAGGTGTCTTCTTATCTAGAGTACCGAGCTTCCATCTCAGAGAGTCAACGCTGACTAGGATCTTAGTTGCGCTTCCGGCGCTGGCACTCTATCAGCCTACCACCGTGTCGATACACTTGATCGCTTCCATGCCACCTTTGATACCAGTGGTGCGGGCAATATCTACTTGGCTACTGCTATCGAGGCTACTGAGAACGTTATCAAGCCCGTGTCGAAACAAAGATTGGTATGTTGCGATTTTTCCACCAAATACAGAAAAGTGGCTGCACGGTTTTCCGTATACAAAGCGCGAAGCAGCAGCTTTGTTGGGTAATATTCGAAATAACTACAAGAAGGTAGAAGGGACCTCTCAAGAACATCTTAAACTAGTGGTTAATCCTCTACATATATGGCTTCTGCATTAAAGGTAGAGGGAGCGGTACGAACTGCGATATATTAGCTACCCGAATGGAGCTTGCAAGTATTATTGCCCCGGTCATGGTATTCAAGGACGATGGTTTTAGACTGATATACAATAGGATATGGTATTGCCTCCTCGAATACTACTGTACATCACAATCCTCCATGGCAAACCTTGCTCCTTCCCCCAGACATCGAAGAAAACTTGGACTCGAAGAGGCAATATTGGAAGCAACAGACAAGCCATTCCCTTCCTCATGCAACTAGAGAAGCACTCTTTAAGATATCCAGATACTCAAACACATAACAAGTCAAAATTCTCAATTCTATCTCAAATCTAAGTGCGAACCTACCACATCATCGGGTATGCCGACAAGGTCATGAACTACAATTAGGCGCGTAAGGAAGATATCTGGGAGGTTTGGCTGGAAATGGTGGGCCACACACACACTCCTGACGATCACGATATGGCTCAATCCTATCGAGAGAGGCATGTTGATCAATGAGCCATTCGTATCACGAATGGGGCGCCTCCCACGAGCTAAGTCATTGTTCCGTTCTTCTCGACCAATCGATTAATTTACCGAGCAAGACTCAGAGTCCAGGGGCGCACGTGACCCGACCCTTCGCACGAGCTGCACATCACAATTAAAAGGGGATTTTCGGTACGGTGTAGGGCATAAAATATCTGGGTGTCAATCAGGGGAGAAGCAGATTTGTGGAGACGACGACAACGACGCATCATGTGCAGAACTTTGGAAGCCGGAAGCAGTTAGTGCGGTCCGGTAAATCTCAGCTGTTTCAAGTTTTCTCTTCCATTTTGTCTCTATGATCCTTCTGACAAGACAGCTCCAGCCAAACCCAGTCGGAAAATCCAGTGTAATGAAGACCCCTCTACCTACCACGACCATCAGTCATGACGAAATCGTGGCAATCATCACGAAATTCTACACGTTCCTTACCACCTACCCCTTCCTTCCAGCCACTGCGATCAAGACCCCTCCCTCCGAAGGCTGGCCAGAAGAGTATTGTGATATTTGGCGTAAGATGGGCAAGTCAGAAGAAGTTGTCGATCTCCTGGCTCGTTTACCATATATTGACGACGACAATTGGGTCTGGTATCACGACACCATGCCAATCAATTATACCAAACCACTGAATCTGAGGCGTATCAAAGAACATTACGAGGAGAAGCGCTACGTCTTTGAGCCTTCTGGAGTGGCTCTTCCACCTCATGTATTCTCTTTGACGCACGGGAAGTTGTATGGAAAATGGGTCTTGCTGGATATAAAAGCTAGTATGTTGAATTGCTGTTTGACAATATTCTTTGCTGAAGATTTCACAGGAACAATCACAGAGCTGGGGGTATTGGGTGGAGTACAGCCAGCAGAGGCAACTGAAGAAGCAAAAGTTGGTGGGGACGCCTGGAGCATGTATCCAACCAGACCTATCAAAGAATTCTTTGATGCTTGTCAGGATAAGATGTCAGGAAAATCTTTGGTTGCGAGCAGGAATTATATCAGATGTTGAATCACGTTTAATAGAGATGGCTTTGCTGGCAATACAATATAAATGCCTAAAGAGTACCAAAACACGGCGTTCAAAGGAGGAAATTACATCGCGTGCGTACCCAGTCGTCTGCTATCTTTCTGGAGTGATTTAGGCTCTGGTATCTCTTCTCTTTGATTGAAAGTTTTGAGTTCAAAAATAGATCCTGTGCCACTTCAAACGTCCATTGCAGAGAACAAAGGCTCTGAGTTACTGATAAGACAAGAAGATATAGGCCATTAACATAAGCGCGTAATAGCTTGCTCATGAACCTGTGAGGATATTTGAACTTCTAGGATCATTGAACGACGAGCTGATTTAACAACGAGCTGATTTGAAAATCGAATCTGGAATTTGGAAATGCTGGACATGAAGAGTAGGCAGACCTCGCCAAACAGAATGCTTCAATTCATCTCAAACAGTAACTACATCTCGACAACCCCGGCGCATAGACGCTTGCTTGAATGAACAAGAGTGCCCTAGCGTATGTACCCTAGTGTATAAGAGGGTTACAATCACATTCATCTCGGTAGCGGCTTTCTCCACGATCGAATTTGATTATTGTCCTCGAACTCGGCACACAAAAGCTTTCCCCACCAACGCAACTTAAGAAACAGGCCATCAACAGCAACGCAAAATGGATTCTACAGTCAATCGAAGTAAGAAGAGAGTTAGGACAGCTCGTGGTATGATGCACTCTTCCTGTACCACCAATGAAAGGTAAAAACTGATGAGATGAACTGCAGTTACTGCTACTGTCGAGAATCCCGCAGGCACAATGGCCACCCATCTACCAGTCCCCAAAGACAACGGCAACGGCAACGGCAAGTCCAAGGGCTACGAGTCTGAGGAGATATCTGGAGAGCATAGCCAAGTCCTTGGTATGCCAATTGAATATACGCAAAAGGGTACTTAGGATCATACTGATATAGACATAGTCCCAAGCCCTCATGCTGCCGTCTTGGTAAACTCCAACGCAGTGGCCTTGCAGATAGCCAACAGTCGTATCAACGTCGACAATCTCTACGAATTCGAGGTATCGCCATTGCTCAACAGTAGTGGTCCATCCCGATCCAACGCTATCTTAGCATCCGACGCAGTGGCTCTGCAGACAGCCAACACTTTCAGTAACAGCCGTGGCCTAGCTCATCGACCAATTCCCATCCGTATGTCTACACCAATACTCTATAGTCGCTGTGCAGAAAGAGGCTAACATGAATTTGAAGCAATGTCAGTTATCAGCCAGCTGTTCGCTGCACTCAAAGCCTCAACGGGGGGAGATCCGAACTCTGAAGTTATTCGTAACTACCCTGGCCTCCATGCTGCGGCAGAAGGACTCGACGCTCTCGGTATTGCGGCTTTAGAGACAATCCTCCGGATTGCCAAAGACCAAGTCGCTGGAGTTAGCCATGCGTTCTACTGCTTCTCGGAATTGCCTCCGGAATTGCGGGCTGAAATTTGGCGATTGGCAGCTCCGAAACCTTCTGTTGTTGTGATTCGCGCAGGTTGGATGTTCGTGAACGGCATGCACGTCCCTATGTTGATTCCAGTTCTCTACAAGCGACCAGCTCTGCTATGCGTCAACCGAGCCATCTCGACCTTTATGACCGGCATTAGTCCTCCCAAGGCTGGCCAATCAGTCATTCAGGCTCCTGGTACTCGCTTCAATGTCAATATGAAGACTGCATTCTTCCTTGAGGAGGTCCGCATGGGTAGCCAAGATACGCTGGTGTTCCGGGACTTGATTCTTTGGTACAATAACGCTAGAGGTCCTCCCTTGGGTCCCGCGAGGCTCAATTTCCGAACCTTGCGGTTTCCGAAGGTCGAGAACCTAGCCGTAAACTACGCACGCGGAGCATACGGAGGCTTTTCCTTCCCCGTCCTTCTGGAGGCAGCTCCATGGCTTCACAGTCTCTTCCCTGACCTCAGAAAGTTGACTCTCATGATCGCTCGAGATTTGGGCGGAGGCTTGTCGGAGGTAGTAGGAGGTATTGATGGTCATCCGATCTTATTGGTCCCTACGAACGTCCCACTTCACTTCCATGCATGGACTGGAGTTGAGATTGCGAGAATCGTTCAACTTTTCTGGGACAACTACCAGAAGAGAATCTCTATTGAGTTTTCGAGGGTTGTATTGGAGCCGCCCCCCCGCAAGGCAACAACATAGTTCGCCCAATGCAGCTGATGCTCTGTGAGCCTGAAAAGGGTTGGGTGTCTTCTTCAGAGTAGTCTGTGCGCTCAGAAATCCTATCATCGTACGATTCCCCTTGGAAGCAGCTGCAGCCAGTGCGCTCTTACAAGAGCCTTTTGCATCAACGATCAGATGTGCATTGGCATCTGCTCCGTGCTCCGTAAGGAATATTGCAGTTTCGGTTTGTCGGTACCAGATAGTATCTGCAGCGCTGCTAGCATAGAACAGTTGACGTTGGGATACTCTTAGAAAAGCAAAGATCATTTGCCAACTTCGCTTCTCCCGTGATTATTACTAGTGATACCAAATTTTATAGGCCCTAGCTCTTCAGTTTCCACTTCTTTCATGTCTAAAATTTACATACCTCAAGTGGCGGATTCTGTACCTTCTTGCAAGTTATCTTCCTTACAAATTATTTCGAGCCAGATAACGATTTTACCCTTTCTAAAGGTTGCGAAGTCGCGCAAACTGAAAGTAATGGAAGCACGCAACAATCTACAACAAGCAGTATCAAATTTAGGGCGTAATGTACTAGTGTACATAGATCTAGATCTTTTGCGTTCGTCAATAACCTCTTTGAGAATCACACAGTCCTAGCATTTGAGTCACGTGTATCTCAGAAGTACGTACCTATACTTAGGTATGGCAGAAGACCGTCGTTGAGAGAAGTTTTCTGGTAATCTCAGACGACACATTTTTGACTTTGCTTCGGATGCGGTTAGTGAAGGAGAGTCCTTTTCCAGAATCCTTCTTCTCTTCTTTCCTTCCATATCCACATAGCACTGGTTGACACCAGTTATACCACTTCCGAGACATCATCCTGTACAATCATTCGTGAGATTCTACAATACAAGCATGATACATCTCCAATCTGCGGTTCACACCCACGGAAACTATCATGATTATGGCTGTCACAGAGCCAGTGTTACCAATACGTACACCCAGAATTGGCTCGAGATTGAGAAATGTTCAGATGTCTGTCAGCCACTAGAACTCGTAGTTCTGATTACGGGGATAAGCTTCGAGCTAAATATTGAGTCGGATTTATAACAAGATAATCACGTTTGCACCATTCTTGTCCGGCCCTTCTCATCCTCAATCTATATAACCTTAATCCCATCCCCTAGCTTTTCCCATTTCTGTGGAGTTTCGATACCAACAACTCTGAGATCTGATGTATCTTCTAGGCCATGCGCTAACAAGGCTGTGCTCGACGATTTGAGTAACGGCAATCGATTCAGCAAGATGGTGACAGCCAGCAGCACCGCTGTTGCTACAGCCTCCAATAGCGGCAGAACGAGCCATGCCCATCGCACATGATAGTACGCCGTGTTGACGAAGGCCGTACCCGTAGTAGATGTAAAATTTTGGTTGTCGGCGTTTGTGAGTACTTGGTTGGTGACTGCGATGGCGACGTTCTGGGTAAGCTGGCTCCAGTTGGTGTAGCTCATGAAGTCAACCATTCCAAACATGTCGCCGCTGTAATTTCAAGAGATGAATTTCCTTGGCCTGCTTGGCCTCCCGAGTATACTTGAGGATGTAATGTGCCCTGCAGGGATGGATCCAGGGTGTGCGGGTTCTTAGTATCGAGGACGGAGTAGCCATCCATAAATTCCGCAACCAGGAAGTTGGAATAGTACTCGCTAGAATTCGGTTCACTGCCAGCGAAACTCCAAGTTACTCCGGGTTGCTCCGAAATGATTGATGCTATCAGTGGGTCTGTCGAGGCACTTGTGATTTCACTCAATTTGTTGTCTCGCACCGAGATGTTGTTGTATGTTTGTGCACACCAGTACCAGTTCGCCATTGCTACGCTTGCTGTGGGGACTGGGAGCGACGTATTTCGTAGAAAGAGGTCATTTTCGACGCCATCTACACGAATGAAAACATCCGAGCGATGTCAAACGGTTTATAGTTGAGGATGTCGTCGGAGATGCCATCCAACTGGATGATGTCTAATATCGACCTGAACCAATCGAAAGTGGCGCCGTCATCACCACCAAAATTAATGGTCAAGTTGCGGTAGTTGGTGACGCCCTGTACCGAATAAGTACAGTCTATGTAGTGAGAAGGCGGAGGTGGTGTGATTTCGTCGATTGTGCTAGAAGGGTAAGGATATGCTTTACACGTGCGAGAACTGATATCGGTAACGTCCGTGTAGTTCCCACATAAACCGAGCGATGTGATATTGCTGAACTCGCAGCGCGTAGCGGGAGACGGACAGCTTAGATCTGGTTGAAGGGAAGCACTTGCAAGTTGATTCAGTAAAGCCATGTGCAAGACCAGAGTTTCAGTTGTGTTGGCTACAGGCAACATGCGGTCAGTACGTCGAAAGCAAGAATGCTGGGGAACAAAGAGAGTACCTACTCGATACATTGTTTGAGAAGTAGTCGAGAACGAGAGCTTGGCTCGCATTGGAAATGTATGTATGGCTAGACCCGATGGTTGCCGTAACGTTGTTGAGCTGAAGATCCTCCTGGTGCACAGCCAAAATCTGTTGTATCATCGGATCAATGGCCAAAGACAGAAGCGAGACGAGCGCGAACGCAGTAGCAATGATGTCCAGTCGTAACTTGAAAAGTCGGCGACCCATCTTCCAAAGCATCTGTGCTGCACCCATTGGGTTGCCTCTACTGACTTGGTCGTACATTTCGAGGTGACTTAGCCGGTTTGCTTGTTGAAAGTGCAGCCATTTCAACTGTGATACACACGAAGCCACTACAAGCATCACTCCCATCTTTGCCACGGTAGTAAGAGTCGATAGCAGCGAGCTCGGTTGGATGTTGTATTTCCAATTGTCAATCGGCTTGTTGTCTAGAGTAGCAAGAACTGCGATGGTCATGAAGAGGCCGGTTAAGGCTATGAAGGCGCCACAGATCTCCAACCACCACCACCATGACGAGCTGGAGCGTTCACTTTTCTTAGCGGGGCGCTCTTCATCCACTGGTTGGAGAAGAGGTTCCTGCCGTGCATCGGTCGCCGTGCGCGTTAGTGGTTCCATATTCTTATCGAGCGTGAAGTTGGTTACACTATCTCGCAAGTAAACGTGAGCAGCCCCGTGTGGAGGAAGAATGTAGAGCGCAAGATGGAGGGAGGCCAGCAAAGAATGAGCCGCCTAATTATCATCTTCGGTGGGTGGCTCATGTTTCCTCTGGACAAGGGTTGATCAAATGATGGTAGTGCTACAATGACTGATAAGATTATTCCTCCCTGTTGAAGTTACGGTTGCATCTATGCAACCAGGGCCGTCGAACCCAATGGCGGGGTACAATGGTGTTTTGTGACCTGCCCGAAGCGGTTCATCCTGTCCTGAAATCATGTAGATCTTCAAGGGCGAAACCAGCGTTGCTGATGGGGCTGGCTTTAGCCGAACTGACAAGGCCTACCCTAGACCGGTTACGGTCACAGTCTTAAAAGCCTATTATTTTATTGGACGGTGACGGGCTTGGTCTCTTAAAACCTGCTAATAACCGTCAGCCCATCTATTATTGGAAAGATTGTGGAGTAGGGGGAAATTAGTGCCTTGAAGCTTGAAACCCTTAAAATACAGGAGGCTTGAGGTGTATGTGATTAAAACTTAAAATTTAAGCTTAAAGTTTGAGGTTGAAGCTTAAAACTTGAAGCCTGAGGTTGAAAAAATATTATTAACAGTTTTTCTTTGTTTTGGTTGTTAAATCTGTCTAAAACGTCTGGAATTGTGATGGTGATGGTCCAGGGCTAAAAACGGCCTGACCCATCAAGAGCGCTGCGCGAACCACTAACAGAGAACACACCATGTGGGCGAAACTTGATGAAGTGGTTGCCAATTGACCCACGATCGTTGAGCAGGCCATGTGGATTTTGTGATCCAATATTTATGCCGAATGGTGTAAGCAGAGATGTACCGTGTGTATATACTCAGGTCTCTTGCCTTGTTGAGAGATCTGCGTGGTCTAGAGGACTCGGAGCCAAGTTACTGTTTTGTTTCTCTTCTTTCGGAAATCGCGGGCAGCTAAGGGGATGTTCTGTCAGTACGAAATTATGCCCATCGTAATAACGTTCTCTGACACCCAAAGAGTGGACTTGTGAGAAAATCAACGTGTTGTGAGCATGAATCGGGCAACCGAACACTCTCAAGCAACATGGTTCAACTCATTCGCGCTGTTGAAGCTTCTATGTTTCAAATTTACAATCCTAATTAGATACGTAATCCGCTTCCCTCGCACTTCTTACCACTTCAAATCGCAATATTATTATCACATTGCGAGAAAGGACGAAAAGGAATATTACCAAGAATTCTCATCTTCACAGCATTCCATCGCAAGTTATATACAAGTCAAAGACTGATCCATCTTTCCACAAAGCCGACTCTACAGCGCAAGGCTATCGGATGTAAACGATCGGTACCTAATCATGCATTCGTCGGAGCTCGCCGCAAATCTGCACTTTTGTCCCTTGGTGGCTTGCGCCCCTTGTCGTGCACTCTAATATCGAACCCGAGTGGCTCGCTTCGCTGCAAGACATCAGCCTCACTCCTTCCTCCTGAACTTTTAAACCTCGAAAGTTCTTCGCTTTCTGCTCTTGAAGTAGGAAGTAGAGACCTGGCTTCTTTGGAGATAGAAGAAACCAAACGATTCTCGACAGCAGACGATTATCTATGGATCTCTGAGTGGTTTGTCAGTGGACGATTTTTATCACGACAGCCTCATCACCGGGATGTTCAGCCATGGCGCAAATACTGGATCCATACCGTACTTGGGAGGAACCGAATACCTTCTCTTCAGACACGTAAGTCGTTGGTACTTTCTTGACTTACGAACCTCGACTAACGTAGACAGAGCACCAACAAACCGCGTGCATCAAGCTACCCAAAGCAATTCTCTCTCCTCTCGTGAGAATGTACTGGATCTCGAGAGCTTTCTTTCATGCTCTCATTGCCAAATAGCTTTCTCAGACGTGGAAGAATGGTATTTACACTGCAGATCCGTGCATCCATCTCCGGTGCAGCTCGTGCCTCCGCAAAGAATGGGCATGTCCTTTTCCATGTCCAAACAGCCGCAAAAGATCTCATCGGATTCAGAATCTACCGAATCTTGTTCAGCTAATGACAATGTGCTCGAGGACGAGAATATGATTGCGCAACAGGAACTGCAAGTTTTGGACCAAGGTTCGAAATCATTTCGACGGACCCAAAAGCACCAGAAATGGGACTCTATCAAGACCGAAGTTCATCGATTGTATGTTTCAGAAGGGCATACATTACAAGCAACCATTGCAGAAATAGAACAGAAATATTCGTTCAAAGCTAGGTATTTCCATCACATCCTTTCCTTATGTTTGTATATTGAAAACTCATCCATCCCAGCCTTCGAAAATGGAAAATGCAAATCAAAGAATGGCATTTCGACAAAAATCTCACCAAGAATGACATGGCTATCCTGGTGGCCAAAGCGCAGAAACGAGCCAGAGACGAAGGGAAAGAGACCATATTCTATCATCAAGATCAAGAAGTGAGCGCCGAAAGGCTCAGCAATTTCAAGAAGCGGAAGGTAGACGCGGCGTCACCAAGCGCAGGTACATGATCGTTGATAATGCTGCCATCTCCGAAAGCTGACGACAAAAAGCTACACCAATGAATATTACTTACGCTACTCCCAAAGCTCAGAGCGAACTCGACCCAGAGCAAGAGACCGAGCAAGCAACCAAGCAAAACGACTCACACAAATCGATCATCTCAATGCTATCCATCTCTCACGCCCTAACCACCGAAACAGCCTGCGTCAAATCCCTCCTCACCATCAACGACCCCTGGCTCACCGACAAAGCAACCCACCTCTCCAACCTCCTCACCTACCACCCCTCCACACGCCTCTCCTCCCAGCTCGAACTCGCGCAACTCTACCTCTCCTACGGACCCTCCTATCTCGGCGGCCCTAAAATTATCCTCTCCACCATGCTCGAACACATCACTAGCACCAACTTCTCGCTCTCCACTTCTTCGCCGCGGAGGGTTGACACGCTCGACTCTCTCGCGGAGCAGTGGAAAATTATCAAACCCATCGAGTATTTAAGCACGTCCGCCGTGCTCGAGCCAGAAGTCGCGTTCTCGCTATCCTTGCGATTAACGGGTATCGTGCACGAGATGCGTCGGTTGCTCTTTCATGACGAGAAGTACGGCACGGGAGCGGCGGATGGGGAGTTGGCGGGTTTGTTCATCAGCGCGGCGATGATTTGTAGTCGATTTTTGCCGGGGGATGCACTTGTGTTTTTTGATGAGATGATTGAGCGGGCGGGTGCGTGTCAGGGGTACGTGGCTCAGGACGTGAGGTTCTTGGCGTTGTTATGTCGGGGGTTGGTTTTTAAGCGGAAGGATGAGGGGAGGTCCGAGGTTGATTTTAGAGCGGCGAGGGAGGTTTTGAAGGGGGTGGACCAGGGAGATACTGATAGGTTGTAGGGGATTTGGAGGTTGTTTGAGGATAGGTTTTTAGAGCATGAGGTTGTGTAGTCTATGTCTCGAGTTGTTGCGCGGTACCAGGATTAACTGCTCGATTGCCTGTGCAGTTGTATGAAAGAGCCCATTGACGAAGGGCTATATGTATACGCTCCTTTTTTCTTTGGAGTTGTGTTTATTTGTAGTGTAGTCTAAGACAGACTTGCCAGGAATTATAGCTCCCTCCCGAACTCTCGATTAAACATGGTGGCAGAGAAGTGGATGAACCAGGCGGAATAGTCTATCTCGTACTAGTGCTCTATTCCTGACCATGAAATCTCAGCTTCTACCATAGAAGTGAATCAACCTCTTTCCCCGTACGATTCCACTCATCCTGTTTTTCTGGTGACCTACGTAGGGAGGGTCCATTCATATGACCTGAGAATGTCGGTACACATGAAGTCAGCACTATTCAACGCTAGAGAAGTTCAAATCAAAGACATCATCTCAACTTGCTCTTCGGACCCCCGATGGACCTCAACTTCATGCGCCTTGCACCGCGCGTCAACTTACCTCGATCGACTACAATAACTCTGAGATCACACTCAATCCAAGTCTCTTGCGCATATCAAGTCTACATCAACACAACCTTAAGTCAACTTCAAGTTACACGCTTCACAGTACTACATCAACTATATCGCGGGTTTTAGGGACAGTCTAGGCTTTTTCAATGACAGCTTGGCTGTCCGGGCAAAATCAAGTTATTTTCCATAGCTGCGCGTAGTCCCTTAATTTCTGGGAATGCCCTCTTTCTCATGCTTTTGCTTTTAGTTCTCAGCCCTTAATCCTAAGCCCTCATTTAATGCTTACAGGCTCATAATGTGCTATATTCCAAGTGCAGCAGTGCAGTGTCGTCAGGAAGTACAGCGTGACTAGTACAGTGCATTCAATGCATTCAGTGCATCCAGTAGAGTGTTCCTGGTTTTTCAAGTACTTCTGGACCCTTCAATGAAGAGTGAATGAATTGAAGTTAAAAGCTAGATAATATGCAAATAGATATAGAACAAAAGGGGGGGGGGTTAATTTTTTAATGCGTGTTTAGAAAAACTATTTTCTTTATAATAGAAAAGTTTCAAGTGAAAAAACTAAACTTTATATATATAGTCTAGTCTATTCGGGAACACTTGCTATCTTCGAACTTTACTTCTATTATTCATAAATAGCAAGATTTTCATATGTAGCACTTTTGGTTAATAAACTATACTTATCATTAAAAATAGCAAGCCCGCCAATTGTGAATAGCGCCACTAATAAACACGCCGAGAATAAGGCCCTAATTTTAGCCTTAGAACTTTAGCATTGTAGTATCTCAGCATCTCAGCACCTTAAATGTTTAGCACCTGAGTATAGCAATAAGGCATAGTACTTGACCTACTAAATCACTATACCCGAAAACTCCCAGCCCTCCAGGATGAGAATCCAAGATCTTAGTAACGAAAGTGCTAAATTGCTAAGGTGCTGAAAAGCTGAAGTGCTGGAGTGTTTGGAGCGCAATTCCGTACTGGCACCTCTCCATTTATATACTCTTGCACTAAACACAAGTGTTTGTGTATAGCTGGTCTATTCACAAAACTAAAGGTGTCATACATAAAGCCTCCGGCATTTATAAATGGCGGGGGAGTCAATTTATCAACAACCAATGTTACGTGTGGATTAAAATATATATGTACCCTCGTACTCTCTTTAGCGTTATGCTTTCATCAGCAGCGCAGTCTAAGAGAGTTTAGTCAAGAATTATAGCTTGCTCCCGAGCTCTCGCTTAAAAAGGGGGAAGACTCGGCCACAAATATCCACAGACTGGTGGAAAAATCAACGCTGAATCGCTTCCCAAATCTTTTCAGTCCGTTTCTCCCGACCTGGGGTCGATTCCGATTTCACTTTTTCTGGACGAGGAGGTGTAGATTGATCTGTTACGACTCGAGAGCTTTCAACTGCTACTGCAGTTATATGCGCAATATGCGCAACATGCGCTGATTGAGCTATATGCGCTATTAGTGCTGAATGCGTTATACGCGCTGGATGCGCCGAATCTTGACCTCTCTTACAGGTTCAGCATTGTGGTGATGCGCCAATCTTTCACAAACAAAGCCAAGCACATACAGTACTCGCAAGAAATCATCCATTACCCTACGAACCCCCAAACCTCTTCTCATACTCCTCCTCCGCAACCTTCACAATATCCACCCCATAAACAACCTTCTGCACATCGGCATCCGCCCACTTATCCGGAACCCTCGCCTTCCCCCCCTTCTTCTTCAACTCCTCAAACACCCTATCCCGCTCCTCCTTCGCCTTCCCACTCCCCAAATGCAACTCCCGCGCACTCGCCGCCGCCCACCCAACCAACTGCTCCGCCCTCTCCTTCCTAACACCCTCATACAGCTTCAACACCTCCTCCACCCCCGGCCCGCTTCCATCCCTCACTTTCCCCAGCAACACTCCAAGCACAGCCGCATCCTCAATCGCCTGCGCCGCGCCCTGCGCCAAGTGCGGCAGCGTCGGATGACACGCATCACCCACCAACGCCACATGGCCATAAATCCACGTCGGCAGCGGGGCATGGACCCGCAACTTCCACTCACACACCTCCCCATCCGGCACCAGATTCAACATCCTCTGAATCTTGGGGCAGAAATCCTCAAAGACGCCTAGCATGGCCGGTTTGCTGCCCTTCGTGGTATACGTCTCGGACGGCGCGGCCGCGAAATTTGTGTCGGGCTGCGTGGTGCTGATGTTGTAGATGGTGTGGTTGGAGATCGGGTACGCGATGATGTGGCGCCTAGCCCCTATCCAGCGCGTTACGCGCTCCGCGTCCATGAGTTCGAGCAGTTCGGGGTCGTGGGCGATTTGCGAGCGCGGGAGCAGGATGCGGTATGCGGCTTGGTCGGTGTCTTGGACGTCTGCGGAGTGGGAGAGTAGTTTCAGCATCTGTTGGCGGACGGTGGATTTTACGCCGTCGGCGGCGAGGAGGATGTCGCAGGTGACGGGGTAGGGGGTGGAGTGCCGCGGGACGGCGGTGAAGGTTGGGGTTGGGGACCAGGACGTTATGGAGGTTATGGAGGTCGAGAAGTGGAAGTGGATGGAGGGTTCTTTTTTGCAGCCTTCGTAGAGACCGCCGGCGAGGGAGGCGCGGTGGCCGACCATGTGGCGGTAGCCGTATATCTTTTCTACGCCGTCTAGTTCGACGTGGGCTAGTTCGTTGTCTGTCGCTCCGTCTGTATTCATGCCATTAGCAGGTATCCCTCACTCTTTAGTTAAAAGAAGAGACAAACCCCGTATACTGGTCTCTTTGCAGAATACAGCCTCCCGTTCAATCTCCTTCCATACTCCCAGTGTATCCAGAATCCGCGACATATTAGGAGCGAGCTGGATTCCTGCACCTACGAATCCGAGGTTCGAGGCTGTTTCGTAGACGTGGATGTCTTCGAAGCCATTCTTTGCTAGGGCTAAGGCGCTGGAGAGACCACCCATTCCTGGAATATATACGTTAGTACTTGAAGCAAGAAGGAGGGAGTTCGAGAGAGGAGAATACCAGCGCCTATGATACAGACTTTCATCGTCTTGTGCGATCCATTCGAAGCCGCCATCTTTCTTGCTTTCTCCTTTGCAATGTGGGACGACCTAACAAATATCTCTCTCCTCAACCTTTCTCTCTTTCTTAACACTTCCCAAATCTCAATATATTCTCAACAACAATCTCACAACAAAAACTCAACAACAACCTTCGTTGCAAATTGTTCGTTCGTCGAAACAAACTCAAGAAAATCATCATCATACAGTACGTGGGGCCATCCATCACCCCGCATTTCCACTCTCAACCTCACCATCCTAACCACCAATCAGCCCTCGGAAGAACTTTCTCCCCTTGGACAAGGCTGAGTGAGCAGTGAGTGGCGAAATAATCCTTACCCCACATCTCGCATTTGCCCCGCTTTGACTGACCGGAGCAGAGATCCGGGTTGGGTCTGGATGTGTGACGAGCGGTGGGGCGCTAATGCTGCGTTGTTCGGGGATTGACGGTGGGGGTACGGTGAGGGAGAGGGTGGTTGGGGACAGAATGAGAGAGAGAGAGATGGATGAGGTGAGTTGAGTTGAGGATATATTTGATGAGGCTGGAATGTATGGATACATGGAACTTGGAATCGTGTAATGTGAGGTTGATTGGAGATGGAAATGAGGAAAGCCCCACATGAACAGGTCAAGTATAGTACTTACCCCACATTTTTCGAAGGTGGTGCAGGGGAGAGGAGATCCTCCCCGAGATGAGATAATAAGAGCCTCATTCTTGAAAGCCTTGATGGAAGGTAGTCCGATTTTAGGCTAGGTATATAAAGAAGGAGATGTCACGTGGGAGAGTCTGAAGAGATAACACCCTGGAAGTGGTGGGGATGAGACGTGGAGATGAAGGGCAATAACTTCAGACTTATTTGACAAAGTCAAGTACTTCTGTATCCAATTCGTTCAAATTCAAATCCTGCATTCATGATTCATCTATCATAACCCTGAGTAGTCTCATCCTAGAACGCCATCTTGCTCCTATAGCCCCTCACGTCCCCCTCAATGACACAAAGAAATCCACTGATCAATCACATCCTCCATATCATAAGCAATCCCCCACTGACTACACAAACACCTAAACAACTTCTGCATCGAATTCAACTCATACAACAAATTCTTCCCCGCCCCCGTCGCCCCAAACACCCCCGCCGCATACTCCCCCCTCACATACTTCCTCGTCTCACACACATCACCGCCTTCTCCCAGCTGTCCGCTTCCCACATCCTCATACCGGGTCGACAGCACCGACTGCCAATCCACCACCGCCGGCAGCCGCACCGTCGTCTGCCCCGCGAGCGAGAACACGCAGTACACCGTCGCCGACGCGAACAGCGAGCTCGGGATATGGATTACGTGCGCCCTGCCCCTGGGCAACTGTTCGACGATCTCCTGGATGGCGATAGCGTGTACCAGCGCCCGTCTGGCATCCTCGGTGTTGGCCCAGCTGACGAGATCGAGCTGCTGGTCGTCTGCTTGCTTGGTCGCTACGACGTGTTGTGCGATGTTGTATTGCTTGCACACGCTACGGCAGAGGAGGCTCGAGTCTTTGCAGGCGTCGAGACAGATGGTGTGCCAGCGGAGGAAGAGCTCTAGTCTTTCTGGGTTGGAGAGGTTTGGGGATGCGGCGATCGATTCGTGGAGTTGGGCGAGGGCTCGGCGGAGTTCGGATTTGGTGGGGACGCCTATTAGTGCTTCGTCTGAGTCGACGTCTGATACTAGGCTCTGGAGGCCCTCGAGGATCACTCGCAGGGAGAAGGCGGAGAATGTGTGATGCAGCAAGGCTTGTCCTTCGGGAAGAAATAAGCTAGAAATAATCTTTCGGAATGAAAACTGCGTGGTTTCCTGAGACCGCATGTGAGTTAACCATTCATCTGCAGTCCTGGCCTCGAACGAAATCTCTGTGCTCGGCAAACCTAGAGCATTCGCTGTATGTCGGACAGAAGGTGTTTCCCCTGACATGCGGGAAATGAGGCCGTCGACTAGATAATGACCCAGCAGAGCACGTTGTTGAATTTCTTTGGCCGCCCAGGTTCGCCAAGCGGTGTTTTTCTCGGATTCGGAGGCATTGGGAGAGGGAAGAGGAGATGGAAGAGAAGAAGTGCATTGGCGGGCCCAGAAGAAACCTAAAGCGTGAAAAGCTTGGGAGGTTGTGCGGATTACTCGGTTCTGGGGATGAGTTAGAAGGGAAATGAGAAGGCAGAGGAGGGACATACTTTTGAGAGAGCGCCGTAAATTTGAGCGAGGAGGGCAGTCACTACTAGTTGGACGCCTTGACATGAATCGTACGGCCCTCGGTGAGTGATGAGGACTTCCCACTGCTTAATGTTAGGAAAAGCACTTTGAATGATTTCAACCATGGACCCACAGATGTCGTGACAGCCACATGAGCAAGTCTCCACAGAGCTTCTCCCTATTTTTGATCAACACCTATGCTACCTGCAACATGTTCGTCTTCTCACCTTAGCAATCGAGTCCTTTGGCCCCAGATACAGCGACCCAATCGCCATAGCATTCAACAGTAAAGGCTGCGTACACTCCCGAAACACAAACGTAGCTCTATGAAGCACCGGAAACGTAGGAATAAATCGACAAAAGAACATATGCAAACACTCATCCAGGAACACCGAGCTGAGAGAAGTAGCTTCCACCGCAGCTGTAACCGAAGAAGACTGTTTTCCATCAGCTCAAACACCTTCTACCCCGCATATAACTTACCAAAGTAGTAACCATATTGCTAACATTATGCACCGCTCTATGACTCTCGCCAGAAGGAATAGCATCAATAGACGGCCCCTGCTCGCGAAAAGAACTCGGTGTCGAAAACGCCGTGTTGGAAGTATACAGCGATTTCGACGAAATCGGCAAAGTAGTAAACGGCATCTGCCACTGATTATTCGTCTCGGACGCCATGAGGGTCTCGAACAAATCCTCGGAATCCGGCCACATGAGATCAAAATCCAGCTCAGCAGAAGGAGGAGGTGGAGGCATCGTCTGCGCACTATTCTGGTCTCCTGCGACGGATAGTTGGTCGGACATTCCTCCGGGAAGGGAGACGGGACTCTCGTGGGCCATTTCGGGGATGCCCATGGGGGAGAGTGAGGCTGTCATTCGTTGTGAGGGTTGGGAGATCAGACTTGAGGGTGGTGAGGGGTAGTGGATTGGGTCTTTGCGGGTGTGGAGTTTTTCATGGCGGGCAAGAGAGTCTTGTCTTGCAAAAGGACGCTGGCATTCTTTGCAGCGGAATGGGCGTGCGCCAGTATCTTGAGAGTGGAATTGTTAATTTAATGCCTTAGTTGAGTGAAGGTTAGGACGTACGACTGCGTTCATGTCTCTGGAGGAGTTCGTTAGCAAAAGGAATTCTGACTGAAGTCTGGTTTTCCCACCCTGAGATGCTCGCCCTTTGAGAAGGACTTTTGGCAGAATCTGCACTCCATGCCTTTATAATTCATTTGGGATACTGCGACGAAGAATTGGATGTTCCTCGAGCTCTCGAGATGTTGAAATTTGTTTGTTGGAGAAGAAAGAAGGCTGATGAGGTCGATGTGCATTTCGTGGCAGCCGTGCTCGGCCCTGTGCCCGCTGAAAAATGGCCGCTGCAGGGATCTTCGGCGAGGGGTACGCCACCCCGGCTCTGCCTTTACGCGTGCACCACGAACGTTGATTAAACTTCAAGAAGATCCTTTGATCCGTCTACGGAGTGACTTGGAAAGGTCTTGACAATTCGGTTAGATTTCTTTAGAGGTCTTCTGTAATAATTTGCTGGCACTGACTCAAAGTCAACCCCCTCTGATGTTTGTCTTCTACATTTACTCATAAAGAAATAAGCTTCTTTCCATGAACCGAAGTTTCGAGATATGAAAATCTTCATTCAACACTCAATCTAGTTTTGTTTACGCATTTGCTTATACAACTACTTACAAGATTCGTTTCAGCTGCTCATCGTCCATGCTTGTAGTCAAGTGCAGCATCAAAGGCAAGAGATCTATGCGATCAAAAACTTTCAGTTCATGACACCGAATTTTCCGAAACGCTGTAACAGCTCAAATCTGATGCAGTATTGGCTTCCTTCTCTTTTTTTTTTTTTTTTTTTTTTTTGGAAGTGAACCATCAAACTTCCTTGACCCTTTGTTTATTTTAAAGAGTCTTCTCGCCTTAACTGGTAGACTCAACTTGTAGTAACATAATAAGTTCTTTGCAAGCAGAAGATTTTAGCAGAGTCAAGCCTCATCTCAGGAATCCTGTTATGTTTGCGAGAATTTTTGCGTTGCTTTTACAGATCTTCAAGCACACCCTCTCTGAAGCTCCCCTGCCTCAACCAGGGTTCAGACAATCTTTCATGCACCTCAATAAGATCTTCGGTCATTCTCTGAAGCCCAGAACGTCCGACAATTGCCATTACGCGTCCCCACGAACCACGGTGGAGATCTTGCGTGGGGACTACGGTGGCCGGATGTGCAGCTCAAGACGGGACGTTTGCCGAACTCCTGATATACACGTGACTAACGTCCCATCATAACCTTGGGTGGAGTTGTTGCAGAAGTAAATAAGAGTATTGATAATATTGCGTTTTATTTGTTCTTTGTTTGTTGCATTTGCTCTGTTGTAACGGGTCAATCCCATATATGCTGCCAAGAAAAGTTTGCCGCTTCAATCCTGGACCGGCGCTTAGACGAGATCATGGGCAGTTGTAACGGCGGACAGGAAGCATTTGTAGTAGAATTAATTTACCTCATTTGCGTGTTGGTACTATATCCATTACTCTTCTACAGACAATTTCTTCCTACGCCAGGGGAATGGTGCTTGAAGATGAAGTGTCTGTCATCTTGTCCTGCGCAGTGTCTTTTTGGAAGATCTTCGCACACGCGAGTTGTTTTGGCGACCTTCTTTGTGACCCAACATAGTCCCCCTTGAAAATGTTGGAGTATCAGATTCCGAGCTTCCATTGGCGCTTCGAACATTAACCAACGTCAAGCTTCCATCTCTGTTGAAACTTCTTCCCTCTTTGATTTTCTTCTAATCTTGCATACTGCGACTTTCGACCTCGTTTACCCATGATCATCTCTTATAATGTATGCCGCGATAGTCTATGCGAATTGGTTCAAGAAAGCATGGCTGGTATCGATATTCGTTAATATTGTAGTCGCTGATGAGACAAATCCCCAAACAGTCCAATGGTCTTCTAAATCCTACGGTCCAGATGGACCATGGCAAGCAATCTCAGTCTCGATCGGCACTCCAGCTCAAAGAATCGATCTCCTTCCTGGAGGAGTATGGGCATCACCCGTCTTAGCACCTTCCGTCTGCTCAAACGGCGCCGCCTGCCAAATCGTTAACCTGGCAGGCTTCTACGACTCTACCAAATCCAGTACCACCTTCCAGATCGGCCAGACAGGACAAGTCGTCAACTCCTCTCTGGGTGGAGCAGATGCCGCCTTGGGTTCTGTGACTGGAAGTGCAAATTGGATGTTCGACACAATGTCCATAGAAATGCGCGACGGCGTTGTCGGGAACACATATTACGCTGTGGTTCAAGATTTTGATTTGCTGGTCATGTCTGAAGCACTCGAGAAACTTCCAGATGGTACGACGTATCCTATACAAATCGGACATCTGAGTCTGGGAGCTCCTGAGTTTAATGAGTCGTGGTTGCATTTCCCGCCGAATCCGAAATGGAATGGGACATTGCTTCCAAGTACTCTTTTCGGTCAAGGGAACGCGCCGTCAAATTCTTACGGGTTACATATTGGGAGTGCAGATTTGGGTATACCAGGTTCTCTCAACATTGGTGGTTTTGATCCAAGTCGTGCTCTGGAACCGATCAGTAGCCAAGTATATGCTATTGACCGTCTACCCATCGACCTCCTAGACATCGGCGTCGGAGTCGCAGAAGGAGCATCACCCTTTAACTTTACATCTCAAACCGGGCTCCTAGCACAAGGCAACTCCTCCCTAGGAATCTCAACCACGGTCCTTGTCGAGCCTCAAGTTCCCTATCTCTACCTCCCTCAGAGTACTTGTGATGCAATCACGCAATACCTCCCCGTCACATTCCAACCTAAATACGGCCTCTACTTCTGGAATACCAATGACCCCAACTACCAACGAATTGTAACCTCCCCCTCATTCCTCTCCTTCACCTTCCGCCTCAACAGCAGCATCTCCCAAAACATGACCATAAACCTCCCCTTCGCCCTCCTAAACCTCACCCTCACCGCGCCCCTCACCTCAACACCAACATCCTACCTTCCCCTGCGGCCCGGCCCGGGACCAAGCGGGTCTTACGAACTCGGCAGAGCATTCCTGCAAACTGCGTTCATGGGCGTAAATTGGCAGACCGCAAGCGGAGACGGGGCCGGAGTCTGGTTTCTGGCGCAGGCGCCGGGTCCGAATACGCCGTCGAGTAATCCGTTGACGGTTATTGGGGCCAAGGATAGTGGGATTGTGGGGAGTGATGTTAGTTGGGCGGAGACGTGGAAGGGGAGTTGGAGTGTGCTTGGAGCTGCTGGGAGTGCTTCGACGGCAGTTTCGAATTCGAGTTCGAGTTCGAATGGGTCGTCCTCGCATGGAAGGGAGAAAGTGGGTGTTGGGGTTATTGTTGGCATTGTGGTTGGGGCGTTGGTTGTTGTGGTGGCTTTGTCTCTTACTTTGCTTTATTACAAGCGGCAAAAGGCGAAGAAGGAGATCTTGGAGACCGCAGGGACAGTCTCTTATGGTCCAATTGGTGAAATTACTGCAGGACCATACAAGGACTCGGGATATGGACCGAGGGAGTTGGAAGCTAAATACGAGCTTGCGAAACCCGTTGAGATGGCGGGATGAGGATTTTACAGCTATTCCTTAGAATGAAAACAACAGAGGAGAAACCGAGGGAGACAAAGGTGGTTCAGCAGTTGCGCGGGTTCTCGGCACCTGCCCCGCAACACTACGTCTTGACCGTGTTGAGAAGACAGTATGATGATATCGATTATTGTTTAATGGTTGCGTCATGATGACACTCATCCCTAGATAGCCATCTCTGATCCATCTTCTAGGTATTGCATGGCCATTGATGATGGCGAAGTGGGGCCTCTGGTTGACAGATTGACAATTCTACAGCATGAGGAGTGTAAGGAGTATTTCAAAGGAAAGTTGATTATTGAAGAATTGGGTCATGGAATTGCTTTGCATGAAAAGAATAATAAGCTTTTGTTGTCTTAGAGGTGCTGCTGGTGTCAGTGTTCCCTTGATTGTTAGCATACTGGTGAATCTTTGGTCCATGCTGTGATCCTCCAATGGCGATGGTACTCTATGGTTATCTGAAGTTTGGCACATGTTGCGACCCTCCAGTGGCGCCCTCTCTAATATTGCCCTTAAATTGCGGCTGGCGGATTGACCCTTCCAGGTGAGTGATATATATTCGTGGGTCCATGGTGCATGTCGTGGTTCTCCAATGGAGATGAAATTTCATAATCATCTGAATTTCGGCTGTGGTAGATGCTGCGACTTTCCAATGGAGCCGACGCTGTTATATATCATCTGTCAAAAATTGTATGTAGTACAACAAAACTTAAGCAAAACTTTTAGCAGGACTTCTTTGAAATCCCTGCGCAACTCAAATATACTCCTCCCTCACATGAATATCATGCACCTCCCCCTCCAACCCAAACGCCGCATGCCTCGCCGCAACCCCACTACCCCTCCTCCTAACCCTCTCATCCCCCTCCAAATGTCCAAACTTCAACCTATTCCTCCAAAAATCCTTATGTCTCGGCGCCTGTCCCAATGAATAGCCCTCCGTAATCCGATCCAGATTCCCATTCCGCGTCGTCGCTAACAGGGTACTGAAATGTGTATCCGTTGCATACCCATTCTTTTTGAACGCCCAGATCCCTTCGAATACGGCGAGAAGTGTAAGTCCCATAGCGATTGAGTAGGGGAGTAAGAGCTAGAAGGGCTCGTAGTTCTAGAGTAGCACTGTTTGGGGCGATGTACAGGGTGCTGAGATGTTGAGTGCTTGGTAGAAAGATGTGTCTGTCGTCAAGGAGAGAACTTGGCGTGCGAAAGCGTCCTGCAGGGCGTCTATGAAATTGCTTTGCACGTATTGTGTTGTTTGATTTAGGAGAGGGGTTTGGGAGATGTAGGAGAAGCTTCGGGTTATGGAGGTGTAGTTTGTTTGGTTGATGGTTTCTGCTAGGATGACGCGGAAGATGAATCCTGTTGCGTGGTAGCCACTGCGGATATTAGAACTCGGTTGAAGTTGAAGGAAGAAAAGAGCTTACATGAATCGATTATATTGGGGATCTTCTGGTGTCATGTTACTTCAGTTGGATAAAAGGAGGCTCTCCATAGATGCATTCCAAGAATGGATTTGCATCAAGTTATTTAAGAAGTGGATGTCAAAGTTGTATGTCGCGTTGTAAAGCTCGCATTTCACCAAATGCTCCCCGAGGATGAATGGATAAGACGTAGAGTAGTTCAGAGGCTCGATGGGGACAGTGGTGTTGACAACATAGCCGATCCAAAGGGTTGGCTCTTTGGTGAAGATCCCAATCGTCGAATCATTGTCCGCCGTCATATATTGCCACTCAACAGGAGCCCCATTATAATCTTCTACCACGTCAGAAAAGCTAGTATAGATAGATTGACCGACGGGTGCCAGCTGAGATTGTAGCAGAACAGTGTTGCTGTCCAGGGGTGATGCTTCCTCGCAGGAATAGTATGGAGCCTGGAACGAGACGTTATAATTGCAATCGACTCCTCCAGCGCACGGATTTACACCTTGGATAGGGCCGGAGATCGAGAATAAAGACAATTGTGAGACTTATTCTAGTGCCATGGAAGGCTCTTCGTAGAAGATAATGGAGTTATTGGAAGGCATTGCGCGGCCATATACCAGGCCTTGGGGACCGAGATTTTCTCCAGCGAGCAAAGTAGGAGTTACCTGTACGTCGAGATTCATATTGATTGATTGAATATTGTTACATGTTATTGTAATATTCTCAGTTCTGGCAATGGGCGTCAGGGTGGCTGGAGTGAGGAGGACGGAGATGGGGATAAGCCTATTTTCAGATCAACTACGCAGGTAGCCACAAGGGCGCAGAGGAACGTACCATAGTTGAATCGCTAGTATGGATAAACGTGTAGCTCTGGAGATCAATTCGAGGTCAAGAAACCCTAAAGGGTCGTCCAAAGCCTATAAAGCATTAATTCAAGCCCTTACAGTTTTGAAGAAGATACCAACATTAAAGATTGCATCAATCGTGGACAATTTGAAAGATCGCTTTTTCAAAGTGACCTACCAGAGTCAGAATAATGGATCTTGTCGTGGGCAATGCCAAAAGATTAATCGCACCCAGACAAGTTGTTGATAAGCAATGACAACGGCCCTTGTCAGACAAAACGCACCAAAAGTGCTCAGAGCCAGCCCGGCACGCTGAGGCCATTGCGGATCAAGCACTAAACGTCCTTTCAGGGCTGCATTGTACCGATCGTGAGCAATCATAGCTCCAACTCCCAAGAGATAAAAACCAATCATATAAGTAGGAGAAAACCAATGGATTCTCTATGGAGGATAAGTTGCTACGGAGAAAATGTTAGGATCGGTTTGAGGTTCTGCATTGAATTACCTGGTGTCGGTTGTTCCATGACCTCGACGGTGTACGGGTCCGCCTTCTTAGAGATCGGAGGAGTGAAATTGTGTTGAGTAGCCGCTTCAGGGCGCGCCGCCTGTATCTCATGATCGGCCTCTTCTCCAGTCATCTCGAAGCGGTGACGGGGGTCCTGTACGCTCCTCGAAGAATTTATCAAACGGAGATAGACTTATGATCGTTCCTGATATCGATAGGAAGATTTGATCCGGTGCTGGACACTTCCAGACTTGGCAGGGTCTCGGCCTATATGACGCGCTGCAGACCCAGCATGTCAAACCTCACGTGTCCATTCCAGGGAGTATGGCATACATTTTTTCCAACATTCCAGCGTGGAAACTCCCGTCAATGCCTACCCGTGGAGAATTCCAACGGCTCCCAAGCTATGATCAAGTAGTGATCTTCTGCAAGGGAGCCCCGGGTTCCGATGAACTGAACCCCGGAAACATCCCCGTCTGTAAATGCCCGAAGTAAGCTTTGCGCTTGTTGATTGTATTCATTTTGGTCAATTTCATATACAAACCACAACATTCCATGAGAACCCAGAGAACCCTCTCAAATCAAGCTTTTCTCAAGTTTCCTTCCACATCAGTCCCACTGCCCGTCCCAACACTCCTCTCACTCTCCTCCTTCGACCCTCTGCACCTCTTCCCAAACAGCTGAATCCCAATCATCGGCAAAATACTAACTCCCACAATCAAAGCAGTTGCGACACCCGCACTCGCTGCGAGCCCCAGATTATCAAACATATCCGGGAACCAGAACGGGCCAATAAATCCCCAAATTTGCCTCACGAACGTGATGAAAACCCCAATACTAGCACTCTCCTCCAAGTGGCAATCCACAGCATAAGTAATTAGCACCGTAGTCACGATCTGGTTTCCGGCTCCCGCAATCGCTATCCCTATCACCGGGGAGATATTCCAGTGATGGAGCCCCGCATTCTGGGTCTGTACCAAGAAGACTACTGCGCCCACAATTGTCAAGATGAAACCTGCGTACGACAACCACAGTCTGTACTCAGGCGCCGGACGACGTCCGTTGTGTTTCTTGGTGGCAGAATTCATCCAGAAGTCGGACAATGAACCGCCGAGCTGTTCACCGATTACGCTGCCAATAATGATTCCTAGGAATTGGAGACCGAGTTGCTGGGCGTTGAAGCCAAATTTGGCGCCAAAAAGTTGGGGGAGTTCGACGGTTATCATGACACTGCCAAAGAGGAAGGTCATAGCGTAACTATGTTGTTTGTTAGCGCAACGTAGAAGAGGATACGGGAGAAGGAGGCAACTTACGCGATGGCTGGGATGACGATGCAAGGTTTTGCTACGAGAGTGAGAGGGTGCACGAAATCTCGGAAAGTGAGAGGACGTGGATCGATGCGACTAAAGTTGTAGTACTCGGTCTTTATGGCGGAGGTTGGGTGCGAGGTGTTGAGGCGGATGTAACGAGTTTCGGGGCCGAAAAAGAGGTAGAGAAGGAATTGGACGCCGTTGATCTTTGCGATGTGTCAGTTGGAAAGGGCAATAGAGAGCATGTCTTGAAGTTTCAGGTTCGGCATCACTTGAGTCTCGAAAGAAAATCAAAGAACGAAAAGCACAAAGTTGAGATTAAAAGAGAGAAGGTAAGACAAAAGAAGACTCACCATAGCTAAGATCCAATAGATCCATCGATACCCAACATGATACGCCACAAAGCCAAAGATGAATGGGCTGAGTGGAACACCCAACGTAACCATCAACGTCCAAATTCCCATATACCTGGCTCTCTCCTTCTTGAAGAATGTCTCGGTCACAACCGCACTTCCAATTGCCGCCGCAGGAGAAATAAAGAACGCCACAATAGCTCTACACAATGCCATCGTTGCATAAGAAGGGCTTTTGGCACAGCCAATGTTGCCTACCAACGAGCAGATCAGCGAAAGGAGGAAGAGAGGACGTCGGCCGTAGGTGTTGGAGAAAGGCTTCCAGATCAAGGGAGCCACACCTAAGATGCAAATTTGGAGGGAGGTGAGGTATGTTACTCGCTGGAGGGAGACACCGAGGTCGATGGCAATGGTTTCGTATGCGGGGATAATGGCTGCTGCTGTGAAAGTTGACATGCATGCGTGGATTGCGACAAGAGTAAGATTCGTTACTTTCTGGTATTTCTGTCAGTATTTGTTTTCTTGGTGTCTGATGGCAAGGGAGACTTGCCTTCCATTGTGGCCAATTGTATGGATCAGCTTCTCCCATGTCGGGAATTGGATCCAGATCATATGTTCCATGACGGCCGAGGAGGTATTGTCGGTGCTCGTTGGAAAGACCTTTTGCGTCGCCAAAGTATGTTCCATGAGTGGGTGCTGGGTCAAGCTTCTCGACGTATTCGCCATTAGGGGCTTCGTGTTCCTTATTTGTTGCCACGCCGTTCGAAAAGTCTTGAGCGGAGGTGGCCATCGTGGTGGACTTTCCTTCTCTCGATATATATGTCGAAGGCAGAATGAAATGAGAGACTGGCAATGAAGCTCTTGAAAAGTTCGTCGAGCTCAATGTTTGATGTCCACCGAATCTTGGCAGGATCCTTGCTTGATGTCCGATTCCAATCCGATGATCTTCCCTGTCACTTACACCAAGAAGAAAAAGGTACAAAATCGACTTGAGAATGTAGATCTGGAGAGAAGAGAATCAACACAAAAGCAGAGGGCAACTCGTAACTAATATCCTCCCCAAGCTACGCCATTTCCCCAGTCCCCGCATATCACAACCCCATCGAGACCCCCCGTTCAAAAACATATGGCCGCGCATCCCGTACTCTTGTTGATCCACGACGTCGCGTCTCCGGCGTTATATCCAGATTCGGGACTGTATCCGGTGAAGCTTTGACACGTCCCGTCAAGCTTTGCGGCGGACGGGTGCGGCTTGCGTTCGTTGGCTTGTGATACCCTTGTTAAATCTTGGTTGTTGGGATCACGAATCTACGTTTGTTGTAGAGCGAGTGTGGGGATCCCCACGCGGGTGAGGGGCAGACGGGCATACTTTTAAGCCGAAGTTGGAGACATGGAGAAAATAGAGGCGAAGAGGCTATGTCCGTGACAATTCTAAAACAAAGCGGGAGAGGTTTCAACAGAATAACGAGGGGAAGAGAAGGTCTAGAAGCCGGGGTTGTGGAGGAATGGAGAAATTCCTGGAGAAAGAGGCTGAAGTGAAGCGAGCTTGGGTGAGATCCTAATTAGATGAAGAGTTAGCAAGTTCAAGCACCCCCAAAGGTTGGCTACCACCTTTTGGTACCCAATGGCAGACCATACCTCGAACTCTTGGATAGAATACGCGCATATGTTTATCACGTGATGATATACCACCAAAAGAATAAGTAACCAGGGAGTAAGTAATGCAGAGTTATGCTTATTCGTCAGCTCAAGATTATTCGCTGATGAGAACCAGCTTGGAACATCTAGTGAGAGAGTTTGATTGAATTAATCCTTTTTTTCATTGATGAACGTGGCAATGTGTACTAGGAATTCTAGAACTTTGGACATGGACCGGATTGAGGATTAGCTGTAGAAGTGTGTAGCAAGCTTGGCACTATCTATTCCCTAAGTTTCGGATTCTCATATTGATCTAGCTTTCATGGAACCATTCAATTATATTGCTAGGCAACTGAACTACGAGTTGAGTATCACTAGTGCAGAGAACTCTCTCGAAATATTAATATTTAAATCATGAGAATTAATGCTGCTAGTCTGAAGCTTCTTCTGTCAGTTCGATATCACCTGATTGAAAGAATTTGAGAGCAGGAGATTATTTCAAGTCTATCTGCGCCATTTGCAGTAATCTGATACACTCTCGAGCATCGTTCTTGAGTTCAACTCTAGTCTAATGCAAGAATTGATTGAACCAAGACACGGTAGCATTCTTAGCTCTCTCCAATCCCTCCTTCTGCTTTGGGTTGTTGGGATCACCTTTTGCCGCAAATCCATGCACTAGGCCTGGGTAGTAATCATATCGATATGGTATTCCTAGACCCGGGATGATTCTATTGCAATACTCCTTCAGCTCTGGCGTCAATTGCTGGTCAAACTCTGGAGCCAAAATCTGGGTTGGCACACCCAGCGCATCAACTTCTTTAGTTGTCACCTGCGATGGATGTGCAACCGACACGGCATCAACGAGATTATTGCCTTTTGCTCCAAGTTGGAAGGATGCCCATCCACCGTAGCAATAGCCTACAGCGCCGATTTTCTTGTATTGCGCCTTCAAGGCTTTAGCGCAGGCGAAGATCTCGGGCCCTCGGATTTTCTTCGAATGTCGACCGGTGAAAGACGGCATATCGAGCTGCCTCATCTTCTCGGGATCTCCTGTCGTGTACGCATCCGTCAAGAGGTCGGGGTCGAGGACCTCTCCATCAAAGCTATGTACTCAATTAACGTGTCTTGCCAAAAGCGTCTGAATAGCTTACAAGTCTGGAAGATATACGGTAGCATTGGCTTCTTCAGCGAAGTGGTCTGCTAAGATACGAAGATTAGGAAATGTCCAGCCAAACACATCGTGAATGAGCAAGATCGCAACGTCTTTGTTGGAGCCAGTGATGTAGGCCTTGTTCTTGTCGAGTGTGCCCTCGTGACCCACGGGCTTTCCGTCCCATTTGAAGCCAGACTTGCAGCAAGCATATGACATCTTCACGAGTTGGAAAGATGGATTTTAAGGATTTGAAAGAGTCCAATTGATCGTTGCAGGTAGTTGGAGGAATGAGTTGGACAACGAGAAGCAAGCAACAATAGTTATGGGATCATTGATAGATTGTAAATCATGTACCATCAGCACGGATCGCACGGCCGTACTGTACCCCAACCTCGCATGTCAAAAGTGGAGAACTCGCTTCCAAAACGAATCCAAATCGAAGATCATCAACCTCGGACTTTTTATATCCCATGGCCAATCAAATTGGTGCGCTCGGCTAATGCCAATTGTTTACACGAATCACCAAAGTTGGTGCTCTCAAGGTTGTAGGCACAGCTGAGAATCGATTGACTTTCTTCGATTTCATCTGAGGCAAGGACTGTGGACATGAATGGTTTTGTTCGGCAGTGGGGAGAATCTGCGCCTTCTCGTTCCACGCCGAAGGGTACGCTCAGCCAGAATCATACAAACGAATTATGATAAGTCTTCCACGACGCTCACGATCTCGCGACTCAATGCCGGTATTTACCCTAGAGTATTAACGAAGCATTAAGTAGCGTTATCTCCAACGATGTCAGCAAGCGGAGCCTGAATGTTAGGCGTGAGTGGCGGGTTCGGAAATCCAGTGTCTTCATTGGCAGGTGAAGTTCCTGGCATATGTACCCCGTACTCGATCATCATACATAACATGGATAATTACCGAAGCTTACATTGGATCCTAGTAACCAACAAAAGACTTCACGTGTATGTTTGTTATAAAACCTATACCTAAGTCCCAAGAATACCGCAACTGAGAAACAGACAGTCTTCATTGTATTTCACAATACTGCAGCTATGGAACTCCAAGTTAATTATCTTGGAAGACTACTTGAGCTTGTGCGGACGTATGCACCAGCTATTCTTCTGACTTCTCTTTTGGCTTGGATTGTATTCGTCATTTCCCGCCTAAGAGCGACAGGCCCTCCACGCATCTTCGATCCTATTCCGTTTGTCTTCAACACCCTCCAATTCGTGTTCAATAATGACAAGTTTATGAATCGAGCCACGTATGTATTTACTCGTGCCTCAGCTACCTATTTTGTCTAACAAGCTACCTCGATACACAGCCAGGCTCTCGAGAATTCTCCCGTCGTCAAGTTCTGGTTTGCAGGCAAGCCTGTCTATCTCGTCGCAGGACTGAAGAATTATCAAAGCATCTTCGCCTCCCGTGACTTGACATACAATGGCATAATGCTGCAAATTGGCTTTCCCAGGCTCTGGAGAATGAGCGACAGTGAGGTAAAACGCTTTGCAGATGATCGATCAGGAATCAGAGAAACGCCACTTCCAGGCACCGAGCATATTGCACCTGAGCAGCGTTACTGGGCTCCGAAGTACCATGTGCTGTACGAGTTCTTGAGTCGGCCACATCAACTCAAGCCCATTGTCGACCAATTCACGAATCAGTTCTCGCAGGTGGTGGAAAAATACCCCGTTGGGGAGTGGACGAACTTGAGTATTGATAAATTGACTCGGGGAGATTTTACGCGGTGCGCCATTACCACGCTCTTTGGGCCAACTATCTTCGAGTTGAACCCAGACTTTCTTGATGCCTTCTGGGATTTCGACTCTTACGCCGGTGTCTTGGTTTATGGGTTGCCGGAATGGATGTATCCAGCGCCATTCAGGGCTTCGGATCGCTTCCTCGACAGGATCGAGAAGTATGTGGAGGCTGGCCTGAAGAACTTCAATTGGGATGGCTCCGAAGTCGATGTACAATGGGAACCGCGTTTTGGGAGTCGTGTCACCCGTGAGCTCGCCAAGTGGCTCACGGATGCTGGATTCCGACGCAAAACTGTTGCTGGAGGACTGGGAACGCTCCTTTTTGGGTATGCAACCCATACATCTTGGAATTATTGTGTGGCTGTGCTCCCATTCGCTTCAGAGGGGCTGACTATTCTCATGATTTAGGCAGAACTCCAACACAATTCCTGTCGTCAGTTGGATGCTGATGGAACTCAACAAGGACCCTGCGCTGTTGAAAGCGGTGCGTGAAGAGGTCGCTGGTGCTTTCGTGACGGACTCTAGCACCGGTGAACGCACACTCGATGTCCAGAAGGCAACTTCGCTCCCACTATTGCAATCCCTTTGGACCGAGATCTTGCGTTTCCGTGTATCCATGGTCATCATGCGAACCGTTGAAGAACCCATCTCCATTGGCGGGGTCAACATCGCCAAAGGATCACTAATACATGCGTATTCGCGAATATCACAAACTGACGAGGAGACCTGGGGAACATCACAGCACCCGGCTGATCAATTTTGGGCGGAGAGACACATCAACTTCGTTGAGGAGAAGGACTGGACGGGTCAACTCTGCAAGAGGCGTGAGTTCGCACTGGCTGCTAGCCCCGCCGGCTTCTTTCCATTTGGTACGGTGATCCTCCCTCCAGCACAAAGGACACTTTTCTAACGTGATCTTCAGGCGGTGGAGTTCCTATTTGCCCAGGGCGTCACTTCGCCAAGAGTGAGGTATTCGCCATGCTGGCAATCCTGGTTGACCGATTCGAGATGGAGTTTGTTAGTTGGACAAACTTTGACGGCTCGCCTTCTGATAGACCGGCCGAGAGTAACAAGCGTTTCTCCGGAATTGGGTCGCTTCCTCCTGATCGCGACATGATAGTACGTTGGAAGCGCATTTGGTAGAGAGTAGTTTGAGGTTTTTGAATACACAGGGAAAGATGGACCTATCTGAAGTAGAGAGGAGTGAAAACAGAGGGAGCACTGTTTAGGTGAGATAGTAATTGTTCTAGCTCCCTTGTTGAACTTTCTATGTCTCCTGTCCGCAGGGCTCACATTTGGACCACTTATTTGTAGGAATTGTACGTCAGTTGTCTGTTATGCTTTGAGGTTTCTATCACGGTTGCAGCCTTGGTGGATCATTCAGCTAAGACAACGACATCGTCACAATGCTGTGCCACTCCATCCCTACTTTAGGCTTTCTCTTATCTCCTGTAAGTTGCGTTTCTGTCGTTGCTGTTCATCAAAATTCTCATCCTCCAACCACTTTTCAAACGCGGCCTTGCACAATGGCCATTCGGAATCGAGAACACAGAAGAAAGCGGTGTCTCTGCTCCTCCCTTTATTGATCTGATCTTGTCTGAATGTCCCTTCATGCACAAATCCATATCTCTTTGCAGCATTTGTAGACTGCTTATTCAAGGAATTTGTTTTCCATCCTACTCTTCGATGGTTTCCCTTGAAGAGAAGATCGGTGACGAGATAGGGCACTTCCGTACCTGCCCTAGTCGCCTGTAAATCGGGACCGAAGAAGAGTCCAAGCTCGCCGATTCGATGGGAGTCGCGATGCTCGGATAGACCAAGCGCAAGGCCGACTCCTTTGCCTTGTTTAGGTCCGGAAACGAGAATGATGGTCCAAACCGTGAGGTCGTCTTTGAGAAACTCCATGAACTCGCTCAGCATCTTATCATGCTCCTCACGTGTTTCGTATGGCCCGTCAGGCCACCATGTCCAGAGATCTTGGTGAGATCCCATGTTCTCCCAAAGGTCAGGGAAATGGTCCTGCGCGAGGCGCTCTAGCCTCACATGCTTGCCAGTCACAACAGATGGAGGGAGGGTTGCAGGCTCGGTGTTGGACACGATAGGCGCAAGGGTGATAGGATTCGACATGCTGTGTCAATGGTAGAATGAGGTGTTCTCTCTAGGTTCGCAATATATTGACGTTGGAAGACGACGAATCCCTCACATTATATCGATCCTGAAAGGATGATAAGTTGTGATTGGGGTTGCATGAGACATAGAAAGCTTTACTCCTTTAAGACTAGTCAGGGGAATAGCACTTGCTTAGAGAAGAGCGGTGTGAACTCTATCTCAAGGTATGCCAATGAGAGAAATGGTTCCGGCCCTGTTGCATCAGATAGAAGCAATAATAGGAAACAAATCCGGAGGAGTCGGATGCAGATTCCCGAGCGAAAAAGCACGCCGCAAGGGACATTCCAACAGATAACAGATAAGAGCGGCATTAACCGTATATGGCTAGATTAGCCCCTCAATCTCCTGAAGATATATCTTTGTACATATCTTTGCACTCACCCAATATTGTTATGTACGAGATGCTGGAACATGAATTGCGCTTCTTTTCGTCACTGGGCACTGTGAGTGATCACTTGATCGTGCATCTTCACATCGAGTCCCTTTGCCACACAAGAGTGTTTGATGCGACCGCGCTTTCGATACTGCCCGCAGTATTGAGAACCGCGGACGAGCTCCAGGCCTCCAAAGCTGCCGCGCAACGTATGCCAAAGCTACACACTGTCGTACTTTCTGGTAGTCGAAGTAGTCATTCATGTTGTTTGAGTCAAGCTTTGAGAAGGCGGTCGTCAACGATGGAACACCGCCATGATTTGTCAGTCGGGTGTGGCGCATTACGGTCACGTGTTTGTTAACGCCTCCCTTCTTATCTCTTCATGTTGCTTCCAGAAACAGCCAGCAGAGCCTCGTAAGCTCGAATTTCTGATCAAGCAGATTGCGTCTTCATCAACGCCTGAAGGTAAGTTAAGGTATATAAGTCCAGCTTTGTTCATTCCAAGATTTCCTTTCATCATTCAAGATCAGAACATCAGATCCAGCTCTCAATCCTCAAAATTTCATCAATAAGTTTCAAACTACCAAAACAACTCCAAACAATCAATATGCCTTTCTTCCAACCAGCCTATCTCGGCCCGGAAGCTACCTTCTTCCACCAGCTCCTCTCCGAGCTGGATCAGCCTGCCCACAAAGGTGCCTGCCGTCCTCACCGACCAGCAGAAACATTCACACCTCGATTCGACGTCACCGAGACTGCTGAATCATATGAGCTTTACGGAGAACTCCCAGGTCTAAACCGAGAAGACCTCTCTATCGAATTCTCGGATGCGCAATCCCTCGTCATCAAGGGCAAGGCCCAACGAACATTCAACTCTGAGACTGCTCAACCAGAACAATCCACCACCAGCGAGAAAGGCAAAGAGAGAGAATCCGATGCTTCATCCGAGAAGAGCCACACTGCTACTGTAGAAGACGACTACGATGATGTCGACGCACCTGTCCCTACTCCAGCCACGACTTCGACCGTCGCTGCTAACGAGCAACCACAAACCACTGAGACGAGCGCACCACAGCCCAAATTCTGGGTCGCTGAGCGCAAAGTTGGAGAGTTTGCTAGAAGTTTCTCATTCTCTCAGAGAATCGAGCAGGACTTTGTCAGTGCTGACTTGAAGAATGGTATTCTTCATGTTGTGGTCCCAAAGAGTCAGAAACCCAAGAAGGTCAATGTCACTGTCAACTAAAAGGATTCGTCATGATGGGGAGTAAGGGATATATGGCGGCATTTGCATAATGGAGTTTTAGTCATGGATCTGTGTTTGATATAGCATAATATAAGTCATTCGTTATATATTCTTAATTCTGGTGAAGTGTTTGGAACGAATTTTATGTGAAACTTAAATATTTTCAATCTCACTAATTGGACTGTTGCCCGAGATTGAGGGCCAAAAGATTTTGCAGGGTCTATTCTTTTGGTTCTCACAGAGCGAAGTAATTTTCATGAATATTAGGTAACCTTTATATCAAATCAGTCACAGCTCACTGGTGGATAACTGTGATATGAATGACTAGACGGTCGTTAACTTGACGGTCTAGTTGTTTCCCCACCGGATGTTTGCTCTTCCCAACAGTGTACCTCGCGTGAGCAGCGCCGCGTTTGCTGCCACCACCCTAAGTAATTTTCCCTCGGAGTTAAACGCACTATAGTAGCCTCCGCGCATCCTGGCTTTTCTTAGAGCTTCATTCAACCTCACGTCTCTCCCAACGTCAGCATGGAGCAAATAACGCTAAGATGGAGGTTCATAAGCCCCATAACGAGAATTTCCTACATCTGGACCCCCTATTTGCTCTATTTCCTCTTCCGCTTCGCCCATTTTTTCCTCAAGGTACCCACGGTGCGCATGATCGAGTATGCGGCTTGCCACCAGCAGCTCGATCATGTCCAAAACGGTGAGTTCCCAATGCCTACCGACCTGGATGAGGCCACGTGTAAGACGCCGGCCGTGCAAGAACAAGTTGCGCAAATAGTGGGGTGGAAGATGAGCTTTGATTCTGTCCCAGGTGTGCTGAGCTTTCATCTGCTGTTGCCTGTCACCTCCTGGACAACGCCGTCAAATTCGATATTTATGCTAACGAGCAGGTTGATTAGCGGCCATCTACTTTGGAAGTATGGCTGATAGATATGGCCACCGTATGGTCCTGACATTGTGCTGCGTGGGATATCCTGTTTGCCTTGCTTTGGATATTGATGACATGTATGCTCAACCTAGAGTTCGGTATTAGTTCACTAAGACTCAAATATTTTAGGTTTCTTTTACTCTACTTTCCCCATCAGTGTCATTTGGCTCTCTTCTTTCTTTCTGTTCCTCGGCGGCGGGCCGCTTGTATTTGCTGCCATGACTGTTGCCCTCGCGGCACATTTGGTACCCCCCTCTTCCAGGTATTACCAAATGCTTTCAGATGCTTGATGTGTTTGAGTAACGATGCATTCAGGAATGTTATCTACTAGTGCTCGCCGCAATGCCGCTTTTTGCAAAACTCATCTCACCTCCTATCGCCACAATGCTGATGGCACGAAACACCTACCTTCCCTCCGTCGTGTCTGCCGTAATTGTAATATCCTGCATTATCTTTTCACGAGCTGTCAGAAACCTCGATCAGGTCCACACAGCTAAGCCAACGGGGCCCGAACATGCTAGAGAACCTCTTTTAAACCATCACGAGGACAGAGCAAGCTCGGATCACCGATCCTCATCCGAAAGCTCCAACGACCCAATGCCAGCCCCAGACACCGCACCAAGCTATCAAGCATCTACAGCACCTATCCGCGCTCTCCTGCTCCGCACACTCGATCAATGCAGAATCTTCTTCAACCGGGAACACCGCTCCCCTCACTTCGTATTCGGCGCCCTAGCCTTCTCCTCAAGAGCAACGCCATGGCTCGCGAAATATTCGTCTTCCAATACCTCTCTGAGAAGTTCCACTGGGCGCTCAAGGACACCACCGTTCTCCGCCTCGCGCTCTCGCTCGGCGCCGTCCTCACCACGCTCCTCCTCAGGCCTGTAGCAACAGCTATGCTCATTCGTCAAAGCGTAGCGACCACGACAATCGATCTGGGCACCATCCGCATATCGCTTCTGGTCTTGGTGGTGTGCTTCGTCGTTGCGTGGGCGGGCTGGTTCGGATGAAATTTTTTATCCTCTGTTCGCTCTTCATCAATGGATCTCTTCGCGGCATGATGGATAGATAGCTGACTTGCCGCAGCAATGGTCGGAGCTGGATTTGGCGAGGGTCTCGAACCCGCGCTGCAAGGTCTCCTCTCGGCCTCGGTGAGCACAGAAGAGATCGGCCGTTTGTTCGCGCTCATGTACACGTGCAGTCTGCTGGGCGACATGATCTGCGGCCCGCTTATGTCCGCATTAATGTCTATCGGGAGAGGCGAAAATAGTGCGTCAGATGGATACTTCTTTCTAGCATCGGCAGTGAGTCCCCTCTGTAATGACCACACGGCTAAACTGACTGCTGTTTGCTAGATCCATTTCGGAGCTATGAGTGTATTGGTCTGCACTTTCCGACCCTTAAAACGCAGAGAAGGTGTAGACACAGAGAATCAAAGTCGAGGCAACATGTATGCTTGAGATTCAACGAACAGAATAAAATCATGATCGTAACAACTAACTGTCTAAGACTCCAAAGCACAGTATCTCTTTTGGGATAATAACTGGAATTTCCTTGGTCTCCATAAACCCCACGTCTCCAATCCTGTACAAACGTGCAACAATATGCAACCTTCCGACGGCGTGCTTATCCATAGTCCATAGTTTGTAGCCTGACCAGGTCTACCTCACCATCGGCATCACACTAGTACCAAGCATGTCGTTCGCAAACGGGTCGGCTGAGATCAAGGGTCCCGGCTGGACAGAGGCATGGGCATCGATCATGGAAGGTAACTGGAAGTCGAAGTCGAAGTCGTCGTAGCCAAAAGAGGGCTGCTCATGACTGGGTTGTATCTGTGCATTCGGGACGCGCAGCTCTACATCGAACTGTCATTCAAGTTAGCATCCAGCCATACCCTTACCCATACCTCCATACATACCCCGAACCCCTGTCGACGGCTGCATCACCATTGGCCCGCGAAGTGGCTTCTCGTACCTGCCTGCTCGTGCCCTGTCCGCAGCAGTATTTATCCAATGAAGACGCTGCTTCCTCGACGGCGAGAGAAGCTCATCCAACGCTCTCCTCTCTCTCTCTCTCTCCTGAGCATAAAGAGTCAGCCTGCTGTGCTGTGCTGTATGTTATTTTCATTTTATTTTCTCGCAAGGCGAACACAATTTTTCTGAATTCCCCAAGTGCTGTACTGTAGCCCCGCCTCGTTAGGGCGTCATCATCGATTCATTCCGCTACGACCTACCTTTCCGCCTCATACGCAACACTTACTGGCGCCGCAAGAAGTGTTGGCATTTCCCCTCTACCCTCCATTGGAGGGAAATTTGCGTCTTGCAACCGCCGCGGCAGATCTCCCGCGTATTGCGGACCTGAGCGTCTTGGGCTTCAGAGACTCGGAGATCTTCCGCTTTGAGAGGCCTCGCTATCAGGAATTTCCTCAAGATGCCGTCGCAGCCTTCTCCAACATATACCGCACTCAGCTCTTGGATCCTCTTGCCATTGTCGTCGTCGTCGAGGACTTGCGGTTGCCCGAGGACGAGACCGGCGCGACTCGCCAAACGGAACGGGTAGTGGTTGGAGTGGCCAGCTGGGATCTACCTGAAGACTCACCGCGGAAGGGCCGGGCCAGTTCGTCGTGCCTAATGTGGATGACCCCTTACCTCAGCCTGATCGCGATCTCTGCCAACGTCGATGGGAGCTCTTTACTCGATTTAGTAAGGCTACAGAGAAGAAGTAAGTTTGGTTGTCCCTTCATTCTGTAGATGTGTGAACATAAGGCAAATGTCACCTAGCATCAGTTGTTTAACATCAGTCCTTTAATGTTAGTTTTACATCCGAGATGTTTTAGGAGACTTGTACCAACTCTAGCTTATCTTTCACAATGCAGATACCTTACAGGAAACAGTATCTGCGATAAGCTGGTCGTCCATCCACTATACCAACGTCGTGGCCACGCCACATCCATGCTGCAATGGTTTCTTGTGCTTTCGAGACATGATAAAATCGACGCAGGGGTTATACCTTCGCATATGGGCGAGCTATTGTATCTGGCCTTGGGTTACGAAAAGATCGATGAAGTTCCGGTCCCGGACGATGGCGACACCCAGGGTTTCTCTCAACGGGTCTTGTTGTTCCACGCAACCGCTAATAAGTAGCCTGAATGGGGCCTGAGAATGGAGATACTAGACTAGTAAGCACAAATTGAATGAGCAAGACTTTTCGCACTTCATGACCATCTGCTTTACGTCGTGCCAATCATCTGCAAGAGATAACTAAATGGACCTTCTTTCAACCAGTGCAAATTAGCCACGGAGTGGCCAGTTGTACACAGCCAATAGTCCCGAGCGGCCCCTTTCCGGCTATTGATATCTTGCCAACTAGAATGATACTGCATCAAGACCAACCCAAGAACCTCACCCTCCAACCACAGTAGCAGTACCAATCCATACAAAGATCATAGCACGGAGCTTAACATTTAACTACGCAGTCCCATAACCATAGCCATGGATAAGGATCTAGTATCGCTGGCTGAAGACCTCTTATCAAAAGTCAAATCGTTCACCAACGACGGAAACTCCAACTCCAGCTCTCCAAGATCACAATCCGAAATATTCCATCTTCGTGAAGATATAAGAGCCACCGCAACACTGATAACACATACGATCGACGGCCCTGAACAGTCCATGAAGGCAATAGCCAGAGGAGTGCGCACCCTTATTTCCTCCTCCCCTCCCCTCCCCTTCCCTACTGCGCGGCTATTGAACAAAAGCATCATCTAGTTCACGACCTGTAGTGCCCTGAAAGTCTGCGCAGATCTGAAGCTGGCAGAGCACCTCCTCCCCCACACCGACGGGCTCTCACTCGAAAAGATCGCCCGCTCCACTGGCTGCGACGCACGAGTGCTACCAAACGGCCGACCAAAAATGGCACCACACCTCCCTTTCAGCAACGATGACCCAGCCCCCGTTCCACGTCTGGATGATATCCGTGTTTGTCCCCCCTCCCGCTCCAAGCCCCATCCCCTTTCCGAATAAACCAGTCTAGAAGAAAAATACTATTCCGTATCCCACCTCCCCCGCTTTCTCGCCCAAGCATTCTACCGCGTTCCCGCCGGCACCACCAGCCCCTTTAGGATTCTCTACTCGACTCCACTCCATTTCTATACCCACAGCTCCATCCACCTTCCCACAACAGCGCTAAACTTCGCACTATCTATCCATGTCCGAGCTTGCTTCTCACCCAACTCCCGTTCCTCGACGTCGCAAATCCCCTACACGACCTCTCCCAAAACGGACACTTCGTCGACGTCGCCGGCGGGTTAGGGAATCTGACGTATTTTCTCGCGGAGAGATTCTTTTTTTTCTACGTTCGAAGTGTAAAATTATTTAATTATTTGTTTTTTTAAAAAAACTTATTTAATAATTAAACAGAAATATAATTAAATATATTATCGATCGTTTTAATCACTGTGACGGACCAGATCAGGTTGAGATGCAAAAAGTAATCTATTCTTAGAATACTAAGGTGAAGAGCTCGGAAAAGCTTTAAACCGAGCTTATATACAGGAGTACGATCACGTGCTAGTGCACGTGATGGTTTCAGCATGGTCGCAGAACTGGATCTGTGATAATCACGTTATTAATTCTTGTTTTCGCTATTTTTCTTTATTTAATCGCGATTTTTAAAGTTTTTTTTTTTAAATTCGAAATATTTTAAAAAAAAGTTTTATTACGAAATATTATAATTTTAAATTTTAAAAACATTTTTAAAAGAAAAGAACATAGTCCGAAAGTTACGTCAATGCTGTCAGGGGTTGAACCCCATAATGCTTCGGCTACGCCTCGCTTAAGCACCAGCCTCCTTATTTTCTTTACGAGTTGCAATCTCCGATCTAAGACTTTAATCTTATGGTAATTAGCTTATGCCGAGGCTTCTACGAAGTCTCTGATCCTATGTATATAAAGCCTTAGTTAGCTACCTTTTAGTTCTTCATCGAATTCAACGACAGTTTTACCCACTGCCTACGTCTTAAGTGTTCCCTCTTGGCGTAGCCCCTTACAAATGCAACGAGAAAGTTCACATATTTCAATGCTTAATAATATATATTAACCGAGATATAATTTACTATATTCAAGCTTAAGCTCGCTATAATTTGCTTTCGAAATTAGTTGTAAGTTAAAATACGTTAATACACTGTACGTAGAGGAGATTGAGTAATAATTGTTTGGATGGAAAATATACAGTTATTTCTCATAGTTGAATTGGAAAGCTTTTTGCATTCTTGTGACTTAACGGCTCTGCGTTGGTTTGTTGGATGGCTACGTCACGTGTCTAGCCAACACCATGTCCCACGTCATCCGTCATCCGTCAACTTCACACTTTGTCCTTCAACTCCAGAGTCATCTATCAAACGCAACACAACACGCGATGCAATCATCGTCGGACGAGCCCAAAACCTTTACACTCTTTCCCAAGCTTCCTCCGGAACTGCAGGAAGCAATCTGGGCTCGCACAATCAACTGGGAACCTCACGTCCTCCCTCGCCCTCCCATTCCCGAGCTCTCGGTCTGTCGTCAAGCACGAGAAGTGCTTCTGAAGATATATAGACCATGCTTTCATTTGGATCCCGGCGAACAGAGAAATGATCTCCAGTTCACTGGCAGAGATGGCCGGGGCCCCGAAGTTCGATACCTCACAATCAGAGGGATGGGAACCCCGTTCCCAAGGTCACCATACGCAAATTACTCGACCGATATCTTGCATCTTACCATCAATTTCATATCTCAAGCGCATAAAGAAGGCTCGTGCCAGATATTTCTGTTCCAAGAAGCGATCGACAACATCCAGAATCTGGTTACACATGGCGCAATGTCTGGCCACTTAGCGTGTACAGACATGAAGGGCCAGCTAGGCTCCATGGAATGCCGCCACGGCCACCTCTAGTAGACCTGAAGCTGGTTATCACCCATTTCGGCGCATTGAAAGTGCTTTATATTGCCGAAGAACCGAAGGTGCAAGTTGATTTCCCACCTTCCGACGAAGATTTGAGCTTCACTACTATGATCGCTCGCTTCCAAGCAAAAGATCCTGATGACGAGCTCATGGCCCCTGCCTTGAAAGCTGTGTATGCGGAAAAGAAAATATTGATACCACAAGGTGAATCTTACCAGAATCCACACGATTCGCGCAAAATGACTCTTGCCAAGCGGTGGATGGAGCATCAGTCAACCGCATTCCCGGATTGGAAAGCTCCTGACTTGCAGTTTGCGAAGCTTATTCCTGATCCGAGAGGCTGATAGGACATACTGCCGGTATGGAAGCGATGCATCTATGCCTTCAACGCCGTGGGCTGTCATCTGTATTTCCGGGATTTTTGAGCATCCGAGACGATGCAGTGTCACTTGGCTGGGTTGGAGACTGCAGGCCAGTGTTTGTAAGGCATGCAAGGACCACTGGTGACTGGCTTCGGGGTGTTGAAGAAGAAGATGTTCGTGCCGCATCGGCAACTAAAATGAAAATAGATAGGAATTTTAGAGTGCTTATGGATTTTATGTCGCTTGAACTCGAAGTATCTACGATTTGTCTCATTACGGGGAGGGGTCTCGGGACGCAGGGATAGACGTTATAAAACAAAGTTTCACACAGTAGAAGTGCAGAGTACATGTAGCAATACTTGGGCGCATCAAAGATTTAACAGCTTCATAGAAGAGGAGTCATAAGGTCATTGCTAAGCATGGATCACCAACTAGATATCTCTTCCAATGTGAAAATACAGCCTGTGGCTAGCCATCGACGAGAAATCTCAAGCCTTCAATTTCAATTCATCACCCCAGCCTTCAGGCCCGCCACCCTCACCAAGAAGTATAGTCCACTTCACCAACTCGTCATCCATTTCCTCAGGAATGCCTCCCGGTCCGCCACCGAAAATGGCCTTTCTCAATATTTCTATCTCATCTGTCAACTTGTTTGCGAGCAGAAACTCAACCGTCTTGATGTATGCACTATCAAGCGAACCCGAGATCCACGCGTGGTGCGAGCTCAATGCCTCGCCGCACATGGCGAACTTATTCTGGCAGTATAACAGCTGGAACTGTGGGTAGACATTCTTGAACTGACCGGGGCCGAACAGTGCATATGCACCACCGGTCCAAGGGTCATTCTCCCACCCCCAAGCGTGGTGGGACTCATACAAGCCAACGAGAGTCTCGAAGCTCGGCCGAGGAGAGCGATCAGACCACAACTTGACCAGGTTCTCGAGGCAGAGTTGCACAATGGGATCCTCCACAGACGGCTTGCGAAGAGGATCGTAGTCCTGCACCAAGGAGGCCATACGAGTAGCGTCCTGAGCCCATGTGTACGAGACTATCATCACAGTGGGATAGTCATGACCATCGTTCCAGGAGGGATAGACCGTAGTCCTGATTGGCAGATCGCTACTGGAGTAACCGCCATACTGATCCACATCAGAGGGATTCCACCAAGCTTCCGAGAACTTGATAGCAACTTTTGTCGCGCGGTCATAGCTTAGTGAGCGAATACCCGTTAGGATATTGTCAGGGAGCTGTAGGCCCTGGAGGTCCATTTGCTGAAGAGGCGCCATAGCGGTGGTGTTGAAAACAAAATCGTACTTTGCAGGAGCTTTGTCAGCGACAGTAACGCTGATCTTCTTCGCCACATTGTCGTTCGACAAGGCTACCACACGAGAATTGGTTGTCACGGTAATTGGCTTGGAATCCACGCGCGGCCAGGATACATCGGCCAATTTGGACTGCATGGCATCTGCCATAAGTTGGCAGCCGCCTTCGACCCGCCACCATTGGTCCTTGGAGGCATTCTGAAAATCGGTATAGTCGATAACAGTCTCTGTGAAAGATTGATCAAATAAACCTGTCGACCTAAAAGGAGGTGAGCAGCTTATAAAGAATGCACAAGGGAACCCTACGTGTCATAGAGCTCAGCGTGGGCGGTTTGATCGTATGACCATCTTTTTGGAACAGTGTCAGATGGACCACATCTCAATGTCTCGCAGCAGAACTTACGGAGGAGACGGAGCACCCTGATCCTTCGGTCCTGCCATGAGGAAGGCTCTCGTGGAGAAGTTGTCCTTGTCCGTGGTCAACCACTTCGTGAAGGCAAGTTGGAAGTTGTTCGCAAAATCGCTAACGATGGGTTCCATGAAATCATCGAATTCATCATCCCTGTAAACAGTAAGCTGGGGATGACTATATTGGAGTTATCAAGCTCATGGACTCACTCTACCGGCTCGTGTCGGTACCAATAAGACACGGGTGGGGGTGGGATCGTTTCGGGGTTCTTGTATATGTAGGGTTGCACATCAAGGCCTAGATAATGCATGAGTCGAAGGGTTCTGCGCGAAGTTAGACTAGGCTTCAAGATATATAATAACGGCGTCAACGACTCACGGCTGCATCCATGGGATTTCTGGAACTCTCATGGCTCCCACATCGTAGTAGTTGTGTCTGGTATCACCCGTGAAATGGTGAGTGTATAGGCGGCCGCCAACCCGATTGTTGCCTTCGAGGATGTCGATGTCAGTAATTCCGACGTATTTTAGCAGCATTCCAATGAAGAGGCCAGTAACGCCGGCTCCAATTATGCAGACCTTGCCGGTGTAAGGTTCGGCTTGGATGTTTTTGGGAAGCTTGGGAGCCGCGGGGAGAGTGTTATGGTGGCCCGGGCTAGCTTTATTCAGCTTTTGAGGAGGTGCTCATGCAAAATATGCTTGGAGTATGCGGCACGAAGTGATGAGCGCTGAGTGGTCGGGTTGAGGGTGACTTGGGTGGCAGACATGTTGAGGCTGGGTTTGTGGGTAGTGAGTTGTAAAGTTGGTTATCTGTGACACAATTCAAGTCGAGGTGCTTTTGAGATTGATTGAGTTGCGGTCTCAATCTCGCTCAAACAATTACTTATGTAGACGTTTCCCAACCCGCATCATATCGATCTCGTGGAAGAGAAAGTCCGTTCAGATACCAACGAAAACAACGAAAGCGGGGAACCCAAAGGCTGGCTGAGAAAATCACGCAACTGATCGCAAATTACTTTTTTGAGGTCTATCAAAGTACCCTCGGCGTCCAGTAGTTTCAATTTCAGTGTTTTCTTGCTAGTCAGATGCGAGCCATCGATCGAGCACGCGGGAGGAAGTGCTTCCACATTGCTTTTTGGAAGTCTATAATATATACCTTGGGGTCTAACTGGTTCTAAGCCAAATGATCTGTCAGTTTAATGCGGGGGGTACGGAGTACAGCATGACCTGGAAGAAACGAGACAGCTGGTTGTGATCACCTAGCCCTGCATTGCCACAATTTTGTGGAGGCGAGTCTTTTTGCCTGTGTCCGATCTTCTCAGAACTCTGTGGGAAGAACAGCAGGACACTTCATGACACCTCCCTCATAATTGAATAAGAAGCTGCGGTAGAGTCTTTTCCAGAGGAAAAAGGCGGACATGCTTAACCAACAATGTTTCAATTAATCTCGGGCCGTATGCTGGCAGTAAATAATCAAAGATACCCTGAAGAGAAGTGTCTCTAATACTGGTGGCCTTAGTTGCAAGATAACTGGTCGGGACTTGCTGACACGGCTCGGCATGGTGGGCTGAGACCGCAGCCTGCAGTAGATGCCCGAGACCACAGATTGCTTGCAGTAGACGCCCGAGACAGTAGAGCAAGATACTTGTGCAACCCCAGATTCAGCTCACCACGATGCCTGACCGGCCCTCAATCTGCAAGATCCTCACTGCTCTGAAAGATCGCGGCCCCGCGACCGAAGTGGGCGCACACAGTACAGGAAGAGCGTCGCTATATCTAGAGACTCGCATCTATGTTTTAGAATTTTAAACTCTCATTGCATCAGTGTATGCAGCCACAGGCGGGAACATCTACAATAGCGAGCTAAACCTGTCCCGCTTTTATCCCGTCACGGCACGTGCCGAACCTTACTGGATAATACGTAAAATCAAGAGTCCTGTGGGGGCAGGGCATAGGATCCTACATGAAACAAGCACTTTATACAACCTGGAAGATCATCAAACAAGCAGTAGGAAACACGTGCAGGAAATAAAGTAGTTGGGAAAGCAAGAAAGCGTACTATTAGAAGTAAAAAAGAAGATGTCTAGCTAGTCCTAGCGAGAAGAGAGTTCTATATGAGAGCACTAAGTTAGCTGACTCGTGTCTGAAACCCACGACTCAGGCTGAAGCAGCAGCCGCTCAGACCCAAAGGCTGAATTGGAAAATGCCCATGTTGACATTCCATTGTGTGAATTGCTGATACCAATCCTTGAATTTTTTTGACTGCAGAAACACATGCCAAGGAAAGAAGTCAATCCCCAGTCAAGAACATTGTCTCTTCAACACCTTTCGGTCTAGCCTGGATTCTCAAACAAAAATTTTCAGAACCGAGTTCCTTCAAATTGTAACATTGCGCTCGCGATCAGCCCGTATTCGATTATGTTTTCACGCCTTGGAGATTGCCAGCGCTATAAACAACAGAACGACAATGACAACCCCGATGACGACGATGATTATGAGCCATATATGTCTGGATGAAGCGAGACGCGTAGTGGAAGGATTGACGATGGCCACCATGTTGACAACGGATGTTTCAATATCAAGGGTCGGAGGTGTGACACAATTTGGAGTCTAGTGCTGTTGCACCCCGTTCATCGGAATCCAATTCCATGGAATTTCACCCAGTCTATGGTATCCTTAGACATTTATCGGGGATTTTCTATGGAATTTTAACCCCTCTTTTACTTAATGAAATATTTGTAATTTCGCATGTTTTTTATAATTTAATATTTAGTAATTAATTATTAGGTATTAAGCTTGAATGACACGCAATGAGTTATAATTTAGACTTATATTCGTGGAGAAAAGTTTTTTTTTTTAAAAAAAAAAAGGGGGTGGCAATGCCGAATCGGGAAAAGTGAGGAGATTCGGCACTTTTTGGGCACTTTTTGGCTTATAAAAATTCCATGGAAAATCCCCGATGAATTTCTCCTAGTTCTATGGAAATGGAAGGATTCTATGGAATTGGAAAGAATTCCGATGAAAATCAGTATCCGATGAACGGGGTGCAACAGTGCAACACTAATCGTTGTTCCCTTCTGCAGTGAACTGACCGAGAAGAGGTAAAGCAACAAGAGAATAGTGAGATGATAAGATCGAGGATCAAACATTCAGTAATTTGCGTCTTGGGTATCGACAATTTGTGCATTCAAGGTAGAATTGAAAATTCTTAAACAGCCATAGATTCATGAAGCTTGTTGCAAGACTCGAAGTTCTTATATTCTCTTTCACACTGTGATTCAGTATTCCATTCCATCGAGAGTGATTCAACTTGCTGATCTGTTTTTCGATTCCTATCACATCTCAAGAGTCCTCGGCGAAGTATTTACGCACTGTAAATCATTATGAAGAGGAACATCACTACTGTCTCCTCCGTCCTTGTTACTCAGCCGAGCACTGGTGTTTCACTGTTACGATTCACTTTATGAAGGTCAAGTTGATTACCGAGCATGATTTAAATGACCCATGGACCAGCCAGGTCTTTGTCTGAAAGGTCCGTTTAAATCCTCCAGGCAAAGTGTACCGATCTAATTATACTTGTTCCGGGTAATTATAGAGAATTTACTCAACGCATACAAAGGTGAAGTTGATCTAGAAACTTTTGATGGTCACTAGCAGTGCTGATCATGAGTGCCGCAGACTTTTCGATCTAAAAAGCATCTGATAAGCCTTGATTCTGACATACAAGAATACCAACACTGAAGCACCATCCCACCCGAAAGTCACACCTTCCCCTCCATTAATTATGATATTCAAGTCTTAGGTCCAGCCCAAGAATTTAACCCAGACTTCCTGATTTGTAGCATTTCACCGACCCAGTGATTGATTATGTTTTCTTGCATACCCATATGCAGCGGCTGCGACCACGCAAGCTGCAACCACAATAATGATAATCCACATCTCGGTAGAAGTCATGCTTCTTTTGTCTAGTCGCACAGTATCGATGACGAATAAGTTGAGAATTAAATTGCGGAAATCGAGCCTCGAAGAATGTGTAGAGCTCAGTTTCGTAGTTTTTAGTGTCACCGTAGGTGAGAGTCAATTGACCGTGAAGAATGAGATGATTGGCGATGAATTCGATGGCCAAAGAATAGTGGACTCGTGTCTTGAATTTTGATTTTGTGTTGTGGTTGTGGTAGAGAGTAAGTAAATGTGGCTGATTCAGTACGACTTTCTCCAGGACTCGAAGTTCTCTATATCTTCTATAATATTACCGTGATTCACTAATGTCTGCCCGTGGCTGTAAAATCCAATTTCTGACCCTCTCTGCCAAGTTCAGTCATTTATTACGCCTTTAAATAAGGCATGATTCAAGATCGGAGATACTTCATGATTCATATTGTTGCTTCTTCAATCTGCAATCTTTCAACAATGCCATGACAGCAGTTGCTAAGCGCTAGTACCTAGGATGAGTATTTCAATAGATTTCAGTCAATTACTGGCTAATTCGACTTAAGAAGTCAGTTTGTGGAGTTTAGACGCTATCCATTGACCTTCACTATTGTCTTTTCCTCGGTTTTGATGCAAAGAATTCTCCCGCAAAAGTAAAAATTGATTAGCATTATTCAATGCGGTCTGTGGACCAATTATTTGGGTGAATGATAAGTCTAGCAGGAGAAAGGGGCACAAGAAACGAAAGTTATTCTTCTTAGCCACCCAAAGACTGTTGCGGCTGAAAGAAATACATTGAACCTGCAAAATAAAACACTTGTCATCCATTACTAACACGCTGGCCCCACATCCTACGCCTCGTAGAGAGCCAAGTATTGTTACTTTGTATCTTCTGCAGCGTACCTTGGAATCGAGGTAAATGATAGTCGACGTGATCAGAAACCCGATTGGTATTTTCACCTGCACCCGAAGGAAGCCTCAAGAAGTGTTGCCAATATCTATGAGCTTCAATGACATAGGAGAATCTTGAGGTTCCATCTTATTTTCTCGTAAGTAGGATGCAGAGATTATACTTTTTATGGCCATACGACGAGCTTTACGGGTCAAGTGGAGCATCTGATGCTAATCCAGGAGACGCGTTTCGGCGTGGGAGTCTGATGTAGGTTATGCACAGTCAGGACCCTGTATCGAAGCAAAAACCAAATTTCTCCAAACCATTCTCGACGACGCCTTCTCAGCCCAAGCTGTACCAACATTCAACGACTGCTACCCTGATGGATTCGAATTCTTCTATCCTACAGCAATATTTCGTGCCACGACATCAAGCCCTTCTGGAAATGCGACACGTTGCAGTGAGACAATAGAGGATGACTTGGAGGCCTGGGCGTAGGGTCTCAGAGATTACACCAATGGGGAGATTCAACATCTTGACGAGTCGCTTCGGCATTTACTCCAAATCATACAGATGGAGGGTCCTTTTGTTGGTATTGTCGGCTTCTCAACGGGATCCACTATGGCGCTAATTTTGATGTCCCTGGCGGAGCGAGGAGCCTCAGCACAACTATTACGCGACTGCAATCTCGATCCTCACGTATGTCAGATACATTCATTCACAAGAGCGAGGGCTTATAGTCTCAAGTACTGTGTGCTAACTCGGTAAAAGCTTCTACCTCAATTCCCTTTTCAATTCGGACTCTGCTTCAGCGGATGTATATTGTCGCATCCTCGATACAAGGAGATCTTCTTCCCCAAAATAGTGACACCAATCTTGCATTTCATAGGAGATTACGATACATATCTCCCACGGCTTGAGATGTTGAAGTTTTCAAGGAGATGTAAGAACAGTGTCACCGTATATCACCCTGGTGGGCATTTTGTACCGAGATCTCGACCCTGCCGAGAAGCTATACGAGCTTTTGTCACGGAGCAGATGAGAAAGCATATGCACCGGAGTTAATTGTATACTATGTTCAGATACACCACGAACCTGGGGCACGGACTTCTGTCTAGTGCCCCCCCTAAAATGCTCAAGCGAGCCCCTAAATTTAGCGAACTCTTACTTCAACCTCATGCTCATCTATAGCCCTTGCCTCTCACATGCTTACGTCCGCCAAGAATAATCTAACAATAGAGCTAATGAAAATGAGATAAAATCCCATGTCCCCACACATGATGTTCCTCGTAGATGACAAATGATTTGTCATGTTCATGATTAAGAGATCCAACGTAAGCAGAACCGAAGAGCTCACTGTCAAACTTGACCTTCCTGATCGGCATTGCCGGCTGTAGGTTGTCCGCATGTCGGAATACTTCTTTCGGCCCGAAAGCCGACGCAGCTTTTGGAGTCAACATGCACTGTTCGTATCAACCCAGTCACGCAGCACACTCAATTGAGCATTAAGCCGAATCTCACGAGAAATGCTTGGGCAAAATAGTACTAGTTCTATGAAAGACCATTATTCCTTCCTTCGATTATCACTGCTTCCTGATTCACACTGTGCGGGATCACACCGATTCATAAAGATAGCTCTTTTGACGACAGCTCCATTCGTTCAAATTATCCCGACCCACTCCTTGATATACTCCAACTGAATAGCTCGCATCTACCCGGATACCAGTCAGTTTCTGCAAAACTCCCTGTAGGTAGATCCACTTACTTCATCAAGCGCTGGTCTCAGCCCATTTGGGATCTTTGCCTGTGAAATAATACTTTCACCGTGTGCCATCCCTGTACCTAGGAAAAAGCGCGACTGGTTACGATTGCTTGTCGGCGGGGATAGAATGGGAGTGCCAATTGCTGTTGTTCGGTCGAATGAACCCTAAACAATCAGCAGATGTTCTATATGGTCAAGGTCATAATCCGTGAGTCTATTCAGCTCTCTAAATTCCTGGCTGGTCTTGTTGTAGTAAGGACCAACCCAGTCGGGATGCGCCTCGACATCGCATCCAGAGAACAGTGGATAGGGCGGAAATAAGCTGTTGTCGTCGCTCACGGCCAGCTCTGTGATTGGACAGTACTGGCAAACTAGGTAATCGAAAGCTGCCCCTTCAAGCCCACTGGAATAGGAGACTAATTTTCCCAGTCCGCACAGCCCGTACCATTGTAAATACTATTACCCATTAGGATAGGAGCGCGGAGGAGCTCGCCTGTCGAATTGGCTGCGAGTGTCTGGTTGATGACAACCTCCAAGGCTAGGGCAATTTCGATTATTTCGGTTTTGGTGGGAAAATTAAACTGCGCAAACTCGTCGTACTGCTGAACGAGCACAACATTCAAAATATTTGACCAGTCTAAATTGCTGGATGAGGTCTGGAATGGCCTGCGAGCAGTTTGATGCTGTATTTGTCAGTATAGTTTCATAGTAACGGTTCCATCACCATCAGCTTTACCTGACATATACATTTTGAGCTCGTTCAATGCATCCTTGATTCTCAACGCGGCAGCGTAGTTTGCATCGTAGTACACATTCGAGACCCAGTCACTGGCTCCGTACCTGAATGGATTGTCTTCCAAAGTGAGACTTAGGCCCCAGCTTGTAAGGCCAGGGGACCCCGAAATACCGCCATAGAATGTATCAGAGTGTTGGACAAGAGCGATAGCTGTAAGGAAGCCACCGTATGAGCCTGAGAGACACACAGTCAGCATGTATTGCATGTACAGTATCCTGCCTTAAGTGGACCTCCTTACCACCTGTGTATATGACTTTGCTGTTTTCAGCACCTGGCGTAGTCTGCCGGATCCAGTTCACGAATTCGATACTATCTTGCATGACATTGCCAAGAGTAAGCGGCGCATATGCCTCCGTGGTAACATTGTTGTAGGCCGAACCCGCAGGGAAGCTGGTTCCAAAGAACCGATGCTCGAGAGTTGCCACCAAAGCCCCAAGTTCTGGCGCGTAGTCCGTGAAGACACTACTATTGAGGGGTACCAGTGGTCCTTCCTCGCTCTGGTGGAATAAAATTGGTCCACCAGGCTTGAAGAATGCTGTATTAATCTGATATTGTTGTTGGAAGGTAGTGTTGTCATTTGAGCCATGGTTGAGCTTTTGGGTGAAGTTTTGCTTCGGTGGGTTATATAGCGATGGGCCCAAGTCCTGGGCGATTGTACTGCCTGCAAAACCCACAATTGTGATGACCGACCAACTGAAGTATTTCATGATGTCAAATGAAAAGAACTCAGAGAATAATAAATAGCGATGTTGGAAAAGAGTTTGGACGAAAGATATCGAGGAACCCGAAGACTCAATGATGAAGCGTGCAGATGAGGAAAAACCAAATGCGTTATCCAGATCATTTATCTCGTAGTGAACCTACTCTCCACATCCAAAATTATCATTGTGTAGTGCTGAACACGAGACCTCTCAGTAGAGGGGCTGAATTCGTCGTATGTCAGAATTATGGCTGTAGCCCTCTTCGGTACGATTGCGATTTAATGATATTCTTCAGCATCTCTAAGCCCTAATCCGAGCCCTGGAATTGTAGCAATGCGATTTTGTGTAACATATTTCGAGGCAAAGGCTGAAGGGAAAAGTGTAGGTCAGGTCTTACTTCGATCGCAAGGAGAGGGCTCGGTGTGCTTGAAGCTACGCGAATATGTAGTGACTACTAAGATGCTGTCCGTTTCAGGAGAGGTTGCGACGTCTGACAAAGGCTTGCAGGCTGATCGACCCTTGGTTGGAACTGCGAAATCAATTACAAAAATACGGACAGTGAATGTTTGAGGAAATTGCCGGAATGAGTATAACTTCATCCAACCTCGCTTTCTGATCGCAACTCAGTAGCAGTTGTCCTTACCGTGGCGAGTGTGAATCGTGCAATAAAAAGTCACCCAACACTTCAAGTATTCCAAGCTTATTATGATTCATCATCTGCGAGCTGCGCAAGGATCCTGAAAGCAAATCAACAGTGTATAGCATATCCTTTTACAGGGGTTCTTTGCGCTGAGGAATTTTTCTACGTAAAGTTATTTTTCGCCCATTCATACTAGCTGTGGATGGGATACTCTTCTCACTTGAGCCAAATAGATCCTGCGTATCTTCCTCATTACTCTCCTCAGACTTTGCCACTTCTTGATTGCATCCACCAAGCCTCACGCTCCCGGCATACATCACATACGTATCAGCATTCGTAGCCATCTGGGCAGCCGAGAGCTTTCTCGCCGCTGTGGGCCCATACGCATACTCATCCGTCCCGTATAAAAGCGTCATCTCATGATGTTACTTTCCGATGTAGATATCCTTAATTGGATGAGCGATGTCATCTATTCATATTGCCACATAAGAATTCCAGGTGGGTCAGATCAGCATCCCTCTAGGCACGCCGGCAAGGAACTACCGCAGGGCAATGTTTGAATAATTTCGGCAGCTACTTGGCTGTCTTTGCCCTCTTGGTACTCTCCTGACATGGAAATGTGAGAACGTGAGTTGTGGTACTGTTCGGAAAACCATTAGGGCCGATATTTTAAGCCTCAGTCGTCTCAGCCCAAACTGCCCAAATTGCGATATCTTGCGACGAAAGGCAATTTGATAGGAAAAAAAAGGATCGATGCTCCTCTTCTTCAGGACCACCATTGGGACAAGTGAAGATCAGCTATGTAAACGATAACTAATCTTCTCTTGCTTTGGACTCTTCTACCTCCATCCCACCTCTCGCTTCATACTCCCTCCAAACTTTCCAAACCTCATCACCAACCTCAATCAAACATTTCCCATCCTGGATGATCACTTTCTTGTCACCATTCACAGTCTCAGGCGGCACTCTCACGTAATGATTTGCAGCTTCGCTGACCAAAAACTTCCTTTCATCTATAACTACTACTTCAGTGTAATAGTCTTGTACCCATTTTGGAGTTGGAGATGGATTATCTGATGATGGCTGACGGCGGAGGATCGCTGCTGCTCCGGAGAAGTGGTGGAGTTGTATTTCAAGGTCTGAGGATGCGGAAGGGGTCGTGTATGTTAGGGGACCGTGTATCTGAAGTGACAAGTCAGTCTCAAGTACTGAGGTGAGAAGCTAGGTAAGCGTGGCAGGTAAGGAGGATGGTCACGTGCCTGCTCGTAATGTTGGGTTCCTGAGTACAGGAACATGGGAACGACGAGAGGCGCGTGCTTTGTATACCAGTATTCACAGAACTCTTCTTGTGTCAATGATGGATGACGTGCGATGAGGCTTTGATTGATATTCATGATGGTAGAGGCAATTCTGTCTAGACAAACGAATTGACTGCCTGAGGGATCGAAATGATATCGAAAAGTGGATGTTGGGTAAAGACACAAACGAGAACAGACTTTTTTCTTCTTGAAGAATTCTTGTTCTTCTTTCGAAGGTAACGTTTTCCGGTTCAGGTCTCGAATTGAAGAGAAGGGACGTTCAATGCAAGCTTTGTCATCGTCGGCCGTGACTTCTCGTTCCTCATTTCAGCTCGCTTCACCAACCCTGACAGTTTTACGATCAATGCTGAGTCTTCATGTGTCAATAGAACTTTCATCATGATTTAAGTTTCCTCTTAATCTTCCGATGCTCATTGTTCAGCTTCCTAGTTAAGGTCTTGGCGACGAAAAGGACGGTATCGAAACATATCACTACGTTGACGGTATGTAAGAAGGGACTCAATTATTCCAAAATCACCTTGACTGCTTCGAGGTCGACCACTTTGGTGTCGAAATCTAACCCGCTATCAAGAACAGCAGCTCGACCACTAAATTCTCTTCAACGAAATTACCTGCTCCGAAATCAAGATCTTCGGCGAAGAGCTTGGCTATAACGTCGTCGCCTTACTCCAAGGAAGCTAGTTCTTCGGACAGTCTAAGTCGAAACCCTCAAGCTCAAGCTGGGACCCGAAACGCAAACATTCTTCTACACTTTCGAACAAAGCAACGAGGAGTACTAGCAAAGCTTCAGGAAATCAATTACACCAGCGGACTAAAGAGATACGTTAGAATAACGATTTAACAGACCATACAGGACACAGAACTTCGTCTCTCAACACTTGTCTATCCACTGAATACGAAGCACAATCAATATGTGAACCACACAGGTTCATTGTATACATCGGTAACCAAAGTATCTACCTGGTCTATCGATCAATACATCGCCCGCACATGCACCATCTAATCATCTATGCCTCTGTATGATATGCCAGTCCATCCATCGACCATGCAATGCGTCTATACTCGTATGCTTCTTCTTCCCCTCCCTGCCATCCACCCCTCTACTTCCTCGGACTCGCCCACTTCAAATTCGCCTTAATATTCCGATCAATCGCTCTATAACACCAACAATTAGCCATCATGCCTAGCTCTCCCCTCCTCCCCTTCCCTTCCTCACCCGCACAAAAGGGAAGAACTCACAACGCAGCCCTCTTCAACGGTGGCTCCACAACCTGCACGCCCCTCTTCACACCAGGCTCCACGCTCCTCGCACCATGTTGCACGCCGCGCTCAAAATGCGCGAACCCGCGGTTCCATCTGGGGCCCCATTTCGCGGCCTGCATCGCGAGACGTTCTTCGGCGCCCGGGAGGAAAAACAATAGAGGGGCGGCGGAGGCGGTGCCGGCGAGGCCGACGATGAGGCCTGTTGAGCGGGTTGTGGTGCGGAGGTGGGGTGCCATGATTGTTGAGTATCAATTGTATTGAAGGTTTTGCTGTTGTGTAAGGGAGAGGAAGAAAGATGGTTGTTGATGATGGGAAGAAGAGAAGAGGAAGAGAAGGAAGAGGAGGTAGAAGTACATCATTACGACGCAGCCTTCGTTATATAAGCGCCCGTACCCGATATCTGGCTCGTGTGACAATCAACAGCTGAGCATGAGACGATAGGGGAAGGGAAAGGAGAGCTGCAATTGGTGGAGCTCGTGCGGGGTGATGAGACCCGCTCGCGAATGGGGCGCGGGGAAGCGGGTTTATTGTGGGTCGCGCATGCGGAGTGTGGAGATCCTTGCCTGCTCGCTTTTTTGGTTAGGGGGAGTAGTTGTTGAGATATTGTGATAGGATGATGAGATAGATTGTTGTTTACGGGCTGATGAGAATTGCTTAAAGCCATAGGCAGTGTAAGTTGAATAGCAAAGTTGTCGTGATTCCGGCTCCTCTTCCAAGGCTGTTCTTAGCGATTGGTTTCAGGTAGTTTCGCCACCTTGTACTTGACAGGATCCCGTGCTCATTGTTCTCGATTGCAGAACTTTACCAATACATTGTCTGACTGCGGGAAACTTCAGAAGTTCGATCGAGCTCATTTGTCTTTCCGACCACACGTGCAGAAGATAATTCATGGGGGGTAAGCATGAATATCAAGCCACACTCATCAAGTACCAAAAGCTCCACGTTAAACCCCATCACATCTCCCACTCCTCAACCGGATCAGTCAACTTCTTAAAAACAGCAAAAACAATCGTAATCCCGACCGGCAACCCAATCCACAACGCCTCCACGGCCCTCGATCCACTCGGACAAAACAAATCCCCGGCAATCTTGACATAACTGACAAAGAAAATCCAATTCCCCAAATTAATCGTCAAACTCATCAGAAGAATAATCGGATAAAACACATCTCTGAACCCCCACCACGAGATCGTCAACGGGATCTCCCAACACGATCTCTTCGACGGATTACTGGAATGGCCCCGCTTGCGGCGGATGGCCATGATCAGCATGGACAGGACTTCGATAATGGCAATGAAAGGTAAGAGACAGAAGAACGCGACGAAGGCTAAGAGCAGCATGAAATAAATCGCCATCATCTCCGAGAATTTGTTGTTCTTGGTCCAGCTCGCGGCCGTGAAGAACAGGAACATCAACGTAATAAACGCCGGAGCGCAACTCATCAATGCTCCTATACCCAGAATCCTCATATCGTAGGCCGGAGCAGCGGGATTCGAGGGCGGCGTGTTGATGTATTTCCAGTACGAGTGGAAGATCTTGGTTCCCGCGACCCAGGAGAGCATTGCGTCGGCGACGAGGTCCGCGAAGCCCGTTTCGGAGAAGCCTTTCCAGAACCCCAGGAAGCCGGTCAAGGGAGCGACCCGGGGACGGACGGCGATGAGGAAGATGCTGTCGACGAGGGCGGCGCGGGTTGAGACTACGGATGTGAGGCCGGCGTTGCGGAGGATGAGGACGGTGAGGTAGGCGACGAGGACGTCGGTGCCGAGGGATTTGATGACGAGGTAGGCTCTTAATGTGAATTTCTTCTCTCTTCGCCAGACTTGGGGTGGTGGGCCGGAGAGTTTCATGTTGAAGAGGATTTTGAGCTTTCTCAAGATGAGGGGAGCGAGCCAGGTGAAGAATAGAACGGCGACGAAGACTAGGATGATGGAGATGCCGGTGGATGCAAGATATGTTGTTCGGTCTGGACATGTCATTGCGCCGGAATATGGCTCGATGGGAGGGACCCAGTTGACTTTTTGCGCATTTTCGATGACGCAGTCTGTTACTTCGCTGAAAGGCTTCTGTTGGGTACAGCGCCAGTATTGGATCATGCTGTTGTAGTCAGTACCACAAACATAGGTAGCAGCTTGATACTCACGCTTCAGTCTGGCAGTCAACATATGGTTGGCCATTTTTAATCACATTAGGGTCAGGAGCCTCGTTGCACTCGAGCTGGACTCGGCCAAAGTCGAAGCTGCATGCTTGTTGAAGTATCTATCAACGCTCAGTATACCCGATATGAGACGCCAAGGTGCAATCATGTCCTTACTGGGACGAGATCGGGATAGTGACAGGAAGTGTTGGCTGGAAAGGTAGGTGGAGGAACCGAAGTGAAGTTGTGGAGGTAGGATGGATCGGAGTTGTATGCCCAAACATCATTCCATCTTTGCAAAGGTCAGTGTGATTCTTCATTCCTAAAACTTCTTTACTTACGCTCCAGGTAAACATTGAGCCGTTTGATTTACAATCTGCAGCCTCGTCGCTTGGCTGATCGGGTGCTGGGGACAAGTCTGGAGAGCAGCGATGTATGGATTACACGTTTGAACAGAATCCTACTTCAGGTTAGCCTTCTCGGTAGGCGTATCTGTGGCTTCAAGCTACTCACCTGAAACAAAGCCGTTGTAGTGTAATTACACTGAACCGTACCATTAGAATTCTCGAAAGTCGCCATGCTTACACAAAGGCACCAAAACTCGGCAGCAATTCGCAACAAGAGCCAAGAGGAGGATCATTGCTACATTTGTATCTGATGAGATTATCCATCCCCGCCATTATCAGACCCTGAGGGTTGGTTGTATTCGTGAAATGAATCTTCCTCCTTTCTCGTGTCCGAGAGCTTCAAAGAGAACAGAAAGGGGAAGCATTTCCGGCCCCTAACCTGGAGCTGGCGATACATATCCCCGGTTTGCGATGCATGCTTTCGGAGCCAATATTCTTATCAGTTTGTAGGGTAGCAGCAACTCGCGCCAGCTGTCGAATCGCGAGAAAGCAAGATCCGAATTTGGAGGCAGTGGATGAAGTAATGATTGAGTCATGTGGAAAACGTTAATACTGGAAGCTGCATACTGTCGGAGAGGCTTCAAAATGGGCTGATGTGGCGTCGTTTCGCCAGATCCAGCCGTTGAAAGTTATTAATAGCATATATGATCATGTGATCCGTACAAGAATATTGAACCATGAGCTCCGTCTGGGGTTTCACTTTGTAAACTGAACGAATGTAAGTTATACCATTTGAACGTAGCTTTGCAATTAATTCAAAGCGTTCTAGAGACCAGAACTTTGAAGAACGTCACCTGACGTGGTCCTAGCCATGCTCAGCGACAAGTTCAAGCTGCACCCAACCAATCCCGGCACCGACCATTGAGTGTTACGTCCAGCTCCATAAGTAATCTCAACTCCGTTCGAAGAAATACCACATTTGCAAGTGTAGACAACTTAGTCTGCAGATCACCCGGTTGACGGATATCAAACTCATGACAAGATTCATCACCCGAGTGTATTTAAGTCTCTGTAAACAAGGTGAAGATTTGGGCGCTGGTAGACCAGAGATGTCGACGTAGATAGTCCTAATTTTGGCATACAAGCTAGTCGGAAAATGAATGTCCTCGTCAAGACAAGCGGCAGTTTAACAGAAGATCGAGCTTCTGGAGCCGTAGTAGAGGTAGAATTGGTGCTTAGAAGATCATAGATTAGTCCTTGCAGTGCTGATTTTGTTACACAGTCAAACTTCCCCTAGTTCCTGACGGATATAAATGATATCAATTTTACCTAGTTGTTTTAATTTCAAACCGGAAAGCGTGCTTACCACTTGCGTTTGGCCTTATAGGAGCATATTGTACGGGATTAATCCAAAATTTATACAAAATTACTAGACAATTACTAGATTCTATTATACAAAAGCTAAATAATTCTTGAAACTTTTGTTAAAATTATCTAAAAAAATTCCATCTAAAAATTTAAAAGTTTCAAATCCCGGATAAACACTAGATAAATACTCCATTCTTTCATTCTTTCCAACATTTAAAGCCCTCAGAGAAATGCAATAAAATACATCTATTAAGTAAGAAATAATAGACACGCTAACTGAAGTAAACAAACACACCTCAGCTTCCACGCCTCAACTTCCATTCTCTCAGCTTCCACAGTAAGTCTCCACAATAAGTCTGCACAATAAGTCTGCATTATGCAGCTCTCTCTTCTTGTTTCAATAATAAGTGTGCATGCATCTCTTCCTTCATGAATCTCCCTCTCAATCCAGGTATGTGACACCATCTGCAGCATCAATCCATAATACTAATGAATCTCTTCTAGAACGCGTTCATCACACAAGCAAGAGTGAAGGAGAAGAGTGCAGGAGAATAGTGCAGGTAGGAGTGCAAGCAAGGGTGCATAGCAAGAGTGCATAGCATTTGTACATAAGGTGTAGGGCAGGATGGCAGGAAGCTGGGAATAGCATCAATGATCAGGCATTCAGGCATCAATTCTTTCATGAAATGAGTGCGCATTCTTGGTCGCGAATACTGGATAGATGCCGACAAAATCCTGGACTTGTACTAGATAATTTTTTCAAAATTCAACTAGATACATCCTAGACAATAACTAGATAATTCATCTAATAGATATCCGGGGCGTTGCTACCGCAGGGTGGCCGAATAGGAAAATTGCGAAGCTGCCTCCTTCAAGTTTACGTCCTGCCCTCTTTCGAGTTTGCATCTTGCTCATCCTTCCTTCAACAATCAACCTCGTACCGACGTGTTTTCCACCTCAGCACCAAACGGATCTTAATTTGTTTTTGGCGCAGTTGCGTCGCGACCACCGCCACGAGGAAATCAGTTGGGAAGGCTCCAGTCACGGCTTGCTTTGGTGGGTATTCTCGAAGCCCGCAGGCGCCTTCACAGTAGAACTAATTCGATGGTTAATTTGCATGCACATTTGCCGCATGTGGCGTCAGCCTGATGAGCATTGCTGCCTCCCAGCCTCGTACATTGCGCAACCTTCACACCCCAGCTCCATTCTCTGATTTTTATCTTTCCAATCCCCATTCGTTCTCACTTGGCCAATTCAGATTGCTGAGAATGGAGAGAGGTGGACCAGAAGCTAATGAATGTGCGATTTGCGAAGAGCGCGGTGAAGCAGGGTTTTCGCGGCTTCGGGAACTCAAATACGCTGTCCAGGCTGGCTGTGATGCTTGTAAAACGGTCTTGACAGGTCTGGAAGCTTTGGCTCCTCTAACGAACCGTCTCCAGACCATTACTGATGGGACAATCTTGGACTGGCGTTCTCAGCCAAGTCGGATGAGCCCATTGGACATTGGAGTCGATTTTGGGTAGTGGTGGCAATCGGTCATCATGTACACCCATCATGGTATGTAGCCAATTTCATCGATGCTTGATTCCTGCTCACCTCTTCACTAGAGACCTACAACGAGCGTTCAATATTCGGTGTTTTGAGAACAGTTCCTCAAGACTCAGCTTCCGACAGTACGTTCAATCTTGCTAGGACGTGGCTGGACGATTGCTTGCAGAACCATCCGTCCTGCTCAGTCAAAAAGAGTGATGGCACGAGGCATCCTGCTCGAATCCTTGATATCGAATCATTGCTAGATAATTCTGCCATTAAGCTCATCGACTTTCCCATCAACCCAATTTCATATGTAACGCTGTCCTATTGTTGGGGATCTTCCGTACCCCTCAAAACCGAATCACATTCTTTGACACAACGACAAAGCGGAATCGAATGGAGCACACTACCAAGGACATTTCAGGACGCCGTAACCATCACTCGACGTCTCGGATACAGATATCTCTGGATCGACTCATTGTGTATCATCCAAGATTCTCCACCAGACTGGCAGACAGAGTCCAGTAAGATGGCTGATGTATATGAAAATTCTGTTGTCACCATTGCAACTCTGTGGGCTTCAGATTGTAATTCTGGTTGTCTTAACCAACGTGACATATCTGTTGTGTCTATCGACCACCGTATGCCAGATGGGGTGAACCAAACGGTCCATGTATGTGAAGCTCATGTACACCCTGTGATACTCAATGTGCCGATCGCATCCTGCCCTCTGTACTCTAGAGCATGGGCATTTCAAGAACGTATTTTATCCCCACGCGTTCTCCACTATACGGACTCCGAAGTCGTTTGGGAGTGTCGTAGTGACTTGAAGTGCGAATGTGGTAGTATCGAGTTCGGTATGGAGGTATCTAGCTTAGAGAGATCCAAAGACTTGAGGGAGACGTTGTACAGTTCTGTGCCTACTATTCCCTACTCGTCTAAACTAGACCTGGTCATTGCTTCAAATTATTCCATGCCAATTGGTTCATTGAGTCCTATGAATGGCCTTCGGTTGTGGAGAATGTTGGTCAGCGAGTACTGTATGCGAGATCTAACTTTCGATGCAGACAAGCTTCCAGCTATGTCAGGAATCGGGAAACGTCTTTGTAGGCTCGAATGGGGGAGCTACTTTGCCGGACTGTGGGAAGCGGAACTGCTTCTAAGCTTGCTATGGGAATCCATCAACGCTGAAGAGGGACTACCCTCGCGTTCGCCGGCATTCTGGAGAAGGAATCGTAGTCCGTACCGAGCGCCAAGTTGGTCTTGGGCCTCAACAGACGACCCTATCACATTCAACTTTCTGAACCGGCCTCGATCCTCAATAGAGGCACGTGTTGACACGGTTCAAGTTACGCTGGCCGGCAGAGATCCAACAGGACAAGTTAAGGACGGTCACATCATCCTCACGCCTCCAATGATTCGAGTCCGTTGGGAGGAAGAGCGTGAAGCTTCTTCAATCAAAGATTGGGAAGATTATATGAATCTATTTATTGATGGATCTCAGGATATTGTCAATACCCAACTGGCTCATCTCCCACCAGATTTCAAAGAACATACAGGCCCGGATATTCAAGAATCCTGCAGCTCCGATGCGCTCATGCTCGTCCCAATATCAGTAGCGGAAGGTTTTGCAAGCTGGAAGTTCCCAAAGGCTTTCAACTTACTCGTAGTCGGGTCTAAATATTGGCTAGATCAAGAACTCTCGAAAGGATTGTCAGAGCGATTATCAGACGCTTGGATACTATACTTTATAGTCCTTGTAGAGTCTGAAGAAGTCCCGGGGGCATACGAACGTGTGGGGGTTTGTAGGGGGTATGCTCAACGTGAAGTTGTTGGTAAGGAACCTAACCTTGGTGTTTTTGCAAAACATGCAAAAATGACTACTGTCAAAATTGTTTAGTTCGGATCTTAATATCTTTCAATGTACCAGCGTCTGCCATTCTCCTACATAGTTCTATGATACACAAGCAGAACTTCACCCAAATTGAAATTCCTGAAACATGATCAGAACTTAACTCTAAGTCGAATGGGCTTCAAAGTAACCAATAAGTACTCATGAGTAGGAGACCAAGACTCAACTCCTTCAGCAGCCAGCGACGCGTGTGAGACCCTCGTTTGCGTAGCTTCCTCATACATCCAGTATCGAGCGGCAATATCTGAAAACGTGCACTATGGACGAAGTTGAAGCTGTTTTCATCAAGGGAATATGGTACACTCACGAGTATATCTGTAATTATGAAGAGCTTCATGGATCGAGATCTTGGCAGGGTTGTAATACCAGAGGCGCCACCTGCTTCAGCGCTCTGGCAACGTAGGATGATATATACTAGATCATCCCGTCTCAAAAACTCGTGTGAACCGGAGAATGTTCTAGTGGCACTCTACCGTCATGCTTTCTGTTTTTACCTCTAATCATTGTTGACTACACCCTGTTCTCATATAGGTGAAAGCCTTAGCATTCGGATATTGGTACTCTGGTACTTGTACAATGTTTTGTATTTAGACTTTATCTCGCCCATGCGCCTAATCCTTCTTCAACGTCCGAATCAAAGAGCTCGACTCCTTTTGCAACAAATACTCCCCTCCCCTGAACGCCTTGTATACACCATACAACCCACTGAGTGGCCAAATACTCCAGAAAAGCCATAGCAGCCACGCGACCCACGAGGCCCTGATGGCACGTTCCTCAGCATCCACATCAACCTTTACCTTTTCGTACACACTGGGCAAGTACGATGCCCCATACTTGGCTCGCAGCGCATCATACGCCTTGCGGTCATAGATGCTCCAGAACTCGTCCTGGGTGTAGTACGCGTGCGCATACAGCCATTTCTGACCTCCCAGCTCGTCGACTTTTTGTTCTAGCAGCCGATTCTGGCGAACGAACTCTATCCGGTTCTTGGAGCCTGGCCCCCAGACACCAAAGTTCATCATGAATTCCGAAGAGGCTTCTGGGTCGGCCAGACTCGCGTACAAACCGTGGCGTGCCTCGGGATTGCCACCGTCACGTCGCTGCCGGAGCGGACACAGCCACAGCGGATACATGTTAAATGTGTCGTCTAGCCACTCTTGGAATTCGAGTGCAGCATTATATGGCACCGCGACGTCCTGGATAATATACATGCGTGACTGGCCACTGGCATGAAGAGCGTGATACATGACACGGGTGTGCATGAAGCGGTCGAGTAGAAAACGGGTGATGCGGTTGAAAGGGGTGATGAAGTAGCGAAAAGCGTAGCGTCCCACCCAGAAGCCGCATCGGTCGTAGCGGAACAGGTAATCAACGAGCGGAACATATTCTTTCACGACAGAATTACCAGCGGTGGCACATCGTCGTTGTACGTGGATATAAAACCATGGGTCACTGCGGCGAGTGAATTGGTGGACGGAAGCACCCGCCGGAAGCGAGGATGTGAGCCGACCCGAGCGAAGACGATACCGTCCAGATAGTCGACCGTCGGGTTTGCTGTCTCGGCTTCCATCAACTTCATTGCGTCGGGAATATTCTATGTCGGATAGTATGTCAATTCGACATACTTGGTTGCCTCTCTGAGGCGAACTTCCAAGAGTGTCACGACACCAAGGGTCCCGAACGATGAGGCTGCACCCCAGAACAAATCTGGCTTCTCAGTCCTGGATGCTCTCGTCACCGTGCCGTTGGCTAGGACGATTTCAATCCAGTTGACAGTCCCATCGAAAAAGCCATAGCGGAATGAGCTGCTCTCGCCGGACGTGCTAGAAAATCCACCACCTGCTGTGATGCCGGGGAATTCCATGACAACTAAAGGCACTAGGCCGTGCTCGAGGGTCGCCTGCAAAAGAGCATCCATGGGAACATTAGGTTCGACACTTGCCATTTTGTCTTCCTTGTTGATGGAAAGGACATGATTGAGTTTGCTCGTGTCCACAGCCTTGTCGAGACGGCGCTGGGAGTCGCGAGTGCTGTTTGTCGAGCCGTGATAGATACGGAATGGCTGCTGCCTCTCAGAGAAAGATCGGACGCTGGCTTCGATGATGGCGATGGTACCTTCGTGTGCCTCCATGGTGATGAAGTTGATGTTGATGGGTGGATGAGGCTGTGGTGGAGTTGACAGGAGTTTGTTTTTATAGGTTCTCCTCCTATTTTTAGCCAAGCCTCGCTTAACGTGGACGTCACGTGGATATTTACTGCGACTGTTTCGTTCCGACTTCGACACTTGAATAGCGCGGCAAAAAAGTTGGCAAGACTTGAACGAAGTAGACAGATGGAGATGCAAGAGAGAAAATGCGTTCCTGGGATGAGTGCAACCATAAGCTGCAAGTGACCGAAAAGACAAGAATGTGGCTTGGCGCTAAGGGATGACTGTCACACAGAGCCTCGTCCTCGAGACTCGGACGTCGCTTTCCATGTAAGACGTGGCGTAGTGTGACACGGGAGGTAAATCTAAGGGTGTAGGAGATCTGGGGTCCAAAATGAGGCTGGTGAGGACACACAACCAACATGAAAATGTCCACATAACTCTGGCAGTTGGGAGTCGAAATCTAATACAAGCTCCAATGTGAGTGAATACGGTCAGCACCTCATGTGTGATGTATCCAATTTTATAGGCATGACAATTGATGGGTTTTGTGAGAAATTTCAATGTATTTGAACAGACCCAGCAATCTATGAAAAGTTTCAGCTGAGCTTTGCAATCTGCGATTTCTTTGGTTGTGACCAAAGCTAGCTTTGAGATGAGGCTCGCAACAGGTGGAAAGCAGTGTAAAAGAAGTAGTTTTCATGAAACGGTGGCTAATGCTAATGTCTTGATTGTTAGCCTCGCATATGTAAAAATAATTCGTGTTACACTGTTCCCGCCCCAACCGGCATACTCCTTCCAGCGGGATGTCCAAGTGGAAGTTCATAAGAAGCAGAAGTCTTGCAGGCAGGCTGCCTGACTTCTCTAACATCCATGCTCTTATTGTGCAGCAATATTACTTAATGGACGCAAGACAGATGCTTACATTCGTATCATACATCAAATTATTATATCTCAGTCCATCTCAGGCTCTCTGGACTTCAAGCTACCTCTCGAACGAAGCCTGGGCCCAGAGCCTTGCTACGAGCAGCTTCCACCAATGAACAACACCACAATCTCCTTAGACCATATCGAGCAGCTTCAAGGATGGACAGCATCACCCAATGGCCGAGGAACAATTAACATCATCCAGAACAGTTTTCTGACCATCTCTCTATGCGCGTGGACCATGCTGTGCTTGAATGTGCCCCCGCTGGGTGCAAGTAGGACGGCGCAAGCCAGGCACAAGATCATGATCTTCTGCGAGGCTATTCTTGGACCAGAATTTATCTTTCAGGTAAGTCTCAAGTTCTGGGACGAAGAATTGCCGTTGCTTGGTGTGTTTTCTTCAGAACTGTACTTCAGATCTGGTGCTCTGATGCACCTTTGAGAAGTGACAGCTTTGGAAACAAAACCTGGAAGACGTCGACTGACTCAGGAGATCATGACAATAGACTGCTCTTGGCCAGTGGGCATCAGCTCGCCGCTCGGTAGCCAGTTTCACTGCCTCCGGTCTGCAGGGGTGGACAATGAAGCATGGCTTTTTCGCAGACATGGGCGGCTACGTCCTCGATCCTCCAGACTTTCCCCCTTTTCCGCTGAGCGCGAAGCAGGTTCATTACCTTGTCACGAACAACTACATCGACTATGCCCTTGTGGCCATCACATCCGATGCGATTGACGATAAGAACAAAAGCGATGGCATGGCACGCATCATCACAATGGTGCAAGTCCTGTGGTTTGTTCTCGACACGATTGCGCGGGCGGCGCAAGGCTTGGCTATATCTACACTCGAATTGAGCACCATCGCCTACGTCTGGTGCTCCATCGGCACTTGGTTCTTCTGGAGGAACAAGCCGCAAGACATCAATGTGCCAGTGATTGTGGTACCCAACCAAACCATGGCCGAGATTGTGAGGAACGCAGGGTCAGCAGCGGATGAAAAATATATATCCACGCCTCCAGATTTTGTGGGGCGTGAGCATCACCATTGGACCCTTTACTGGGCGCACTGGTTCAATATCTTGCATCATATGGGAATTGTGTTGCATACGAGGAAACGGCCAGTTGACAAGATCTCGGACGATCAGTTTCTGCCCCTATCCGTTGGTTCGAATGCAATTCTGATCTTTTTCCAAGCAAGTCCTTCTCTGATTTCTTATCGCCCTGCTCTTTTGGCCCCTCTTCCTTTTCTTGGCCTCATGTTGTAGCAACATGAACTCATAGACCTAGTATCTCTAAACATTTGATGCGTTTAGATATCAACTTCTCTTATGCAATACGGCTTTCAGTCCCGCTGTTGTCTCTACGTGAGAAACTTGAAACTAATTCTACTGAAGTTAGGATTCGCGGGAATACATATCGCTGGCTGGAACTTCCGGTTCCCAACACCGACAGAGAGACTTTTATAGCATATCTGCACCATCTACATCATCACCGCCATGACTTTATACTGGCTAATAGACATATACGCATTCGAGCTTCACCCTGTGTTGTGCAGGTGCTGGACGACCTGCTTCCGACGACATAAGCTAGCATCTGACAGCGACACCGCGGACGAGAAGCACCCATCGACACTTCATGTCAAAGCTCATGCCGTTGCTGAAAAGATCAGAAATAATTCTCCGCATAAGGATACAGATTTGTATACCCCGCTGAAAAGTCTAATGCCGATCACTTTTGTGGCGGCCGTTTACTGTCTCGCGAGAGGCTATGTGGTTATTGATGATCTTGTAAATTTAAGATTGCTACCGGCAAGTGCGTATGAATCCGTCAGATGGAGCCCTTTCATTCCTCACTTGTGAAGGAATGATATTTTCTTGATGCAAATGTAATTATTGTGTCCAAGATCTCTCTAGGCAATACTATGGTGACTTAAGTGACATTCCCCTCGAAAACCCATATTTTTTTGCCTTCATAAATCACCAAATCCGAGTCTCAACCGCGCACCAAACATCAATCCAATCCAGCACCTTTCGTGCACCTTGATACTCAAAGTTAACAATGCTCAATTCCTCTCCCTCTTCCTCTTCTATTCCTGTGCACCAAAACGTGATGTGAGACCGCATCTCTTCTAAAAAGTTGTAATATCTAAGATGTTAATCCAATCCTTTTACACCGACTGCTTCCAATAATAACGTACAGTCCGATCTGGATTGGTGTAATAGATCTCGGAGCGTATGATCTCGTTTCTATTGCTAGTGTAGACATGACCGATAATACCCTCGTGATACCAATCATCACGATCCCAGGGGCCATTGTGATATTTGACCGTGATGTGTTCTTCGGCGGTGTATCCTTCCCTTATAGTTGTGTGAAAGCCACAACTATGTTAAAAAATAATTAGCATATTTACTTGGCAAACAGTTTCTTGGCTTACATGATACCTGCCCACTCAAAGCCATGGACAATTGCTGCTGTTGCCACTATTCTGTTGGCGACCTGCTGCTCCTCGGGAGGTGGAAAAGCGCAACAGCCATCCCAGAAGACGGTGGTCATCTTGATATCTGGGTTGCGCTTTGCTATGGTAATAATTGGACTTGGTGATAAGCTGCTCCCTGGAAAGTCAAGGAAATTTGTATGAAAAGCTCCAAGGTGGCCGAGAAGGAAGATTCAGAATACTTACTCAGTATTTCTGATGTCGGTGGTAGTCGAATTGCGATTTGGGTCTTGACAGAGATTTTGTAGGAAAATCGAAGGCGTATGCAATTTGGACATTTTACTACAGTGCCTCGTAGACTAATACGGTACTTCAGATTGACACCTTTTCGATGCAGCTAGTGGACAATTGCGCCTCTGACGTACTTCTGAGATGGGATGTTGCGTGGACAAGTGCACACTAGCTGCAAGTCTGACTGGTTAAAATGATAACAGTACTTATAGCTTTAGAATTCAGACTTCATGATAGATATATGAAGCTATTGGAGAAGAAGTGTCCCCTACCTTATGCGCTCAAATGAGCAATGTCAAATACCAAAACGCGAAGAATACAAGTCTGAGAAGATAGCAACATGAGAGCCCAACTGGGTTTCTTGCTCATTTATAATGCTCGCAACATATATTTCGTTTTCTCTAATTGACATTTCGTCAGATGGTCCATTCCAAACGCCCGTCACAGGTTTTGAACAATATCGCATCACCTGGTAGTATACAATCTCGCATCCCATTGATGTTTAAAGCTAGCCTATGCCAATACAATCATGGCCTTTGGCTTATGATTTGCACGGGAGGATAGTCAGCTTCCATAAGATAAACACCGCCACCCCAATTACGCCGTGAGTGTGACCTCGTTTGAATGTCAGTGTAAGTGGATTCATATAGTGAAGAAATTGACTGCGAGAGACATCTGACCAAGCTCAGCTGATGAATATGTCTACCAACTTGATCTACTTGATTGTTGGATCAGAAGAGATGCATCATTTTTGTCAGCAGCAAAGTCGAGTCAGAGAGGCGATACGAAGTGTTAGGAGGAATGGCGACGCTATTCATTCGCAGTGAAAACAGAAAAACTGTCTCATATTTCGCTAACGAGATCAAATCAAACAGTCTTCAGAGCCTTCTTCCGAAACAATGGAAGAATGGTGGCCCTCTCCTTCTCTCCCCTCCCAACCTCCTGTCTACTTTTCCACGTCCAAGCGATCCAGCACAGTACCACCACAATTGTGAATGGGACAGCTACTGCGAAGTAGACCCACAAGGAAGTAACAACACTGGTCTCAGGACTAGCTCGCCAATCGAAGAAAGTCATACTGAAAAACGACTGTCAACCATGGTCAGTAGCTTTCTCGTCTCAGTCAGGAGCGCTTGGGTAGACTCACGCAAACGAAGGTGCCAGGAAGGAAGATTAGCGTCATAGCGGCTATTGTCTTCATGGAAGAACTATCTCTGAGTGCTGCTTCGGCAAGTTTCTGAGAGCTCGTCGCCAACTCGATCGTTGCCTTCGTGTCTCGTTGAGCGATGAGGTTGAAGATCTGGAGCGCTAGTCAGTTATCAATGAGTTTTCATTATTTTGGGCGCGGTGTTACTGTGGTGAATTGATTCGTAATCCGTCTAGGTAGGACGTTGAGATCATATTCGGAAGCGTCAAGTCGACTTTGCATGGCCAAGTCGTTCTTCAGCTTTTCGGAGTTTGTTGTTATGATTTCCCAGTTTCTGCTGAGTAGGGTCACTTTGATAAAGTCACGGATTGTGTCTGCCAGGTGACTTTCAAAGCGCCATCTTCTCTCTAGATCGACCAGGTTCTTGTTACACAAGTGCAATTTGAGGATAATATCATCGAAGTCCAGAGTTAACCGATCTGCACCTGACATCCTGCTCTCGATAGCTCCTACTTCCTTCATCAAGCTTTCGAGTTTAGAAGTAGTCATTAGAACATGATGCTTCAAAATTATTAACGGGATGATAGCCAACGGCATGTCTGAGTCTTTCCAGTCAAGCGGTATTACTTCTCCCTTTAGAGCCGTGGAGAATCTGGGAATCTCAACCCCCGAGCAAAAGAAGCAGCCATTGAATCTACTGAATTTGCTTTCATTACTTTTGATGGCGAGAGAAAAGAACGTATCATCGTCGACGGGAGTTTGGAGCAGAAACCCTGGTGGTGTAAATTAGATCTTTGCTCTGGTACGAAGAAAGCAGCTTACTGGCGGGCGCTTGCAAGTGACAGGCACTCCCACTTGTATTTCGTTGCACCTGAAGGTAGTGTTTATCCCGTAAGGTGCTTGCTCCTGCGAGCCGCAAGCTCCTTACAGAAAGGAGCTCAGCGAAGGATGTTGGAGGATGATCACATGGAATGATACTATACATTTATTAGTTTATCAATCAAGTACCAGTAGATTTCATTTCGAAAAAGGATCGTAGTCATTTTCGATAGAAAATTGATGCGTTGGCATGAGACTTTGAGTATTCGAGAACATAGCAAAGCGCCACCTACTTACAGCAATCTTAGAGAAACTTTTTCGGTCGGAGAGGCGATCTGGGCCCTGGGAAATTGCGAAAGTTCCGAAACAGAGGCGTTCAGGTTGGAAAAATAGCTGCTTGGCTTGCCCCATGGAATGTCAATGACATCTACATCGTCACTGCTCAGGTCGCTGGGTGTTATAATGTCTGCCATTCCTGGAGATGGACTCACATACAACGAGAATTCCAGAATGCAAGTAGAAAAGTGCGAGAATGCAAGATAACGTGTCATGACGCCTAGACGAGGTGATTGGCTAGATAATAGGGCGGAGCTGATGAGGCTGGTAGACGAGGCGCACTGGCTGACGAGGCTGGTGAATAATGCACCTGCTTCAAGGCTGCATGAGACTAAGACCTTGTTAGGTACCCTTATATGGCCGAATGAAATACTTAGCCTCGAAGATAGAACAGATGATGTCTATACAACCTCCTCATTGTCCATGATATTGAAGGCAAGTCAATCCTTACAGCGGCTCAGAATATCTGCACCATAAGTCGGCGTTGCATAGTACCTTTCCCGCCATTTATAATGCTTGACACCTGATTGACTTGGATCCGTATGAATTGCTTTCCAAGATATGATTCCTGAATAAGGGAGTGACCTCTCTAAGACAAAGCCCCCCTAACCTGTTACTAAAAGGAAGCATCGAATAAGGTATGAAGATTTAGGCGCTTTCTAATTTACGTGAAATACAGTGTCTATACCCCCCCCCCCCCCAACCTCGCTACCTCCTCTCATACATCGCAAAAGTCAAGGATTCAATTAAGTATAAAGTCCTACTTTTGAAATTATACATGGTCTCTTAATAGACTTCCTACGTCCATTTGCCTATGAAATGATATCCTGGAAAGCAATTAATACGGTATATTATTATTCTCGACTTTCTCCCCCAATGTTGCTAATTGGAGCATGTGAGCACTGAATGCAATCATGAGACACTTGAATTCGAGATAGAAGTCTATTTGTAATTGAGTCCATTCTCTCTATTCTCTCTGCTATAAAGAACTCTAAATGTTAGTTGTCTCGCAAAGCTTCTCCCCTACTGACATGAGTCTAGCAGCATTGATCCATTTTCAAGAGGGTTTCTGGGCATATACCACATGTCTTTGAAATCGTGTTAGTGAATGACAGGAGGAATAGAATATAATAAGAGACAAACATACACAGGCAAGTACGAATGTATCTTCGGATCATTCACTTCCTTCCTCACATCGACTAAGAACACCTCGACTTCTTCTTTGGTCCACCCAAACACTCTGGTAAAGAGCGCCATGCTAAAACCTTCAAGTGACGGCGATATATTCTCACGAGACCAGATACCTATACCTTTCGTCAATCCATGCTCAACAACACGTCTCTCAATGGGCAACCTTACCAATCTCTTTCATTTTCTTATTTTTCGGCCAGCGATTCATAGGCCAAACGAATTTCTGCTCCACGATATCCACGAAACCAGCCGTTTCAAGTTGCTGCTTGTAATCCTTTGCACTGTTGATCGGACGTCTAATCTTAGTCGTTCCTTCTAAAATGAGGTTCGCCCACTTCCTCAATGCTGAATCTTGAGTCATTGTCTCATCATCACACTCTACCGGGAAACACATGTCCGCCATCTCAATGAAACCACCAGGAGCGAGATGTCTGATTTTCGTCAACACTTGGAAAGCCAACCAAGAAGCAGAAAAGACGACTCACTCAAAAGCCTGCTCAAAAAACCTCGGCCAATCCGCAAAAGAACTCGTCATCATCCTCGCATAGATAAAATCAAACTTCTCCCTAAACGTCCACGGCTCCTCCAGATCATCCACCTGAAAACTAACATTCGGCGGCACGAACCCCGGTTGAATCGCACTAAGATCAATCCCCAAAACCTCACTCTCCTGATGCTCATCCGCGAAATCAATGGCCCAGATCCCCGTTCCGGTCCCCACATCCAGCACGCGATGGATCTGCTTCCCATTCTGGCCCACGGGACACAGATATAGACGTCCGGAGAACGTCAGCGAAAAGAGATGGTGCTGGAGATCCAGACGATCCCTTTCCGGCTCATCATTTGGCCCGAGATATTTCCCGTCCTTGTACGCGTGGTACGTGCGCCCGTTCTCCTCGCGGTACTTCAGGATACTGCTGCTGATCGAGACGGTGGAGAAGTGGTCGTCCTCGTCGCCGATCGCAGAGTCGTTCTCGTGCTCATCGGCTTCGACGGCTTGGTGAGCTGGTACATCGGCCATTTCAATCGAGTGCGAAACTGATGATGTCGAGGGGTTTGGACTGCATGAGGAAGAAGAAGACACGCGATAATATCATCTTATGCGGGTGTAACGGACGCATGTCCGGAAAAATGTCCAACCCCGCAGCAGCATGGATTGGAAGGATTTACATCAGCAGCAGTCAGACGGCCCGACAGCTCTTCCGGGAAAGTGACACGAAGCAAACATGTCGGTGTCGGGGTTGTAAGATATGTTGTTGTTTGCGCATTTTCTGGGACGCAAATTGATAGGATTTTATGGCGATGTTGTAAAGTTAACGTTGCGCTCCTCCCTAATTGGGTAACGCCAAGAGTGATCTTTGGGGTAGTGATCGCATTGTTCTGGGATGATTAAGGATCGACACTATAACAGGGTCTATAGTAGATGTCAACTCAGAGTAATGATTCATGATATCAGATCAAGATAAGAGGTACCGTGAGGTACCTAGGTAAGGCTAAGATCTCTTCTCGTCACGTGCTGTCCACGAGCATCTCATGTGATGGTCTACGAACCAACTGGGCACCATAGGAAGGCATTTCAAGAGCAAAATTAGGATACATGAATCTCATGCATTGTAAGTCTATATCCATTCCATTATCGAAAAGCGAATAGCGATTCAAAAGGATAGACCATACCGATCTCATACTATGCTATACTCAATGCCCCCTTATCACGCCAATAAACTCCATGCAAGCTCATGCTTATTTGCTATCCAAATGCTTTGCTCGATGACCTTTCATACTCCAATCACCACCCCTCAGATTCCACATAACCTAGAATGACAACTCTTCAAGAACGCTAATCCTATGCAGCTATATCTATAAACCCCAACCATAATCAAACATCCCAATCCCTACGACCAACTTCCCTCGTCTCAAAACTCATAATCGTACTTTTGCTGGTATCCGTGGTCGTCGTCGTCGTCGTCGTCCCACTCGCCCAGTCCCGACTCGTTGCAGAATTGACTGACCCAATATCGACATTCGCCCGAGTCCTATCAGCAGAGAATATTCGACGCACCTCGCTTGGAGAAAGACTTATGCTGATCTGCTTCAAAGAGAGGGCAAAGTCTGGGAAACGCTTCTTCAAGATTCCAATCTGATGAAGTACTTTCTCCATTTGAGCCTTGAGGCAAGGTAAGCAAGCTGCGATGATGCCAACCTGTTCCTCTAGCTTGCACCAGAGAGATAATTTTACTGTTGAGGACAGGAGATCACCCATGTTTGCTTGTTGTGATAGAGTCATCTTGTAAGCGGCGATGCCAGTTGCGATCAGTCCGGTTGCCATTAAACAGCTTATCAATATCTTCTCACGAAGAGTTCGTTGTAGCGTCCGTATAAGCTGGACTGGCATTATGGCCAAGATGAAATCGATTGTGATGATAATTGCTGTTTCCGTTAGCGGTTTTCAACAGAGCGCGAACACCCTCCCAGAACTTACGGTTAGCCACCCAACCATAATTGACTGTGTACTTATGAGGCCAGCATGTCAGTTCTGGCACTGGCTCCCACATTCCTCGTAGCGGGCGACAGTTGAAGAACAGCAGTATCAGCCATCCTATGGAAGTGAGGATCTGCACCCCAATAAGACTCCACAAAGACCACTTCCAAATGCGCTCCGCACCCCCAGTACACCTGCCTAGTCGAAGGAGAGAAACTGCGACCGATATCCTTACCAAGGCTGTCCCGAATATCCAAAATAGTTGTGCGACGAATAAACATCTAAAGGCTATGGTCTGGTTGTGTTGAGGAACATAGGACGAGAGGTGACCCCATCCGTTTGCTGCGCCGATGCAAGTCGCAACGTACTCGAAAACGGAGATGAACTGATAGACGATTAGCAAGATTCTGCCCAAGAAAGGAGGCGGATTACCGTTGCAATAGATATCAGGTAGTCATCTAGGTGTAGGTGGGGCGCAGGACGAAGACGGGTGACGATCCGAGCGACGCAAAGGCAGACACCAATCACTGCCAGTATCCCGCACGGTATCACGAACCCTGGCGCAAAATTGGTATCCGGAGGTAGACTACCAGAAGAATTGACCATCGTGGGGAACTTAAGACCAAAGTCGATCCAGGTTTATGTAGCGCAGACTAGGAGTGGTTTTCGGGGATCAAAACCAAGGCAATCCCTCGAACATCTGCCTACGACGGTGTCGGATTAGAGTGAGCTTTATTCGGAAGACGGCAGGACAGGCCGACTCATATAGCTTTGAAAAGCAGCCCCCGGCCCAGCTGATTCAGTTCCTGGAGGGAGATCTTCTGCAGCCGTACGCTTTCGGCTTGTGTGGTGGGATCGCCACTTCCCGAGAGACGTTTTGTCTTGGGCAGGTTCTAGGGATACCAATCGATTTCCATGGTGTTGTGGAGGTGGTTTGCCAAGAGTGTGATGAGGTCGAGGCCAAGGCGGTGGCTAGTCAATACGGATGGCTTCCCCGGGTCAATGCTCTGGTCGTTCCCGGTACGCCACGGAAGAGCGAATGTCACTTGGATAACCGCAACACTTGCAAGCAAGCCATCATTACTGAGATGTCTCTGTGAAGACGAAAGAAGTTGTCCAGAACCTGGAGATTGCATTGGTGGAATATGCTGAGACAAGGAAGGGAGGGAAAGAGGGAAGGGGATGCAGAAAGAAAAACAAAATTCAGCAGCGGGTCGGTCTTCCCGCCGCTTCTCACGACAGGGAACGTTCCCGGGGAACCTGGAAATAGATGGCTTATGTTCAGATCCAAGTTGGGAACGACGCAGCTTACATTGGCTGACAACTTTGTCTCAAGAACTGATGTCGAATACGCTACCAACGGAACATCTATGATGGCGTTGTATAAAACGGTTGCTATTCGAGGATCCGTCTCCACGGATTACAGATTCAGGGGTCGTCGGCAACTGAAACCCCACGATCCAATACCAAATCCAATATCCTGGGAGCTGGCTTCGGGGAGCTGAGCCGTGAGACGGCTAGCCGAGCATCACTAAGAATCGTTCGTTTTTATCGACAATTCCTATGCTTGGTAACCAACCATCATAAGCAGCAAACGAATCCCATATTCTGTCAGTGGGAAAATCCCGTGTGTAGCTTGCGGATGTGGTGCGGTCTACCAAATGAACTTAGAAGTTTAATATTTTGCATGCAAGAGATTCTCTAATAGCGTCAGCCACACCTCGTCTAGTGAGACATGATCTCGAAGTCGACGATCTGAAAGACCACCTCGAAAACATTTGTTATGAAGGACATATGCTGCATAGAAGGTTTTCTGAGTTTATGTGCAGCTTGTTGATTGTATGATGGGGGATGGTCAAGCCAGACAGATAATGTGCACAATACTTTGTTCTAAATCGTCAGAGCAGACGAAGAGAATGTAATGTATATTCCACACCAGAACACCCCGGCCTATCTATCTACAACACCACCATCAGTAGACTAAATTCGCAACACTCTTTATACACGCCCATCACTCAGCCCCATATTCCCCGCCAGAACCCTCAAGAAGCGAACCTAAAGTCCAACCTCTTGTTCCCCTTATCCGTCGTCGTCTCCAGGTAATGCACCCTCTCCTCCCTCGTCATCGAATTCCACGTCGCATCCCTCTGCCTGTTCCTCGTCTCGTAATAAACCTTAGCCAAGATGAACATAATAACATTCCACGCCACCAATCCTAACAATACTTTGTTGCCCTTATAGTATAACGGCTTGTCGGGTGTGCGATAAATTTGCGAGGAAATGACGGAGCCAGTTTGTACAGCCATGTTGTATAGCGAAGAAGCGACGGTTCGGGTGCGCACCGTACCGGCGTTGCGAGATGCCATTCCGACGAGAATGGCGTGCGCGTATGGATAACCGATGATGAGGGTGGTGATGGCCCATCTTGCCCAATTGTAATTGGGAAATTTGGGTGGGAGGACTTCGAGAGCGATGAGCAGAGGGAGAACCCAGATCTGGGAAATTAATCCGATGAGGAAACGTTGGTTGATTTTCTCCGAGACCCAGGTCCAGAACAGAAGTTGAAGGATGAAAAGAACGGACGCGGGGATGGTGAGCAGGTTGGTTTGGAAGGTGGTAAAGCCGAGGGCTTTGCATGTGAGGGTGATGTAGCTTGTTTCGGGCGTCATGGGAACCTGCCAAGTAAAGCCGATTAGATATATGGGCCACATGTCGTAGTCGGTCAGGGAATTCCAAAGGGCACGGAATGAGAGGCCTTGACGGTTGTGCATAGTGGCTTTTCCGGGGTCGTCGAGCAGGATGCGGGTCACAAGGATGTATTCTTCTCGTTCCGTGAACCAGCCTTTCTTGGGTCGGAGTTGGCCTTTGAAGAGGGAGTGTGAGTTTCGGCTTGTTTGGGTAGGTGAGGCCGGAAGGTAGAGCCAGGTGAGTATACCGATGGTGGCTGTTATTGATCCTTCAATGAGGAAAAGGTAACGCCACCCACCTTTGAAATAGTATTGGTGGCCCTGGAGATGGAGAATACCATAGGCGAGGAAAGCACCAACAACTAGAACGAGTCAATGCTAATTCATTAAAATGCAGTAAGAACTTGGGAGAAGTAATCCTTTCTCCAACACTCCAGTAAGGCGAGAGCAAGGAGAATCAAAATTTACTCACTGGAAGTGGCTTGGTACGCAGTCCAGAACCAAGACAAGCGCTTTGGTAATTCGGCATTCTTGTAATAGTATGAAAGGTACAAGATGACATCTGGGATGAATCCACCTTCAATCATGCCTAGTAGCCAGCGGCAGATATAGAAAGACGTCTTTCCACTGAGAGAACATTGACTCATCGCCACGATGCTCCAGGCTACCATCTGAGAACTGTTAGCACAATGGCGAGCTTTCCAGCATTCACGAAATTAGCAGAACTAGATCGGGAACCCTCCAAGTACGCAAATTCGTTCATGCAAATTCGAGCTGATAACACCAGTAGCGCCATAGGAGCTCCCAAACACACTGATACGAAGAAGAAACTGACCTGAATGGGAATCCAGACATCGGGTCCGAGCTTCTTGCTAATGAGTTGAGATGGCAATTCGGCGAACAAGAAAGAGCAGTAGAAAATAGTCATGCCGTTGTTGTAATCATTGGTTGACATCTTTAGATCCGCTGATCTCGATTAGTCCAATTCGAGCCATTCATGGGGAGGGCATTGTTTACTTAACATGGTGCCCGATATTGCTTGAGTGATATTTCCACGATCCAATTGAAGAGCAAAGAACATGATGCAGGCGGGAAGAGCGATACGCCAATCGAGCTGTGGTATTTGTTAGGTGGAGATAGATGGAGGTAAGGAACAAGACTCACAGTTTTCACCAACCTTTTCTCCTCTTCTGGAGTCCACTTGTAGGAGGGGTCGAACCGATGCGCGCCTTCATAGCCCTCAATGGGCTTGTAGATATCCTTCGCGGCATCCGTCTCGTAGACATGACGGCCCATGTCTTGCACAGCATCGAGGTTGGAATCAGAACTGGCTGCTGTCTGCGAATATCCAGCGTCGACAGGGACGAAACTGTAGTCCTTCCCACCAAACTTCCACCATGGTTTGGTCTTGAATGGGGTGGGTGCAGCAGCGACATCTTGAAAGCCCTTCTCCTCGAAGTCTTTCCGCTTTGCGGCGGCATAGGCGTCCTCCTTCGACATCTTCGTGGGAGAAAGTCAAATATGATTGATGTCCGGTGAGGACTCCCGTGGCAGTGGTACCTGGTATACTTATACACGAGTTCCAAAGAATTTCTACAGCTCCCCACACTACGGAAAAGCCACGGGAGAAATCTGGACCAGCCAACGTCAGCTCAAGTCCAAAAGGGCCGTACCGGAGGTGTTATCGCAGGGTCTGGTTCACCAGGTTCCTGATGCAGGATGGTTTTATCGATTCTGGATGCTCATGATCGTTCATGCGGCTTATTGCTCATTGAGGGGCAAAATGATGTGCTTTCGAAGACGTGGGTAGCCAGTGGGTCGGATCGTTCACGCGATTCGTTTCCATGTCGCTTGTAGGGAATTGTGCATCCGGACCCTGCCAAGTATGCAGATATACTTGCATACATCGCAAAGTTTCCTTCTAGAGTCGACTTTTGACAGAAAGACCCACGAGATGACGACCGATCGAAAACAATTTTGCAGTGACTTCGGGATCAATTGATGCAATTCATTCGAACGGACTCGATCCAAATGATGCCATTGTAGGAAAGAATGAGGATAAATATTGGGGCATCGGATTGGCCTATCAGCACTAGGATCCTAATCGGCCGCGTGCTTTGTGGCTAAAATGTCACAATACCGAAGCGACCTGACTCGGCAACACCACCGGGAGGGAAGTTGAGACCTCCTTCATCTGGTACCGTTTAGGTGGGTTTTTGGCGTGGAATAGATGATATATGGTAAGATTAAGACCAGCAGTCTGTTCTGGCTGCACTAGCAGAAACATGGCTGGACCTCACTGGGCTCGAGAAGGTCAGGATAACGAAGGACGGGTGAGTAGTTTTGGAAGTAGCAGTGTCTCATGGGTTCTAGAAGTGCTTCGATTGGATGTTTGGCGGTAAATTGGTGATCTTTTGCTTGTGGGAAGCAGCTCCGGGAGCCGTCCAGACTTTGGAATCCAGGGCTAGGACCACCAGCAGCAGGGCATGGGAGAATCGAAAGGAAAAACAAAACAAAAAGAGTACTGTAGAGAGGTTGCATCCTATATGTAGTTCCCGCATCTCAACAGATCCAAGGTCACGGGTCCTCCGTCAAAGTGTGGTCGATCCCGAGGCATTGGCTTGCAGGGTAATATACCATCATGGCTCCAGACTCTGGTGATAATGGACCCGTACCAACGGGGCGGGTTGACAGGCTCAATTAGACCCTGCTTGGAGGGAGATTGTCGAGTGCAGCGACTGCATCGAAGACAACTGCCTTCATGCAGAGAAGCTTGCTTGCAGCTTTTGTTGCACTTTTCGTTCAACAAGTGGACTTCTCGTACATCGATGTGTGTATTAGGTGACTGTTGATCAGGACCTGGCGGTTTTATAGGGAGATCAGAAATGGTTTCGTGGCATGCTACAATTCTTTTATTTTTGGGTGTGTAGGATGTCGTGGAAGAAAGGGATGAAGATGATTGTAGATGTCTTAAGAAGGAAAGCGCACGTTGCCGGCCTGAGTCACATAGCGTCCACGTGACTTGGGAATGCCCACCCTTGAGATCTTCAAGATCGACTTTGGTCGAACGAAAGAGATCGAGATCCTTGATAAAGCAGATAATAAACAGGTAATTGCTCACAGAGGACCTTTCAATGCAACCAGAAGAGAGTTCATCACCTGACGAGGACTTACTTAAGGTACCTACCTATATCCGAGACCCCTCACCTTGGATGGTAAACACCATCGAGAAAGGTTATTTCGACAAAATCTTTCGCGGCAGTTTGACAAATGCTCTACTCAACAAACTTGTGGCGTAACTCTTCTCCCACAGAAGATGATATCAAACAAGCATTCGCTACGAGGCAGTTTGCTTCCGTCTTATCCCCGGTCCACACGGAGCTGTACATCTCAAAGAAGAATGCACTCCGCGGTTCTCTGCAGATAGGGGGTTATGTTCTTCGCATCTATCCATGCATACCAAGGACAACAAACGGACAAGGTTTCGATTGGCTTTACTTATACCTTATCCCACGTGCTGGCGACAGCCAAAGTGTTTCTGAAAATGTTCGGGTTTTCATGTCTTTCATCTCGCCATTGGGCTGTTGGTCATGGAGCTCGCATCTTTGTACGACGTGGCTGTTTTCATCTCTAATTACTCGATTCCCGGCTTCACGGTATTGATCGCATATTGGATCCTTCGGCAATATTTGTCATACAGAAGATTGGCTCATCTTCCTGGTCCGACTTTTGCGGCGTGGTCGAATCTGTGGTTGGTCAGGACGATATGGAACCAACAAAGCCATTTAGATGTGTATGAGGTCTCCAAGAAATATGGTACGTACCTCGCTCGCGATTGTCGACTCCCAAGTCGCAATGAATAATTAAAATCAGGCCCTCTGGCTCGCATTGGACCCAACGATGTCATCACGACGGATGTCAGACTCATACACCGGCTCCAAGCTGTTCGATCGCCGTACACTCGTTCCAATTGGTATCGAGGATTCCGTCTCGCTCCTGGGATTGACAATGTACTTTCTTTCACGGACGATAATTTGCACACCAAGCGCCGAGCGCAGCTCTCTCCCAGCTTCTCACTCCAAAATCAAGAAGCGATAATTGATTCCCATGTAGCTAGGCTCGTCGGACTCATCCGGAAGAAGTATGTCTCGAACGAAAACGGGACAAAATTGATGGATTTTGCGCAGAAGGTTCAGTTTTTTGCCCTGGATATGGTGATGGACATTGCGACGGGAAGTCCATTCGATGATCTAGTTCATGACGAAGATAGGTATGAGTACTTGAAAAATACTGCAGATTCCTTGCCAACCATTGCAATGATCCAGTATCTGCCATGGGCGGGAAAGATCTTGCAGACTCGATGGATTGCACCATTGATATCCCCAAGTGCATCTGAATATGGAATCGGGAAGGTGGTTGAGTATGCTCGTTTCCACTCTGTCTATGTCATGACCACCTAATGAAAATGAACAGTATTGCTACCAGAATGGTGGATGTGAGGATAACCGATCAAAGCGAAACCCAAAAAGCGGACATGCTCTCAACCTTTCTTTCCAATGGTATCACACACCAAGAAGCAATCTACGAATCGATAGTCACAATCCTCGGCGGCTCAGACACAATGGCTATCGCTCTCCGTGCAACGATGTTATTCATCATGACGAATCCTCGAGTCTACATCAAACTCGTGTCGGAGATTCTCTCGCTTTCCTCCTCGCTTTCGCATGACACCATCCCTTCCGCTTCCCAAGTCCGCACCTTACCCTACCTTCAAGCAACAATCAAAGAATCGCTTCGTGTCTTTCCTCCAGGGACCGGACAGATGCCTAAAGTGACTCCGACGGGAGGCGAAACTATCAATGGAATATTCATTCCCGGCGCAACGAACATCGGAAGTAATCCGTGGTTCATCATGCGCTCCCAAGACAACTTTAGACCTGATGCGGAGATATTCAGACCAGAGCGATAAATTGATGTCACCGAACAAAAGAGGAAAGAAATGGAGTATGTTTAGGAACTAGTTTAGGGGTTCGGGAAGTATAAATGTCTAGGGCAGGAAATTGCTATGATGGAGTTGAGCAAGGTAATTTTTGAGGTAAGTGGGGTCCAGACATCCTGCCCTCCAGGCAATTTTTCCGAGGAAACTAATGTGTTACAGCTATTGAGATATTTTGAATGGGAGATCATTGATCCCACGAACCCATGGGAATGTCGCAGTGTGGGAATATGGATTCAGAAAGATATGAATGTCAGGGTGACTCAACGTTGATTTGAAGCGGCGCGGCGGTAGCGATATTTGCCGTTCCCGGCGAAGTGATTGCTGCATGTGGCATGCATTTCGCAGGCCGCGAGTTTCACGGACAAAACGGACCAATGAGTCACCGTATTATTACTCAGCATCGATCGTTAGGTATTTATCTTGTCCTCTATCTTCAGCCGTTTACCTCTTTACCTCAGTACCATACCAAGCTAGAGTAGAAATCGCCTAGACCTCGCTTGTTCTCATCAACTCTCCTTTTCCATCCTAGGATCGCGACTACATAACACCAACCACCATTTCAACCAATCAGATCTCCAACATGTCGAACACAACATCCGACTTCGTCCCAGCTCCCTCAGAGAAGACCTTCTCTTCCTACACCCCCGACCAAGGCGCCAAATACGCCCAAGCACGCCCAGGCTACTCCCCCTCCCTCTACGCCTCCATCATCGCCCACCACACCTCCACCGGCGGCAAACTAGACACCCTCGTCGACGTCGGTTGCGGTCCCGGCATGACAGCCCGAGCACTAGCCCCCAATTTCACCCACACAATCGGCCTCGACCCCTCCGAAGGCATGATCACCACGGCCCGTTCCCTAGACCCGAACATCCGCTTCGAGATCTCCACCGCCGAAGACCTAGGATGGCACCTGGATCCCAAGATCGAGGACGAGAGCGTGGATCTTATCACCGCATCTACAGCAGCGCACTGGTTCGACATGACCCGGTTCTGGCCCCGCGCAGCCCAGATCCTGAAGCCGGGTGGAACGGTGGCGCTTTGGGGGACGGGAGGTATTAATATGCACCCGTCGATGCCGAACGCGGTTGCTATCCAAGCTATGTTCGATGATTTCGAGGAGCGGGAATTGAAGCCGTTTTTCGAGCCGGGGAATTTGATCAGTAGGAACTTGTACAAGGATATGCCGCTACCCTGGACTTTGAGTCCGAAGGTGGAAGCGTTTGAGGAGAAGACGTTCTTTAGGAGGGAGTGGGGGTTGGATAATAGTGGGTTTTATGAGGCGGCGGTGATGGAGGTTGATTTGGATAGGATGGAGAAGGCGCAGGCGACGCTGAGTCCGGTGCATAGGTGGAGGGAGGCGAATCCGGAGAAGGTGGGGACGGAGGAAGATATTGTGAGGATCATGAGGAGGGGGGTGGAGAGGCTGTTGCATGAGGCGGGTGTGGAGAAGGGGAAGGAGGTGGTTAAGGGGAGCTTGAGTGGAGTTTTGATTATGGCGAAGAAGAAGGCTTGAGCCATTGCTTAGGGAGGACTGGGAGCCTTTTCATACTTAGTATTCTTTTTGTGTTGTTAAAATAAAAGAGTGTGTGTTGAAGTTGAATTCAAGAAAACTAGCACAAAAGGTGATTTGATGTGAGTCTCACCTCTTGAACTAGGTTAGAAGGGCCTTCTCAGGGTGCAAAATCTCTCGCAGTAGAACTATAGCGGAGCACGTCTTGATAAATTAACTGAGCGTCTATGTCTTTTTGGGCAAGACGTTACGCAGACTACGTAAGTATCTTTCTCGATTTACTCTTTTAAATTATTAGCATGGTTGGGGCTAATTGTCACTATCCTCTCGCAGCTTCACAACAAAATGCGTGTTTGCCAAAAATGTCTTCGGATCTCTTTACTACTTGACCATCCCTACACTCCCTCTAAGTCTCCTGGATTGAAATTAGGAAGATAAACCACGTCCTGAAGCGCGCACTTACTTCCATTCATCCAGCAAATTTCTCATTTCGCTGCTCATCCCAGTATAGCTCCAGCCAAAGCCAGCCACCATCTTATGTCGTGCTTCGCCTATAGCAATATCGCCGCCGTACTCTTGACATAAGCGTGCACCTTCGAGGTAATCATCAATAATTGCCACACCTAGACTCGTCGATGCATCGGCACCGGCATCAAGAAGAAGCTTTAAAGCAGAAGCATTCTTGTTCTTGATAGCGAATGAGTAGGCATCTCCAATCTGGGCACCATACTTCAGCAGAGTCTCAATTGCCGGTAAATTAGATCTGTCAACGGCGTAGCTCAGAGGAAATCTCGGGGTGACTTTCCATTGGACGAGCTCATTGAGACCGCCACATCCATCGTCGGCATTGACGTCGAGGTCGAATTTTTCGATTAGATGGGTGATCATGGCGCTTGCATTTTGAGAGCAAGCAGCATTATGAAGGGCATTGCTCCGAGAAGGTTTAGCACCACGGGCAACAAGTTGATCGAATAGTTCAATGTCGCCTATGCCCGCAGCCCTGTTGAGCATCCCTACAAGACCATAGCAACGCACAGTGTACCACGCTCAAGCTAACTCTATTCGATTAGCTGGTTGCAGGGTACAAGAATGGGCACGCTAGTACAGAGGAATGATGACACGTGAGCTCTCAAGGAGATTAGATGTGGAGCAGCTCCCTTCTCCCTAGAGTTCCTTCACCTTCACCTTCACCTTCTCTCTCTCCCTCTCCCTCTCTCTTCCAATCACGCCCATTAACCTGTGGGATAAGGCTGTACCAAAAGTAAACTTTGGGCACTGATTCTAATGCTTTTGAGTACACTTTTATGGTGTGGAAGCTCATCATATGGTTCATATACCGAGCTTTGGAGAACATCAAAATGCTGAGATTTTGAAGCTAACAAGGGGAAGAAACCAAGAGGTCTCAAGTCCTTGTCAAGTGCTGACACCAGATCCTGGCGAGTGGAGACTGACTTCCTGGTAAGTGCTCTAAGCCATGGTTAGGGGAGAAGACCATGAGACTGACCCCCTTACTAGCTCATCTACTTAGCTTACTTGGCGTCTGAGCCTCATTCTCAGCTTATTTAGCTTCCTTTTCCCTTGCACCAGCTCTCAGCAACCCTGCATTAAAGTGGAATTGTGAGAAACTCTCTTCATAATCCTTGTTTTTACCCCTACTCTCATACAAAAGTCTCTGGAATTTCTGAAGAAAAGTGCAGAAATAAGAGCTGGCGTGGTACAGTGTACCATGCGGCATGGTACAGTGTGCGTTGCTTAGGTTTTGTAGGGGCGCACTGCAACGGTACGATCATGATATGATTTCTCCCTCCCATACAGTGTGAAATCTTCGGAGCCGCCATTTATATCGATGCCTTGGTCCAGCAGCCAGTCAAGTATGTCTAGCCGGTCAAGAACCCAGCTAAGATACACGTTAGTAGAACTACTACTCTACTCTTTAGAGAAATGAGGCTCCTTACACCAAAAGATTTGCCTATCCAGATGTATAGTCCAAACCGTATTCAGCAAGAAGTTCGAGCATATCCACAGAACGACACTCCTTGGCGAGTATGGTCAAAGATACCAACTTCGGATCAGCTCCTTGCTGAAGCAGACTTTGCGTTCCTTCCACCCAACCCTTTTTGATACTCCGTTGTAACAGCGTCTTAATATTAGCATCACCAAGTTGCTCAAAGAATTCTTGGATGTAGTTGTTGAATTCATTCAAGTCTCCTGTTTCGCAGGCCGACAAGCATTTCTTCAGGGCGGCTTTGCGCGATTGCTGTATCCGCTCCCATTCAGCTGCCTAGTCAGGTGCCGCACGCATGATTGGATTCTGCCGGTGGTTCTTTGTGGTGGAAAAGTGATGAATAAGATGTTGATAAGCGCCGTTGTAAGAGTGCTTGCAAAGGAGCCTAGTCTGCCTAGCAGATGTCAGGTTCTAGGCAGGTAACCAGATATTAAGATCTGGGACAGGAAACCGGATCCTGCAGAACTCTGTTGAAGTTGGGGAGACGAAAGCCAAGAATAAAACTGGAAGTGACTAGGCTGGTGGACGTGGAGTTTTTGTATTGTCGGACAAAACTGCAAGAGAGGTGTGTTGGTGCCATCTCAGCCTCAAGGACCAGCATCCGCCAATTTCACAGCCATATCCTGCAATGCCGCTTTAATTGTGTCGCTTACTCAAGTAACTTCAAAACCGATGCTGGCCCACTACTTCATGCTAATCAGAAGATCAATGTCGAATGCCACTTGTGTGAAGATATTCTACGGTCTATTACTAGCATATCGAAGATACGGTAATATCTACCTAGAAGATCCCGATAAGCTCTCAGAGCTCTCCTCGTAATTCCCTGCAACCAAACACAACCTCAATCTATTCCTCCTCCTCAACTGCTTTCTGAGCAAAAGCCTCCTTGACAGCAGCAGCGTCACAATACAATAAGTACTCTTTAATCCTAGCATCCTCGTCGAACCTCACAACCTCACACTCCGCGAATCCATTGACCTCCTTCCCTAGAATCAACAGCTTATTACTCATCGCGTTCACGATGGTCCCATCTTCTCCTTCAACATGGGTTACTAACTTCCTTTCCACGATCTTCCAGTAGGTTTGCAGTGTTTGTAAGGTGGTGATGAGGGAGGCGTGGGAGGTGGATGGTCCTTGTGTCATTCCGTGGAGGTAAAAACTTCCGGTTGGGGCGAAGAAGGTCGTGATTTCGGTCAGTGTTCCGAGTGGTGTGGTTGGTGAGAGGGTGGACATGTGTTTCCAGAGCGTCTCGAGCGTATGATTGTTCTTTGATGCTGCCATGTTTGAAGGAGAGTGGGAAAGCCCAGGAATAGCGGAGTCAAATAGTGATTATATTTCCTTTAACAGTAAAGAGTAATGAGAGGTGTGAAAACGTGAAAGATTGCACATCGCAAGAAATCATTTTTCGAGGAAGAGAAGAGTCGATAGGTGAGTCTGTTAAATACCTTCTTCTCACGCTAGCGAAGAGTCGTTCCGAGAACTCTGGATCCCAATTGGATGGTGGGAGCCCCAGTTTGCTCGGCTCGCACATCCCATTTCAAAGTAACAGGCCGGCTCGCACTTCCACTTCTGTCAACTCTCAAGATTTGCTACCCTGCATACCACCGAACCAAATGTCGACGCGAAAACGCTCTCTTGGCGCATCCAACTCAAAGTCAAATTCAACGGCCACCCTGCGGCTTTTTCTCTTCTGGTTTCACCCTTCCCACTTCATCCTCTTCACTTATTTCTCTTGATCCTACCCCATCTTCCGATATCGCGATCCTGGAGTGATACCTCAACTGCCCTCCTCGTTGCGAGTTCGTCTATGATACTCAACATAACCCAAAAATCCGGTCACTATGAGACCTGCAAACAACCGCTGTCTCTCAGCTCCCTCTTCCTCTTTACCATCTGCAATATCAATTCCTGAGGCTCGGCATAACATCTGCCCCAATTTCTCATCAGCCGCAAATCTGATACCGTTGGGACGAAACTCATTCCACGCCCCCTTCAAATCGACTTCCAAGTGCAAACTCTGTGTCCCATTCCGAATCCGCTTCCGGAGCTCAAGAGGAAACATTCTCATTTCCGGATCCACTCCAGGGACACGCTGTAACCAGAACTCCCTTGCTGCCGCCATAAGTCGGTCTCCCGTTTTGTCTTTAGGGAGCTCGATGACCCGGATATTCGGGTTGGTGGCATTTACTTGCTTGATACTCGCTATTTGTTTAGATTTTTCCGTTGACGGTGCTTTAGCTGAAGGACCATTGTCTTTGAAATCTGAACGCTTAGTCCGCTCCACGCCAAGCGAGGCTTTTGCATCTTTCACGAAGATCAGTTTCTTTCCGATGCCGTCGTGCGTTCTGGAGACGGTTCGAGTTGTTTGCTGACCATTTGCTGGCGAATTTGTTTTGAGAAGAGTTTTCGGGCACGCTACTGGGCGTAATAGATTGGTTCGATAGAATCGTGAGACGATGTTAGCTGCCATTGCGGCTAGATGGTCTACAACAATGCCTCAAGCTATTCATATGATATGTTCAAGGGTTAAGAGTGCGCCCGGCTCTTGATTTCTGCGCCCGTCGTTGCATCGATTGTAGAAGGGTGTTGGAAGTCACCGACACTACGGTCGGAAATATTGACTTAAGAGCATCTCTAGTGCAATGATGTGGTATTGATGAGCATCATCTCGTCTAGAAGACGACACAAAGTGGACAGTATGGTGGCGTTTGGTGGGACTATCCCACTCTCGCTTGGCTTCTCATGTTACACCACTTGGTCCTTCCTCTCTCTGCTCCCACTTTTATCTGAATTTTACAGTCGAGAACAAACAGTTCACCGCTGCTCGTGTATCCTTAACTCGGGAAGAGAGCTATCACGTGATGAGCATCTCCGAATTTGGAAGATCCTCCTCGGTCTTCATTCTGCACAATCTGGCACGGTATACACTATAAATACGTCCTGAGAGCGCTATATGAGATATTCAGTAAAGAGGGCTCTATCACCAGCGTTCTCCGGTACTCGTACACGGCACCCAATTAAGCCCCATGCTTACTTCATGCTGACGGCATTAGCCAACATTTAAGATATTACATCTTGGATGATTTCATTCTGTTGCCTGGTATCCTCGTTCATTTTTCTCCTTTTTATAACCCAAAATCTAGAGGGGCAAACTCAAGATGGGTATTTACTTAACGCTAATTCTTTGCTTGGGACTGGCAGAAATTGTGCGACGATGCATTTCCAGCTTGATGTTGGCATTCACAGGGCCACTTTCAAAGATTCCAGGACCCTTCGTATCGAAGCTCACTCGATTTCCATGGGCGTTGGAGTCGATTCAAGGAAAGCATATGAATTTCACCCATCGATTGTTTCAGAGATATGGCGATATTGTTCGAGTTGGTAGGTGCTGCTTAAGGACTTGCACACAAATTGGGCTTCCCGTTAATTATTCAAGCACCTACCACGGTCTTGATTGCCGATAAGGCTGGTATCCAGAAGATTCTCGTTGAAGAAGATCTGGTGAAAGCACCGTTCTTTGACGCGCTGCGACTTCATCCGGGCAATCCGATGCTTGTCACGGAGAGGAATAAGGCATCACACAAGAGCACAGTAACTAGACCCCTTCCGAGTAGATCTTCCTCTCACGAAACAATCCTTAGAGACGACTGCTATCTGTCGGCTTCTCAGTGAGCTATCTAAACGGACTTGAATCGCTCATGCAAGAATGCATCGAAGAATTTGAGGGCTTCCTTGATTCTGAATGCCAGAATAATCCCGGGAGAGCAATCATTGATATGCAGGGCGTGTTGAGTAACTTGACATTTGTAGAGCTTGAATGATTGTCTCGAAGATCTCCAAAACTAACGAAAACAGGATGTCATGAGCGCCACATCGCTAGGTGGATCCTCGCATCTGGTCACATCTAATGATACGAAGCTCAAGAAAACATTTGTATCGATCTTGGTGAAAGCTGCCATCAACGGGCAGTTTCCTTACCTGAGATACATTCCGTTCTGGCCTCAACCGATATCAGCTGAGATGAACAGGCTACTGGAAAATGTTCTCAAGAAGCGAGATATTGCAGGTCAACCAGCCAAGAGGGATATTGTCCAGATTATTCTTGATGCGCACCAAACGGATCCTGTAGGTTTCCCAGAAATCCGCATGAGAGATGAGATTACCATGTTCATGTAAGACTCCTCCTATGCATTTTTGTATAATGTACAAAAGCTCACGAAGGTTCAGGGTAGCAGGGAGTGAGACAACCAGCGCATCAACTACCGCGATTCTATTGCATCTTGTCAACAATCCAGCGAAGCTCAAGCTGTTGGAAGAAGAGATTGAATCGAAATTTTCTGAAAATGATGAAATCACTTTTGCCAAGCTTCATGATTTGCCATACTTGAACGCCGTGATCTGGGAAGGCTTAAGACTGATGACGGCCCCTGCTGGTTCGTACGGGTCTGTTTGAGCCCACGGAATGCTGAAGATATAACTAGGTCTTTTGAGATACACAGAAAAGCCAACCATTATAAGCGGATACGAAATACCTTCCAATGTATGTATGGGCCGCTGAGCACCGTGTTTTTGGTACTAATCACCAAACAGACAATCGTTCAACCCTGGCCTATGGCACTGATGAAAGATCCTCGCATCTGGCCTGATGCAGATAGCTTCATACCGGAAAGATGGCTTGGGGTGTATAAAGGAGTCGAGGCTAATAGGAGTGACGTCCTTGCATTCTCTGCTGGGTCGAGAAACTGTATTGGATGGCAGTAAGTTTCTCTGTTCTACACCTCAATCAGCGACGAGCTAATTGATGATGCGACAGATTTGCAATGAGAGAAATGCGTCTCATTCTGGCAAGACTGGTTCGTAGGTATGAATTAAGTTTGGTGGAGGGACAATCGCATGAGAGGAGGTATCATTCTACTCCTTGGTTTGTGCAAGGGTTTTATAAAGTTGGAATCAAGCAGAGGCAGCCTAGCCATGCGTGACATACATTTAAAACATTCTTTGATTGTATTCGGAGTTATGAACTCAAACTGAACGATGATTCATGTAGCATTTCAGTAATATACTACAAGGCGTACGGAGGACCCGGTACAATATAATAGAGAACTAACGTACCCTGACATTCTCAGTCTATCGCATTCATGGCTTGGATGACGTTCCTTGGAATATTTTTGCGGTGAGGGGTACCCTAGCGAGCCCCCTATTTCTTTGCCGAGCGAATCATACACCGCAGTAAGTGTTCAACACCTATCTTTGTGCTTCCGTGTAGGGTTTGTTGGGATTTTCTGTGTTTCGTATGGTCATAGGCACCCATGTGGCTCGCATGCACTGGCTACTATTTAGAAGTGGCTAGTAATTTTTGGGGTGAAAGCAAGGAAAGAGGGCCTATTTCAGAAGGGACCCTCAAAAACTGTTATTACTAGACAACTAAATTATGCATAACTATAATATTCCGAGCGAATGCCTATGGACAAGGGGTAATTGTCTGTGTCTACATATAATGGTTTTAACCATGTACGTCATCGAGCCCACAGAGTCTAAAGTGACTCTTCCCAGCCCAAGCTGGAATTTGTCCAACCCACCAACCAATTAGCCGCTTGACTCTGAATAGTATAATTCGTGTTAAAGCCTTGGACCGTAGTCATCTTTCCACACGACCCATCTGACTTGGAGTTACCTGTGAACTTGTCTTTAATCCAACTCATCCACTTTATGCGACTAGCCTGAATAACGGGGAAATGCTCCATGTCATTGTAGACGTACGCTTCGAGACTCTGGTCGCAACTTGCGTCGCAGCTAGCGTTGATGCCACTTGAGAGCTGGTCGATGGATATTACGTCGTTGCTGCCAGCGATGATGAGGAGAGGGCCTTGGAATTCTCTTCCGCTGACATGGTATTGGTCTTGCCATTGCTGCACGATACTGTCGTTGGTCCATCCGGGGATTGCGAAATCAGTGACATCGGCATAAGCCAAGCTGTTGGTTGGGAGGCAGCCTTGTAAAGGTTTGACGACATTCTGATATCGATCGTAAGCTATCGGACTCATGCCCGAGTAGTTGTAGGACGGAAAGACCGCGGTGATGCCAGCAATTATGATAGGCTGAAGGCCGATGATGGTAGTAACCCAAAGAGGAAGAGACGCAATTGGAATTGTGGTTGTGGCAATCGTCTGCAAAGCCGCATTCAGCTCGTCAATGACTCTCATAGGCGGAGAAATCGTAATGGTACCAAGGTAGCCTGATACTTTTGTGTGTGCTTGACGTTCTGCAAAAGCCCAAGCGACATTTCCGCCTTGTGAATGACCCATGGTGACAAACGGACCCTCTGGCTCGAATTGGGCCGGGAATGCTTTTCTCGTAGCCTCGACAGCATAGGCGACATCGTTGGCTCCAGCTGCGCCTGCAAGGTAGGCGTGCGACTGTTCTCCATTTGGCAGAGTGGTAACTCCCAACCCAGCATAATCGGTTGCGACGACAGCGAAACCTTCTATCGCTAACGAGTATGAGGTCATGAACTGGTACTGTAGAGACCGATAATTACTCGGGGCGCACGCTGCAAAGAGCCCAGCAGTTCCGTGTGCCCATGCTACCATGGGGAATTTTCCCGAGGCAGTCTTCGATGTTTTGCCGACGTTGTATTCGAAAGGAGCATATGGCCAGAGGACAAAGGCAGATGCAGGCACAATCGTCCCATTGAGACTCATTGACGTGTACATGATGCGAGACATTGTAAGACTGGAAGGAACGGTGTAGTTGGTCAAGTTGGTATGAGTTTCCACACTGAGAAGGGTGCCAGGCTCCATGGAAGGTGTAAAGTTGCTCGGAATGCTGTAGAAGTCGTCTAAGGGATAATGAGCGTGTGCGCTATGCTCATACGCAATAGCGAGAGGTACAAGCTCTTGACATTCTGCTCCGCAGGTAGAACTACCGTTCAAGGCTGGAAGTGAAGCCTGAGCGTTGACGCACGGGAGTACGAGGAGAAAGGCAATATCTACTAGACGATTGGGAATTACTGAGAGCTTCATTTCGACAAAAGAAGAGAACTAAAGTTGCGAAAGATGTTGCAAATCATGGAAGCAGGAACCGTCCATTGTTTATATAAATTTTCAGGCGAGTTCAGCTAAAGAAAAAAAATTAAATCTGCGAGCTGCAGGCACGAACAAACATCATTTGACGTACAGTACGAGAATGCCTTCTCATCATCTTAAAGTTCGTATGCATGCTAAGTGCCCATGTTGAAAGCAATAATCCCCATTCGACCTCCACATATTTGTCATATCTCGTGCGCCCCCTCTCGACGAAGCCATGATTAAGCGAACACGCCCCTTGCACAGTTAGCGAGTACGCCCCCTGCACGATCAACAAGAGATGCCAAGCCAAACATTGATTTGATATTGGTATTATTTAATTCTCTTACGCAGAGGCCACAATTGACAGCACCGTCCTAAGTCACCTATTCGGCGATTTTCTTTCAGAGTTCTCGGCTAAGCCTGTTCTCACTACTCAAATCCGCGGGAAATCGAGTTTTAAACGGGCCGCAGCTTATGGTGTGAGAATCCAATCTACGAGATCGAAGAACCCTTGAGAGACAAAGATTTCCAGCCAATTGTAAAGCTGTATTTGCACGGTTGTCGGAGATTTGGGAAAGAAAGGTTGCATTAAAGTGAGTTGAGATGGAACGTAAACGTGGATAACATGTAGATTTGAGAGAACTCCCCACAATCCATAATGCAAATACCGTGATCCCGCTTCAATCAGGCAGGAGACATTAATAATGAGTTGTATTTAAGCAAAGCAAATGTCATGCTGAGCAGAATCACTAGAGTCTTCTCACAATATCTCTATCCAAGATCTCAAGCTCAACGTTCGAAATGGCATCCCTTTTTGTCGCTGCGTTGGCCTTCACTCTAGCGACAACTTCTACAGCGGCTCCAGCTCTTACCGAGAGAAACTGTATAAACCTCCAACTTTCCGTGCCAGTGACGGCAAACACAACCAATTTGGACGTTCCACGAGTCGACAACAATGTAGACGCAGTTGACCTTGTCTGGAACATTGAGAGATGGACAGCCCCAAATACCACTGCACGCATCACGGGCACAAACCTTATCCAACAAACCTTCTCGATCAATGCTCAGCTTTGTGTGCCAAACAACTCGACCAAAAATGTCTTGCAGATTGCTACACACGGGTTTGGATTCGAGAAGAGGTGAGATTTTCTTCTGATATGGGAATTGTGAAGTAGATTCTGAGTACATTAGTATGAGGCTGACTTCACAAGGTATTGGGACTCCGAGTTGCATCCAGAGTTGTATTCATATGTAGAGGCATCCCTGGCAGCAGGATACTCTATACTCACATACGATCGGCTTGGAGTTGGGCGATCTGATAAACCGGATGCGTATGACATTGTACAAGGGTCGGTCCAGGTCGAGATCATCAAGGAGCTCACTCTTATGGCTCGTGCTGGTAGCCTCACGACATCTTCGAGTATCCAGAATACAGCAATTCCCAAGTTCGATAAAATCGTCCTCGTTGGTCACTCGCTCGGCTCCGCATTAACACTGGGCGTCCTCACAAAGTACGGGAATTTGGTAGAAGGAGCAGTATCTACTGGCTTCATTATCGAAGGAGTAACAGGACTTGTATCAGACGACGCGTTTGGCTTAGAGTATGCAGCAAGTAACGACCCACAACGATTCAGCGATCGCGGCAGCGGCTACATGGTTCAAGCTACACAAAGTAATGCTCAGCAAATCTTCTTCAAGAAAGGACATTTCGAGCAAGAGATGCTAGAATACGCGGTGAGCATCAAGGAGACAGGTACTGTTGGAGATTTTGTGAGTCTAGGCTTGGTACTAGGTCAGCCCGCGTTGGAGTTTACAGGGCCGCTGCTAGTAAGTGCCAGAACACTCGTCCCGAATTGTGTCTGATCTCCGGCCGTGCTAACTTGGGAATGTAGTTTGCACTCGGGGAGTATGACTACGCCATTTGCAATGGAAACTGTACAGGTTTCTACGACTTACCAGCGCTGAAATCGAGCCTGTTCCCGAACGCCACTGACTTGACCGCGCATGTTCAGCCTGGAAGCGGACATGCTTTGACCATGCACACCAATGCCACTGGACAATTCCAAGCCATCTTTAAATATCTCGAGAGCAATGGTTTGTAAGGATGAGCGGATGTGAAAGGGTTTCGCGGTGGGAAAACGAAGAGTGGGGGAGTGGTGCAGGAAATGTGGTGGAGTAGAGGATGCGTTTTATTCTATTCTTTTTGCTTGCCTGCTGTGTGAGTCGTCGACTATATAGCATAATAGTCTTTTGCAGGTCCTACAGTTGCACATGTAGTGATGCAAGTGGGGTTCTTAAATTTAGTGCTGAGGGTGTTGTTGAGGGTCGTAAAAAGGATGCATCGTTGACTTAGGTACATGTAGAAGCTAGACGACGGGACATAATGCAAGTCCTCGAACTATTGCATTACACTACTCGTATCAACCTACCAATGAAGCTATGAGAGATGAGTCAGTACGGCCAGCATACAATTCCAAATTTCTGGGGTAGTGATGTGTTGTAGTAACGTAAGCATCGAACGCCAAGGTGCGGCGAAGCAACCGCTAATCCAACTAAGGTAAAGAAAACAGCAAAAGGGACCTTGGCGCCTGCAGATCCCATCTTTGAGCATGCAGGTTAGTCAGATCCATTGTATCGGGGCGAGTTCGGGTCAGCCTGCAGCAAGATTATTTCCTGCAGGTACGATAACCGTCGGACACAGATGAAATGGAGGTTGACACCGCCACATCGCGGAGGGGTAGAACTGGAATTGAGTTTTAACGAGAGAGCAAAAGAAAACGTCACAATCTTCTTTTACGTTTTCCCCACACTCCACTTGGTATCAGCGAACTCGGAAGCAAGAGGATCGGATCGATGAAGATATACTCATTCATGACAAAAGTCAATCGAACGTCCGAGATGCAAATGTCGAGTCCCGAGGATCATGAAAAACAGAGTCAGGAATTCAACAATTCCCGACCAAGACGCTCTCATCGGAAGTCGAGAAACGGGTGTTCCGAATGCAAACGACGAAAAGTTAAGGTGAGCGAGCAGCTGTAGCCTGCATTCCTAACTTTCCTGTAGTATGTAGCTAACACGCCTCAGTGTGATGAGGCAAAACCGACGTGCGGGCGTTGTCATTTAGCTCTGCAAAAATGCAACTACCTACCAGCACCATCTACAGATGACCGGAAGAACAAACTTGTCCTCCCGAGCCCTCCACGCAGCTCCTCTTCTTCATCAACGCACCGTCTCTCAGCTTCGGAATTTCTCCCACCATTGTTTGAGGTACCTTCTTGCTCAACTCCACCATTGGTGATATCAGAGCTCTGCGCCCGTTTTCAAACGTTATCTTGGCCTCTGTCGGATACTGATCTGTATCATCACTATCTACTATATACGAGTCGTACATTGACTCACTGCCAAAGAGATCAAGGTGTATTTCAAATCGGCATGCCGACATTGGCGTTGCAGCACAAAACTGTCTTCCACTCCATTCTAGCACTCTCTGCAACATCCATATGTTGCAATATGATTTCCAGAGAGCCTCCTCCTGATCCGAGTGCAGTCAGCCACATTTTGGTCACTGCCAATGAACACTACAATATGGCGAGCGAGCAGATGAGAGAATTGATGTCACAACCACAGATTTCGAAACCTGAACCGCTGCTGGCAAGTACCATACTGTTGGTACCGTTCGCTGCTGCAAGTCAACAAATTCACCACTGGATCTGGAGCAAGAGTGGGATAAAAAAATCAAACAAGCTCCTGGCCAGTACGCCAAGAGATATCATAGTCATCATGCGAGGAGTACGGACAATGCTTCAAACACTAAGTTACGGAAATGAGAGTCCGAGTATCAAAATGACTCAAGAGACAGATTTGGAAACCGACAGCTTATGGTTGACAGAAATTGGTACTCCACTACACGCGTCACCTCTGCGATCACGGACCCATGTCATGTTCCCAATCATCGCTGCAAGTATTGGAGAAGCCTTCTCCAAGCTCCAAGAGCGTCTCGCACTATCTACCACTATGGTCCATGGAGATTTGTGTGACCTAACTGCTTGCTACAGCGCATGTGAAGTTCTAAAGACCATTGGAAATACCACTTTTTCTCCCTTCAAAGCATCAAGATCTGCATCACTAAGCAATATCATCGAAGATTCTGCCCAGCTCAAACTCAAAGAGGCTTCCTTACCACAAGTCGCGCCATGGCTCCGATCCTACGCGATCAGACACGGAATCCCGGAACCGAATGAGCCATTGACCAGGTACTTCCTTACTTTTCTCGTCCAGGTACCACAAACTTATCTTGATCTCGTGCTTCCACTTCTTGACCAGAGACTGGAAAGCCCATCTGAGGATTGCCCGCCATTGACGATGGAACAAGCACTTGCGCTGGATATATACGCGCATTGGTCTATCCTCATGTTCCTAGTCGAGGACGAGTCGTGGTGGATCGGGAACCTACCAGTGGTGACGATGACGGGGATGCTGAATAGATTCGGTGACGATTTTGTGGCGCGAGCGTGGCCTGAATACGGGAGAGAGCAGTGGTGGCCGGGGAGGATGTTCAATGTACTGCGAGAGATCAAGCGGCGTCGATAAAGAATGTCAAAATTATGAGCCATTAGACAGAATACATTTGCTCGTTTGCAAAGTTTCTTGATATCGTGATCTCTGAGATATAAATCAGCTTTTCTTCACAGTATCAGAAAGTTGTTTCACATTCGACATCTCTGACTACTAATTTCGAAATCTTTGGCCGAGTCTCTCACACACGTAAGATTATTATTCTCTTTTCCCCTTAAATTAGCCGGAAGCCGAAACGACGTCCAAGGACGCATTGCGGGGTATACATTTGGCGGGGTAAGTTCGTGGCGGGGTAAGCGAGGAGTAAGCGAGGCTGGTCAGGGGGACGCATTTCGCGATGGCTTCTAGATGGAATTTTCGCTTCTGATAATAGGAGAGTCCCTTTAGCTTACTACGTATGAACCACTGGCAAGATATAAAATCATCATTCAGAGATGCATACAATTTCAAATATTGAATATCGACATCATGGTGGGGGTTTTTTTTTCATGTAACTCTGATATCGAGTTGACAATCTTTATCAGCTTTACTCAAGGCATACTTGATTTTGGATGACGGTACTTGATGCTCAGTAATGGACTTTCCACGGTGACTTAGAATTGTAGTTGACGATCAGGAAATCAGCACTCACCCACAAGCGAAAATAACCATACCATTTCATTGCTCTGAAAGCCTTTGACCAGACTGGATAGGTTGTGCGGCTTATTTGCCATGATGAATTGGATACTGGGCAGCATAAAAAGATTTCTGACTCCATCCATGAAAAGGAAACATTAGGAATTTTCAGGACAAGAGTATCTTGAAGTCATGCTCCCAGGAATATCTCGGCACGTGTCCCGCAGTTGGTCAATCTTCGCACAATTGAGTGGGGGGTTTTTTTTGGTAGAATGAGTAGACCGTAATCAGTCTCCACGATGATGACTCTGATAGTACTAGTCTGAGAGAGTTCCGTGACCTCTCTTCTTGTTACAAGCAAGGAAGAGAAAATTTCGTCATGTGCCGGGTAGTGTCGAGCCGCGGGACGAACCCACCCGCGGGATGCCGTACTCTACACGAGGCCTCGCAACTTCACTTATGATGCAGCTTCATGCTATTGACAGTGTAATAGACATGGGAGCTCTGGGTATTTTGTGATGTTAGTGAAGTGTAGACATTTGACATTATAGAATATATTCCATAGATGTTAAACGTTCCCGATACAATCTATCTCCGAACAACCAACTTCACACTTCAACATGATTTTACAACTAGCTCCTCACTCTCGAGGAAGGAGAAAGGCTCTCCCTGCAGTGATGATGAGAGCAGGTACATCCAAAGGACTATTCATCCATCGACATGACCTCCCTGCATCTGAAACGGAATGGGCGCCTATTCTGCTCTCGGCGATGGGTTCTAGATACGCATCATTACGCCAGATTGATGGTGTAGGAGGAGCAACTTCAACTACTTCCAAGATTGCGGTAATTGGAAAGTCTGAAAGGCCAGGGGTTGATGTTGAGTATACGTTTGTGCAGGTCGCGGTTGGGGAGAGCAAGATCGATATGAGTGGGACGTGTGGGAATATGGCGAGTGGGGTTGCGCCGTTTGCGGTGGATGAGGGGTTGGTTGATGTTGTGGAAGGACAAACTGAGGTATGTGCGTGAACACAGATCGGACGATTTGGTCAAAAGCTTGACTTCAACATCTTCTTATGGGTGTTTCGTCTTGGTATGGAACGTGACTGACTATCTTAGATCACAATCATGGTGTACAACACGAACACGAAGCAAGAATTCCTCGAAACAATCCAACTAGACGACCAAGGACGATTCAAAGAAGAAGGAGATTTCATGATAAGCGGCGTACCAACACCTGGAAGTCGAATTGATATCTCATTCGTCCACCCAGCTGGGAGCATGAAGGGGAAATTACTTCCCACCGGGAATCCGCAAGACATCATCACAATCCCTGGAGCACCAAGCGTTTCCGTCAGAGCAAGTCTGGTAGATGCTTCAAACCCAATCATTTTCGTCGATGCAACAACCATGCCAGCAATCTACCACGATCTAGGTCCAAACCACATCCAGTCTCTGGACCTAGTCGAGAGCATCCGAAGACAAGGCGCTGTCCTCTACGGCTTGGCATCCAGCATCGAGACAGCAGCTCTAGTTCGCGGAACGCCAAAGATCGCCATGGTTTCCTCAGCATATCACCCTGATGTCGAGATTCAACCTGATATCACGGTCTTGGCGTATAGTATGGGGAAGATGCATCCGACGCTGCAACTTACTGGCGCAGTATGTCTGAGTGCTGCAGCGAGCATTCCAGGGTCTGTTGTAGCGGAATTGGTTATGCTGAATTCGGCGGATACTCCGCCCAGGTCACCGGAACGGGACTCAGCTGATGCGTCGAAGGAAGAGCACAAGGATTTGGTCATCAAACATCCTTCGGGAGTTATGTCGTCGAATACTGTGGTTTCGGTTGATGACAGTGGCGCGCTGACGGTGGAGAGCGTGAGTGTGTATCGGACGGCCAGTCGGTTGTTCGAGGGATATGTATATTATAGTGTTTGATCGGTGCAAGGCGTATAGAATAGAATATAGAGAGCGTATTGCAGTTCTAATAGAATCTCTTTCACGATAAGCCTGTCACCAGTGGATAAGCGCTCTGCTAGCCTCCAGGAAATGCTGCCGGATCCTCATTTGATCAACTGCTGAATTGAAGTTGTCCTTTGTTGGCGACAAAATATCACAGAATCTCCGTCGCTGAAACAATCTAGTGATGCAAGTCCCAAGTCCCAAGCGTGTAGGTAGTCAATCAGTATAGCTCTCTCAACGGCGTATCTGCTCTGGAATTCACAGCGAATCAGCATTTGGGGGCATATATAATGCGAACTTCTATTACTATCCCGCAGAGTTATCTGTCATCCTGAGCTGGCCCTTTGGTAAAGTCATCAAGAGCCGAGCCATTAAATCCAAACAGCATGTCGTTCGTAGAGTAGTCCGCCGGTGGTTGATTTGACCAATACAAATGTGGATTGATATACATCCCATCCGACATCAGAGGCTGGTGAAAAGGGCCATTGGAATAAGATGGAAATGTAGCAGACGAGATTTGATGCGCTTCGGGTTCCATGGTTGCAGTTGGGGATGAAGTTTGCTGCTCATGAACAAAGCTTTGAATAATTGCATCGATATCGAGATCTGGAGCAATTTGGTTCTGGTGCCCTTCTCCTATCACGATGGTAGGTTGTATAGCAGTGGTCTGCAAGTTGGGGACGGAGTAACCGGTTTTTTCGTGTGATAAAGTGGGAACTGCGCTGCCGGCTTGTTCGTTCTCCAAGTCGATGTTCCCGTAAAGATCTGGATCTCCACTGATAGGAACCTTCATTCGATTCAGTAGATTTAGAATGACGGCTTTTGCACGCCTGACAGCCCAATTGTTCTCCTGGTTCTCGTTGAATACAGAAATACAAGCGCGAAGACTTGCATGTGCTTCCGAAGTAGGTCCTCGATGAGCAGCGATGCGGACATGGATTGTCGCCGCGACATATGTTGCGTACGAAATTAAATATGGGGCTCTTTTGATGGAGTACGCTCGGTGATAGGTTTGCAGAAGTTGAACGATTGTCTTTGCTGCTGCTGCACAAATGACGAAAGAGTTCACGGCGATATCTGGAGATGCTGTGTGAAGGTGACCATCAGATACAAATGGCCGATGAAGCAGGATTCGAAGAACATTATACAAGGCACTTCGAGATGTCAATAATTTGAAAGATAGAACATGGGTGGTTGCAAGGCTTACTGTAAAGATAAAGCGTGTGGTGGAGGAGCTACAGCGTTGTTGGCCGATGGATCAAACCTCAAATGAGCAGGAAGTCCGTGATCCCAAATCACAAGGTCTGAGTTTATTGACTTCAGATCTTGAGTAAGTTTGTCAGAACCACGTTTCGCACTCTTCTCCCCATAAACCTTGTTCAATATGTCGTTCAAGATTACGCATAATTTGCAAAGTTCTGTGAATGTAGAAACGCTGTAGGCTGGCGTTCCAGGATGATGAGACGTTACGGAGTAGGCGAATGGAGTCCACTGCTCCAATTCTTCGTAATGATCCAGAAAAACCATTGGTACGCTACCAATTAAGTTCTTATCCAAGCTGACAGGTCGTCCTTGATACAGTGACTGAATCTTATCAACCACAAAAGCACCCCAAAACACTCTCCGGCGCATCTCCAGGTCTTCGATCTTCAGTGGTTTCGTGCCGGAATGTATTGGGGCATCTGAGTGTAAGCCGAGGTCGATAATCATTCGAATAGCGATTCCGGCATATATCCAGGCAGCATTTCTCTCATCGCCAAGAGCAAAGAGTGAACTTGTCATGACTAGTAACGCTTGTATCGTCGTAATTTCGCTGCGGTTCAGGGCATCGCCCAACAACTCCTTGACACGCTGCCTATATCTCCATCCAGCGGTTCTGACATCTTGAGGATCTCGCCGTACTTCCGTTCGAGGGCTGAACTTCGATGCTCCAAAATAGATGGCATTCAGTAAGAGCTTGCTGAAGTATGGTCCATCGCAAGCCATGTCTCTCATGAACACCGGCCGATAGGTAAGTAGAAATGAATGATGCTGGCGATTTCAATGTAGAGAAAGCAGCTGATTGCCTAACTCAGGGTCAACTCCATCAAAATCCAATTTGCCAGAATTGTAGTTGATGAGCTCCCATTGCCCTATCGAAAGTCAGAGCTTTCACTAGAGTCAGGAAATGTGGACTTACGCTGTGTCGATGCAAATGCTGTCAATCTCTCATCTCCAAACTGGCGATCTACAGTCGCATCGTTTCGATTTTCTTCGCCAGGAAAGTCGTCATAAAGAGTGCTGGTTAAGCCATGATAGCTAGCACGTCCATTCGCCGATGTGAATATTCCCGAAACAGTGGCCTGTGGACCAGATCTCTCTTCATCACCAGATGCATCTCCCAGAATTGTCTCCGATGGGATTGGTTGGCCTGACTGGTTTGGGGGTGGTAGAGGAACGGTGTCATTGCCTCTTGAAGATGCGTTCGACGGAGATGGGGCATTGCTACCTTCCGTAGAACTCAGGCGTTCACGAAATCTCCTGTTCTCTTCTTCCAACTCAGCGATCCTAGACTTCGAAGGTCTAGTTAAACAGTCAGTCCCAAATCAAGTGTGGTAGAATGATCAATGTATCTCACCTCGCTGCCGGCATCAAAGGAACATATCTGCACTCTTTCTGATGCAAGATACAATTTTCGCAGGATGCATGCGAACCATCGTCACGAAGTACCAAGCTGCATCTCAGCTATCAACACACAATCAGTACTCTTTTTCTCCATTGAGGAAGCCACATCCTGATCACGTGGAGAGGATCTTGCGCGCACTCATGATTGGACAAAACATGTCGGGACAGTAATCACCTTTCTCATACGACAGAACGTACAGGCCGCACTCGTCCTAGTCCTCCTCTCCTGTCGTTGAGCTTTTCTTCGCTTCTCCATAATTGCTGATGCACACACAGACAGATGAAGGATGTTGACGGAGCGTGGAGAGTCTGTGTCCGCGACTCAATGTCATGACTGATCTGCGGAGTATTTGAACCCGCGGGAGCTCAGTGGGGACCTTGGTGAACACTTTACTCCTAAGAAAGCTAAGTGCTGATTTTGGCGCTTGGTTCGGCTAAGGAAGGGTGGCCCCTGAACGAGGAAGTCTCCATATCGCTATTTCCGACGGGCTATGTCAGTCCGCGAAAATCGAAGATGGAAATGATACTGAACGGGGCACAATAGGCCGCATGGACTGCCGTAAAGAAAGCCGTGTTAGCGAAACCTTATCACTTTACCACGACGTTCTTCAGCTGGAAGTCAAAAGAGATACTGGAGATCCATATTCAATGCATCAGGTTGTGTGTTGAACACAAAGCTATCAATCCATTCGAACCGGAGCTCACACGTGCTCAAAATCAGTATATCCAATCATGGTAGCAATTCAGGAACCAGTAACTACACTTAAACCTGCAGCCAAAGTGTTGCCCGGTAAAAAGACCAAGGTATTTTGTCCACGTTGGAGCTTGGGACACCTGCTGACTGCAATTTAGCCATACATCTCTCCATATGTGTCCCTTGCGGGCGGTGTTGCGGGTGGGTTCGAGGCCGCCATGACGGTACACATGTCCACGCTTCAGCCGCGTGTTACACTCAACTGATGTGTAACGTAGTATCCTTTCGAATTTGCCAAAACAAAAGTACAACTGCGGGGAAATTCTTCGACCACCAACCCATTACTCGTCATTCGAAATGTTGTTCAGAGTGACGGTATCCGTGCTTTATACACGGGGTGTTCAAAGCTGGTCGTAGTAAGTAGTCTGTACTCCCACGCATCAGGAAGACAGGAAGATATATATTTATTCAAATTTTTAGGGAACGGCATTCAAGGCCAGCGTACGGTTCTTGTCGTTTGATTCAATCCGAAATGTACTCGCTGATGATGCTGGGAAATTGTCTCCTGCTCGAGGTATACTGGCCGGCATGTGTGCCGGCATTGTCGAAAGCGTGGTAGCAGTCAACCCCCACGGAGAGAATAAAAACAGCATTGTGAGTTATAGTGCTGGCCTATACCACTGGACATGAACTAAAAGAATTTCCTCAGAATCGACGACGCAAAAAGAGAGCATCGATTTCACGGCGGATTGCACGCAGCACGCACCATGATCAAGGAATCCGGCGTCTCAGCCCTCTATCGCGGCCTCTTATGGACAACCGCTAAGCAATGTTCTACTTCAGCTGTAAGAATGGGCTCTTACAACGTTCTACGAGAGAGTTTGAAAGAGCGTGGTGTGAAGCAGACCCCAGTAGTGACCTTTGCTACCGGAGCGGTAGCTGGGACCGTGACCGTGTACGCCACTCAGCCTTTTGATACGATGAAGACACGATCCCAGGCTGCTGTTGGAGCCAAGACCTCGGATGCGATAAAGAGTATTCTGAGTGAGAACGGCGTGAGAGGGTTTTGGAAGGGAAGCACGATGAGGCTTGGGAGGTTGGTTTTTAGTGGGGGGATTGTGTTTAGTGTTTATGAACAGGTTGCTGCGTTACTTATACCCTTGCAGAAACAGAGGATGTTATAGAGCTGTAGCATAGGAATGCAACTATAAGTAAATATGTAGTATTCTTGAATAGCAGCTGTGAGAGTAGTGCTGCAAAAAGAGTGTTGATTCTGCGAAGTGTTGGGTGATCCCGCACTCAGCATCAGACCTAACACTACAAAGAGATAAAAGAAGACCGAAAATTAATTAAGATAGTAAAGTGGATTCGATGCGCTGAACCTCCAATTCGTGCGCTCACTTAGTCGATCACTGCAGCCCCACTATTGCCTTGGGATCTCCCGCGGCTCTCTGGCTCTCCGCTGACACTTTTCCGAAAGTCACCGCTGTAGCTGCTGCTCGTCTTGTTTGACACATCCCAGTATGATTTATCTATATACTTGTATATCACCATGACCACAACTTCCATTACTGCTAAGATGGCCGAACATTCAACCATTTCCCTGACCACAGACATTGGTCATCTGCAAGCCCGTGTACAGAAATGCAAAGGTGTAGACATAGTCAGCTGTCTGAACATCTCCTTCGCAGATATCTCTTATCGCTGGGCAGCACCAATTTTATCATCAGTTCCATGGGATGGCGTGAGAGATTGTACAAAATTTGGTCCTCAATGCCCTCAAGCAAAAGACCCCCTATTTCCAGGCCACCATCTGCCTGTGTTTGGAAACCTGGAGCAGGGAAGTTATCCTGTTCAGAGTACTACGTCGGACGAATTTAAATGTCTAAATTTGAATATACTTGCTCCTCTGGAAAACTTGAAGAAGACCGATGCCAAGGAAAAGCTTCCAGTGCTCGTCTGGGCACATGGCGGTGCGTATTGGACGGGTTGTGGAAGTGTTGAACTATACGGTAAGAATTGATTCTCCGACTTGAAAATGTGAAGCAGCTAAAGTTGGTCAGATGCATCTAATATTGTAGCTCGCTCTGTGACAATTGGCAGCCCGTTGATAGTCGTTACTTTTAATTATCGACTTGGCGTTCTTGGATTCTTGCATTCTCGTGAGCTGGCTCTCGATGCTCAATTCCAGAGCAACGTTCCTTCAGAGTTCAGATCCACGGCAAATTTGGGCATTTTAGATACCTTTAGAGCATTTGAATGGGTATGTGTATAAATCATAAATTTCTGATCGTGCTGATAGATTTGTACCTCTAGGTGAAAAAGCATATCGGAGCATTTGGCGGATACCTCCATAACATAACAGGTATGGGGGAGTCTGCTGGTTCTGGTAAGAAAATCGGCCTCCGATAACTCTCTTTTCTAATGAGGTGATAGCGATTCTCAACATGACATCTGTCCTACCGCATCTCCACCTCAAAATACCACGCATGATCCTCTCTTCCTCGACCATGTTCTCCAATCACCTGCTGCCAAAACGTGAAGCACAAAAGTGGTTCGAAAATATTTGCACACGAATTGGGGTCACAGATCCATGTAGCTCAGTAGCAGCCTTGCGTGCACTTGATGTGGATACTCTAATCGAGAAAACGAATTTTGCACGTATTTCGTTCAGACCGATCCTTGACGGTATGACCATTCCTTACGACCCACGGCAAGTAATTTTTGATTACACGCTGTGGGATGATTGCTTAGAACAGATTGTCATCGGACATTGCGAGAATGAGGTGAGATTGTTATGGTTTGTCTTCGATGCGTACTAAATGGATTTGCAGTCATTTTTGAGATCAGCCACTCACCGTGGAATGGTGCCTCCACTTGAAACGACGATCGCCGGACGGGTTCCGCCAATTGGGAATCTACGAGCAAGAGCCATGGAAATATACGAAGAGAGTAAACTTTCGAACTTCACATGGTTCAGTGGAAAGAATGACAGAAAGGCCACTCCCTCGGCGCTTTGCTGGCTGGCCTTGGATAGTCATGCACGGTATTATGCTACGACTCAGCTACTCTCCGAAAGTTTTATTCGCTCAAGATATCCTGATGAGTCAAAGCCGACGTACAAGTATATCTTCTCTTGGGCGCCTCAATTTTGGCCGAAAAGCTGGCCGGCTACGCACACCGCGGATATCTTGCCCATGTTCTTACATCGAGGACTCTCTGATAATGAATTGCAACACGCACATACCTTTGCGGATCTCCTTATCCATTTTGCGGCCAAGGATACAGAAGCTATGTTTTGGAAACCGTACGAAGCTGGTGACGGGAACCGGAAGCTTAATCAGTTTCAAAGAAATGGAAGTTGGACTGTCATGGATGAAGACAGTGGCGAATTTGGCCTGCGAAAAGATATAACTGACTTTTGGAGGGATGTGGTTGAAGCAGCACTTGACATAGGGATGGAAGGTTGGGAAGGCATGATTCGATAGCTTAGTGACAAATCCAATCCATCGTTCACTAATGACAGCAGTGTGGCCTTTTCCATATTGATTGAAACTCCCATCAGTGCATCACGAGGTGGTCCAATTTTGGCCCTCTGAGTGATCTACAAGCATCTTAGGCGAGAATAGGCGACGTAATAAGCGTGATACCCCTGATCCTAACCCATGGCGTCGGGTCCGCTAGGGTGTTCCTGCAGCTGCAGCTCGAAAATCCCAGCACGTTTTCTGGAACAGAGCCTTACTGACGCTGCATCCTCAAAGAAATTTCACCACCAACCGCCATCACAACAAATTTTTATAATATGCAATGGTCTTTTGCAAAAACAGAGACTCATGGCACCTGTGTTACAGTGCGTGATACGAAATCATGACGAGCCGTGGTACTGTGGGTCGTGTTGGTGTGACGAGGAAAGCGACGAGCCGCGGAAAGTTTCTCGCCGCGGCAAGCAATTCCGACACGATTGCAACCCTGACCCAGAGTCCTGGAAAAGTGGAAAGTCTGTCTTACCTGCCCCGCAACGCGTACGCTGCATCAAATCAACAGAAAGTTGGCGAGTTTTGTGGTATGTCAGATTACCCAAGTACCCCATTCATGAGCGAACCCCGTGGGAATTCCCCACGGGGCGCAGGACAAGTCCTCTTCCATATTTAGTTGGCCCTGGTCCCTATGATGCCCACAACGATCTGCGATCTCCTCTCCTCTCCTCTTAGAAAGATTCGCTGTGGTAGAGTGTTTGCGCTAGCCATTGTACCTACTCGATAGACCAACTGTTGTCAACTCAGCCGCACTTCGATAATGGACCACAGTCCTAAATACCTGGGGATGCGCGGAGCGCGCCTCAAGGTCGCTATGGTGCTGCTTGTTGTTGCGCCAAGTTTTCTTCTGTTTGGATACAACAATGGTTCAACAGGAGGAATTCTCACACTCGAGAGCTTTGTGCATGTTTGTTGACTCTTCTCCCTTGGAAAAGTCACATGCTGATCGAGGAAAGCAATTCCCGAAACTCGACACTGTCAATACGAAAGGCAGTGTCAAAGCTCACAATTCGTTGGTGAAAGGTAAGAAAGAAATCTGGTGCTGCCTGCCGTGATTAATTCGTCTACAGGCGCCGTCACAGCAGCATATGACTTAGGAGCCGTTTTCGGATCTCTGAGCTGTATTATGTACAGTGACAAGATTGGTCGAATTCGCACGATTCTTGCAGGCTTGATACTAGCTATCATCGCTCTGGCTATTGAGTCCTCGGCATATACGGTCGCTCAATTCACCATCGGTCGAGTCCTCGTCGGTTGGGCCATCGGAACCATCTCAGCATCTGTTCCTGTGTGGCAGACAGAGTGTTCGACTACCAAGCATCGAGGAGCTTTCGTCATCTTGGAAGGTCTCTGCATCAGCGCTGGTATCACGACCTCTGAATGGGTGACTTATGCATTCACATTTGCCTTCTCTTCCTCCGCGGAATGGCGAGTCCCGCTCGTTCTCCCGGTTGTATTTGCTCTGTTCGTAATGCCGTTCTTGTTTTTCATGCCTGAATCGCCGCGCTGGCTCTGCCAAGGACGTCTCGAGGAAGCGAGAAGAACACTTGCCGCTCTGGCAGACGAGGATCTGTACTCTCTCGACGTCAGTGCAGAAATGGATCGTATTCAGCTATCGTTGGAGAGCTCGAGGGGAAGCTTGAAACTGCTGCTCACAAACGGCAAAGAACGCTACTTGCACCGGACCATTTTGGCCATGACAGGTTAGATGTTCCAGCCAATGTGCGGCATTTCGGCCTTGGTATTCTAAACCAGCACCATATTTTCAGATCTCGGATTCAAGGCTAACAAGTCCCGCATCTTGAGCTGCACCTTGGTCACCGCCCAAACATGCTGTTCTCTCATCCCACTCTTCACCGTCGATCGCTTTGGGCGGAGAAAACTCCTCATGTTCAGCGCTGCTGGCCTCGCTGTATGTATGGCTGTGATGGCAGGCACAGGTGGCTCGTCTACAACCGCGAGTGCTGCCGTTGTATTCATATACCTATACGACTTTTTCTACCCAATCGGCTTCCTCGGCTTGACATTCCTGTACGCCACAGAAATTGCTCCCATCCGCATGCGAGTACCCATTACAGCCATAGCCAACGCCACGCAATGGCTGTGTCAATTCGTCGTTGGCCAGATCTCTCCTCCCGGGACGACTAATCTGTCCAACCGCTACTGGATCATATTTGCCGTCTTGAACGTCAGCTTCGTACCGATCGTGTTCTTCTTCTTCCCGGAGACAAATGGCAGATCCCTTGAAGAAATTGATCACATCTTCGAAAATTCTCACGTTTTCAATGTCGTGAGTACTGCGCGGAAGTTGCCTTACCAGACGAACCAAGATCTAGAAGATATGCTGCACGATAAGGCAGGTCAGGAGCAGCCGAAGCACGTCGAAGACACAGACACCGACAAGGAAGGTGGAAAGATGTCAAAAGCGTGAGGTATTGAGAGAGCTCCAGACCGTGTCGAGGAGCCGTGAAGGAAGGTCGATAGTCTGTAATTAGCTGTATACATCGTAGAGAACAATTGGTGGAAAAAAATGAAGCAAAATATATCTAACATGTCATTCCTGGCTATGTAAAACTTGATCAACGTGAAATCGTATGGATGAGTAGTCGGATATTGGAGGACATAGAAATGAGAAAGAAGGGAGTGAGTGGCTGCTGGTTGATAGGACACGGCTGAAGAGCCTCCGCGGCTCTAGGTGGGCTAAAAGTGGAGCAACAAAATGGAGATAAAAGTGGATGTCCATTTCATAGTGCCCTACTAGCGTGATATCCCAAATCCGCGGTTATCTCTGTGTACGGGTTCGTGCGCCTGCCCATTCAATCAGCATCACTTCTGTAATTTGCAGAGAAACAGCCTCCGGCTTTTCTATGAGAGTAATTATACACCTCCGTCGTAGTGAATACAACACTGCTGATTGATTACCTAGAGACATGTCGCTCGAAGAGGTCCAGAAAGTTGCGCCTCCGCCATGGAAGTCGCTGGTTGCTGGATGTGCCGCGGGTGCGGTGGAAGGTCTCGTAACCTACCCTTTCGAATTTGCCAAGGCGATGCTTCAGTTTGCTCCAAATGCCAAGAATTCCCCATCAACGGCTATGGTATGCCATGCATTTTCCATTCTATTGTCGTTGTCGGTGGTGAGGTGCGAGCCGCCATGCTTCAAACCCGCAAACAAGTCCTGTTGTATTCTCACAACCCAGCAATCCTTTCGTGTTGGTCTATAAGACAGCAGCCGAAAGAGGGATTCCCGCATTATATGTGGGTTGTAGCACGGTCGTACTCGGGACGGCATTGAAGGCCTCAGTGCGATTCTTGGCATTTGACAGCATCCGAGGAGTCTTTGAAGATGAGCAAAAGCGATTGAGTGGCGGACGTGCACTACTCGCCGCGATGAGTGCGGGCGTTATGGAAAGTGTGCTTGTAGTCACCCCTTTTGAAACGGTCAAAACGGCTTTGTGAGTTTGAATTCGATCGTGGACTATGCAACTCAAGCTAATACTGCACAGAATCGAGGACGCAAAGAGGGCTCGACCACAGTATCGAGGTATGATACATGGTACTATAAGCTTGATAAAAGAGACGGGGATTGGAGGTGTGTATCGTGGTGTTTCTGCGGTCACGATGCGCCAGGTTTCCGTCAGTTTTGCACGAATGCTGAGTTTCAGTAGTATGAAAGGTAAGCCGTCTCCTGCAACAAAAAATAGCATGTTTGACATAGAACGAGCGATTCTGCAATCAGGACAAACAGATCAGAATGCTAATCTTGGTAGAGGGACCACCTTTGCTATTGGTGCTTTAGCTGGTGTCTTTACTGTGTAAGTGATTACCCTGCCGGCTTGTACTGATACATGGCACTGACGTGGTGTGAATAGATATTCAACGATGCCATTTGATACTGTCAAGACTCGTATGCAGACTCTCGAAGCAAAGTCACAATATACGTCGACAGTCGATTGCGCGCTGAAGATGCTAAAGAACGAAGGAGCGTCGGTATTCTGGAGAGGAAGTACTGCGAGGTTGGGAAGGATTGTAGTAGGCAGCTCATTCTTCTTCTTATGGATTGAGAGATGAGTGAGTTTCCAGTCCTCGTTTTAGGACCATCCACTTGTTGGTTGTTTCACAAGGCCAGCGGATCGTCAAATACTGGCAGTAATTACTGCTTTGTCTCTGCTTAGATGTAGCTGGGTGATGTACAATTACTCCAGACTTGTAATAACTTACACACGAATTAAAAATACCTTTGCCTGAGAAGGAACGAAAAGTTGCGCCATTTGACAGCCAGATGCCGGTATTTGCGCTCCGCGCGCTATCTGCGCAATATGTGCATTTTGGTGTCCTGTAAAAGCTCTATCGAAGGCGTGGAAGAAGCTCGAGATTACGATTGGGGATACAGACAAGTGGCCAGGGGGCTCGGTGGAGGTGTATCTGGGCGGCAAGATGAAGGACAGTGAGTTTATGTCCGGATCTTTTGGCGGTTTCGGTGGGTGGTGAGATTCGAGGCTTGAACATAACGACGACCTTAACAAGACTCGCTCACCACGGACTTTTGAGAACAGACGACCGTTTGGCTCTATAAGTGCCAGACATGGAGGGGTACTCCGTAAGGCTAGCTCGGATGATATATCTGAATTTGGGACCAACCGCCGCTTCTATAACCATGTTGTTTTCTTATTCTTCTTAATCACTTTCCAAAGCAAGAAGCTCTGCAGAGTTGCCAAGCAAAAGTTTCGACCGGTCTTACGGACCAGGGTCCACTTATGGTTCACCGAAGAAAGCTCGCACGACATTCTCGTGTTCAATTACTCAATAAAACGAGTATACATTTCCTCTTGACTTCATGTTGAGGTGGCAATTCAGTAGTAACTTTCAACAATACCTTTTTAACTCCAAACTATATCTCTGGAGAAGCGACCCACACGTCTCACACCAATCATGGCTTCCCCACCACCTCGACCCCTCCTCCTTGAACCAGCAACAGAAGCCGACATCCCCACTCTCGCTAGCATCTTAGTAGCCGCCCTATTTCCCGAACCCACCATGGCCTTCTTCTTCCCCAGCTGGCCCTCCACATCTGGCATGACTCGCTTCTACACCGCGCGCCTAACCGCCAAATTCCACGACCCCGATTCCGAACTCCTGAAACTCACGTACGGAGACGAAATCGTAGGCTTGGGAAGTATAACGCTTAAAGAGGGAGAAACGAAGGAGTACAGCAAGGCGGCACCGATGAAGGGCTTCGATCCGGAGTTTGCGTGGGCGTCTGGCGAGTGCTTTCGCAAGACAGAGGGGCTGATGCTGGGGAGAAAGAGCTATTGTATTCTCCCAGGACCGACTTCCTGCTCAAGTTTCTGACTCACTGGATAATAGGGCTCACATCCTGTGCTACGCTCCCATCATACCAGGGTAAAGGCTTTGGTTCAAAACTGGTCCAGTACTGCGTGCAGAAAGCCGATGAAGCAGGTTTGCCAATGTACTGTAACAGTTTCCCGAAAGCGAGAATTCTGTATGCACGTTTTGGGTTTGAGGACAAAGTGGTGTTTGATCAGGATTTGAATGAGTTTGGGATGAAGTACAGGGGATATGATGTTCATCGTAGCTATGGAATGGTGAGGGAGCCTGTTAAGAAAGGGTTACAGTAGATAATGAAATGCTTTTGTGAGCCGGCTTGGGACGGATTGGTCATTGGCCACTTGAATGTGCTGGATTGAGAGAGCACGACAGTTTTGGAGACTTGCCAGTATCCGCTAGAATGCTTGAACCATACATGGAACCTCGAGAAGAGGGAAAGAAAGCAGCAAACCAACATTTCAATACAACACAGACCTAGCTAAAGCATCTGCTTCCCGATTGGACTCTCTGTTCACGTGCATGAAGCACACCTCGAATCCGTTTCCTTGTATCTCCAGAATCATATTATGCAACTCCTCCCACAACTGCCAATTGGAAACTACTCGTCCACTCGAATTCCTGTATCCATTCCGCTCCCACGTCCAGATCCAGTTTGTAATGCCATTGATCAGCCATGCGGAGTCGCTGAACAAAACGACACGCTCAAAGCCACCCATCTGATAACCTTCGTAATTATAAACCATGGAGAGCACTGTCTCAAGAGCCATCTTAGCAGCATAGAGTTCAGCGGTCTGACTCGTCTGTCTGAGGTCGTGGGGTAGTTCGCCACATTCATTGAAAGTCGAATCTGGGCCGAAGAACACGCCGTACGAAGCTTGTGCGTTGGAATAGCCGTTGTTGGAACATCCTCCATCTGTGTTGATGACTATGGTGTCATGGTCCTCACTGAGACGTCGAACTTCGTTGGTGTAATCGCTCCAAGTGTACACGGTTCTACCTCCGCTCGAGAAAAGGCGGCGGTTGCGGTAATGGGTGCTCATGATGTGGGGTGCATGCGCTGATCGAAGTCGATTTCTGTCCCTTAATCGGTGGAGAGATGATTAGAAGCCTCGGTGATCTTCTCTGAAGAAAAGCTTTGCTTTCCGTGTGAAGATTGGTCTACTTATTAGGCTTGACCTAATCGGGACTTTGTGTAACTCAGAAGGCACTTTCCCTCTTCGCTGAAAGGTGTCAGTTGGAATGTCAGTTGGAATGCCAGAGTATCCACTTTTATGCGCTGTTTTAGGCTTAGTTCAGGGGCTTTTAGTGCTAGCTGTCAACACTCACTTATATCCTCCTCCTGCTGCTGGACTTCAGCTCTTTAGACTTATCAATACATTCTTTACTGCCCATCCGATTTCCGTGACATTCTTACACGTCATCTGATAAAAGGAAGTTGCGAATGCAAAATGTCATTATACTCCTGCATCCTCTCATAAACTTGTTATCTAACACTACTCACGGCTTTGACTGGTAGCATGTGGCAAGGCTTTCGTTCGGCGCAAAAATCACTTAATATTTGGGCTTGCACCCTCACGTTTTGATGAGTCGCTTGACCATGAAACTTTGACGTATTGAAGCTTCCAAAGCCCCCAGAGAAGATATCGTGGCATGCCCTTTTATTGAATCATTCTTTCAGACCATCATGATCGAAATTGGTGACCGCTGCTTAAAGCATAAGAAAAGTTTGTTTTGCCTCTGAGATATTTTCGTATCGCCAAGCAATTCTAAATTTACCCCACACGCTAAAACTACAGGCTACGAGGGCCCGAATTAGCACGATGGTGGCGCGATGAGCCAGGGCTACGCCAATCATTTTCGCGGGGAACAGCCCACTGGGACAAGGCTAATTGAAAGCTTGAAATTAAATACGAGGTCCAAACTCATGATTCTCGTGAGACTCTTCATTTCTTTCTGTACCACATTCGTTAGGATCCCTTCACGCTCGTTCTTACCCTCACTGCGTTTGATTATTCTGCTTTATTATTGTCAATTAATTGGAAAAGTTACTCGAAGCTCAAGATGAAGTCCTCTGCCGTCATCCTCGCTCTCCTCTCCGTCGCAACTGCCAGTTTCTTCGCACCCAGAGCAGACACCACCTCCTCTGTCGATCCTACAACGACCACCTACTCCATATCACCGACCGCCTCCTGTCTCGCTGCCTGCAAACCTGGCGATGTCAACTGCCAAGCAGCTTGTGTTGGATCCGCACATCCAAACTCGGTGCAAGTGAACCAGACCAATGTCTGCGCAGATAATTGCCCCAAAGGAGACGGTTCCACCTCTGCCAACAATGCATATGAGGCTTGCCTGGACTCTTGTATCCAATCCTATTATCCAACAAGCCAAACTGCGGCGCCTGTCAGTGTGGGCAGTGGAAGTGTGACGAGTGTTTCTGCTGGGGCAACTGGAACGGCGGGCCAAGCTACTGGTGAGTTTTGTGCTAAAATGGGAGGCAATTGGCGCTGACGAGGTGGATAGGATCTGGATCTGCGACTACAAGCACAAGTGCTTCAGGTACTGGATCTGTGGCTGCGACATCGAGCTCGAAAGCTGCCGGTGCCAACAACCTTCCCTACATCGCTTCTGCTGGTGGATTTGGAGGTCTTCTCTTGGCTTTCTTGGCTTTGTGAAGATATATCGATCAAAAACTATATACGGAGTCTCGTCTGGACGTCTTGTTCAGGGAGAATGATGATATAATACGGATATAATGTTGTTGGGAGATGGAGAAGAGTAGAGGTGGATTAAACGCCACATATTTATGCTGCGTGCTTGCTTGGGGGGAGTATTGGTATACCACTTTTTGGTTTTGCTTGTTGTTGAAGTTGAAACTACTTAATGTGTCTGTCTTTGGCTTCGCAACCTCTCTTCATGTTTGTGGTGAAATGCTTCCCACATGACAAGTGTCCGTCGGCCTTCAACATCTGGAAGTCATTCATTCGCTACCTCTAATATGCTTGATGTTCCACATCGCCATGTCATCCACCTCTATGTCTTCATCAAGATCTAGAATGTCTGGGTGAAAGTATTGCTGGAAGTCCAGTGCCCGACCTCTACAAGTGACTAACATTTTGAACGTAACGTCCGTCGAATTGGCCACAAGGCGAGTCAAACGTCTCATCACCGTATCCGTCTCTCCTCCCATACTTCTAGTTTCGTACAAGCTCACTTCATCCAGTACGCACACCAGGAGTGTCTTTGGTGGCAGTTGTTCCACGAGATTTCGAAACACCATGTACAGCGCAAAGAGGTTGTGGCTCTCCACATCTTTCCAGTTCGACTTCTCCAAGAACGAGACATCGACATCCATTTCCCTGTCAATCATCTGACTCAGTAGCTGACCAACGAGACTGGCCATCATCCCTACCGGCGAAGATGCTGGAGATGGATCAAGGTTCTGTGTATGCAGACCGCAGAAGTATTTGATGACGAAAGCTGCCTCCATGCTCTCCGAGATCTTGACCAGTTCTGCATCCACAAGACTGAGAGGTGATTGCCCTTCGGCGCTCCCAAGGTCGCTGTTGCCGTTCACGAGGAGAGCACGTGATGAAGAGCCTTCAGCTAACCAAATCCTGAGCTTGTCGTGTTGGACCATAGCTGCTGCCCTTGCCATTGGCTCCTCATCTAGAAGATCGGCAAGCTTGAGGCAGGCCTCCAGGTCGTCAGCTGGAAGCCTGGCGTTGTAGTCTAGCATTTTGAGGAGTTTCTTTGTTTCTTTTAGGCCTGCTCCTATCAGCCGAGCCTAAAGTCAGAGCAGTGTTTTGCGTAAGACTTACTTTGATGAGGTCCCATGATTGCTTTCTTGGGCGTACTTCCAGCACTCGCTTGGAGGTTTGCTAGTGCTGTCTGCATGAGCATAGAAACCTCGCAGAGTATGAGCTACTCACCAAGACCTTTGCTCTCGCTCGTCATTCGTTCCACCAGCATACAGTAGATCGATTGTACAAGTTTCTCTGTCTTGTCAACACTTCTATGCGTCTCATCGATCGTCTTGTTCATTCGCGCCTGCCGTTCAGCTAAGCACTGCTGCGCTTCTTCCTTGATCTTCCCTGAGAGTTTCTTGACCTCTTGAACAGATTTGAAAAGCTCTTCTTTGTATGTAGATTGTTTTGCCATCGAGCCCAAGAATCTGTCTGTGATTCAGTAGGGTTAGCTAAATCCTTTCATCACGATAATGATCGTGAGCTTACGAATTCCGTCATCTGCAAAGGCTTGCATTATGTGACTTAGTGCTCTAAGGACGGCTAGGTAGAGGTCGAATGTTTTGCGCTCTAAGTATTGATCGGGGTGATCTTTGTAGATCGAAACATATCTTCGGGCGTTCTCCATACATTCCGGGATCTCGACAAGGGCGTCGAAAATGCAATCTTCAACTTTGTGTAATTGGCTTGCAGCCTGCGTCGTTGATCAGCATGCGCTTCAGAGCAGAATTTGATCTAACTTACCCCAATCGCAAGCTTGAATGCTCCACAGATGCTAGAGACTGTTAACATTCCCACACCGATAGTTTCACGGAATGCTCACCTCGACCCATAATCTCCAGCAGGTAAAAGCCCCACCCAAGCTTGAAGCGCTCCCGAATCCTGGCCCAGTTTCTCAACACATCTGCGTGCTCTCGCCGTCCGACTGGGGGAGGTCTTCCACTTTTGACTCGTGTCTTTCACTTCGGATATCACTTCCTCCCATTTGCAACTCCTCAATTTAGTGTTCTTCTGTGGAACCTTGGTCTTGCTGAGTTTGGCTTGAACTTGTTCCACCAGAGCAAAGAGTTTCTCTTTTTCTTCATCTGCATTTTTCCATAGTTCTGCACTGTTTTAAGGTTAATTTCCGACGCCGTGAGAAAATGTGCGGTTCACAAACCTGATTATTTGCTGTTTGTACGCTGCTTCTCTGGATACGAACTGGTCGAGTTGACTTTCGTAGATTGGTAAATCGCTTTCCTGTGAGAGAATCACTCTATTCTCGATGAACAAGGCAGCTTCGTTCGGCCGACGAGTAGGATACAAATTTTGCACTTGTTCCAGTATATCTGTTTCCATTGTTGGTATATCAAGTGCTTGATTGCACTACGGGAGACCAGGGAATGTGTGATTTGCGCTCGTGGGAAGAGATTCACGAAGACGGAGTGATCTCCTTCTCAAGGTGTAGGGGTATATAATACCGACGTGGGGTAGAATGTCTGTTCGCCTGCAAATCTTCAACCACTTCAACCTTAATTTCTTTTGTTTGAGGTGACAGTGAAGGAACTAGGCAACAGCGTTCTGCTTACTCGATTAAGTATGGGAATGACTGTCGCAGGATTCCTAACCTATCCTCTCAAGCGCGCGCTTGTGAATTTCAGCTTTCGCCAATTCCTTCGCGAATTATATCTTCGGGATGCCGCCACGTCTCGAACAGAATCAGCCCATGAACATTTGTTTCATGCTCAAATCTACTCTAACGGATGAGGAATACGTTGAATGCATAGCCTATATGACCGAATTAGCTCACCGAGTCCTGCAGCGTCAAAAGTGTTTGAAAGAGGTGTGGGGGCCAAAGATGGTCGTATCTTATCCGACCTCCCATGCGCTTCTGGCGGCACAGCAACCCCTTTCGTCCTTCTTCCGTTACTCCCCGCAGAACGGTCCGTCACAGAGCAGCTAATTGGCACTAGAGAGCAATCCTGCTGCATGATGACTGAGATTGCGCTCTGTCACGTTTCCCAATTATGCAGCCACATCCCACGAAGAGGCCCTAGCGTGGGCACGACAGTTCCGTGGGAATACGAATGTCGTGCATTAAATCTATTTCAATTCCCAAACAAACTTTCAATGGTTTTGTATTGCAATAGAATACTGCAAAATTTCTCTACCAGCCATGTCTCCAGACCAGCCGGTCAGGAACGATGCCACATCGCACCTCAGCGCCGCTTCCATCGTTGGTGGGCCAGAGATGACCGCTCCAACACCAGCTAAGAGTAACAGCCAGGACAACAACATGATTTCGAACGCCAATACCAATCATTCAGTGCCAGATGTCAAGGAGGACGAGCTGAAGGTTGTCGATGGAGAGAATACGGCCGGTAATGGCGTGGCCGGTGCTTCCGAAGCATCAAGTACTACAACCAAGGCTGTAGATACCGTCACCGAGGTATTTGCTGAGGCCTCAACCAACGACCAAGATAATCTGCACCGATCCATCCAGAACGCCTACCGATCCCAGAACTTCTACGGACAATCAAAGAACCTATTCAACCAAGAAAAAGACGACGAAAAGCTCGACATTCGAGCAAAGCAAGCAGTACTGCACCTGACCTGGACTGATATAAGAATTAAAGAGATGGAGAAGGAGATTAAACTGTTGCGCCGAGACGTCGACGGACTTCCAGCAGACTTCGAAGTCAAGAAGACATCGAAGCAACCAGTGTACGAACATAAGCTGAGACGTTCCAACCTGTCGGGATTCAGACTCAATGACGAATCCAAGAACATTCCAGACAAACAACGACCGGCTGTGGAGGTTCTGATCTCCGATCATAACGCACCAAGAGTGTCGGAATCTACGGCTGAGAGTTCGGAGAACTCACCCACGAATACTGTGGACCCCAAGATCGACGCTTCGAACAGACCAGCAACAGAGGGCAGCATCGTTTCAATCCCAGAGAGACTGCGAATTAGATCCCGCGCATTGCTATCCCTTCTTGGGCGTATCTCTGGAGAAGAACTATTGTCGGTCGGATACACCAGGAACGTTGAAAACCCGGCACCAGTCATTTTCTTACGACCATTCAAGCTCTTCGTAACATACGACGAAAAAATTAGAGCTGAAGTTCCTGCCTTGGAACTGAAGATTGAAAAAGAGGCCCAGCAAGCAGCCAATGTGCCAGAAGTTCCTGGAGTAAAGAAGGAACTTCCTGACTTCGACAACAAGGATCTTCTTGCAGACTTGAAGTTATTGATCGAGTTTCTGGATGTAGATCTCAAACCGACGTTTGAGCTGAGGAGGAAAATCAAAGAAGGCACCGCTACCCATATTGAGTTCCAGGATTTGTGGCACCTGTTCAATCCTGGCGACCTTATCATAGATCCTGCTGGAGATTCCGAGGCGTTTCGAGTCATTAGCTATACTGTAGGTATTCAAAGTTCCTCCTGGTCATCTTCAGCTTTGATGTTCCTACTCATGCTAAAACCTGTGATCAGGGAGGCCGTGAAATCCTGATTGACAAAATCGACCCGGTCAAGAAACCTACGCCACTGGAAGGGTTCATGGTAGATTGCTACAACCTCAACTATAATGGCTCAGTGTATGGGCCGAAGCTATACACCCATTCCATCCGACGGTAAACGATGACTCCGTTTCTCAATCCGACTTGCACAGCTAAATACAAAACTAGATTCCGCGGTCTTCAACCTATCACATCCTTACCCATCTACCCGATGAAATTCGACCCCTCATTCACCACTCTGAAGCAGACCTTAATCGAACAAGGAACTCAATACCTTGAGTTGACGAAGGCTCCATATGCGCACAAGACGTTGGTTGGTCAGACGCTGGATGAGCCTGTTGAGGAGGTAAGATATCTTGGATCGTACAAGATGATTGGACTAAAACAAGTAGATTGATGCTCAAGTCATAGTCGACATGACACTGGCAATCAACAAGAATGCGGAGTGGAACCCCGATCTGAAGATCAGCGAGGGTGATCTCACCGAACCCGACAAGCGCGAAACAGTTATCCCTATATTCTGCCATCACCATCCGAAGTATAGTGAAGGCTGTACGTTTTCCCACTCTGTTCAATGCACTTCCATCAGCTCATGAGAGTAGGTTGCGGAAGTGATGTTACTTACAAAGATCAAGACTGGGATGAATCGAGGTTCAGCACTTACTTTAGGGATCACAGGCAATCGTTGGCGCACCGAAAAGCTCACGAGATCGAGGGAGATGATATCATGTTGCTTCCCTTCTGGGCGTATGGGTTCGTCTTGAGAAGTAGACGGTGGAGTAAGCAAGCACATTTCCATCCCATGAATACTGATTGATTCCGAACAGTCACTCTCAGGATTAATGCGCTGTCCGAAGTCAAGTACGAGAGTACATTTGATGATCTTGTCTTGTAAGTTTCGCGCTCCATAATGGTTCACTGTAACATTGCCTAATTGATTTCAGACCAGAACTACACAAAGATACAGTCAAAGCCTTGGTACAAGATCATGCAAGGTCCTCAGCTCAGAACTCCGCTGCAACATCAAAAGTTGGCGCCGCCATGGACTTGGTGCGAGGGAAAGGTTGGTCGATATCTCCGGGGCAATAGCAATATCTGACATCTTTCTAGGGAAGGGTCTGATCATTCTTCTGCACGGGGAACCAGGTATGATTACATGCAGATATTCGCGCAGGCAATACTGAGTTTGAAATAGGTGTTGGTAAAACCTCAACAGCAGAATGCGTCGCAGACCTCACGGAACGACCCCTCTTCCCTGTCACTTGCGGAGATATCGGTGAGACTGCCGGGGAAGTTCAAGAGAATTTGGACTACAACTTTCAATTGGCTCACAAGTGGGGATGTGTGCTTCTTTTGGATGAAGCAGAGTGAGTAGAACATCGAATCAGCATGCTTAAGTTCCTATCACTAACTAAAGTGTAGTGTATTCTTGGCGAAACGGTGAGCTAGACTTCACGACTTAGGAGAGAATTCTGATATTAATGAGCGTGATTCTAGTGGAAAGTCAGACATGAGACGCAATGCAGTGGTCAGTGTGTTTCTGCGTACCTTGGAGTACTACAGCGTAAGTTCACATTCCCTCCCATATTGCAAGTGTCTAAGAGATCAGGGCATCCTATTCTTGACAACAAATCGAGTAGGGAGCATCGATCCCGCTTTCAAGTCCAGGATTCATATGAGCTTATTTTATCCTCACCTAAGCCTCGATGCCACCGCGAAACTATACGAGGTATTTATTAAGAGGACAGTCGACGAACAGAAGAAGTCGCAGATGGTGGAATTCAAGATCAAGCAGAAAGAGATCCTGAGATTCGCAAAGTCGCATTTCAAACGACTAGAAAAGAGCGGTCTCAGTACTTGGAATGGACGGTATGTTCACTTGTATCCAGTCAACCTTAATCTATGCTAACAGATTGGCTACATAGACAAATCCGCAACGCATTCCAAACAGCTATTGCGCTGGCCGAATACGAAGCGCGTCAGCCAGGAGCAGAGCTCCCATTCCTAGGCAAATCACAATTCGAAATCATTGCCGAAGCATCCGAAGAATTCGACAGATACCTGAAGCATACACTTGGAGACACAGATGCCGATATCGCCAGGAAAGAAAATATGAGGTCGGATTACTTTGGGGCTCAACATGTTGGGAAACCGCCAAGCGTAGCGAGATCAGGTCTTCGGCCTTCAAGACGCAATGGTAGAGATCCTGAGAGTGATTTCGAGGTTGCTTCTGAGACCGAGGAGGAGGATGAGGATGAAGATGAGGATGAGGAGGATGGAGAAGACGCCCTTGAGAATCACAGGCCAGGTAAAGCGGCTGCGCCGGGGCCTTCGAAAACTACGACGACGGTGGTTACGAAGGAGGATTTTGGGGAGGACGATATGGAGGCATTCAAACAGTTCATGCAGTTTAAGAAGATGTCGAAAAAGTAGAGCTGTAGTGGACTTCTCCTTCGGAGGTATAACATGATTAGATGGTGTATAATTCTCTGCAGAAGGCTAGACCTCAGAAAATTCAGCTCCATACTTCTTAATAACGATCATGGACCCTAATAGCAAAACTCACATTTCATGAAAATTGAATTTAGCTCACAGACGGTTCCAATACTTCCCACACATCCTCCTCAGACGACAACCTCGTCATCGCATTCAGCGGAACCGTAAGCATCGGATCCGTATGCCCGACATCAACTCCAAACAGAATCGGAAAGTTCCTCTCCGTCCCATCTTCCTTGACCCCAGAACAGATCCCCAACACCACCTTTTCATAACCTTTCAATTCCTCCCCTTGATACCCTGTCGGTCTCCCAACCACCAGCCCAGAAATCTCATCCAACACCCCAACATTCACCAAATCCGCCATCAAACTCCTACTCTGCTCCAACGGCAACGGTCCATCCGGTCTCTCACCCTCCGGATTCTCAAGCAACAAAATCTTACCCTGGAACGAAGGCCAATACCTCGTCCCCGCCAACTGAAGAAGAGAAGGTAAACAACCCCCCGTCATCCTACCCTCGCATTCGCCTTTTCTCAACCATTTCCACCCATCATTCCTCTCCAGTTTCCTCGCTTTCAGCTCCTTATCCTCATTCCCCCAATCCCCAAACTCATCCGTCCACACCTCGCTCCTCGGCATCCTACCCACCGGCTTCCCAACATCTTCTGTCCGCGGGGAGAGGACATGCAAAAAATGCTCAACAGTAAACCCCAACGGCTCCGGAATCTCCGCAAACTGCGTGATAGCAGCAGGTCCATAAAAAGTCCTCAATCCCGCCTGAGCAAAGATCCCAAGATGCAAAAGCGTGATGTCCGAATACCCGACGAAGATCTTCGGGTTCGTGCGGATGAGATCCCAATCTATGAAGGGGAGGAGCTCGTTGGAGGAGAGGCCGCCGATGGTGCTGATTATGGCGCGGATTGAGGGGTCGGTGAATGCGGAGTGCAGTTCTTGGACTCGGTGGTGGATTTGTTGGTGGTGGGAACAGGGGGTGGGAAGGGAGGTGTAGATGGATTTTATTTTGAAGCCTAGGACTTCGAGGGCAGTGGTTGCGCGGGAGATGCGGAGGGGGAAGATGTCGTTGAGACGGGAGGAGGGGGAGAGGAGGGCTATTGTATCGCCTGGTTTTAAAGCTGCCGGTATGATCTCGGTGTTGTCGTGAGTTGACATTTTATGGGTGTCTTGTGAATTTCTCTGATTGGTAGCCTGGATATCGCTCCTCAAGTCCAATGAATTGATTGTTGTAAGATTAGATGAGGTTAAGATGAGATTCTGTCGTCTATTATCAAAGAATGATAACTCAATGTCGAATCTCAAAAAGATATTATCTTTTTATGAGGCGATGAGACAAGTGGATGCCTCGTCGGTTGTGGATGCAAAGATGACAGCTGAGATAAGGTTGTAGCACCTTCCCATCATGACTCACTGGCTGAAGTCTATCGACGATTTCGGCCTGAGACTTTTCAGCCGGAGAGATATGCGCCTCTCCTCTGTCTTGTAACGCAAAGCTGGATCAATATACATTCAACAATACACGACTTCAATTGAATTGTTGGATCGAGGATGTAAATCCTTCAAACGCGGGGTAAAAGTGGGGGTGGCGGTGGCTGAATCAAGCGAGAGTGGGTCAAAGTCCCCTTTTCAATACTGTAGTAGGAAGCGAGTTTTGGTTATGCTCGAGCACGTTCTTATTGCTCCGAAGAAGGAGAAAACATTGAGTTATCTGCAAGCTGTTGACGGTGCGAGCTTCGAAAGGTGTGAAGCGGTGAATAACGTTAGTTCGTCTGTCAAAGAGGAAATAACTAAACGAGTCTAGCGGACTCCCTTTGGTAGACATTGAGCTTGGTGACGGGACTCGAGGTGTCTAATCCTTGATGTCTCCTGCGGCTTAAAGGGGTCTAAAATCACTGCTTGCAATAGTTGACTAATCTTCACTTTTGTAATCGAAAATTTCCTCTTCATCCAATAATAGATAAGATCTGCCATATTTGGTTGATGAATTAGGCAAACAAGAGTTTACACGAGCAACAGAGCTTCAACGGGATCTTCACATTGACATCGCTCCTTCACTCAGTTGAGCTCTTACGTTGCTTGATGATTCGTTCTCATATACAATGATGTGCACATCGGGACCTGACAAAGATGATAGACCTGTCGGATCTCAATAATCTCACCGTTCTTAGAGACCAAGGCAAGCCAGAATCATTCTTTATAACACAACCCTACCTGACAAGATATTTACGTTTCTTTCCATCTCCTGCCATCGGCCATCCATTACTCACCCGACTATCTTTCAAATAGCAGTAACATTAATCGTCCCCAAACCCTGACTCAAAATCCCAGTCCACCCCGCAGCCATCGCCTCCTTACCATCAGTAAAAAACGTCGACGCACTCACATGCCCCCTCAACAACCACTACGCCCAATGCACCGCCGCATCCCCAATCATCCCCCCATCCGGCGCCGTAAATTGATGAACGTGTCCCTTCCCATCATTCCCCAACCACGCTGGTGTCGACTTTGGCAAATCACTATAATCACGTTCACCCTACCCAACACATCACATCAACACCTCTTATCATTCCAACAATCGAAAAAGCGAGAGGGACCTTACATTCGCATAAGCAATATCCGAACTGCCCCCCAGAAAATAAAAAATCGGCTTATCAATCTTACCTGCCACCGCCAAACTATCCGCAGCAGCAAACTCCCCACTACTAAAGATGCCCACGGTACTAAACCGCGTATCGTTCGCCACAACATACGCCTCCAGCCCGCCGCAACTCCAGCCGCTGACCACCATGCGGGTTTTAGCATACCTCCCTGGTGTGCCGGCGACTTTGTAGACGAAGTCCACGGCGGCGGTGAGGGATGCGGCTGTGGTTTGCGTGCGGGTGGTGGGGCCGTTGTTGGCGATTACCATGAAGCCGTGTGAGGCGAGGCCTTCGTGGAAGGGGGCGATGGATGTCCCGGTGTCGGAACAGCCGCCGACGCCCCAGAGGATGACGGGGAGTTTGAGGGTGGAGGGGACGGTTGCGGGCATGAAGATTGTTTGCTCGGGGAGGGCGGTGTCTGTGGAGTAGGTCTAGGGGATTGTTAGGTTGGGTACTGGGAGTAGGAGGAGGGATGAGACGTACGGCTGGGTAGGGACCTGATCCTCCGGGCTTGATGGTGTATGGAGTTAGCTTTGCGAATCGGAACGTCGAGGTATGAGCGTATGTACCGCTTAGCGAGATTCGATGGCATAGGCTTGCGACCTAGCAAAGAGCCGGATTGCTGCCACAAGTGCGGTGCTATACATCATCTTGACGGTTTGATATAATGAATACTGAAGCTTAATCGAGTTCTATGACAATTGATCTTGTTGAACAGAAAACGTAGAGAAACACGACATATTTATATAAGCGAAGAAAAGGGAGGTAAATGCTACTTTACTTCGCTATCCCGAGACTATGTTCTCGGGAAGGAGTTCGGCAGTGATCTGAGATCTAGCTTGTGGGGTATGATGTGGATAAAGTTGAAGTGAGATAAAGTTTGTGGAGTGTAATCTGGATAAAGTAGCATAAGTATGTCATCATCTTGGCAAGGATATGCGTATCAAATCATACTCTCTCGTTGCTCAGCAGCAACGAAATGGATTTGAGTCTTGACTCGGATATCCATGGATACAACAGGCCATGTCCACATCGTGCTCCTCATATGAGAGATCTTGTCCACTACCGGATTAAAACAGAAACTCGCCAGCGAATGCGACTGGACGACCAATACCAGCCGGAAGAAATAACCGATTTCAGCAAAAGTATGATCTACCAGTTCGCAACTAGTGCTTTGGCAATAACTTTAATTGAGCCACCTAGTTGGTGGGCTCGACCTCACTGTGTCCACCTAAACATTGTTTGATATTCTTCCTTGGTAGATAGTCCACCTCTGTTGGCTACCATCCACCCAACTTCATCACATGCTTTAGTAAGTAAAGTGAGGTAAAATACAATAAAACGTTGCGTAGCTGCGACATGTCTCCTCTTAGTAACCCAACCCACCTTCACACTTGCACGGCCACTTCCCTCCTCAGGAGAAAGGATGTCCCTGTATATCGTGACGAGATTGTCAAGCAAACGGCTGAGCTGCACATATATCCGATTAGCGGCGGTAGAATGACGGCAATGATACGGGCAGAAAAGAGTGTTATTGATCAGTTTGAAAAATCGAAGTACAGGAGCAGGATTGGGGATATTTGAGGGTGGGGATAGCTGGCACTAAAAGCACCCTAACTTAAGACTGAAACAGCGCGTAAAAGTGGATACAATGGAATTCCAAGTGACAACACGCGTATGAGTCGTATCTCTAAAGAATTAAAGAAGATTTTTTGTGGGGGATTGACTAGTCCGAAGTGAAGGAAAGACGCTGTAATAAAATGGGGCGAGTTTGTCAAGATAACAAGAGACGAAGATCTATCGTAGAAGAGGTTGTGATCTCCAGCAATGCTAAACCTCACTAGAGAGAACTCAAACACGCAATTTCATCACGAAAACAAAAGACAAGAACATGAAACCAGGCATACAATTAAAATCGTTGCTCTATCCCGCACTTTCAGCAATCAGAAGTCATAAAAAGCAACGCGGAACTACCACCAGTCCATAATCCACCACCTCCTCAATTCACCGTATAAATCCTCCCCTCATAAGCCCCCAACCTCTCCGTCCCATCCACCCCTTCCGCACTACTAACCAATAACTCCCACTTCCCGCCCAACTCCTTCGGCCTTTCGAACCCGCTCTCCCTCCCCGTGAAATTCAACACCACAACCACCCTACTCTCCCCCTTCGTCTTGGAAAAGACGAACGTATCCCGATTCTCGACATCATAGCCCTCGAACGCGCCATGGATGAAGACATCCCTATACTCCTTCCTCATTTTAATCATCTTGCGCCAGAAATTAAGCACGGAGTTTGGATCCTCGGTTTGGTTCGCGACGTTGATCTCCTTGTATGAATCATTAGTCCGCATCCACGCCCCGTCCTTCTTGCCCGTGAATCCCGCGTACGGAGAAGCGTCCCACTGCATCGGCAAGCGGGCGTGATCTCGTCCGAGGATCTGGATCGATTTCATGACGTGCGCTAACGCTTTTTCGTCGCCTCCGCGAGCTTTGACGGAGTTATAGTAATTGATGCTCTCGATATCCTTGTAGTCCTCGATCGGCCAGTCCTTGGGCGCGTTGATCATGCCGATTTCCTGGCCTTGGTAGACGAACAGTGTGCCAGTCATGGCGCACATCATGATTGCGAGCATTTTCGAGGAGCGTTCGCGGAACTCGGGAGCATCGGATGCGAATCTCGAGACGGAGCGTCCTTGGTCGTGGTTCTCGCAGAAGGCGGTCGTCCAGCCGTCGCTGCCCTCGATGAATTTTTGCCATTTGGAAACTACTTGTTTCAGTTCGGGAAGTTGGTAGCCCTCATATTCGTACTTGTGCGTCTTGCCAATTCCGAGATCAACGATGTCGAATTGGAAGACCATGTCCAGTTGCTTGTCTCCAGATCCAACGTACCGAAGAACGTGTGCGGGGTCTGGCGTGTGTGGGAGTTCGCCGACGGTCATGGTGTCGTATTTGGAGAGTACTTGGGTATTCATTTCGCGGAGGAATTCGTGCATTCGAGGACCATTGCAGAATAGACCTGGAGCAGGTTGTTCGAAAACACCAGCATCGATGATAGGAGCATCTGGTAAGGATGTGCCTTTCGAATACATATTCACGGTATCCACTCTGAACCCATCTACACCTTTCTTGAGCCAGAACTCCATCGCAGAATCGTAGATTGCTTTTCGGGCCTCGGGATTCTCCCAATTGAGATCTGGCTGTTGTTTTGCGAAGAGGTGAAGGTAGTATTCTTGCGTATGTTCATCCCATTCCCACGTACTGCCACTGAAGAACGATCTCCAATTATTCGGAGGCATTCTCTTCCCATCTTTGTCGTACTTTGCAGGTCTCCAAATGTACCAATCTCTCTTCAGGTTATCTTTCGAGCTTCGTGATTCTTCGAACCATTTGTGTTCGTCCGAAGTGTGGTTTATGACGAGATCGAGGATCAGTCGCATACCGCGGGAATGGCAGGCTTCGATCAGTTCTTCCATATCTGCCACTGTCCCGTAAGGAGCGTAGACGGCCTCGTAGTTCGAGATATCGTATCCCATGTCGTGCTGAGGAGAATCGTACATTGGGGATACCCAGACGATATCGATGCCTAGATCTTTGATGTAGTCGATTTTGGAGATGATGCCGGGAATGTCTCCTAGGCCGTCGTTGTTGGAGTCTTTGAAGCTGGCGGGGTAGATTTGATAGACAACGCCATCTTTCCACCAAACTCGTTTTGTGACTGTCATTTTGCTGTTGTGGGTTGAAGAAGTGTTCGAAGTGGTATTTTAGATGGTGAATCGTGAAGGAAGTGGTAGGGAAGAGAGAGAGAGGGGGAGAGAAAATGTGGGGGACAGAAAGGGAAGCAAGAGACTTTTGACTACAGACGGAAAGAACTTCGCGTCTCTGATACGAAAGAAACTGCGAGCACACCGACTCTTGCCAATTAACTGACTCAAATTCCTGCCAGCTGACAACTCGCGATAGCAATGCAGCTTCAGAAAATCCAACAATGGTAAGATCGTCGATGTACTCACGACTTGGAGGGGAATTGGTACCTACCATCTGAGAGCTCACCCCGCTATCTGCGGGACTGGACTGTGGCTACTCCATATTATTGATTGCGGAGACGAATTAGCTTGCGTGAAATATGGGCGCCGGTGGGAAGATATAGTGCATGTGCGGGTTGTGGGTGAAAATCCAGAACGAAGATTTGTGTTTGTGAAGTGTCGTTGAAATGCTCGCGGAATCTTTCGGTCAAACCCTTTTCCGCGGGCTAGTGGCACGTGACAGCCCGTACCAAAGCCACATTGAACGCTTCCCGCCTCTTTTACTCCTTGAGAACGGCCTACAAGCTTCAACTAAGGGTGAAACCATGAATATGGGCATAAAATTCATCCCATTGGATACCCATTTCCTGGTCTCTGAGCGAAGCAATCTAGAAGTGGGAAATGGGGGATGCGCCTAAGCTTCACGCAAACTTGCGCTTCAAGCAAACGCGGGATTCACCCAGACCACAACATGAAAGACAACTAAGAATTCGGGACACATACACCAAGCATTGTCAAATCTATCGAAAGCTTGGACCACAATGGGCTCCCTCGATACTTCACTTACGGAAACAGCCCCGGAGCTGCAACTCTCGCATCCAAGCCCGGGCGAATGTCAAACTATCTGGAACATAATATCTGAGGAATGGAGAGATGCACTGTCACTCGATGAATTCATGGAGGAGTCCGCTTACCTCCTCACGGTACCACTTGCAAAAGATGGTGGGATGACAATGTGGGTGCTTGTTGAGAAAGATTCAGTTCCAGATCAAAGAGCTATCTTGGCTACTTGTGAAAGCTTTAGGGAGCGGGCCTTGGTCAGTACACCAGAAGGGAAGATCGAAGATGTCGTTGTGCATGGTATCGCGAGCGTGTTCTGCGATCCTAAGTACAGAGGGAAGGGTTATCCGAAGCGCATGCTCAGCCAGCTCGCGCAGGTTCTTCGAACTTGGCAACTTGGAGCGGGCGAGAAGTGTGTTGGCAGTGTGCTCTACTCTGACATCGGGAAGAAGTACTATGCAAGTATTGGATGGAAAGCTGCGCCCAACAACACGCACATTGAGTTCCCTGCTCATCTGCATCTAAAGTTAGATGGGGTAAAGATGCTGGAAGGGAAAGATCTCGCTCAGTTGTGCAAAGAAGATGAGGAAATGGCCAGAAAGGATTTGGCGAAACTATCAACGACGGGACGGCAGCGGATGATGATCATTCCAGATCACGATCATATGCTCTGGCATCACTGCAAGGTGAAATTTGCAACTGAAAGGTTGTTCGGAGGGGTTCCCCGCTTCAAAGGTGCCATCGTGGGCGAACCAGACTCGAGGATTTGGGCAATCTGGACTCATCGTTTTTATGATGATCCACAGCCCGTTCCATCCGGAAATGTACTACATATCTTGCGTTTAGTGATCGAAGATCCGGGGCGGGATAGCGAAGTGCTGCAAGCACAGCTTCAGCTGATCTTTCAGAGCGCCCAGGCTGAAGCGGCTTCATGGAACCTGGATGAGGTCGATCTATGGGATCCTCATCCGCGTGTGCAACGACTAGTGAGAAGGATGGATATCGAACACGCAATGTTTGAGCGGGAAGAAGAAGGAATTGCGAGTCTGTATTGGTACGATGAAGAGGAAAAGGGAAGGCCGGATTGGATCGCAAATGAGAGGTATGCTTGGTGTTGATCAGTCGGGTTGAGGTAGGAAAGGCATGGAGCGAGGTGCTTTTCCCCCTCTTCACTGGTAACAGGAGTGTACCTTTAGTGGGAAAGAGCTCACGGGTATTCTCACGTGACCTTGAACTTTCCCCAGGCGCCCCAGAGCGCGGACAATCCCCAGCCAGCCAGCCCCAGAATTAAGCACGACAGAAAGTCGGTACCGCTGAGGCTCTTGAGCGAGAATATGCAGCCAAAAGCCACACCCACTCGTTCACATTTCCTATCATCTCGTGAGGTTCTAATTCCATTTTCACTTTCGGCTCATCAGTAGCGAAAGAAACAGCGAGCAAAACGGCGATTATATCAACGAATGATATTTCACCCGAGCATAAAGGCGATAATTCTCCTAGTCTCGAGAAATTGAGCCGATGATAGTTCACGGGAGTGGCGCTTCGCTTTTTGCATGGATCGGGTTTTGCTAGAGTACTCTGCACGCACCTCTGATCAGTCGCATGCCGTACAACCGCATGATGTGGGAAACTTCGCTTTCCCCAGATCTTCACTACGAACTGCTTCATTCAGCATGGGATTTCTGGGATGGAGGGAATATAACGGGGATTATGGTCTCTTGGGAGCTTCTAGCCCGGTTCTTCGTGCCTTCCAGTGAAGGGGTAAGGTCTTTGGCGGGGTAATTGGATTTCGCCTTCTCGCAATTGCTCTGAGTTTACAGTACAACTGCAGTCTACACAAGCCTCTGTCTCATTCTCTTAAGACTATTGTCTCTCCGCTATGCATGCATGTATTTCTTGTTTCTGAGGCCAATACCAAGATTAAACCATCATTGCGTGTTCATCACGAGGGCCCGTCGTCGTCGAAATAGTGCCGAGCCGTCGCATGCCTGACGCCAAACCAGTCGGGTCGAGAACCCAGCAAAAAGCACTTCTCACTTAGCCCGATCTAGACATCAACCCCCTCAACTCCATTACCCCAGTAGCTGAGATGGTGGGACTCCACAAGATGCATTTCCCCAACACCGTCCTTTTCCTCCTCTCCTCTTCTCCTCCTTTTCCCAGTTCTCGCTCACATCTCACCAATCCCGTCCCTGCTTCACTCGGCACTCTTCACATCAATTGACCACTGAGAACGCTCTTCCCATTCCAGCCCAAGCTAGACGGGACCAGCTTATCGGGGTGGCGCTACCACCCCGGACTCTGACCTCGTCGCTGAAATACAAGTCGGCCCAGAAAGTCTTAGCTCACTCTTGTATTTCACCTATTGGTCAATCGACCGCGCAACTCAACCTCCTCCATCTTTTTGTATACTCAGCTCCATCTTCAACTATAAGATATAAGGATACTCCCGGGCCCAGCATGTTCTGACATCCAGACATCATCTCATCTCTTCATCATCCTCAACACATCCTCAACACTCACTTCAGATATCGCCATCATGCGTCGACACTCTGAAATCCAAGAGGTCGCAGGAGACGACACTCTCCATCCCGAAGATACTGTTGTCCGAAGGGCTTCAGTTGCAGTCGAAAACTTCGCCGACCTCTCTGCCGAAGCCAAAGATGCCACCTCAAAGGAACACAATATGGGTATCTTGCAAGCCCTGAAACTCTATCCTAAGGCAGTCGGATGGTCCATCCTGCTCTCTACCGCTATTGTCATGGAAGGTTACGACGTCGTCTTGATCGCTTCTTTCTACGCTCTCCCAACCTTCAACAAGAAATATGGTGTTCTGGGAGCCGATGGCACATACACCGTTCCCGCACCATGGAAATCAGGTCTCTCGAACGGTGCTCTCTGCGGTGAGATCTTGGGTCTCTTCATCAACGGTATTGTTTCTGAGAAGTATGGCTACAAGAAGACTATGATGACTTCTTTGGCCATGATGGTTGCATTCATCTTCATCCCGTTCTTCTCCCAAAACATTCAAACACTTCTCGTGGGCGAGATCCTCTGCGGTATCCCGTGGGGTGTCTTCCAAACTCTCACAACTGCCTACGCTTCCGAAGTCTGCCCTGTCGCTCTTCGAGCCTACCTCTGCACATACGTCAATCTCTGCTGGGTTATTGGACAATTCATTGCTTCTGGTGTTCTTCGTGGTGTCTTGAGCCGTACTGATGAATGGGGATACCGAGTAAGTGGCGAAATCTGAACCTATTAACGCAAACACTAATTAAATCCTCAGATTCCCTTCGCAATTCAATGGCTCTGGCCTCTTCCTCTCCTAGCCGGTATCCTCTTTGCTCCCGAATCCCCATGGTGGCTCGTCCGAAAAGGCCGCATGGAAGATGCCAAGAAATCTCTCCTCCGCCTCACAACCCGCAACGACCCAACCTTCAACGCCGACGAGACCATCGCCATGATGTCCCACACCAACGAACTCGAGAAGCAAATTTCATCGGGCACCTCGTACCTCGACTGCTTCAAAGGCATCGACCTCCGCCGCACCGAAATCGTCTGCATGGTCTGGCTCATCCAGAACCTCTGCGGCAGCACCTTCATGGGCTACTCCACCTACTTCTACGAACAAGCCGGCCTCCCCACCGTCGACGCCTTCGACCTCTCCATGGCCCAATACGCCCTCGGCATGATCGGCACCATCGGCTCCTGGTTCCTGATGTCCCGCGCCGGCCGCCGCTCCCTCTACCTCTACGGCTCCTGCGCCCTGTGCACCCTCCTCCTGATCATCGGCCTCACGGCCATCGCGCCTGCCTCCAACATCGGCTCTCGTTGGGCCATCGGCTCCATGCTCCTGCTCTTCACCTTCATCTACGACTTCACCGTCGGCCCCGTCTGCTACGCGCTCGTCGCCGAAGTCTCCTCCACGCGCCTCAAGGCCAAAACCATCGTCCTGGCCCGCAACCTGTATAACATCGGCGGCATCATCGTCAACATCATCACCAACTACCAACTAACCTCCAAACCCAGCGGCTGGGGCTGGGGCGCCAAATCGGCCTTCTTCTGGGCGGGCTCCTGTTTCTTGTGTATCGTGTGGATTTACTTTAGGTTGCCGGAGCCGAAGGGACGCACGTATGGTGAGATGGATGTCCTGTTCGAGAGGAAGGTGTCAGCGCGGAAGTTTAGGGATGCGAAGATTGATATCTTTAGGGGGGATCATTTGGCGCCTGTGGCGGAGGGGGATTCGGAGAGTGAGAAGGGGGGTGTGGCGATGGTGGAGAAGGTTGGGAGTGGGTTGTCTTGAATGAATAGGAAGAGGGAGATTTGAGGATTAGGAGGAGACTTGTATATATGGGTTTTGATGCGGTCCGTTGTGTATATTTCCTTGGACCGGGATTAGAAAGCGGGAGAAAGGGTCTTGTGGTCGCGACTTACGATTAGATGCTAGATGCACTTGTGCTTGAGAATGATATCCATTTATATTTCAGAGTTTCAATCTTCGTCCCGCGATCCGAGAATCTATATAGAAGAGAGTCCAACTCGTTCTTACAACATTCCGTCCTTTGGAAGTCAAGGTTATTGGTCAGACTTTACTTACTTATGTGATGTCAAAAGCTCTGGAACAATATGATCACCCACAACATCCTTTGAAACTCCAACTTACCGTTCCGACTTGACAAACTTACAATGTCTCACAAATTCTGAAACAATAGGATGTTATATTCTAAATTCTACGGCACTCCTGTTTATCATTTATCTCCACCACCCTTTATGTCCCAAGTTCCCCCGTACCCCGAGCGCTTAACCGTCCAATCGCCAAGATAAATTGGTCTTTATTCCATTTTTGAATGTCTTTACTTTCGTCGAATGTGGATTGTTCGGGAAAGGGCCTCGGTGCAGAAGCATGTGGTGCACTGTGGATCTTCCTCTATCACTTGAAACGACCTGGCGCAAGCAACAATGTACTTTGAAGAGGACGCTGGTCGCCAGGTTGAAGCGTATCGTGTTGTGGGAATGATTAAGGAGCTAAAAAGAAATAATGTCGCCGGCTATCCAAGACATCGATCCTTCTGAAAATTATTTATCAGTCTTTTAATCTTTCATACACAGATCCGAGGCATGATGTTTATAGGTCTTTTGGGCTGGCAATCAAGTCTCCGATATCTTTTCCTATGTCAGGATGTGTATCTTGCGACTACTAACTTCTGCATGCGAAATTACAAGTCTGTAGAGGTGCTTTACGAACTTCGACGCCCCAACGTACTTTCGGGGGATGCCTTTGTGGGTCCCAGATTGGACAGTCACATCAGCGTTTAGAGAGCGCTGTGCTCTCAAATTCTGGGAAGGCTACTCTGCAGCGGGCAACAAGTCATCAGCATCAAGTGTTTATGTGTGGAATGACAAGCCGACGCGTGCTGTAAGCCTATCAGTTGACAGCACACCGATGGCATGATTGCCGTAGTGAGCCTGGCCTTGCTCTAGGCTGTCGCGAGAAACGCCGGTACACGCTCTTGAACTTAGGTAATTAGGCAAGATAAGATTGTCTGTACTGGATTCTATTTTTGGCTCGGAATCTTTCCATCTTCATTAAGTAGATGGATGGAGAGACGAAATCAAAATAGATATATTATGTTTGACCGTTTGCACGACAAGCTACCGATTCCATCAACTCCAGCCTTATCATGATGTTGCTCAAATGAAGAAATAATTCCTATGTGCCAACTGCATATTCAATCTGCCTATAACAATGCCAGTAAGATTTCCTGCATATGCACAGCGCGAAATGTTGTGCTGTCTGACACACATGCCCGATCTCACTTCATCAGCCCTCGAAAACGCCTGGGTGGCAGTAATGTCAACATGCATGACAGGGCGACCAGTCGTATCAGGTAGGCAGATTGAGCGGGAAGTTTTGGCGGGCGCACAACTGCGTTGACCCTCACATTTATTCCTCGTCGATCAGCCACTACGTTCCAGCCTCTCCCGCACCAACAAGTCGGGCAACATTCGAAGTGCAACCACGCAGCATTGCGCCACTCCCATCAAACTTTCCTTGTGTTTCTCTTGTCCTTTTTGAAGTTGTCATACTTTCTTGCCGACGCCGAGCATACGACGGCTCTAAGTTTCTGTGATAATTTGAAGCTTTGATCTTCGCTGTATTATCGTAGTATTTCGAAATGGACGGACTTTCTGTTGCTGCCAGCGTTGCCGGTATAGTGCAATTGGCAGACACTATCTTCACACGCCTTCAGCGATACGCGAAAGCCGTGAAGCACGCCAGCAAGGACATTCGGAATCTGTCAGATCAAATCCGCGAGCTTTCCATGCTACTTCACCATCTCAAGCTTATCGTCAATGGGCTTGAGGAGGAAGAAGAGGAAGAGAGGGAGGAGGCAGGCCTATCGCGCGACGAGAGTTCGTCGAACTTGGCAGACTTTCGACTGCATCATGTCAGCTCGTGCTATACCACCCTCAGAGGCATTGAGGACAAACTCGACAAATATCTCCCAAAAGGACAGGAACATCGAAGGTTTAAGCAAGCGCTGCGAGACCTGAAATGGCCATTCTCCGCCTCGGATATCAAGGAACTGCTCGCCGAGGTCGAAGCCCACAAACGGAACATACATCTCGCTCTGTCCGGAGAGACCCTAGCCGTAGTCTTCAAAACGTTGTCGCGACAAGATGACCTGGCGGCTGGCATTGAGGAAATCAAGGCAAATCAGAATGAGAGATGGGCAATGCAGGTCCGAATCCACCTCGACAAAAAGAAGGAAGACGTCCTCGCCTTTTTCTGTAAGGTCGACCCTAGTTCTAATCACAGGATGAGCTTGAAACTCAGACACCCTATGACTGGTCTCTGGGTTACAGAAGGGTTGAAATTTCAGGCGTGGCTGGTTACTCGAAATTCAAAACTATGGCTGTCGGGAATTCCAGGAGCTGGGAAAACCGTGATAGCCGCTTGCGTTATCGAAGAAGCAATGAAGAGAAGCAGCCAGGATCACGCAGTTGCCTACTTTTACTGCGACTACAAAGACGAAGAGAAACAAAAACCTGTCGAAATCCTGGGATCATTGGCAAATCAGTTAGCCAAGCTGAATGAGGAGGCATATTCTAAGCTGGAGCAACTCTATCATGGCTGCCACACAAACAAATCCTCCGGAGCATGCGCGCCCAAGCCTGAGGAGTTGTTGAGCACCATAAACGAGATGGCATCTTGCTTCGATGAGGTCTCTGTCCTGGTTGATGGACTCGATGAGTGTGGCAGAACACATACACCTCAGATTGTCCAACTACTTGCCGGGCTTGCATCTGGCAGAAGCAGCAACACTCGAACTCTCTTCCTAAGTAGAGACGAGCCTGAAATTAGTGCGATTTTGAAAGAGGAATATACCCACTTAAGAATCGAAGCTCACAGCGAAGATTTGAGGCTGTATGTGACAGCTGAGATAGAAACTCGGCAGCATAAGACAGGCAGAGAGCAATTACGGATCAGAAGTGCTGGTCTCAAAGACGAGATTACCAAAACATTAATTGAGCGAGCGGGTGGAATGTGAGTCTTGTTCCCCCCAACAGAAATGACAAAGCTTTGCTAACCATTGTCACGAATAGGTTTCGCTGGGTTTCTTGTCAATTAGATTACCTTTGCAGCTTACGGACAGATGCTTTGAAAAACAAGGCCCTCAAATCGCTACCACCTGGGTTGGAAGAGACGTACGAACGCATTCTCCAGCAAGTAAATCAAGAGGATATAACCATCCAAAGAATGGTCCAGAGAACATTGTAAGCAACATTATTTCAAAGAGAGACTCCTTCATGGCTCTGGAGTGCGCTGCTTGTTATGTACTCCAGCTGTGCTCCGGATCCAATTTCAATAATTACTCTTAAAAAAACATAGCTAATTCCAAAACTCTGATAAATAGACAATGGACTGTGAGCTCGTTAGCAAGAATATCGAAGACTGCGCTCTCTCATGCGATTTCTATTGAAGACAACGACAGAATTATCGATCTTGACTCGGTTTACGAAGAGGAAGATATTCTGATGTACTGCAGCAGTCTAATACGCCGATCAGCAGATGGCGAATACTTTGAAATGGCCCATTTTACAGTCAAAGAGTATCTATCCAAGCTTCCCATTGAAGGCGCCGACTGTTCAGATTACTCGCAAGCACAGCAGTTTGTCTTCCCGCAACTTGCAATCACTTGTCTAAACTATCTCCTCCTTGACAGTTTTAATGGGAGCATTATCGAAGATCTCGAGACTTGGAAAGATCAATCCAACAAATACCCCTTCCGTGAACACGCTGTCGAGTATTGGACTAAATACGCACAGGAACACATGCAAAATGATCGTGTTTCAGAACTTTCTCAACACCTATTTGGTGCTTCGCGAGGTGGATGCTTCTTATCATGGGCTCGCGATTATTTTTATCATGATGTCCTCACACTGACTGTCGAGGGGTCCATGGCAGTTTTGTTCGATAAATTCACGCGCGACTTCTGTGCTGGTGGCTTGAAACCGCTTCATATGGCAGCAGCTTTGGGATTACCATCGATTTGTAGTTGGCTTCTTGAGTCGAACTGTGGCGTTACTGAGAGGTGTTATTTGGGAGCACCTCTTCACTGTACCATCCTGGGGAGAATTTGGCTTGTGAGGTCGCAAGTCTTCGATAACTGGTTTAACTACAGAGCAGTATTTGATCATGACGACGCTGAAGATACGGAGGGCCGCAATCAAGTGCTTGAGATGCTTCTAGCCAAAGGCGCCGATTGCAAAGCTTTGTATCAAGATGGATTCGGCGTGGAATTTTCGTGCAGTTATCTGGCTTTCTTTTTTCAGAGTACGGCCAACGCCAACTATCCTTTACTCAAGCTTCTTGCTGAGGGGTCAGAATTGGATGAGAAGGTGATGGCATACATCGAACGACACTCGGACCGGATTTTGGACGAAAGAGATTTCGTTGAAGCTCTTATCTGCAAACTAAAAGAAATGGACCTGGCTCAAGCTTTTAGATTACAAGCTGCGCTAAAGTTGGATACCTCCGGTTCTCGTGCTATCGCCAAGTACATATCGAAGAGTTCAGTACCCACCAGCACTTCTGGCCAGATTGATCTCTTTCTCTCCGCAATCCGATTCGACCAGACTGAAAGAATGGAAGAACTGATTCGGAATGAAAGGCTCGACATCATACTCCAAGACCCAAACTCAATTGCGGAATTTCTGCATGCCGCAGCGAAACGGAAAGCCATCGGCGCGCTACGATTGTTGTTGTCACTGGGTGCCGATATTAATTCAGTCGACCAGGATGGCTGGACAGCACTACATTTCGTGGCACTTGACATGGACAAGAACGAAAGGCACGAACAATGAATTACCGTACTTCTCGATTACGGAGCAAATGTCAATGCCAGGACTCGAAATGGTAACACGGTATGGCATGTCGCTGCGAATAGCAATAATGGGGCTGCCATCACGGCTCTATTACAAAGGTGTGGGAACAACACTGAGGGGCTGGCTATTACAAACGATGAGGGCTCAACCCCGCTGTTTGTTGCTGCTCAACTTCAATGTGCTCTCTCATGCGAGATACTTCTTGCCCACGAGTCTTATGTGCCGCAACCATTTCCCTCCGATCTTACCCTCGTCCATTACGCTGTCGAGATGGGTTCCATTGCGATTTTGCAAATGGCTGACACAAAGGGTTTTAAGCTCACCGACAAGACTGCGGATGGCCGAACGGCTCTTCACTTCATCTCGAGCGAAACTACACCTGATATTGTACGGTTGCTCCTAAGATCAGGAAACGAACCCGCAACACCAGCAAACAACGGCGAGACCCCCTTGCACTTATTGGCGTGTTTGCAGCCAGTCAACGATTATGAAAATCTAGAAGAGATCTTTGATCTTCTCAAAACAGAGCATTCTATGAACTCGATGACCAACGACGGCTTTACCCCACTGCACTACGCTCTTGACCCACCCAAACATCTCATGAGAACTCAGTTTGCCTATGGCTTCACGAGAATGGTGAAAATACTGATTTCACGAGGTGCAGATGTCCACAAACAGCTACCTGACAACTCCATCAAGGGAGAAACTTGCCTCAGCAGACTGCTTAAACGCTATATGGATATCGAAGTGGAGAATAGTGCCAAGCTAAGCACGCCAAGTTATACAGTTACGGAGGAGGAGCACGAAATGGTGGAAGTCGCCAAGGTTATTATTGCCGCTACTACGAATTTGGAGACACTAATAGAGCCAATCAACGGTCACGAGGGCAACGGTTGTGATACACAATACAGCCCTTTGTGTTGGTTCATTAGACGCGAAATGGAAGAGCTGGCCAATCTACTCCTAGAAAAGGGAGTTGACGTTGATGCTCGAAACTCTGGATTTGGCATAGAAAGCTCATGGTCCGCACTCAACTTCGCGTGCTGGTTTGGCTGTAGTGTCGAGATATTCCGAAAACTTTTGATAAGATCAGCTCGCCTCAGGGATTACGATAGTGACGGCAACTATCTCAACCATCTAGCTAGCATGGGACACGCGACACCTTCAGTGTTAACAGAACTTTGCAAAGCTGGATTAGACCCAAACCTTCGCACTCCGGACGGATCAACACCGTTGATGCTTGCTGCCGCTGGTGCGAAGCAAGATCATGTCAAAGTACTACTTGATTATGGAGCTGACATCCATCTCAGAGACTCCGCTGGCTCAGAGGCGACCGACTTAGCAGCAAAATCTGGACACGTGGCGGTCATTGAGCAATTTTCAAATCTTGGTATTGATTGGAACTGCTGTGCTCATCTAGGCGACTTCAATATCCTTCATGTAGCTGCACGTTATGGCCATATTGGCCTAGCGAAGTTCATACTGCAGCAGTCATTAATTGACGACATAGATTGTCGAGCTCATAGTCAGGATACTGCACTTGTCTTCGCAGCCTTTTACCATTATCCATCTTCTGCCGAGATTGTACGACTACTTTTATCAGCAGGTGCAGACGTTGATGCTCCAGGACAACGTAACAAACGCCCAATACACTGGGCAGCCGATGTAGGTAACATCGAGGTCATAAAAGTGCTTCTTGAACACCATTGTTCGCTCGTACCCGACGATACTGGAATGACGCCACAATGGAGAGCCTTGAAATATGGTAAACATGAGGCGTTCGAATTACTAAAGGAGTATGAGAGCAAGAATGGTGAGTCTCTAAGTTTCACATTTCCGACGAAATCACATTTCTATTCGTAACTAATGGAATGCTTCTTTGAAGCACCGGGATCACAAGTTAGCCAATCGAGCAGCCTCGCAATCAGACTCCAGTCTTCCGAAGATAAAGCTGCCAATGCCTCTTCAAAAAACCTCAAGCTCGCAATTGAAAGGGGCGATTTACAGTTCTGCACAGGGTTAGTAACGACCGGTTGCAGTCTTTCAAGGAGATTTTCTTGCGGATGCACGCCCTTGCTCTGTGCTCTGGAACGCGGCCAGGAGGAGATTGCTCGATATCTCCTCGGCAATGGAGCAGTTCTAGAAGGAAGGATCTGTCAGTCTTCCATTCTCAGAGGCTACACTTTCGTCCATCTAGCATCTGCCAAAGAAATTCGACTCGACCTTCTCAAAGCGGCCATGGAGAAGCAGCCTGCTGTAATATCAGTAGCTTTCCAATGCCCAGTGAGTCCATTACACGTGGCCGTAGCGTGTGGAAACCTTGGCGCGTTAGAGTTATTGCTACAATATTTGAAAATCCAGTATATAAGCAACGCACTAGAGAGGCACGAGGACGAGTCTGGAGAACTGGAATCAGTTGATCAAAACGAACCAACGCACGACAGCCTTCTAAAGACGCCCAGAGGAAGGTCGCTGCTAGCAGTCTACGACTCGAATATTAACCCGTTGAACATAGATACGCCTTGGATTTTGTGCCAGGAGCGAAATATTACCACGCACCATATCTTTGGCACACCTTTACACGTCGCAGCCTGGCAATCCAATGTCAGAGCGATCAAGCTGCTTTTGGATTACGGCGCCACCATCGATTCTGTCAATTACCAAATTCGCACTCCTTTGCATATCGCGTGCATGCAGGGAGGTGTTTCCACAACTTCTTTCCTTTTAGCTCGTGGTGCAAGTGACTCCAGCCGGAGCTTTGCTGGCGAGACTGCGGCGATGCAAGCGGCCATTTGCGGCAAAATTGAAATAATAGATCTGCTAAACAAACGGGGTACGAATCTGTCTTCCACGGGTGGGCAGGGCAATAGCTTACTCCACTATGCCGCAAGAGGTGGGCCTGCAATCTTCGCCTATTTACTTTCATTGGGTTGTTGCCCATATAGAGAGAATCTCCTGGGAAAAACTCCTGCAGATTTCGCCCTGACAAGTCGTGTCATCTTCCCAGCCTTCAAGCCAGCCTTCAAGGCACTGATCTCCAACCTGGGCCTTGATTTCGACAGATGGGCACAGCCTCTATCGCATTTTGAAGAGATCTGTGGTGATAATTGGCTGCCCATGGTTAGGTTGTTTTTAAGACGTGCGCCTGACAGTATTATTCGTCGAGAGCTAGAAGCTACTACTTGGTCGAATGGATGTCTTTTGGGAGACGCCGCTGCATCTGGATCTCAAAAGCTCACCGAGCTGTTCGTGCGTGCTGGCGCAAATCTAGAACTCGATCGAGGACAATACGGAACCCCACTGCTCAACGCATGCACATTCGGACGCTTCTCTGTTGTTAAGTTCTTGGTACGGGCTGGTGCCAAAGTTATCAGCAGCAGGGGAAGCAGACCATTCACTGCTGTCGAAGCAGCACGACCTTTTCCCAACATTGTTCGATGGCTTCTTGTGGACCGTTATTCAGAGCAAGCAAAGAAGCAGCACGACCTTTTCCCAACATTGTTCGATGGCTTCTTGTGGACCGTTATTCAGAGCAAGCAAAGATCAGCTCCTCGGCATATTTTGAGGAACAATCGACATGCCTTTGGTCAGGAATACAGCAGGAGGAAGTGGATATTTCTGGACTATACGTGCCTTCACATGATAGATCAATTTTTGGCCAAGTGAAAGAGCGAGCAAGACTTCGGAAGCGGCTACAGGGAGAGGTCATTCATGTGTTCGAGAGAGAAAATGACGCGGTCGAGGACAGTGCGAGTGATTAGTACCGCACAGCACTGCACATGCAGCTGGTCCCTTCGCGGAATCGATTCTCACTCTTTCACCTCCAGGAACCTGGAATTAAGTGCAGTACAACAGTAAAAGTGCAAGTATGGCATCACTCACTAACACTCAGATTGAGAATAGACTCTGAGATAGTGACAGCGGCAGCTACAGCAGTGAGTGCAGTGACTGATGTCTTGAAATTAATGAGCATATGTTCATAGATATCGAGTGTAGTGAAGTGTTCTAGTGTTTTTGCAGTGTTTCCAGACTTTAATTAACGACACTACTCGTTACTTGATGGTGATTTCTTGTTATCTAGTGTACTGGGTCGTTCTTTATCGAGCCGTTGCTCCCGTAGGTTTAGCTAATAAGTGACTAACTGGCTGATTGGGCCAAAGTGGTCATCCACTAAATCTCGAGCGGAATACGTCGTCCAGCTCATCACCGTCCACATTGTCTACTCCGAAATTATCTTCATTTTCATCCTCATCTTCATACTCAGCTTCATCCAATTCCTCAATCAAATCGCTAAAAATGCTACCGTTTCCAATTGGCCTGGTATAGTTACTCGGGAACCATCCTCGAACGCCGTGAAGCACCCCATCCCACCAACCACTTTCAAGCTTGGTTATGACCTGTATGATATCGCCTTCGCGGATTGCTAAGTTCGGCGTATCGTCGTCTTCATAGTCATACAGCACTACGACATAAAGTGTTTCTGGGGGTTGCGCAAGGATGTGTGGCTGAGCAGGCGGCTTCGGCAGAGGCTTCCACTTGTTCCCAGATTTCTCTTCAGAAATATCAGTGGCGACTCCTGATCCAGAACTTTTCTCGTCATTCTGACCAGATGTTTCAGCTTCTTCTGGAGCTTGATCTGTCCATACTTGGAATAAGTGAGCAGCTTGTGATTCGATACTTGGTGAAGATACAGCATCATCCCATGTGTTGCGGCGAAATCCTGGGGATAGGGGGCTGTTACTAAAGATCAGATCGTTGACCCACACTGAATCTCTTTGCTTTTTGACATCCCTCTCGTCCTCACTTTCATCGCCCATCACCTGCTCTCTGTCCTCGGTTGCACTTATCTCGTCCAAAGCATCTGGAGACTTTATCTTCGGAATGGGATCACGTTGATGGGAATCTTGCTCCTCGGCTTCGTTCTCAAGTGTTTCGAGCTGGTCGACAGCACATCTTTGTGCGGCGATCAAGCCCTGAATAATGACTTGTTCTTGCTGATCTTCAAGCTGCTTGTCAATTGTCGATGCCCTAGTTTAAGTCAGTCTTATACTTTGCCATTTATTTGTGGTAAGAACGCAGTGTAAAATGAAACCTGTACTTACCTGGGGCTCACTGTCTTTCGCGCCAAGTCCAGAACCAATAACATGAGCTGAAGTGTGTTCTTGCTTGACTCCAAAGTCTTCTGCAAGACCTGAACCTTCGAACGTTTGAACGTCCATTTGACCCGAGCTATCACATCTACAGACAGCTGCTCGTTTGATTTCCCCGTGCTCTTTTGCAAGGGGTGTACGATATCTTCAATCTCTTTAAAGATTTCTTGGCATCGCTTCAAAATATCTTGCGTCGTAGCAATAGCGCTGATGGAATATCTACGAGCTTGCGCTCTGGTGAGAGTAGAATGAAGCTGTTTGAGAACGCCGCAGAATTGGGATATTTCAGTCGCGATCTGATTGACTTCGGAACGTGCAGACCCGATTGTTGAGCCAAATTCGAAGAGTACCATGGAAAGCTGCGCACCTTTAGCAGCCACGCCGACGATACTAGCGATCGCAGCTAGTTCTGCCATCTTGCAGAGCAACCGCTTAACTGAACATTCTTAGGAAGTTTGATAATGAATGGATCTTGGTGCAAGTGTAATTGTTGTGATTGTCCATAGGGGGCTTTGCAGGCTGTGCATGAGTGAGGCTGTGTGCGGCTAAGGCTGACTCGACGCCCAGCCGTGATCACGTGCACAGGCAGCTGCCCAGAAGTTGGATACAGGTGCTGTTAAATGGACAGGTTTGAAATAAAGGAGCCGCATCTAAGTAAAACTCGAGAAGTTGCGATATTGAGAGACATGGGTACTATGGATATGACTTTCGCGAGATTCCAGCCCCCCTTTTCCTTGCAACCTTTGGCGAGATCGGGAAAACAGATACGCTCTTTTGGGTAATAGCGCAGACTATCTAGTCATTGCATTGTTTTAATAGGTTAGCTCAAGATGTCAACTGAAAGACAAGTGGGGCGCCAAAGCAGAACAAAGCAGATTTTGAATTTGTCATGATCAAGTTGCTCTCTCTTAAACACTCTACAGACACAAAATTACGCTTAACATGCCTGCAGAAATAGACATAAATTGCAACTTTCTACAAGCCTAAAACACCGAGTGCAAGTACACCAAGCGGGAACCCCACACCCAACCCTTCCTTCAAACTAGAATCACCATTACACTGAGGACAAGCGGTTTGCGTCGGGCACGTAGCACTGATGACAGAAGTCGAAATAGCACATGTACTGCTCGAATTTGCTGGCGCAGTTGTCGGCGATGCTTCTGCAGCAAAAGGGTCTTTGAATGTGATCGTTGAACCATTGAAGCAAGTATCCACTGTGAGTGGTGTCACATCAGACTCCTCGGCAAAAATTATATCTGCACACTTTTGCACGGTCAACATCACATTTCCCATACCAATCCTAGCCCAAAGATAGGTCAAGACTCACATTATACAACGCACCTCCATGTATCGCAGTCTCAATAACCTGTATCGTTGCTTCATCACCAACGTTGACAGTGACATTTGCTGGAAGCGGGACCTGTGGCAAACAGAATGTTCCAGGATATGGATTGTCGCTTGGTCCATCTATCTGGAAGGGCGGAAGCATGGGAAAAGACTCGTTGGGTGGCCCGCCTTGCGGTCCAGCAGTTCCAAGTCCCAGATTGATATAGAATAGAGCACTGGCATGTCCAGTGAACCAACCAGGTTGGACTGCAATTCCTCCACCGGTTATAGGCCATTTGGTTCGATTTGTGGTCGCGGGGAGACCGCCACCTGGAGATATTAGCGGAATTTAATAAGGCTTCCCGAACGATGATTTATATCATCTCGTGACCGACACAAATCATCCTGCTCCCAATTTTCCAGACTTCAGAATGGTAAAGCCCCGAAATGAGTACATCCCAGACACGCGGAACAGTTTTCTTAGTCCAGAGTAGCATTTGACGAAAGAGATACAGCAACTCACAAGGATACGACCACTGCATGCCATATAGAAATGTCTCATTCAGAACCAGATTGTTTCCCCTCCATCCTGGATATGTAATCACAGTATGTGCAGCTGTACTCACGGCCCATATTGTGGCGAATAGGGAAACCTTCGTCAACCTCAGCATTGCTTTTTAAACGCCAAGCTGTCGTAATAAGAAGAAAGAACTGCAAAAGAGTTTCAGCAAACTATATAGGCTTCCATTTGCAGGATTCAAGAGGATAATCTAGACGAGGCGGAAATTTACGCTTACAGTGGCGCAGTAGGCTCCGTCCCCAATCTCGCAGGGATCCCCCGCATCCTTACCCACTATCGCATAGCGCATCCAATGCCTGCAGCACCTGAACCGCGGCAACTAAATCATTCGACTTCGAAAGTAAGATATGTTGTCCTCCTAGCCAACTTTCATGGGGCTATAAATTTCCCTGGAATTTAAAACCAATGAGATCTTCTTAGCAGTGTGTCCCAGATCTCCGGTCAGGCAACACACAAGTGGCAAATCGGCATACGAGCTGGGGATATAAATTGGATGCATGAACGTTCTTGAAGAATGATAGGTTGTTTTTACAGCTTTGATGCCACCTCCGACGGCGATGTGACAGGAGCCCCAAAGACAATGGCTTGGTTCCGCTCCAGAACTTTTCGCCAATTGGTGGGTGCTTCCAAAATCTGCTCCTTCGTGATGGCTTTTCGCTCCAGAAAATCAAGACACATGTGAGCCGAAAGTGACGAAACATCTTGTTGCGAATCCGCAAAGAAGAGAACACCCATGATTACATCAGCGACTTGGAACAGTAGGCCACGAGCTAAAGCCAGCAAGTCCTCCGAGGTTTGTTCTTTTACAATCGCCTTCAAATTCTGCCACTTTCGAATCAAGTCATCCTTGGCGTTTCCAAGCGCTGGTTGACCCTTCTTCGAGCTTGAGAGAGCTTTCGTGATCCAACGATCCAGGGCTTTGAGTACCTTGTCACCACTTCCGCCTTTGAGTACCCTCAACGAGTCTGTAGCGAGAACATCGGTGGTCCCCTCCCAAATGCTGTTCACGCAACAGTCTCTGTACAGTCTTGCGATATTGATCGCTTCGTTCTCTGAATTGTCCAGATATCCCACTCCGCCTAAAGCTTCCATGCATTCTTGCAAGACATAGGTACATCGCTTACAGACTGATCCTTTCAGTACGGGTGTCATGATCCGGAGCAGAAGCGGTACATCCGCTGAGTTGGGCCGTAAGTCTTCACTGGTTGATGGACCTGGCTCTGCCGAGCTGCCATGCTCGTTGATCCCGATCAACCAGGCAACAAAGAAAGTGAAAAGCATCATCGAATGATATTCTCCAGTCAGCTTCGCGAGTGTACTCATATGTAGAGGTGAGTCGAAGAGCTTGACTCGCTTCCCTTTCCCAGCACCGACTTCGCGAACTCGTGTAAATGCTTTCGCGATTGCAAGACCACGACCGACGTATCCTACAGTGCTTACGGCAGAATAAAGTCGGGTAATGTTGAGAATTGTGCTGATCTCTTGGATTCCTTGTCCTTCTTTACCAATCAAATATCCGCGCATGCCGCGAAGTTCAAGTTCAGCCGTGGGAAGGCTTTTGGTTCCGGATTTGTTCTTCAAGCGCTGGATGTGGACGCCGTTGAGTTCCTTCTGTGAAGACGAGCCAGCTACCATCCGGTATATAGGTGCGAAAAAGGCGCTCAATCCCTTTGATGTCTGAGCGAGTAGGATAGTCATTGATGAATCTGTCGCAGAAGAGAACCACTTGAAGCCATCAATGCTCCAATGACCCAGAATTTGATCAGATGCCGAAAGTCCATCGGCGATGGGCGAGTATATCGCTATTGTTTCTGTTCCTGATACATCGCTGCCACCAGAGCGTTCTGTCATCCATTGACCGCTTGTCCATGCAAACTCACAATTTCTAGATGTGACTCGGTCGTAAGCATCTTGAAACACTTCTCTTGTAGTGGTGTCCAAGGTCTTGGTCCGAAGATGGGAAAGCAATAATTTCGCCGCGCCATCAGTCATAGCACTCGGACATGTTACATTTGCGTTTGATCCAGTCCAAAGATGGGTCCTACTTGAATTAGCAACAATCATCGTAGCAAAGATTTGGACTCGAGTGATTCCATACTTCAAGAACTGTGCCACCCTGCTGTACTCTCTGTGCTCCCCTTCGTACCCAGCTGCCACAATTCTATATGCCAAGAGTAAGCAGCCAATTCAATATATGAGAAGACTTGAGCGTACCCATTCTCGATGCCGAATTTTTGTAATTCTCGCCAGCCTTCCGTCACTACTAACTCACTCGTCTGCCGTCCAAATGCATCTCTACCACTACCTTTCAAGTACGGCACATTTCTCTCGGCATCGGTGACCCAGTCAAATATTCTCTTTGACAACACCTCTCTTCCAAGCCTCGACAAGTCTGGTGCTATGGTCTCATTGATCTCCTTTGGGAGAAACACTGAAAGCTCAAAAGTTAACACGTGTCACGTGAATGACATGATTGGAGATATTCTCACATTTCAGTATTCTCTGGTAGCTGGCATCATCGTAGAATTGGTTTTCTAGAGTAGGAGCAGTTTGAAAGAAGCCCTCATTTGCGCTCGATGCTTTTCGTGCGTCTGATGCCATCTTTGCCAATGCCTGCCGAGGTATGCTGAAGTCTGAGGGATCGACTGCTTGGAGTTAGGGGATTAAGTTTGTTCCCAAACTTCCTGCTCTTCGGACGACTCGTTGATGTATTCTTCAACCTTTCTTTTATAAAGTACATAAGAGTAGACTAGGTGTAAAATCGTGGCCGGCAATTGAGGATGATCATGGCCGCAGCTTGCCGAGGCTGAGTACCTAATTACACGTGATACTACCACGTGATGACTATCAAGAAGATGATTTCGGTGATTAAAGAAGCCTTTCAATTTGAGGAGACGCTATTGTAGTTGAAGTTTATGGTTGGTAGCAGTGGCTCATAGACAGAGTTGTGGCTACGGTGGAAAATTCGCAAGGTAATAGGAAAGTGGAAAGAGACTTGCGCTTCGGAAAAGGAGAAAATAGAGCTGGATTTTGCCTCGTGATGATGAGGTGTAGAAGAAGAATAATAGAAAAAATGAAATGAACAATACAACTTAGAAAAGTATGTTTCTTGCGTCAATTAGACACTAAGTTATCGTTACTTGACTACTTCTCACTCTCATCTTTCTGTCATCGGCCATCCCGTTCTCGTCGAACACGTTCAGCCACCTCATTCGGCCATTCCATAGCATGCCTCCACTCATCCCCAAGCTCCTGATTGATGATATCCACCATATTCGTTCCCAGTCCCCTCAGCCACCAGGTATCATCATGCTCACAAAATAAAGTAGCATAGTGAGCCAAGATAACCATCGCTTCTGGGACTCGTGAGTTTGCTAATATTACAAATTCCTCCGGAACGATAACAGTGAAGAGCAATATGATTCCTAGCGTGAAGCGTTCGGTATCTGGTGGGCATGCCGCTCGGGAGAACGTGAGCCGTAATTCCTTGATAGTGTCCGAAAACGCGGCGTTGTGTTCTGCTACATTATTCCTGCAACAGACAGTGTCTAGAAAGCCTATGCTTTCTTGCCCTGGATAATTTTCAGCAACCGGCAGATGCTGGCTAGCAACTTGCAGCAGAGGAAGAATCGGACTACTCGTGTAGACGGAGAGGGAAGGCAACAGCAGACTATTGACGCTGCGTAAAAGTCTAATCGCTTTCAGGAATTCGGATAAGATATGATCTTGTTCGTTCCTCTCCGGTCGAGCAGTGGCACAAGCTGCTAGCGTGAGGGAGTGAACTGGCAGCAAGCAAGAAAATGCCAGGACAGCGTCGAAATTCGATGCATCTATAGTTTCCAAAGCTTTTCGAAATTGAGCAATTGCAATGTTTTGGTGAGTCGAAGCTTTTATGAGATAGTTGACTGATTCCGAGGACGATTTGAGACAGCTAAGATGTGCTGCTGCTTGAGCTAGGAGGGCACGAAGGAGAAATGTGTGTTGCAGCCCAATGGTGACAATTGTTGTTCGCCAAAGGTCTTGTTCGACGGCGACGGTGGACATTGTGGCATATGTTACTGTCGAAAAGAAGTGCAGGAGTTCCAAGTCCGATACATCGAGTTCATCATTGCCGGGATTTGAGCTGACTCCTATCCCCGTTGCGTTTCCCGTTCCGAGAGGATCTTTTGGTAAAGAAGACGAAGAATGAGATGACGATCTCGATCTCAACGAATCTTTCAGGGAAACACTAGTGACGGGAAGATAATGGCAGTCAACCTCGTATTCGCTACAATTCACACACTTTGGCTTTTCTTCGCCGCACTAAAGATGTCAATGGAAATTCGACTAGAGCAGGGAAGGGTTCAATTGCCCCACTCACTTTTACATGTCGTTTCTTGCATGGAACACATCCTGTGCGACTCTTCCTATGTGGCTTCCGTGCCGACATCATCGAGGACCTTTGGAGTTGTAGTTTCTTTGTCGTCTCAGGTTGATTCACGAAGAGTCGTCAACCTTGTGACTATGCATAAAGTCTTAAGCGCGGCTCGGGATTTTATGCATATGCATTATGCATTGCATTGTCACGTGCCGATTTATATCTTCACCAAATCTTGCCTGGCTTTGATGAGAATTTTCGACGGGCTGCTGCTGTATGTCTACTACTTCGAGTATGACGAGTTCCATCCACGTCGGGGATTAGCGATCCATATAGTTGTTTCCACAAACCGAAATTTCAGAACCCGCTCCAACCCCTTTTCGCTTCGCTTAGAAATATGCCTAAATGCACAACCTGCCATTCATCTATAAAAGTGGCGGTATCATGGTCCAGGCAAGCGAGCTTCTATATATAGAGGATCGTCAAGTTACCTCATGACTACGTCTTAGTCTCGATCGCCACCGGATTCTGATATGTTTGGTGTTTGTACCACCTTCCATATTAATACGTGTCTGGTCGTCCCGTCCCGTTGACGAAGCTTTGTTGCATGTCGTCCGGTACGGCATCAGGAACTTCCGAGACTAGAGAACTAGTTGTTGGTTTCGTAACAGAGTTATTCCGTCGATGTGATGGAACGGCAAGAGGACTGAATGAGAAGGTTTTGCCACAATCAGCAGTTCTATTTCAAAAGTACTCTGATATCTTCTCCAAAGGGCAAAGAGGTTTGAAGATAGATACTAAAGATTCAAAGTTCCAGTAGCATTTATATGACTCTCAGGACATGAAAGATCCACGATCACACAACCTTCAACCCCAATCCCACAATCTTATCCCTAACCTCTACGCTCAACTCCAACCCAAGCAACCCCGCATACTGCTGACTAGCATGAACATCACTCTCCATAAAGCTCCCACTGGCAACTTTAACCCTCTCTCCCTTTTCATTCCCCTCAACTCCATTCCCAATACTAACACCCATCCTTGGAAATGTACATTTCCATCCCAACGCCTGATCGAAGAATCCGCACCAGATGATCTCGTCTTCGGCCAGATGGTACATCCTTGCGATGGTGGAGGGCGAGAGGAGAGAGGAGGACTTGATGATTTCGTAGATTTCGGGGGAGGAGAAGACAACGTCAAGCGTTATTTCGTAGGGGCCGGAGTTTTTGGAACGGATTACAGGGGAGATGTCCGTAAGGGTTTGAGGGGCGGTGTAATTGAGGGTTGAGGCGAATGTTGGTTTGACCTTTCCGTTAGACTTGGCCACAGTTTCTTTGAATAGGTTGGGGACCATGGGTGTAGGACACGTGGACGTCTCGCCCTTGCCGAATACCATGGATTTGTACGGGAATAGTCCTCGCTGGCCTGAAGCTTCACTCTCGCCGTTCATCTTCCAGGTACCCTGCTCTCCTTCTTCAAGCGACATGAGGTGATACACGCAGAATTCACCACAAGGTCCCATCTCAATGTCCGTCTTGCCGCCAACACCAAATGCGAAATTGCCAGCGGTACCTCTCTGACCTTCATACGAACCATGAACAATCCCGACTCGAGTAGTATGAGCAACAGAATTGGCAAGCTTCTGAGTACTAGCCAATACCTCAGCGACCAAGAAGATCTCACGAGGTTGATATTCCTCTGGTCCAGGCTCCAAAGACTGCATAACTCCACTCGCTCCATAAATGTGAAATCCCAATTTCCAAAACTCATCACCGGACGTCTTCACCTGCGAAGCAACATGTGTCCGAATCATTATCTCAACCTTTGAGAATTGGGAGATTAGTATGGGGTCTCGAATACCACCCATAACAATGGTTCGGTAACCAACAACCTTTGCCGCTTCAAGCTTGACGGTGTAAGGAAGGCCGACAGAGCGGGAGAACTCAAAAGTGCCACCACGGACACGAACGGAGATGTCGTCTGGAAGCTGGATGTAAGAGGATTTGGTCAGGTTCAGGTTACCTCCCGGACCAGGGAGGATGTCTGGTCGAGTTTTCTCATACAAAGTGTGAGAAGCAACAGAGGTGGGAGTGCATCGAGCTCCGGGGCTGAGAGGCTTGATATCGAAGCTCCCGTCCTGGTATACCGTGGCCATGGAGCTCTGTGACTTTGGAGTAGCGCATAGTGCGCCGCATTCCATGATCTTTCCCATGTGGGTGAAGCCACCGAGCTGCTCATTCGATAGTCCTTTCGGAGAAGCATTCTTGTTTGCATGATAGACGCACCAAGCAACGTACGGGCTGGGGTCGTAGGCACGGCCACCGATGACAATGTCAAAATAGGACTCGGCCTCCATCGCCTGAATGAATGGCTCAGGTCCCATCTGCGCTACAATTTGTGTAGCAGCCTCGACATTCTCTTCCGTCAGTAAAGGAACTGCTGATCCGCATCCTTTAACCTTGCCTGCACGGAGCGATTCGAGGACTTTGGCCTTTGAGACATTGCTGTACACTGCGAGTGTCTTGAATTTGTATGCTCTATCACAACATCAGCAAGAAGTTATGTAATTCCGAGAGCTCTGAATACTTGTTAACGTCTTCATCACAAATCTCCTGAATGATGTCCAAGAAGACATTCAAGTGATCATCCGTTCCATCACCACCCGCGGAAGAAATCATAATCGGAACACGGAACTCGTGACTTAAAGTCAAGAGCTTCTGGATATCACGCTCGTAATTAGCTCTTGGGGCGGTCATGGAGCCTGATGCAAGCTTTTCGGGTCCTGAATCCGTGGAACCAGAATCACAAATCAATGCTGTTGGGACGCCGTCCGACTTAACATCTTCGAGTGCTTCGCGAGTGAGATTCTCGTCGAACCCATATCCAAGCATGCCTATGGGAGTGATGATGTGGCATAATGGTGTAAGACCAATATCATTGACAGTTGAATGATTAAGCGTAGTGTTTTCTGCGCCATCCTGTTCCGATATCAAGAGTGCGGGAGCCATCTTCAAGTAGAGATAGGAAATAGAGAACAATCGTACGATGGCCCAAGAAAGCGCTGTATTGCCCCAGAAAGGTGGTGCTTAGTCGTTCAATGTGCCAAGGAAAGAGGAACTGCTCTCAACTGGACTTGGCTTTAAACTTGGCGAGCTGGAAGCAGGTCTACTTGTACCAGACTCTTACAGAGAGCGATGGTGTAAGATCGGTGCGTGTTTGTGCGATATTTGAAGTCGATCTCGCAGATTTGGGAGAAAAGATCCTCTCAGTAAGCGGATCAGAGATGTTGGCGAATCGGACGGCTGCGCTTCCCGGAGCGACAGTCGCAACTCGGAGCGAACGGTCTTCACGCCATTGACTCGAGCTACCCTAAGTTTCTACCCAGTTTTGCGGGGAACCTTGGTCGTCAGAACTTTGCATGCCAATTTAGGTGTGCATTTATTCGTCTCGGAGTGTGTAATTTTCAAATTGTCTTGTGAAAAGTAGCGTGCAAAAGCCACTTATGCCACCCCCTCTCTCTTGTTCCCTCGGCAAGAAATCGGTATATATGAGGACAAGAAGAGAATCGAGGAATCTTTGAATTCCCCAAACGATTTCCCTACTCAAGATCAATATAGAGTGGCCAAATTGTATCTCCAAGATTCTGCTCAAAGAAGTAGCTTCAAGATGGCTCAGCTCGACACGAACGGCAAAGAAGGCGAAGTACTCCATCTCGAGAAAGTGGAAGCAGCTCCAATCAAGTCATCCATCTTCACACAAGAAGATGATCTCGGTGCCAAAAGACTCGAAAGGCGTCTGAAATGGAAGCTCGACCTTTTTATCCTGCCCTTGGTATCTATGGTATACTTTTTTGCGTCGTTGGTAAGTGTTCTCACAAATGGGTGGAAGAAAAGTGGCTGATCACTGGTTAGGGGCGCTCCGACCTCTCCAATACCAAGATTTCTGGTCTCGATGAGCAGTTGAAGCTGTCGGCCAAAGACTACTCGAATGCTGCGAACATGTTTCTTGTCGGATATGTAGTGTTCCAGCTACCGGGTACACTTCTGATCAAGAAAATCGGTCCTCCGATCCAATTTGGTATCGCTATGTTCATGTGGGGTGTATTTACCACGGTCTCTGTAGCCATGACCAATCGCAGTCAACTGATGGCCTTGAGGTTTCTGATTGGCGCAGCAGAAGCTTTCATTCAAGGAGCTGTGTTCTGTAAGAACAGGTGACCCCTAAACAAGCGTTCTGGCTGACGTTGAAAGATCTCTCATTTTTCTATGAGTATAGCGAGCTTGCCACCAGAGGCGCAATCTTCTTCTCAACATCAACACTAGCAGGTTCTTTCAGCGGCCTCATATCATATGGAGTGGTTGAGAATCTCAATGGAGCTCACGGCTGGTTAGCTTGGAGGTGGATATTCCTCATCGAAGGAGTTTTACCAGTGGGAGCGACTCTTCTCGTGATCTTTCTGCTCCCATCGACACCAGAGAAGCTTGGCCGGAATTTCAAAGAAGACGAAAGGGAATTGGCTATTCAAAGGAGTAGAAGAGCACACTACGAAGAAACGACAAAATTGGATTGGAAGCTGATCCACACCCCGCTGCTTAGTGTACACTTCTGGATCTTCGTATTGCTTTACTGCGCTTCGCATTTTTGCATAAGCTCACTCCAGAACTTTTTGCCCGCTATCATAAAGGTACCACGAAACAGTGATTCAACCAATGTTTACCAAGCATAGCTGACCTTTTAGGGATTTGGGTATTCAGGAGCGGACGCTCAATTATTTTCTGTCGCCGTATACGCTTGTGCATTTTTCGGTGTCATCTTCTGGGCCCGAGTGTCTGATTGCACGAACCGCCGTGGTTGGACAACAGCAGCTGCAAATGTCTTTGCCGTTCTCGGATATGCACTGCTTCTCGGGTTGACAGGCACCAAAGCCAGGTTTGGAGCAACTTGCTTGCTAGCATTTGGAGCTTTTGCAAACATCGCTCTGCAGTTGACTTGGATGACCATGACCTTTGTTGGGTACACGAGAAGGTATGTGGACACAGAGGGTTCAAAGCCAGCACTGACTTCGTCGCAGAGGCTCTGCCCTTGCTTTTATCAATATATTTGCACAACTGTTTGCATTGGCGGGAAACTCAGCATATATCAATCCACCATACTGTGAGAAGCTGTTCGTGCTAATTGATCTCCACAGTACTGATAAATGATAGATAAACCAGGAAATTCAGCATCATTGGCATTTTCAGCGATTTGCGTAGTCGGCCCACTGGCATTGAGTTGGTACTTGGAAAGGATGAATGAGAAGAAGCGCCGAGAACAATTTTCGAACGGTGCAGCAGTAGCAAGAACCAAATCGCTAGATGAGATTGGCGACGCACACCCAGACTTCTTCTATACATCATGATTCTCCAATAGGGGGCTGGAGCTTGCGCGAAATTCGTTTCTAGTCTACCATAAACTTTCTCAAATAAGTGTAGGCTTCTGATGAAACGCAGAAATGAATGCTTCAGCTAAATCCGTTGTAAAAATTGTTGATGTCAAAATTGTACTGCTCCGTAGACAAAAGGTCCAGGCCCCATGGAAAGCTCCACTCCAGAGAAGGATCATGAATTGATTCAAGTGGAAGACTCTGAAAATCAGGCATGGTAGGATAAGTTTCCGATCCAGGTAGAGTTACATTCCCAGATTCACTAGGAAGCACTTCTACACCTGTTTCTTCACGCTGACGGATTTCTCGTGCTGTATTTATAATCTCGTCCAAGAAGGAAATACCAGGTCTTCCTTCACCATTAGAATCTTGTATTTTGAGTTGGCCTTGTGTCTCAGCTCCAAGCATAACACGAATGACCCTCGCTGCTCGTGCAGGTTCATCGAGAGGCTCCCGAGACCATGAAATGAGTAGCTGGTAGACTTGGCTAACATGCGCTTCTGGGTTTGATGGAAGACTTTTCGTACTAGAGGCTTGCAGTAGCTTCGTTCGATATATGAATACCATAGACAGTAAAAGAAGTCCAAAATAATGCTTGGGGAGGTATCGCTGCAGAGTCATTGAGGCTTGATCGTGTTCGTTGACAGAGCCGACATTGTTTCCAACCATTTCCGAGAAATGATGAACAAGTTTGGCTGCGGTCATGTAGGCTAGATTGATGCAATCACGCCTCGCTGTGAATTTGTCTTTAAGCGAAGTTCGGCTGCTGGTAGGAACAGACGACATTCTCCTCTCTTGGTCGATGTGTAGTGCATAGATGCACAGTTGTGCTCCAAGAATAACAATGTCGGTCTCCATGGAACAGTACTCTTCATAGCCGTCTTTTGAGTTCTCGAGATCCGTACACAAGCCTTGCACAAATGGCAACGAGTCCATGTCTGCTTTGAAGTTGATGATCATGGAAGAGTATCGCGCGAGCTTCCTCAGTATTTCAGCTTTCAGGAAGAATTCCATCTCGGCTGTTGCGGCGCAATTAGGTGAAGTAGATCCAACAGAGCTGAGCAATTCCGCGGAAACTGTCACGCCAGACGTCCACCCATGGGAGCAGTTTGCCTGTACGATGGCAACCCAGGTTTTATGTTTTGTTACCGAGGTGGAGTCAGAAGAACTTGGTCGGGCTTTGTCGAGTCCCAGTTTGCGAGCGGCGTTTGTGATGAGGCCACAGTAATTCCAGCTTGGATCTTCAACTTGGCGTGGAACGGCAAGTGGCCAGAAAGAAAGAAGCGTCAGAGCTTGAATGGTTTCCAGAAAGAAAATTTGATTGACTAGCATTTGTCCAAGAAGATGCCGATATGGTTCAAGAAAGAGATTGTACTGGACATGGAGAGTAGGGTGCCAACGACTGGAGATTATGATGATTGTCCAGAACAGGATTGGCGATGATTGATGTAATGACGAGAAAGACATGGATGTATCAAGTATTGGGCAGTGTCGATAGTAGTACTTTTCAAAGCTGCATTTGTCAGCATTCTCCTATGAAGAAAGAGGATATACACACTGAGAAAATAGACTTTTCACGTGATCAGCCTCCAAAGATGCAAGGTTGAGGATCAGAGGTGAGTCCGGGAGATCATCAATGTTGCTGTACTGATAGAAAGTGTGATCTACCTCATTAAAATTGGTGGTCTCCACTGCAAGAGATGGTCCAAGTGTTGAACTATCCGGTACTGACGCAGGCCCTCGTTGAGACTGGTCGGCAAGGGTCTTCTGAATGGCATTGAGCTGATTAGTAACTTCATCTAAGCGGCTAAAGATTGATTAGCAAGTAGTGATAATATGGCAATTCGAACTCACTTCCTAGTTCGAGTTCGCTTGAAGTCCGGATCTATACGACATTGGATATTCTTCTTCAGGCATCTGGTGCATGGAGCTGGGAAACGTTCATGGCTGTCACATCTTAACTAGGCCACATTAGTGATATAAACCGCCTTGATATAAGGAGATATAAGGAGAGACATACCTTCACTTGACGACACGTCGTGCATGCTTTCTGATTTCGTTTCTGTTGTCTTTCTCCGGCCGAAGACATTTCTCGGGTATATGGAGCCAAATCAAATGGTTGAGATCTCCCATAAAGTTTGACATCTCTGAGGTCGATGAATAGATGTTTGACCGAGTTCCGAAAGAGATCGTAGGAAGAGTTGATGCGCAGGAAAGTGCAGCTCCGCATAGAGGAAGCTGCGTCGTCGGCGGTTCGGAAGATGGCAAGCGAGATCCGCTTAACAGAGCGAAACTCGCTTTAGCACTCAACCCAAGTAGATACCTCTACATCAGATTTGAGCGGGCGAGCAGAGCCAACGTAAATGTTTTCGTGATTATGATCGTACCGATAATCACTCTCTAGAACCCTTCTGCAACATCCATCTAATTTCCATCGGTCAGGATCACGTGACTGATTGGTCCGAACTCCTCCGGAGGTATCACTGGTACTGAAAGTCGGAAAATTATCGGGACATTAATGGAAGAGAAGAATCGAAAAATGTTCTGCAATTTCAGCATGGTGAAGTGTTTGTCGAGAAAATCTAAACTGCATCTAAGCACAAGAGTCTAGCTATGTGTGTCTTGGTCTACTCTCCAGAACCCACTTCTACCAAAGGAAATTCTATGTCAACGCTAAGCAACTTCCAAACGCATACCGATCTTAGACAAGCTATACTACACGATCATGGCAATGAGAATTGGCCATGAAAGCCCAAACGGATGAACAACGTATCGTCCTGGTGTTCACAACGAAGCTGAATCAGACTGTGGAGTCTCGAGTTTCGTCGGCGATCGAGGGACCTGTAGCTCCAACATCAAAGCGAAGTTTCCAAAGGGGATAGCCGGAAGCGTGATCAAGCCATGGGACGACGTTAAATCAGGGAAACAAGGACGAAAACGGACCTGCAGATGAGATGTGACAATTGTCGTCGACAGGAGATTCCTCGAACCTAGAATTGGAATTTCCAGCAATGTTGCTCAGGAACCCCACACCTCCTCAGCCTTTGCGTCTCTGGCTTGTTGGAGAAGCAATTCCTCGCCATGTGGTGTAGTGATAATGTTGTAAGAGATATCTGGAACGTTCCACGTAGTTCCGTTCCAAGCAATATCACTTATAGCTTGTAGGTATTCCTGATCGCCACGCTGATCAGCAAGCCAAGTTTTCGAGAGTGGAATGTCGAGCCCCTGAAGCTTGATGTCGGCACCGGGAGTCTCAGTCATTTCATCAAGGAATTTCAGCTCTCCATGCATCTTTGGATATGTATCTCTGAATCCAGGCATGCAGTACTTCTTGCTGACGATTGTGACCGATTTGACCTCGCCGAATTGTCGTAAGATCATAACTAGATAATCATCGAGGTTCCGAGGCCCCGTGTGGAAGTTATCCCACCATATTGCCAGGTTTTCGACTCGGGACAGGTCATCAACGTGCAGTTCGTTCCTCAGGACATATTCAATGCGCTCTTGATAATTTCCATGATTCATCTGGCCAGCTCCCAGCCACTCAGATCCTAGGTACAGTACGTCCTCTTTGAAGTCGATGTAAGTTTCTGCGATCGAAGTACCACGGCTATTGGCAAAGGCTTGTGTGTAGTATTTGGACGCAATCGCGTATGACTCGCGACAAGCATATAATATTGACGGTGGAGGAGCGTCCGATCGGAAGCCCAACCTATCGACCCTGGGATTCAAGTTGTCAACCGTTTTCAAATCATCGGTCGCGGCACCGCTGTTTTTCTTCCTCTTGTGTTCTAGCAGAATTATTCTGGGGCCTGGCAGAGCGTATCCCCAAATATGGAGTCGCAATTCGGCAGGGAGGTCTCTGAATCTAGGGAATTTGGCTGGCTTGGGTGGAGGAAGGGCGAGGAGCATCGGAGTCGAGCCTCTGCGACGGCTTATCGTGGTAGGCATTGTCGCTTTGAAGTGTGAATGATGAATTGGGAAGTTTTCGAATCTGCGAATACCGTCCTGTCAGTCATTTGTGTTTTGTGGCATTCTGTCATCATTCCGGAGCTTCGTTCCGGAGCCAACTCACCCAAGTATTGATATTTTGGTAAACTCTTGTTGAGATTTTTCGTATGGGAGACAAATGATTATTTCTCAATTGATGACGTTTCAACGTCTGCAATCCTCGATTCAGGTCGATTGGTACGAGTAATGGGGAGACAACATGGTTTCAACAAAAAAAAGTTGTAGAGATAAGGAGGAAGGACGTTTATCCGGTAGTCGCAGCCTTCGGAACCTTTTTTCGGGGTCCAGACTAAACTAGCGTTATGCATTATGCAGCCCCTGATCGGCAAGCCGGGGTGCATCTATCAATCCTCCCCCTTTCTACCCCTTTTCAAGCGATTTTCGCTTTAGCAAGCGAATTACGCTTCTGAACACTTGCCTAGGTAGCTGCTTGAGGAATATATTATAAAGGATTCACAATGCTTCATCGAATGATCCACCGAACTCCTTTCAAAGATTTTGATTCACAAGCATGGATTCCCCAGATTTAATCTCCACAAAAGACATCCCCCCACAATTCCTCAAATCCGCGTTCCTCGCAGGCCATGTCCCCTACAAAGCATTGTCCAGCGACCCTAGGCTATCCTACCAACTCTATATCCCTTCCGAGCACATCAATGTCAATCCTGCAGATCCAGAACAGAATCTTCCCATTCTGCCTCTTGTGGTTGTCATGCATGGCACGAGACGAGGCTCCGACACATTCAATGCTTTAGTCCCATGGTCTCACAAACATCCTTGCGCTATACTCGCACCGCTATTTCCAACTGGTCTGGATGGACCGAATGATATTGACTCGTACAAATTGCTTTCTTCGAAGACGCTTCGATCGGATCTTGCACTTCTTTCTATGCTCGAGTGAGTTCTTCGCTTAATCTTCATTGCCCCTTTTAACTTGCTAATGTTCGTCACAGCGAAGTATCCCATAGATGGCCAGGAATATCAACCAAGAGAATAATCCTCGTCGGTTTCTCAGGCGGCGGTCAATTTGCCCACCGCTTCTTCTACCTCTATCCCGAACGTCTCCACGCCGTGAGCGTTGGTGCTCCAGGGCGAGTAACGAAGCTGGATCTAGGCAAGGACTGGCCTCAAGGCATCAGAAATGTCGAAGAAAAGTTTAATCGAAAGGTTGACTTTGAAAAACTGAGAGCCGTCAAAGACATTCAATTTGTTATTGGAGGAGACGATAATGTTGTTCATGGGGGTGATGAGTTTTGGAAGTGGTTGGAGAAGGTTAAAAAGAAGAATGGTTCAAACAGTAACAAAGAGCAATTGGCGCCGATGAGATCAGGTAGACTTCAGACTGCGAAAGAGGTGCTGGGGGAATGGAAAAGTTTTGGTATTGAAGCAAGATTTGATGTTGTCCCTGGAGTTGCGCACAGCGCGCAAGGCGTCGTAGATGCCGTTCTTAACTTCTTAGAGCCTATTGTGAAGAAGATGTATGAAGATGGACTATAGTTCGCTAAAAGGGTGGGGTTGCACGCGTTGTTTCATGGGGGTCCGGTTTTGTTGTCGTTTGTGAATGTTCTCAAGTTCCTAGCATGTATGATCGAGTTTATTCACATCATCTTTGAACGCATAATCTATAACCTCGATATGCTTGAATCATCAAGCCCTATTCTAAGGCCTATAAAAGTAAGTTGTAATTATCCTCGTGAACCAATCCATCATCTTCCAAAATATCTCCAAGCTCTCGAAGCACTCGAAGCTCACAGAAGAAAATCTTACTACCTCACCTGCTGATACCGAGATAACTGAACATCATCTCTCGTCATGCCTGAGACCAAACAAACAAAAACCCCCGTTCGCGGTTTCTTTATATGGGAATGTTGCATAGTACGTCCACTTGAAGCATAACCGAGACCCAAAGACTAACTACAAAGCAGTGTCAGCTCGAGCGAGAGTCCGGCCACCATGGCGGCTATGAGGAATGTTGCCGCAATAGCGGATTGTATCACCACACTTTTGCCCATCATGATCGTCACCGACGATGCAAAGATTGTAAGATCCGAATTAAGAGTGGCGGGTCTACGGTATACTACAGTTACGCTGATGGAAGGGACTACCATGAACCTGATAATGATTCAAAGCGGAAGCCGTTGATGTATCAGGGCCCGGATAACAAAGTGAACCCTTATTGAAATTGATAAGGATTTCGTGTGGCTCGGAAGCAGTGAATACATGGAGGGAGATGGCTTGCTGCAGGAAAATTTAGGAGGGGAGCAAAAAGTTTCGATTGCTGCATAGTGTGAATGATAATAGCGATGGTTTCTCAAACCCCATGAGTGGTTTTAAAGATTGATACATGTGGAGTGACAACTAGATTTTCGTCGTTTGATGACAACCTTGAGAGTTTCTCGTTGAAAGCCCATAGCATTCCGGAAAGGAGAAAAGAATTGGTGTACCGGATGGCGTTGTTGGCTCTTCGGCGTCGTTGGATCGAGGTGGATCCGGGAGGGGGAGGGAAGGGGGGGGGGCTCCGGTGCTTTTCCCTTCCTCGTCGCCGCTCGTACTGACGGTGACAGATTCTTTGACAGTGAAGATGATGCTGTCTTTCTTCTCTCTGACGGACCCTCCCCATTGTCTTCTATCCGTGCGTCATTCTTCTGTCCTGTCAAGGTATGGCTCCGCTTCAAAAACTCCCTCAACACCCTTTTCCTTTGTCGAAGCTCATAAAACTTAAATCTAGACCCGAATGTAGAATAACGGGAAGTTGTACCACTCTATCATTCGAACTAAACAATGTCCATAATCAACAAGACTATTCTAGGGTCGAGAATGTATGAAACTTAATCTCATGAGAGCAAGAAATGATTCCCGGTGCATAATAAATAGGTCTCGGTTCAATTTTGGGTCAAGTGAACACTTTCCACTTACTTGCGTCTACAAATATAGATAACTCCACAAACAAGAACTGGAAACAATGATAGCAAAAAATATAGTAATGAAGGAGAATGGTTCTGCAACTTGCTTTATAAAAGGAAACGGCAAAAATACAAAAGAATAGATCCCCCTGACAATTCGATACAAACCTGGGGACCGCGGAAGACGATGACCTCTAGCTGCGTTTGGGTATTGCTACCCTAATTGCTGATACAATGCCCCCATACGTGACACCATTCGACTAAACGACTCGCTTCGAAACCCAATTCTTTTATTTAACTTTATACAGTCCACAGCCGCAAACCCAATCAAGCTAGCCACCTTACCGCGGCCGCTCATAACATACCAAGTCCTGATGTCAACTTCAATGTGTGGTTTGAGACTATGGTTGACTACCTGGCATATGAATTGTCGGGAATTCGGAAAGCACGTGTCCTTCCAGTAATATTAAGTAGCAAATTACATAGAGAGGTACAGTTCGGATAGCTTCATACGGCGCAAGGCTACAGAATCCCCGGATACACACGACTACTACTTTTCCCTTTGACTAACGTTCCAAAGAGTTCAACAAGAGCTGAGCTGTAGAGTCCCGTTGAGTTACTCTGATAATTATAAATCATTTGAGAGTTGCAAAAGCTTCGAAAGTCCTTACTAGCCTTGAGAACTTTGGGTAAAGGCCTCGTAAACCCATCCAATACATGACATAATATTTGAAGACACTCAGTCAACAGATTTAATACAGCGAAGTCACCGTTGAGATCTCTTCTACAGGGTTTTGAGTAATGGCAATCAAACAATTTACTCAGTCGGATCTCAAAAATTGCTGGTGCCGCCAAGTTTAACAGCGTCGAGGACAACTGCTCGTTGGAAGTCTAAATTGTCTACAAAAGGGAAGAGTTCTTCAGGAAGTTCTTCCAATTATTACATTATGGGCACGCTTAAAACAGGGTTCCAAGGCTAGATCATGCTTTTCAGCCTCCTTATCTCGCAGCAGCTCCATGAGAAGGCGCTTTGTATTTACAGGTTACCAGTGGTCGTTTAGAGACGGTACTGGATTGTTTTGTAATATTAGTTGGTATTTTTACACGGCATAGTAGCTATCTCTCTGCTGTGGATGTCCCGAGTCTTTCACTCGAAATCACAAATAGCCATGAAAGGGTGGATTTTATGCATTCAAGCACTACTCTATACTCTATGGCTCTCGCTCCTAACCCGAGGTCACTGACACCCTCTCATTCGCGGTATCATCAACCACATCGTCTAATCCTCCTCAGAATCCTCACCTTCTCCTCCCTCAGAATCATCCTCCATATCCTCATCCTCGTCCTCATCATCATCCTGGCCCTCATCTTCATCCGCCTCCAGCCCATAACTCTCCTGGAAGCTCGACAAAGCCTGAACCTGCGTCTTGAAACCAAGTTCCGTGAACCCCTTCACGATACCCTATCACTAATCAGTATCACATCACCAAAGTTTGAGCAAGGGACGGGAAACATACCTCCTCCATAATCGGCGCACACGTGACCACAACGTTCGACTTGCCCGGCGTGAAGGAACACATCAAGATGTCGTTCATAACAGTCTTAATCTCATCCACCGTAACATTGCGCACAGCAGTTAGCAGCTTGGAGCTATAATCATCATCCACCTCCCTGACAACGCTGTTAATGAAGTGGAATTGCCCAGCAGCCGCCATCGTAGTCTGCTCATCCGCGAACGCGGCCACGATACCGCTGATAGCGCCTTCCAAAGCAGGAGTCTCGAACTTGGACGTTCCGTCGATGTATGATTGTAAGATTGCTTTACCGGCTGCGAAGGCGCGATATGCATCTGGTGAGCGGTAGACGGAGAATTGAATGAAGCCTCCATCGGGGTCGCGTTTGAAGTTTGCTCCATATGCGAGGCCTTTACCGCGGATGGCGGTCCAAAGAGGTCCCTCGACGGCCTCGAGGAATGAGATGGCAACCATGAGTGCGGGAACGACGGGATCGGTAGGCGAGGTTGGGCCCTTTGTGGAGGAGATGCAGAAGGAGGAGTCGATTGTAGGCATGGGAATCACGACCGTGCCGTAGTTACCGGGATTCTTGCCATCAGGACTGAGTCTTTGTGACATCTTGATGATTGGCAACAATGGCTCCTTAGTATCCAGACCAGCAACGAGAGGCTTCCAGGCATCCACTGGCTCAGGTAGCTTTTCCAGATTCGCGATGACCAGGGCTCGCATGTTGTTGAAGGTAAACAAGGACTTTCGAAGTTCTTCCAACCAAGACAATACAGTCTTTGGCTCCTTCGTGAGCAGTTTCTTGAGACGCTTCATATACACAGCTTTGACGAGCGTGCCGCGGGCTTTATACAGAGAGTCGTTGTCAAGATGAATCATCGCATCGACTGCGTACATCATAGTGTTGCCATTACGCTTCGACTCTGGTATATCAGCTAGCATCTTGGACATGCCTGCATTAAGCCTCGTCTCGTCGAAGATACTGTCAAACATCATGGTTCGAATCCACTCGATCGCCGTGGCATACTTTTCAGGCTCGATTTGAAATTGTATTACCAGTCCTTCTGGATCTGAAAGTCGAGATCCTCCGTTCATGGCATAGCTGATGGTATCCTGCTCCAATCGAGTGACGACTTCTTCAAAGCCGACTTTCTTCCCATCTTGCATGATTGGGGTATTGAAGAAATTGTCGATGAATAGAGGGAGCAGCGGTCGATGTTCGGTCTTGATCTGTGAAGTCCCAATGAGCAGGGTGAGGTGGACAAAGTTTGTAGGAACGTGCTCAAATTGAATGAACATAGGCAGATCAGACTTCGAAGAATCGATGATATGCTGTATGTTATTGGACGGAGTGCCAAGCTTTTTGGCTAGACCAGATCTGGCACTGATGGAATTGATGAAGTGGATAGAGTCGACGCCAGGTACAGGCCATTGTTGAAGAACAGAGCTGGGGATCTCCACATCATTCTTCTCGATCGCTGCCTTCAACTTCTCGGCAAGTTTTGCAAGACCTTCTTCACCCAATTTCTTCTTTCTCGCAGCTATTCTGGCTTCTTCGGTAGTTTTGATCTTCTCTGCCATCTCCTTGGAGGGCGTTCCTAGCAAGGAGATATGAGGAGCATCGATCATCCATTTCCTCAAGAAGTCTCTCCACTCCTGATCAGTCCAATTCTCAAGAATATCGTACTCGCTGAGTGTGCTTAAGTCTTTCAAAGTCGATCCATCTCTCTTTCCAAAGAGGAAATCATTGATAATGGCAGTGGCATAGAAGCTAGATGAGCTCTCAGCTTGAAACTTAATCTGTCGACGTTCTCTTCGAACACAATCTTTCATATAGCTCATGTCGAGAGGCTTCGAAGCTACTTCCTCAAGTAATTCAAAGACCCGCTTCTCAACATGCGCGAGCTTTTCGGTTGCGACACCAGCTGGCTGTAGCCAGATGACTGTGTTTGGTCGCGAGTCCCAGTAGTACCCAATCTGACTGGCAAGTTCTTCCTGTTCAACCATGACGTTCTCGAGTATGGAAACGGAGGAGCCGGCGAGATAGGTCAGAAGAGCGTTCAATGCCGCAGTTTGAAGAGCATCATTGCAGTCAGGTCCAAACATGCCGATTGAGATGTCTCCCATGGACTCATCTTCTTCAGGAAAGTATACTGTCTTGACGATTGTCTCCTTAATTCCTGGAGGTTGTGCAGACTCTACCCATGGTCTATTTTATGTTAGAATCATATATTTGTCAGCTCAACCCGTGCTTACCGTTTGAAAGGTGCAGAAGGGGAACGGATGTCGTCTAGGATGGTTTCCTCGAAATCATCCAGGATCTGCAGCAGATTGTTATGGTCCACTTCCCCAACTAGTACCAGGCACAAGTTCTTCGGTTGATACATTTCCTTGTGAAATGCTCGGATTCGCTCGGCTGTCAAGACTCGTAGGTTCTCCATCAATCCTCCAGTCTCATAACGGAAACCGACGTTCTTGGGATATAGAAGTCGCCTTGCGGTGATATCCATGATCTCGCCGCCAGTGTTCTGAACACCTTGCATCTCAGAATACACAACTCCAGCATCGTTGCCCTCGCCATCAATATGATGAACCTCGGTGTAGCATCCTTCGTCAGTCAAAGTTGGCACAATCACATGCTCGAGGTAAACAGGTAAAATTTGTGCAAAACCTTCCCATCCAGCAGTATCTAGCGTATAAGCTGTATGGTCAGTAGCGGTCCATGCGTTCGTGTTGGAGTAGGCTCTCGAGGCTAATTTGTCCAAGAGACCTTTGTATTGGTAGCTCTTAGATCCCATGAAAATCAAATGTTCTAGCGTATGAGGTGAACCAGAATCATCGAAAATCTCCGTGGCTAAGGTGAAATATCCTTGTACTTTTGGCCCTTTCTGATCTGCGACCACAACATTCATGCCAGTCCGTTCAGAGACATACTGCGAGACAGAAACAGGAGCATAATCTGTCGTGAACTGTTGGACAGTCTTAAAATGGGTCTTCCTCGTCTGACTTGGCATGATGAAGGTTCGTGTTTGTTGGATGAAAAACTCAACACGTAGTGAGAGTGCTCGAAGCCTATAATAGTTTGCGAATAGAGTCAGTATTTTGTGTGGATTTCCTTGGGTGAAGAACCAAGGGGAGGAGGAGGTTATCTGCAAGAGAGTAGCTGGAGATGAAGGGTTCTAGGTCAACATCATGACTCATTGCTAATACGTGGCCTTCTGAGATCGGGACCGTGAATACACACGCTTGTGTGAACTTGATCAATCTTCAACTCGGAGAAAGACAAACAGCAAGCGTCACGTGATGCCCTCTACAGTCTTTTAAATCATTCCGGAGTAGATGGAAGCCTGGCGTACCATGACTTCTCTGCCACCTGGTATATAGTGATTGCAAGGAGTGCAGTCATGAGGGCAAGAACAGTCGATGTTCGTGTTGATAAATACCCCGCCATGGTGGACCCCGCTCTGAGTTGAATGTGGGATGTGTTGGATGCAGTTCATGATACATCAAGAACAAGATCCCGAGTGTATGACGAATGTGAGGGTAAATGAGTTTGTTTGCCATACCTGGAGCAGAAAGAGGGAGGATATCCTGCAGCCTTGCGGGCAAACGCCGAATGCACGATGACTCAAGAGAGAGCTGAACTTGCCAGCCAGAACAGCGTCTGGGCTGAACGCAGAAATTTGTCGTGAGAAATGAATAATTCAGAAAGTGAAATAGCAGATGAAAGATCTATCTCAAGTATCGCATCTAAATATCAGAAAGGCCACAGCCGCGAAATGATGGAGAATTGCCTCGCTGGGTACAAGGGATATGATTGGCGGAGAGACGCTTAGACTTTAGCCGCGTCTTCTCTTCTCGTCGGAGCATTCGGCCGCACCGGCTTCAGCGGCCGCAGAATCTGGTGTCAATCGCCAAGTTTCTGAAAGCTGGTCATGAACGCATTGGTTGATCGTCTTGGAATTGTTGACGCTCAGGATGTACCAAATCCAAACCCTACAGCTACATTCCCGACATTCGCCCTGAACCGTGTGCATTCCTGCCACTCGTCCTCAAAATGTCCGCCACGAAGCTGGATAATCAAATCGGCAAAGCACTGGTAGACTTCTCTGCAAACGGAGCATTCCCAGAAGAAGAAGCTATCTCTGCAGCGTATGTGACTTCAACATTGCTGCCTACGGTCTTGGGAGCTCTAGGAGAGGCTAGGACGGAGCTTGAGGTAAAGGAAGCACTCTTCTTTTGGTCCAAACAGCTGGCTAATACTTCTTCTCGCAGACCGAGATCCGACACATCAGCAGCGACAGCGCATCAGACGTCGATGACTGGATACGAAATGCGAAAGCTATTCACGATAATATTGAGAAGTCTCGGAAACTGGCAAGCAGTATCGTGCGCCAAGCGGAAGCGGATGAAGATCGATTGGAAGGATTACAGCATCAAGAGAACTATGTCGGATTTCTCTCGAAGGAAGTCTATTACAATACGCAGCTTTTGTCGTGTCTCAAGGCTATCCAGGAAGCAAACGATATGTTAAGCAGGTTGGAAGTCCAAGCTTCGGAGCACAATATCGTGGATGCCTTACATACTTTAGCAGGTCAGTCATTTACCTACACCTTGCGCATTGTGGAAATCATGCCAACTTCCTAGACACTTTCACCTCGATTGCAAAGATTCCACTAGAAAAAAGTACAAGAGCTGTAAGACTCCTTGACAACAGAGCGTCTGGTCTACGAGAACATTTTCGGGAACAATTACTCAATGTCTGGCACAACCTGGTTCATGTCGAACAAGAAAATGGCGTCTTCTCCTTCACTGTTCAAGAGAAGCTACCTAACGAACCAACGACCTTGAGCGATGCGGTAGTTGCATTTCAATCTTTCAAGGAGCTGGATGCGATATCTAAGAAGCTCTGGGACAATCTGGATGCGGTAATATTCAGACGCCGGACCGACATTGGGGCCGGGTCGCCTCCTAAATTGGAGATCGCAGAGGTAAATTAGACTGCATTTCGCCCAAGAACCCAAATACTGACCATAACAGAACACTCTTTCTTTGGGCTCTGGTACAACTGACCGTACTATCAAGACTCTGTTCACAGATCTCGAGGCTGTCATAAAATTCCTCAATCAGAGGTTACCGCAAGAGATCGTTGATCCTTTGTCACGGAGGATGATGCCGATTCTATGCAGTCGTATTCTGGAAGACTGGCTGGATACAGCGGTGCCCGCTTCTCTGGACGCCATGGTTGATTATCAGAAGGCCCTAGCCCAAGTGGGGGATTTTGCCACAGTACTCGATTCTATGAATTGGCCAGGAGGAGACAGTCTGCATGACTGGGTATCAAATGCTCCAAAAATTTGGCTCAACAAGCGAAGAGAGACGGCCTTGGACTGGACACGAAATCAACTATCCTTGGGTATTGGTGAACCGCAGTTTGCCGAACGTAAAGAAACTCGAATGATTGCAAGAGATGACGGCCATCACATTGCTACAACTGGTAATACTGTCCATGATGATTGGGATGCGGCTTGGGATGGAGATGAGCCAGAACCCGAGCCAGCACAGAATGGCCACACGAAGAACCGCAGCTCATTTGAAGAAGAGCTTCGAATGTCTCAGGTCTCAAGCCCAGGGCCCGCCGACGAAGAAGATAACGAGGATGATGCTGCGGATGCCTGGGGATGGGGAGACGATGATGCTACAGCAGATGATACTGCCGAACAGGTTGCCTCTGCAGAGCAGAATCAGCCTCAGGCTTTGGAACGGCGTATTTCCCCGGAAACACGCGAAATGACCATATCGGAGAAATATTGGACGTCATCTCTACCACAACCAGTTTTCAATACCGTCGTTCAGATTTATAACGATGGTGCTCAATTAACGAAGCCAGAGTACGTTTCTCACTCTTGTACTGTAAACTATCCACTAATGATCCTACAGAAGCCAACATATCCCAGTAACACCATCAGCTCCGGGACTTTTCGCCTTACCAACTCTCATCCTCGCCATGTACCGAGCAATCTCACCATATTACTACACCAATTACCCTGGAGGAAACATGTACCTCTACAACGACGCCATCTGGCTCGCTGAAAAGTTAAAAGACTTCATCACCAGCTGGAACGCACGTGAAGACCTCTCACCTCGCGCATACGGCATGGTCCGCCTCGATTCTGAGTTCAAAGTCCTCGAAAGCTTCGGAAAACGAGCCTATACCAACGAACTAATCGCCCAAAGAACAATCATCAACGATCTCCTAAACGGTACACTCACCTCTCTCCCTCTCCATCTATAAACTCACCACTAACCTCACCACCTAGGCGCACAAAACTTCTTCCAACAACCCCCCTCCACCCTCTCCTCAGCCATCCTCCCCGTCCTCTCCCACATCCGCACCCAAGCGCACCTCTTCACCACCATACTCCCCTATTCCGCATCCTCCTCCGCCACCGGCTCGCTGGTAAACACCCTCGCCTCCAAACTAATAACCGACATCTTCGACCTATCCGACATATCCGTCGACGACGCCGAACGAATCGCCACCATCATCTCCTCCGTCGAATCCCTCGACGACCTCTTCCTCCCCAAACAATCACCCACATCTCCCTCTCCCTCTACCTCCAAATCCCCATCAGATCCAGGAGAACAGGAAATCCCACTAACGCCCCAATTCGCGCCCCTATGGCTAAAACTCAAATTCCTGTCCGAGGTCCTGCAGTCGAACCTGAAGGATGTGAGGTATCTGTGGTTTGAGAGCGATCTGAGTCTTTATTTCACGGCGGACGAGGTGGTTGAGTTGATTGGGTTGAGTTTTGAGATGAATGCGCAGGTGCGCGGGGTCGTGAGGGAGATTAGGGAGAGGAGGGATCCGAGGGGGGTGGGGGTTAGTGCTGCTGGTTAGGGAGAGGGTAGATAGAATGGGATGATGGTGATGATACCCTTGGGTTTAGTGAAATAGGTGTTGAATGATGAATCGAGCGAGCACATTATCGTGAAATGAGGAGATTGTGCAAATATCTGTGTTTTGTGTATGAAAGCCATCTACCACGTTTTGAGACTTAGCCTAGCATATTCTAGGAGAACCATTCCTCACTCGCACTGTACCCCATATCAGTGCTGTCTCCGCAATGAAAAAAGCAGTAGGTATTTTCCCAAACTCCAACCCCCGCAATCATATCATCAGGCATAAAAGCCTCAAAAAAGCTCATCGACGCAAAAAGCCACTCCACTCCACTCGTTTTTCCCCAACCATAACGAGCTCCAATTAAGTTCCACGGAACAAGAACTGCATATCCTCCGGAGTCAAACTCTCCATCGCACTCTCATCGGCATTGATCGTCGAATTGATCATGTTTGCCTTCTTCTCCTGCAATAATACCATTCTAGACTCGACAGAATCTTCAATACACAATCTGGTAATCGAACATGGTCTAGCTTGTCCAATACGATGACATCTATCAGCAGACTGCCATTCAGCAGCAGGATTCCACCAAGGGTCGACAATGAACACTTTGGATGCTTCGGTCAAGTTGAGGGCAACACCGCCCGCCTTCAAGGACACCAGGAAACACTCCACGTTGACGTTGGTCATGAAATGGTTGATGGAAGCTTGACGTTGAGCAGGTGTCATAGAACCATCAAGCATGACAGTTGTAATTCCAGCACGACGAAGACGCCACTCGACAAGCTGAAGCATAGTGGTGAACTGGGAGAATATGATTGACTTGTGGGACATATTCTTCGATCGAAGTTCGTGAAGATCATGAACAAGAGCTTCAATCTTGGAGGATGAGGTCCAGTTCTCCATCTTGATTCGGTTGATGATTGAGGACTTCTTGACCAATTGCTCATCTTGCTCGATATCAGGTTGCTCGAGATCGATACTGAGAGGGATGTGGCAAGTTGGGCAATCAGGCGCATCTAAATAATTAGTACAGAATTAGAACTAGGAGTTGAACAACTCACCTGAAGCGTGAAGATAATTCTTGGCGCATTCTCGACAGAAGTCATGCTTGCAAGCGGATCGGATTGCCTCTTCAGCAGTCTCGTCACAGATGCAGCAGACAAGAATATTCTGACCACCTTCACCATTCTTCTTCAGAATCAAATCGGGGTGATCCGCAACTTGACGCATTTGCATAATCAAACCAAAGATGTTAGCATAGTTGTTGAGAAGAACACCTTGTGCGACATAAGTTTCGAACTTGCGGGTGCCATTGTTCATGATACTGCCAGCAAAATCATTCTCTTCTTCTCCAAAGAATTGACGATCGACATAGATTTCCTTGGCTGGAAGTTCCATAGCAGAGGAATGATCACGCTTGACACGTCGAAGCATGAAGCGGTCAGTGAGGATACGAAGCTTGCGGAATGCCTCAGCACCAGGACCCTTGTTGCCGAATTTTTGGATAGGATTGAGGAGTTCCTGATTGAAGACCGAAACATGTTGCATGCCACTGTGATTACAACCCTTGCATCGATTGTCCTCGTTCATCTCCCAGTTTAGTTGAGAGCATGGACATTGCTTGCAGAAGTAGCAGGCGAACGGCTTGATGTCGAGGAAGCGAACAAGAGAGAAGAACTCTCCGATTCGGTTCTGCAATGGCGTACCGGACAAGCACCATTTATGATCTGCCTTCAATGCGAAGCATGCCTTGGCCGAGCCTGTGGTTCGTTGCTGTCAAGATGTTAGCCTGGGTTGCGATGAGTGTAGAAATTCTGATGTACCTTGATATTGTGAGCCTCGTCAAGGATGACTCTGTGGAATTGAATCTGATGGATAACACTCTTCTCCTTATGCATACCACCCTTACGTTTGAATCCCTTCTCCTGCTTCCTGTACATGGACTCTAAACTATTGTATGACATGAGAATGACATCGTACTTCTTCAGCTCCTTAACAGTGATATTGTTGGTTTGTCGATTGGTTCCGTGAAACACAAATGTCTTCAAGGTTCCGTCAGTGTAAGAAGATATCTCTTGCTGCCATTGCATAAGAGCAACAGGCGGAATAAGGACGAGAGATGGCTGCTTAGCAGGCCAATCGGACATGATGAGCGAGACAGCTTGAATGGTCTTGCCCATACCCATCTCATCACCAAGCAAGCCACCACCCCATTCAGTCTCCTCCATGGCTCTCATCCATGCAACACCTTCAAGTTGGAAAGGCTTGAGTTCGCGATTGATGTTCATGGGCTGCTCAATCGTGATGGAGCCAATTTTGGGAAGATTCTCCAAGTCTTTCCACATGGTATGCAATTCTGGATGATGAGCTTCGAGACGAGCGCGCTCTTTCTTCGCTCTACCAGTGTGTACATCTTCCGCGAGATTGAGGCGTCTGCGAACTTCTGCTTGAGACCTGCGGACGTGACGACGTGGAGCTGCAGCTGCAGCGGTGGGAAGACGAGGAATGTCAGATGCATCAGACGAAGCATCCGAGTCCATATCATCCAATAACGATAATTCAGAATCACTGAATTCGCTCTCAGTAGGAGTGACACTAGTGAGACTCGATGCTGATGTTTTGGTATCTTCTCTTTTCAACTGCGAGGGCTCGGCCAAGGCTACCTTGATAGGTCGACCGCGTTTGGGCGATGGAATTGCAGGCTTCTTGAAAATCGCTTTTCCGGGGCTCTTCTTGATAGTGCTAGATTTGCGTGGTGAGAACATCGCAATAGGGGCATCGGAGTCTTCTTCGACGTCTTCTTCTTCTTCGGAATCGTCAATCTCAATGAAATCATCGGAATCTTCGGAGTCTTGAATATATGTTGCCTGCTTCTTGCTGCTGAACGTGACTGAGTTCTTGCCTTTAGAGCCAAGCTCAACCTGAACCTTCTTCTTGGATAAGGATGTGGGTGGAGAGATTTCTGCCATGTCAGAGTCGCTATCCCCGATGTCTGATACATAGTCTGCCTTTGGTAGGATCTTCTGGACCTTGCGAGGTGTTCGTCTGATAGGCATCTCAGGAAAGCGACCCATCGAAGCAGCTGCAGCATCCTCTTGTTCTTGTAGACTTCGTGCTAGCTGAGCATCCGGGCTGTTGTCTTCATCATCTTCATCGTCCGAGTTAAGAACCAGCTTTCTTTTTTTGGAGGCATTTAGAGAGAACTGGCTGTTTCGAAGAGCAGCTGCTCTTGCTACAGCGTTGACAACTGGAGTAGGCACGGAGGCGGACATGGTGGTAGGTCGTCTTCCTCTTCGTCCAGTTGATGGCTTTACCTCTACAGGTGTAGCAACTGCGCTGGTAGCAGGTGTAGAATATCCGCTACTCTCGTTGTAATCGTGGGAAGTCGAAACTGATGACAACGAAGCGCGGCCTTTGCCTGATTTCTGTTTCGCTGCACTGACGTATTCACCAAGATCCGATAGACCTGGAAGCTCGTCGGTGTCGATGGTCATAACAGACAAAGAATCTTCGTCTTTGGGTTGAGCCTTGCTTGACAATCGTCCTGAGTTTCGGGAAGCTGGTTTGGTAGCTGAGTCAATAGAAGTCAGTAAGTTGAGTGATCATCATCGCAGGTAATGGGCAAGAAAGATGAGACGACGGGGCCGAATAGTAAATACTCACACGAAGGTCTGGAGCTGGCCGCACTTTTGGTGAGGCTGTCAACCTTCTTCGGTCGCCCTCTCCCTCGAGGTGTTACGGAAGGCGCCATGCTGATGGATTGAGGCGCTGATCGAGAAATAATGTAATCCCGAGACAAATCAAGGAGAAATCACTGCACCCACATGCGAGTGTGTTGACTCGCGATGAGGATTGTCGAGGCTGAATCTGTGACTTGTGAATCGCGCTTCAGTCAGGGCGATAAGTGATTTGACCGAACTGGCGGAGGAAACTCCAAGTCGGCAGAAATTGATGAAAGTGAAATTATCAACAGACACTCATCATCATTGTCCTCGAATTGCGATTGAAAGAAGGATATCTTCGCACTCTTGATGGAAAAGGAGTCGTCTGGAGATTCAGGAGAAGTAAGAAACGATTTAGGTCGCCACTCCCAAAATCCAATTCAGTCGCGGCTCGCGAAATCACATGATCTTTAGGGCAATTGATTGGCTGAGGACGCGTGAAGTGGATATTTAAAACGCGCCGTCTCTTATCCAGCGATTTGTCAGGCAGAAACGGGAAAGTCGCAGCAGAACATTGGACGAGCGTTCTCCTTTTCTTTTCCTGCTGTTCAACTCATCTGCAGCCACGAGAATCGTCTCGAATTCATCGCCTTGCCCTTTGAAGCGAATCTTTGTCGCCTTCAGACTGCGACAAAGTTCTGGATCTTGCGAACAATCTTTCCGCCCCTCCTACATTGACCCTTAAGCCATCGACAAGAACTCAAGATGTAGGTTTTGGAAAGCTTCACTGGGCGATCTTCTCTAATTCATCTGCAGGTCGAACGGTCCTCCTCCTCCTCCAAACCCTCCTCAAAGAGGAGCTCGCGCAATTAGAGGACCGTAAGTATTACAAACCCACGACTCCTGAACCCCGCTAACATTGCAGACAATCCGCGTTGACTGATTTTCTGGCAGTAAGCTTCCAATGTCCATTTTTTTTTTGAAGGCTCCACTGACTCTTTAGTCTCACAATATCAGCGCCAACCAGATTCGACAAGATGCCAATGCTCGACGAGCTGCTGCTCTAGCCTCGCAACAAAACGGAGAAGACGAGAGCAATGCTCCATCCCCAGTTGCGGATCCCGAACCAGCCAAACCACGTCGAAAGGAGACGAAAGCACAAGAGGCCAAGAGAAAGAAGGAAGAAGAGGTAGGCAATCATCATTCCCAACCAGAACCATTCTCACACCTCGTCTAGAAAGCCATAGCCAAGATCAAAGCCTCGAAGCAGTTCCAGAAGCGCCGACGCCAATATGGTTCTGACGACGATGTCACCGATGAAGATGAAGCCGCACGAACATTATTCCAAGAGAGCATGGCTTCTCTGCCAGGTCAGATGGAGAATTGCGAGATTTGCGAAAAGAGATTCAGTGTCACAGCATACAGTCGAGCAGGTCCAGACGGAGGCCTCTTATGCCCCAAGTGCTCCAAAGAGCTCGACAAGGAAGAAGGCGCAGCTAAGAAGAAACGAAAGACACAGCAAGGGCGAGCTCGAAGACAACTTCAAAGTAATCTCCTCGATGGCATATATCCTGGCGCAAAAGACCTGACGACACTATGCATCGAGACTCTTGCAAAGAACGTGGATATGGCAGACAGTTTCGGTGATCTTCCAGCTCCGTTGATTGACAAGCTCTCTGGGATTCTTTGCAAGAGGCGACTTATGGATTCGACAATTCTTGATCTTTTCCTTCGACCTGGTGCTGATAGCGTTACTGTCTACGATGGTTCCAAGCTGTCCTCTGATGACTACATTCGAATTTTCCAGATTGTTCCCACAATCAAGCATCTTCGTCTGCGAAATGCCGTACAGTTCAAAAACAAAGTTATGGATCACCTGCTAGGAACAACGGTCGAGCTTGAATCACTCAGTCTCTTGGGTGCCAACCTGATTGATGATGAAAGATGGGATCAATTTTTGACCGAGAAAGGTTCACATTTGAGGGAACTGAAAGTCTATTGGACAGATGGTCATTTTGGCAACGAACAACTAGAACTTCTTCCAAAGACATGCCCAGACCTTCGAAGACTTAAAGTGGTCCACAATCAGAAGGTGACCGACGAAGGAATCGCACATATCGCGGATCTAGCCAACTTGAAATACTTGACTCTTGAAATTACCACGCCTCGAGTCAATACCACTCCGAAACCATACGTCCAGGTGATCAATAGCATTGGCGCCGGTCTACGCACTCTTTCTCTCACGGATATCCCCTACGTTGATGACAGTGTCCTCGGAGCTATCCACGACAGTTGCAAGGATCTCTCTAAGCTTCGACTAGTCGACAACGAAACCTTCACCGATGAAGGATTTGCCAATCTCTTCACTGAGTGGCGCAACCCTCCACTGACTTTCCTCGATCTCCACAAGTGTCGACATATCGATGCTGCTGAGCCGCGCGAGAACCCGGACAGCATTGGCCTTGGCTCACTTGGTTTCCAGGCATTGATGGCACATTCTGGTGAAAGCCTTAAGCATCTCAATGTCCATTCGTGTCGCCACATCTCACTCGAAGCTTTCGAGTCTGTCTTCGCTGCGGACAAGACATATCCTGAGCTGCTGACCATTGATCTCAGCTTCTGTCAACAAGTCAATGATTTCGTTGCTGGATCTATCTTCCGAAGCTGCCCTAAATTGAAGACTCTCAAGGTGTTTGGCAACTTTGGTGTCAGAGATGTTAGAGTTCCAAAGGGAAAGATCTTGATCGGCGTTCCGAATGCACTTGGTATGCAAATCGAGGGCACGGAAGACGGAGAGGGAAGAACTATTTAAATGATGAATGTGTATTGATGAATCATATGGGCTGGGTGGCGGGTTGCTTGGCGTTGGCCCTTCTGAATGGATCGTCGGTGTTCGGATGCCTTGCGATCTCTAGCACACGATGGGGTTACGAGGACGAATATTGCTTCGCATTCTTAGATGCACTAGCTCAAGCCCGAAATAAAGCATGATCTTTAAGCTTTACGACACTTACCTACCCATTTCACGTGCTATACCGTTCATGCCTCTTCCCTCTCGAATGGATAGCTTTTGCCCCCTTAAGCAGTCCCTTCCAATTCTAGACTTCGAACCCCAATCCACTCCCAACAACCGGGATCATCATCCTCTAAATAATAATGTTCTCAAGCGAGAAAAGCCACAACCTCAAAATTACCTATTCGGGACATCGAGCACGGCTCACTCGACCCAACGCCGCACGTCTTTCGTGAGGCTGAATACGAATCTAATTTCAATTTACCTATATAATAACACCGTGAATATGTCGAAATTTCTTTTATCTGCTTGCTGTACTCTTCATTCCTGCTTAAAATGCGTCTTTTCGTTGCTCTCTCGGCAGTATTGCCGCTCATCAGTGCTGAGGTTATCGTGGGACAGTTGAACTTGTAACTTATCAATTTTCCGGCTTCTTCTTGTCCTTACCCACTCCCATCCATTTCCCTTTCTTTGCTCCTCGCTTCGCTAACAAACAATCGCAGCTACTACGACACCAACTGCAAGTCCTACGCTGGTTCTGTCTACCCATCTCCAACCGTACGTCAAACATTCCTCTTCCCTTACCACCATCTTTAGAGCCACTCCCCAAACACCCCTCTCTCAAACCCATCTCCTAACCCCCCAACAGGAAGCCTCCTCAGGCGTCCTAGGCAACGTCCGCGGCGGCCCCGCGGGCTCGAAATCCCTCCTATGGGTGAGTGGCGGCCTCGGCCCAGAGTGCCGTAAGTCTTTTTTCTCGTGCTGGGTGAGAAAGAGGAAGGCTAAAGCAAATCAGAGGGACCTTGGTTCTTCGCGTGCAAGAATAAGGAGTGTAGTGCTTGGGATGGGGTTGAGCAGGGAGAGTGCAAGAGTTTTGAGAATGGGGTTTGGGGCGCTTATCAGGAGTTGTGTCCTGTTGGGGAGTGAGGGTTGGGGCGATGGGTGGTGGTGGTGGAAGGGTGATGTAGGGAGGAAGAGGTGATGTTGCTAGAGAGATTGACGCTTTGATGACTTGACAGTTGCTGTGGGCTCTTGGTAGTAGAGGGTACTAAGGAATGGAAGTTGGACTATTCTCTTCACGTCTCGGTCCTCAAGCGTATTTTGCGCGAAATGCGCAAACAGCGCTGTGGGCGCTGATCGCGCGTGAAGCGCAAGTCTTTCCTTGCCAGTGATGAAGATCCAATCTCTTACGAACGTTGGGTGAATGCTAATTGATTCTAGGCCCAAACCCTCCTCTGAAGCACACCTACAATCATCTAATTCTTAGGAACAGCATCAACCTTCTCCAAAGCATCCTCATCAAAAATCCCCATCTCAACAAGCTTCCCCACAAACTCCCTCAACCAACTCTGACAATTCCTCACCTGAACCCTACTCTTTAGACCCTGTCATCCATTAGCCTTACTCTCACCCCCATCTGTCAAGCAAACTCACCTCTTCCACACCCCTCAAACTCCTCCCGGGCGCCTCAACCTTCAGCGCCCACTCCTCCATCTTGTCCGTCGCAACAACATCCTCAACTGGATCCCCAGCATCGTCCCCATCCACGACATTCACAGCCTCAACCCAAGAAATGAAATGAATCGTCTTAGCACGAGAATCATCGTCGATGTCATAATTCCTACTGAATTCATGCGTGAAGCCATTCAAGGCGTCGCCGGTGACGTGGATGCGTTTCCCGCTGGTGCCGGGTGTTTTGGTGAGAGAATTGTAGGAGGAGGGGATCCAGAGGGACCAGTGGGCCGGGAAGAGGGGGGAGGTGTAGGATATTATGTAGATGGGGCGTTTGGGGGTGGACATGGTTTGCGGATGTGCTGCGAAATGAGGAGTGAAATCGAAATGTAATGAGATTTGGGAGTAATTGTTATGGGGTTGTGGAAAATGAATTTGTTCATGATGAAGAAGAACATCATTCTGGTGCTAGGCTCAGCGACTCATGATTCTCTAAGCGAATAGGCAACAACCGGAAACAGGTGAATAGTAACAAAAGTATGGGCAATTGTAGACTGTCGAAAACCCTAATTCTTTTTACTTAAATTTCCTCATAAGTTCTGAAATACCATATTAATTGGTCTCTAAGACATCATACTAGAGGCAAATGGAGGTAGGAAGTCTGATTGGGTACCATGTCTTACTTCAAAATTAATATCCTATTTGGAATTGGGTCATTTGAATCTCCCCGGCCGCAGTCTATGTCATAATAGCACAATAAGAAACACTTTACTGTAAGTTACTCTATTTTACATACCCTATTCAGTGTTGCATTTAGTGAAGGCTCAGGGGGCCTTGTCTTATATGACCTAGTACCTTATTTGATAATGATATCATATAAACCAATTAATACGGTAATGACATCTTAGAATTCATTTAATTCAATACCATACTTGGTAATCTTCCAAGTGAACATCACGTGGCTACCGTGAAAGCGACCTTTACACCATTCCTGCTCTCCATTTGCAGTTTGTGCTGCTCGATAAAGCTCTCTTCGGGGTCTCGATTCTCTATTTTCTCGAATTCACGCACCAATCTTACCAAGATGTAAGCGCATTCCGTCAAAACCATCTGCTGCGCAGGACACACTCGTCCTCCAGCAGAGAAGGGGACGTATCCATGCTGTGGAATAGAATCAGAACGCTCCCAGCGCTCTGGTCTGAAATCATCTGCATCTTCACCCCATAGATCCTCATCGTAATGCATAGATCTGAATACAAACATCACCTCCGTACCCTTTTGAACGAAGATTGGTTGGCTTCCATCTGCTCCTCCACCATGTGGGAGAATACAATCTTCTGTGGCCAAACGTAAGTTTCTACCGGATGGTGCAATAAGCCGAAGGCCTGAAAAGCGTTAGATTCTGACAGACATTATCGGGGTATCAAAGATTGTCTCACTTTCATTCACCACGTGCCTAACATACTTCATAGACTTCAGAGTCTCGAAGTTCACAGGGGCATCGTTGTTCAAGACCTCGGCTCGAAGTTTGTCCCAGACCAAAGGATGCCGAGCTATGAGGAAGAAAACGTTGGCAATACCAATTGCGGTAGAGTCACGGGCAGGGAGGAAAATGTTCAGCAACTGAGAACGCAAGTACAGACGGTCTTGGGTTTCCTTGACCAGTTCATCCAGAAGGACAAAACTTCGTTTCGTTGAATCTTGAGAGTTTCTATTACGTCTCTGAATTGCAACGTCGATGTTCCGATCGATGAACGAGTGGACTACCTGGCAAGCTTTTTTCCAATGTGTATCAATACCTTGGAGGAAAGCAAGTCTTCCCAGGACTATCCGAATGCCTATGCCTTTTAAGGCGGTGTCAAAAGCACCGAGGAAGTTCTGAGCGTCGAAACTGCTCGTTCCTGGAACCAGAGTGTTGACAGATTCTCCAAAAATGAACTCGGTTGAGGTATCGAGGAACTAAGTTGAAGTCAGAATCATTCCTGACAATAGAAGAGATATCCAATGATAGTGTTTGCTTACAAGGCGTTTTAACAGAGGCAACAAGTCAACCGTCGATCCATCACGAGGTATCAAACCAATCAAAGCATCGACACGTGCTTCAAGATGACCAAGATTAGATATCTGCGCCCTTGCAAAGATAGGTCGGAGAAGAGCTCTTGAATGCTCCCAGGAAGGTCCATCCGTATTGAAGACTCCTCTTCCCAGAAAGTTTTCAGTGGCACGTATCCTCAACTCCTCCACCAAGAACTTCCTCTGCAAGGTGACAAGAATGGCATGAATATTCTCACTGTCCATTGTCAAAAGAACTCGTTTCCCAAAAGAGTTGGTTTCAAAAGTCTTGCCATATTTACCGAACAAGCTTTGGGAATGGATGAACGAATTTCCGGCTGAAATGCTTCGAACGGTGGACAGGAAGAGGTCGATGCCCAAAATAGGATCTTTGTGTTGATATTGAGGAGGTGGTGAACAGCCATGCTTGAGTATAGTATTTTCGTATGCCCTTTGCTGGAAGAACTTCCTAACGAGGTAAAACACCAGGAGTACGATGAAGATCCAGGCAATCATATTCGAAACTTGTCCAATTTTCAGAGAAATTGGCCCAACATTCGAGCAGCACCGTAGGTCATGTAGCAGAGAGGGAACAGGAGCGAAGCAGAAACCTGAGCCCGGTGTATGGTTGCCGTCTATGGTGTCACTCACTGTTGTCTCGGACTGGTCTCTTATCTGATGATAGGGTCACAGTTGCCCTATTAGCCTATGATCGACCGAGACCCGGGAGTGCAGGTGTAACCCGTAGAAAGTACGACACTGTAATTAGCGTCGCCAGCATCATGCTAGGTGTGGTCTAAGAAATGGGAACTTTGGTAAGTTTTTCACAGTTATGTTGGATTTCAGAGATGTAGCTGTGACAATCCGGATAATATCCTGATATGCCGAGAGTCAACTTGAACTTCCAACATTTTACTGCAAGCATGCGGCGTACATGTTGGTAAAGCATGCCGGTAGTTCTGTTGGGTCTGCGCCGCACCCGATGCACGTCGTAAACTATTTATCGATATGATAACTTGATGTTGGTTGTATGCGACTATTAATCGGTCCTAACAATGAATTATCACCATGCCAATTCTTAGTCCGAGATAGATAATCACAACAAACTCGAACCCCCACATTTAGCAACCCCTCCCAGTGAGGAGGTCATGGCCTAGGCTGTGCGTGGTTCTTGGTATCCTCTGTTCCAACAACATATCAATACTCTCACTGCGTTCTTCCTTCTGCCACTCCAGAAGAACATAGCTTCAGAAATCGCCAAGATGGACATGGCGACAAACAAAGAGGCCCAGGAAAGACTTCTCTCCGATTATCAGAGTAGTAGTCCCCTAGTAATACATAAATTCTCGTTCACAGCAAAATTCACATTCTTGTTGTCAATTTTACTTAATATCACGTCATTACTGATATTTGTCAACGTATCAACCCGCTGTCCAGTGGAAAAGTCTCTTTACGGTATGTATCAATCGTACCCTTTTTCGATGGTTTCCGGCTCACTCTGCAAACTAGCTGACTTCACGAAAGACCTTCAAGCAATCTATTCCGAGCCACAAACGAGCTAACATTGGCCGCCAAGCCACCAAACATCTCAGTGTCTAAGTGAAAGAATTTTGTCAGCAGACACGAAAGTCAGGATGATCAGGGTGAGCATACTTCACAATTTCGGAGGGATCTGTTTCTTGAAAGCAATCTCTAGTATGGATAAACCGGAGACGGTGGTGCTGTATCAATTACTGTCGTGCTCTGTTCATCATTTCCCACATCTGCTCGTGTCATGTTAGATCAGAAGTGAGAGTCATAAAAGAGAATGTCACTGACCTGCCATGGGAAAAGCACTAGCAATACCGACCCAAGCGAGCACGACAAGAAACATTTGACGTAGAGGCGCCATGATAATAGTTTTCGATCTTTTCTTCTATGGTATTGAATGGGAAGTGAGTGCTGTTGAACGTTTCCAGGTTTGGTGTCGGCTTGCGTTCGGATGACAATCTTGTTTTGTGAGAAGAAACATAGTTGCGAGACATCTACCCTCCTCTTTATTTGGGACTTCTTGTGAGGTGCTGAAAATTTGCCGAACTGTGCTGGCTGATATAAAATGTTGGTTTTGAATCACCCTGAATAGGGAAAAACCAAGACCGGGTTGTATACAGGGTCGTGAAATCGATCGCACGCCCTGTGAGCCTAGAAGCGAAATCCAACATTACACGCCTTCCTGTTTGGATCGTAGCTACACATGGTCCTTTTTGACCAATAAAAACCTGTCCCATTTACACAACCAACGATAGCAGTTCGTTGAGTGTCAACCGGCTAATATTCTTTATTGTACGCACGGCAAAGTGTTGTGGCTTTTCCTCCATACACTCGAGATATTGCACATTTCGCATGCAGTGTGGCACCGGCCCGGCTCGCCCCGGTTTCTGCAGTATGGTTCCCGCATCTGCATCTACTTTCCAACTAATCCGATAATTCAGTCAAGGGCTAGCGTTCCCTTACAAATACATTTATAATCTTACGATTCTGCAATACATGTAACTTCTCGGGGACATAACGTCCACGCCGGCGATAATTGTTCTTCGATCCTGTTCCCTTCTTGACTCTTTTTTTGTTCGTATTCCGTACCTCAAAACTTGAGGCCTTAAATCATGGCAACCGCTGCAGCAAAGCAATACAATGGCAGTTGGTTCTCGTATGCGTCGCCGGGTGAGATCTTTGCCGCCAGTACCGTGCTCCCATTTCTCGGCATTGTCGCTATTGGTATGAGGATGAAAGCGAAGATCTGACAGAAACAGAAGATGAGTCTTGATGACTGGCTAATCATTCTGGCCCTAGTATGTCACGGATACCGGATGAATATCACGTCTTTCACGCTAACACACCATTTCCCTAGTTGATGTTGATCATCGTAGCTGTTTTCATGCTTATAGGCATTGCCAAGCATCAAATTGGATATTCGACGCTAAAGTATGCGCTAACAGAGAGTTTCTCGTTGATCGACAAGGTGAGATCATCTCATCTTCTATCAATCTGTCATCTTTCAGTTGCGTATTGGTGATACTGATGCTCGTGTGACTAGTTGACCTACTTTCTGCAACTTTTCTTGATTATATCCAACGGCTTCATAAAGCTCAGCGTCCTATTCTTTTATCGCAGGCTTCTCATTGTTGATAAGCGTGGCGTGTTCAGCTGGGTTACATTTGTTGCAGTTGCTATCATCTTTCTGTGGACCCTTGCATACCTTTTCACCTTTATCTTTGGATGTGGATTACACATGTCGGCCTACTGGGGATCTCTTCAAGGTGTCGAGAAGTACTATGGGAAAGGAGGGTTCACGATCGAGCGGTCATTCTATATTTCTGATTTCGTGACTGATGTCATGATTCTGTGTCTTCCTATGCCTATGGTAGTTTCTCTTCCTATAGCTCACCATGGACCTCCGTTTCTGATGATATACAGATTTGGAGACTACGAATTGGGACTGCCAAAAGGTTCGCTGTTACAGGCATATTTCTGTTAGGTGCAATGTCAGTTGCACTCTTCAGGTCTACTCGTCCAATGATTAATCGTGAATAGGTCATTGGCTGCGTCCATTGCAAGAATGGCCATGTATGAAGAAGTGTACCGGAGGAGCTTTACCGACCTCGCATCGACCGAAGACAGACATCGTCAGTATCAAGAAAATCTTTGTGTGATAATTTGCTTACAGGCGTGTGACAGTCACGTCATCCACAATATTATATTGGAGCATAATCGAATGCTCTCTCGCGCTCATTGCAGCATGCTTACCAATACTGCAGGTCTTTTTCAAAGGGATTTCTCTCCCAGCGGTAATTCGTAGCGTGCGGAGTGTTGTTAGTCTGCACAGTTTGCAATCTCAGAATACGCAAAACTCAACAACAGTTGGGCGTGTGAATGCTTATTCGGAGTCTGGCAGAACAAAGCTAGAATCGACGGATGGCATGCATCTCCCACACTTGGGCGAGTTTCTTAGCATGAACAACTCCACAACCGGTAAATACGATGGTTCCGAAGTGCTAGAGCCAGGACGGGTATACTTCCAGGAATCCATGAGGACGGAGCATTTTCAAGTGTAGACAGCTGAATAGTATGTCATTGGAAATTCGTCAAATGTGCATATATTAATATTACAAGTCCACCTTGTTCCTAAGTTTCATGGCCAGGTTATGGGCTCACAAATCACTTCTTCGCCACAGACAATCTCGGTTTCATATATCGTCATTATAGTTTGTACATTGCTTTGCATTCAACCCTACCGAAGGAGAGTACTATCTGAGGTAGATTCTTCGAAGACAGACTTTGTACCTAGCATTTGAAGTACTACACACTTCCCTCTGACTTTGTTCCCTCCATGGCGTCGTGGCCAGATACTTGATCTGATTCATCTACCAGTCCTTCATTCAACACTCTTTCCCAATCAGCATTCTCGTCCTCTAATCCTTGCCAGCACTCGTCGTCGGAGTCATCATCAGTACCGTCCGCATCATCGTCAGTGAAATCGTCGCTTGCGTCTTCCGTGATACCATCGACACCTTCCGCCATACTTGCATGCTCCCCAACCCCTTCTACAACTTCTCCGTCATCAGTAACAGCAACCTTAGGTACTTAGCCTTGGTGTCTCTTGCAGAACGTATTCCCCCACCGCCTTACATAAAGTGGTATGGCACATTGCTTCTTATTGACGTTGATTCTGTGGCACCTAATTTTGACTTCTCCTAGTAATCCTCCACGACGACCCGTCTTGGGTTTGGGGCCGTCTCCAGGCATCATCATACCACATCCTGCATCCAGGAACATCTCCTTCATAGCCGTCATCATCTTCTCGTATACTGGGTTTTCTTCCAGGGCAATAGTTGCAATTTCCATCTTCGGTGTTTCCTTTCTACCGTTTTCCATCCAGCTGAACTTCTCAGACCACTCTTCCGCAGTTGTGGTGTCATCCTTATCCCGTTTGGTCATCTGGTAACGAATCCTGTATTCGTACATAGCTCTATAGGAGCCAAGGACCGGAAGTGCTGCATCCGTAAGCAAGTCAGGATTGGGTATGTTAATATTTGACTTGTAACAGGTATTTCGTCCGTAGCTCACAGCGACGATGCGACCAAACCCATATTCTTTGGGAACAACGGGAATTATCAGGCCAGGAGGGTAATTATATCGCATTTGTTGGGGTAACTCTGGATCGTAGTAACCGTAGCCTGTACAGCCATGGGGGAGCTTCGACATCAGAAGCAAGGACCCGTATGGAGCGCATTCGCAAGCTGCTTTGACACCATAACTGACGAATCTACCGTGGTAAAAGTTCTCCGGTGCGTGGCTCAGGAACAAAATGAGGGAGAGAGCATACGGCATGTCGTTGCGATCAATGTGCGCCTTGCCTTTACCCTTGATAGCTTGGACCTGATCAGCACCAATGGCTGAGACGTTGACTTGGATGGAGGTATGCCAGATCTGGTCAGGATCTCCGTATGTTGCCGCGGCGCTCTTGACCCACTGCCAGCGGAATATTGGGTGGTTCATTTCGGGGTAAAACTTCGTCAATGTAGACTTGACAATCTTGGAGATTGCTTGAACAATCAAGGCTCCTTCCACTTCCCACATGCCGTTTGATATCTCCTACTCTCGGATCCTTACTCATCAACTATGATTTCCACTTCCTCGCCCTTATTGCCCTCTATTGCCCTCTTGTGCTTGATCCTCACTTCAAGCATTGATCTACTGGGGTGCTTGACTTTGATGTATTTTGCAGAACCCGTTCTCCCAGCGTGACGGCTTGAAGGAAATGCCACATCGCGCAGACTTTCCGCCACGCTTTCGACCAACGACTCCGCGGCATTGCACTTTGGACTCATCTGGATTGTATTTCGCTCCTTCTCCTCTCTTCTTCCTGGGCTTTTGAGCCGCATTTTGGCCTTGTTGCTTTGGCATAGAGCGCCCACAGCTGGTGTCAAGTGTCATCTGGTAGAATGCCTTGTACAGCTTATCCAGTTCCACATTCTCCTCCAAAGCCAATATGGCAATCCATAAGGCAGGTCTTTCCATCACACCATTCTCGACCTAAGTGTATGCATCGCACCATTCATCGGCAGAGCGTATATCGTTCTTGCTTCGTATGTTGATGAAAAAGCGTAGCCCCCATTCTTGCAGGTTACGCTTGGTCCCGAAAACGACAATGGCTTCTTCAGGTAAAGTGTCCGATGTCAGCCATTTCAGCCACTTCTTCCGAGGCTTCATGGCATCGCTCCGGCAGTAGATTGGAATAGCTACACGACTATGGGGTAGGTGGTCGGGAACCACTGGTAAGGTTAGACCTTCGGGTAGGGTGTATCGAAGATCTTGCGGTAAGTCAGGTTGATAGAAACCAAAACCTTGACTGCTGTGTGGGTGCTTAGAAGAGAATACCAAAGCACCAAAAGTTGCTCCTTCGCAGAAGACTCTGGTGCTGTAGATAACAAACTTTCCCTCATACCACTCGGGTGGTGGATTGCTCAGAAATAGTAGGACTGTATAATAGGTTGGGACATCATTGATATCCATGTGTGGCTTGCCCTTTCCCTTGAGAGCAACGCCCAGATTCTCTCCCAGCTTGGAGACATTGACCTGAGCAGAGGTAGAGCATACGTTGGACTCGCTCCCAAAAGTCATGGCAGCATTCTTCGCCCATTGCCGTAGGTACATGCCGCCACGGGCGTTCAGTTCTGGAACCGCTTCGCCCAAGATGTCCATATTAACTTCTGCCAGAAGCTTGAGTATCTCTGTGTTAGACTCATGCTTTTGAGCGATTTTCGATATTCTGATTCCAGCGTGATGAGGTGGGACAGCCCACGAGAGATCGAAGCCAGTTCCGCGCCTTTCAAGATGATTCGTCTTGTTTGCTTGGACAGCCAGCATTTCTTTCTGATATTCGTGATCCAAGAAGTGGTCGCGAATTTTTGTCATTGCCTCGAAACGACCAGCATCGTGGTTCTCTTGTGGCGATATGTATCGGGCATGGAGCCACTCGGTCTTCTTCGATCCTTTTCCATAGGTCATGTAGGCTGGTTTGCGACCAACATCTCTGAAATCGTGTTTTTGGCAATCCTCTGCAGTCCAACAACGAGGTTCGCTCAGCTCATCCGGGATATCGCTCATCACCATGTTGATGCGAGCTTCTTTCGTTTGCCTAGGAAATGTAGGCGTATAGTAATAGCCATCGTCGCGTTCGTCAAGAGTATAGGCGCGTGGCTTTGGATCGGCTGTTGAAGAAGCCATTGGGGGCGTGCTGGTTGTCTGAAGGTCTCTGGTTGATATCCAGAATGCGAGGGTAGACAGAGTCGAAGAAATTGTGCTTATTTCTGCTTATTTCCGGTCTTGGTTGCAATTCGCTGATGAAGTCAAACTCAATGTTTCCATGTGTTGGTGCTTGTTCGAGGTTGACGTGCGTGGAAAACCAACAAGCAATCGCCCGCTTGAGTGCTCTCGAATCCGGGACTACACATCAAGCTAGACTTAATCAGTCTTTAAGCTCCAAACTTTCTATTTACAACAGCACTTGAAAGTGTTGAAAAATATCTGGATTTTTCCAGATACTTGATCGGTCTCTAGAATTGCCTTCGCGTCTTCCCTTGGTACCCTCCTTTAAACACAATCAATCAGGTTCGCGGATTCGCAATGGCGGAATTTGTAGCTCCTCTGGAGCAGCAATAGCTTCAACGAGATACAGTTTCGGGATCCACAGCAGACAGACCATCACTGGTCTACCATGGATTGATAAAGCCCTGCTAGGAGTTTGCGTTCCTGGTGACCAATTCGAAGTGCATAACCTGGTCTGAACAGTGTTACATGTACGATGAAGCTACCGTATCTTGCGTATGGTCCCTCTACACGCTGACCACAAGCTAACAGAGTAAGCTCGGAATGATTCTCAATGGCTAATTATATTATTGTACCCAGGTCTACCCGACGTTGACGAATTATGCCGGATTAGCATCATATCGAGCAACCCTCTCTCGACTACCCAGTCTCCTTCCGAAGTAACACCCCAGAGACATCCTCCAGTTACGGGAATAACAATCATAATCATATTTATAACGGCGAGTAGAAGCTTAAGAAAAGGCAGGCTGGTAAGAGCAAAAGCTGGAGCAGGTGCTTGAGGGTCGATCCGAAATGGCGTCCACTGCTTGACACAATACAGACCGGGATCAAGACGAGGAGTGGCTGAAGACATAATTTTACAATTGGACACCGCTGTAAGGTAAATGTGTAAGGCGGGCTTCGCATTGCCCATGCCTCAAACTCGACTTTTTACAGACCGCGTTGATACGTTCGCGACTAGAAAGAGATCAATGTTCAGCCAGACTCTGTATCGGCCGACAATCGTTCTGATAGTTGACAGTGTGATAAATCATCCTATCCGCAACGAAGAGTCCATCGTCCGTTGCATTCCGAGAATGCGAAGCGCAATGGAACTTGAGAGCAAACCCCGGCTCTCTAAACCCAATCGATTCGTCCCGGAGTGCCAGCAGAAACTTGGAATCCAGCTCCTCGAAGTCATGCTTCATATCTACATGCATGAAACTCTTCCGCTCATTATAGAATCTTGAATTACTAGGTGGAATGACGCCTAACTCAACAGCGCAGGGCATGGCAGGGTTACGGTCATCAAGGATATGAAGGGTTGGCGGAGGCTATTCGGATTCAATAATGGTTATGGAATCCGCACTTCCGAGAATAGAGGCCGGTTTGGACCCAACAGAAGATTGAGAAGATAGCGATCCTGGTTCAGGAGACGGGACCAATTGCCAGAGCAGGATCATCAAGGCAAACATGGCTATAAGCACAGGCTGCAGGGCTCCAATACCAAAAGATTCAGCAAGGGTTCCCACCAAGAATGGCAAAAACGCACTTCCGGATTGTCCAACGCTTGCCATGAGACTGAGCGCTCCGGGATGATACCCATGAGGTGTGGCTTTGGTGACGAGGGACACAGTGACGGGATATACGGGACCCATCACAAATCCGCAAGCTGCGACGGCAATGAAGTCCACAAGGAATACCGGAGACGTCCATACAACAACCTGCATGGCAAGAGCCAGGGCAGCATAGAGTGTGACTGCTCTCTTGTCATTGAGAACAGCGGTCAGAGGCAGCAGTACAACGCGGCCGGACGTCAGACCAGTGTAGAAGGCCGAAGAAGCGTAGCCGGACATTGAGCCTCCATCTCGCTCTCTCATCAGGAAAGAGACAATCCAGCCTGCTTCGCTTGTTTCGGACCCAGTGTACAAGCTGACAAACATCAAGGCAGCCCATACTACACGATCCGAGACAACAGTCTTCAGCGATGCCACCCGATCATCGGCTTCGACCTCAGTTTGTCTGCCTGAAAAGTCACCACCTCCGAATCCAAAGCCCAGCAAGAGGACACCCAGACTTGCAATACACCATGCAAGGTTGGTTAAGTAGAACAGTGGAGGCGGAAGATTGGCTCTCATGAGCAAGGTAGCGGCCGCCGGGGACAACAATGCACCAATTCCATATATCGCATGTACAACACCCAACTTCGTTGGAGCACCCGGGAGCCGAGCAATATAAGTATTGAACTGGGCGTCTTGGAGAGCAAGACCAAAGCCAGCGACAGCATAGCAAATCGCGATGGCGATGAAGGGTGGCCGGAAGGCAATGACAGCTGAAGCCAGCCCCTGAGCACAAGCACCGAGTACAATAAGACGTCCAAGCCCAAGTCGATTGCTCAGGGTTACGTTCAACAGCGATGCCAGTATGTACCCTGTGAACGAACCGATGAACACAAGGGCGACCTTTTCATCGCTGACACCGCCATAGTATACCTGGAGATAAGGGATGAGTGCCCCTATACATCCATCATGCCAACCAGCAGAGGCAGCTACGAAACAGCATCCAACGACTCGAGCCGAAGCTCGGAATCTGTCAGGATCGGATTTGACATCAACCTGCGATCCATTGTCGTCTTGGTGATGTTCTACCAAGAGGGGCTGCTCAGCCTCATCGTGAAAGGCTGACATAAGAATCGATAAGAGATGAAATTATATAAAGATGACCTAAAGACAGTGTGTGTATGAATGTTCGGAGGCTAGGAATGCTGAAACCGATTTGTTCTGGTACGTAAATGGCCTAAGAGCCGATTCTAGAATTGTATATATATATCGTTCCAGGGTATATATTTAGTCTGGTAAAGAGAATGTATATCTATGTTGAGATCCAAGAGTGAGATCGGAGTGAGGTGGCAGCTGGAACGCGGGTGCAGAAGAAGCCCCTGACTTGAAACGTGAAACGCTCAGCTCACGTGAGGTGTCTTAGATCTGCGATCCTTCCAAATTGTTGGCAACAGCGATTGCAATGGAATTGAAGGTTGTAATTGTATGGACGGAAGTGAAAGACGATTAGACACACCGGATGAGAGAACAGTGATGAGGTCAGCACTCAAGCCAACCCGTCGTCACGTGAAGATAAGAAATCGAAACCAAGAATGGGGTTATCTCGTAGTAGACTTCGGATGGAGTAGGGAAGAATATGTATGATTTGGGCTTAGAGAGAAAGTAGCCGACATTTTGCGTATGTTAGTATCTTGAAAATGCTTGGAAAGTGATCGTTAGAAGCGACATTTGCAGTAAAACCAACACCAAACGCCGGCCACACTTTGAAAAAGTCTATAAGTTGTATTTTTATTACGAGCATTTAAACCTATCAAATTCCAGTGTGGTAACTTTTAGACAAGCCGACTCCAAAATTTGTAATGCAAGACAATTCGACGACATCAAGGCTGTATTACTTTTACAGCTTTGAAGTTAGTTGCAGGTAGACACCAAGTCTTACTGATTCGCCACCCATACGGGATCATTAGGATGGACAGACAAGAGGTGGGATACTAAACAAGGATAGGCAAGTGAGAAATAATCTTGGAGTGTAATCGAGAGCTCAGAGACCTATCGAGCAAGAATGGCAGGTCTTCTCGGTAGTGTTATATAAGTCTTGAGACGAGTGCCATCGACTGGCAAACATGGGGCTTGGCTGATTGCACAACAAAACCGAAAACATCAATCGGAGGAGTTTCCAACAATACTTACGTTCTCAGTCATCGTCCCCCATTCCGTCTTTCGGACATCTATACCACACAATCTCAGTTTGTGGCATATCTGTCAGGAAGAGGACTACAAGTTGGTTGAACAAGACAGCCATGTGAGATAACAATGTCAGTCATCCGGCAATTTGAACACAACGACAGTATCACGCAAGTAATCATAGTCATGTGCACAGTGGACCTTGGTTTCCAGGAATCTTTTGAAATCGGCCCAAACCAAGTCGTGTGGCCCTAGCGTTATCAATCACCTTACAAGTTTGCGATGATGCAAACAGCGTGTATTCATACTTCTATCTAAATAGTTATCATCTATTATAGTCAATCAACTTAAAAACAGTTTCCCTCATACCTCACACTGAAATGTAGTAATATCGAGTTCCAGCATCGTACTCGAGAAACACCTCTTTCTCCATCATTTCAACATCAATCACGATCTGCCTCCAAAGGTTGACCTCGTAGGCCTCGGCCGTAGACCCGGGCGTCACCAATGCGCAAAGATATCGTGGATCACACTCCTTATCATTTTGAGTATCCTCACTTGATGAGGAATTCACCACACTGCCGAGAACATCTTTGATACAGGCTTGCCCAGCTTGAGCGGGGCAAAGTATCACTGCCAACTGAAGGCTATCTGGCATACCGAGTGCTGAATCTCCAGACTCAGGAGGCTGATGCCAGGACACAGCCATACCAGGCCGAATGCGTTGTTTGAATGGTACTTCTGAAGCAGTGGGATCCAAATCTCGGCTTGATGATCTGTTTTCGACTCTCAACAACGTGGATGGCTCTGCTGACTCCTCGGTGTTTGACACAGGTGTGTTAGCAATTCGTTGACCATCGATGTGTAATTGCCACAATTTGGAGCGGAAGGCTTTGATCTGCTCGATACTGACACCAGGAGTCTTCAAACATCGACTTTCAAACTCTGCAGGTGGTAATCGGAGGAGTTGGGCACCTGATTCTCTGGGTGCCAAGATTGCTGGTGAGACTGGAGGAGTACCTGACTGTAGATGAATGTCAAAAACAATTGACCGAATTATACAGAAGTAGCCATGAACTTACATTTTTGGTGATCCAGTCCCGCAATTGACCATTCGTCCAGGTTGTGGGTACCAGTGGATTAGGTTCAAGCGTATCAGTCCTCGGAACCGTAACACGCAGTAGCTCGGCGTACCGGAGTGTATTCCTGCTTGGTCCTGTATCTGCAAGACTCGGATTGATGCAGGCAATGACAACCGTCTTGCAGCGTCTATTGGTTGAAGGGTCGAAAACATGCTTCAAGACCTTCGTAAGTGCAGCTTGTCGGAACGGAATATGAGGCTTCTTCTGCTTTGACTTTGGACCCTTTGATTGGGTGAGAAGATCCCACTCCACCTTTCCACGAATGCAGTCTTTGAGGACTGAGAGGCTCATGTTGATCTCCCGAGTTTCTCGCATCCGGTCAGCTCCATGCTTCGCAATATCACGAGCAGCTTCGGATCCAGCAAGATCGATCAGATACAGAAGACCTTCTGAATCCGTGGATGGGTCTTTGATTCGGATTCGACAGATAGCGTGCGAACGTGATGAAGCATCGTTTTTGAGGGTTGGGGCTGTCCGTCTGAAAGATGTTGCGCGCTCAATGAGGTTCATTACCTCATCCCTGTCCTCGACTAGATGTTCTAGTGCACCAGCTAGCTGTGTAACTCCAAATGCGTCTTCGAGAACAGATATTGGTTTGCGTGAGTTTGTCAGATCATAAGCCGAGTTACCAGCAAGATCAATGATGGTCATGTGAACCTGTCTCTGGCCCTCGAAACTTCCATCCATCAACGACTCAGCAACGAGCTGCTCAAGTCGGCTGACAGTAAATGTCTTGCCAGAACCAGTCTGACCATAGGTAAAGAGAGTCCCGATGCCACCATTCCATGCAAAGGGAACGAGATCTGCAACAAGATCTTCGTAAATCTCCTCGGTGGTTGTTTTCGAGTCAAAGAGTCGATCCACCTGATAATTGGAGGACTGTGAAGAGTTTGGTTAGCATTGCTCATGGAAAACGTGTCGAATGAAGGGTATGGATGAACAATCTTTCCGCACCTTGATAATAGGGCGTCCACGTGGGTGGTTGTAGAGATCGTGGATGTCCACCACAGCGGTCTGAGTAGAGCGCGGAAACACTGCACGTGGGAAGCCAGCAATTACATCCTCATCTAACAGAGGTCGGACTCTAGCACTAACAACCATATCTGGATTTGGTGCTCCGTTGATTGCATCCTCTGATTGGGGTAGCGGTGTAGGTTTGAGCCCCTGGACTAGTTTTCGATAAAGTGCAGCATTTTCCAGCAAAAATCGGTCCATCGTGGAGCTCGAGATAAAATTTGGAATGAATGTTTATGTTTAACGTTCAATATTGCAGGATATTGGGGATGTAATAGTGTACAAGCAGTCGTCCAGGCAACAGAGTGAAAAAGGGGGAATCTGAGTGGTCTTGGCATTTGTGGTGGTATCCGTTTGACCTGTCAGAGAAGCCGCAAATGGGTGCCTAAAATAAGGTTAAATCAACGACAATCCACGCTACGACCCAGATCGGCTTCATTTTGAGACAGTGCACGGGAAAGTAAAAGGACAGGTGCTTTTATGTGTGCAGCGAGTTCAACTGAAGAAGTCCAACGCCATGGACCCCCACACACAATCGCGTAGATGATGCGAATTGTTTTCATGACAAGTTGGCCAATCCTTGCCACCATTCAATATTAATCGTCACTTCTCGACTCTCCCAACTTTCATTTCGCTGACCGAATGCTACTTTTTCGGATAGGTAGAAATTGAATAATAAGTGGGCTGAGTTTTACGAGCTAGGTAGAAGTTAGACAAGGTCGTAAAGAGATCTTTCACCTCAGGCTGATTGAGAGTTGGTAGGATGGCCAAAGTTTGAAGAGGTTGAGAAAAGCAGGTGAGCTGTCGATGCTTGCTTGTTCGTAAGGCGGAAGGGGCAAACCATGTGGTCATACAGAATTCAGCGCAAAGTAGGTTCAAGCCATGCTCATCGCCTTGCTACCCTTTGATATCATTTCTGCGTTCTACGTTGAAAGCCACGAGCCAAAGCTCCATTGCTAAAAACGGCATAATCGCTGTAGATCTTCTATTTGGTGCTTTGGTAAGTAGAGCCACCTTTCTTGAAAAATCAATCAATCTGCCCAAAACGGAAGGTAGAGGAAGATCCTCGTCATATTCACTCCTCACGAGCGTTGCCGAGAGAAACAAGTCCAATCGTGGTAATGCGCCCCAGATACTCTCCCGGCGCTAAGTCTCGATTGCCGGCTCCCTCAACTCTCCATCTTTCTTTCCAACATTCTTCGTTTTCTTCATGTCCATTCTTTTATTTCTACAACTTCAACCCAAAACCTTTCTCAAAACCTCCATCTAAACGCCCTCAACCCTGTTCTTCTACAAGCGATTGCTCAGAATTTGACCTGAGCGTCGGACACCAGTCACTCCCCAAAATACAATAGGTAGGCTTTCACTATTACTTTTTCCCATGCTGTCTCAGCCACGACGTCGCCTACCCAGCTTCCTAAAGTTTCTCGCTTCTTCTAAGCTCGGGCTGCCTATAACTTCCAAGCTCTGAAGGTATCTTCTGCACTCTTTCTTCAACCTAACTGTCTCTAGATATTGAAACAACAACCACGAGCTACTTGTCTTTCAACCTTTCTTGGTACGTGCAATCCCGCGCCTTTTCAAAGCCTGCTTCACTTCATTTCTGCAATTTATCTTTTCCACCTCCGCACCTCTTCACTAAATCAAGCACCTAAAGCGGAAGCTTCACCTTCAGCTGCTTCAGCTGCTTCACCTGCAGTTGCTAACAGTTTTCAGATCACCACACCTCAACTCACCACGACTGCTCGTCTTCCAAGTTTCCTAGGTAGTTTCCTCTTCTCGTGTTCTCTAATTTGACGACTGATTTGCTGAAGGGTTTCTCTAGGACACTTGAGTAACGATGAAGCTGTTTCAGTTTCTCGCATTGGTGGCTTCAATCTTCGCCTTCACACTGGCCAGCCCTGTGGCAGATGAGGCCGAAACCCTTCAGTATGAATACATCGTGGTTGGTAGCGGTGCTGGTGGTGGACCTTTGGCTTGTCGACTGGCAATGGCTGGTCACACAACTCTCCTCATTGAGTCTGGTAACGACCAGGCCGGAAACATTAATATCTCGGTGCCAGCCTACCAAGGTGTTGTCACCAACGACCCGAAGATTCGATGGGATATGTTTGTCAATCACTATCAAAACCAATCACGCGCCATGCTAGATCCAAAGTTCACTTGGGAGGTTTCACCATTCGTGTATCACGTTGGTCCAAACCCTCCCCCAGGTGCTACACCTCTTGGCATCTTGTATCCTCGAGCTGGTACCCTTGGCGGTTGTGTTACCCATAATGCTCTAAGTAAGCAGCCCCTCTCCTCATTCCTTCATCTCGTCCCCTTCCCCATATGCCATGTTTGGGCTCCCAAACAAGTTTCATTCTTATTCCTAATATTCGGCTCTTTATCCTTACAAAATAACAAATTCTAACTTCCTGCAGTCTGGATTACACCACACGCTAGCGACTGGAATAATATTGCAACCATCACTGGCGACAGCACTTGGGAAGCTACGAACATGGATCAGTATCTCGACAAGGTCTACGAATGGCTCCCAGTCAAACCAGTATCTCCAGCCATCCTTCTTAATGACTTGAAGCTCGTGCAACATATTGCAGGTGCTGCTGAGGTTATGGGCGAGGGTCCTCCTTTAATTGGGACAGCAGCCGCCCTCGCGGTAACTTTGACTGTTGATCCTAACAGCAGAATAAACCCCAATCGCGACTCTACTGAAGGATTATTCCAAGTTCCACTCACCATGAAGCTTGGCACCCGTACATCTGTACGTGATTTCATCGACAATACAGTCGCTTCTGGCTATCCTCTTACGGTCAGACAAAACTGCCACGTCACAAAGATCAACTTCGACACCAGCACTCCACCTATCGCTACTGGTGTCAGCTTCTTGGATGGTAACTCATTGTTCCGTGCTAGCCCTCTCAGCGGTGGAACTGGTACTCCCGGATCTGCTACAGTGACCAAGGAGGTCATCATCTCAGCAGGTACCTACAACACTCCTCAACTTCTAAAGTTGAGTGGCATTGGTCCAGCTGCTGAGCTTGAGAGCTTTGGTATCCCAGTCATCAACAATCTTCCTGGAATTGGTACGAACATGCAAGATCGATATGAAATCCCTGTGAACGTTGTCCATGGCTCTGACTTCTCCATTTTGAATGGATGCACCTTTGACGGAAAGCCGCATGACACTTGCTTGACGACTTGGGAGAACAACCCACACGTTTTTGATGCACGAGGCACATACGAATCCGACGGCATCGCAGCCGCCATGATCCAGCGATCCAACTACGCTGCAAATACTGACGCTGATTTGTTCATCTTCGGTGGACCAGTTGACTTCACCGGATATTTCCCAGACTGGAATGATGCCATTGTGTCGGATCACAAGCACTTTACATGGGGAACACTTAAGGCACACACTCGCAACACTGCTGGTACCGTGCAGCTACGTTCGGCAAATGCTCTCGACCCAGCCGTCATTAACTTCAATTACTTTGACACCGGAACTACTGCTGGAGGTGCCGATCAGCTCGACCTCGACGCTATGGTTCAAGGACTTAATCAGTCTCGAGCTGCGTACAAGGCATACAACGACTACGCTATCCTCGGTGGCGACTCATTCGTGGAGACCGAACCTGGACCATCGGTACAAAGTACTGCAGACATCGAGAACTACATCAAGGAACGAGCCTGGGGTCATCATGCCTCTTGCTCATGTCCTATTGGCGCTGACGATAATCCGAACGCAGTCCTTGACTCGCAGTTCAGAGTCCGTGGGGTCCAGAACTTGAGGGTTGTCGATGCGAGTGTTTTCCCAGCCATTCCGGGAGTCTTCATTCAATCACCCATCATGATGGTCAGTGAGAAGGCTGCTGATGTTATCCTCAATGGTTAAAGGGGTGGATTGAGAGCTGGTCGCTATCTTGGGCGTGAGTGGGAGATTTGAACTTTGCGTTGCTTTCTAGAATACATTATCGAAAACATTTTCTGAGTAAAACTGGTCATAGAAATTCAAACCATTCTACTTACTGTGTCTGTGTGTGTGAATCTGCTCTTGATGCTCGAGCATATAAAGGCTCGCGTGCCTCAACCCCCTCTTTGCCTGCGTTCTGCTTCGCATATATTAATCCGACCACATAAAAAGACGGTGACCGCTATAGCAATTAAGGCTTTACTACTTGATATATCTCTTATCATCGCAATCGTTGAAGAGAGCTGTTGCTTTTGTTTTAACAATAAGCAAACGCGTAGCTTCGCGTATGATTAATGGTCCTCTGACCTTTTAGATACTGTACATTTCGGATCGCCTCTAATTACATATTAACAATTAACTATTGAGCCATCCTTCTCTGATAAATATTGTTTAAAGTGCCTCGCAGTATAACAAATCCATCAGCAGCGTTGAATTCCTCTCCAGGATCACCCCGAGTAAGATTTCCATACCCGCTTGTCGAAAAACTGCCTTGGCATCAGGCATTTGATTTTGTCTTTCGGATAAATGATAAGTTCGAGCACCGCCAGCATTCCGTGATTAGTGCGCAATGTTTTGCAATTGTAATCATTGAAGATGTGCTTGGCGGACCAGACAAGATCCATAATCATCGCTGCCACTCCGGCGACCACTGGTGTAGCATAAGATGTACCAGCCTTTCGCTCGGTGGTGGAGTGCATGGCAACTTTTGACACATCTTTGTTGATCCACGCTGCCTCAATGGCTTCTCCAATTGCACAGAGCCTTTTCCCAACTCTTAAGTCCGGCACAAAACTGCTCAAATGATTGTCACCATCTATTGATGCAACTGAAATCACTTCGTCTAGACATGCGGGGAACGCGACGGCGTTTCCATCACCTCTGTTGCCAGTGGCAGCAAATATTAAGACGTCTGAAGCGTGGGCTTCTAGAAGTGCTTTTTGGATACCTTCCAGGCTCTGGTCTGCGTTCGGAAAGCCGAAAGAAAGAGATAGTATGTGGACTTGTTTGTCGGTTATAGCCCAGCGGATTGCCTGATACAGATTAGCGATGACCAACTAAATTGGGTTTAAGTACGAGCTTATACATCTTCTACGTCTTTGCTTTTCCAATCCAATCCATCCCGAGACACCCGTGCCACATAGACGTCCACATTCTCTGCCATTTGGAGAAGTATTGATGTAACATGTGTTCCGTGACCATCATCATCTTGAGGTATACCAGAACGCTTGCCGACAAAGTTTTGATAGAAGATCTGGCCATCGAGCCAGGGACTGTGTAGATCGTCGTGTGTCACATCAACACCCGTGTCCAGGATCGCCACTCGTACTCGGTCTGCGGGGTTTTCCGGCCGTTCTCTTCCAATGCTCCTCACAAAATCTTTCACTTTGCCGTACTCGTAGAACCACTTGTCAGCTGTTTTTTCTCTGTTGAGGTCAGCCACTACACAAGAAGATATGGATATATATGAAGGATAGGAGGTAGAGCAATGCATGGCCATCTGATACCATTGCCAAAGAAAAGTATGTCCCGAGTCACAGAACTTTGAACTTACTTCTTCTGTCTATTTTCGATATCTTCATTGGCAAACAAGCGTAGACGCTTTGTATCTTCTCCAGCGCGTGGGGCAGTAACTTGGGGGCTGAAATCAAGGCGGGTGCCGAAGAATCGTTCCTGCTGGGATTGGAAGTCTTCAAGAGAATATTGAAGTGGGCGCAAGACGTGTCTGTATATCCAACGCGCAAAATGTTCGTTGCCAAGGAGCGAATCCTTGTCTACCTCGCTCAGGTTGAAGTCGCATGTGAAGCATTTCCGTACCGCCATCAAGTATGAACTACCCTCTAGATGGAACGGCTTGTCCCTATCTGCTATTTTGGAGTCACCGATCCAGTTCAAAAGTCTGTTAAAGATGAAAGTGTCATGTTCCATCACTTCGGACGAGCCTTCACCAGCTAGGAACACTCTCTGAAGATGGCTCCACGATGTTCCGCACCAGAGCTCAACTAAGAATCGACCAAGAGAATTAACGAACGGGACCTTCGGCTGTGATGGCTTCTCGATATCGAGAGCATCATTTGACACGACAATGGACTTGCGAGAGAATACTGGATGTACAAAGGCAACGGGACTCTCCTGCCAAGTCAAATAGACATCATCGCTAGTCCAAGATTCTTGTATCCAAGGGGTCGAGAACAAATAGAACAGACTGAAGGCCACCTGATGCGCTAGTTGAAGTCTCTGCTCAGTTGAGAGCTCAAGTTGAGGGTCTTCAGACTGCGCTAATATCGGAAGAGGATCTGCCCATCTCACATCAAGCTGCGTCATCCCATCTGCTGGTGTTAAGACTAGTTTATGACTCGCTTTTTCTCGATACATGGTGATATATCCTTGGCCTTCCTCTCCAGTACCGGTACCGTTATTCAGAAAAGCACAAAGTCCATCGCTGGGATTAGTGGTCATCGGTGGCAATGGAACTTGTGTTGGTGCTGGTCCGGCGACTTGATTACTTGAATTGGCGTGAACTGAATTAGGCTTTAGGAATATGGGTAGCAGCCCAGATATGGATTTCCACGCCTTCTTTTTCGTTTTTTTGGTCGTGTCATCTGCAATATTTGAACTCGTAGTCTTCGATGCTGTTTCATTCGAGAGCTGCTGATGTGTAGGTTCCAATTTCTTCGACATTTCGACATTTGAGGTGCTGAACTGCATTTCCACTTGTCTCCATTGGTTCTGTACGGAGTTCAAGTTCTGGAATAGCAGTGAGCAAGCCTGATCCCAAGGCTCTGATGTTGGTTCAAATCCCTTGTCCAGCTTGAAGCAATCTTTAGCTCGTAAAAATACCTGGTGTGGCTCCGGACACTGGCAGTGAAAGCCATTCTCGGGTCCAAGGATGTCAGATGCTGAAGCAACACGATCCCGAAGCATGAGTAGACTCTCAAAAAAGTTCGTTGATGGATCTTTCAAGGACTGTCGCTGAATCTGGACTAGCTCCTCATTTGCTTGTTGGATGTTGGCGAAGGAAACCTGTAACGTAGCCCCACCAGAGCCATCGAGGGTGTAAAGAGCCTGTAGTAATCTTCCCCAACGGTCATTGCTCGAGACGATATCGGTGATCTGGACATCTTCATTGAAGCCAAGCAGCTCTGTAATTGCGTCCAGTTCCAGCAATATGCGACTTACGAAGTCGGAGTACCTTGCATACTCAGAGACGCAGCGACGCTCAATTGTCTCTTCAACCACCATCCAGTCCACCCCCTTTGTCTCGTCATGCTCCGCATCGGTTAATCCATCCAAAGTACCGCGAAACGCTAAGTACTCGTTCTTGAGGTAGCGGACGAACAGAGTCACTGGGAGCACGTTGCGATAGGGCTTTGTTCTTCGTACGAGGACTAACAGATTATCGACTTTCTGCTGTAGACCCTTGAAGCGCTTGAGAACTCGCGCAGTCTGAAGCCGATTGCCAGGGAGTGAGCCATGAAGTGAGACTGTGTCGAGCCTGCGGCTTTGAGGCTCCATGATAACGCCACCTTGGCATAGGTCCAGGGTTGATTGATTTGTGTGGGCAGGATACTACTAATAAAATTATCGCAAGGCCGCAGATGACAGATGTCCATTGCAACATGGACTCCGTCTTGAGTTTTGAGCTGAGGCCGAGGCTGAGGTACCTTTGGCGTATGCGACTATGCCAGGCCTGTGCCGTGCGTGCTTCAGCGAGAACACACTCCGACGAGGACCCAAGAGAACCTTAAGCCGCGTTCAGATATCGTGCCGCGTCGGGTCTCGTGGGCTGCGGCTGAGCTGAGGTAGGAGTATGTGCGGCGAATGAGGTAGTCCTCTGCGGCTCGTCATGCAGCATGGCTGAACACGGATGTGCCCAAAATTGACCAGCGCAGAAACCTAACCCACATACTGGCTAGTGCACACGGCTCAACGTCTCCTGGTATTATTGCGCAAACGGTACTCCGTACCGCTGTTATTCATATCAAGATATCTTAGCTGCTCGATATCTACGCAGGGTCCGAAAGACGACAATGACTACACCCACTTCAGATGACGAATCCTTTCCTCTTAAGCCGGGCGTCGAAAGTTGGAAAAGCGAGAGCGCTTCCGATATCGACAGCAATGACCAGCAAAACCGCCCATCGATGACAGAGACGGTACTGGGGCACGACACCGAGGCAACTATCATACAAGAAGAAGCCCCTATATATTTACAGACACAGCGCGTATTTTCAAGCCTAGAGATGCTGTCGAACGAGCCTAGTTTATCTAATCCCACCCTCTCACATGAGGTCTCGACGTTCCAATCACGATTTGGCGTCTGGTGCCGTAAATTGGGCCCACACCTTCGAGATGTTTACTCCTTGGATGAGCGTTTGCGCGATTCTTCAGCAATGAAACAGCATGTACTGGATTGTTTGGGTGATATAAATGACGCTCTGGAGGAAGCGCAAAAGATCTCTGCAAAACAAACACGTAATGCTCCCACAATAATACTTCTTACTGTTCCGGTTGTGAAAAATCTTCTAGTGAAGCTCAGAAACACTTCTTATTAGTTATAAATCTCATGCTGATGATGTTTGCACTCAAGCTATCTCGTCCACTTCTTCTGGCAACAAGGAGACTGGCATATCGATTCTCATGGCAAAGAGTACGATATCCGACCCTCTTAGCTTTGCTAATACCATACTCGACATACTGTTTCGGGTAATTCCTATTATTCGCCCTGCTCTTTCAGCCGACCGCTACGAGAGGGCTGTATCGACCGTGCTCCCATATGAAGAAGAGTTCATGCAGACATGCAGTGCCAAGTTGATAAGCTTGTTCCCTGGGCTGTCACCAGAGCTTCGAGGGCGTCTGGTCTCAGCAAGTGCACAACGCCTCCGGTTCTTTCAGTATGCAGCGAATTACAGCCTGAAATTTCAGTCTGATGCCAGATGGGAACCGAACTTCGAACGTCGAACGTCAGAACCACTTTTATCCATGCCTGCTTTCATCAAAATCAATTTAGGAGACACCGATTCGACGGCGAGCAGAGCAGATGAAAATTTAGATCCTTTTAGCCAGGAAAGTACAGGTGATACTCTCGACACACGATCCATGAAGTCGGCAACAATGTCTAATCGAGACATGAAATATAAATTTCCACCATTCCCCGAGGAATCTGAAGGCGTCTTACGGGAGTGCGTTGCTTGCCGTCTTACGCTGCCTCTCCCATCCAAAGATACCTGGAAGTAGGTTTAGAGCACTGAGATATCACCAATGCTGCTAACTATTCCTCTTTAGAGCACATATCCTGAGAGATATCCGACCGTACATCTGTACGTTCCCAGACTGTACTGCTGATCCGAATAAGCTGTATTCTAGCCGTCGTGCATGGTTCGAGCATGAATTGGCATTTCACAGGCGGCAGTGGCCTTGTCCATTTGGATGTACTACCAGCATGCCGGATCTCGCATCTCTCAACATACATATCGCCTCCAAGCACCCAGGTCGCGCACATGATTTCTCGTCCCACCCTTTACCACGAGGACAGGAGATCTCACCTGCCGCAGAGGCCGTGTGTCCATTCTGCGCGCTGCATATCAAACCTCGTGGGCGAATTGAGTCTCACATAGCATTGCACCAGGTTCAAGTAGGCTTGATGGTTCTTCAATCATCCATAATTGAAGATTCAGACGACGAAGACCTGGCGGAGAATGAGGAAGAAGATTTAGAGGAAATTTCAGAATATCACATGGCGGATCTAGATCGGTCATTAGCCTTACTGCCTCGAAAGAAATTGAATAGAACAAACGAGCCGGTTAAAGAAGATCCCTCTCAGTATAGACGCCATGATAAGTCGGCAATCGATAATGCGGTTGACTTGCCTGCAACAGATAAGATCAAAGCCGGAAAAATGGACGACATACCTCATACCAACTGGGTTCTGGAAGATCTACGTTACACTATCACTTATCCACAGTTGGACACTGGGTCTTCAAAAGCTTTGCCCGCCACGTTGGTACAGCAGGAAACTAAACAAACTCGAGACCGGCGAATCACTGCACTTGGCCTGTCTTCTCCATTTGGTAAATCCAGATCTGGACGTCACACCTGGTTTTTGATGCCAAATTTTGATTTCATTTATCAAGAATATAGCACTATCTGTCTAGGCCAAGTCTTAACCGATCCACTGAGACCCAGTGATGGCATTCTAACTCGAGAGGTTCTTCACACCCCTAGGCCACAGAAAAAGCATCACTATTACATGTCCCCTATCACAGTGCATGTCACAGTGCAGAGAGAGGTGGAATATGTTATTAATGATTTGCATGTTAAAGCAATGCGAGTGGAAACCCACCGATTTCTTGCAGTAAACGAGTATATATCGGAGGTAATAGAGCGGCCGGAGATTGCAAAAATTTTGAAATCAAGGCAGAAGATATTTATCATTACAGGGTTAAAGGTAACGATTGGTTCTCAAGTGGAAGTCGGAGGTAGAAACTCTAACATAGGAGCGACTGTGCATGCGGGTGTTGTTGTTGGTGCTGGTATCGAGGCTGGTATCAAGCTTGAGAATTCCACCGCGAAGTCAGTATCATATATACAGAACCCAGTATTGTTTGCATATTCGCTTACGCAGGTCCAACGTTCGTCTCTTGGGTCGTTTGCAGTAGAACAGTACAAAAAGGGTGCGTTTTAGTAATGTTCGAGCCCAGGAGGTTTCACTTGTTGAAGATATTGGGTTGTGGGGACATGGATGAAGAAAGATTATATTGTCATAAATTTCGACATGAGTGTAAGGTGTGTGAGGTCATAATGCAAATTGATACAACTCACATCTTTGCTTCTCATGAGCCTTCCATGAACTGTGCTACCCAAATTGTTGCAAGTTCTGGTCGGGTTTCGTGGTCCTCGAGTAAACATGCCGAATTTAAAACAGAACACGAACAAAATCTCAAAGCTACTGGAATAGGATGCTTAGAACAATCTATTTCCCTCATGTCTTGCTCATTTCTTCCCGGAGTCATTCGCGTCATCCATCTCCAAGAATAGATCATTGTCATCAACATCATCAAGTGGAGTCTTCTCATCCACACCAAATTTGCGTCCTTGATCGGCACTTGTGCTGTCGTCTCCCATATGGAGCTCGTTCCTCTGGAATAATTTCAACATTCTTCCCCTTGTGACATTTCGTAGCTGCAGCGCAAAGATTTTCATCTCCCCCGTCTTGGCCCGGAAGACTTTGCCTTCTTCCCTTTGGTTCGTGTACTGGGCTCCCAGATTACCTGTGTCATCGGCCGCACCTGGAATAGGAGGGATCCCAGCAGCTGCTCGAGCAATCGTCGCGATAGGTATCTCGCCCTTGGCTTCTACCGCCTTCTTTGCGCCCTCCTCCCAGACTACCTCAACATCCTCACAAATCATAATTCCAACTACCACACAAACAGGTATTTTGAGGCCCGACTTGATCCAATTAGGAACTCTCTTGCTGACCTCGACATCTTTCTTGGCCTTGTCGAAGAACACATCGAGTTGAGTGAGGCGTCGAAAGCGCAGGTATTTGCCTTCGAGAGAGTGCGCGTGCGTTGTCTCCCCATCAAATGACACATTGGCGAGAGACTTGAGTGTCGCGCTGACACCTTTCTTGGCAGAGGCGTGTGCATCCAAAACGAAGTCGTTGAATTGTCCATCCTCTGTACCGAAGCTGTCGTACTGTTCAAAAAGGGATTTGTTTTCAGGCCCGCTCTCGGCCACATAGCCATTAGTCGGGCTAGGATATTCTTTCAGAAACGCGCCGAGCATCTTGTTTTCCCACTTCTTCGCATCCATCCAAGCGACTGGCTTCAGAAAGAAGAACTCGGGGTCCCCGTGCATCTTGAATCTCGACACGATTTTCAAACTAGTACGATATAAGGAGTGTGCTCTTGAGCGCTCTTATTGATAGTAAAGCAATTACAAGGATAGACTGATATCAGTCGACAATCTCAATTACAATTACGACGCCTTGTAGTAGCGGGTATACTTTAAAGACGGTACGAAACAAGACTCGCCCTACTATTTGTTTTGCTTTTTCGAGCGGGGCGGTGCAGGTCACACTAAGGTTCTAAGTGCAGCCAAGGGAGCGAGACACATTGCAGCTGCGCGAACTAACCTCAGGGTGGCTTCGTTAGTCAGATTCCTGTCACAGGTGTGCTTGTAAGAAAATCCAATCGTGTGTGTAGTCGTTCCTGCATCTGTCGTAACATTGTCCCGTTTCATCAAGCGCCAACAATCATACCGGTAGCCTGGAAAGTATTTTGCATTTTGCTTCCCTCTACGATGTGGAGGTGCAAAAATGTATTTTTTTGGATTGTAACCTTTGCCGTATCTAAAACAGCCAGACAAAGACAAATTCCGACAACATACTACCAAAGCCGACTTAGGCTTCAACAAAATGTCGGGCACATCACAGTCTTTGTGCGACCTCTGCAATGGAATTACATTTGAGGGGATCAAGTTTCCAGGCACCATGAGAGAAACCTTCCCTGGAAAGCAGCGCTTCAATGAAGATGACGGCTATCCACATCACGTGAGTCTTAGCGCTTTAGAGTGTCATTGGACCTATGACGTGAGAGCTCTATGACTGCCTTATATAAGTGTTATTACGTTACAACCATTGTTTGGTTGTAACTCGAGCTTTTTACTAAGCATTGCTATATGGTTTAGTGGTATAATAACCCACTATTATCACAAGAGCAATCTAGCTTAGCTAGATGCGAGCTCTGTAAGATATTATGGCGCGGGTTTTCTGAGTATGCTGAGAAGTAGTCTGGGAAATCTACGGGCTTGTTGTCTACATGTGACTCACAACTTCGACTTCGAAGACAATACTCTGCGAATTCGGATGAAATCTCAGGCTTGTTGTTGGAAGCCGGATCAAAGTTGCTTGGACAGTTTGGGGTTTATGTACTTGAAGGTAATACATCACTACCTTGGCTGAGTTTTCAAACATGATTTACCGTTACTAGATGCTCCACAAACTCTGAGAGAAATCATCCCTGGAAGAGCCGTAGAAGACAATCCTCTGAGCGATGCAGGTCTCAGAAAAGCCCAATCATGGATTGACACATGTATCAAAACGCACGCAAGATGTCCTATCAACATCAATGCAGCACTACCAACCCGAGTCGTAGATGTGGAGCCTCTAAGACCACGACTCGGTCATAGCACTTGATCTTATGGAACCTACTTCGTATATAGCTCTTAGTCATTGTTGGGGACGAAACCCCCAGCTTCACTACAACAAACGCTACTCTAGAAGATTATAAATGCGAAGCAAATGCAGTCGCCTATTAGTGGGGTGGATTAAAGTTGTATAGTGTTTGATCACAACATTGCCAGATGAGGAAGTGGGGTAATTGACAAATCAGGATGATAGTAATCGATATTGCTGGCTGGTATTAGCTCTTTTCCGCTTATACATATAAATATTGCTTCGAAACAAGCTTCCAACAAGTCGTTTTCTCTGAAAGAAGACTCAAAAGGCTCATTCGATATGAAAATAACGTCTGATAAATCCACGTAGGACATCAGTACAGCCAAATTGTACATTACATACCAAAGCACACTCGTCGCTTTCGGTACAAGGCTTGATCACACTCCTTAACTTGACCATAGTTCAAATGATTGAAATGAATTGCCAGATATAATGCTGAGAGAAAGTCTCCTGCGGACATATAAATGCGATCAAGCCGAAGATAGTCGCACTTTTATACTAGATAGGGTATGTATTTCTTCAGTCCTCTTGTCTCGATATCGGTATGTCCTTTGCTCTGCCATTTATCTTCCTATATAGATATGCATCACCTGTGAGTCGATTACCACCCCGAGGAGAACTTTCGCGTAGATAGATTGGCGGAGAGCAGGTCGCAGGCACAACAAGGACATCACTGGCCAACACGAAGCCAGTAGCTAATCCATTCAAGCTTTTCAAGGATTAATGACTCTGTGCCCCAACCTTGGCTTCTCACAATTCTTTCGAGTCAACTCTTGGTAAGTGTCAGGATTGGTACCCGTCTTTGGTATTCATAGGCTTCCCACCACAACTAATATTTCTCAACTCGTGTGGATTTTGTGGCTATAGCAATGTTCTCGCCATTGATCGCATCGAGGTAAATCGTACCATATGTTTGTTCAAATATGCGAGGGCGTTGGTGTGCTCAACTATCAAGGAACATTTGCGGGACTCACTGGGAGGAAGGAGGCAATTGGGCGCAAGGAGTCGATCGAGCGGGACTTTTGTGCGCACTGCATGATTATCTTATAAGGCTCAGGTTCAAGTTTTTTAACGTTTGTAATCAAAATCAACTCCAGCATCATTGTAAGCTAACCATTCCTAAGGAAAACCCAGCGAACGTTAAAATAGCCAGGACAGCAGCGTCAGCTGTTACGCTTGAGCTCCTCCATCCTAACCAGGGCGTTGGTAATCATCTACATCGGAGTGAAGTCTCTCACTTCAGCCAGGCCGATCTTTGGCGGATTTCCTTCTGCATCGTCCACTAGTGCGTAGAATGCCTTCGTAGAGTCGATATCGGATTGCTGGATCTCAGGTGGCTTCCTGCCATATGTCATTACCGAAGACTCGTTCCTCGGTCCAAGCTTGACAGCTGTTTGGCGCTCATGGACCTCTCCGGTCTTTGGATTTATATCCATCGCAAACTCATGCCGCAGACCCAACACGTGGCCTAACTCGTGAGTGAAGATCTTCCACATATTCTCCTTCCAACCCTTGAGCGAGAAAGCAGCATTAAAGACGAGCAAGTAACTAAGATCTTCGGGACCGGGAAAGAAGGCTTGAGCAAGGGTGGTGCCATTACTGCCACCATGGCAGAGAACAAAGGTAGCATCCTTGGCCAGAGGGACCCATTCGAACGTGACCCCAATGTCCAGTGAATTCCATTTCTCAGCCGCGATGTTAAGATGATTGGCGGCATACATGGCATCTTCATCAGTCTTGAACCCTTGTCTCCAGGCAGCCCAGCGGATCACTGAACCGGGAGCCCAGCGTGGACAATAACCGTCCAGACCAACCATGATGTCTGCAGGACCATTTCTTAAAGCGGTGGGGATCGGTGCCTGAGTTGAGCACTGCGGAATAAAGTTGTCGGTTGGGGTTGGATCTATGATGTTTTCTGGGGGGCTGACGTCTTCTGGTGCCTGTATGGTATCGAGAACATGTTTCCCAGCCGTTTGGGTAACTGCATCAAGCAGAATCTCTTTTGTGGTAGGCGGTTCGAAGCTCATGTCTGCACCGGACGTTGGAGATGTGCCACACCAATCTGGAGGTAACAGATCCAGTTTGTTTGTTTTGGTAAGGGAAACTGTTGTAGAAATAATTTCTGGTATATGGCTGTTCTAGACGAGATATGAAGAACAGCTTCAGAGGATGCTAGGAACTTGGGGAAAAGGGAATAATGAGATAGAGTATCTATAGATGAGCTGAAACCAGATGTGATATTGCGTACTTACAAGTCTGAGCCGATTACATTACCATGAATCGACTGGTGGAACCCTACCGGTCTAGGCCCTGCTTTATCAGACGTATCGTTCGATATTCTATGTATACGAGTTTAAGCTGCACCTCCATCACAAAAATCAATATAGAAAAGACATTTCAGTCCCGTCTTCAGCCAGCCATCTGCCTTCCCATTAACCCACTATCGGTCTTCAAAATCGAGCCCTGTAAGCCACGGTCGGTAATTCAATGGACTCTGTCAATATATTTGGTGGTTGGGACAAATAATTCTACCCCTCTCCACCCAATGCGGCTCGGCGTACCTGCTGTCAGCTAGCCTCAGGAATCGCCCGATCTCGACTAATCCCGTGCTGCGTTGCGTTACAGTGCGGAATTCTGTACAACCACATTAACATCCACATCTATTACTATTGAGGCTTGCGTGTCGCGAATAACAAAACAGCGGTGAAGCTGTGCGCTTCCATAACCAACCTGTTCTTACGCAATGCATCATGTTAAGCTAGGAAAGTTGTGATTAACTGTCGTCATTATCGGTGGGGGTGGGGACCAGCTGCGCCGAGGCGACGCCCAGAACTGCAATTAAGGTAGAGACGAATTATGCATGAACATCAACAAACAGACAAACCTGCGTTAGCGCAGTGGCGGATTGTTGAAGATGTGATGTAGCTATAGCTATAGCTAGCTGAACAGCACAAATCGCTTCTCGCTAGCTTCCGCGTTTCTGTTAGAATGTAGTCATGGCTAGCTGTCTGTTGGAGATGTAGCTGCGGCTCGCGGCTGATTGTCTAGGCTACAGTATTAAACATGCAGTGTGGCTTGCGGAACAGGCACGCCCCGTTCCGTCCCGCCCGCCCCCGCTTCCATTCTCGAGCCCAGGCCCTGCAGGCTGCCCAAAATCGGCAATTCAGACAACTTCTGTAGCAGCGTGGAAAGCTATGGCTAGCTGAATCGCACGTCCTACTCCTATTTACCTTCGCTATATCGCTAAAGATGAATCTGGCTGGCTGAACATCCTACTCCCGTCCACCTTCCCCACGAACTTATGCTACACAGCAAGGAATATTAGGTGGTGGGGATAAATAGGTGCACCCTTGACGATTTTAGTGTCAGCCTCAGTAAGAGAGATTGGCCAATACGGTATGTAGATTTGCTGTATTTATGGGGTCGAACTTGCTAGAAACACGGAAAATGGGTACACTTATTTATCCCTACCACGAGTGGCTCATGCAATGCTGTTGAATATGACCTCGGTGCTGATGACCTCGGTAATGATGGCTTTGAAGAAAAGTATATGTAGACGGTAACACTGCTGAGAGCTTTCTTGGTACTCTCAACAAGCAGCCTTTTCAACTATTCTCAGCAACCATCACTTCTCTAAACAACCAACAGAGAGACTGCCCCCATACTCTCTCTTCTATTGTCAAATCCTGCAACTATGAGCGCAGCACCTGAAATCGTCTTGTAAGCTAAGGACCAACTTCAGACGATCGCCTCCGGCTAATGATATCTTCTAGGACTCAAAAAACTCTTGGCTATGAGCCTACTGGATGGGATTACGACCACGGGAACGACGCAAGTGCACTAGAGCAGCTTGATGTCGAGCTGTTAGATCATCATGGGCATCAACATAATGACGCCTCTCAATTGATCTCCATCCCCATTTCTGATGAGGAAATCGAAGCTGCTGCTAAGATTGACTACGTCAACTGGAAATTAGAGCAATCAAAGCAGCATCCCAAGAACAAGGATGGCTTAGGTGAGGAAACTACAGTCCCCGTTGGACATCAAACACGCATCGACTAATGAACCCTTTCTAGGTTTTGAGTATGCCGAACATAGCTACCTTGGAGATGCTTTGACCCTGCAATGGGACGACGGTCAATCATACGTTGCGAAGAACAAGCCTTTCACCTTGCCCAATGGTCTGCAATTGACATACGGTCAAATCAACGGGCTTGCTGGAGATTTCTATGCTACCGTTAATCCGATTAGTGATGGTAAAGATTTGCAAGACCAACGCAACCGATTCTTGCAAGCTTGGCACTGGCTCGCGAACGACACGACTCGCAATCCTCCCGAAGCTCAAAAGATACTGGGTGTGATGTCGAAAGAGGTCGAAATGGTTCAGGAAGCCCTCGATAAAGGGATAGATCCGTCCACAGTTTATCCCAATATTCCCGATGTTACCGCAGCTCTTCAACTGCTCACCATTGGACGTCCCCCAGAATGTCCCAGCTACCTTATGCTGGCGAAGATCAACTGGGATCACTTTGGGGCTGATGCTCGCGTGGCATATAACGCTTGCCACTCTTACGCATTGCAGGTGGCTGCGGGAGGGAATCTCCAACTAGCTTATGCTTTGAACGCATTCGGCGATCATTTCCTCCAAGACTCGTTCGCAGCCGGCCACATGAGAACTCCACGGCGTAAACTTCACGACAGTACCGGATTTGCTGATCTATGTGCCAAAGTAAGTCCGACTACATGCTCTCCCCACAGCTGCGTATAAGACTTCAGTGTGCTGACTACGACGGATTTAGTTCATGCATGATGAAGACAACGCGATTGGTCTCTCCGTTAAAAACCCTGCGGGCAGAACCTGGGACACATTCGGCGACAAGCGCCTACTCGATAAAGAAGACGTTGCCAACAAGAACGAAGCGTGGAATGCTGTTCGAACCTCCGCCGATGAAATCTATCAGGCTTGGAAGACAAAAACTGTACCACCTTTCCCGGCCTATGGCGCATGGAACTGGGCACCGATCTTGGAGCAGATTCAACAGAATCAGTTGATTGCGCCACTCTTCCGTCCTGATGGTCAGCGACGAGCTGATATCAGGAAGCGCTGCGAGTATAAATTCACCAATAATTATTGGTATTGGTCCACCGCGGCGGATTGCAAGAAGAGTGGACTGTGGGACTACCCTATCAAACCCACGGCTGATTGCAAAAGGTAAGACGGGTTCTCATGGTAATGGAGCACATAGTTCCACAGAGAGTTTCTTTCAGAAATATCCTTGGTGGTGGAGGGGACAGCTTGAAAATTCCGAGAAGACGTGCCGAAATTGGCCTATATAGTGGATAATTCAACATTTCCACCTACTGAACTAATGATACCCCGCTCATTGGGGCATTTCTTACGAGTGAAGAGTGAAGCTGGAGTCCAAACGCTACCCAGCCACTTGTAGACTAGGAAAATATTGACAGTTGCAACAGCTTAGTGCAAGTGATAGAGATAAGAAAAGGGTGCTGGTAGAGGCATTACTACACGCTGTCGAAAATGTCTGCCTGTCAATAGATGTTCTCGATGTGAAAGCAGCTGCGTAACTCAACAACACAGGATAATAAATGTATAATGTCACGGAAACGGTAGGTCTCACGTGATGGAGAACGCGAATTCAATCATTGGATCAATCAAAGGAGCCTGCATTAGCTCGTCCGGGGATGGATACTTAAAGACGATCTCTGGACTCAATTTCCAAAGCTTCTTTCAGTAGCTGTAGAATCCAGGACAATACATTCTTAAGCTCACTTATTCTTTTCCACTTTACACATTACACACATCACACAAACTTATAATCCTGAGCTCGGACGACGTAACTCCGTGACATATAATTATTGCTATGTAAAGTTAATCAGCACCTATAGCATTCTTCTTGCACGTGCGTGAGTTGTTCCCAATTGCAGCGCGCCAGAGCCTGGTGGCTGAGACCTAGTCGCTCTCCATCTTGACGCTGTTCACGCTGTATCTGCGCGTCAACCTTCGTTTGAGCTGCTATATCTCCCCTCCCTCTCTCTCTATCTCTCTCTCTCACTCTTTACGGTCCTTTACTTCTGAATCTGCTTCTTTTTACGCTGCTAACGCTTTTTGGCTGCCTCGTTAGTGTGACGAGCTCCCAGGTTACGTGGCATGCCCCATATTCTGGGAAATGAGGATATAAGGGAGTAGAACCCACACAAACCCAATTCGGGCTAGGTTCGGGGACGGATATATCCGACTCTCTTTTTGTACTTTACCTTACTTTTTATTCTATTTTTTTTTAACGTAGCTAGCTTATAAATATAGCTTTTTAGTCTTATTCACGTGCTACTATACATCTCTGAGTGAGCTTTGCTCTATTTGTACCGTTATAACTAGAGTATAGACCTACTAGGGAGGTACTTACCTAATTAGTAGGAGTAGTTAAATATAAGCTCTAATTAAACATTTTAGAGCTATCCTTCTTAGACGCAAAATACATGAATTACCCTTATTCTACGTTCTCCCACTTCATACTTAAAGCCCTGGATTAGCTGATTGCTGCTCTCCGTCACAGTGTATTTAATAGCCTAAGTAAAAAGGCAAGAAATGAGGTTTTACCAAGGCACCAACTCTTCTAGATCGGTTTAGGCGAAGTTTTGTCGGAGTAGCACGCTTTTCCCGTCTTCCGGATCGATCCTTTATGCATCATTCAAGATGATGCTGCGGATTGGGAACGAGAAGCAGCCAAGATGTTGGATGTCTACAGAAACTCTTTCTTGACCGTTTCTACGATGTCAGCAGAAAATGGCCAAGTCGGTTTTCTTCACAGGAAGAATGCCACCAAGCGGGTATCTTGCAAAATTCCCTTCAGCTCATCAACAAAAATTGCTTCCGGTCGAGTCCATGTTTGTTGGCCGCAACCTGAGATAGGAAACGATATTCTCGCTACTCGAGGATGGACATTACAGGAGCTGCTACTTCCCAGTCGAGTGCTACATTATTCGTCGGAACAGATGATTTGGGACTGTGAAAAGAGAATACGAGAAGACGGCTTGTCACCTACCATTTCCGGAAGCCTTGGTTCGCGCATTAGGGCTTCAGTGGCTGCTTTGAAGGTAGATACTGCACTCAGATCTCTTCAGGATAGGAGATGGTATTCAATGGTTGAGAATTATATGGCGAGAGATCTTACGCAGCAAACAGATAAATTCCCTGAAACCACGATTTGGATCATTTAACACCCGCAATGAATCATACGTGCCAATGCACCGAAAGCTATTCTCCAGCTTGCCTGTTAGTCTGTTCTGAAAGCGAGTCCTGCTTTTGTTCCAGAAAATGGAAACATCAAACTGATCGGGTTCGGCGAAAAGACTTTATCACGTGTCGTCGCCCCCTTAAAAGCGCCCCCACGTTCCTCGCTTAACTCCGCCGCGAGATACAGTAAGCTCTCTGCATATGTCAACACCCACACCATTTTAGGATGACGAAAATAGCCCTTGGTTGTTATGGATGTTTGAGCATCAAAGATAAGTTTTCTGCGCTTTTCCTTACATAATAGAGATTCCATGCGGCCAACGCTTCCAGCAAGGTTCCCCACACTAGTGTGCTCGCGTATCAATGTTATGTTATGTACCTAGGTATTTATATATCCTTGTTTCTTGCATGGAAGCGCTGGTAAGCAAGATCGTCAGAAAGTCTATGCTACAGCTAATTGGAGCATACGTATGACCTACATGCGTGGCGAAAGACTAATCAGCCATTTCTAGTTGTGGAGCCGACAATAGAGTCATTGGGCAAGCTTGTGGCTGATGAATAATCAGCGATATATCTTCATTCTGTACGGGACGTGAGATACTACGTTGAACTCCTCGACTGCTGGTATGCAAGTCTTTTCAGACAAGTTTGGATTCGGGTCTTTTCCTGCCTTAGAGCGCCTCTTTTCTAAATTTGCGCAAGTCTAACCGAGATGGAGTACAGCATCAGGTCATAGCATCAATAGCTTCAATTTTGCACTCATTGTGTGCATTGAGATGATCTATATTAAGGCACTCTGTTTGGTTTGGGGTTTGGGGTCTTCAAACAGTTATTGGGTGGATGATAAAGTCCCTCTTAGAAATATGAAGCCATCGGAATGGATATAAAAGTCGACAAATCCGTTCTACGATTCATCAAGTACTTCAAAATCGGAACAACTACTTCGTTCTCATTATGTCAGAGCCTCGTACATCTTCCGTTGTTTCCCGCTCGAATAGCATCAGTACGCATAGCCCAATTCAGGATCTCCACGAAGCGGACTTAATTGACCAAGCTACCACATCCGAGAGTAACCATCAGGAACCAGAAACCTTTACTTCCGATGAACATCCACCGACGAACAGATGGTCATCGATTGAGGAGGATAATAGTTCGACAGCTTTTGGAAGCACTACAGTTCCCTCACACAACGGAGACTTGGCTGAAGAATGTCTGAACGACAAAGGTGCCGCGGTCCATGTCGCAGGCCATCATCTTCAACAGTCTTCAGCCTTAGAAGACGCTCTTGAAGCACCCCACGAAGTTGCAAAGAAGAAATCGATTAGGCAAGCATTAGTTGACAGCTGGAAAAAACTTCTCCCGCATATGCTTGCAATTGTTGTCACTGCTGCAGTGGTTCAACTAAGCTTCCGCAATGTGTATTGGATGGACCTCAAAGCTCCCCATGAAAACATCTCTCCAGGGCTTACACAAAGTGGTGCCCTCAACTTTCTTCAACTCGCTGCTAAGCTTCATGAGTATGTTCTCCGTTCCGCAGGTCCGCAACCAGTCAGCTTACCTGTGGTAGGCTTTTGATACTTGCTTCAATTTCTAGCATTGTTCTGTATGCTGTCCAATCGCACCTCACTGGGCCGTCAGGCTTGCCTCTTGTAATGGTCGCCAATTCTTTTGAGCTTACATCAGGACAATTTCTGCGGCGGAAGTCATTCTGGACTGTGCCGTGGTCCGTGGACGTAACTACAGGAAAGAAATTCTTCTATCTGAAATTTTGGTTGCTCTCGCTCTTAGCGGCCGCGCTGGTAGTGCTGTCTGGACCGTCATCTGCCATTGCCGTCATCCCAACACTCAATTACTTCGAAATCAGTGAACCATTTCGCAGCCCGGTCTTGCCCTACTTCATCTTCAATCGGAGTACTGACCTGTGGCCTACAACTTTGTCAAGCGGAAGCTTAAATTCTCCAACGAGTGGAAACAACTGCACAGACCCTTATTCAATACACATGGCTGTCTGTCCCTCTTCTGGATTTAGCGAAACCCTCCAGTGGAGTAATTATCTGTATGATGAGGATACAGACCAAGGTTCCAACATTACATATACTGACTACGGAGATGATACAAGGCGAGTAGTTACCACTAAAAGTTGCAACCGTACCGTAGATGGGCGTGCTTCTGCAGTCGGCCTTCCTGCATGGGTCAGCGACGCATTTACAACGTATTGGAACTTTGCTGCTGAAAACTTTGAAGGGGAAGTATTGGACGCCACGGAGCCACGCTTAGATCTTGAAATCAATATCCTGGCACCAAGAGTGGAAGTTCTCTGCCAAGGTTATGTGGACGAAGAAGCCAATGGTCCTGACTTACTACCTCCAATGGTCTTGCCAACTTGGTCCAACAGTTCTCAATTTCCCGTCCCAGATTGGACTTTCAGATATCCGAGGCTTCTCAACGCGACCAACGTTACTATGTATGAAGTACCGCAGGATGGACCCGAAGCTCCTTCACTCGCTGTAGTAAGTCTATAGATTTCTTGTTTGGGTATTGAGACTTGTATCTGGAGTCTGTTATCCTTGTCATCTAGATGGATGACTGACTACTTCCAGATTGTTACAATCCCCATGGTGCTCGGAGAGGTTGGAAATGGCAGCAATATCACATGGTTCCAAACGACCACGACATATGCGTGCAGCATCTACTCTCAATGGATTCCAGTTACTGCTTGGTACGAGCCGCATACGAATGACCAAGTTGAATACAGTATTGACACAGATCTCGGAGATACTTGTTTGGACGTTCCAGCCAATGTTCATTTTTCGAAGAGCCCCATCAATACCACGATCAGTCAAGATTACGCAAACGGGATAAATCAGCCAATGGACTATCAAGATGGGCCTATACCAGCCGTGTTGGCACTTCTTTATCAATTTGTCTATTCAGATGTGCATGTTGAGAACAGTGCTGAGTTCGTCTTCCCAGTGAGAGACGCCAATGATGTTGAGACGGTTGAAGATGGTGCTAGGGCTCGGGGAAAATTTATAAGCACAATCCTTGCCAGTGTTGTCACCGATGGATTAGCTCGAATTGCCGGTGATGCGAGGTATCCATATTCTTCATCAATGTTCTTGATGCCAAATCGGTCATCCGACGGAGAGCTCGAAGGAAAGTTTCCGCACTGGAGCGTTCTGGATGGTGAGATTATCACTCTCAATACTACGGACGAGAACGAGGTGAACAATTGGGTCAAGATCGACTTCTCTTTCTCTCGATATGGATACGGCTACATGTGGAGTGGGAGCCGCACAGCACAATTCGGCATTTCAGTCTTACTGGTGCATGTCGCTGTGGCTCTTATTCACACGCTGATGGTACTGATTGGGATCTTGGGACGAAGGAAAACGATGCATCGGGCATGGGAATCAATTCCAGAGATGTTTGTTCTAGCCATGAACTCCAAGCCCAACGAGAAGCTGCAAGAGACTTGTTCTTCTGATGGCACCATCAAGTCATGGAAAGAAGCAGTGGCTGTTAGGGAGTCAGAACAGGGGAAATTGGAGATCGTTGTGGGAAGGCATGATATTGAAGTAACCGCGCCTCCAAGACGTGGCACTGGGTTCAGCTCCCTGTTCTGAGTTCTCAACGTGAGATGAGAAACAAGGGGATTGATGAGTGGGGAAGTAGGACTTACAGCTACCTTTTAGAGGGCATGCTAGCAGCAAAAGAAAGTGATTCCGATGAGCTACTGTAGTAAACGTTTGTATACAGCAGGATGAACGAGTAACTATATTTTTGGGCTTCAATTTGAAGCAAGTTTTCTTAACAAATGAACATGTGATACACCCAGACTCAGTAGACATACCCCAATGGCTACAGAGCCGGCGATTCATTCCAATCACTCATCTCGCATCACTGGATGAAATCGAACCCAGAAATCCGGTTTTTCCCACATTGCACATATAGTAAACTCCCTGTCAAAGACAATGTTCTTCTGCTCGGGCAATGTCTTTATATCGAATTGTCACGACTCTCTCCTTACCCTGGTAAGGTCACGTGGGTTGGTATGGTGAATGAAGTAAGATAAGGCAATGATATAGTAGTTAGGAAAACTTAATCAAGTTGAGCACGGAGTTCCTCCCTAGTGAGTGACAACTCGTCGCTATATAGGACCTCCGTTTCCTGGATCGTAGTGGATCGCTCGATCCCCTATGATCCCCTATGATCCACCACGTGACCCAGGGCCCACCATAGGTCGAGATTCCCCGCCTGCCGAGCCCATGGTCCACTAGTCCCGTGATCGTAACACGAATGTCCACAGTACGTTTGCAATTATCAATCTCATTTCATGCCATGCTAGGGTGCTTCCTGGACAGACTCTTGGTCCTTGGTTAAATGGAAAGAAGCTTTCTCTAGCATCTGATTTGAAAGCGGGTTCCCAATATGGATGGCTTTCTGGTAGCCAACGCTCTGGCTTGTAGCTGCGGGGATCATGGAAGTAGCGAGGACTGCGTGTGAAAGCAAAGTGGCCATATTGAACGCACACCTGTCAGTAACAAGAAGAGTTAGCACCAGGAAATTATACAATAATGCAGAATTAGGGACCACTGACTCCTTTAGCAACGTAGTTTCCATCAACCATAGCACCAGGGCTTAGACGTGGTAAGCCTGTGCCAAGTGCCATGAAACGTAATGTTTCCATAAGCGCGCCATTCAAGTAGTTAAGCGGAGCCAAAGCTTCTGGGGTAATGTCTTCATATCTCGTGAAATTTTCCCTGACTTCGGTTACCAGTCTCTTGTAGGTCTCATGTTCCTGCAAGGAAAACATGATCGTGCCCAAACACTCGCTTGAGATCTGCTCCCAGCCTCCAAGAAGCATCTGCAAGGCATTCATATTGAGTTGCTTCTTTTCTTCCGCTGTAGGCATTGGAGCGCCAACTGGGAGCAAGTGGTCAAAGTGGTCCACATGCGTCGTCTTCCCTCGACGCTCGATACGTATCTCAAGTTCCTTTGTTGTCAATTTCCTGGCCCGGATTTCGTTCAGGACAGCTGAAGGCGATACGAAAAGAAATTGAATAGGACTGAGAAGGGGAAACTTCTTGCAGATTTGATGTGCCATCAAGAAATAGTTCGCCCGCCATAGGACTTCAAGAAGTGGAGCACTCTTCACTGCTCTACAGTTAGATGAGGCAGCTGGAAAGAGACGACAAGTGCTAGAAACTTACTATCTTCCATCTGATTCATCTTACGACTATAGGCTAGTTCTGCAGAGATATCCATGACAAGCCAGTCCGCCCACTGCAAAGCGGCAGGTCAGCATCCTCCAATCTTGGATCATTGATACTGAAACTTCAAAAGCTAGGCCAGTACCTTCTTAAGCTCTATGCCGGCGTCTTCATTTCCAAACTCCTTCATCTTCTGTACGAACTTATCAATGTATGTATGCATAATAGGTTCTTTCGCCTTAATCGACTTCATGCTAAATGTTGGAGCTATCATCTTGGCCATTTGACGATGTTTAGTAGGATCCGTCTCCCAAACGACACCGCGGTATTTGTCGCCCGTGTCGACGAAAACTGTTTTCGTAAAATGCTCCTGATTCTTGGTGTGCGAGGCATAAATGTCTCCCTGAATCAGCATCCATACGAATTGATTATTGCAGTCTCCGTACCTGATGCCGCCTTAAGTGTGATAAATGCGACTTCATTAGGAGCTATACGAACAACATCGCCTGACTAAGTGTCAGTATACAGATTTTCAGTCGTATTTGAAGCTTACCATATTCTTCAAAAGCCTTTTCAATCGCCATCGCATATTTCCCTGTCAACCTAGGTTTGTAAGTTAGAGTGACTTCTTTCGAGGCATAGAGTGTTTACCAGTGGTATGCGTACCATACATTCGAAATGGCAGCAATTGTAGGACCTGGGAACCGGGCAGCAGGGTGAAAATACAAGTGATAAACACAGCGGATCAGAGCATAAGACACCTGCTACTCCGTCAGCCTATCTAATATCAAGACTACGAAGAGATCATCTCCACTCACAACTGCAAGAAAGAGCGCAATTAATTGCTCAGAAGTGACGTAGACCCAAAAACCAGACTGCAGAGGAAGTTCCATTATTGGAGGACGTGATTTGGTCTATGTACAGTGGCTGGAAATATAATGCAAGCTTGCTAGAAGTATTACGAAAGACTTGGGTTGATGAATGTATCATCTAGAGAGAAAACAGGAAGAGAGGAGAGGAGTGTCATGTAGAATTATTGAGAGTATCATATCAATCCATGCACTCCAACATTGCCAACATCACGTCAAAATCAGCAACCGGATAAAACAATGCACAAGTGCCTAATAACCTTAAACCCAACACTTTTAAGCGAGCAAAGAGTCAGCATTCCTTTGATTCACAAGCTTATAGAAAGACCGCCTGTCATTGTTGATTTTCTGGAGAAGACAAAATATTGTTACAGTCCCTAGCAGCTTCTAGACTTCACCAACTACTTGAATGATGGAGCCAAGTGTCTTGGAAATGAGATCGGATCTACATCAGATAGTACAAAGGAAATTAGTACCAGGAAGACTCTCTAGAGAATTTTTGAGTCAAGGTTTGTTTCTGGCATGCCAAATTAACCCCTTTCGGAAGTATGCTTTCGTTACCATCCCTCCGGTCTTCACTCCTGTCGTCCTTCACACCTTCAGCATTCCGTGACACAACATTTCCCATCCATACTACCAAGATCTCCCACATCTAGCACCACCACCACCATAAAAAAGCAACATACAAGCCCAAGCCCACCAAATATATTGCCGAAACAAATCCTTCATCCTCCTCCCCGTCGCCTTATACCCCAACTCCCACAACGCCCCAACCAAAAACACACTAGCGACCTTCCTCAGCAACTCACTCCCGCTCCACCTCACTAAAACAACAATCGCAACCTCAAAAGCAGCATAATACCAATACATCCTCTGCTTGTAAACCCACACAATCCTCCTATCCAGCATTTTCACCGTGACAGGAGCCACGATACCGGCAATCACATACTGAAAGTAGAGAGCACCGACAAGGATGACGCGAGTGACGAAGTAGTCGATGAAGTCAAAGCAGTTGAGCCAGCAGAAAGGCATGAAGGGCGTGGTGAGTGTGAGGAGACAGCCCATGAGGATGAAGGAGGAGAGTCTGCGGCGAGCGATGTCGGTTGCGGAGGGGAGGACGTCCCATTCTTGCTGTTCGGCTGCGGTTGCTTTGCGGACCATGTTGATGACTAGGGTAATCAAATTGTTTAGCTTCAATGGGGGCGAATTTTCAGAGGTGATGAAAAGGAGGAGAATGCGCCGAAATTAAGCGACGAATTCAGGGGTGAGGCTTCGCTGTATCATATTTCATGGGAAGGCGAAAGATGAGCTAGCAAGAGAACTCGGATTTGGGGTTTGGATTCTTTAAGATGGTCGGCAGAATTTCTTTGTGGTCGTATTTCACAAAGATTAATTGCGGCGCAGCTGTAGGCAGAGGCGGAGCCAGCCAGGCAACCAACCAACGAGTGAGTCAGCATACAACAAAACCCACTGAATGTTGGTGTTCCACAGTGGGTTCAGGGTATGTATGAAACAAATTCGTTGCAGTGAGAACGATCGGCGGCGGGATTGCGAAGTTGGACGCTGGTGAAAGGAGATTGAACATGTGATCTCCTGAGATTATTGCATGCAAGGCTGCTGCTACTCGTATCGTGTAGCAGCATTCCGAAATGGGGTAAATGGGGTATCAAGTAATCTCGATTTCATCGACTCTCATGGATTATCTGGCCTTGTCACCCCTCGCCCTCTATTCACTTGCACCATTTTGTCCTCTCCACCACTAACAATGCCAACATCCTTATCCCATGCAACGCCGAAAACCTTGATTCCCTCTCCGCCTACAGGTCTCTTTCCGCCCTTCTGAGAGTCTCTCTCCACCACGTAAACAGCTTCTCCGACTAAACCATTCCCTTCGTCTTTTGTTCCTGTTCTAGAGCTCCGCAGATCCCAGACTCGGCACGTCCCATCATGACTTCCACTGACGAGGCCATAATTGCTCTTTGGATCATGGCATATGGAGACAATCTTGTTTGTGTGACCTCTTAAAGTCATGACTTGTGTAGATTGGGCAGATATTCTTGAGTCCAGAAGTGTAATATGTCGAGCACTGGTTCCTGCTGCTAACAATTGGGTACTTATTCCTGGCAAAGCTGTGAGCGACAGAAGAGGATGTGATGTCGTTCTGGTATCGACTAGTGTTGACGTGGTGAGGTCAAAGGTACGGATGGTATGGTCTTGCGAAGCAGAGTAGGCAACAGTCGAGTCGAGAGGATTGAAGATTGCGGCGGTCACAGGGGCTGTATGAGATGAGAGCATTGACAATGGACCTCGCTGAGGAGTAGACGTAGATGTCGTGAGCTTCCTTCGTTTTGCAGTAGGACCCGACGTCAAAAAAGTTGAATCTGCAGCGGGCGCTGAATTCTTCAAAGTAGTCCAGAGCCCAATTGAGCCATCCGTCGAGGCAGAGAGAATGCGATTTGAAGGGCCATGTACATCAATAGATTCAATGCCACCTTTATGACCGTATAACTCCAGCACAGGTTTCAGGTCGCCCGAGAAATGATCTTCCGCTTCGTTGTACTTCCATACCCTAATCGTGCGATCGAGGCTGGAGGAGGCAATTTGTGTCGGAGAGATGAATTTGGCAGATTTTATGCTTACTGTATGTCCTCCAGCGCTGGATGCTGTTGATGTCGCAATTGTCTGACCCGACTTATTCCACACGCGTAATAATCCATCATAGGATCCGGAGAGTATGCGCTCTTGTCCTGCAGCTACTTCATTGCCATCCCAAGTTCCGGCTCTGGAGCTGCCGGAGAGAATATCGACACAGCTGACCCAGTCGTCGTGTTCAAAGCTTGCTTCAAACAGGGGGGGTATCAAACTTCGCACATATTGTAGATTCAAGGTCGTTTCCGAGGACAATCCGTTCGTGGTAAGGTATTCTTCGAGGGTAGTTCGCAAGAAGGTCCCATTGATCAGGAAGTCGAATGGAATTGGAGCCGGTGTGTCCAGCATGGACTCGGAATTGAGGATTTGAGAAAGGCCATATCGTCGAACATCTAGTGGGCAATTATCGGCATTTATTCAAACCTCTGCTCTGCTCATTGACTTACTTGTGGGGACAAGAAGCTGTCTCTTTCCCTCTGGAAGCTCGATGTCCGGCGAATTCGTAATGAAGTGAACCTGGACTGGTCCGTACCGACTCGACTGGGCGCCAGAGTCTGCCATATCAGTATCCATTGTCGCTGTGAATCTTAGGGTCGAAGTCGTCGTGAACGGAAGTTGACGTGGGGTTTGTATTTTGCAAGAATTTTTTTGAAAGGTTGACAAGCGTATTTTTCAGCCTTGCGCTAAGGAATTTTAGTGCAATTTTGTCTTCACTTCGTCCTTTCTCAACACTGGCAACATACAGCTTCGATGTTTTAGGAGTAAGAGGAACTTCTCAGCATCCTTTTTAATCCTTGCTCTCCTGCGGACATCAACAGATACGTCTTATCATGCAGTCTTTGATTCAAGCTTCATCTTCTCGCTGGTGCTAAATGACTAGGACAAAGTCTATGTCGAAGCTACAAGTCTTCTTTGACCAAAGAGTCCCTTGAAACCATTCTATTGACTACTTTGTATCTGCATAAGGTTATGCGGTTCATTATGCTTCAAGACGAAGATGTCTTGCAGTCACGTGACTGGCTTCACGAAAGGAATTTGCCCTGGGAGCTACGATGTACTTGTATTCTACAGAGAAGGAGCTGACCTCCCGAGCTCTGATGATATTCTCGGGATAGCTGTCAATATTGTTGAGTTTCTTATGATAAAAGGACAGAGTCCCGACTGTGCCGCGCCTGCTCAACCCCGCACTGCTGTGTGTATCTGCGAGTCTGACCGAACGGTCATTTCAACCCACAACCATTTGACGTCGCAATTAAGTTGCTGAGATCTCCTTCACAGAAAATGAGAATTGTCAATGGCCTCGCTTTATGGTTGTTGATGGCCAGCACATGCTGCGTAGCGGCTTGGGACTTCGGTCTCAACGAGAGGACCAAATCGGAGTGCCAGCTCGTCGACTTCGATACCCTTCAAGCAATTAAGCGTGATGGCCATAATTTCCACATTGGTCCAAAGGGCTTTTACATCAATACCAAGAATGGATGTTTCATCACTGAGGTTGACTCCTCGGAGTTCAAGACCAAGCAACCAAAGGCTTACGAGTCATGGGACTATTTGATGAAGCTAGCGAACGGAGAGCAGATGGAAGAAAAAGAAGGTCAGCTCAAAAGCTTTTCGTCAACTCGGGATTTTCTATCATTTTGAGGTTAGCTTGGTTCCAAAGCCTGACAAGACCCAGATTATACTATAATTCCCGCGGAACGAGAAATCGACCGGTCTACCACTCTAAACATCGCTCTCATTTTGTGGTTCATACTGTCGAGAGTCTTTCCAGGATGGATTTGATCATTCATCACTGCTTTGTAAATATCCTTCATGTCTGTCTGCTCTCTCCGAATGAAAGTACATGGTATACATCCACTCCTACACAAGTCCACTCCAAAACCTCATCCTCACACTGTCCGCATCCCTTGTCTCCACGTCTCCTACTCAACAACCGTCCTCATTGCTGGGAACGTAGCCCCTTTCTCAACCAGTCCACACAGCTGGGCCGGGTGGTGTGTAGCTCGTTGGCTAGCATGAAGTTAGTATACTCTTTTCCACATCATTTCGATCCACTTACCACGGGATAATAGATATTGATCATAATTCCGGGATCCGAAGCTTTGTATGCTCCCGGAAAGGCAACAAATGGAATTGGCGTTCCTGATCCACCACCAGTGACGGTTAGTTGTCCACAAGAGAGATAAAATTGGGCACCACCGGATGCTTGGGCTGAGTGCAGCGCGATATGCTCGACACGGATCAGATAATCACCAGCGGGAAGCGAAGCTGGGATCTTCACGGACTGCGAAGTTGCACCCGGAGATAATCAGCACAAGATCCTCATCGTGCATGCAATGAAATTACCTTGACTCGGCTATGTCAAACCCCTCTTGCGCCTAAAGTTGGGTCCATCCTGGTAGATCTTGAACCAGACGTCTCCGCTTCCATCCCAGGTCGCAGCAGTCTTTCCCTCTGGAACTTTCGCCATGTACCAAAGCATTGGTCCTGGGTGTGAGATGTCGGCCTTTGCAGTGAACCCAACAGTTGATCCAGCAGCAACAGTCATTATCCCTGGCGCTTGCTTCGTTGAAGCACCAACATTGCATCGAATGTTCAGAGAGGAAACATCAGTCACAGGTCCATTGGACTGGAAGCCCGTCCATTGACGCACGTATTCCCATTCCGTGGTCGTAGCGCCATTCGCGATGAGAGCTGGGAACGTGTAGTGCGCGTTGGCGACGGCGACCAGAGCAGAGCAAACAATGGAGAACTTCATCTTGACCAAGTCATACAGACACAGCGAGAAGACTGCTACATGGAAGGGAGAAGGCCAAGTAATACATGTTTTATTCCCTGCCGTGTTTATAGCCCGCACGGAAGTAACTTTGACGTCTCTCAATATCCGATGCGTTTAGCCAACAAAATCAATTATCCCGATATGAACAATAACTGTTCATGCGAGCGACTGATCCCGAAGAGGCATTGTGAGGATATAATTCCCCGCGATATTTAACTGCCAAGACAGGTAATCTGGAGAATGCTTGCTCAGTGGCTGCATATTTTCGTGGGGTAATTTATATGCGGGCATATGATCTCTTGGTTTCCAAGATTCCGGTCTTGGCGGATGGATGGGTGTTTGGTGTTTGGGATGGGCCGTGAACACCTTCCACGTGGACCGTATGAGGAATGGGCAGAGAATGATTCAATATTTGGTCTTGATGAGCACAATGTTGCATGTCGTCTCGACACCCTCACTTCTTGATGCGCAACCACAGAACGGCTTTTTACAGCATTATTTACAGAATCATTCTGAGCACGGACGAATGTCTGTCGACCGAAGTGGAGGCCATAGCCCGCACGGAGACATTGATTCCAGTTCATACAGGCAGCCCCGGTTGCAGAAGTTCTCGGATGGATTCATTTATGTTACTAGGCATTTTTCACGGGCGTCTTGTATTGGTCTTCCTCCCTATGCAATGTTTTTAGTTGTGTCATTGCATCCTATTTGGAGTTGGACATACCTGAAATTATGCTCCAAGCCATCTGTCAACTTGGCAGTAGTATGGCGGTCACGATCTGGTTCTTGGATCATATCCATGAGATAATTGTAGAGCACCAGCAACAGAATCCAAAGGTCTCACAAAGTGTAAACGCATGTCTTCCAACGTAACGAGTTAAATGTCCAATTGATGTTACATATCAGAGTGTCTCAACAGTGATCACTTTGCCTCCCGTATTATATTCAGTGTGCTTACGCATCTTTGCTCCGTCGTTTTTGGCGCCTCCACGCTGATTTGCAACCACTCTAACGTCGTCTATCTCAAAGTCGCAAGAGAAGTGCGTATGTCCAAAAGTCCATATATCGTTTGCCCGTAATCCTTCTACACTCTCGCCCCCGAGGATATCTGTCTGATACGCACTGAACAAACTGGTGGCTGTGTTGTCCGTGGGAGAGAGCTCCCTTCGTTTTTGACCGGATCCTCTAATAGTGGGAGCATGATGCGTCATGACTATTATGGTGTGATTCGGCTTATTGTGGCGAACTTCAAGTACGGTTCTCCTTATCCAAGCGATCGACTCTTCATAGCGAGCATTGTGGGCTGCTTGGCTGTTGCCGTTGATTGAAGCGCCATCCCCAGCACCGCGGGGCGCATCGGCTCGGATCTTGCTCCACATCGTACATCCTAGTATAGTGATGTTGAGCCCGTATTCAGTTTCCATATCATAGGTTTCATTCTCGAGGACTGTGAGACGTCCCGGCGTCGGAGTCTCGCCGATGTCATCAAAAGGCAATTTTTTGAATGTCGAAAGCGTATCCGACATGGAGACGTTTCCATTCTTCCATTCCGCATTTCCGGCAATGAGAAAGACGTGGTCGTACTCTTTCCTCATTCTGTCTGTGAAAGTCTTATATCTAGTAGCATGGGTCGCCTTGAGACTGCCGATGTCGCCAGGCAGAAGAAGAAAACGACCTATGTGGGGGAACGTGTAGAATTCATAGGGGTCGAATCTGTTAGGGCCACCTTCGAGATGCAAGTCGGACTCTATTTGAAAGCTTCGCGCTCCAAACTTCTCTGCTCGGGTCTCTAGTACGGTTGCCATCGATCTGTAAGTTTTTTAGTCGGGATCTGGAAATAGTTCAGTTGCGTAGCTGCAAACATCTCAGTGATCTATTTAATGGTCGTGTTCTTTGTCCAGTCAACTTTCACGAGGTCGTCAAAGGCGTAAAGAGAATTGCAAGTGTGGACCTTTGCAGGACCTTCTCGGGTAATACATACAAAGACGACTAGCTTGCTGCTTTTGTTCACATCCATATGCAGCCACTGCAATCTACTTTTCAAAGAGGCCTGATATGCACAGAATACTCCCAATTAGCCGCGTTGCTTTGTTGATATAGGATTCGGGCTCGATAAATGGATCAAAGAACAAAGGTATCACCCCACCGCTATGCCTTTGGAGCAGCAATAAGAGTATAGAGTATGTAAGGCTTCGAGTATTGACTTTCAGTTCCATCATTCGACCACTATTGATACCGACAAGATTAGTTAATTCTATTGTGTGACCCCTACATCTCAACTTTGATAGATTAAGCTCCAACTATGTGGAGGGCGGAGAGGGAAGTGCAAGACACTTTCATCGTCATTGGTGTACCAAAGCCGAAGTATCCATAATTTCAGCGCCATACTGGGGTACTCTTTGGGTCACCCCACCGTTGAATAATCAAGCGATTCACGGATACTCCTTTACAGGACGCTTTAATCTATCCTTTCTTGTGGTGATGTGTGGAATTATTCAGCTTTACATTACGATGACAGAAGGGTCGAGCTCGACGTGATCGTTGCTTCAGCACTAGAAAAATACAGCATAATGTCTATCCCTGCGTACCGAGACGCCCCCTGTAACGAGACAAATCGTAGGTACTTCGAGTTCAAGCGACATAAAATCTATGAACGCTCTAAAAATTCTATCCATTTTTAGTTCAGTTGAATTGTTTACCTCCCCCAAACACTCCTAACTCATCAATTCCGAAAATTATTTTCGCCTCGTCGCCGTCCCTTGAATCTATGGAGAGCCTCCTTTTACACTAAAATAAGACCCTTTGATGTACGACAACATTGTTAAGCTTTTATCACCTTTTAAACCCATAGATCGATTGAATATGGATATCCAGGTTCTGTTATAATGCTAAACTGCTATTTCCACTCTTGTGGCGGCTGGGACGTGGCCTGTTATACGACGTCGCCGCAAAAAATGATACCTCCTCCAATTAAGCGATCAAGGATCCTAGTCAGTGGCGGTGTGACTATAGTAATCTCGGTTAAATTGTAATAACAACTGTGGCTACTAAACTTGTGGCTATGACGTTTGTGGCTATGCAACAATCTTATCGGCCGGAAAATTCCACTTCCCGACACCATCCCCGTGCCCCTTTGACTTATCCAATCCACCTTCGTTGTCTTACTGTTCCTTTAACTTTGGAGAAGCCATATAAAATCCGAAATGACCTCTGGCATATCAACAGTAACAGACAACTTGCCCGAGAGTTTGTCTAGGGTGTATAAGATTTGCGATAAAATGAAGCATCCTATGCGTTCTGTCTACCTTGGCCATGCAAGTGGCTGGCCAGATTGCGCCACGACGCAGCCTCGTGGGCGGCGTGTACGACCACGACGGCATATCCTTCTCACCATTAGTCCTATAACGGCTACTTCACATCCGTTGACCTTGAATCGCAGTGCTTGTAATATGCCAAACGAGCAATACGAGTCGCGCTTGCCATAAGAACGCACCGACCCGCGGCTATGGCTTTTCTACGCTTCCTTCAGCGCAAACTCGACGGCGAGATCGTCTTTCGCGAGCCAACCAGCGGCGAAGTACCTGCCTACGCAATACTCTCTCATACCTGGGACGAAGAGGAGGTCACCTATCAAGAATTAAAGAAGGGCAAGGACAAGAGTAAGACTGTGAACAAGGCTGGGTGGAGGAAGATACAGTTCTGCGCGGAGCAGGCTAAAGAGGATGGGCTTGAATACTTCTGGGTGGATACTTGCTACATCGATAAGAAGAATGCGGTTGAGCTTGGAACAGCGATTAATTCGATGTTTCGGTGGTATCAGAATGCTGCGCGCTGCTATGTCTACCTTTCGGATGTCTTAAAACCCAACTCTAGAGCGGATGACCAGAGGGCATGGGAGGAGGACTTTAGGAAGAGTCGATGGTTCACTCGAGGCTGGACGCTACAGGAGCTTCTCGCACCAAGGCTAGTGGACTTTTTTGGCTTGGAGCGTAAGCGGCTTGGGAGCAAACTGTCCCTTGAGTCCATGATATATGAGATCACTGGGATCGCGAATAATGCTCTTCGAGGCAATCCATTGTTGGAATTTAGTATCAGAGAGCGGAAATGTTGGGCAGAGCACCGCAATACTTCGGTCGAAGAGGATGGAGTGTATTGTCTAATCGGGATCTTCGATGTTTCTATGGTGCTTAACTACGGAGAGGGAAGAGGTAAGGCATTCAAGCGGCTAGAGGAAGAGATTCACAAGTTGAATAAGGGTAAGTTGCTTATTTCGCTGTTGCTGCCTGAAGCAGTGAGACTAACCGGCACAGGCGTCGATTTCGAACAATTTGCCGTAAGGCGTAACCTACTATTATTTCCCGAAGCCGCACAGTTTGTTGCCAGAGAGAAGGAGCTGTCGAAGATGCACCACCGAGACCATATAGGACAACGCAGGTTCGGTTTCTATCGCCATAAAGCAGTTCAATACATTAGGCGACACGAGGAGAAATACACGGCAATATTATAGTTAAATGCGAATGATCAGGATTCTCTCAAGCTGAGCTTTCGAGGAATCGCTCAGCAGGTGTTAAAGTATCATCCTTCGACTAGTTTGCGGCGTAGACTTGGACGACCTCGATCAAACGGTAGACAAGGTCAAGGGCTAGCTTGATCTACTAAAGAACTTATACTAGCTGATGATCTATGACAATTATGACAACCCAAAGACACTTAGGAACCTCGACCGCTTGGCAGTTGATATACGTTAATTCCTCCCCCAGTCTAACTAAGGCTTAATTATTATCACGACGCGATCTTCGGGAGTTAGCCAAGGTTCTCGCGTCCATATACAGAAGTTGCTAGATATTAAAGAGAGTCTTGAGATCTTATCAAACATGTCAAAACGGAAGGATATTGCAGAAGGTCAGTCATTTGCTCCATAAATTCTCAGATAACACTAACAAGATAGACCCTGGCGCTGCAGAGCTTGCTAAGGAACTAGACGGCCTGCCTCTTGCTCTCTCCACGGCAGGTGCATACCTGGAGCACGTGTCGATAACTTTGTCGGAGTATCTACAACTCTATAAGACATCGTGGCTGAAGCTGCAGACGACAAGTCCCCTATTGAATTCCTATGAAGATCGTACCCTACACACGACATGGCAGATCACTTTAGATCGGATCCAACAGCAGAATCCAGCATCAGCAAGACTACTTAAGCTATGGGCATATTTTGATCGATAGGACCTGTGGTTTGACCTTCTTCGGCATGCCAACTCTATAGACAACAAATGGATACAGGAGCTCATAGAGGACGAACTAAACTTCAATGCGGCCGTTACTCTACTATGTAGCTTCGGATTGGTTGAACCAGACAGGTCTTCTCAGCAGCAGGTTGGGGCTAGAGGGTATAGTGTGCATAGTTGTGTCCATTCATGGATAGTGTTTGTGCTTAACAAGGAGTGGAACAAGAGCCTTGCACGTCTGGCCTTGACCTGTGTGGCCTCGGAGGTTCCTAATACAAATGAGAAGCACTGGTGGCTTCTACAGCAGCGGCTCCTTCAACACGCAACACGACAGGCCTTATTTATAGCAGACGCCAAGGTAGATGTAGACGGACTATATTGGGGTTTTCACAATCTAGGTGATCTTTACTCTGACCAAGGCAAGCTGGCAGAGGCAGAGGCGATGTATCTTCGAGCGCTAGAAGGCAAGGAGAAGGCACTTGGACTGGACCACACATCAACACTCTTAACGGTCAACAACCTAGGCAAACTCTACTCTAACCAAGGCAAGCTGGCAGAGGCAGAGGCGATGTATCTTCGAGCGCTAGAAGGCTATGAGAACGCTCTTGGCCTTGAACTTGTCTCGTTTTATTTACCAGCGTTGAACACCATGTTCGCTTTTGGTGACCTCTTCTCGCAAACCGACCAAAAAGACCTGGCAAAAGCAATGTACAATCGAGCATTGTCTGGATATACAGCCGTCCAAGGACCCTCTTCGAACTGGTGTAGGGAACTTGAAGATCGGCTTCGAGCATTGCAAGTTATGTCTGCGGAGTCGAAAGTAAGCCAGAATGATTTTACGAAGCCTAAAGCTACAAAGTCGAGTTCTCTAAAGCAAAAACTCCGCAATTTGAGAAGGCGGCTAAATACTAAATAAGCAAGCAATAAGGGCTTTTTTCTCCCGACTCGGCTATTCACCTATTAATGAACCAAATTTCTCCTTTTACTTCTGGTCCGGAATCGAGCACAGCCCCACTGTCGTAAGCTTGCAGATTATCTCGTGATTTTGCCATGGCAGGTGTAAACAAAGAGTTTAATTTAACTTAATATAGAGGACGCACATGTGACTATAAAGCGTCAAGCACGTGATAGTAACTGAGAATGGAACTAGGTAAACATGGGCGTGCACTTAGTATATATTTCGCTAGGCTAATTTGTATTACTAATCACTAAAACGTGCGGCTCTCTCCTCGCACCGCAGGAACTCCCGGAATGCATTCTTTTCCTCTCTAAATGTCTTTAAAATTTGGAGCTATATTGTTTCGTAATAAGACTATTTCTCAAATGCTCCGAATTTTGGAAAAACTTTAACCGTCGCGATTAAACAAGGGAGTAAAGCGGAAGCAGCGATTAGTAGAGTTACTAAAACAATCGACGACATGATTAACCACAGTCTTTTTCTTAATACTAAGTGGTCTTCTTAGGGAGAAATAGTTAAAGAAAGCGACATATAAACAACCAATTCGTAGACTTGCCAAAAAAAAAGTTATAGTTCCAAAACTAAAAATTCGTCTCGTGACACCGTGCGTCTCGGGACGCAGGGACAGACGTTATATATTACATAACCCGCATCTCAAACTGTTTTTCTTCCTTGTTGGCGATTCTCCCGCGCGCAAAGTCTACTCTTGTTTCTGTCCTCATCACAATAGCTCCTTTCTGAATATCCACATCTAACCCGCTTCCACCTTCTATGTCTCTTTCCAAGATACTTTTGTCACTGCCCTCATCGGTTACTCTTCCAGTGTCACCCTGCCCTTTGCATGTGATAGCAACCGTGTGCACGCTCTTCGAGCCCTTCTGGTTGTTCTGTCGTTCTATTGTATGGTTTCGACTTTCACCGTCATTCGGATATTTGGTGTACGCGGCGGACGAGACTTCGCTCAAAAGAACTCGAAGCATAGGAAGAGATGCGGCGACAATAGAAATAGCTGGTTCTGCGAAGCTCCACAAGATAAAGTTGACGATGGCGTCTATTAAGATCAAAGTTAGCAAACTGAAAAGCTATGAAGTATACCAAGCAGGGAAAAGGCCCCCATTGACTTACAACTGAAATCTTCACTGGTTATAGCAGGCAAGAAAATAGCTGCTTTGACCATGGCCACTATGCCCGCACTGTTTTGGAAGATGGTCTATTAATGCTGCTACGACGTTAAAGCAGGATCACAAGAACTTACAGCACTCCCATGCTCATAGCAATAGCCACACCAATCTTTCTTTTCATCTCCATATGCAAAGTCCAAACAGTCGGCCACGGCAGTATCGAGAGAACCATATCCATTGCACCCGAATACACTATCAACCAGCCTTGTTAGCACTACTCGCACATTTCTGAATCGACCCTCAACATCGTCGAACCAAAAGGGAGTATTTACCAGAGCTAAAAATTGAGTAATAAAAGAAGATATGAGGATTCCAGCACTTTCCCGGCAACTCAAAATCCCAAACCTTTTGAAAAGGCGTACATCGGATCCAGCCCATAAGGATCTGTATTCCCGTCCGTTCGCCGCGCCACGGATTCACGATCTGATCCCGGGATGGCTCGCCGATGCCCCGCGTTCTGGACGCAAGTTGTGGTGGAGAGGACGTGGGAAACCGGGGCTTCTCTCTGCCTTGTCTTGTGGTTGGACGAATCCTCTAGCCAATATTGCTTGGAACTCAAATTTGAGTTTGTGAACTGAGTCCAAGTCAACGAAACGGAGTGCTTCCAGAATGTGCACGGCTCTGATCAGTGACTATAGGTCATCCGATTTGGTCACTGCTGTCAACTCGGTAATCGGAGGGATGCTCCCTGACCGTGCACACATGAAAAGTGTGTCAGTTTCTTGTCAGTTCACGAGCTATTGTGTGGATCAGCAAGGCTCATAGCACAATTTGGCTTTTGGTGCACGACCCAGCTCGATTAGTGTTGCCGCACACTGTCTTAATCTCTCTTAGTGTCAGCCGATTCTTCAGCATTCTTCTTTAGCAGCATCTTTGCCCGAGAGTGTTGAATTTACGGGTAGTCGCACGAAGAGCTACGAGGGAGAACCGATATGGCTCGCAAGCGTGAAAGTGTGCATAAATGTCGGTAGTGGATTTTCATGTCTTTTGGAACAAGCTAAAGAAAGAAATGTAAGATCTCGATTTCTCAAACTCCATATAATCGATTCTTTCCTTCCAGAGATGGCCATTCTCACTGTTACACCAAATCTAATGACCCGGTCCAAGAACGGAATGTGCAAAAGGTTAGAGTCAGGAATCCGTTACAAGCTTACGATTGGGGGGACAAGGTGGAGTGGGGAATGTGGAAAGTGCGAGGTCACGGGTGAGTGGTGGCGGACGACATCAGAGTCTTCCTTGTGGATCAATCAAAAAAGACGCCAATTTGGCGGATGGTTTCAACTGATTTGTGGCACTTATACAGGTCCCCTTCATTTCGATATCAGATAATACTCCTGGTAAAACTACCTGGTCTCAAGCTAACTCGAACAGTCCTCCCAGAGACACCCAAGTCGTCCAAACGCCAGAGTTCCTTGAGATCGTCCATACAGTGGTATCCAAGCCCAAAACAAAAACAGCGATACTATTGTCCCCAGTTGTAATAACTTCTGGAGCAGAATTTGAGATCCCACCCAATGCAGTCCAAGACGAGCTCCACGTCGACCCGGAAAGTTGTTTCGTGTAGATACCTGCATCTAAGCCCAGTCCGAAGATATCGACCTGATCAGTACCAGAGACGACAGCAACGATAGAGCTTACGAAAATCCCTCCTAGAGACACCCAATTCTCGCTCCAAGACCCGTTGCCATAATACCGATACCAGGCTCCACCGTCAGATCCAACACCAAAAACATCCAATTCTTGCGAGCCCCTAGTTACCACCATTGGCTCACTGATGAAAACGCCGCCTAGTGATTCCCAATTAGACCATTCCGGATTGGCATTTGCATCCCAAGATATATGCCACATCGCGTTATCAGTCCCAATCCCGAAAACATCATTGCGACTGGAAGTCCAGGATACTACAGCAACTGGACTCTTCAAGACACCACCCAGCCCCCACCATGTGGACCAAGTTCCAGATGTACACCACATCACATAAAGCGCACTATCAGTACCCACAACGTAGATCTTCATAAGACCAGGGCCTCGGGCCGTAACTGCTGGAGGACTGAGAAGACCGTCTCCGAGAGAAGTCCAAGATGACCAGCTATTTCCGTTCCAGATTTGGTGCTAGAGTCCACGATCGGTACCAACGACGAACGCTTCCATGGGTGCAGTGCATCCTACTGAAACAGCAGGTGAGCTAGTTATGCCTTCTCCCATCGATGTCCAGCTGGTCACATTGGTGGAGTATGTCCAGAGTGCTGAGTCGAGGCCTACGCCAAAGACGCTGTATTGAGAGGAAGCTAGTGATATTGCAGAGAGAAGACGTGGACACACTCTCCCTGTGCAGACGCTTTTCGTGGTAGGTAGGGTTTTGGACGGATAGGGTAGGCATTGTCACAGAAATGGTGTTCGTAGCGGTAGTTGTTGGTGTCGAGCCGCTGGTCGGGGTTGCGCTACTCGCTGCAATTCCTATACTACTCGTCTGAGTATTCGGACCTAGACTAACTGGGATCTTGGAGCTGAATTTGGTCAGTACAAGTTCGAGCAACGGTAGGGCAGCTCCTACCCCTTGTTCTTCGACGCCATGACCCCGCCAATTGCCCCTCCAATGATACCACCGAGGACCAGAACAATCACTATAATGATCAACCAAAACAGTCTCTGACTGATGTCAAACTTCCGGCGGTGAAAAGAAGCACCGGGTGCAATTTCAGGAAGAGGCTGAGTATCCGGTTTCTCGGGAAGTCCTGGGGATAGTGGCCCGGTATAGCTAGGCGGATATGGACTCGGACTTGGAACTGGACTGGGTCGCACATCTTGCTCTTGAGAAGTTCTAGGTAGGGCTAGTCGACCTTCGTTGTGAGGATGGAACTCGGTGACTTGAAGTCCTTCGTTATCTGGCGTATTGTGGACGACTTCCATGGCTGAATAATCATCTGTTGAACATCTCCAGCTAGGCCTTCAATGGCAGCCTCATGAATGCACGTTGAACCTTGCTCTGATACTTAAAGTCGCCCTGTTTCATTGGGTGTTTAGAGATTTCAAGCCAGAGCTGAGGTTGAGCTGAGCAGTGGCTGAGAAGAGACATTTTGAATGGCCAGAATAATCGATCTCACGAATAAGCGATTTATTGATGTCTGTTGTCGGACAAAGATTGGTATCGATTGGTCAAAGTAGCCTGCCGTGCCGCAGCCTTGGGGAATTGTGCGCCCGAAGATGCGCTTGACCGGTAGTTGCTGCATTGCGATATAAGATTCAAGGTATGCGCGCATACAGAAGAGACTTGTATTGTGGGATATAGAGCTCACAGATAGAGCAGCAAGAGAGTGCTAAAAAGCAAGGGTATCAACCATCGCATTTGTTCATTATCTCAACATTTCAGAGACCTCATACCTCTATCATACACACATAGATACACATTCTTCCTTCCATCCAGTTGCCAATCCCACCTCTCAACCCACCCCATTTTAACCACCTCTGAAACTCCATTAATCATCCATCGGCTTATCCGTCAAGCTCACACCAACTCGTCCACCGACAGGACTATCAGAAGACTCATTACCGCCCAGACTCGCAACACTATTTCGACTGCTGTGATCTGTGCTCATTCTATTCATGCCAGCTCCAACAGGACGTCGACCATATCTGGCACTTGGAGCTGGTGCAGATCTGCCCAGGCTGTTTCGCTTCTCCACGCCAATATCGTCCAAACCGTCACTTCCTCCAGGCATGTAGGTCGCACTGGCTGCTGGAGCGTCTGCAACCCCATTAGTGATGGATTGCAATGGAGTACCATTTGTTGGCTCTGCAGCTACTACTGGAGCAGATTCATTCGGGACCTCAAGACTTTGCCTCATACCTGGAGTGGGTCTTGGTGTCCTAGCCGTGTCTGTAGTGTGGGTGGGAGAAGTCTGGATGGGAAACCTTGTCTCTGGACCGCCTGAGCTACGATCCCTACGATGACCTCGAGGTGAAGGAGCTGGACTAGTGGCTCGGCTGCGAGATCCTGCAGAGATGATGGCACGAGCACGAGCCTCCATATTTGCCTTGCGATTACTTTCATCGGTGCTGATAGCGCGGGGGCGAGTGTCGACACTGATGCTGTGAGACAGTGAGGATGCACGCTTGAGCTCGGAGAAAATTGCATCTTTGTGGGCGAACAAATCTCGGATCAGGCGATACGAGTATTTCTCCTCCATGGTCATAGATGTCTCGGTCCTTGGTCTCAAGATGCACGAAGCAAGGCTTGTTGCAAGAGCCGAGATGTAAGTCTCATCAGCTGATGTAAGTTCAATGAGTCTGGTGAAATGGGTCATGAGTGCATCAAGTGTTGCTATGTTTGAAAGTCGTAGTTGGCTGAGTGTGTTCTGAAGAACTGAAATACGCGCTGAGTCGGTAGATTCAGACGCGGGAGTAGAATATATCGTTTTCATAATTTCGTAAACATGAGATGAGACCAGAGAGTCTGGACATGTCAGCATGGTTCTTGTGATTCTTGCTTGAGGATTTTAAACTCACCTGGCAGTTCTAGCAAGTACAATTTGAGCACGCTCGCAATGATGGGAATTTCATAAGGCTCCAAAGCTTCAATACCGAATCCTTTACCAGTATTGAGAGCAGCTCGTATCCTGTGAGTCTGGTGTAGTGGGACTTCGACAAGCCATACACTTCGCCTAGCTTCATCGCCCTCAAGATCCGGATATCTGTGATCTAAGAACGTCAAGATGGAGGTGATGATTGCGGGGACCCGCTTCCGGTCGGCTCGTGCTCGTGCTTCCAAATCAACTCCAAAGGTTTGCTCATCAGCTGAGTTGTAATAATTCTCGTAAACCACAACTTTAGGGGCAAATCCACCTGTGCGATAATTCTCCAAGAGATATCGAAGATCTCCATCTGGCTGAACGGTCTCCTGGAACAGCATCATATTGTCAACAGTCGATTGCAAGCTGGGAATGACGTTGCTGATCGTGCCAGAAAAGTCCAAGATGATGGTCTTAATCGCCTTTAGTCTGTCCAGCTCACATCTCTGAAGGTATCTAAGATGTTCGATGATGGCTTCTTCAAGTTGACAGCGGAGCAAATCGAGTTTTCGAACGCTTGCCTTGTACCTCTCGTCGGCCTCGGCAGCCTCTCTTCGAAGACGATCGCCAGGTGTCTCGTTGGGATGCTGTGTGTTGAGAGGATTCCATCCAGCCAAGTACTCGGTGACGGTGCCGACCACAGGCGAATCGATAGAGTCGGAGTTCGAAGCAATTGAGAATGTTCGATTCATAGGAACTTTCTTTTCTGGAACACCACTTAGTTGAAAAGCCTTGGGTTTCCACTGGTAGAACATCTTCGAGCTATTTGCGAAGATATTCCCCACATTGCCAATAAGTCGCAAGAGCCCATTTCCAATCAAATCTTGCCCAATGCGTTCGGCATGACTGACGCTCGTTGCACCCATGAACTTCTGGAAATACTCGACAATTTCTGCTCCGCTCGTTGTATTTTGGTATGTGCCGAGGATAGGTACCTTCGTCTCGCCCAATCTAATGGTATTCAAGAGGTGTGATAGGATCTTCTTGACTTGTTCTGGTTGGTAGACCTCATCTCCAATCTCGAAAGGCTCCTCTTCCTCTTCGCGGTTGTCTGAGATCTTGATCTCTGGAACCTTCGGCTTTGGGCTTGTCTCTGGGTCTTGGAAGGCAAGTTTGTTCTCCTCTTCAATGTCCTCCACCAATCTGCACTTTGTGAAGTAATGGCTTCGAAGCTTCCTGACTGTCTCTGCTTGTTTGTCGTGCAGTTTTATGCGTGCTTGAAGGTCGTCTTGTGAATTCTGGACTCGAGATTCGTGAGCATCACACCATCTTGTGAAGGGTGCTACGACAAGGTCTCGAATGCTTTGGGCGATTTTCCGATGGTTCTTCGCTGCCTCTTCCATCTCCGTTCGTACTCCGTCATAGGCCTACACACCGTGTCAGCAAGCACATCTTCGTCTCTGCCGATCCCCTAACCTTCTTAACACTTGCTCCATCATCTCGAGAGAAGCCGCCGCTCATTCTATCAGTAGCAGATCCTATCTCCCCCAACTTCATGCCATACGAGTCTTCCGCCTCGGCGCGCATCCGAGCTATTGTGAGCATCTGCTGATTTTCTTGTACACCCTGCTGTAACTTGCCGAAGAGCACACCGAGCCCTGGTTGTCATCAGCATGTGCGATTCCATTCCAGATCTTATTCTTACCTCCAGCATAGTCTGTCGACCAGAAAGAATCCGCGAAGCCTGGCATGATTGGAGAATTGTGATCTGCAGCTGCAGCTTGGATGGGGCGATGTTGAAGAAGAACGGTAAGCAGTTGATGGGAGAGTGAGACACGTCCAACTATGCGAAGACTTTTTGCGGATGCGGGCGCGAACGAATGACTGGTGAATTCGTGGATGGTTGATTCAGGAGGAGCTCAGCTTGCTTCCTTCAGCTGGGAACCTTGTCAGAAAGGAGAAGAGGAGGAAGGAAGGATCGTGGAGTGGTCGTGGGAGAATAGCGACAAGCGCGCAGACAAATTACTATGACGAAGAAAGCTGGTTGCAGCAAATTCGCAGAAAAGGGGGAGACGATGAAGGCATTCAAAGCATGAAGTTGGTATTGACCTTTCGCTTTCACTGTTGCAAGGAATTCCCCACGATCTTCAGCGAGAGCCGGAAATAGTTTAGCGGCGATGACATAACCATTAAATCTCACGTGCAAGCTTATCAATGGCTCGGGGCATCAAAGTCCATCTTCAGACGACATGCTTTGAAATTCTTCCTTCACCTCATTTATCTGTACATATCTTCAATATCTTCAATCATCATGTCCTATGCAACCTTCAGTACAGAGCAGGATCCTCTGTTGCCCAAAGATGAGCAGGCTCCTGAGGTCATGGGCTCGAGACCAACAAGCTTGAAGAGTTTCTACGACGTTGAAACAGAAGCCAATATCGCTGAAAATGAGGGCGAAGACGAGGACGATTTTGACCCCAAGCGACATCTCGTCAATGATGTGATGGCTATGATCTTTGGAATTGCTCTGTTGTTCAGTATCGTCTTCATATTTCTACCCAATGGCTTCTGGGGAGATAAGCCAGGCCCGCAGACGGTTGAACAGCGGGTTCATCGGATATTGACAGACACCCCGTTGATAGGTACGGTGCACATATGTGCCAGAAGATCTTTACTCATGTCTTGTAGATGGTCACAATGATTTTGCTATTCTGATTCGATTTTATTTCGACAATCAACTTTATACCGACAAATTCAAGAAGCTATTTGAGGAAGGTGGTATGCCAATGCATGTGGATCTCCCTCGCTTAAAGAAGGGGATGAATGGAGGTGCTTTCTGGAGTGCTTGGGCACCATGTCCCAAGGATGGAATGGATTTCTCGGATGCGAACTATCTTGATAGTATGTCCTTTCATGATCCTCAACCTCTTCTGATGTTTGTCTTCTTGCACACAAGTCTAATCTCTTTCCAGGTGTTGCGTTCACGCTTGCGCAGATTGACGCCCTTACACGTCTCCAAGCAGCATATCCAAAAGTTTTCTCACCGCAAGTCAACAGTAGCACTGCATTGAAAGCCTTCAAGTCAGGCCAATTCATCTCACCAATCATTATTGAAGGTCTTCATCAAATTGCCAACTCCATTTCCAACCTCCGCCACTACCATTCTCTCGGAGTCCGCTACGCAACCTTAACTCACAACTGCCACAACAAATACGCCGATGCAGCTCTCGTTGAGACTCCCAACGGCGTCGAGAAATCCAAGCCCGTCTGGAACGGAGTCTCGGATGCAGGCAAAGACCTCATCTTCGAAATGAACCGCCTGGGAATGATTGTTGATCTCTCGCACGTTAGCCAAGACACGATGCGCGATGTCCTCATTGGCAAAGAAGGCTGGAAAGGAAGCGCTGCTCCGATCATGTTCAGTCATTCCTCAGCATACACCATCTGTCCTCATCCTCGGAACGTTCCAGATGACATCCTCCAGCTAGTCAAGGAGAAGAACGGAGTCGTCATGGTGAACTTTGCCCCAGATTTCATTTCTTGTGTTGCGAACACTTCCAACCCAAGTGGGATTCCCGATTTCTTTCCTGCCAACAATACTTTAGACCATGTTGTTACCCATGTCATGCATATTGGCGACCTTATTGGATACGATCATGTTGGATTTGGCAGTGATTTTGACGGCATTGGGAGTATACCAGAAGGGTTGGAGGACGTGAGCAAGTATCCAGACCTCGTTGCTGCGTTGCTGAAAAAGGGCGTGAGTGATGAAGACGCTGCGAAAATTGTTGGAGGAAACATCTTGAGAGTATGGAAAGATGTCGACGCAGTGGCATTGGAGATGCAGAAAGCTGGTGTGAAGCCGGTGGAAGACAAGTTGCCGAGTCTGAGGGGTGAGATGCTGATGAACTGGGAGACAAGCTTCTCGACTTGATTTCGCAGCATACAAAATGTCTTTCAACAAGCGAGTTCGTCCAGTTCGTCCAGCAATTGTTTCATACAGTACATTACGAGGTCCAAGATATGAGTACATATAATTCTCTCGATCGGCCGAATTGACGCACTTGCTCTATCAGATACCACTTTTAGAAGCGCTTTTCCCCCAGTTCTATCAATCCCACGGCATTTCATACTTACAGTTGCGGACACGCCTCGCCGTTAATTCAAGATAGATCTCTTCCATGCGATGGACAGCATTATGCCACCCGGAATTGCCTCGAATGCTGGTCGTATAATTGTCTTTTACTGTAAGCTTTTGTTGTTTCGCTGTGCATATCTTCTCGCATACCCATTATTATTCTCGACTTACCATCCTATATATATCCTCCAGACAGTCTCAAAGCTGCACATCTCGTCGAGCAGCCAAGGTCACGTGCGCATGTTCATCTACGGGAGGGTCACATGCTTCCAACTAATCCCGAGGATCAATCGATCTTCTTCATCAGAGCGAGCCTCAAACATATATCACTATCTAAAGCATCGACCAAACTCCGCTGTCAATCTGATGATTCATGCCGACGCGAGCCCAAACTCCTAGGAAGAAATCTAACAATTGGGAGTCATCACCAAAGACCCCGAGTTTTCCGTATACTTTCATAACAACATTATAAGGACGTTCCGTGGCCAACTTTGCAATTAAGCTCGTCTTTGGGAGAAAAGAAATTCTGATCAGGTAATCACGGGACTTGAGAGAGAGCACAGATGTACCTAGGGCAGTGATTTGCAAGACCATATCCATCAGCCATGGAAATCCAGCCAGCCTTTCATACTACACAGCGCTACTTCCGTCCATGTGTTTCGCCAATCCTTTTTTTCGCAACTGCTGTGATCTCATATTCTACATGCCATTGTCAGCGAGGCCTATCACACGTGAAGATGGAACATACCACTTCGTAAGTTTGGTTAACGAAGTACCTCACGACCTTTACATCTCGATGTTGGCCAAGTCTCAAGACACGCGCAATCGCTTGCTTCTCAACCATCGGGTTCCATTGTGGCTCAAGAATGTACACGCAATTTGCAACAGTCAGATTCAACCTGTGCCCGTTATTTCAAATGTCATCTGCGAGAGGAATTGGGGACATACCCGACAGCTCCAGTACCGGTAGTCATAAGCAGTATTCTGGTGTGGTCGTCTTTCTCGTACTCGTCGAGTATCTTCTGTCGTTGAGATAAAGAATAACTCCCATCGATTCGCGCAAAGTCGATGTTCTGCAAGGATAAGTGATGTGCGACCAGATCAAGTGAACGAGTCCAGCAGGAGAATACGATGCTAGAAGAATATATATGTCAGCAGCGATCCGGCACTTGTCAGAATAGAAAATTACCTTTTGCCCTCGGATGATTTGTTCTTTATATCGTGCATCAAAGCCGCCACCTTTGAGGATATCCCACCTTCAGCGAAATGCAAACGCGGGGTCTGATAACTAGTGGAGCTGGCCTCCGAATCTCCTTTCAATATTGCCGATCTCGAAGAAGTATTCCTCGAGCAGATCGAACATTGCAGTCTAGCTCCTGAAATAGTCTGCAAAGACTCGTCGTACTTTGGGTAACACTTCGTGCAAAAGAGGTGACCGCAGGTACTGAACTTCCCCACATTTTCTTCGTTCCCCAAGTCCTCCAATCCTACGATCTTCGTTCTGCAGTACTCGCATCTGGCGAGCCGCTTCTTCCTGAGAACTTCGAATGCTTGTCCCGGCTCAAACTCGCCATCTTCTCCAGCCTGCGAGGATGCTTTGTGAAAGGTCCCGTGGTTGCAGATTCGTCTGAGTTGCAAATGAAGTTGAAACATCCTAAAGAAGTCTTTGGATCTTCGCCCTTGGCTGTCACTTTTCTTAATCGTAGCAATCCTCTCGGTCTGCGTAGCTGAATAATAGGCATTCTCTGCTAGCGAGAAGTCTATGCGTCGATCTTCGTAGGTCGTTTCTGGGAGGTTCAAAAGTTCTTTGGTTCGTCGTAAACAGACCGAATCCAACAGATTGCGAATATTCTCGACACCATGGGTTTCCATTCCCATGACCGGAGAGATGATATGTTTCCGAAATTCTATCATACTGTCGAGAGGTGAGCAGCGCATGAAGGCAATGAGCGCTGCGAGGTCTTCTAGGCTGTTCTGAATTGGCGTTCCAGTTAAACACCAACGAAACTTGGACGACAGCATCGATACTGCTTGGTGCAGCTTTGTACTCATCCGCCGGATTATGTGTGCTAGGACTGTCAGTATCGCTGTAGCAATTATTTTTAGAGCATTGATTACCTTCATCAAGAACAATGCGGAACCACTTAATACGGTTCAGAGGAGGATGTGGGTCTAGCGCTTCCGCAGCAATAGTGTGGTAGGTAGTCAAAACAATATCATAATCTGCGAGAGCAGCGTGTTCGACTGCCCTATCTCGACCATGGTGGACGTGGATGTTTAGCGACCCATCACAGTGTCTGTAATTGTTAACACGCCCACGGCGAAAGGTAAATTGGGAATCTTACGCCGCCACCTCTCTTTTCCATCCATCAATTAGTACTATCAAGGTCAGCTAATATCCTCTAAGGCTTCGGAAGAGAGGCTGAGGCTGAGGCTGGCGAGCCGTACTTGGTGAAGGGACGACAACAAGTGTCGCTCGGGAAGGTATCTGCGGGACGTTTTGTATTCTAGAACTGGGAAGTTCGCATCCATCTCTATCAATCTCCGCATATTCCTTCGCGCTGCTGGCAGTACGTATGATTGTAGAGAGCACCGTCAGTGTCTTCCCTAAGCCCATGTCGTCTGCTAGGATGCCCCCAAAAGTCTCCTCTGGTCGATTTTGTTCCTTCTTTCCCGTGATCTTATTTTCATAACTAATTCATGTCAGCACTTGTTCAACCCAACTGGGAGATTTGAGCTCCACGCACTAGGTTTGCTCAGACTTTTTCGCGGTCATCCAAAGGGAAAACTGCTCGGGAACGGGACCAAATTCTCGCTGAGCCATAAAGTCTAAGGCTTCTTCTTGGTGCCTACATAGGGCGTTTATAATTTGCATGTAAGTATGCATGACTTGGAATTGCGACTTACGGTAATAACTTTGTAGTGACTCTGATATCGGCTTCAAGCCTTTTCAGTGACTTGAATCTTGTTAATGAGCCAAAGACCTTGCCCACCTGACGTTGCAAAAGATCTTGAGATCTGATTGAGTCGTCGGTGTCCGTATTCGTAGTCATCATGAGTTCTTCAAACTCGCTCACTGGTGTTCGCGTCCTGGACAGCGCAGGAGATGACAGAGAAGAACTAGCCAGTAGGTCCGTAATGACTAGAACGTGGGGATTGTCGTAAGGAGTATCCACATCTTGATAACATGGATGTTGTAGATATATTTTGGAATCGGCAAAGAGGCAACCTACGCTCCACTTGCTTGTATGGGCGCCATAGATGACGATGTCCACTTGGAGCACGATCTTCTTCTCTGATTTGACGTCTTTGACAAAAATAGATGCATAGATGTCTGCGGACAGATAGACTCTGAACCTACATGACTCAATTTGAGAGAGTTCATGTAGCACTCGAGCGGTCTTTTCGTTCATGACTGCAAGATGTGAGATCGAAGGAGTGCCGACGAAAAACACGTGACCCGTACTTGAGAGCTCAAGCTCATATATTCCAGGGGATTCGGACACAGTCTCAAGAGCGAGATTAGATAACTCTTCAGTGTCTAACACGTTCATATTGGCGTTGTGAATCTAGAATGATGTCAGGTTTGGGTTTGCTTTTGGTATAGCAGACAGAAACTCGGGATTGGACTTAAGAATACCATTCCAAAGCACGTTAACTCGCCCACAGCAGCAGATGTGGTTGTCAATAGAGGAGGGAGATCTAGAGAGTTGTCTCTTATTGAAATGTCGCTCTTCTCGTCGATTTCTTTTTCCTTCGCATCTTTATTCTCGTATTCGGACTCGGATGCTTCGTATTCAATCTCTCCGTTACTGGGAAAAAGTATCTTTGGGATCTGCCATTCTCCTTGTCCAACAAGTGTCTTCACAGCATCAGCTCTGGATCCTTATGATCAGTCTCAATTGCTCTATTTCTAGTCTGATGCGCAACTTACGGTCCATTCAGTACGATCTGCGGCTCAATGGTTCCCAGCAGCTTCCGTCTGACCTTTGTCGGCAATTTCGAGGACTCGAGGAGGTCAATTGGACGTTTGACAGACATCGTCGAGGAACGAGGGACTCAGACATCTTCCTGATCCGAGTAAAGCTTTGGAGGAGATGTTTGATGATTGCGGAAGTGCGAAGACGATGTGTGTGAGGCTTTCGAGGCTTTCGAGGCTCTCGCACAACTTGGTGTCGAGAATGCCAGGGCTGTGCTGAGTTTGTGAGCGGCAATTGGTCTCAAACCCAGCCTCATCATATCTTCGTGCACCACCACCGGGCAAGGCAGACTGCGATGCGTTACATTTCTTCTTCGCAATCCTTCAATCATGTTCGCGTCGCGGAGTCAACGCGAAATGTAACCTTTCGAGGCTTTGCTCATCGATTTGGCCCGGAACGACATCGTGATTCTGGAAGGGGACAATGAGCTCCGCCGATGCAAACTTCCAGCAAGCGCTGGCAAAATTCAAGACACGTCTTACCAAGGAAGAAGAGGAAGATTTCAAGTTTACTTCGCTCGAAGATGTCGTCGTCGAAGTCAGCAACATCCAAACGAGGCAGGGACAACGGAGGGAGATGATGAACCTTCCGAGAATCAAGAAATTCCTCGAAGCGATGGCCCAATATGAAAAGATCATCGAGGTCTTTCTCAATGCTTCTGAAATGTTATGTTTTGTTTGGGGGCCTATGAGGTTTTGTTTGCATGTAAGCCTCTTCATCCTTTCGAATTTGAAAGAAGAAGGTGCTGATACACTGCCAGGTCGCGAGTACATGGGCAGACTCATTCGATATTCTGCTGGACGCATACCAAAGACTTGCGGAGAACATCCCTCTTTTCGGAGACTACCAAACAATATTTGAGTCTAATATACAAATGCAGGATGTCCTCGCTGTTGTGTATGAAGACATCCTCGAGTTTCATCAAACGGCTCTGCGATTCTTCAGGAGACCTGGTGAGTATACCCGTTTCGACTAAGTAAGCTTTACTAAAAATAGCGATTTAGCATGGAAACAACTGTTTCGGTCTGCCTGGAAAGACTTCAACAGCAACTTTCAGCATATCTTGGACGACTTGGCACGACACAAAATTCTTGTCGAATCACGTGCAAACATTGCTCAGATTCAGGAGGCTCAAGCATCGAGGGCTGCAGCACGGAATAGCTTTGCAACTCTTGAAGAAGGTCAGCGAAAGACACGACATCTTGAAGTCATAGGCTGGCTTTCCGCACCGAATGAGGTATTTGATCAAGAGGCCGCATTGAAAGTCCGCAGCGAAAATCCGTCTTCTGGAAAGTGGCTCCTCCAAGACAGTAAAATGAAAGCCTGGATGGATACAAGCAATTCTGTTGTTCCAACTCTGTGGATGAATGGCAAGCCGGGGGCAGGTAAAGAACTACATCTCTCTGCCGTCAGAGTTACTGACCTTGGCCAGGGAAGACTATATTGGCGTCGGTTGTGGTTGAAGCATGTCGCCAAGTCCCTTTGACGGCCACTATCTACTTCTATTGCAGCTATCAAGACGAGCAGAGAAAAAGGTTCCTTTCTGTTGCTCGAGCGTTGATCGCACAACTTCTCATCCAAAATTCGACGCTACTGCCATATTTACATGAGCAATGCCTTGCCAGCGGACAGGCTTCACTCGTCTCCCCTCAACTATGCGAAGACATTTTGAAGACCTGTTTGACGACAATGGGCACAGTTTACATCATCCTCGATGGGATCGATGAATGCGATCTTCCAGAAAGAAGAGCTATTCTCTCATTCGTGACTTCATTAGTTGCGAACAATGTTACCCCCGGCAAATTGCGCGCTCTGTTCATTAGCCAGGACGAAAACGACATCAAGAAACTGCTTCGCAATTGCACAGTGCTTCGATTGACGGATGAACACAATAGATCTGATATTGAAACATATGCATCCAAAAGATCACAAGAGATACAAGATAAATTTCAACTGTCAGACGAGACGAGACGTTACATTGTGGGCATTGTCCGTGACGGGTCAGATGGTAAGTTGAAGAGCACGCGAAACTATTTCATTCTCTTGACTGAAATATCTAGGCATGTTTCTGTTTGCAAAGTTGGTTTTGGCCAATTTACTTGCTCAATTGAATGTGGATGATTTGTCCAAAGAACTTCGCCCAGACACATTCCCGAAAGGATTTGAACAAGCGTGAGAAGCAACACCTATCTGAAACCAATACCCACTGACATGATATGATCTTCAGGTACGCGAGGATTGTTTCCCGAGTCTACCAGAACCCGAACCTGGTTGAACGTGAGACTGCTCAGAGACTCCTGGGCTGGATCACGTGCTCTAAAAGATCCTTCAAGTGGCATGAATTGCAAGCAGCCGTCTCGATGGATACGCAAGAACAGACCGTCGACTTCGAAAACCGTGGTCTCCGCACCCATGTCAAAGATATTTGTGGATCATTGATTGATGTGATCCCAGGCGATCGGGTCCAGCTTGTACATGGAACTGCCAAATCGTGAGTTTGCCGACAAAAACGCACAACCAACATCAAACTGTGTTGACTTTTGAGTTGATACTGATTCCCGCAATTCTTTAGATTCCTCATTGAAAATAAGAACGTTCGACTCTATGAAGAAGAGCATAAACTTGCAGTGTTATGCATTCAATACTTACTTTTCGATTGCTTCGACAACAATCTCACCGAAGATACTATTAGAGAATACGTGACGACCGGACACTATGCATTCCAGGATTATGCCATCATGCATTGGGTGGATCACTTGGAAGCTCTCATTCCCCATCTCTCAGCAGACCTTGTTGGAAGTATTGATCAGATATCCACAGCGGTTGTTGACTACTTCGAAGCGTATGGATCCTCAGATACTGGCGAAGAGGACGTTCCTGAAGACCTGAAAATCAGATGCCTTCAACTACAAAGCGTCAGCTTCTATAGAGAATTTCTTCTGCTCATCAGCTCAACCAGGAAGCTAAGAGAAAAACTGGATAAGCTTACTGGCCTTGGAGACTTGGGCGAAGTCATCAACAAGAATCGAAGAGAACTGGAGAAATTGCACTTATCCTCGACTCTGGAGTTCTCTACAAAAACCCAACTTCAACGGTACTATGGAGATAATTGGTACAAGTGTCCTCGTCACGCTTGCTACTATTTCCACGATGGATTTCCCGACGCTGCTCGCCGAGACAACCATACCGACAGACACGAGAAGCCGTTTGTTTGCACAGCTGCCGGATGCATACGGTTGTACCATGGCTTCAGCACCGTGAAAGATCTGAAGAAACACATGAACAGAGACCATCCGGATCCGGCAAACCTGTTTCCGAAAGTCAAAAAGCCGGCACCCAAACATACTTGTGCCATTTGCGCCAAGGAGTTCACAAGAGCTCATAACTTGAAGGCTCATATGAATTCTCATGCCGGCGAACGACCTTACAAGTGTAAGTTTTGCGAGAAGGCTTTCGTGCGGAAGCATGATAGGGAGAGGCATGTGGAGAAAATTCATCCTATGTCAGATGGGAACACGAAAGACAAGGAAATGGCACAGAGTTCTCAGGAGATTAAGTAAGACGAACTTAGTTGAGACTCTCTCTGCTGGCGAAAGCGACCAACTTGAAGTCTCTTCTCGAATTCAACGCAGGCGGCCAACCATCTCTTGTCCAATTACAGTGCAACTCTAAGCGAACTCGATCAGGCTTTTGTAACTCCTTCGCACGTGAGAGAAATATACTCGACTGAACACAGCGTTTGGGGATGCAAAGCAGAGTAATGCACCAAATCTTTTGGAGTTATATGCCACTGCAATACATGAACCGTCTACTCTTCCTCTAAAATTACCTCGGCACAAATCAACGGGTCCAAATGTAACTCTACGGACAAGAAGGATTGTGGCTGGAGACGTATTCCTGCCAATCACTGTCCAGTGGCTTCACGAACGTGTAAGCTTGATTGGATGGTAAAAGAGAGCTGACGAGGCTCTGCGGTATCCCCGATTGCTACTTGATGCGTGGCAGCAGCGCTCTGTACGGCCAGTTCGGTTTAGCGTGTCCGACAGGAACTGTCCTGTGACAGCACGGTGGGAAGCTCAGTACGTAGACGAAGAATCGATTCGGCTATCTCTTAGAATCTAAAGGTAAAGAAGAGAAGAGGAATGAAAGAGGGAAAGATCTAGATATATATATGCCAGGGGAAAGGGATGTCATGTGAGAGGCTAGGCCTCATCTGGCTTAAAGCTCGGGAACGCCACCATTCCCGGCCTGACCTCTGTCGCAGGCGATTAAGCAGGCGATTAGGCAGGCGATCCAGGTGATCCGTAACAATGTCGGAATTGAAGTGGTCCGAGAGTAGGACTAGGCTTATTATGGTGGGTGGCGTTAGCTCAGCTGGAGGTGTAGTTGTTGATGCCTTGTGGCCTGTCGACGTTTTAATCGATTCTTTAATGTCCGTGTCCGAATTAAGAAATAAAAGAAATAAATGTTGGGGGCCTTCGTATCACAGACGAATCAATGTGCGAGTAGAGTCGGCGTAACGCACACCCGAAAAGCGGTGCAAGAAAAAGCTGCCCTCGAGTTGAAGGCTCGTCGAGGATTGAGTGCCTTGAGGCCTTAAATTTCAGTTTTTCTTGTCTGTTCATGAAGGAAGTCGCCGACCTCCTAATCGTCGGCTTACAATGCCCCCCACACCACCCCCACTGTGGGAAGCTCAGCATTTGCGCAGTCATGTGACAACTGTCATGTCAAATAGGTACTGCCAAGGTGTTGTAATCATACAATAAGCAGCATTTGCTTATTTGGGGCTAGGTTACCTCTTGAACTTAATGTGGACCTATTTGCTGATTTGTTCCAGTTTCACGTTATCTAGTCTCATCTCACGTGACTGAAAAGGGGCAACTAGGCAGTAAGACTTGCACGAATCTGGGAAATCAGGCTTGGGTAAATAATCATAAGCAAGGCCTAGTTGCAAGCCAATTCTTTCCAGAATATGGTCAGTGGGTTTTAAATCCTTAATCAAGTTGCAATGGGCATTTCTACTTGTAGTAAGGATAGCGTAACTCGTCTTGAAACTGTCTCAACTTTCCCATGTTACACTTATCAAAGACAAGAAGGAACCTGGAGGAGAAATAACTTCCAAATTCTTGAATCTCGAATCCACAGATTCGAAAAGTTGGATCCAGTCCTCAGCATCGCGCTCCTTCGCGTTCTGGATGCCTTTCATGTAGAGGTCGGATGCCCTACACGATATGAGAGTCAGCGAAACCTGAACCAGCAAAAGAAGCTTGTTGAGATTAGTTCTGGCAAAGAGAGAAAGCCATCGTATCTTGGCTGTCTAGCCTTGTATGGCGACAGTGCACCCGGAGGTGGGAGAACTCTATCATTAACCAACACTCGCGCCCCTTTCTTCAACGCCGGGATCAAGTTACCCAATATTTTGGCTGCATACTTGTCTGACCAGTCATGCAGAACGTTGCGGATAAGGTAGATATCAGCTCCCTTCACAAGTTGCTCCGTGAAGAAATCATGTCCCATCAACTCCACCCTCTCGCGCAAGTCGTCGGGCACCTTAGTGCCCGTGATCACCTCAGGGTTATCGTGCACCACAATCCTAATATCCGGATCACGACGCGCGATTGCCAGACCCACTGTGCCTTTAGCACCACCTACATCTACCAATAACTTTGTCCCAACCCATGAGAAATTCTGCACCAGATGAGAAACGTTCTCACCCGGTCTGGAGTTCAAGAAGCTCATAGCATGGCCTATCTGTTGAGCCCGTCTCGGATCGCAGGATACGACTTCCATCATCGGAGTATCCGTAGCATAGACGAGTGCGAAGCCGGTCTCGTTCGATTCCTCTGAGCCAGGCCACTGCTGCATCGCATCGACGATTCTTGTGGACGCGGGCAACATCTCTTCGGCCACGAAGCCGAGGAATGCTCCCACGGGCGGGATCTCTGCTAAAGCTTTGGAGAGCGCTGTGTGAGCGACGATGCCGGGAGATGGCTCTGAGAAGATGTAGAAGGTCATGGCGTGGCGTAATAGGCGGCGGCAATCGGGTTCCGGGATTGAGCACTGACTAGCTATTTCTGTGAAGGTGGAAGTCGTCCCGGGAGGGAAAGAGTTGGCGATCTTGAAACGCTGGAGAGCTGTTATGCTGATCCAGGAATTGGGCTGGAATGAGAAGGATCACTGTTAGTCTCTATAAACTTTTCAAGGTGAGAAACGCACAACAGAGAAAGAGATGGAGCTCAAACCGGCGGGATCAGAGATTCGAGTGGGCCAAGCATCAGATTTGTGAGCTCATCGGTAGCTTCGAGCACAGCATTTCGAGCGGCTTGAGCTTCAGGTGGCAGGATAAGCTTGAGCGGACAAGAAATATCGAAAGAGGGAGTTGGGAGGTCATTTGCTGCGAGGCAAGCATCAAATTTAACTGTTTGTTCGTGGATAATGGACGAGAGCTCAACGATCCTAGTGCTGGTGTTGGTACTGGTTTGCGCCATTTGGTGGAATCGTATCAGGTCAGCACAGACACGTACGTTTCTTGTTGTTGTTAGCTTGGAATTCTTTTTCTCCAATTTTCTTTGACGACTTGTTTTCGGGCGATGTGTTACGAAAAACAAGACTTATCTTTGTTAAGTTGGATTCTGTTGGATTCTGTTGGTAATCCCAGCCGAACATTTACCCCCCTTCCAACGCGGTTAATCACCATCGCAGCTCTGCTCAGGCGCAACTTACACTCGCCTCACCCCCTGCTCAGGTTCCTCAGGCTCCGCGCCCCATGCTCAGTCACGATCGTGATATCGCTTTCGGTGACCAATCATGCTTACCTACTTTACCATTCGGTTCCGGCGCCCAAAGCTGTCAACTCTATACGACGATATAAGAGCCGGAATCGGCTCCTAGGGTTCCCAGACTGGACCTCCTAAAAATGAATTATGTCATACTTTCATACCAAAACTTGGAACAGTATTATTTGCATTATCACAATCTATCTATAAGACGGTTAGCGGGGAGCGGGTTCCACCGCCAGTGTGCATTGCGAGTTTAGAAGAGCCTGACAAAGCCGAGGCGCGCTCGCTCCGTCGAAACTGTTCACAAAAGAAGGGTGGAGATGTCTAATAATGATGCTACTAGACCAAGAAAAGTATGACGATTTAGACGTTCTTGAGAAACGTTAATCGAATACATCAAATTTGAAGAACTTTCAATGTTACGTTGGAGAATGTGTTGTGGAGGTGATCAGACTCCAACGAGCTCCACGACATGCTTACTTTGAGGAGTGTATAGTACACTCCTCGCCGAGAAGATCACTAGTGGCAACTTCTGTCTTCAAGACTGGCATCAAATTCAACCTCACAGCGAGGTCCCTTATTATCTCCCGCAAAATACGCCCGTTCAGTTTCCGATGCAGCCGTGAGCTTACTATCCTTCACCTTAAACTTCTGTACCCCAAGAGTCAGCAATGAGCAATGTGAGACCTCTATCCTCGTAGTCCTTGGTGTCGCCTGTTTCGTTCCCCGTCTTTGCCGTAGGTCCGGCTTCAGCAATGTTCGGAACTTCGATACCAGCTGTCGCCTCCTTAATTATCCACTTTTCTCGTTTGGGAATACTTGACTCCCTAACCCTCAGTAATCACATCTACTTGCCACCACTCCTCCACATCACCAGTACTCGCAACAGCCACTGAGTAAGAGCCACCTATACAAACTAGAGAGATGTACTATACTGAGGGTTCAGGTCATTAGCAAACCTTGGATCAAGGAGCAAGCATGCCACCAGAGCTTGAGACAAGAGCATCTTCCTGCTTCGCATCGCGGGCAGGGATGGCAACAATCATGAATCGGTCCACCATAGTTGCCGCTTCACAGCCCACCTGGCCCCATCCCATCCGGAACATTGTTCCCCGCGGAAAAGCACGAGAGAGATCACCATCGAAGGTCTTATCGACACCGCGAGCGAGGAACTGTACTACATTTCCATCGACCAGCAGCGCAGCCGCGCTGGCGATGCTAGTTGGGCAGCAAGGAAGCAGTCTTGTGTTCTGCATGGACAGCCAACCTAATGCCGAGAAGGCCAGGACTGCGCCCAGTATTGCTTCTAGTATTCTTGTGGCCGCTGCGTCCTGGAGAACGCGATCTGTTCCTGTTGTGTTGATTAGGGTCCCATTATGTGCAATAGAGTCGTTACCCGCCTGAAGGCCGATTGGTGCATTGACCAGCGTCGCGTTTGTGTTGCTCGCCGGGTACCTGTTTCTCCAGCTTATCGACTGAATATCCATAATACCTTGTTGAGTAACAATCGCATCGGCCACCGCCTGGGCCTGTGAGATGTTTTCGAGTGCGTCGGCGGGAACGCCGTAGTGCGACGTAGTCAGTAGGCTGAAAAACCTGTCTAGGCTGCCCACTGAGGGAATATTTAGGAACGTATCATAGTCCTCGGTGCTCGTCTGAGCATTTGACTCCCATACTGTGGATTCATTGGGTATTGGCGGGTATGATGGATCGATATACAAGTCGGTGCCGAAGAAGGTGGTGGCAACATCTACGCCCTCCAGCGTCTGATTGCAGCCCAGAGCCGATACAGATGTAACAATCGGTTGAGGCGATGTAGATGCATGACCCCAAGCCCACATATATGAACTGCAGCGATGGAATTCGATGTTCGTCCCATCGTCCGGAGTACCCCAGGTGTTCCCCGTACCCAATCCGAAGAAGAATCCAGTCGAGTTTCCCGAATAGTCTATCGTCAAGTGCGTTACGATGCTATCCAGGAAGTAGGAACAGGTTTCGTAGGCTTCATCTGGGATATATAAGGTGATTGTATCATTAGATGTTATATTAGCTTCTATCTTCGTCGGATCATACAGCCTGCATGCGAACCGTGGCCGCAAGGCGGGAACTGTGATATTAATCATCAGAGTCGAATTTGAACTATCATCGTCATCCACGTAGCGTTTTACTGATTCGGGTGGAATTTGGAATTCTGGAAATGCAAGGTTCTCGTAAGTGAAAGCAGGGTACGTTAGATTGCTCTCCAGTACTAGAAATGATGCAGCTACCGCACCTTCGGTATCTGGGCTGAGTCCACCTGAGTCACCGACGAATAATCCCATATTCGTTGTTATGAAAGAACCCACCGTTTGTAGTTGCGTTGGTGTTACTGTCGGGATCCACGCTGTATGGAATAGGGACGCTGATATGATGGTGAGTAACGACGCGATACCAAGAGCCATCGTATTAAATAAAGCTGCGTAGTTGGCGGTCCTAATTTCCTCAACTATAATTGATGGCATGCTGCGATCCAGAAGGTCTAGTCCCGCCGACGAGTCATAGACACTTCCGAAGCTCAAATTTATGTATGGTATCATACGTCGAGCTTGGAAATCCAGGAAGCCAAAGTAAAGGCCAACAAGACTGAAAATAATGGCAGGTCCAGTTGTCCACAGATTATGTAGATAGGTTTCGTTTGTTACCTCGCCGAGTCCCGAGTGCTCTTTGATAATTGAAATGCAACCTCTAGCCCAGCGATTAATCCAGCCAAAGCTAAAAAGCTAGCAACTCTTGCTAGGGGGTATAAAGCAGTAGGATATTTGGGATCCTGCTTAGTATCCGCTGCTTCAAGATCATCGTTCTCTGGTATATGATCAATAGCAGTGACAGTGAAATATCTCGAGCCGCTTCGATACTCGCTAATCTGATATTCAGAGCAGCCTAGCACTCCCGAGAGAGCCTTCGGGTCTGATAATGCCAGTCCTGACAGTGAGGCTAGAAGAGGCTCGCTGTGAATGAGAAGGGATGCTATTCCACTCAGAGAACTCGGGTTCGATGGGAGGTCCCGTGCTTTGGCAGTCCGTACCAGCTGACGACAAGAAGCAGGATTGAGATGGCCAGCAAAGCTGATATTAAGTGTGTAGTCATTGCCCGTACGAGCAATCGATCTTCCATTGTGATAGCGGACGCAGTAATTGGAGTCGACGTAGTGTCCATTAGGGATTCATACGCTATGATCGCTGCAAATTGCTGCCAATAATTCCGCCACATATCGTAAATAAATTCTTCGTCAAAAGGAAATGCTGATAATCCAGGGTCAGCATCTCCAGTAATATTTCGAAGCCGTATTGCAGTAATCGAGTTGTCATCCGGATCAATATAAATATCGTCTGGCTGAAAGTCTATATTCCCAACGATATTGGCGCTAGCACTGCTGTACGAAGCCAACAGAGCCGTTACTAGGTCCCATGCATGAATGCCATCCAGCATTGTAGGGTTTGAATTATTGGAAAGGGCTACGGATAGTGTCTGTGTGCTGTTTCGAGTGATGTCGAGAGCGCTTATGTTGTATGTCGGGGTACAGATGCTTTGAGTAGTGTGTAGAATGATCGGATCTTGGTCTCCGGCATAAGAATAGTTCACTTCCAGAGTGCCATAAACTATACCAAGCCGTCGATCCTCCGCAACCTCCGTTTACCATTCGACTAAAAGTCATGTTTGGCCGATGCTGGTCCACTCTTATATTGTATAGCCCTTGTGCTGTGGTGGCAATTTGACAGTCCGAAGAGCCACCAACAGAGCTCAAATTCATAGTGATAGAATTGGGCCAGGCAGTTTGGTCTGTTACCGCACCCAGACTTATCGCTGCTGGCTCACAGTCAAGATCGGCAGAGAAGCCATCCAATGTAGTTTGAAACTTGGTAGCTGGAGGTAGATCAGATGTTATTCGCGGATATGCAAACGGCACCGTGATACCATCAGGGAGTGTGAAGTTGAGCTCAACCAGACCATACATCATTGAGTACGGTAAATCTCCGGCCGAGTGGAAATTCTCGGTGCTGTTAATGAATCTATCCAGTTTAGTGACTGGCACCGACGAATGCGATACATCTGTCACGGACAAAGTTATAAGACCAGTTGAGAAGGCTATAATGATTTTGATCAATATGGAGGTGGATATGATGGCAGCTACGGCATAGTCCCCATTCCGGATAGCCTTAACGACTGATACTGGCTGCATCATAGACAAGTAGTCTAACAGCAAAGACTGATCCGCTTTTGCAGGGCCTTTCGTCATCCTGTACCATGGGGAGGTGACTTTTGATTGATACTCGATCCGTGCCCAAAGAGCGCCGATCAAAGTGAAGATGGCGGAGGGACCAAACGTCCAGAGGTAGTGGAGACCGGAAGTGCTTGTGGCCAAGCCCTGCTGGCGATTCGAAACGGCTAACAGTACTTCCATGGCAATGATGCATATCAAAAATGTCGCCAAGAAGCAGACGAACGTTCGTCGACGAAGGTACGTGGGATTCCACGAAGCTGGCGCCTTTGCTGTTGAAGCGTCGTATATGTCTGCCGTTGGAGTGGGGGGTAAGGCTTCTGCCACAGCACTGTACTCGTAGCCGGGTCTTTGCTGGAAGACATTGCGATAACGCTCTTAAATGGCTTTGTGTTTAATTCTCGACCGATCAAGTGTACCTGACTATTCTATCGTGTCAGAGTTGGCGATAATCGATAATTGACGACGAGGCTGTCATTGCCGTCGGGGTTAATCCGACAGACACTTCCTAATCTCCCACCATCGATACAAGAGCTGCATTCCAAGGCTGATCCTGTGACTTAGCTTGAGGCGAAGTAGCGTTGCATCGGGATCTACCTAGGTACTCCTGGAAGGAGAAGCGAGCCTGCACCTTTTGATTGCATCCATCCCGCCGCAAGGCTCTCTGCCTGTATCTATGCAGAGGACTGCATTACATAGGAATTTTAGACGGCATTTTTTTGCCTTTCGCTTCCAATACAGTTAGTCAGCATCGCTGCTCTGCTCAGGCGCTACTCACCCTTACCTGCTCAACTCAGGCTGCCCAGCTCTCGCTTATAAAAACCAATCATACCTAGCCGTGCAAAGTCTACACGATTATGTTTAGGGGGACCAACTCGGCTTCTTAGAAACTTAAATAGGCCTTCCCCCCGGTATAAAAAAAAGGGAAGAAAACAAATTACAGTGGTTGATTACAGCACAAATTCGTCTCGCGCATGGCGTGGCCTTGGCTCTTTCCAAGGAGAACATGCTCTTACGTCCCTTCTAAACCTTTATTCTTTCCTACTTCATCCTACTAGGCACTGCTTGCTTCCCCATCTACTACTTCGAATTTTCTTGTATGTTGCAAATTGTTTTAAAGGGACTACTTTGTATCCGTCACCTTTTTAGCCACTACTCTTCTTAATAAAGATGGGTAGGCGGAGAGACTCCGAGGGGTTTATTAAAAGAGTGTAGCGAATAGGTTATGCTTCCTAATGGTGACATTAAATCTATCATCGAAAACTAGCTATGTAGGGAATGAAATAGCAGAAAGTCGCAACGATCTCCTTGTGAAAAGTGCTGCAAATGGTAAAAGATATCTATGATACCTCAACCTCAACATGGTATGTTATAACGTCACAGCAAAACGCTCCCTAAGCCACCCTCCGTAACGATAGAAGAAGAATGGCACTGGAAGAAAAGCCACGGCTATAAACCCTAGGACGCTATTCCCCCACCCAAGTCCTAGAGCTGCATACAAAGACGGCCCTGCCAATGGAATGAAAGCCGCAAAAAGAAGTCGGACAACCACGTTCGCAGCCAACGCAGAGGCAGCAGCCTCCGGGCCAAAAGCATCCACCATGTAGAGCTGAGCGGGCATCACGACCCAGAGAAAGCCGAATCCAAAGAAGGAGGTGCCGATGATGGGCACGATCCAATGTGTCTGCTTCTCGGCGGCCCAGCCATACCAGAAGATGCCGACGGGCACGGCTGGCATGACCCACATCATGGGCTTCAGGCGTCCTTCAGGTTTGGGCGAGTCTCCAAGTGCCTTTTGCAGCTTGTCGCTCACGGTGGCATAGACTCCTAGAGAGACGGCCATGCCAATCCCAAGGCCGAGATATGACAAGCCAGAAACGCCGGCGGAGAAGTGGTATTGTTCCTCAAAGACCGTGGGAAACGTGGTGAACAGCATAAAGATGAGGCCGAACATGAACCCGCACAGGAGGGCAAGGAGGAGGACTATTGGCGATAGGATGAGAAGTTTTGTTGGTCGAGTGATCGCGCGGAGGAACAGCTGGCGGGGGGCCAGGCCTCGATCCATCTTCGAAACTAGAGTAGTATTACCAGTTTCTCTCCGGAGGCGAGCAGCTTTCCATCCGAGGAGCACGACGGCATTGGTCTCACGGAGGAGGAAGATTGATACCGTAAATGACACTCCTGCCTAGGTCGAACCGTCAGCCACTCGAGAATCGTGGGGGTTGAGCTCTACTCACTAGGATTATGATGATCCAGAAAGTCCACCGCCAGCCAATGGATTCGGACACAAAGCCACCAATAACTGGGCCCAAGACCTGGAAGGATCGTCAGTGTCATGACGGTTTACGTGAGGGGATGTCGCTACTTACTGGTCCCAGAAGTGGTCCCACGAAGAACACAGACATCACCCTCCCCCGCTGAGCTGGCGGGACGACGTCGGCGACGGTTCCTCCACCCACGGTCAATGGGCCCGACGAAGCACATCCGGCCAGGAATCGAAAAACGAGAAACATGCCGGTGTCGTTGCTCAGCGCACAGCCGATGATAAAGCCAATGTACATGACATTGCAGGTGTGGTAGATGACCAGACGTCCGTACAGTTCGGACAGTGGTGCAATAACCATGGGCCCCACGGCGAAGCCGGCTAGGTAAATGGACACGGTGAGACTGGTAATGGTAGAACTCGTGATATGGAACTCGTTCGCCAGCGCGGCAGCTCCAGGTGCGAACATGGTCGCGGCGAGGTTGCTGTATGTGTAGTAGTCAGTAGGGGTTTGCTTCTTCGCCAAAGGAGAGCCAGAACAGAACTGCCTTAGCCTTACGCAGTGAGTAAGAAAGTGCTGGCGAGGACGACTTGGGTCATGCGTTTCCATGCTGGCCAGTTGCGCGGATTTTGGGGATCGTCGGGCCCATCCCAGTCGACGACATTGTCCTTTGTCTCTTGTTCAATTGTTGTCTGGTCAGGCTCGCTAGATTGACAGCCGTCTTCCAATATGGCCGGCTTCTCATGGGCGGATTCCAAGTCGGCCGCCATGATATGCTGTCGAGGGTATTGTGATTCTGGGATATTGGCGCGTGTGTGTCGTGTTGGGTACTCGATATCTGACAGCAATGAGATCAATTAAGAGTGGATGTTTTGTGGAAGAGAGAAACAAGAATAAAGAGAGGCTGTTGGAAGAGAGAAGCATTAGGAAAGACAGGCTGTTGATTTTATATGTACAGTACGAGTATTGCACTACGGATGACCCTCGCAATGTTGGGAAGTTCCGTTCACGGGGTTAAGAAGTCTAACTCCTTCACCCCTTTATATTGAATAGGAGACATACGCCAACGTGGAGATTTGCTTAATAAAAAGGGAGTGCGGAGAGTGAGTGAACGCGGAGGGTTGGAGGAGCAAGCATTGTGAGCAGCGCACGGACGCTCGATGCGGAGGGTGGACGCGGAGAGTCGGACGGTCGTTGGCTTTCTTCATTATTTCTCGGTTCGCGCCGCCAGACAACTTCTTTCTCTTCTTCTTCATCATCATCTTCTTCTTCAAGTCGCTGTGAAACTGTTCGAGAGCGGATCAAGGGACATATTGGAGTACCCAGATTGCTGCGTAAGTTACGAGGTTGAGCTCCGCGAGCGCCTCAATATCAATCCAGTTACACACACCATGGCAGACAATGCTCAACGTCCGCGTCCGCCGCCAAATCGACGTAGAGACAAGGTCCAACTATCCTGCGACCCTTGCAAACACCGAAAGTACGTGCTCCATACATTAACCATCACAAAATCGTGCACGCTATAAAACTAACTGTGCCAGGCTGAGGTGCGACCGACACCAACCATGCGGAGCTTGCTCAAGGCGTGGCCTCACCAACTCCTGCAATTATGCAACAACATCTTCTTCTACGCCCGATGCTCAGCGGTCCGTTGGGCTGCGACAGTCCACCAACCTCCATAGCAGAATCTCAGAACTGGAGAGCCTTGTCGTGACGCTCATGGAAGGCCAATCACTCCCGACTCCACCACCCGCATCGAAATCGCCGAGACCAAGCTCGCTATCATTCACAGATGTGTTCCTTGAGATCCGGAGACCAAAGGCATCCCAGGCTGAAGCTGCATCCCCGGCAGACCCTGGCACCCTAAAGTTGCGCGAGTCTGGAACCAGCTATGTCCAGAGTGCCCATTGGGAAGCCATTCTTACCAAAGTTAGAGGACTGAAGGAGGACTTGGTCACTGATAGTAAGGCTCCGACTGGTTCACACTTGTTCTATGGCCCGAGTCGTCATGCAACTCGAGATGAAATACTGGCTGCTGTTCCTCCTCGTCCAGTGGTTGACCGCCTTGTGGCCCTTCACTTCGATTCCTACATTATCACTCCGTGTCAGTACATCCAAGTTTGCTTTCTTTCCTCTCTCAGAGATATTGACTGTGTGCTGTAGATCTCATTCATAGCAAGAAGTTTCTCCGAGAGGTAGGTTCTTTCGAACCTAGCCGATTACAAGCAGTCTGACATTTGACCAGTACGAAATGTTCTGGGAGGATCCGTCTACAACTTCTATCGCTTGGATCGGTCTCATGTTCTCCATGTTATGTATTGCTGCGCAGTTGCAGGCCTTCACCATTGACTTCACTGACGGACGAGCCGAATCGCTCAAGGCGGAATATCTTACCATGAAGGATGCCTTCCGGGAGAAGGCCGTTCAGTGTCTCATTCTGGCTAGGTATACAACGGGAGGACCATACATCCTGGAAACCCTTATCACGATCCTTACTGGAGAGTTTCTGCTCTTGAAAGATAGCGCTACCGATGGCTGGCTTTTGATCAGTATGATCCTCCATCTTGCAATGCGCATGGGCTATCACCGGGACCCAGATCACTTTCCCGGAATATCTCCATTCGAAGGTGAGATCCGTAGACGCATCTGGACTACAATCATTATATTAGATCTCGCACTCTCCTTGGAGATGGGCCTTCCTCGAAGTGCCACGGATACGCACATCGATACAAAACTGCCATGTAATCTGCTCGACTCTGATTTTGAAGAGCTCACGACCGAGATGCCTCCGCCAAGGCCAGAAACAGAATGGACGCCGGTGCTCCCTCTCATTGCAAAAGGGCGACTAATATCAGCTCTCGGCTTGATTTGCGACGTCAACACCGATATCAAACCCCCTTCCTACGACGAGATCATCAAGGTCGACGCACTTCTTGAAGACGTGCACAATCGGGCTATTCCGCCCGTGCTGCGCTGGCAGACTATGCCACACCCCATCACGGATAGTCCAAACCTTGTGATACAACGGGTAAGTGTAGAAATGAGCTACTACAAATCACGCATCCTCCTGTATCGGAGAGCTTTGATCGGCTACCCACTTCGACAGTCTCAAGAGTGGGACAAGGAGTCAGTGCGAATCTGTTTAGATTCCGCACTCAAAATTCTATCGTTTCAACAGATGCTTCACGAAGAGTCTCAGCCATTTGGTCGTTTGTATCAGCTCAGATGGAAGGTCGCCCATATTTTCAACCAGGATGTTCTCCTTGCAACGAGCGTGCTCTGTCTCTACCTTCAAGACGTCGATAAGTTTGAGTTGCCTGCGACTGCAGGACAGACAACGTGGTCGCCTAGGGCTGAAGAGATTCGACAACGACTAACGATCTCGCACACGATTTGGCTTCAAATGAGTACAACATCTGCGGAAGCGGGGAAAGTAGCGAAAGCTCTGAGTATCGTCCTTGGAAACACAGAAGCGTCTGCTGCTGAGGACGGTAGCGGGTCCGCCGCTTCTTACGACTTTCTGACGGATTTTGATTCCATGCCTCTGAATGGATTTGGTGCATCGTCGTTCAACAATCAATGTGAGAAGCACACTCGGTCATGCTGACTGGAACTAACAAAAGGACTCATCAGATTTTCCTTCTGCCTTCTACGCTCCTCTGACGTTTTTTGATAATGTATTAGAAACTGGGGGGACATGACAATATGATTGTTTTGCTTGGGCTGAAGCACATAAAGCGGGCCCTTCGAATGGCCCAAATGGCGGGTAGGTTTTTCAGTTCAGCTCGCCAGTTCGTTTACTTATATTCGTTGCACAGTTTTTTGTACCTTGGGGACATTAAGGTTAAGCGAGGCCCCTTCGGCTAAAAATGGTACCCAAATCAGCTCTGACAAGAACCCTTGATAAATATGATAAGGACTGCGAACGGCCACTGTTATGATCTCTTAAAAGGCTCGTAACATGGGTAAGATCTTAGTTGGAAGCTCATTTGACGTTGGTAACGAGAGTCGTATCACGAGCGTGGCCTCTCTTCCCTTCGAAGTGTTTTAACGGGTTGATACATGATGATGGGTGTTAAGCATATTACTCTCACTTCTCCAACTCTCATCGTCGATCAATGGCAAATTAGAACCTATTATGAGGCCGCGTTCGGTTATGTTTTTGTTACCGGCTTACCAACTGCATGTTGGTCATTGTTCCAACCGGCCGGGAGCAATGCAGTAAGACGGCGAAAGTTCGACGATCCCGACTATTGTTCCCCATAAATTTGTTCGATGAGATACAGTTGTATCTCCTAATAACTTTAGACATCATAGTAAAACCCTTCATTCTATTGTCCGCTCCCAGATTTCCATCTATTCTTACGAGTACTTGTCGAAAGCGCGACTGCAAATACGTCCAATGAAGCTCATCATAACAGGCGCCACAGGATTCGTCGGTAAAGAAGCCGTCCGCCAAGCTCTTCACAACCCCGCAGTGAGCTCGGTGGTAGTTCTTGCTCGCAAGCCTCTTCCGCAAGATACTCCTGGACTCGATGAAGGTAACGCGAAGTTACAATGGGTTGTTCTTGAGGACTGGACGAGTCCCTACTCGGAAACTGTCAGGGAGCATGTTATGAATGCCGATGCGTGCATTTGGTTAGTATTCCAAGGTGTCCCTGTTGAGATAAGAGAGAAAAGCTTATATGTGAAAAGGTCCTTAGCAGTCACTCCCTCAAAATCCAGAGAGATGGACTTCGCATATGTCACCAAAATTTGCTCTGACTACACTATCAACGGCCTCAAAAATATGGCCGCTGTCGCGAATAAACCTTTTCGCTTTGTATATGTATCAGGAGTCACCATTGAGCGCGACCAGAGCAAGTCTCTGACTTTCTTAGCCGATTATCGGCTCATGCGTGTATGTCTATTTCCCCCGCATTTTACTTGGATTGATCAAATTAACACGGACCACAGGGCCGAGTCGAAAATGAATTATTGGAGTTTGCTGAGCAACATAAACCCAATGTCCAAGTCACTGTTGCGAAGCCTGGCGGCATCGAAGGTCCCGGTGTGGCTATCTCAACTGCTGCGATGCAAGCCGTGTTCGCTTTGTTTGGTGACACGCCCACTATCCACGTTTCGGAACTTGCGGCTGCTTTGATTGATCAGTGTTTGAATGGTATTACGGAGGATCCTTTGTGGGCGAAGGAATTGGTAAGAATCGGTAAACGGGTATTGCGAGACGATGGCGGGCTGTAGTAAGCAAGTTTTTCTACTCGAGTAAAGTACAAGACTGCTTTTAATCATGTTTCTTGGCGGGATTGTTCAGTGCTTTTCCCAAAGGTAATGTGGCTTTGAGCTACTCGAAACCATGTCGACTTTACTATGAAACTACACATAGACTCGAGATCAATTCTCTGTTCCGTTGGTTCTGCTTTAGGTTCTGGTAACGCACTGCTGCTTCGACATGAGTTGATAGCGAACATACTGGCGAGCAAGGTCTGTATAGAAATTTAAGTTAAATTCAGCGTAAGATTAAAATTTTCTAGAAACGAAGTTAATTATCCTAACAATGTAATACTTTTCTTCACAAATAATCATCACGTGCAAAGAGTTACACAAGGTTATACAATACTTACCCCGCATCGCTATCATTCGCATGAATCATTTAATCCATTACTTGTAACTCTTGTCCCCGCACCCACCAATGTGATTTCGTCATGTCATCCTCTCAGACCGACATCATCGATAGCTCTATTCGTCTCGAGAAAGTCAAGAATGTGGTTGTTATCGGAGCTGGCATCAGCGGCATAGTCACGACTGCCCATCTGCTCCGGATAGGCCTCAATGTTACTGTCATCGAGCGAGCAGATAAGGTTGGTGGAGCCTGGAACTACAGCCCGCAGCCAGATCCAGACCCGCCGTTTCCCAGCATGCGGCCTCCAACCCCGGAACTCCAGCAGTCATGCGTAGAAGGGCTCAGTCTACAGGATATGAAATCTCGATTCGCGCCTCCAGGCCCAGTGTACGCCAGTATGAAGAGTAGGAATAGCGCTGCTGTCATGCAGACTTCATTGCTGGGCTGGCCGGAGGGTACAGAAGACTATATGGGCCATGAGAAGGTACTAGCCTATCTACAAGACCTCGCCTGCGTCTACCATGTCAATGAAAGGGCCCGTTTCAGCACTCGAGTAGAATCAGTGGCAAAAAGGGAGAGTGACGACCGGTGGCTGGTACAGACCTGCGAGCTGATAAGAACCACCATAGGCTATACGTTGAAGAGAGATACTTGCGAGTTCGACGCCGTCGTCGTGGCTACCGGGAGGTACAATGTCCCCCGTGTGCCTGACATCCCGGGCTTATCTACTTGGAAGCAAGAGTTTCCAAGTCGTGTATCTCACTCGAGACAGTACCGCACCCCAGACAGGTTCTGCAACAAGATAGTCCTTGTTATTGGAGGGTTCATCTCCTCGCTGGAGATTACCAATGACTTGACGAGCAACGGTGCAAAGGTGTACCATAGCGCAAAAGACACCATGTTTGATTTCAGAGATCGGGTAGATCATGAAAATGCGGAAAAGGTGCCTATGGTGGGAAAGTTTACCATCACGAGTGAAGACGTTCCAACTCCACGGTTGTTGGATGATGATAGTCCTATCCCGGGAAGAGTGATCCTAGAGAGTGGAAGGGTTCTTGAACACATACACCATGTGATAATAGCAACAGGCTACTTGTGTTCATACCCCTTCCTAGGCCCCACCCTAGAGGCGCCATCTATGCCACTCCAGGATGCGGATGAGAAGGTTATCATTACCGCCGATTACAGAACCGTTCATAACCTACACGAGGATATTTTCTACATCCCAGACCCAACCCTCGCTTTTATCGGCGTGTCGCACTTCGCGTCCACTTTCTCGCTTTATGATTTTCAGGCCCAGGTCCTAGCTACCGTGTTCGCGGGCCGAGTGCGGCTCCCCTCGCAGCCGGCTATGGAAGTGGAGCAGATGCGACGCAAAAGCAGGGTTTTACCGGGGACGTTCTTGAATAGTATATTCTTGCTCGACGATTTCGTGATACGCAGACTGCTAGAGTGGGTGAACCAGGATCTGGTAGCAGGCGGGTTCGAAGCTTTGCGGGGACCAGATCCTAAGTGGCGGGATGAGTTCAAAGTCTTGAGGGAGAATGCTCGGCCGCTCTTGGGTAAGTTTCAAGATAATTACTTGAGCTCTTAATCTAAACCTTCTTTACTCCCCTTCGTCACTCATTATGCCTTACGATCAAAGACACCTGCATCACTCAGCATTCCCATTATACTCCCAATGAACCCAAAGCCCCGTCTCAACTAACTTCCACTGTCCTCCGCCATTCGTAAATCCCTCCTCATCACCACCTCTCAAACAAGCACCCCACTGCGCAACCTTCACAACCGGCTTCTTCTCCCTTCCCAGCTCAACTCTCTTCTCCTCCAACCACCCCAAGAACTCCCTCCTCAACTCCTTCAACCCCCAATCCCTATCATTCCCTCTCACCACCTCCTCCTCTCCAATTTCCGCTCCCCCAAAAGTCCTAACCAACTCCCCTCCACCACCCGCCTTCCCAATACTACTCCACGGCATCAACAAAACAGTCACGCTCTCCAACCCCAACACCTCCTCGCCAAACTTCAAAAAATCCCCCCTCTCCAACGTCGCCTCGTCAATAACCAAATTCCTAATCTTCCCTCCGCCCTCAACGCAAGCAGGCCACTCCGCTTTCACGCTCCAGAAATCCCGTGCTGGTCCACGACCATTGGAGAAATAGACGCTATCTCTTCGGGAATCGAATGCCTGATGAAAACCTTTTCCGAGCGGAGAGGAGAGCACGGTGTAGTGGCGGAGACATTCTGTGCGGGATTCGTGGGAGATGTGTAGGAGGACTGGGAGAGAGGAGAGGGTTCTGGGAGCGTGCTGGCGCGGGCAGGACGGGATGGGACAGGTTGAGGGGCAGGTTGGGAGGGAGATTGTGTGGAGGGTTGGGGGCGGGAGGGCGTAGGTGTAGATTTTGAGGCGGAGTTCGGTGGGGAGGAGGGGGAAGAGGTGGAATGTTTGGAGGGGGGAGGATGGTGATGAAGTTAATGTTTGGAATTGTGGTGTTGAAGTTGTGGTTGAGTTTGAGGGTGCATCCAAGGCATGATGCGGGGTCGTGGAGTGCATGGTGCCGTGCAGCTCGTCCTCCATTTGAGCTGGAGATTCAGTTTGTGCTTGAGAGCGAGAATGAGGAAGAGATTCAAGGAGAAAACAAGAAAACGACATCTTTGACCTGCGGTTTTCTTTGGGAGAGATATATGAGAGAAGAAGTAATCAATTGCGATAACGGAGATTCTTATCAGGGAACAGGGAAGGGGAGCGATGAGGTGATGGCTGAGATGGCCACGTGCCGTGAGATCTCACGTGGAACCTGGAAGGAGTGGGGGTTGCCCGAGGTTTTACCCGAGAGCGCTGAGGATGGTTCACTCCTTTTCGCCGAGTATGATGAGACGTTGATAAGAGTTCGATATTTCTTCTATCAGCTTGACATGTTCTGCAATTTGATCAAAGGATGCTGGAAGTGAGTTCCCAAAGCCTATGTTCTTGAAATTCAAAGACAATTGAAAGCCAAGCTTGATAGAGCGAGCCCAAAGAAATCACACTTTGTCTTCCTAGACCTTGGATGTCTTGCCGGGAGTTATTCGACAAGGCATAATTGCTATTTCCTTGGCCATGGCGAGATGTGAAGGATCAGTAAACTTATCCCGGCCTGGATGCATCGTTGGCATCGCTTGCCGCGGTAAATATGTTGCAGGGACATCCCAACCCCAAACTGCTGGGAACCTTTGACGAGAACTCGCTTGAAAAAGGGGTTGGAATCAAGATTCATGCTACTTGTGCTACAAATTGGTATATCATAAATGCGGTAAAAAGTCCGCCCAATTAACATCCTCATACAACGGCGCAGGTAAAGCCCTCAATGTAATCAAGGACTCCGTCAATACAATAGCTCTCGCCCCAATGTACGCCACCACAAACGGACCATGAACCGCCAACTTTGCCCAATATGGCAACATATTCGCGACTTCTAGAATCGATGTCGCGCCCTCGACACCGAATATCTTTCTCCCGATCCACGGCGCGAAATATGTACCAAGCGGTAAAGCAATACAGTATACAGTGATAAGTCCCAGATCAGCGAAATTGGCAACAGTCCAGAGGTACCACTCGACCCGAGAAGGAAAAGCAAGTAACCACCCAACCGAAAGATGGAGTCCGAAATACACGACCTGGAAAAAGAGACAGTACCACATCATCCCCCAAGTAATCCCTTCCGCAGGCAGAATCCTCGTATTAGGAAACGTCTGTCTAGGCTTCGGCTCCTTGTCCTTCCCATGATCAAACACAACACTGATTCCAAACCAGAAAGGAGCTATCAAGCTCTTCGCATCGGGCGGACTGCTGACGAAATCTAAGGGCGTGAAAATGTACGTCTGTCGCGCTTCTTCTTTCTCGCAGATCTCCTTCATGGAGATCTCCATGGGTAGGATCTCGGGTCGGAGGGGATCGAGCGGTTTGTAGTACCAGAAGAAATAATCGTGTAAAGTGCAGAGGATGAAAGCGATGGTTGTTAATTCGAGGGGGGAGAGGCCTATGTGCTGGATGCCGCGACCGATGCATTGGAGGCTGAACCAACAGATCTGGATTAAGGTGATCAAACGTGCAAAGCCGTCCGCTTTATCGACGGCTGTGATGTCGTCGCTGCTGATTTGAGGCATGGGGATGTAGTTATTCTTCACGAGAAAAGATAGTTGATGGCTGTCGACAGGAAAGGGTTCCGCATCAGGAGGCGCGACTTTGATCCCTCCCATATCGGCGTAGAAACCATGCCGGATCGTCCATCCATTATATCCCATCCCTCGAAAGATCCTCACAGATTGGTAAGCCGAAAGCCATTGTTCGGCCGTCGTAGCGACGAGGACTTCGGGGAAGAAGATGGCGAAGAGTTGCCAGCGAAATTTGTAGAAGAGGAATCGCCAGCTTTGTTCTTCGCCTAGACGAGGGAAGTTGAGACACAGACACGTCCAGGTGCAGAGGTAGATTGTTGAGAGGGAGCCCCAGAGGATGTCGCTGGTTCCGCGGTCATTGCCTGATGATACCCAGCCCCAGGTGAGGTTTGCTGCAGGAGTGGGGTCCATGCGGAGAGTGCGAGGTAGGGAGCCTCAGCATATCGGGGATGGATGATGAGTGAAGAGAAAATGGAAGTGTGAGAGAGGGGTCAGGTATGATATCTATATTACCACTGTGGACAGAAATAGAAGTGGGAGCGCCACTTGAGCCGCTCTTTGGGGGCCAGACCTGACTCAAGGGACGAGAAGACAGGCCTGTTGAGATAAGCTGATTTCTACAGATTATAGTGGATTATAGTGGACAAAGAGAGTTTCCGGGCAGATTGGGGGCCGTGATATCAGAGGGACTGGGTAACGTTGCGGGCCGCGCGCTTACTGCTTGGGTTCTTGGGTTTGGGGCCTCAACCTGAGGGGTTTCAGGCTTCGCTTCCCGCCTGCCGGACACTCCAGCTGAAGATCTAGATCGGACGAACCATGCACGCCGCACGCTACCCAGAACCTTGATTCATGCATAAATTACGTGTCTATTTCACGCAGTGGTATTTATCTAATCTATCTTGTGTCGCAAATCAAAGGGTATCTGTCTATCGAATTCCGGGTATCCTCACTTCCACTTGCGCACGTAAAATGCTCTTGATCGAACAGTGAAGTAATCCGTTAGGAAGGTACTATTGTATCCGTTGTAGAAATAGCTGATGAAGAACGCTGGCAGTAATAACAGGATACGACGAAAGGTGAGTTGAGCCCACACAGCTTTGAACTCAGAGGACCAATTCGGCTGCTTGTGGATGATGACTTTGGAGCCATCCTTTCGCCAGACCTTGGATGGGGGGCTCAGGAAGAGAGCAATGGGAAGACCGAGACACATGATGACGATGAATACGATGTAGGTAGCGCTTCCCACAGATCCAGCCGTTGATCGATTCGCATTCAGGACAAGATTGATCGCACCTCCAACAATTGGACCTGATGCTTTTGCGGTTTGCCAAATAGCCAGGTAGAAAGCTCTCTCGTGTGGACTCGGATACCCGATAATAATAGCCGCTTCAGCAGCCCAGAAGAATCCCGCGGATATTCCACAAAGTGCGCTGCCGAAAAGCAGGAACCAGGTCGTAGGGTGGACATTGTTCGTATACAAACCAGCTCCATACAATGGGTAGCCGATGGCACCGAGAGCAAGACCGTACGGGAGACCGATGCGGTTATTGATCGCGCCTGCTGCTACGCAGACAATGGAGAAGAGACCATACACCAGGGCATTGGCTGCTGATACAGCGTACTGCCAATATTCTCAGTAAAATATGACATCCACAGAAAAATCTACTCACAGGCTCAGCAACACCTCCTACTCCAAGTCCTCCCAACGCATCCCACATTCCAGGAGCTGTGAAAGAGACACCGCTTGCAACGGCGACTTGAAAAGGTACAGAACGATACCATGATTTCTTTTTATTGGTATTCGCACCTAGAACTCCTGATTCGTCGAGCTCTGAGGTTGAGTCCACTGGCTCCTCTTGGCCATGTCCATGATCGACTCCCATTTTGGCTTTTCAGAGATCAGGACACAGCATGCGAGAAGGATTTTGATGTCGGGTGATATAAAATCGGTGTCGAAAGTGGGATTTCGATCTTCTGCTACCGTGATGCTTGAACGGAGGAGGAGATCCTTTTTATGTATTCATAGCAAGATCTCACAAAATACGATAACCCCAAACGTCGCTGAAAGTTTGCCACAAAGTGGGATTCTGACACATATTTTCGCCATCGCGGAAGCATGAAAATATACTTCATCGCTAAGCAAAGTTGGGTGCTGGAGGCTCCATTTCTGGTGGAGTTGTGGAAGTTTTCCTGCATCGTCGTTGGTGCTGAAGAATTTTAAAGTTGGGGTTGAGACTGGCGTCGATTGCGGGCGCCGTTCCCTGTAAGGGCTCATTGAAAGTGGGGATGCTTGGGCGATGGATTTTTATATTTGTTCAACTGCTTGACAGCAACCAGAGAAACATATTGATATCTTGAGGGAATCTGCTGCGTGGGAATTTTTGAACTCGTCTGTTGCAAGCTCCTGCGCAGACTACCTAGGTACTATTGGTGGGAATCATTGAAAGAATTGCCCTTCAATACAACCCGAGTTTTCCAAACCGGAACGAGCAATAGCGCTGCCGTTTTTGGATGTGAGCTAACTTGAACCGACTTCGCCATAACTAGTGAGCTGCTTTACAAACTTCATTACATAGCCACTTGGCTCCTGAAATATATCAGCCACATAATCGGCACTAACCACATCCAGACCACCAGCCACATCGTCAGCCTCACCTGCTTAATCTTCATCTCCATCTCCATCTTCTCCTATATCAACACATCTACACAATCGCTCTCATTAATCCGTGCTTGTTTCTCTCACCCCCCTCAATCGTTGACCTCAGATGCCTCATGACGCAGCTGTTAGCCGCATCGCCACCGCAGTAAAAGCCTTTTACTCCCGCCAAGAGCCATATCGCATCTTCCACGGCTCCACAAATAGCACAAGACCCTACCAAAAACAAAGTGTTGTCGATATCAGCGCTTTATCAAATGTCGTCAGCATTGATACCACGGCCAAGACGGCTACCGTGGAGCCAAATGTGCCTATGGATAAGTTGGTAGAGGCGACTCTGCAACATGGCCTCATCCCGCCTGTCGTGATGGAGTTTCCTGGGATTACTGTTGGAGGTGGCTATGCTGGTTCAGCTGGAGAGAGTAGTTCGTTCAAGTATGGATATTTTGATCAGACGGTCAATTCTGTGGAGGTGGTGTTGGCGAATGGAGATGTGGTCACTGCGTCCAAGACTGAAAGACCCGAACTGTTTAAAGGAGCTGCAGGAGCGCTTGGGACTTTGGGGATCACGACTTTAATTGAGCTACAGCTGATCCAGGCAAAGAAATACGTTAAGATTGAATATCATCGAAGGGGCAGTGTGCACGACAGCATCGAAAAGCTTCAGCAGGAGATCAAGGATCCTTCCAATGATTATGTGGACGGCATCATCTTCTCGAAGAATCATGGAGTCATTATTACTGGTCAGCTGACTGATGAGATACCTGAGTTGGCGCAACCTCAGACGTTCAGCAAATCTTGGGATCCTTGGTTCTATCTCCACGTCAAAGACAAGACGATTGTCGAAGCCACTTCTCCTGTCACAGACTATATTCCTCTGGCTGAGTACTTGTTTCGATATGATCGAGGCGGTTTCTGGGTTGGTATCGAAGCATTCAGATACTTCCCATTTGTCCCCTTCAATAAATTCACACGCTGGTTCCTGGATGATTTCATACATACGCGAATGCTCTACCGAGCTATGCACGGTAGCAGGAAGGAATTCGGAAACATCGTTCAAGATCTATCATTACCATATTCTACAGCCGAAAAGTTCATCGATTATACAGCAGACGAGCTTGACATCTGGCCTCTCTGGCTGTGCCCGTTACGAGAAATGACCCCGCCGACCTTCCACCCCTATACAACTTTACCCGGACCAGACGAAACTTCCAAGCCGATGCTCAATATCGGGCTTTGGGGTCGAGCATCGGATGATCTCGACACATTTGTCGCTCAAAATAGAAGGCTGGAAAGCAAGCTCACAGAACTCGGCGGACGAAAGGTTCTGTACTCACACACCTACTACACCGAAGCGGAGTTCTGGTCTTTGTACGACAAAAAATGGTACGATGAACTACGAGAACGATACTCGGCTTCGAGTCTCCTCACTGTGTATGATAAAGTGAAAGTTGATGTGGCGAAGCATAAGCAAACGCGGTTATCGTGGACGCAGAGGTTGGCTTCCATGTGGCCGTTTGCCGGGATGATTGGGATCTGGGGCGCGATACGGAGTAAGGATTATTTGCTGCATAGGCATGCTGCTTGGAGGTATAGGGGGACGATTGAGAAGAAAGATACACATTTGGTTGGGGATTCACAACTGTAGTTTGGTTTTGATTGTAGCTACAAGGTCATGTATGTATCTCAGACTATCTCAAGGATCAAGTCAAATCTTCCCACCCTTCATCCTTTCTTGCTCACGATCATATCTCTGCCACATCTCCTCAATCAACTCATGTCTCTTTACCCCCCACGCAAAATCAGGAACCCACTCGCCCTTCCTGAACGCTTCATACTCCCTGGCAATGTTCCTCGCTGCAACCCTCAACTTAACCCACTCATCTTCCTCGAACTCGACCAGCTCAACCGTGTCATTCTCCATCTCCCAGAACTCGACCTTCATATCAGGTCTCCCAACATTCAAGCTCCCCGACGGCGCAGTGAGACGCAACTCCCCTTTCGAACCTTGAATGCGCCACTCAATTGTTGGAGTCCCAGGAAACGGTTTCCCACCACGGAGGTGAATGGACACTGGAATATAATCCTCCCCCATAGTAGCTTGGAACATCATCTGATCCGGCACCGTATTTGGCGCATCCTTCACCACGACCTCGCCACCCTTCGCCGGGTCAACGACATCTTTCACTGCATGTCGATTCGCCAACAGCGAATCCCAGCTCTTGACCTCGCCTAGCACTGTTGCATTCCATTAGCGAGGCAAAGCAAGAAAGAGACGAAGCATACCAGCAGCGAAGCCCTCAAAAGCATGCCCGAACCGAATACTAACCAGATTACCCCCGACCTCTCGATCCATAAAGTACCTCACATTTTTAACCTCTGTCTCGCCTCCATTGATCTCGCTCGCAAACACGGTACTACTCAACACCCGTCCCAATTTTCCATCATCGATGTACTTCTTCATCATCCTCATACCAGGATCAAACGCGGCTTGAAGGCCAACCACAGTCCTAGAGCCCGATTTCGCTGCCAATTCCATCATCTCTCTTGCAATGGTAACGTTCTTGTCCAGTGGCCACTCCATAAAGACATCTTTTCCTGCTTCGAGACTCGGCTTGACCGTCAAGAAGTGGCGATCTACACGCACGGAACAGACGACCAAGTCCACTTCTTGATCTTCCGCCAATTCTGCAGGAAAGTCAATTTTCCGAACTCAGAAACAGAGGGGTTAGCTTACCGTTCGGATCTTCATAAGCACGAACAGAAGAAGGCAGATTGTAACGCTTTATTGCCGAACGAGCACTTGCCACGGATGAGTTCATCAAAGCCACGATCTCATAATGCGGCGAGGCGAGGAGGTAGGGCAGGTGAGCGTTGGCCGTCCAGGAAACGCCTTCGTATTCTGAGATTGGACCGCCTGGGAGCCCAATGAGTGCTACGCGGATTGGCTTCGTGGGTTCTGCCATTTTGCTGGCTTGTAGTTGAGGTTCAGAAATATTTGAGACTTGCGGATCTGGGGGGCGTGGTCTCGCTATTTACACTTCGAGGTACTGACTTTGATTGAAAATCATAAATCTAGAAATTGTTTAAATGACACCGTCCAAGCCGAAACAAGAGCCTGATAGATAATCAGGTATACATGAACTGTTTCCAAGTATGTAGTAGCTGGAGTGGTGGTGTATGAAATGTTTCCGAAAAGTTGCCGGCACTGGTGCAGCGGTGGCCAAACACTGCGAGCAGCAAGTATTGGATGACCAGAATCATAGACGGAGATGTTTCTTTGCAGAGTTTGCTCCTTTGTACTTGATTTTGATTATATATCACTGTATTCGATTATATATCAAATGGAAGGAGGAGGCTCTGCCGAACGATTGCTTGAAAAACCTCTTGTAATTATATGAATCCGCTCATGTCCAGCCGCACCCGACAGCATCGCGAGAACGAAGATCACTTACTTCAGCAAAGCATCTTGCTCTTCGTGAAAGTATGGAAGTAAATGCTTTCTTGAACTCGTGTGGATCGACCAACACAAATAATCGCCTGCTTCGCTTACTTCCGTCACCCACAATTGAATAGCCTCATTGTGCGGTTTAGGATTGAGACTTCAAGCACAGTCGCAAGATCTGTTCCGGTCTGGGACATCACCGGTACGAGTAATCACCGAACTGCTCACATGCCTAGTTGCTTTTGGCCGTATTCAATGAAATCTCCGAAACAGGTAGATATGAATGATCAAGTCTTCACGAGGAAAACTTTCAAACAAATTGCACTCGGTACAATGCCAGCAGGTAGAAAAGCAATGCAGTAAATTCTAACAATCATGCCATGCTTTTTTCCGTAAACCGCCTCCCCTTTTTGTTGTTGCTTATCCGTAAATACACTACAACACACCCGATGATAACCGCAAAGAAAAGACCCTTTTGAAATAGGCTGAACTCGGCAGCCGCCTCGAACTCATCGACGGGGATAGCAGGAGGAGGAGTGACGAGGGAAGCAGTCTTTGTTGGCGTTGGGGAAGCCATGGCAGGAGTTGGAGATGCGACGATCGGAACCTCATCAGCTTCTTCCATCCCTGGCTGAAATTCTGCGGACCCGTATGTGGCTGTACAAGGGCAGACGTATCAGCGAGTCCATTAAAGCAGGAAAAGGGTGTGCTGCGAACAAAGACGAAGAAGGAAAGTACTTTATAGCTCCACGTGGATACCTTCTTCTGGTACTTCAAGCTCGCCGCTCTTTACTATCTTGACTTCGACAGTGGGTCTGTCTCTGCCGTCCTTGGAGACGTTCTCAATCTTCTCGACAATCTCGTATCCCTCCATAACTTCGCCGAAGACAACATGTTTGCCGTTAAGGTGGCTGGAGGGAGTCAGCAGATGGTCTATACAGCCTAGGGTGTAACATACGATGGGGTTGAGGTGGTGATGAAGAATTGGGAACCGTTGGTATCTTGTCCAGCGTTGGCCATGGACATTAGACCCTTCTTGGAGTGCTTCAACTTGAAGTTCTCGTCGGCGAACTTGGCACCGTAGACTACCAATGTCAGTACGGTAGAAGGGCAGTGGTCTGCAGATACATACTTGACTTCCCTCCAGTGCCATCGCCCTTGGTGAAGTCACCACCTTGAATCATGAAGTTCTTGATGACACGGTGGAAGGTAGACCCCTCATATCCAAAACCCTTCTCACCAGTAGCAAGAGCTCTGAAGTTTTCGGCAGTCTTTGGGACAGTCTTGCCATAGAGACCGATCACGATGCGACCAAGCGACTCGTCACCATGGTTGACATCGAAGTAAACCTTGTGGGTAATCTTGGGGCCCTTTGTTGCTTGAACTGATTGAGATAGGAAAACGAAGGTGAAGGTGATGACGAGTAGTACAGAGACTACGAATCGTTGAAGAGTGAACATGTTGACGGTCAATTGGGGATTGATCGTGGTTGTGCACTGTGATGTTGAAGATTGAAGAAGGGGGAACTCAGCTCGAGTTTCGGAAAGGTGTCGATTAGGATAGCGCCAAGTCACGTGCGGAGATGGTCAAAGCTTCTTCGAGGGTGGACGACGAAATATTTTGAGCCAGACACTAGAACAGAACTCAGCAAGAACCGTAGCAATCATTGTTACAACTCTGATTCTAACACAATGGCAAGTATTAGAATGATACGAAATGCTCGCTCCCGCTAACTGTCCCAGGTCTTCATTCTACAACTGAGTTTCACTGAAGGCAGTCTCCTCAAGGTATTTCATGCCTTTCCGAATACAACGTCTGCCCATCACTGACATCCCCAGAAATCTCTCGAGAAGTTCTATGGCATCGGCCACACACACTCCTCCCGTATCCTTGCCAAATTCTCCATCTTCCCTCATGCGCGCGTCGGCTCCATACCCACGAAGACCATCCTCGCCATCAATGCGGAACTCTCTTCCATGACGATTGAGAACGATTTACGACGCCAAGTTCGAGAGAACATCGGTCGATTGAGAGATATGGGAACTTATAGAGGAAGAAGGCATGCTATGGGTCTGCCAGTTCGAGGGCAAAGGACGAGGAGTCAAATCACAACCGCACGGAAACTCAACAGGGTGGACAGAGTTGGATAGAGGAGTAATTGCAGGAATTGTACAAAAAGGTTGCATTGATGGCGTATTTGGAGATTTGGGTGTGTGCAAATACAAAGACACAAGGACATTTACAATGATATCCCTCCTGTCATCATAGTTTAGTAGGGCTGCAAGAGGGTAATCTCCGTTCAACTTGCCGCCCACTTGTGCTATGTCGTCTTCACATGCCCAACGCTGATTTCCACACACGAATTTTGTTTTGGTCTTGAGGGTGGCTGGTAGGATCTTGAGGAAAGCAGGGTGCATCTGGAGAGCTTCGATACGTTGGATACGTGGTAACTGCTATTTGTTGTTCCCGAACGTTGTGATCTCTACACTCAGTGCTTGTTCCACCTATTCCCAGATAATCTCCTGCTGAAATATGCCTAAGCGGGCTCGAACATTGACACTTGCTCTGAAGATCAAAATACCTTCGGGCATGATGATGGATTTACGGCTCAATTTCACATGTTCGCGGTAGCGATTGAGATTCGAAGGACGGAAAAATCGTCACTTCAAAACTTGTGATTGGTTGCTACACCTTCAAGAGCTGTTTTTTCTCCAGACTTCTCCTGGTCTGCAATGGTGGCTCAATTTGTGGCCCATTCGCAACGGTAATTGGATTAAACAACATATAGAGCTCGATTTACATTTCGAAAGGATGGACATTGCTCGTTTACTTGACAGGAGCATGTATTACTTTGTTGCTGTTTTTATCCGTTCTCGAGGCAGACAAGGCAATATGAGAACTGAATTAACCTGCCAGGAGCATGTTACTGCAACAAGAGACAAACCGGTCTGCTAGTATTGCAAGAATTGTCGGACTATCTTACATTGTAAGGTCACAGTACAATTTCAGTGATTCTTTGATAACTGGATTTACTATAGGATTCACATCAGGGTTTCTCACAAGGCATGAGCGACGAGATGTACTCGCGAGTTCTATTTATTCATTTCGTTTTCTCGCACAAGTGATATGAAGAGTTGCAAAAGAACGCAAAGAACGCCAATTAGGATGATTTAGACAACACACAAGGAATCCACAGGCCGTCGGTTGTCTCCATCCTCTATCCTCCCTCGTTCCCTGGCCAACGAAAGAAGCATTCAAATACTGATTATTGTGGATGGTGTATATCTTTTCCCATTGATAGGCTGCGCCGATCAAACGCTTGCTGCCCTTCTTTCTGCACTGATCGTCGTAGCTTCCATGAATCGTATGGTGGTCAGTGTAGACCTCCACATGTCTGAATCCGCGTTCGTATCAACGGTTTCTTGAGCCACCCCACCTGCGTCAATTGTTAGCATTGTTCACATCCATATTTGGGATGATAACATACGATGCACCAGCCAACTCTTCATTTCTCGTGGATTTGCTTGCCAAACGTCTGCAGCGATGCAAGCGAGATAATGGGTCATTTCTCTTTCGAGCTGTTCCTAATCTACCCAATAACCAAGAGCTTCGTGATACTCCGGATCGTAGTGATCACGACCTACAGCTTGCATCCACTGGCAGGTCTTTTCCGGCAAGACATCATTGGGGTGTCCCTTTGCTTTGACAAAGGTAACATCCGGGGCGGTCATAAATTCCGAGCCTCTTACCACCACAATGATCTCTCGAATGCCTAGATCATAGATAACATCCATCACTACATGGATTCTTGCTCCAAGGAAGAGCCACGGGTTCGAGTTGAGTTGCCGATCCCAAGTGTTCATAGACACTGCGATGACACGTTGATGGATATTTCTGCCATACAGGCTCGCAAGAAGCCGTGCGAAGAGATAAGGGGGAGAGCCATCGTCGTCGCCTTCAGCGTCCAGAAGCCACAGTATGTCCTTGTCTGGGTTGATCTCCAAGCGGTATCTATTATCTAGAACGCCCAAGCGTAGTCCAACACGATCGCCTTCGAAGACACGGGTATCGAGTACGCCTTTAGGAACGCTCTGTAATAAGGAATCGCGGGAAGTTCGGCAAACTTGCATGATCGAATAATGAAGTTGTGGCTTTGCAGTGGGGACTACTTTCTTTCCGTAGGTGGCGCGAAGAGTGTTGATTTCTGCACGTCCGCTTATACGAAGAGCAATGATGCGAGGAAGTTCGAGGGCGGCTTTCCAAATAATTTGCTGTCCTACTTGAAAGTTAGCGTTGTAAAGACTGAGATTGACTAATGAGCTCAACCAGCTCTGGGGAATCTGAAAAGCCTGTAAATCTAGACAGACAAGCAGAGATCGCCCATTTGGTTCTTCTAGGCGTAACCAGCTTGAAGTCTCCTTGAGGAAACACAGCAGTCAAGTACAGGAATGAGTTCTTACCAAAGGCAGCAAGGGAAAGAGATAAAACTCTCCACCCATATTTCGCAACAAGGCACGCAGTTGTGAATCCGTGGCACTATGCTTGCGGCGCAGATCGTGGTATTGCTGGCTCATGTTGGCATTTTGCTTCTGCATGAGTTCCATGCTGGTTCGAAGACTCTTCGTTTCTCCCTTCATAAGCGCCGTCTCCTTCTTGAGGGTATCGACCGACAGTAGAAGAGAATTGAGGAGTTCTATAGGGACTTGAACGATTGATGCTGAAGTCCCATCGGTCTTTGCGACTATGGTTAAGTCTGCGCGAACGACTTCCTCGACATCGTCATCCCGGGCGTTCGCAATTGCTGTCTCTTCCGGGAATCGAGCTTGTTCGCGTTCGTTGAGGGCGGCGGCGGTCTTCATTTTGTTGCGAAGTTGATTGTAGATGTTTTAATGTGTTGTGTTTTGAATGAAATTGTTCTTCTTAGATGTTTGCTTCAGGTGTATTTCTGAAGTTGGGCTGGCTGGAAAGTGCGCTAGATAAACATTCATGCTACAGGAAATGCTGCTGCTAACCCAATTCGATAAACAAGTTGTGCACTTGTTGATTAGGTATCTGACTGTGTTCCATTGAGTCTCTTATCTATACGTTCTGTTCTCCGCCATCAGCAGAGAATGGGGTCATTTCTCGAAGATTTAGATATACATCCCACCAGCCTTAGACACGGGCTTTCGAGCAAAGATTCCGTAGCACTGGACAAGATTTCGAATGAACCGAAGTGCGGCATTACGTACCCAAACTTATAAATACTTCTGACAGACGGTGGTACATTAACGAATGTTCCAAACTGTTTGACTTCTTGCAACGAATTGCTTGCTATTCTGGCTACTCAACGATCAGGTCCAAGTATACAAACAAGCAAGACTCAAACATCTAATACCCCAGCCAAGCTTTTTATGTAGGAACATCTCTCGGACAGCTTTTCCTCCTGCAATAGCTGTCGTCTTTCTCGGCATTTAGCAGACTCCATGGATCCAAAATTCAATACCTGCCCAATAACTTGCTACATCTTACCAGCCACGAACTTCTCTTCGCGCATTACGTCTTCAGTCGCTGTTTCTCTCACAGTTCTACCCTTCTCGCTATTATTTATCAAAAATACTGGCCCTGTTCCATGAGGGCCGCCGATCACTTGGACGTTGAAGCGTGTCGGCGCCTCCGTTTGATCTATATCGCTTTCGAATGCTACTGACCATTCCCTCCACTGCTTCTTGGCCCTCGAAGAGATCACCGGACTACTCGCGTATGCAAACGTAATCGAAGTTCTGGTCATATGGTCGGACAAATCTTGGCTGATATGTCTCCTTCAGGGAAGAGCCCATTGAATGTGTATGGTGCCTCTGCTCTATGGTTGATTCTTATAAATAGCATACCGTATTAATTAGTTTCTAATACATCATACTACACCTTAACACTATTCCAGCATATTTTTATTAACCTCGAAATAAAATAAAGAACAGTCACGTGCTATTCAAATAGTACTTGAGCCAGCTCACACGATCCTCAGCCTCACGCCCGGCGAACACTATGACTACGGCTTACCCCGACAACACTCATCTATTCCAACCCTGAGTTGAGGACAAGCATACAATTTTGGGCTACAATAAACCAGAGCAACCCAACTACCATCGCGCTTGTATTACCGTTGCGTCCGACCCACAGCTGCCTATATTCTTTCCCAAATTTCGACGAGGCAGTTCATCGTCTGCCGTTCCACAGCCGACAAGTATCCTCAACTTGTGGAATATCTGAGACGGCCCCTCGTCCTAGACGCGAGTGACGTAGAAGTGTCAGAATGAGGCTCCTCAACGCCACAACGTTGAAGCTGGACGAATTCTGGGACAGCAGACACGCTCCCCGATACGCCATCCTGTCTCACACCTGGGAGAAGGAAGAAGTTTCGTTTAAAGCGATCGAAAATCTTGATTCTGCAGCTCAAGTCATTGGATTCTCAAAAATCCGTGGTTGCTGTCAGCAGGCACTTGCGGATGGGTATGACTGGGTATGGATCGATACATGTTGTATTGATAAGAGTAGCTCCGCAGAACTTTCCGAGGCTATCAATTCGATGTATCGCTGGTATGAAGAATCTGCTATTTGTTACGCGTACTTGGCCGATGTTCCATCCGACGACGACCTTCAGGCTCCCGAGTCCGCGTTCTCCAAAAGTCGATGGTTCAGCAGGGATTGGACACTACAAGAGCTGATTGCGCCTAGCCAAGTCATCTTCTTCTCTAACAACTGGAAGGAGATTGGGAGGCTTCGCAGCCTTTTCTCTCAAGTCTCGAAGATTTCTAGAATTGACGAGGCCGTCTCATATGACGGGTCCAACCTTGATATGTTTAGCATCGCGCAGAGGATGTCAAGGGCGTCTCAGAGATCTACAACCCGCGTGGAGGATATAGCGTATTGTCTCTTTGGAATATTCGACGTGAATATGCCGCTTCTATATGGGGAAGGAGAGAAGGCATTTCTTCGCCTTCAAGAGGAGATTATGAAACGCTCAAATGACCAATCTCTTTTCGCCTGGACCGGATGCATCGCGAATCCTCCCCCGTCCAGTTACAGTGGCTTCCGGGAAGATTAGGGTTGGTTCGGAGGTCTTTTAGCGACTAGCCCTGTTGACTTCGAACGAAGCAATATCTACTATTCCAGTCCTTTGGCTCGGAAACGCATTGTGCCTTATTCAATGAGCAATAATGGACTCTGTATCGACCTTCTAGTCTTCGAAGTACCCAGAAGAAGACGTTACGGGCGGCCAAGTACTGAACATGTTGCGGTTCTGAAGTGTTCATCAGAGCGTCCCGAAATGGAAACCCTCATCGGAATCTACGTAGATTTGGATAGCCCTCATTATAGGCCCGCAGAGGTGACAGGGTCTCGCCGCCCGCCCGAACGTCCAATAGTCTTAAAATCGACTGGTTTTGAAATTGATGAATGGGTCAGCTTTGAGTGGCCCAACTCTCCAGACGGCGTAAAGGCCCGTTGGCGAACACTCTATATACCCCAAAAATCCCAATTTCGTCGACTTTATTAATAAGAGCGAAAGAGGTATCCTCAGATAATACGTACTGTATCCTACGATTTCTTGTATATAAATACCATCAGCATTCCTGTTATCGTCAGCATTCTTACGTGCTTGAAAGCGCAAGTGTTGGTGCATGCCTTTGACATACCTGCCTGTACGGATCAGTTCAGACTGACGATCAGGAATAAATTCGTCATCTACTGATGGGATGAAAGTAAAGAGGCTAGTTGGCGGATGGTTCATGGCGGCATAAGCAAGAGAAACCCTGAGAATATCTTCAAATGAGAGGGCCTTGAAGCATACAAGCATCTGTTCCGCTTCCAAGTCCCTACAACCCACTCTTTCCACAATTGCAAGCGTGTGGATAGTTGTAGCATTGCTAGTAATGTTCAATGCTGTTCCCGGAGGCCCGAAATCGTCCAGACTTGCTGAAATGGGACACCTTGGCTCCCGCTGTAGACCATGGGATGTATTGAAGTTAGCGTCCCAGCTGCGCTGAGCCCGTATACAGTTGATTCGATTAGGATCACCTCCGAAGGACGCGATATTATCTTTGACCCATTGAAATGCCATTCGCTGGTCCGGCATGCCATTGTTCAGTGACTTCTAGTCTTTATGAATAGGAAGACGAGCGAAACCAAAAATTCCATGGCGATGATTGAAGGATACGTATATGACTGGGGTCTTTTCAGAAGCAGAAAACTTGATCAACTTCTCAGGGTTGGCGTGTGTGTCGTTCGCGGAACCTTTCACAACCCCTCCATTGGCAACCCAAATTGGATTGTTGGTCTTGTCTCTCAAGTTGAAACGAATAGAAAGAGGAACCTGACCTTTAACAACTCTGTCATTAACAACGTCAGATCGGATGCAAGAAAAGTAGGATTCGAGCAGCCCGAGTACTTTTCAGCTTTCCGTCTCCCATCATATAAATCGACGATTGGTCTAACATTGCATTTCATGTCTATAAAGCACTTTGGAGTCCATGCAGAACATGTGACTTGGTCCAGAATATAGTTCCCACCACAGAATCTTATTCCGGAGTTTTGAAGTTGATTTCATGAACGCTACTTGTTGTTGGAGTTCGTTGCATCCCTGTCGGAAACTGTTATCTGAATATAAGGGGCATCCGAGATAAACTAGACATCCATTTGACACCCGTCTCCCAATTGTCCCAGATTTGCTGCAGCACACTGAAAGCCGTTGTGACGTCTGCGAAACTTCTTCTCTCGTGAATACCCATCAAACGTCTTGCGAAGAATGTTCTGTACAGTGGAGAAGCACTCTTGGCCGCTGCGATGAAGTAAACCCAAGCCAAGCCACTCTCTCCTGGAGTGTTGCTTGGAATGAGGAGTGCTGTATCTTTCAACTCTTTCAAAAGAGCTTCAATATTTTCAGGAGGGTTGCCACATGTGGTGTGGTACGTGTAAATGGCACACGCTTGCTTCACTGCACTTTCGAGCGCGGAGAATATTTCATACATGTTATTGTGATTCAAGAAGAAAGGCTTTTCTGTGAGCAATGGTTGTACAACATGCTCGAAACTGATCATGTCATTTAAGGATCTTGAGAATTTCATGCAGGACTTACGTCTCTAACTGTTCCCTTAAGAAGGCAAGCAATGGTAAGTCATGAACAGCGTTACTTTCGATGATGACCAGATTCCATGATTTTGCCATGTCGAAGAGTATCGAGAAGTCACCGCCACCGTTCATCATGTCGTTGACTATGAGCACGACGATGGCTGCAAGTGTGAATACAGCGTCATCTCCGGTATCAGGTGGAAGAGTTCCGGTGGCCTGTGTCAGTGTCTGTATAGCAGCCGCTTGATACTGCATCGCAATTTTAGCGAGCCGGGGACTTTTGAATCGAAGATGATTAGCAGACGCTGCTAAAATTGTGTCCCTGAGTAGTTTGTGACTATAAGCCACTGGCAGTAGCATACCATTGAACCCATTCGATGCTCCATCAAAGGCCACTAGTGTGGGTGCAATGTTCTCAGAGACTACTTCTGATTAGTGATCAACCCAAAGTCATGGAGCATGACCGAAATACTCACAATTTAGTAGGAGCATTTGTGTTAATGCATCATGAACGTCGAGGCCAGCGCTGGGATCGATGTATTGGTTACACGAGCCCAAGCTTATGAGAGTTTCCGAGCGGATCACATCATGATCCAGTCGATGGCTAGCTCCCCAACAAGAATCTCCATGAAATTCTGCCTGTCTCATGAACAACCCTGGACCAAGCTGCTTATTCAGGAACCGAATCAAGATATGCAAGGTGATGTGACATTCTGTTTGGCTTTGGGCACGATGAGTGTCTTCCAACCCTCGATGACGAGCTTGCAATGTAGTATTCGGTTGCGAACTCGCTCCGACTGCTCGGAGTCGGAATATTTCATTTTCCAACTCCTCGATATAGTCTAGAGTCCGTTGACGATGTATTCTGTTGCTGATTGTTAGTGGCAATTTTCGCACCCTTAACGTCTTGGTGTTACCTTTGTGCTTGCAAAATTTGCCCTCGTCGTTTGTCACCGGAACGGCTGGTGACCACTTTAGGGTCAATGTTATGTCAACCATACAAGTTATTTATGGAGGAAAGGAACCAAAACATACAGTTCTGGATGGACGGCTCTACATAACGAAGTGCTCGCTGACCTAAAACCCTCTCTCGCCTCTGTACAATGGTTTCTCGTCTGTCTTTATCCATATCTTTTCGCTTCTGCTCGACGCTCACGAATTCTTTTCTGGGCATGGTCACTTGACATATTTTGGTTCTAAATACGATTTGGCATTACTTCTATTTGAATCAGTTAGCAAGATTGTTAGAGGTTAGTGCTCGGGTATGGACTTCCCAAAAGTGGGGGCGGTCACCTGGGAAAGCGTGGATAGTCTAATCGTAGATTAATCAGCACATAAGTACACTCTGGTTGACTCATCCTCGTGATATTTGGTGAAAACACCATCACCAGAAGAGCTTTGATCAACAGGCGTGTCGAAAAAGCTTGCTTGCGAAGACTTTCTGCTCATTACTTTACTAATCAACCTGGTGGACTAATCTGGAGTTTCTCAGTCTCCAATGGCCAACCTGGCACGATGGTGAGGATTATGGCGGTTGACGTATCCATGCTCTCCCAATGACTGTGTGCATATACATCTAGGTATTTTCTTTCTCGATATAGTTAAGCATCACCGTGACAGTTGATTTTAAACTTTATTTTCAAGACGAGGGTGAAGCCGCTTGCTTAATAAGCATTCTCGCTTCTCGCTAAGTAGAAAGGGGGAAAATGTTTAGGAATCATGACCTTGTTGCCTGGATGGTTTGGCACTTTTTGCTCCTCGGCTAGATCAGGGGTTAACCGCAGCTAGGCCTAAACAGAACGATCACAGTGATTGCCCCTGCATGTATGCTCCATCTGCCAAATACGTATTGATGATATGTTTCGTGAAGGAGTCGATTTTTTGCAAGGCCAGAAGTGAAATACGGATACTGCGTGCATGTAGATATACTTGCCAGGTTAGGAATTCCAAAGAAATTGTGTTAAAGATGCAAGTTATGGATACAGTGGCTAAGCCGATCTGTTGCTTGAGAACAAACGGGTAGATGGTTCATGAAGGGAAAATTGAGAGAATCCGGAACTATTGGGAAAATCCGACCCCAGTTAGCAAGCCATATCTTCATCCCAGCTAGATAAATAACTGTTGATTTGAGCTTTCGGAAATCTTGAGGACTTTGGAGCTTATTGCCTGAGTAGTTATGCAAGCATCACGAGGTGGCTGCATTGCATAATCGCAATCAATTGCAAGGGCTCCATGGGGTCGGATAGCAATACAGTGGCTTGAGAGCTGCATGACTCATCTGAAATTAGTCTATGTCGGTGAGAATATTCAACAAAGTCGAGAAGGGAACAAAAATCTTGTATTGTTACTACCAGAAATTCTTCAGATCTTTGTCACTCGCGATTCAGACAGCAAATTAGGAACGTTTATAGTACTGAACATGAAAGAGCATACTCTCCAGCTTCCACTATCGTCTCCATCCTTTCGGGTACCAATAACCCGAAGAATTCCGCCAGCTATCGCGGTATTACTTCGACAATTTTAGTCATATATTCAAGATGCTTCTCAATAATCTTAGATATAAATTCGTGGAAGTCATTACAGTTCCACTTTCCCAATACAATAATTGTTTTCGCATCGAGGGAACGCAATATTGATTGAAGCGGCGCATTTCCGAGAACCAATACTTCGGTTATCAATATTGATTGTTGCAGCGGCACAGTCGAAGAGGACCAACATTTCATTTGTCAAAACTGATTGTAGTGGCACAGTTAAGAGGCACCAAAACCTTATTTCTTTCCCAACTTTCGTGTCGGGTTACGCTCTTTGACATCCAACACTGTATTCACCATGTTTAAACCATATTTTTTGCAGGCTTTTGTATTATTTATCATCTTGAGGTCGACTCTCGCTCATACTCTAGGCCGCTCACAGAACGGATCTGTGTCCGACTGTCGATGTTTTCCTGTGGATCAATGTTGGCCGACTGCAGCTGAATGGGCTGCTTTCAACGAAACGATCGATGGGAAACTCATTGCGACTGTTCCCATTGCAAGCATATGCCATCACGATTCGTTTGCTCCTTACGATGCAGGAAAATGTGAGCAGCTTCAGGAAGACTGGCTTCTGCCCCAAACACACTATACCTCCTCTTCATCAATCATGGGCCAATTCTTTGCAAACATGAGCTGCGATCCGTTTACCGACCCTTCCGCTCAGTGCGTTCTGGGAACTTACGTCCAGTATGCTGTAAATGCCACGGGACAGGGTGATTTCAGGACGACGATGGCTTTTGCTACCGACAGAAACATTCGCTTTGTCGTCAGAAATACAGGTCACGATTATTTTGGGAAGTCTACTGGGTCTGGAGCGCTTGGTCTTTGGACTCACAATATGAAGGATATCGAATTCTTTGAATACAGCTCGTGTAACTATACCGGGAAAGCGATGAAGATGGGTGCTGGTGTGCAAGTCATGGAAGCATTGACAGCCGCCCATAATCAGGGTCTCGTGGTGGCAGGTGGGCAATGTCAAAGTCTTGCGGTTGCCGGCGGGTATACCCAAGGCGGTGGTCATTCCTTCATGGCATCACTAATCGGCCTCAGCGCTGATCAGGTGCTTGAATGGGAGGCCGTCACAGCCACTGGCGAATATCTTGTCGCCACTCCTTCTGACAATGAGGACTTGTATTGGGCTCTTTCCGGTGGAGGCGGCGGTACATATGCAGCAGTGCTTTCGGTGACCGTGAAAGCCTATCCAGATCTCGAGGTAGCCGCAGCTAACTTGACATTCACAATAAGTGAGGGCGTTTCAACAGAGAGCTTTTTTGCGGTCGTTCAGACTTGGCTGCAGAACCTTCCCGCCATCGTCGATGCTGGAGCAGTCGCACTCTGGACACTAGCAGACGGATACTTTTCAGTATCGCCAGTCTTCGGGCCAAACCTAACCGTGTCAGAGCTACAAGTTTTGCTCCAACCGACACTAACAGCGCTAAACCAGAGTGGAATACCATACTGTATGTCCTGCCCATATACTTCAACCTTCTCCCCACCATTTTCTCAAATGCTTCGACAATGAGCTAAAACGCTGATTTGCAACCAGCATCCTATTTCGCCGGGTATCCAACCTTCCTGGATGCGTACAATGCCATGAATCCTTTCGAGCCTGTTACAGATGGGAATATGGGAGCATATCTCCTCCCACGAGAACTCGTTACATCTGAGACTAATGCCTCGGCGCTTACTGATGTACTTAACAAATTAGTCACTGGTACAAGCGTTGTCACGGGCGGTGTGTCTCTCAACGTTGCTCGAGGCCAAGATATCACTCAACCAGTGGCAAACTCAATAAACCCTGCTTGGAGAGATGCTATTCACTATTTTGCATTCGGACTGTAAGTAGCTCGTCACCCTAGTCTTTGGTCAAAATCTGGAGACTGACGGCGTGTACTCGACCAGCCCCTACAATCGAACCAGCCTCCCAGCCAATGTAGAGGAGTGGAACTTGATCACCAACGTCTACGGTCCAAGTATTGATGCGCTGGTGCCAGGCGGTATGTCAAGTTATCTGAACGAGGGAAATCCTTTTGATCCAGATTGGAAACGAGTCTTTTACGGCGATAATTACAATCGACTCCTGGACATCAAGGAAAGGTATGACCCAAACAGCATCTTCTATGGCTTGACCTGTGTCGGAAGCGACGGTTGGGAAGTACAAGAAGATGGCCGTCTCTGTAGGGTCTGAAGCTAGGGGTGGTAGACCATGTTGCGGAGAAAGTATAAGCGATGTATGTCTTAATTCCAGCAATAAGTCCCACAACATTGGAATTGGAAATTCAAGATAGACAATGCACTCTTTGGAGGAGCGAGCGCCTCTTCACGACTGTACTGCCCAATATATTCAATTGATGTTTCTGCGTGCAGTCTCTTCACAAACTTTCGAACATCGTCCGCGTAGTTGCTTCGACTGTCGAGAATATCGCACACATTGCATAATGATCCAACTTTGAAGATTTTTGGCTATTTAACCTGGCACTTACAGTTTGGGCTTTCTTGCTACTAATAAATACATCGGAGTAAATATTCCTTGGCGGCCAGCAGTGACCAATGCGTCTGCTCCCTTGCCCATGGTGTCCAGCGTTTTCTTTGCGCCGGTCGGTGCAATGTGGAGCATTGCTAACAAGCCCAAGAAAACGGAAGCAAGCATAACGCCCCACCTGGTCTTCTTCAAAGTTGAAATGAGTTCCCATATTGTCTGAGCATACCTGAGATCTCCTCCCATCGGCCAGTACCACGGCGCATAGTCAAGGCGATCTTCGTCCACAGCCAGGTCCCTATGTACCACCAGCTCCAGACCAGCTGCCTCAATGGCTGCTAGACCGTCCGAAATATTGACCATATTCGATATTCCAAAGGCTTGTTCGATATCGACACGGATGCGGCGATGAGCCAGGTTGTCGTTATCATACTCCTCCGTCAACAGCCATTCGTAGATGCCAACCACGCCTCCTGGCTTCAGAACACGGCGTATCTCCTTATAGACCCCTTCGAGTGAGGGAGCATGTACCGTTGCTTCGAAGGCATATACAGCGTCGAATGAGGAATCTGGGAACGGCATCGCCTGTGCAAATCAATGATCAGCAGTGTCTAATAACAAGGAACCAAAAAGAGAACGTTAATGTACCGAAATGAAAGAAAGAACTCAGACTTACCATAAAGTCGCCTTGGACGAATTCGAGCTTATGCGAAAGTCCCGCCCTCCTGCTGTACTTCTCGGCGTGTTTGAGCTGGTACTCGCTGATATTCAACCCCGTCACATGGCAACCAGTGAACCTCACCATCTCCCGAGCTGGTCCTCCCACACCACATCCGACATCCAGGACCTTCATGTCTTCCTTGATGCCGATGCAGGCCCCAAGATAGTGTTCGTGGCGAGCTATAGCCTGCGAGAAGCTCTCGCCACGGGCAAAGCGACAAAAGTGCAACGACTCGCCCCAAGCATACTCGTAGATGTCGGTGGTCAGGTTGTAGTATTGCCTGGTCAAGCTGGAATAGTCCTTTCTCCGGGCTCGTCTCATGTCCTCTGTTTCATTCTCGACATTTTTGTTTTCCCAGTGCTTGAAATACTCATCCATAGCGAGGCTATGTAAGACTTTGTCTTTACTGATCAGCGCACGTAGGCCACCTTGAGAACTGGCTGAGCTACGATGCAGGTCGCTGTCGAACGCAGAAGATGTAAATGCCGTTGACGTATTCGTCTGCTCTGTCGGTGCAGCTTCCATTTCCATCTTTGCTGCCATGACGACCTGACGACCTGACGACCTGGATAAATGACAGAAAAGTATTTGGTGTTACTTGAGACTTCTCCTTTAATGGTATGTAGGAATATGAAAGAAAGAAATGAGAAAAAGAAATGAGAACCAAAAGCTCGTATTCAATTCGATCGATTTAGAAGGAAACGAAGTGGAACGGTGTTTGACCCGGCTACGGTTAAAGAAAAGACGGCGCCTGCAGGAAATTGACAATCCGAGAATCAAACCAACAGAAGAACCCCTGGCTCGGTGCTATATAATTGGGGGCCGGAATACGGTGCTGCAAAAGCCTACGGAGCACGACAGCGCATATGCATATGCACTACGGTACCTTCCTAGGCCCCTGAATTCAGGCTCCAATTACCGAATGGACGGCTTCAGGCTTATTGTTGCTATGAGCGGTCTCGTGTAGCGATTGCTTACTTGTAACTGAGTGCCAGTCCAGGCAGTTCTGAACCAGACCTCCCGATATCATATTACCGCCTCTGTCTTCTTTTATCGATATTTGTTGCTCGTTCTCTCTTTACGCATGCTTCTCTCCAACTTCGATATCGTCTGTTGAACGATTGATGAACCCGACGATTCCAGCTCAAACAACTCCCCCATTCCCTCGAGCTAATTATGGCTACAGACAAGGACCAGGACGCGGCCTCGGTAGGCGTCCATACTGAAGCCACCAGCAGCGCTCAGCTTCCGACCTTCGCAGTCGAACCACCTGAAGCGCAGAGTGAGTATGTGTACGATCGCGATTATCGATTCTGGTCCATTATTATCGCGCTGTGTACTATGCAGGTCCTGTGTTCGCTGGAAAACACCGTCGTCGTCACCTCTCTCCCTACCATCGTCCAGCAGTTGGGTCTGGGAAGCAGCTACATTTGGGTCACCAACATATTTTTCCTGGCAACGTGAGTTTGATGTTTTTTGCTGCCTTCACACTCCGCTGAACAAGACTCAGATCCGTTGTGCAGCCGCTCACTGGCCAGCTGGCCGGCCTCTTTGGCCGTCGCCATGTCGCTCTCGCTGTCGTCGCTCTGTACACGCTGGGCAGTGGTCTCGCAGGGGGCGCAAACGGACCAGCCATGCTCATCGCGGGCCGTGCCGTTCAAGGTGCGGGGAGTGGTGGGATGACGGCTATTATGGGCATTGTGATCTCAGACCTCGTTCCTCTCCGCTTGAGGAGCAGTTATCAGGCCATCCTCGCCATGACTTACGCAGTCGGTATGGCGATTGGCCCTGTCGTGGGTGGTGCTATTGTCCAGACGACGACGTGGAGATGGGTTCGTGACTGACCACACCTATTCCCGCGGAGACTGCATCTGACTGACGATAACTCTTGATCTTTAGGTGTTTTATATCAACCTCCCAATCGGCGGCATCTCTCTCGTCCTTCTGTGGCTATTCCTACGTGTCAAATGGGACAAAGAGACCAAGACCTGGGACAAGCTGAAACGGATTGATGTCGTGGGCAACGGCGTCTTGGTAGCATCCACGGTATCAGTGCTCATCGCGCTGACTTGGGCCGGCTCTGTATACCCATGGTCGTCTTACCGTATCATTGTCCCGCTCACGATCGGTCTCGCAGGACTCGTGGGCTTCTTTTGCATTGAGGGTTCCGCATGGGTGCCGGAGCCTGTAATGTGTGTCCCCCATCACCCAAAAGAGTGCAGCCCTAATTTGGAACGTTGGCAGGCCACTTCGTCTTTTCGCAAATCGTACCTCAATAATTATATATGCGAATACCTTTGTCGTCTCGATCCTGAACTACTGGATTTTCTTTTTCCTGCCTCTCTATTTTCAAGCTGTCCGATTATCAACACCCACACGCTCGGGCGTACAAATTCTACCCATTACCTTGATTGCTGTGCCGGGAGCTGCGGTCGGAGCCGTTGCATTATCTAAATGGGGCAGATATAAGCTGCTTCATATTATCGGCTTCGCGTTCCTTGCCGCTGGGCTCGGCTCCTTCGCCGTACTTACAAAGAACTCGAGCACAGCAGAATGGGTGTGCCTCCAGTATGTTGAAAACAGCACTCTCATTTCCCATTTGCAGTAAGATCTGAGCTCAGGAAACTGTTCGGAGGCGTTGACGCGATGATGGAAAGCGGATTCATAAAGACTACAGAGTTTCGGTCTTGAGATCTAGTCCTCGGCTTCAGAGGCAGTTGAGAAAGCCTATACTAACTTGTCAACAGAATCCTCCCATCCATCGGCGCGGGCATGGTTCTAGACACCTTGCTACCGGCCTTCCAAGCAGGCGTGGGGGAGGTGGATTCCGCCGCAGCCGCAGCAAGCTGGTCCTTCGTCCGCAGCTTCGGAAATATCTGGGGCGTTGCGATCCCTGGAGCCATCCTCAACATCTACAGTAGTCGGTATGCCACTGATATCATAGTTGATCCAACAGCGAGATCGTCCCTTCAGAATGGCGATGCGTACTCAAGGGCGACACGAGACTTCGTCGAGTCATTTTCCGAGCCAACGCGGAGTCAGATCGTTGAGGTCTTTACCAAAGCCCTGAGCAAGGTCTTTCTTATTGGCATTGTATTTCCAGTACTGTCATTTATCCTGTCATTCATGGAGCGGGAGGTAAAGCTGCGGAAAGTGCTTGAGACCGAGTTCGGGCTTGAAGACAAAAAGAAACCAAAACCTAGCGAGAAAGTCTGAAGGCTTTTGATCTAACTTTGGATCAGGGAGGGCTTCATTGCTCTGTGTTTCCATGTACTTCACTTCGTACTTGTTCCCTTTTAATACCGCTTCATAAACCTATGTATCCTGGCACTACATTCTTTATTCAACACAACCCTTGAAGTTGAAAATGAGGGAACGAATTTGTCATTACTTGGATATGATGTTATAGTGATAATTCTCTATTTAAGAATGATCCTACTGCTCTCCATTCACAGCTGGACGCCTGATATTCCACCACACTTTCCATAGAGTCTTCTACCATCATCTATTGCTCAAGAGAGGTATCGCATATAGGCTGGCGTGCCAAAGACACCAAAGCCTCCATGTCCGAGCATCTTGTTGTTGCTCGCGTTTGACCAGGACCCTTACCGCTATGAGAGCTGCCAGAAGAAAATAAAACGAGGAACAGATTACACCCAGCTTCCAGAACCTCACAGAAAATAATGACCATAGGGGGATTAAGCATGCCAAAGCAACCCGACATGAACGATCTCCCAGCAAAAGCGGCATTGTCTTTCGCCCAAGCTTGCGATCACCCTTTTGATCTTTCAGATCCTGAATGTGCATGGTCGTTAGAACAATGGTGCTTATTACCGCTGTCCAAAGTCGACCTTCGGAGCTGACGGTGTTTTCTGGGCCAATTGCGAGTTGTAAAGATGTTTGATTGGCGAGACCGTAGGAAATAGCGATAATAACGTCTCGGAAGAGCCCACTGCCTCCTCTCAACTCATTGTAATAATAGCTGAGAACCTGTACCAATAGTCCTTCACTCCAAATTCCTAATACATGATTGAACCCAAGGGCAGCTAGCGCGGTGTAAAGTATCGCTTTGCGGGTCTGCTCGGACGTGATCTGCCCGGAAGGAATAGGCCGCCATGGTTTGTTGACACGGTCTTCTTCAACAGACTCGGGAGATTGTTGGTTGGCGAGATCGAAAAGCAAGAGACTGTAGAAGTTGAAGAATAGTACCGAAGGTCCTCGTCTTAGGACGTCGATCAGGAGAGGCGGCGGCCCTTCCAGAACTCGGGAGCTTGCAAGAGCACTCACAAGTCCGAAAACCGTATTCGGAACAGCAAATGTGAAGAAGTCACTCTCAATGAATCCCCATGATATGCGTAAAACTCTTAATGTGGTCGGAAAGAAGTTGCAAGCCGATTTCAACTTCTGACCTTGACTGGTATCCCAACATTGAGGGACTGGCAAGTTGAAGAAGGCGATTTGCTTTCTGGACATTTGATTGAGAGGGATGCAAACCACCATGGCAGCAATAATGAAAAAGTTTGTATAGGAAAGTATTGAACAATGTCTGGCATTAATGACATCATTCGGTCGCCTTGGGCTTACGGGTCTGCGTGCGCCTTGCTTCCTAAACGGTGCACGTGTATGAGCAAAGTAGATATATCAATGATACGTAAATAAACTTCTTTTAAGAGATACCAAAAAAAGGGAAAAAAAAATTAGAATACAACATAATCTCTGGGTCACAACCCCACGCCGAAGAGCCCTTGCAATCACGACGTTACCTCACGACTTTTGTCTCAGTAACCATAAAAAACGATCGCAACATCCAACAATTCAAGGCTATACTTAATTGGTTAAACACACCGAAGCTCGTATATGCGAGCCATATGGCAAATGGCATCAGTTTGCTCGAAACGTTCACCTGCTACCCCGGAAGCAAAAACATGAGATCGTCAGCGGCACAATATGCAATGCACGCTGCAATGGTCACTTATTTGCAGGGTCATTTTAGCCGCACCGTTGATTGTCCAATACATAGCCCAACTGGATACCGGTACAGTGGTACTCGCATTCGGTTTTTCGCAAAAGGGCTTCTTCTAGCGTAGCATTGCAGTCATCTGCGCTGTGTTACAGTTATCTAGGCAGCATGGTAGTTATCGGCGCAGCAATGCAGTGCTGAGTTATATCTCGGCCTTGAAGCAGACAAGGATCGGCAGCCCACAAAGTATGTCAGTCATCCTGCCAAATTGGAATATGATGTGGTCAAAGTCGACCAATCCATTTGCTGCTAAGATTTGCCGGCAGGGCAGCTACTACTTGCATTCGATCCGGTGCTGCAGAAACATTCATTTCATGGTAAGCCAGGGTTCGCTTCCGCTGAGCCTCAAGCCTACCTCCGAAGTTGAGAGACCCCTCCTACAGAGCTGCAAGCACTCCCTTTGGAACAGGCTCTGAATACGAGAACATTTTACAGTAACATAAATGCTAGAGTTTTGACCAACCAAAGTCGTATTACGCTAGTTCTGCGGCTTCTGCAAAGTTTTGATAAGCGTTCCTTTGACAGCCTGTCTTGCCGTGCTTTCTTGTCTTCTACAATATCCAAAATCGACGTCGAACAACGAACTTTCTCTGGAATAATTCGCTCATTGTTGTGCGTTGCTTACTTCAAGCTCAAAACATGATTCGAGGGTCCAAGTCTTGGTCTCTAATGGGATGGATCATATCATTCTCCATCCTCACTACAATAGCTGTCCTGCTGCGTTTCTGGTCAGCCAAAATACAAAAGAGAAAGTTTTTTATGGATGATGGGTTTGTAATTGCTTCATACGTGAGTGGGGATTTACTTTTATCGACGCGACCTCGATGGTATTATTCTAACAATTGTTGTTTCAATAGGTGGCGATGCTTGCTCAGCAGGGAGTGTGTATATGGGCCATTGTCAATGGCATGGGGAATCGTGAAGTGGATATGACTATGAAAGAGTTACTACTACAAGCAAGAGTGTGTCAAAAAATTTCTATGGCTTCACGGGCAAGTTTCGTCAACGTCATCGCTAACTTGGCTGGAAGGTCCTTGTTGCAGTGTCCACGACATGGATCTTTAGTACCACGGTCATCAAGTTAGCTGTCCTTGCATTGTACCTACGAATCTTCACTACACCTGGATTTCGACGATGGGCGGTCTCTCTTATGGTCATCGATGTTTGTTTTGGGATTACCTTCCTTGTTGTCTTCATAACACACTGCAACCCAGTCTCCCAACAATGGGACCCTGTTCCGTGGGGCTCGTGCAGGTCTCTGACATCCTCTGAGTTATCTTCTATCTCTCTCAATCTGGTCCTCGACACGGCGATTGTTGTCCTGCCTATGCCGTGGCTTTGGAATCTACGAATGGCATTAAGCCACAAACTTGTTGTGATGGTCATGTTTGGTTTCGGCTTTGCGTGAGTTACTGCCCATAGATCTCAACATTCTTTCTTTACGCTGTCTCCAACGACCCAGGGCTGACCCTTCTTACAATAGAACTATCGCCATCATGTGCTACCGTCTCGACCAAACGGTCCATAGTGACCCAGATCCAATGATTGCTACTGCAAGAATTGGCCTCCTAAGCAATCTCGAACTCTGGCTCGGGATCATTGTTACCTGCTTACCTACAATGGCGCCTTTCTTCAGGACAAATCTGCTACCCGGCCTGTCAAAGCTCTCCCGTAAGCTCTATGGTAGCTCAGCTCCGTCCTCAAAAGAGGAGACTCCACGAGTGCAGCTAAGGACTTTTGGTGGCTCCGGACCTCCCGTATCCAAGGACAACAAAAACTACACGGAGCTGTCTGGAGTATCCATCTCTGTAGACGAAGATTATGACAAGCTATATCTTGTGCCGAACGAAGCGCCCAAAGTCTATACAGATTGCGAGTTCAGCAATACGGAAGTGTCGCCAAGCAGCGATGGAATTCATGTACAAAAGCAATTCCAGACAATGGATACGTAACCAGGAGTCGTTCATATTGTGCTTTTGTGCACGCATAGTGCATTAATTTGTGAGGATTCATGCGGGTCTCCACGATCGCTGGCCGGTAATGAAAGAGATATACTTTGTACACTACCCAATGTAAATCTGATAAAGCACTTTTGCCACCTTAAGAGACTTGTTCCAAATTAGATCTCCGCCCAATCTATCTACAAGTTCACCTTCAGATAATTAAGTTGCCTCAAGCTTCGAAAGCAACTATTTGCACAAAACACATTTACACATTTTGTGCACTCGCATTTTCGTTAAAATATGAATTTCAACACTAATAATGCTTAATAATAACTTTTAAGCTGAATCTAGTAAGTAAGTTATATGTTTAGTAAATACTATAAGTCTTGTATTTTCAAAGTTGCTTTTTTCCTAATAATACGCTGTTCGGTCATGCCACCTATTTGGGCCATGCAAGGAGCATTTCTCTTGCTTTAGCAATTTTGGTCTCTGTTCAGCTTAGGTCATTGGTGCCATGCATTATAAACCCCTGACTATTTCTAGGATTGAGGCAAATCTAGTACAAATGTTGGAAAAGTGCCAGGCACCTGTAGGCTTGTCATATCTGGCATGGACCCTGCTGTCATGTATTACTATTTTAAGGTCCCCGTAGCTGTGCAGACTCTTCGCACCTTCACAGTCCTAAAAGATAAATTCGGTCCGTTTGCCCCTCCTGCGGCATTTTTACTTGCAGATTACTCTTTTTGGTGGCTTGGCTAGCTTTTGCTTACGTGGGTGTGGAACTCACTTGACGCCGACAGGGCTGCAGGAAGGCTGAACGACTACTGCTTTGAATCTAAGTTACTGTACCTAACTTCGTATGGTTAAGAGACAGAACATTAGCAGCTACCCAGCTATGTGGAAACTCGGTTAAACACATCTGCAGTCTCATTTTTAGCGCGCAAGAAATCCAGTGAGTTTACTGCCTGTCCAGAAAAATGGCAAGCGCCAACGGCTCGCTCCCCAATTTCCTTCGTTTGCTTCCATTGCCATACCATTTCTCCGTGTCACCATTGGGGTCTACTCTTCGAAAATTCCTGCTTTCACTTTGATGTCCCCAATTATGGGATATACCAATATGATCACTACTGCGGGGTTTTTGTTTTCTCTCGGTGGGGCCCTTTCAGGTGTTGCTATTCACCATGGACTTTTCATCCACGGGGAGTGGCATCATCAAGCACCGAACATCCTACGATCTTATGCAGGTATTTTCGGCTGCGTAGCAATATCTCAAATGTTCATTTACGGCTCGAATGCTACTAGTATACTGACTTCTGGTCTTGTCGTGGCAAGCATATTGCATGTCTTCAGCTTGATAGCAAGCATCCTGGTCTACCGTGGCCTCTTTCATCGCCTCAATAACGCCAACTTTGATGGTCCATGGTGGGCACGATACACTAAGATTTGGCAGATATGGGAGAATAGACACTCAAAGAATCATCTGTATTTGCACAAGCTATATCAAAAGTACGGTGATGTGGTGAGGACAGGTGAGTTTTCACCCAAAGCAAGCAAATTATTATGCCTGAGTACTTGACTAAGAGACTTCTATCAGGTCCTGCCGAAGTCACCGTATTCATTCCCGAAGCTCATGAAGCAGTTGGCGGCCGTCAGTCTGAGTGTATAAAATCGGAGTTTTATGATCTCTTATGGCCCGAACAAGCCCTATTTGCTGCTCGGAACAAAGCAGTCCATGCAAAACGACGAAAAGACTGGCAGTATGGATTTTCTCCCTCAGGTTCATTCCCATTGCTCCTAGTCAACCGATAAATATCTAATAATATCGTCACCACAGCTATTCAATATCATGAGGCGAAGGTGCTCAAGTGGATCGATGAGCTTGACAGACAGCTAGAGGGAAAAGCCAAAGATGGCTCGATTGTCGATGCGACTGAATTTCTCCTATGGTTCACATTTGATATCATGGGTGACTTCACTTTCAGTAAGTCATTTGGGATGCTTGAGAGCCAGAAATGGCACAACATAATTGTCAAGACTCAGAATGCTAGAACACTGTTGGGTCCGCTTACCGCAACGCCTTGGCTTCTGCATATTGGAGTAAAGTTACTACCACGGATTCTGTGGGTAAAAGACTGGTACGAGTCAGTTGAGTGGTGCCAGGCACAGATGGAGGAGAGGCTTTCAAATGGATCCCAGCCCGGAGTTCCAGATCTTACCTCTTTTTTCATGGAAAACAACAAGGGAGACAAAGCGGATCCATGGCTCAGAGGAGATAGCTTGTTGGCGATTCTGGCAGGCAGGTGAGCATTCTATCAGTCAAAATCTCTCAATATATATGTTGGGCTGATGACTTATAGTGAGCCCACTGCTCAGATCTTGGCAGCAATCTTTCATGAGCTCTCGATGCACCCTAAGCATATAGACAAGATTCGCGAAGAACTGAGCGAAGTGTGTATTACCGACTTCAAGGCTCTGACAGATCTGCCGCACCTCAATGCTGTCATTCAGGAGGCAATGCGCCTCCATCCAAATCTTTTGACTGGGGGCAGCCGGAAGACAACAGAAAATGGAGTCACTATTGGCGATGTATACATTCCTCCGCATATCACGGTGATCACACCACACTACACTATTGCCAGACGTATGTCCTTCCACTAAGACCAATCACTCTGAATACTTTATGCTAATAAGTCCAGGCGAGGATTGCTTTGAACAAGGCACCAAATTCATCCCAGAACGCTGGACCACCAAACCCGAGATGGTGCGCAATCCAAAGGGACATATCCCTTTCAGCATTGGTAAGAACATTCTGTTCTAACATCTAAACCTCAAAAATGGTGAATTGCATTGTTATAATGTGGATGCTAACTTTCACGACAAAATTCAGGTCAGTATAACTGCATTGGGCAACATCTGGCATGGCGTATTATGAGATACACAGTCGCCCGGATTGTTTGGAGGTATACTTTCCACCTGGCACCAGGGTATGATGGACACAATATGGAGGGTGACAAGGTCGACAGATTCACTGCCTTTCCTGGAATTGTGCCACTTTGTTTCAAGCTCAGGGACTGAAAGAGTATTTGAGTACGTGGTACTTGACGTTGGCTGAGATTAAGCATGTATTTCATTGAATTCTGCATGCAACTGTAGTTATATAGCTTTTAGGCCTGAATTGGAATTTCTTCGGATCTATATATGCCTGTATTACCTGCATTGGAAATTGCCCAAACAATCGGGCAATCGTGTGGTATAAGTAAATGTTAGTCTCAATTGTATTCCCCCCACACTTCAAATTGCTATAAAGCTTATAATAGGAGAATTAATTAGTGGCTCATTGCCGGCTCATTCAACTTTTCAAAATAAAGCTCGGGCAACCTTGCCGTTTGCAGGACTAGCCGCATTACGAACGCAGCCGCACATGCAGCCCACATGTGCCGCACACCCCGCATGCCACCCGCAGTACCAATATTCTGCACGTCCAACATGCTGACATACGCCGGAGTCAAACATGTTGCAAGCCACCCGAAGATGATACCAACATTGATATTGCCAACATTTAAATCACCAACATTCGGGGAGGCAGTGATGGGATTCGTCGGACAAGCAGGCTACTTTCGTTGCTTACCGCAGATTCAGCAATGCAATGTCTGTCAGAAAATCCACCGATTGGTATGAAGGCACAGACCGGCACTTGACAAGATCATGAGAGTCGAGATATTATTGAACACTAATCCGAGAATTTACCAACCACCCTCAAGAGCGAGGGACGTGCAAAGTATTGGATGCAGATATTCCCTGCAGGCGTTCGCCGAAGCAACAAATAATCTTCCTACAGTCGTCGTTTTGGAAGGTTTCATTGAATTCGGCAGGCAATTAAATGTTGGTAGTTCGCCAACTTGGAAAATGGTCTTGCATACCCTATAAGCTTCATCGGGTTCGATCGGACGTCAGGCTTAGAACTATAGGGCCATCTAACGCTTGATCCTCATTCATCGGGTGTTGTAGTATATTTTGAGTTCCGGGCCCTGTCGAACTACCACTTTATGCCGCATTCTTGGCAATATGCACGTCTGCTATGTACCACAAATTTCATCTTTCATACTTGTCAAAGGGTAGAGACATGGAGCAAGTAAAGTATCGGCCTGATGTGGACTCCCAAGGTTGCCAAGGTGTTGTGCAAGGAGTAACGTAAGGGATCGACGACTAACGCCCCCAACCTGCGTATCATCCGTTTGATCGACTGACTGACTGGTTAATTGATGGATTTGATGGATTTGGTCATACGCGAGATTTGAATTGGCTTTGCAATGACCAACGAGGATCACTTGTAGATGTTCAGTCAAGGGAGCTGGTGGAACAACGCAATTGTTTACCTTTAACCGCCGAACAACATATTCTGGCTTTCTGTCGCTCTTTCAGATTAAACACTTGACAGAAAAACTCTCTTAAGCAGAAATTTGCCAAGTCTTGACCTCCCTTGTCCAATTCCTTCCTCGAATCCTACTTATTTGTTCTGTCGAGATATCATCGAAATGTCTTCGGAAATCTATGATATTGTCATCATTGGTGGCGGTACTTCGGGCCTTGTTCTGGCCAACCGTCTCTCCGAGGATCCGAATTTACAAATTATCGTTCTCGAGAGCGGCGAAGATCGTAGCGCAGATCCGAATACATTGACTCCGGGGGCTTGGCCGTTGCTTTCGAATTCTCCAGATAATTGGACATTCCAAACGGTCCCACAAAAAGACCTCGTGAGGCAGATCACAGTCCCGCAGGGGAAGGCTCTGTACGTTGAAAACAACCTTTTTTCCCCTTCACAACAAGACCTCAAAATCCATCATGGAGAGGTCAAAGACAATAAGAAACAGGATTATCAAAATTTACAAGGTTTCAGCTTTTCCTATCTGCTTCTAAGGTCCCGAACAATCAGAGAAATCCAATACTAATTCATCAATAGCGGAGGTTCGAGCGCAATCAATAGCTTTCTGTTCACCTCCACGTCCAAGGCGACGGTGGAAGGATGGAAGAACCTGGGCAATGAGGGCTGGGACTATACCGCGTACGAGAAGGCTCTGAAGAAGTCATTCACTTTACATAAGCCCTTGGGAGTGACTGAAGGGAGCGGTCCACTCCAGGTTACACTTGGTACACCTGAGAGTCTTTGGCAGAAAGCCTGGATTGACGGCCTAGAATCGGTGGGGTTCCCGAAAACCGATCCCCTCTCTGGCCATCTAGGCGGTCCCAATATTGCCCCTGAGAGTATCGATCCTCGAACGAAGCAGAGGAGCTATGCTACCAATGCATATCTGGACCCAGTTCGAAGCCGACCCAACCTGACCATTCGAACCGGAACGAGCGTCACCAAAGTGTTACTCGAGAGACTGTCATCGACCGACGATGCTGTTGCTAAAGGCGTTCAGTATATCTCCAAGGACGGATCTTCCCACAGTGCTGGAGTTCGTAAAGAGGTTATTATCTCGGCTGGGGCCATCAACTCGCCCCGTATTCTCGAGCTCTCGGGCATTGGTGGGGCTGATTTGCTTCAACATTTGGGAATCGATGTCATCGTTGACAACCCACACGTCGGCGAGAACCTTCAGAACCACGTCTTTACCGGACTGGTTTTTGAAGCAAGCGATGACGTGGAAACTCTAGATGCTTTCTTCCGCCAGGATCCCGATGCCGTAGCCACTGCCATGCAGGACTATGGCACGAAGGGGACGGGTCCTCTGAGTACCAGTAACATGACAACCATGGCCCAGCTTCCGCTGCCCGAGTTCCACACAGAGGTTGGACGCAAAGAACTTAACCAATTGTTCGACTTGAGCGCCCTAGATCCCGACTCAGACTCGGATACACGGACTACACCAGCCTTCGCCGCCGCACATAAGACCTTCGTACGCTCAATTCTCACCGATCCATCCGAAGCACTGGGCAACTACGTCTTCGGCGCAGGATATGCACCTTTTGACGGTCCCAGTCCAGCCTATCGTGCTCCCGGCAAACATGTCTCGGTTGCAATCGAGTTGTCTCACCCTCTCTCCCGCGGCTCCGTACATATCACCAGTGCCTCACCAGAGCACGTCAGCACGAATGAGGGCCTTAGAATTGACTCTCGCTACTTGTCGCACCCGCTAGATCTCGAGGTGCTTGCACGCCAGGTCCGCTTCACCGAGGACATCATCAGCCGCGCAGAGCCACTCACGCGTTATCTGAAGCCGTATACCAAGCGATTCACGGACTTGGCCGTGACAAAGGATTATGTTCGTCGCACAGTGGATAATGCTTACCATTACACTGGCACATGCTCGATGATGCCACGTGCCATGGGCGGCGTGGTAGACAACAGGCTGCGCGTCTATGGTTGCTCCAACGTTCGCGTATGTGATGCGAGTATTGTACCCTTAGAGCCAACGGCAAACCCTCAAGCAGTCATCTATGGGATTGCCGAGTTGGCGGCTAGCTTCATCAAGGAAGACACACTGTGAGTCGAGGACGCAAATAAATTGATCTCTTGAGCCCCACGAGCAGGTGGAAAGTCAGTATGAATGACGGAGTATGAAGGATAAAGGGGACGGAAACTTTCTTTCAAAATGCTTGCGTTATCTAGCTTTTGCGAATCTATGGTTGTTACTTAGGTACATAAGCAAACATACTATATTTGTTTTGACTCTCACGACAAGTACTCAGCACCAGTGGACTTGCTTCTTTAGTAAGACGAGTGGTGGCTATGGTAGTTTTGCTCTTCATGCTGTTTACAACTAGGCTCAATCTTGTGGAGACACTTACGTTGTAGTGGGCCTACATAAACTACGCTCATTTAATATTATGTGATGAAAGGGAAATTGAGGTCACGTTAGCAAACTCAATTCAGACGACAACGATCATACCAGTTCTATTTCATTTCCACACATATCACCTGAAAACTCACAGAGACTTGAGCTGCCGTGACTGTTCCTGTTCTAAAAGATCATCCGTCGGTGATTGCTCATCATTACGGACCGCAGCGTGAAAATTGGCTCGATTTAGAATGAGGCTATGGTAAGCTAAAAAGGGAGCTTTCATTACGTTGTTGCGGTAATTGCGGCATGATCTTCGTCAGTATCACAGATGAACATGGATTACAATTCGCACATATTTCACGCCCTGCTGGTCCGCCTTGGCACATGCGAACGCCAACTGCATTCATTGCATGGCCCAAAAATGGATAGATGCCTTCGAAGTTCCCAATTAAAACGGCCCGACTCACGGATTGCTGCAACAAAGTGCCAGTGTCTTCTCCGTCTGCGGCACATATGTCTGTAAAAAAGCATGGGTCCAGAACCTGGTATGAACACCGTCATTTGAGCAAGGGAAGGCAGTTGAAGGAGTATCCGAGCGAATGGAAGCAAGTCCTGCCCAAAGGCTAGGCAGTTGAGCGAGGGCGTATCAGAGTACACTCGTGGATAATCCAGCTGTTATTTCCCCCCAATACCGTCGCTGCGCAGAAGTGCTCTTTTCTCTCTCCTTTTCTCACGCCGCCGTCTCTCAAATTGAGCTCACGTGCCTTCGTACAGACATCGAATTATGGACGGCATATTCTCCAAACAGGTGGATTGTCTCGTAAAAGTCGGACTTCGGGACCGAGTTGTCCTTCCCACCACCAGTGAATTCGCTGCGCGGATTGATTCGTACTTCAACAACAGTGCAAAGCTAACGCCAGCGTGTATCTTCATGCCACAAAAGACGGCCGAGGTTGTGACCGCTATCAAGGCTCTGGTCAATGGGGGTCAGAAGTTTGCCATACGGTCGGGGGGAAGCAACTTTTGGCCCAGCAACAATATCGATGATGGCGTCACTATGGACCTGAAATACCTGAATACCACCGAATATGATCCTAAGAGTGAAACTGTCATGATCGGTGCTGGGGTCTGCGCGGGCGAGGTACATCGACGTCTAGTTTGTCACTGCCTACCTTGAAATATACCTGCTTGTGTATTCTAGCTCCCCAAAATCCTGAACCTCTAGTCGAGATTCGAATGCTCTTCAGCTGACAAGCTATATGCATCAACAGATCTATGAACGACTTGCCAAGTATGAACGAGCCGTGGGAGCAGCCCGGGAGGCTAGCGTGGGCATTGCTGGGCTCGCTCTGACCGGGGGTATCACCTTATTCACGGGTCGCTATGGCTTCGCCTGTGACCAGGTCGTTGCCTACGAGGTGGTGCTGGCCGATGGTCGTGTCGTGATAGCTGACGCCACGGGGGGGCACAAGGATCTTTTTAAGGCTCTCAAGGGAGGCGGCAACAACTTTGGAATCGTTACGCACTTTACTATGCGTACTTTTCCATGCAGCACAATTTGGGGCGGCGGGGCCATCCTCCCAAAGGAAATCTTTCCTAAGGCAGCCGAAGCTATCGTTGACTTTGTAAACAGAGTTTCAGATGATCCAGATACCAACTTGATCTGTATGTTGTGTAAAATCACCCCAAAGCCAGTCACTATCGTCGCGGCTTTGTATGCCAACATGGCTGGAGTGGAAAGACCACCAATCTTAGACAAGTGGTTGGCATTTCCGGAGGTCTGGAAATCATACAAGAAAGACAGCATTCTGGGGCTCTTGGACACCACTGAACAGGCCAAAAATTATTAGTGAGTTACGCAGCTGCCAAGGGCCTTAATACCCAGCATATCTCTGATGAACACTTCTAGTGGCAATTGGTTCACCTTGTGCTTCAAAAACGACGCTACTATTATTATGAAAGCAGCGGAGCTTCATGATGCTCTCGTCGAGCAGTTGCAGGACCATATTAAAGATGGTGACTTCAAGACGCAGTGTGTATTTCAGCCCCTTCCACTCGCGTTTATCCAGACATCCTCTAAAATGGGCGGAAATGTCATGGGCCTTGAACAACACGATAGTAATGGAATTATTTGGGGATTCCATGTGATGGTACGGACTCCGGAACTAGAGGCTTGGGCTTTGCCTCGAGAGCGACGAGTTTACGAGGGCGTGCGGGAGTTTGCTCAGTCAATTGATGGTCTTTTGAACTGGACTACTGCAAACTATGCACACCCAACGCAGGAGGTGTTTCAGAACTACGGCAAGAAGAACGTTGAGATTATCAAGGAGGTTGCTGCAAGATATGATCCTGATGGTGTTTTTCAATACTTGTGTCCCGGTGGTTTCAAAATCTCATCTGTCCAAGATTGATGTATTCAGAAGTCATGATGTTAAGGAATACTTGAAAGCCGTCTTTACAATGCATACCTACAATCTACTCAGGCTAGAATGTGATGTCTAAAGTAGTCTTAAGTTTAATAGTGAAAGTGAAAAATGCTTGGTCAGCAAGCCTGCAACGGGATTTGTTAGGATTAACCGGTCTCGGTGTCGGGCCTCGCTTATTAGTGGTCAGTCTCGCTTGTTTCAGGGGAAGTCTATTATCGAGGAATCTGCACATGCGTGACTTCTGTGTTCTACTTGCCGAAGAGTGAAATCGAGGCTCATATCCGAAAACACAGGTAAAACTTTATTGGGTTTTGATTTCGAGAGGGAAACTTAAACTTCGTTCAGTTGAGCGTGCTCAGGCTCTGCTCAGGCTTGCTCACCATCTCCTGAGGTTAAAGTAGCAATTGCGTGAAAGCGCTTGAAACAGAACTAGTGAAAGAGAGAATTGATCCAGGGACATCGGGAATCATCATTCTAATTTACATTGATTGGGTCTTGGATATGCTATGCGAACTTTTATCCTGCCATGGTTTCTCGACCCTTGGGGCACTAATACATTGACTGGGTTTCGGTTGGCTAGTGGTGTCACGTGTGAAGTTTTTCTCCTGAAAGTGGCCAAGTGGTGTCCGTGAGATTGTTTCGTGCCGTTCGGGGCTTTCTTAAGACGGGTTGGCATCGAATAAGAATCAAAATCACGTTAGTGAACTACGACAATTATTTTCAAGCAAAAACATAACATTCTGATCCCTCAAACCTACTCAGATCTTTCTCTTCCCTAATTCACTCGTCTAGCTACTACTGCATTGCCAAACTCAAAGAGCGTACTTGTTACCTTCCAGCAGCCAGCGTACCCCTGCCGCAAGCTCCATCCCAGCCTTACTAGTTGATGGCAAATTAGGAAATTGGACAAACCTGTAGTTATGATTAATACCCGTGCCAGTAATAAGGCAAGGTTAGCAAGCTCACCAGTTCGGCAATTCATAATGATCAATTCTGGTGGGAACTCCAGCTTCACGCAGCAGCTTGTCGTAAAGATAGCCCTCATCACGAATGGGATCTGGTCCATCCATAGCCAAGTATGCCGAAGGCAAGCCTTGGTGTTCTGCCCAAGCAGGAAAGTTCTCACCCTTCTTTGACTGGTCATCTGGGACATTGAGTGCCAGAAGGTAGCGTTGATATTGGTCCTCGGTAAGCAGTGGGGAGTTGGAATTCTCTTCATGCGAAGTTACTAGATTCTTCCAAGTCCTTGGAAGTTGGTCCAAGCTGACGGAAGACAGAACCACCGGTACAATGATACACTGTCCGGTGATGTTGATCTCTGGATATGAATATCGTGCTCTGATGACTGAAGTTGCAGCAAGATGAGCTCCAGCGACCGAACCACCAACCAGAAATCCTTTGCCAACATCTCCGCCATACTCTTTCGCCTTGTTATACAGCCATTTCACAGCGTACTGCGCGTCGGATAGCATCACATTCCACGGAGCTTCCGGGATCAGACGATATTCGAAAGAAACCACAATAAGGTCGTTCCCATGAGCGATCATTGCACGGCAACCCAACTCATCTGTGTCAGCATTGCCCGTAGACCAGTATCCACTGTGAAAGTATAACATAACGGGTAGCTCATCATCGGATGCCCTCTTTGGCTTATAAATTCGAACTCGAAATTTGTGTCCATCGACTTCGGGCAGAGATATGTGCTCATCGTTGGCTTCGACGTGGTCGGCAAGTGCTTGGAAGGACGGCTCTTTCAATCGCGAAATGTTTTCAAGGGCCTGTACATTGATCTGATCTCGAATGCCGGTTAAACCTTGCTCGTGGTCGATGATCTTGGGCTTCGTGGCTGTAAACTATCCCATATCAATGTTAACTACTTCCAGACATGATTTAAATCTAAGTTGAGCAACTTACATCTTGCCATTCTCTAGAGAGGTTGGATTTCACCATATTGTAGTAAACATGAAATTGGAGGATTTCAAACCGAGAGACAATTGAACTTGCGAACTCAAGAGGCGGATATGTCGTGAAATGAAGTATATTACAGACTACTTGCCTTGATTGCTAAGTGGAGACATGCCAGTAGTCCAAATAAGTGGCTTCATGGTATCACCATCGCATTTTGTCTTATGGAGACAATTTCGCTCTATGCTATCAATGACCAAGCTGAAGATCACTCAATCTGCTAGTCCGGATTAGGCAATATGTTGACGAAACAATTCTGCCTAATCCAGATTCTGCCGATATTGGGCGAAATGATGAGCAAGCCAGAGTAGAATCGATATGTACGTGGGTTAACTTCGTTTTTCAGAATTATGCGAGTGCATGCAGCTGGTAACTAGCATGAAGAATGGAACTTCTCGGAAACATAAGTGTCCTTGGATTATCCCACACATCTTCACAAGACTAGAGCCACCAAGAAACAACAAGAATTTTCGTTCTCTGTCCACTATCTATTCTCGTTCAACATGTCTTCTAAGAGAGTTGAGTTCACAACTTTTGATGGCACCATTTTGAGAGGAGACCTCTACAAGGCCGAGGCAAAAGATGCTGGAGTTGTCGTGATGACCCAAGGCGTAAGTACAGCCATGTGAAGACGTTTATCTGCTAGTATTTACTCTCAGAGACTAACAACGTATCGTATGTAGCTTAGCTTACTGAAAGAGCACTTCGTCGACGAAATTGCTAAAAGATTTCAAGCCGCTGGAATTGCAGCTTTGGTGTACGATCACAGAGGGTGGGGATCCAGTGAAGGAAGCCCTCAGTTTGAAACCGACCCGCTTCAGCAGGCCGCAGACTACCACGATGCTATTACATTCGCGGTTTCCCTGCAAGCATCGAGTCAGAAGCCGCGAGTCGCAATTTGGGAGATTGGACATTCAGGAGGCGCAAGCATGATTGCAGGCAATGATCCAAGACTTTCTGCTGTGATCTTGGTCATGCCTTTCACCTCTGGAGCCCGAGATGCGGCAGCATTTCCTGCTGGCATACTTGACAAAGCATGGAGTAATCGCGCAGATACTGCTGCAGCATGGATGTCTGGCTCCACGCCGGATGTTGAATATGTCACTTTATGGGCAGACTCGGAAGCAAATGGCATGGGTGAGGGCCCTCAGAGATTCTTGACTGGAACTGCCGCATACGACTTCATTACCACTGCTCGCCTGAGATCTGACAGAGCTGGCACTCCATCCGAGAACAAGTTGTCACTGCAGAGCTTCTACCATATTGCAAACATCGAGCCCGCTGATTACATCTCGAAGATCGCTCCGAGAGCGTTGCTTTATCTTGCAGCTACCACTGATGCGCTGACAGGCCCGCTTGAGACTCATAAAGAGGTTTTCAGCCATGCTGCAGAACCGAAGGAGTTTGTCATCTTGAACAATCATCATCTTGCGAATTATTTTGGTGAGGATTTCGAGACGAATGTGGGAAAGCAGATTGAGTTCTTGAAGAGACATTTATAGTTTGCACAATAGGTAGTGGCAATCTTAGTCTATCATGAATTGTTCTTCGTTGATACATAACATATCGTTCAATCAGAGACTTCCTGTTATCAAGTGTTCATATTTGACAATACATGATACAAGTTCTCATGATAGCCTGAAGGAGTATGGTTGATATAAGCAGATTGACAAACCAAGAGTCTGGCTTGAGTTTAGTGATCAAGCCGGGCAGAGTGGCTATCTTAGAGACAAATATTTTGGTCTTGGCCATGTTGGTGCAGCTGTGGAGTGAAGTAAAAGAGTCAAAGTCGTAGCCCCCCAGAGACTCAGAATTATAATGGACAAATGATACTAGGCAAGATCACAAGAGAAGGCAATATCCCAAGAAGTCAAATTATTAACTACTGCTCAGCAAAGTCTCCACTTTTCTATGTTGATGCTATCAAGTTCTCAGCTTCTTCCCCAAAGATCTTCATGGCAATGAATTGCAATGCAGGTCCAATGCTAATCCCAGCAACACCCATTCTAGCCAACTCCTTGGCAGTCAAATTGCCTTCTCCCATCTTCATCGAAACATTCAGCTTTCCATTGAACGCATCTACCAAGAGCTTGACTTCCTCTCTTGTGATACCACCTCGAATAGAGCCTCCCCAAACGAACACGGTGGTCGCGCCAGCAGCAAGGTAAGCTTTACCCCTCTCTATCGCCTCCGAAACCGTACCATTGTGGATAAGAGTATCAGTCCTGGCGTTGACCACGATATCAGCGACACCTATTGCTTCTGCAGTAGCCAGGACCCGCTTGACTCTCTCTGCAGCCACCTCTACTGGGAGCATCTTTTGCGTTTCCTTGTCACAATCCTCCAAATTAATTTCCACTACTCCCAGCTTCAGAATGTCTTGGATTCCTTCTTCAAGTCTTGCTCCGTAGCCATCTTGCCAATCGACCGTCAGAGGGAGACCGTATTCCTTAGCTACGCCAGAAATTCCATGCACGGCAGCGAGATTGGTTTCCAGTGTCATGCCGTCATCTGTGACGCCTGCAGCTCCAGCAATGGCATAACTAGCTGTCGCCAATGCTTTCGTACCAGGGAGAGCAGCGATTGCGCGTGCCGACATGGCGTCGTATATATTGGTAAGAAGAATGGGTTTGCCAGGGATATGAAGCTGGCGGAGATATGTTGCGCGAGCATTCTGAGAAGACATTCTCGGTGATTCTAGTTATCTGTCTAATAAACAGTTTGAGGATGAGATAGAAATCAGAAGAGAGGGAAAGATATCAAGAAAGACGTTGAAACTCTAATGCAGCCCCCGTGACGTCCACTTTGCTGACAGCTGAGTAAGACAAGTGTGAAGTAAGGCGCTGATGTACATATAAAAAAATGAACGCATATTTGTAATCAGATCAGGCAGTTCAACATGTCTTGGCAATTAGGCCTTGAGTCTGTGACCTTTCTGTGTTAGTCATTTGGCTTTTGAGGCAGGAAGTTTAGGAATCATCCTTCCTTGCTCAACGGGATGTACCTCAACCCAAAAAAAGCGGAGTATCAATCAACCTCCAAACAATACGCGCATCGATCGCAGCAGCTTACGGCGATCAGGCGTGACATGGATCTCGGCCTTAGCAGCTCAGTACCGTTGGCTACTGTAATTTCGGTAATTGTTCAATTGTCTTGTCTGAGATCCCATCACAAAGTCAACGATGACATATCTCCTGTTCACGCATGCAGAAGGAGTGTAAGTAATCAACATGCATCATGCTCAAAACTATGCATTAAGACTCGTCATAATGTTTCTAAGATCATTCAAACCAAAATTTGACGATTTCCGTGCAAAAGCTTCGCTTAGGATCTATTTTGGTTTATATAAACAACTTGATGCTTCACAACTTGAAGAGTTCCCAAGGAGAAGACCAGAGTGACAAAACGCGAACTCTGCATGCATATTTGTCATTTCAAAATCTTGTAACATAATGGCCTCACCATATCCAGTCGTCGAAGTTGCAATCATTAACATTAAGGGACAAAATGTGGAAGACGAGACAACCAAGGAGGGTAAGACGTGGCATGAGGTATTCAAGAAGCTGATCAGCGTCCCTGGGTTTACTCGGGTGGGGTGGGGTCGAAGTGTCAGAGATCACGACACCGTTATATTCGGCGTTGGTGAAAAACACTCTAGGAAGTGCATAGAGGTTCCAGCTAATTTGTTACATGCAGATTGGGAGTCATACCAACATCATCAAGACTTTATGGAAGCCAAAGGCACTTTCACATCTCTACTCATGGACCTCCTGAGTGGGCCTTTTTGATATGTACCACATTACACCAAATACAGAGCACGGAGCCGCTTTCTATGCTGCATTCTCCGCTGCTGTCTTCTTGTGGGGCGTCGATGAAGAGAAATTTCCGTCGTTGGTCAAGCCATGGATCACAGCGAACGAGAAATCGGACTCTTGCCTCGGATATTTCTGGGGCGAAGTGAAGTCTCCAGCTAAAGTAGACACTTCCAAGAATCTTGAGCTTGGAAAGTGCGTCATCATGCTTTCCGGCTGGAAGAGTAAGGAGACACATGATTACGACTGTGGTTTGTCCATAGTCGTGGATGCGTACAAAGCATTGCAAGCTGCGGTGAAGAAATCAGACACTTATCCGATTGAGTTTCACTGCGTAGAGAAGTCAGGGATGGAGATGAGCTGGCGTCGTCTTTGAACTGTAGGCATGAGTAGTTCTGAAATTCAATAGTTTATGGATTCCAAATCATATCGCCCTCTTAGTCCGCTGCATTATAGAAAGAGGAGAGAACCCCTAACACAGGCGACAGGAAGAATCCCATAAATTACCAGACTGACTTTTCTGATAATGCGGAGCAGAAGTGATGCATTTTCAAGCGTGGACTTGCAATTTCTAAGAAATACAAACAGAATCAACTGTAAACATGCGCCTAGCCTACATCAATGCTCAGTCTTCCACTGATTCGGGTTACGAGAGCGAAGTTATCGAACGAATCACCACTAGGCGAAGTCCTCATGGACTCCTTGCTCTCGATCTCACTCTACTCTCCTCTCCTGCGGTCGCCGACAGATGGAATACTTTCTTCGCTGCAGTACAGACACAAACGACGCTTCCAGTTATCTTCCGCGAGATAGTCATTTGCCGCGTCGCACTGATCAACGAAGCATGGTATCAATGGGAGGGTCATACTCCCCTGTTGCGCTCTTGCCAAAACTTCGACGAGGGCAAAATGGAGACTGTGAAAATGGCCAAGCCATGTGCTCAAGGGCCATTGTCCGACCAAGAGTGGGCGGTGTTGCGATACGCAGACGCAGTGACAAGGGAAGTGGCTGTTGACGATGGGACTTTCGAGGGTCTCAAAGTCGTGGGGTTCAGCAACCGCGATATTGTTGAATTGACGGTCATCATTGCTGCCTACAACTGTGTCAGTCGAGTGCTTGTGGCGTTGGACGTGGGAGAGAAGAATGCCGCGGAGAAAAGGAACATTTGATTCATAAGAAATTCCATGGCAGGAAGACTCTGTGCCACATGAATTCGGGCGAGGCATGATGATGTCGTTGCCATGATGATTCGGGGCGGTCAACCCTGGCACTTGGGAGCTTCGGCTGCGGGCGTGTTGTCAGCAGCCGCCAAGTCTAGAACCCTTCACCACATGCATGCGAGCTGGGTCAAATGGAGATATGCAATTAACATCAGATTGAGATATAAAATTAACATAATTCTCCCATCTCTCCAGTCTCAGCCTCAGTGTCTGAATTCGTGCGTCTTCGTTAAACATCAAAAGATGGCCACGAACAGGGAACAAAGTCTTCAAGACCAAAATAAAGCCATTGTCGCAGTCTACTCTCATGAGTTTTGGGGGAAGTGCAATATTAATATCGTCGATGAGCTATGCAGCGAGGACATGCTCTCGAATTATCCTATGCATGGGCCGCGGCGAGGAAAAGAGGCTATAAAGCGCATGTTGTCTGAGTTCAAAGAGGTATGGAGTGAACAGGATTAAGGCCAAACTTGAAACACTGATGTAGGCAGGCTTTTCCCAATGTATCTTTTCACCCATATGGGCCAATACCTATGATTGCAGAAGGCAACTATGTTGTGACACGATGGATTGGTAAGTCTCTTCTCCTGGTCGTGTAAACCTTTGCGCTGATCGCTACAGGAGGTGGCACACACTCTGGAGTTGCATTCAGCGACCTGCCTGCTGGCGCCTTGGACCAAGCAAACATAGGAAGAGAAATTCACTTCTCCGGGACAACGATATTTACCCTGAGAGATGGCAAAATTGTGGAGGAAACGGGAGAGGAGGGAGCGCTAACAGCTCTCCAACAACTTGGTCTTGTACCTCCACCAAATCCGTCGAGTGGGGCAAGTCGGGCGGTCTAACTTATGATTGCTGGATCTAGAGTTGACATTCAATTCTATGCTTTGTATCGTACCCAAGGAAAATCGAGGAATTGAAAAGCCGGTGAAGCTGTGTTTTATATCTGTCATTGCAATTTGGACATTGAAAGTTTTGGAGAAACAGCGAGTTCTCAAACGTATGTAAGACTTGTATTATGTTTCATGTTAATCAACGCTTTACAACAATCTTTCCGCCCGCATTATGTGAATCCAACAATGCATGAGCTTTATGAATGTCCGTGTACTCAAAAACATATGTAGGCTTGGCATCCCATTCTCCGTTCTCGATCTTCTTCACAATTTCCTGCAGCGGTATCTGTGACATAGGAAAATCTTCTGTCCCAAGAACCTTGCTATGGTACAAGCTGAAATGGACCCCGGATTCCATTTCAACCATTGGATTAAAGTCTTTCACAGGTGCTAGGCCTCCAAGCCAGCCAGCTTGCAACATCCGACCGCCCGCCTTGGTGAGACTGATCGATTCCAACAGAACTCGATTTCCAATCAAGTTTAGCACTTTGTCGAACCTCTTTCCTGGGAACGTTGTGCCGAGATCAGATTTCTCAAGCACGGCATCAACAGCTCCCATCTTCTTCAACATCTCAAATCGCTCTGTCCTCCGCGTAGTTGCTGTAACCTTGGCACCAGCATTGACAGCCAAATTCAGTGAAGCTTGTCCAATTGTCGAAGTTGCACCACGGATCAAAAGTGTCTCTCCCTTCTTCACATCCAACACCGTGTGAATGCAGCTCCAAGCAGTTGAGTACACTTCCGGCAACGCAGCCAGCTCCTCCCATGGAAGATTCGTCTCAAGCGGAACGACATTCGCAATCGGCACATTTACAAACTCGCCATAGCCACCGGGACGACTTCTACCCATGCCACCCATGACGGCAGCCACCTTAGTACTCTCGGGAATTGAGCCGTCTGGACATGCGGCGACGGTGCCCACGCATTCAAGGCCGGAGATCGGATTCCATTCATCCCATTCGCCTCTTCGCATGTGCATTTCTGCGTGGTTGACACCGAAAGCATGGACATGAACAAGGACTTCTCCTTGGACTGGTGAAGGTTTTGGAACGGTGCTATAAGTGAGGACATCAGGGCCACCGAAGCTGGGGATGATGATTGCCTGCATCGTTTCTGCCATGTTGAAGTGCTTGGTAGAAGCAGAATTCAACAAGTGTTGGACAAATGGGATGGAAGAATGAATGAGATGATGTGAATAGAATGGAGGTTGGAATTCGGCTTCCAAGATTTGCCCTTTGCCCTTAATATACTTGGCAAACACGCTTTGGCTTCACAACTGCTTGTTAATTCTCTTTACATCATCGATGATGCATAGACACTATTGACAAGTAGGGCGTTCATTGTGACTGTAAAGAGGAAAAGATGATTCCAAAATCTACTCTAATTCACACGAACTTGCGAGCTGAATGGTTGCTAATTTCAGATCCCGGGGCTCGCTTGCTGACTCGGCATTTGGATGCTAGGGCTTGAGGAGCCTCGTTAAGTAAGCAGAATTGATTGGCTGAAAGACATGATGAAAGTGTGTAAAAATTAAGCAGCAGAGGGGATCCCTGCAACTTGACCAAAGTGGGCATTGCACTCCTTGGCACCGAGTCAGGTGAAAAGTTACTCGGTTATCTGATTGACAGTAGTCTATGGTTCACATTGACAGACAATTGTGGCCTCCATTGACATGAAATAGAAACTCTTTCGATAATTTCCATACTGCTCAATCTTTTGTCTGCTGTCGCACTATAACGATTGGGTGTTAAACATCGCACGAAGGAGTTACTTCCCCATCTTCGATGCAACTTACAAGATTTGCAAACAAACAGTGGAAGACCCCTGAGTTGAATTGCAATGATAGTAATCGGTTCCTAATATTTATTGAGGTAAAGTCCTTATAATACTAGACAACATCGGGTTCTTGTCTTATTTAACTTGCCCTCGAAAGCTTGAGTTACATCCGACATTAATTGACGGACATTGCTTAAGCAAAAAATAGATTGTGGAACTCAAAAAAGAGAATCAATCAATGTCCGACATTACGTTACACTCTAAGAAACACGATAGGTTTTCATTTGATTCTAGACATTCAATTTTCCTAAATAGCGAACCTTTATGCCCCTACTTATCAATACAATTGTTCGGCAAATTCTCGCTTGCGTTACTTCGGCTCTACGTGTCGCTTTGGATTTGGACTCGAGTACAATGGCTGAGTTAGAGTTCACTTTTACTTCGAATAGGTCACTATCTCACTTTCTTGGGCTTTTTGATTGTTTTAACTGGCTACCTCTTCATTGTAATTTCGAGAACCACTTGTCGTACGTTACAGCTTACATAACTTTCAATCACAAGATAAGAAAGCTATTCGCTAATTCTAACGGCGTTTTGGTTTAATTACAGCCGAAATTGTATCTAAACAACATTTTGCAGTGTCGGCTACTCTGAAAAGAAAGAGCCGTTGTATTCGTTATACGCGGTCGTATTTATACCTCATAAATATCGGTTTTGTGATGAACAGGACGATATACAAAATAATCAAACATAGCAGACAACACAGTTCCGTTCAGATCAGAGCATGCCATTCCCACGAATGCCCCAGTGAAGCTTCCATGCGCTTGGTGTCCACCACACTCGTCAGACAGAATAGATGCATCATAGATCGGCCCGAATTTCTTGAGCTCTTCTCCTTCCAAAGCGTAAAAGAACTGCAGTTCACGACCTCGGATTGTGAGTGCCAACTTCACCTTTCCATCGTTAGGGATCTGGACCGGGTCCGCAAACGGCATCTTCAGACGACCTTCTGGCCAGGAAGCTTCGGAGCTCATGATAAGAAGTTCTCGCTGCCCATCTGAATGCGCAGTGACCGTGAGATAGAAGAAATTGTAGCGGCAGTAGTACGCCGTCAATCCAGCAAATTGTCTTTCGTCGGTTGGTGAGAAGTCAATAACGGTTTCAGCGTCGAACGAAAAGTGGGTCTGTCGTCGCGCGATTAAAGACTGTTCAAACCAGGAGCCGACCGATTCTCGACCGAGGAGAATCAGCTTCCCATTCTTCGTTGTAAAGATTCGCTCTGGCTCGGGAGTGCGCAGCCATTGGAAGTCTTGAGGTAGACCGTCACTAAATTCATACTTTTGTTCGGCCCAATACTTGGTATCATCTCGGGTTCCTGGGACTTCAACGTGAAGAGATGGAACAGGGCCGTTCTTAACGTACAACCAGTTATCCTCCCAGTATGCCTCTTGAATAGCCGTTTCACGGCCGAGCACGCATCGGCGATTTTGTGTTGTCGGACGGCCAGTCAGATGTACCAAATATGTCTTTCCGTCCGAAGTGTCCAGAACATCGCCGTGACCAGCTCGCTGAAGTGCAACCAGAGGGGAGTCTTTAGAAGTAAGAACGTGTTTCTGCGGATGTAATTCATATGGGCCCCAGATGTCGCGAGAGCGGGCAAGAGTAACAGCGTGATCATACCCCGTGCCACCTTCGGCTGTTAAGAGGTGGTACCATCCATTCCTTTTGTACAAATGCGGTCCCTCGACGAGGTCCAGGTCGGTTCCAAGAAAAATATTCTTCTTGGGACCAACCAGCTCGCCAATAGATGCATCGAACTCCTGGAGCACGATACCTGCAAAGCTTCTAGGACGACGACGATGGTCTTGAAGCATGTTGACAAACCACTTTTTCCCGTCGTCGTCATGGAATAATGATGGATCGAATCCCGATGAGTTTGCATAAACAGGGTCAGACCAGGGACCTTCTATTGAGGGTGCAGTGACGATGTAATTATGGGTATCTTTGAAAGATCCATCCTTTCGCTTGACATCTGTATATACCAACCAGAATTTGTCGCCGTCATGAGTGAGACAAGGAGCCCAGACTCCACAGCTGTCGGGATTGCCTCTCATATCCAGCTGGCTTTTTCTATTGAGCGGGCGGACAACAAGTTCCCAATTTGCCAGATCCGTTGAGTGGTGAATCTGAACCCCGGGGAACCACTCAAAAGTTGACGTTGCAATATAATAATCGTTGCCCACTTGGAGTATTGAGGGGTCAGGATTGAATCCTGGGAGGATGGGATTTGTAATTCGTGGCATCTTGAAACAAATTCGGGATCTTTTGAAGGTTTGGATAGTGGATAATTAAGACAGAAGAAACAATGACTCGAATACTGAGGCTCGAAATCCTTCGAGAGGAGGATGCAGGTTTATGTGTTCAAAGATTCGAAAGGATAATCGTGATGCACCCGTTCATTTATCCGGATTTAACCGAGCGGGTCCTGCTAAGAGCATTTCTCCGCGTATAAGGAGAAGAGACTTGTAAGGATGAGAATGAATAATGGAAATACAAATAGGTTCAACTTCACCGTTGTCTCTGCGAAGCCGCATTGACGAAGAGAATATCCTTGAATCTGGTAGACGGCGTTGGACATTCATAATGTCATAATGTCTCCAGAGAGGTGAAGTTGGAAAGTGGGACCCGAAGCGAACTAAAAATTTCCCATCGGGCTAGACCAAGCCTTCTCACCCACGTCGCGTCAATCATTCATATCATGAAAGAGTCTGACGTTGAAACTTAAACATCTTCGTGTCTTCTTGCTCGTACAGATGATATCTTGAAGAATGCAAAATTTAAATCTTCTAGATAATTCGAAGGGTTAAAGACGATGTTATGGTATGCCACTAAGTCGAAATCGGCTCTCCGTTTCCACGCTTGGTAGATATAGTCACAACTTCTGTATGACGCCAGGCGCACAGCATTAAAATATTAGATGAACAGTTGACCTTCTCCCCGGGAGCTCAAAGCGATAACTTCTTACTGGTCTGGCCCTCGATTGATTTCAGTTCCACAACACGAGGGTATTCGATGGAAAACATATTAGATATGGATACATCGGACTTTACAACGAGACCGGATGCATACATACGTAATGACAGAGGTCGCGAAGCAAGGATCGAAACAATGACAAAGCATGTGGTAGACGCAGCGATGGAGCTCAACAGACAACAAGAGGACGAGCGCAGACGCATGGCAAAGGAAGAGCGAGACCTGGAGAAGAAACTCATCGTCGCGCGACAAAGAAACTTCTTCAAAAAGCTATGGGTGAAGTTAGTGGTGGGGCATGATCTGAATTTTCCATTGCCGGGAAGTGGAGAACCATCAAAGAAATGCTCGAAGACGGAGCTTGGGAAGGTTTTAGTCTGCGAAGATGGAAGTGATGTAACGAACGAGCAACTGGAATGGCTGGAGATGAGGAGAGAGGAAAGAAGGCTGGAAAGCAGGCTGGCGAAAGAAAGATCACTTGCTGCAAGAAAGGCTAGGGGACCTCGCGGCTTCTCTCTGAGATAATCATGCAGATCATTAGCCTGGAGCTTAGTCTCGTCCTCCTCGAGAGGGTACCGGACTGCAATATAGAGCATTGATAAAAAAAAGATGAAGAAGTCCACCTTGAAAAAGTCTATAGAGCTGTAACGGCATCAACGTCGTTCCATGGTCCAGCGACTGCAAGGGTATTCGTTCTCGAAGATACAGGTGCTGCACGGAGAGATTGCGGATGATGATGTGCAAGAGATGGTTTTTGCTTTAGTGGCAAGGATGTATGTATGCAAGCTGAATATCTACATTATCATTACATCTCGACAGAGATGTTAAGTCAACTAAACAACTCTAGAAACAAAAAGCGAACAGTACCACGATAAACGCCACGCCAATCGTAGCAGGAGAAAGAGACAATGCGGGTGCACTCGATTTCTTCGTCGGAGTCGAAGTGGCAGATGTTCCTGTCGTTGTCCCTGTTGAACTTGGGGTTGTACCTGTAGCTGAAGTACTGATGGCTTTCACTCCGCCAGATGGAACAGCGATGATACTATCTGTGGTTGCGTCAAAGTTTCTTGCTGCCAGAGAGATCTGATTGTTGCTCAAATCGAAGACCGTGTAGCTGCTGCTCAGAAAGTTGTCTCCCAAAAGCGCGATTCTTGTACCTGCTGGTACTATGCCAAATGTGCAGATATTTGGGTTTATCGAGCGGAGAGAAACCATGACCTTGATCGGAACTTGGATGGTAAGAGAGCCAAAAGTGAAGTCGATGGTGTAAGGTGAATTCGCAAGAGCGCAGTCAACATATGCAGTATCGTTGGCAGTGAAGTACGTGACACCGAACTGGTCGTAGATGGGCTGGACCCAGTCGTTGGGCAGGATGGAATATGCAGTCCCACAGTCGAGAACATGCAACACCGATCCTGTGGAGCCTGCGGGAAAGGATGAGTTTCCGGAGAGTGCGACACCGTTGAGCAGCACATCAAACGCAACAGGAGCCGGGAAGCCGGTCCTTGTTTGCGTATCCAGAGTAAGTAAGCTACCAGTATATTGTGCTGTGTCTACACCTCCGAAAAGCACCTGCCCGTCGTGGCTGTCGACAGCATTCTTCCATAGACTGAAGAGGGGAAGGTTGATGGCTCCTGACTTGGCGAGAGAGAGAGGAAAGTTGTTGTATGGATACTGATTTTCGCCCGAGGCGTATGATAACCCCAGGATGCTGAATGCGATAGTGGCATTTCCATATGCAATGTCGAATTGCTGATTCTTCAGTGTGGCGCCAGCAACGTCGAATGTGTCTGTCGCAACATCACCAGATGCCCCACTTCCTTGCCCTTGACTGGAAAAACCAAAGTTACTGGAGAAGTTGCTGGCGATGTACTTGTATGTAGAGGATTTGTTCGCATTGTCTGTTCGGGTGTTAGTTGTCTTCCCGCTTTACAAACTTATGTCTCTTACAGTATCCTACGCTTGGACAGTAGCCTGCATTGGTGACGCAAAAGGACGATTCTTTGTTCAGTAGAATGGTATCACTGCTTCCAGTGTCCAGACTGAGAGTGATTGGTTGCGCAGGTGTGCCGACAGTGATATTGACGATGTAATTGGCGTATGTTGCACCAACAGATAGATCAACAAATGAATTGCGTCGTTGAAGCGGGCTTAGGCTCCGGGAGTAGGGAATTGAGACAACGCCAGGTACCGGAGCACGATTGACGAGCGCATTGGAAGCAGGAATGGCCACGGCCAGGGCTAGAAGTGCGTACAGCTTCATGTTGGAAGTTTAAGGTTTGGCGACTGATAGTCAGGAACAGAACTTAGCATGATGTCAAGGAGCGCGGAGACCCTTTTAAACAAATCTTATCCGCAGACTCCGATATCCGAGAAGGACGCTATCTGGGTAAGGCTGCCTAAACTAATTTCTTCAGGGGCACAGCTTCTACTACTGGCTAGGATTACTGACAAATTCTATCTCGTATTGAGAGTCGCGATGCCGCGGTTAAAAGTTTTGGGACTTCGCGGGGTGCGGCACAGCATACACGATAGAGGCTTAGGCTTTCTAGAAGTCTTGGCGGATGCCTGAATGATGTTTGCCACTTTCTCCTCGAGAACACGTGAGGGGTAACCTGGAGCTAATTCTCGAAGAAGCAGAAAAAACAGTTGTGCACTTGAGACTTTGTCTCGTCTCAATTCCGAGTGTAATATCAAATCCGCTAGGAAAATTCTGCTGTGCTCTCGGTTAATTCAGGGGCTATCACGTGCTAACAGGCAATCCGAGCTCCCCTATTTTCACTTAAGAAGTGTTATGATAAGTAACAGCGGAGTCATTCAGATTGTCAGTTAAACTGACACTCGTAGCATTAACAATTCTCTAATCATGGATTATCATCGGATGACTATGAACCAAATTGTGTTTGAACTATGGCAATGTGCGATAAAGGAAACCCCCAGTTGTTCGTTCTTGAGGACCGACTCTAGAGCTTCTTATGTCGAAGCAAGCTTGGGAAAGGAAGACTTGGCTATCGCACTCGATGGTATTTGGAGTTAATTTCTCCTGCGGCATGGACGAACTTCAGACAGCTTTCAGTTGATCCAAAGAAGGTTCTTGTAGCTAGAATACTGAGCGTATTCTTCATTGAAGAGTTCGGTCATTTCCCGGCCTAGATACTCCCAGGAAATACAGTAAGCATGCAATGTGAGAAAGTCCAATGAAAGGTTACAACATCAGTAGTAGATTGACTCGTCTCTTGGGTTGGACAATGCAGTGGCAGTATGGAGAGGTCAACCCAGTTCTCATATTCTCTTGCCTGACTCGAGAGTGGTCGAAAAAAGTGATGAAAAGAGCATCAATTGAACTTTAAGCGAATTCGAATTTCATTCTTGGTGCAGACCTACGTTGGTACCAATACATTTTTTTTATGAACACACTTGGTAAAGAACGCCCGAGAGTACTGACTTACGAATGATCCCATAGTACTGCCTCAGGCACAAGACTAAATAGCTGATTGAGAATTGAGAGCACTGGACTCACACATACCCCCACACATCGTCAAACCCTACCAAATATTTATTCGAAAAACGGCGGCCGTATCATTTGCTTTCAACCACCACCAGATGCTTGATTGAAACACCGCTAAGAGCCGTACGCCGCCCTTTCGGACAACGGATCAGGTTCTGCATCCATGGCTGTTGAGATAAGCTCTTGGCAATCATCGATGGTCATTGCGTCGTACTTAATCTCCGCAGAGAAGAGGCGAAGAATATCAGCCTTTGCCCGGGCCCCTTCTTCCTGGTCTGGATGCCCTGGCGGGTATAACTGACGTAGCAACGATTCGCATGCCGTCAGGAGCTGTATGGTTCGTTGAAATCCATTCCCGTCCGAACATTCCTCCCCAGACGAACCTCGGATCTGTAGGTCGATCAAGAACGCCATACTTGAATTCATTATGAACTTGATCAAGCCCACGTTGATAAGTCCCTCGTCATACTCAAGCTTGCATGCCCGTCGTAGCACGCCTGGTTTCTGGAGCCCTCTAGAATTGTTCAGGTTGTGTTGTTTGTTCTTGAGTAAGGAACTATCTACCACCATGCGAATAGCATCCTCATAGTTCGCTATCTTAGTAGAGAAGTCGAACGCAACTAGCCAGCCAAAAATGTCACAGTAGAAGATCTGCTTGATTGTCTGACGTCTCTGATCGCTTATGTGTCCAAACTCCCGATCCGTACATGCCCGACATGGGCAGGTAAAGTCATAGGTATAGCGTAGAAAAGCAGTGCGTTCCACGCGGGTCATGTAGTACAAAGTGTCGTTGTAGCAAATTGTCACTTCCTCCCCAATATGAATGGACTTCGTTGAGGTAAGATGCATTCGCTTTTTATCGCTGTCCAGATGACGTTCTGTATTCGGCACACAAGAGTGGTTGATGCGGGGACATATTGAGGAAGGCGGCCATGGATTCAGCCTTGAGATCCTTGTTGGGATTCCAGTATAGTGCGTTGGTCCTCCAGATACGCAGTTCTCGGGTTTCTGATTTAGACTTTGCTTCGTGTAATTCATTGAATCGGGTTCGGACAATGGGGCTCATACGACGATATGCCGCGGCAACGGAAGCTATCTCTTTTGGTCGATCACGATCATCCAGATCAGCAATGTCAGGGCATTCGGCGAGCAACAGGGTGAACGGCTTGATGTCTTGCGTCGCCACAACACCCAAACCTTTTCCGTCGACGGGAACGACCTTGAGATACTTGGAGATTTGTCGGGAAGGTGATGTTTCAAAGGGCGATGGATGAGCGAGAGAGAGGCAGCATGTTGAAAGGTCATAGAAAGATCGAGATGCCATGATGATCGAGAGCGGAATGCGGAGGACTGCCGTATGCTCCCTGACCCCTACCCTCAGGCGCTCGCAACGCAATGAAAACTAGATGAAGCAGATGTTAAGCCTTTGTTAGGAGAGTAAAAGAGCTTTTGCTAACAGCAGAGAAGGTAGCGGGATGAAGAGTGAAGAGAAGGAGAACCCCTCCGTTTATGTATTCATAGAAAACGAATAGCTGCCTAGCCATTCATGTGATATCATTGCTTTTTCGGTGGTTAAGGTAAGTTCTTTTCCTTATCTTGTGTAACATACAGTGTACCCTGATCATGTGTCAGTTTCTCAATACTCAATTATCTTGTTCTAACTTGAAGACGAGAGAACTTATCAGCTTTAAAAGTATCCAATAGCCGACAGACTTTCGATGATCATTACGATGCTGTCCATGCGCTCCTTAAATTGAAGTACCATGTCTCCATATTTCTGGCAAGTTGATATGTGGTCTGGGGGGTACACTGTAATTTCATTGTATCGAAGTTTGCCGAGCGAAGAATCTGACCGATAATTTCAACATCACATATAGGTTTGATGAAGCAAATATCTAGAGAGAGAAAAGAAGGAACGAAGCGAGTTTGTAAAGTGATCTTGAGACAAACTAGGTTGTTCTAGCCTAGCCCAATATAGACGGGCGTCTGGATCTAATCTAATCTTATCGACCCCTCGATCACACCCTAAAAAAAATCATATTCCTCATGTCACCATAACCAAGATCCTTTCCTCCACCAAGAAACCACCATCTCACCCTCACATACTCCGCCTTCCCTCATCCTCAATCTGCAACACTCAACCCTCCACAAAAATGAAGGTCCTAACCCTCAACTTCCTAACCTGCGCCGTCAAAGCCTGCAAAACGACCTCGACGTCCTTCCCCCTCCACCCCAAAGACTGCGAACTCGTCTCCGACACCATAGCACCGAACCCACAACTCCTATTGAACGTCCTACCGCGAATAGACTGGAATGCCCTCATAATCACCGCTGGAGAAGTAAATGTCCCCCATCTCCTCAACCAGAACCAGAACCAAAACCTAACATTCCCCAAGCTAGGATTCCCGACCCTCCCTCCAACTCCACCGACCCGCGAAGAACTAGAATCGAACGAGAAGATGATGACAGAGCTGCATACCTTGCTTCTGGAGACGCAAATCAGTGAGGGAAGTCTGGTGTGTGGGAACTGTGGACATGAGTATAAGATCAAGGAGGGGATCGCGAATTTCTTGCTGCCGAATCATTTGGTCTGAAAGGTCGGTGGGTGAAGGGAAAGCATCCCCTTTGTGGGGAAGAGGAATGGGAACATGTTGAAGTAGCTGGGGCTCTTGCTTGGAGGTCGAATTGCTGAGAGGTGGAGTTTATGATACCCTGGATTAGGAAAAATGGATGTGGACGAGGACTTTGCTGTGGATATCACAGTTCGATTTGCTGCACCTTGGAAAGAAGATACACAAGTGTGAAAGGGCGCCGAGATCCCTGTGCAGGCGGCTTCTAGGATAGACCCCAATCCAGCCGAATAATACAGTCACATCAAGTCATAGCATGCAAATAGTCGAGTCTTGCTCTGATTTTTCATTCGCCGTTGCAGGCAGCGCGGCGATAGTCATCATCCCCTACCTAGGTACTGACTGGCTATTTCCTACACCTCCATGATCACCGCAAGACAACCCCTTTCCTGTTCTATTGGTACAAGATGCTCGGTTTCCACCATATCCACCATTGCCAAGCCGAGCATCTAACATTCTGCCACCTGAAGTGGCTGATTACCATCTCCGCCTCGAACAAATCTTGCAAGTAGCAAATCGAATCTCGCAATGCTGAAACGCCACGCCGCAAAGGACTCAATTGAAAGAGTACATTTTTTGTGTTCCCACCAAAGCCAGTACCAGCCAATCCTTTGTATGCAATGTTCCAAAAACAACTCAACTCCTTGCTGCGAAAGTAGATGCTGAAACTCTCCGTCGATGAGAGATCCGCCCCTTGGAAATGCATGAAGCGTATGAGACAGTGAAAGGAAATGATGTAATTAGTTAAGGAATCCTTTACACGCTGCTGTACCACAGAGGCAAGGAATACGGTCCGTACTCCCAATCTCACGCTCGAATTTGTAATCGTAAGTGAGTTCCTCGTCTGTTATGCTGTTAGTGAAGTCCGTAAGATGTGATGGAAAAAGGACTTACTTTGGGCAATATCACGCAGCGCATAGATGACAATTCTCTTGCTCTTCTCCACAGTGATGATCTTGGCCGTGCAGTTGGGCATGCAGCTGTGGTTGATGAATCTGGCTATTCCGCCTTTCTTGGTAGCGTCAACAACAGTGTTCTCATCGATTCTGAAGAGATAACTGCTTCCAATGCCGCTCTGCAAGTAACGATTCTCTCGGAACTCGGCCACCTGCTGTCTGACTTTCTCGCCCACATACTCAATGATCATGTCGTTCATCGGAATGTTCTCCATGGCATACAGGCCCCAATTGTGAATTGCGGATCGTGCAAACTTAACTGGCTTCTTTCGCTTTTTGAGTTGATTGAAGCGGAGTACATCTGCGTCGCCACCAAGAGTCTTCTTCTGCTCATTGAGATCCGTAACGAAGCGGCGATTGTTGACACGATTAGCACGGGAGTTTCCTTTGGCAAGAAGCTTCTCGGCAGCAATCTTCGCAGCTTCTTGTGCCTGTACCGTGGCAGACTTGCCAGTTTTGCTGGCTTCGGCCTGCATCTCCTCACGTGCTTTCTGGACCTTGATGCGATGAGGGAGATACTTAGACTTCTCAGAATTGAGGATCTTCTTGGTACCTTCGGTACGAGCACAGCCGGTATCGTTGGGAACGTAGTAACCATCGACTTCAGTCGCAGTTGTCACAAGCCCTTGGTAACCGTTGCGATTGAGGCCCTTGACTTCCTCTTGCTTCCAAGTCCAAGCTGATGCCAACTCGGCTGAAGCTGGATCAGCATCCTTGGATAACTTTTTGAAGAAAGCCAAAGCAGATGGAGCATCCTCGTCGTCCTTCAGCAGATTTTGCAGACCGTCGATGTCAAGAAGATTCGCGAAATCATCGTCAACAGTTGGTCGAGGTGATTCTCCAGACATCCCCCATTCGACAGTGGTCTCAACAGGAGCACTTTGAATGATGACATCTTCCTCTTCCTCTTCGATTGCTTCACTCTGTTGTCGAAGAGCTTCTTCCATGTAGATGCCTTCTGATTGCCGCTTGAGAGCTTCACGCTCCTCGAAGATCTGTCTCTTAGACTTCTTCGCCTTCTTGGTAGCGACTTTCTTCTTTCCCTTTGCAAAAGCAGCTTCGGCCTCACTCTCAGTCTTGACGATGGCATCAATATCCTGCATGAGTGCATCCTCGTCCACGGTGCTAGCTGACAAAGGAAATTCTTCCTCGATCTTGTCTTGAGCAACACCAAAAAGCTCTTCATCGGTCTTCTTCTGTCTTTTGAGAGCCGCTTCGACTTGGAGATCGAGCTTTCGCTTCTTTGGACGAGTCGGCTCCCCAACCACGAAGTTGGCTTCACTCATGGAATCGTCATCCCGAGTATCCACAGAAGCAACATCGTCCTTGGTTCTGAATGCTTCCGCATCGTCAGTCGATTCTTCAGAGCTCATCCTGCTTCTAGGCCGAGAATCAGGCTCTTCGGTGTCTCTAACACGTGACCTGGACTCCGTATCATCGTCTGTGTCCTCATCGTCACTGGTGATGAAGCGATGATTGAGCGGTCGGATCACGGGCTTTCGGGCTTCTGGGCGAGCTCTGCCAAAGGGGTCTCGGAATCCAATATTTAGTTTCTTGCCACCCTTAGCCTTTCGAATTCGGGGAAGAGAAGAGACATTGAGGCGAGCAGTACTCATTGGGCGACGTTCTCCGTCAACACGAGAATTTGGTGTACCAACGGGAGTCTCCTCTCGGTCGTCATCTTCGTGGATAAGGGGCAGTTTGGCATCTTTGGGATCAGAGATGTTAAGTTTGCGTCTCTTCGCGACATGATTAGAAGGATCCATGAAGTTGTGGAGGATAGGAGCGGCGATTTTGGTTCGAATGTTCCGGACCAGTTGGTCTTTCAACTCCTTTCGGATAACCTCGATGGCCTCTCTCGAAGGGTCGAAGTTCTTCGCACGTTCTCTCTTCTCGTCTTCCAAATCGGCTTCGTCTTCTCTCTGGCGTTCCTCGGCATCCTTCTTCTCCTTATCTTCGATTTGCCTGGGAAGACTGGCACTGCGTCTGCGAGTGGAATGAAAGGGAATGTAACGTAACTCCGCTGGACGAGATGATCCCCAAGGGTACATTGCCATGATCATTGTATAGTTGAACATCAGAGTTTGATTCAGACCTCTGTAGCATCGCGAGCAATTTTCCCTACCTAGTTCTGTAGTCGGGAAGGTGATGTAGTATCCAGCCTGGTCCATCTTCACCTCCTCAGCCTGGAAGTGCTTGCAGCGCTTGAACATGTGCGGGGGAGTGGTTGGCATGACGGGGACAGAGTCGTTTGCAACAAACAAAAACGGCTGGTGGAGGAGCTGAGCAGATATGGGTTCAACACCTTCGATATAGCGTGGAGGTTTCGGCTTAGTGAGTTGAAAGGCGGTGCTAATCGGGGGTCGGTAGGTTGGTCGCGAGGCAGCTGGGCCTTTAGGGGCGGTAGGAGGCGGTCCAGAAGTCTTTTCTGCAGGTTTGGCACCAGCAGGGGCTGCTTTTGCCATCTGCGAGGTCTGTGCAGCTTGGGGGCGCTTCAGAAGATTCTCCATCATGCGTCTACTCTTGTTGCCTTCCGGATCGAATTCGACCTTGACATTCTGAGTGCCAACCCGCAATCCGACGCCTTTACGAACAGCAGTCTTTGCTGCCTCAATGGCAGAGACGAATCGCACGCCCTTCATAACTTTCGAATCACGGTATCGAAAGGTAGCAAAGCCCAAGCAACTCCCAGTCTCCGGATGCAGCTTGTTGCTGCTCTCAGCAACCTCGCCGAAGCTGGAGAAAATGGCAGCCACATTTGCGAAATTATGTAGAGGATCAAATCCAGTAACAACAACTTGAGTTGGCGGACCAGGACCAAGCGAAGTCTTGGGATCGTAGGGGTAGGGTCTGAGGAGATATGGGGTTTGTCGCAATCGAGATTTGGCATGATGGAAGTCCGTATTGATATAATCCAGCTTTCCGCCGGGCTTGGACAATCGTGGATCCGCCGGGGGAGCGTCATCTTCCTGCACAGCTATTAGCTAGACATTCACACAAACAAGATGACGCTCCCCACGGATTGTGATATACGTACCAAACCAAACTCCTTGTATATGGCTTTCGCCTTTTTCGAGGCCGTCTTATCGAGAAGGGGGTCGTATGTACATTTGACGCCTTTTACACCTTTATTAGGATCGCGAGCGTATACTCTTGAATCGGTAGGTATGTGGGGTGCCTCTGCCTCAACAGGAGGTTGGGCAGATAAGGTAAAATTTGTGCCAACAGCGATAGCATTGGTGAGCTCATTGGGGGTTGTGGTATAGGTCCCAGACTTGTGCTGAGGACTGGTAGCAGGAATCGGAGAAGATTCGATGTTCGTCAAGGGTGTTAGACTGCTAACATTCCGAGGTCCGCCCAGGGTCGACATATTGGGTTGTTGAGCAGGTGCGCTGAAGCCAGACGACACGGTGCTTGTGTGAGAGCTAGCTGAGCCCACTCCGTTGAGGAGATCGCCTTGCAGAAAGTCGCTATCTTCTGTTGTTGCCGCGACTCCATTCACCGGCGGGGGCTTGATCTCTGCGCCAAAACGAGATGAAGCGGCGTCATCGGCGCGTGGGAATGACAGCGAGACCTTGGAGTCCGCGACGGGTCGAATGCTGGGCGAGTCTAGTCCTTGCGACTTGACTTTCTCTCTCTCCTTCGCCTTGTCCTTCGCGGCTCGAGGAGCAGAGGGGAAGAACTGAGCAAAGCTTGCCCCCGACGCACGAGACATCGTGAGACAGTGATCAATCTACCGCTCCCTCCTTCCGCCAACCAACATCTCTGATCTTGTGATTATGATGCGACAGCATGCATCAGGGCAGCGAGGTTGATAATGAGGGACGCGCAAAGGCGAGAGACTGTGTGTGTAGGTATGTATCAAGATCCACGCGACCTGGTCTCCGAGGGACAGATAAGTTGCGCTGGGACGTGAATGAAGGTCAAAAGAGGACGAAGAGTCGTCGCAAACAACGATTGTGGTATGGCGAGATCGTGGAGAAGCCGATGCCAAGTGGTGGGAGGCAGAAGATGCTGGTGTGGTCGAGATGGTTGGGGAGTTGATGGTCGTGGAATGGAGAAGTTGAAGTTTGATGTTCTCGTCAAAGGCAAAAGAAGGCTAAAAGACAGCCAGCCCCAAGCCAAAGCCAGACTACCGCGATTTGGGCCTAGCTGCGACGTGATTGGGTGTCACAAATGCAGGAGCTGACTGTATAATATTGTGCACAGGACGAGGGAGATGCGTTTGCCACCGTTGATATTGTTCAGAATGAAAGGTTTGCAGTGATTTGGGTCAAGTGGCCGAGTTCAGTTTGATCTGGTCTTGTCTCGTCTTTGAGGCCCAGGGACAATAGTAAGGTTCACGATTGGATGTTGCGTCACTTCTCAAGCGAAAAATTTGGAACGCGGAAGTATCACGAAAAAGCTCTGCATTGTTTATCGCGATGTTTTCACGCGTTGGATGTATTTATATTCTTGATCAAGTGGTTCAAAATCGTGGCCAGTTGGATTAATGCTTTGCGATCTCTTTGCAGGTTTTTCTCGAGCTGAGCACTGTGGCTTGAGGCTGGCTGATGTCGTCAGGATTTCAGCCCCTGAACCCCTTTTCGGACAAGGCTATGGAATATCATGGGGGCCACAAAAACTGGACAAGGCTCATCTTAGAAGATTTGACTTGAAATATCGCAAAATTAATTATCTCGAGATCATGCAGATATATTTATGCAAGGGACGGGAATCTACCTAGGTAAAAATACCCTTGGAAGATTCACGTGATCAGATGTCTCTCGAAATCTTCACCCAAGTCCACATATGAACGACTTGCTTTGATTGCTTGCCCCATTAGATGCTGGAGAGCCAAATATTTGCATGTCCAGTGCTCATGACTTGTTGTAGGCAAAATTCTTCACCTCAGGACAGAGATCCACTCAAGTGGTTACTGAAATGAGTGGATTCGGAGTCACTGTGCTCATTATGTGTTCCGCTACTAGCTTCTGACTTTCTTCCATAAATTTGAGTCGATCCTTTCATACAGAACGGACACATGCGAATGTGATACTGCCCTGCCGAGGAAGTGAGCTCAAGAAGTCTACTGCAACTCAGAGTCATCTACCCAATCCTTTTCATAAGTAGCATCAATCTCTTCCAGGCTTTATATCATCCGCATTCTTGGCTACCGATGCTCTAAGGTTTCGATTTGCATGTCGGGAAAGAGAGAATGATTTCAACGTCATATTGGGTAGCAGTCTCCATTTCACTCAGATCATAGTCATACATTGTAGCATCAACAGATAAAAAATTCGCACATAAGTAGTCCAACGAGCCTACATCAAACACGTCCAAATCATCCATCCCATATCCAATCCCTCAGGCTCGTACCCAAAATTCATCTCAAGGCTCATACACGGTAACAGTAGTAGCATTTGTCTGCACCACCACCGTCCCAACCGTAGCCGTGATCGTTGGCAAAGTACCAACAGCATCCTATTTCCATTAGAATCCAACCTTCTCGACTTCTGAGTAATCGAATCACACTCACAGTAACAACAACACTAATGTCCGTCTTTGTAACGTACTGCACCGGCGTCACAAGACACGAACAAGCACTGCTAATCTTAACCGGGGAGTCAGAGCAAGCTTCCAGGAAGGTAGGAAAGTAAGGAAGTGGCGTGGTGTATTCTCGACGTCCGATTCTGGTGAAGTTGGTGGGATATCTGGAGAATGTGGTGTTGAGGTACGGAGTGGGAATGGTGGCAAGTGTCGTATTGACGTATGGTGGTAGAGAAACACTCGGAGTTGAGGTAATGGGTGGAGGTTGGGGCAAGGTATGAGAATGTGTGAATGTGGTTGTGGTGTAAAGAGTCCTATTTTGATGTGAGTTCTTGCCCCACATGCCGACGATGCAAACTTACGAGGTCGTAGTAACAATGACAGTTGTAATCGGCTGAGTGAAGAGATTGCTCAGCGTTTCAGTGGTGATGTAGGTACTGTTTATGGTGACTGTATGAGCTGGAATGTAAGTCTCGCAGAACTGGATAGCTGCCGAGCTGTGCTGCGGGGAGAGCAGGGCTCGAAGACAATTGTTGCTATTGCAAGCTGAAAGATGTTAGCTTTGGAGCTCAATGACTTATATGAGAATGGCTTGAACTCACTTCCTCTCTTACTGTGGTCTACATTTCTCAGTGGTTGAATGGCATTGACTTGTGTTAGACTAGCACAAGAGCCAAGAACAGAGACAAGCAAGTTTTGAGCATCATTGTTGGAGTTCAAGACGATGAGAGTGATGTTCAAGATGAAAACTAAGTGATTGTGCAATGAAGAGAGAGAAAGCAGAGCAGGACAGTACCAGAAGAAGGAGTCGGAACAGGAAACACACAAGAATCGAGCTGAACTCGGTCGACATTGTGTCACCAGTTGATCTCAATCTCTTACAGGTACTTATGCAGGCACCCGTTCCTCCCCATGTAAGATAAGAAGACGATCATGCACCCTGGGGATAAATCCAAGTGATACGACCATTCTTGAGGAAATGAGGCTTGAAGAGCAGGGCTTTCAATCCTGATCGTGCAAGCTGCCTTCCTTTTGTTTTCGTGGTTGTCACACAAATACTCGAGCTCCCTCAAAACTTACAAATCAAAATTCCGAAGCGTTAATGCGAGATCATAGTATCCCGTGTGAGAACGGGATCTGTCTTGAGCCAGGACACCCAATTGGCAAGGTAAAATTTGGAATATAATATAATGTTGTTCCAGAACTCGTGGGACAGTATAGGTACCTAGGTAGGTGCCAATGGGGAAAGGAATTTCTTCGAGATGAGAGTGAGCTCGCATTGCCTTTGCACTTTGGACTCAGCCTACTTATGTTGTCTGACAAATCTTGCAGCAGTACTATCTCAATTCCTAGGATTTACAGTGGGTGATGGAAGAATATAAACAGTGATTCTACTAGAGTTCAATGGCGGCAGATAATATGCAGCTGCAAATCGTGGCTTGAGAAAACATATTTGGAGCAGGCTTGATCTCACCGGAAGGCCCCCAGTAGCAAAGGGTTTCCTTCCGAACAAGGACGTCAAAAAATAGAGCTGGTCATACCTAGGCTAGATCATGGTCGGAAACTTGCCGGGTGCACGTTGACTTGGTAATCAAGTTTAGGGCAGACACCTGTGACCAGAAGTTGCACTGACAAAAGACATATCATGAATACATGACGAATGAAAAAAATGGCTAGGCTCGCAGTTTATGGGTGTAGTGGAATTACAGCATAACGTGAAGAGTTCCCCCAATTTAAAGGCCAAGGTGACGCCGACAAAGCAATACTCGAAGTCAACATGCTGATGCTTGTGCTGTCGCGTTGCATGATAAGGTAGTCTATTCCAGACAAATTATACTTACAATGATAGCCTCCCTAAGATTGTTTGCATCCATACCTCCACCTACCCTAGCGTGCCGTGGACCAACCATACCTAGTATCTAAACGCTTGAACTAATCAAACCATCAACGCCGAAACACTGATCCAACAAGTCGAAAACATGCTGCACACACCATACTCATACACTCACTTGCTCTCACTCGATGGTAGAGGCATAACAAACTCCTCTTCATCCCCGTCCATCCGCCTCAGAGACTCTGGTAGAACTCCCCTCAGGCCAGGCTCTAATTCATCATCATCAACCTCAAATGCCTTCAAGAAGCTCGGATTCTTCCATTCCGGTTCGGCGTCCTTAAAATTGGCTGGGGTGATGGTGGTATCGGAACCTTGGCTCATGTTGCTAACGCTTCTCTGAAGTCCACTTCGCTCCGGCTTGAAGGTGTTTGCATTCAACGCACCCGAAGCTGATCGGCCCTTTGTGTATCCAATTGTGGATCTCGATGCTGCTGTAGCAGCAGTGTGGCGCATACTTGATGTATTGCTTGGTAGACTTGGGACTACTGGAGCTTTTGATCTGTAAAGGAAGGATGCCTTCGGTGCAGGTTTCGAGGCCTTCGGTGCTACTGGGGCTGCTTTCGGTGCGACAGATAATGCGGATGCTGCCTTTCGCGAGGTAATGGTTGCAGGACCTTTATTCGACATCGCTGTTGGCTTCTTGATTTGCTCGGTAGATTTTGCGATGGGCTTATCTTGAGGTTGTATTTGCTTTTTCCGCAGATGTCGGAATGCCTCAGGGACATCACCAACCGTCCAGTCCTCCTCCATCATCTTCATAACACCCTCGTCATGTTCCTTCATAACTTTGTCATAGAGATCCTGTGAGTCCTTATCGTGCTTGGCTGCTTGTCTCTTGAGCATAGGTTGATAGTAACTTTGATAGATATCTCGCATCATATTCTCGGGCTTGAGAGCAGAGTAGTTGAGACATCCATCAGGGAAATCATCACACTCGAATGGAAGCTCCTTTGGTTTGGGTGGGCAGTATTCGACGTCTCTCTCGGTGAGTGGACTCTCATCGCCATGAACCTCGAGCTTGACGGTGTCGGCATGGATCACCTTCTTGGGTCGACGAGCACTGGTTTGCTTCGGTTTACTCTTCTCGAGCTCCTTTCCGAGAGTTGGTCCAGCCGGTGTTTGGAAAGCCTTGGCCTTGGCATTGGTTGTCTTCGCACCGAGGGGAGCTCGTTCACGAGGAGCTATCTAACGTCAGTCTCAAATCATATATACATTAGCACTAATATGCATACCCATGGGAGTAATGAAGGCATTCTTGTCGAATGTGGCGATCTTCTTCCCGCTCACCAAATTGTCCAAGCCCTTTCCTTTACCCGTCTTCCCAAACCCGGTTGGTGCATTTTCGTCATTCAGTGGAATTCGCAAAGGTGTCTTGGGATATTTGTTTCCGGGCGTCTTGGGTTGAAGACCTCTCGTCGTCTGATTCAACGGCTTGGATGCGGCAACTTGTTGATGGCCATGCACCAGATTTTCCTGATCACGCGCAGCCAACATCTTTGTATCGGATTGTAAAAGCAATACTCGATGAATGTGGTGATGTTACATTGAGCGTGGATGATCGTTGAAAGTGGAGTACGTAGAGTCTTCAATTTTCAGGAGTCTTGGTGGCGCTCCTTCCTAGAAATTTTGTTGTGGTGCATCGACCCGGCAACGAGCGGACGCAGCTTCTTTGCCAAACGCAAACCCCAGCGAACCGCCAAATCAAATCCTTGTCCCTCTCACATTTCGGCTGCCTCGCCTCGTGTCTCCAGATCCGACACTTCAACTCCTGAGAAATACGTCAACCTTCCAACCTTCGACCACCACTTCGTCTACAACTTCATCTCAAATCCGTCAGCTACACAAATCGCAAACTTCTTCTCAGATACCCTAGATTACGGCTTCCGCCCTCTACCATCAACATGGATCGCATCAAGGAGGTAAGCTCATCCCACCAACAACCCCGCCATTTGGGCGTCAAAATTCCGCACGTCCTCCACGAAGGCCATCTACGACCTAGTTATTTGCTTGTCTTACGTGCTGATGTTTGCGAAATAGAAAATGGCGTCGCTTCGCGTTGAAGCTGACGAGTCTCACGCCAAAGTCGAGGAGCTTCAAGGAAAGGTCAAAACTCTCGAGCAAGAAACCCTGCAGAAGGAGCACGAGATCACCTCCCTTACCCACAAGAACAGCCAACTCGAGGGCGAGGTCGAGAAGTTGGAGAACCAGATCAAGGATCTCAAGGCCGGAGCTGAGGAGGGTACGACTGCAACAACACAGAACGAGACTCTCCAACGAAGACTGCAACTCTTGGAGGAGGAGGCCGAGGAGGCTGATAAGAATCTGAGGGAGACAAACGACAAGTATGCTCCCTTCTCTCGATCTGCCTGCATCTGCGGTGAAACTTGGAGCTAGATAAGCTGACATCTACAGGCTTCGTCAAACCGATGTTAAGGCTGGTCACTTCGAACGCAAAGTTCAGGCTCTCGAGCAAGACCGTGACCAATGGGAGCAGAAGTATGAGGACATGGCTAAGAAATACGCTGCGGTCCAGAAGGAGTTGGAGGACTTCCAACAGGAGATCGGCAACATGTAAATCGCCTGCATGGACGGTGGATGTATCTTGGGGGGAGGGTTGGTGAATTGTTCATTGATGGGTGATACGAAAGATACGAAGCGGAGAAGATAATTGCAGTTATACATCGTGTGCGTTGGCGGTGGTACACTGTTTCTACGATGGCTTTGCTTGTCAGTTGATATCAACGGAGATCACATATCATATGGTTCTGCCTTTGATCGTTGTGCATTGGTCAATTGTTACTCTTCCGACCTTCAGCTTTGGACTTGTTTCCGAACTTCTGCTTTGCTCTGGTGACTTTCCTTTCGACCTTGGTTTCGTAACGGAACTTTTTCTTCCGGACTTTCTTTGGCCATTGCTTCTTCTCTTTGTCCTCGGTCTCAACAAGTGGAGGGGCTTCTGCATCTGAACCCTCACTTTCTTCCAAATCAACTACCTTCTGCAGACCTTCTTTCGAGACATCGACAGCTTCTACCGTGACTGTTGTGTATTTGTCCTCGTCGATATACTCTTCCTCATGGTCGATGGGTTCTATTACGACCTCCTCTTCCTCAATTCCATTCCATACCTCCTCTTCAGTCTCTGGATCTGCGAACAAACCCTCTGCTTCCTTGACAGCTCTATTGACGGCTTCGACATGGTCTTCTAACTCTTTCTTCCGCTCTTCTCGTAGCTGCACCCATGTCAGCAAGAACATCCCTCTTTCGCAGAAAATAATAGCTGACCTGTTTCCTCGTCTCTCTGTGCTCTTCCTTCGCCTTTTTCGCCGCCTCTTCTTGTGCTCTCTTAATTCTCTGCACTTTTCGCTTGTGAAATCCCGTCAAATAATCTGCTCGTGCATCATTATCGAATGAGATCTCCTCGATTTTGTGCTCTGTCTTTCTCTTTTTGTTGGCAGGTGGTAGGACGGATCTTTTAGGACGTGGATGGCGAAAAATTCCCGGTTCTAACATAGCAGGATTCATTGCGGCGGTAGAAAATAAATATCTCTTTCGTAGGAGCGGCGCAGTTGAAAGTGTTGTATCTGCTCAAAATAATTTGGCTGAGAATTGGTCTGCGCCGGACTAAGGTTAATCCGACCCTTGTCATTTCAAAGGCTGCTCATGGTTATCGAAGCTCGAGCTCGACAACATCAAATCGTGACTGTCAAGCTTCAACAGGATACCAGCAACGATGCGTCTTTCAGTCGTTGCACTAGCAGCAGCCGCTGTCTCTGTTGAGGCGTTTAAGGATACCTCCCCTTTCATCCTATTCTCGAATTCTCCGTTAGTATTTACCTCCCCTGTACGACACTTGACTGAGAATGCGCATGAAGGTTACCAGCGAATTTCCAGGATGTCTCGACGAGTCAATTACAATCGAAGGCGCAGGTGATGGGATCGGCGAAGAAGTTTTTGTCCAGCTGCCCTTCGCAGATTTACTATGTCGTTTCGCAACCAGGTGTCTCATTCAACGATTTGTCTTCTTCAGCACCACATCTCAAGAATGCTCTCTCGAACCCCGGAGTCCACTCCAGATTTACAGTCAGTGAGGCTGTAGGCTTGAATGCTACGGATGCGGATGATTTGGAAGCGTACATTCAGAGCCACTGTGGTGCGGCGAAAGCAGATGTCTCTGATGTTAAATCTGCTCTCAGCCAGAGAACTGGCACACAAGCATCCAGCGTCATTGTGAGGGAGAAGTACGCTGCTATTCCGAGCGATGTAGTAGGTAGGGCAGCTATGGTTGTCGATGCTGGTGAGTTAGTTTGGATCCCCAAATACATCGCTTTGCTGACGGATGAACCCAGATTCGTCACTCTACCCTGTTCTCAACGAGCTACCTAAGGGATACAAATACACTTTCATCTATACCACCTCTCCAGCACTTGCCCAAGAATCCGATCACTCCGAGACGATCCGATATGAAGCAGCATTCGACGAGGTACTGCACATGGATCTGAAGCGAAACCTTCAAGCTCGCAAGGATAACACTACAGTCGCCGACAGCAGACCACTTTTTGAGAAGTATCAGTTCTTTAACCCAGGTATGTCGTTGCCAGGACCGGTTTTTCCCTCTTCTACATTATGCTGACAAGTATTCAGGACTATTCATGGGCCTTCTCGTTGGTCTCCTCCTCATCTCTATCCTCGGCGTTGGTATGAGTGCATTGGGTAGCTTACAAGTTTCGTATGGAGCTTTCGACAAGGAGATGGGACCAGCTGCCCAAAAGAAGCAACAGTAGATGGCATGAATTTGGTAGGGGAGGTGGGATTGGGATTGGGAAATGCATCACAACGAGCAGTGGCTGGTATGGAGTTCATTGTATGAGAAGTTCAAGTGTATAAAGTCCGGGGTTCTTCCTTTATGGTTTACATTACACTGTAATGGGGTTCGGGAATACATCACGGACATAGATTTAGCATGATATCAAAGCTTTTGATCGATATTGCCTCTTATTATAACCAGTTGTGCCTGGAAATGTTACTCGACCTCAAGAGGATACTATTTTGATAGCACGGTGAGCTTTCGGTTAGAAGATCCTTCCTCACAAGATACAATAGCCCGTCCGCCCAAGACTCCAAGCAATGCCACGCTTTCGAAACGCCAAATGAAATGCATCTCTCTTCCCCTGCTTGCACCTCTCACTTCTCTGGCGCATCCGGTAATCTCTCGACCACATATTTTCCTCTTGCAACAGAAATGATAGGAACACCAGGTATCTTACGGATCCTGCGCTTCAAATCCTTGTCGTTCGTCGCTACAAGATAAATCTTGCTCTGTTGAACGCGGTCCACAATACAATCATCTGCGTATGTACCAGCGTGCGAACACTTCAAGCGCTCAAATCTTTCATCTCTTGCAATACGAAGGGCTATTCTGTAGCGGGGGCCGAGCTTCTCGAGTTCTGCCATTACACAGCTGGTGATTATTGGTATGCATTTGGCGTATAGCGTGTCCATCATTGTTTCAAGCTGCATAGAGGTTAGCATCGTAGAAAGAGCCATGAGCAAAGCAGATGGAGGAGATGCTTACCAACTCAAGCTTCCGTTGGACGGTGTGTGATAGGAAATTAGTGTCGACAAGGACATTGTAAGGTGGGACTAAGGCCGTGTTGTACTGGAAGAAGAGGGCGGAGGAGACTTGAGGGCTAGGAGCATGGTCAGTGGCAGCATTGGGGGTGTCTGCAGAGAACATACACTTCTCGAACAACTTGGTTCTCTTTTGCTTTCTTCTTGGCTTCGTCCTCGGCCTTGGAGATGTTCTTCTTCAATCTAGCATCGTTCTGGCCGATTAAACGTTTGACCTGGTGGGGTCAGTACGGAAAAGCTGGAGGTGGGGAAGCTGGAAATTGATCTTACTGCGCCAAATTTGCGGGTTTTCTTTGCAACTCCCATATTGAGGAATGTTGTGTCAGAGCTTGGTTTAGAGTCGCAGATCAAATGTATACGAATTATCGACGATACGCTGTCTTGTTGAAATGTCTGTTGCGCAGCACGATTCGAATCTCAAAAAATCGGAACCCAAAAACCATTCTGCCACCATCGACCGCCTGTTGCCCCCAACAACTAAAAATAGCGGACGGTGCTAAGATCTAAGCCAAACCGGGCAGTGGTGCGAGAAATGCAGGAACAGGGCAATCACGACCAACACGAGCGAGAGAAGTGCAAAACCATCGCTGCATCTCCTTTACGAGCTCTAGTAGGATTTGCACCCTTCGTCTTTTCTCTCTTCCTGCATACATTCGTTCACCTTCGACTTTCAATTCCTCTGAATACTTCGTGGTTACGACGAACATTCCATTTCGACAATTATCCATCCCCATCCCTGGCTTCAATTGAGACAGCAACCAGTACAGCCTGTACCACAACATCTCTATTCGCCGCACAACAACACTGCATGATTCGACCGCAGCACCCATAACCGGCTGAGCAGGATCAAGGAATTGTTGCCAACGAGATCTTACCTCACTCTCCCCAACTGAGTACTGTCTCTTGATATTACCTTCACTTCGATCGACGATTCACGAGAACCACCCAGCCTTGACCTGATTGCGACAACCAGCATACGGCTCCCCAGACTCTTTCTCGCGGCTGAAATCTTTCTTTTTACATCCCTCGTTCTCACAAACACCATGAGACTCCTCCAGCGATCTGCTGCCGTTGCAGTCACCTTTGCGATGGCTGCTTCAGCGGCATCGACTCTTCCCAATCTCTCCACGGCAAGCGCAGCTACAGGAACAGGATCCGCATCAAATACAGCCTCGGCCACAACAGGAGGAAGCACAAGTGGAGCGTCAACGAGTGGAAGCACATCAGCCAGTGCCGTTACAATTACAGGTTCCGGATCAACAGCATCATCCTCAGGGTCCATTCCCACCATCACAGGAACGAGTGCCACCAGCGACGCTGCGCTTACAGGCCTGCCAACATTGTCAGGCGCTGTGCAACCGGTCACGGTCACTGTGCCCAATCTCTCAAATGCTCCATTCATGCAGACAAGCAGTTTACCTGATGGAACTGTTTTCATCGTTGTCGGTGCGATCCTTGGATTCATGGCTATGAGTGTTCTTCTATGGCGTGGTCTAGTTGCTTGGACTTTGCACCGTTCCGTGACCCGTGCTGCATCTCAACAGAACATGGACGACAAGAATGCGTTGTTTCGAACTCCTGCTCCTCCAGCGCCTTTCTACAAGTACTCAGATCGAGACTCTACGATATCGTTATCTGGCTTAGGACACAAGAGCAAGAAGAGCAACCGCCCAGGGACTGGTGGAGCTGGCGCAAGCACTACCAATCTTTTCTTCTCGCCCACTGCAGGTGCTGCAGGCGCTGGTCTTGGTGCGGGGAATCGTGGAAGCAATTATCTTCCAGCAGGATACTATGCTGCCGGAGCTTCTGCACCTGGAAACGGACAGGGTCATATTCCCGTTGGAGGGCAAGGACACTCACAGGGCATCTCTATGTCGACATTGCGACCTGAATCTCAGGGTTATGGTCGTGCTAGAAGTTTGGGACACAGCCCACCAGATAGCCCAGGACTTTCGGCCGATAGGGGCCATATGGCCAGCTCAAGTACTCTGAACTTAAGCCAAGGCTATGGTGGTAATGAGAGAGCTCCGAGTGCTTATTTGGAAGATTTGATAGATGGCGACTCCACCATTCCCCCTGGGCATGGCCGCATCTGAACGCTCATCTGGCATCATCCGAAAATGGCATGGAAGAAGGAGTGCTTTTGCGTCAAGCATCAACATTGGGTTGGTTGGAAAAGGGTGTGTATTTTGACTGCACTTGTATACTGGTTCCTTTGTCTTTTCTGGCGAGACAGGCGTCTTTATGGTGGAGGATTTGTTGCATACAGGCCTGGATATTCCCGCCAGCCTGGGTTCCTGATAGAGGAATACAAGCCAACCACAGCGAACCGCGCTGGAGAGTGTGGATAGTGGTATAGTGTAAATAGTAATGATGTTGAGTTATAGTTCACTTGCACAGCTCTTGTCTTGTGTTTCTGGTATCTGCGTTGTCGTTGGTGCTCTATCAGTCGAGTGACTATCCATTCTCATATTTCATAGGACACCTTGCATTTTCACTCACTCTATTCGGTCCTTCTGCTTTTTATTCCAGTACTCATTCTTCATTTTTATCTATGAGAGTCACTTGCACCTCTTACCGTCAATTACTCGTCGAAAGAGTCTGGTCATACCGGGTAAAAAAAGCTGGTGCGGAAGAAGCTGTGTTGCAGGGGTTTACCCACAGCGTGGCCCAACTCAATCTGCAAGACATCTGCCGTCAATCTTCTTAGTGGTATTATATATTAAGAGAGTAGTCCAAGTGCAGTCTCGTGAAGCATATGGAAATCTGCCATCTACCCTTGTATTTTGCTACTCAGGCGCACTGTTGTGCAACGCTCGTAATTAATTTGAATGATGGCGCAGTGCACCCCTTTTAGACTATTGTCTTATCGGGCGTTGGCTCCTCGAACCTTTTCTAGGCTGCAAGTTCCCATTCTTTACACACGTATAATGTTCTTCCTAACCTAAGTACACACGAACGAGAATGAGAGGAAACGAACCAAGTGAAATGAAACAACTGGATATCCAAAACGGTGGAAGTTCAACATCGGCATACTCGCGTTTGGCCTTTGAGACTTCCAGAGACTCAGTGGCATTTAACTCTGTCGAAGTCTCCACTTCCCACAACGATTCAAATCACCACAGTTTAAACACATGCCACCTTTTCGAATCTTCCGACTCCTCCTCTGGCTCCTCTGGCTCCTCTGTCTCATCAGCTAGAAAAGAAACATACTACAGCCTTTCGAAAACCTTTCCAGAAGCTTTGCCCAGCAGTGATAGCCTTGATCGCGCAGTGCGGAAGTATGGTTTCTTGCCGTGGAGACAGCTAGTATCAAAATTGTCTTCGAAAATAATCAAAGAATCGGTGCCAGCATGGTTCTTCGGCATTCTCGGAGGCTTTGTAGTTGCTCTACTGGTCCTTTGCGCAAATGTTTCCGTTCTAGTGTGGGTTCGAACCCGATTCAAGGTTGTCCACGGCACTGCTGCTGTATTTACTGGATCTTGTTCTAGGGCATCCACTATCACAACCTGGGTCGAATTGGCTATCAATGTTCTGTCCACTGTTCTGCTGGCAGCCAACTGTAACTGCTCTCAGCTACTTGTCTCGCTCACAAGAAGCGAAATTGAAAAGGCTCATCTTCATGGACGTTGGGTTCATGTTGGCGTGGCGAGTCTGAGAAACTTTGGGTCAATCAGCCTATGGAGAAAATCTTTGTGGCTTTTACTACTGTCTAGTTCGATTCCGCTGCATTTGTTGTATTTCGTACGCTTCAAATATTTGAAAGTCTAACAATTCCTCAGCTATAATTCCGTCGTTTTCTCCTCTTCGTACACCGCGGACTTTATCACCGCTCTTGTTACAGAATCTTTTGAACGTGGAGCTTGGTGGAACGAGACTTATGCCCTTGCATCCTTTGCGGCCAATTCGAGTCAATATGGAGATGTTCCTAAAGACGGCAACAGCGCACAGATCCCAGTGACTACCTTGAAATCATTGCAAAGCAGCATACACAATTTTACGAAGCTAGAGAATGATGAATGCGAGGATACTTTTGGAAGTCGGAGCTTGAATCTACCTTATCTGAACGTTCTTCTCGTCACTAACTACACTACCAACAACTCCTTTGTCGATGGATCGATTCATTATCCGGAGCGAGGTATGAATGACATACCATGGTTCAATGCTACAGGCAAACCTCTTCCGCCATCATACGCAGCGTGGACCTCAGTCAACATGTTTGATGTTCCTGTGCCACCACATGACCCGAATCCTTACACGTACTCTCACGGGGAGTATTGGAATTTGCCAGTTTCTAAGTGCAATACTACAACCTGCTTCGCCGAACCAGCATGGATTCAATACTGCTTAGCCCAACCAGTAGCAGATCTTCAGACGAGGTGCACTATTAGCGTCAGTACGAATCTTCTCGTGGCGGTCATTGTTTGCAATTGCATCAAAGCAATTTGCTTAGCGATATTTCTTGCTCCAGACTTTCATCCTCTTGCTACTGTTGGCGATGCTATCGAGTCTTTTATGAACCGCCCCGATCCACTCACTTTGAATTGTGGTCCAGTGTCAATGTTTCAGCTATTGCAAATCTCATCCAACGACGCTGGCATGTTTGGAACTATTGGTGGGCGTGATTCTTTTACAAGTTTCAAGGATTTCTTCAGGAAGCAGAAATACTTGAGCTTAGACATAGAAGCTATCTCCAGCACAGCTCGCGTGTGGGGACACAACCCAAGAACGTGGTCAAGTTCATTGAGCTCACCGTTCCCTCATTATGCACTACTTTTGTAAGTCTCGCCTCAACACGAAGAAGCGGGTATTAGAACTAAGACCTTTGCAGCTGCGGTGCGGTATATGTGATGATACTTTCTATTTCGGTGAAGAACTGGGGAGGTGGCCTATTCTGGTCTCGCAGTAAGACATTATCAGGCTATCACAGCGCCTTCGCGACCTCATTCCTCCAGCCTTTGACAACCAACGCCCTCCTGATCAACGCCCCACAGCTTGCAGTATCTATAGCCTACATGCTGTATACCACTATGCTTACCACCATGTTCGTATCTAACCAGTCCAGCAAGTTCTCAGCCCGAAGTCGAGTGCTCCGAGTCTCGTGTCCTAAAGGCAGTCAAAGGGCGACTTATTGGCTCCAATTACCATATAAATACATGATCCCAATCATGACCATAGCCGCAGGCATTCATTAGTTCCTCTCCAGAGGCGTATACCTGACCAACGTCCAGGTCTACAACATAGCAGGCCAAGAAGTTCCCAGTCGACATCGTCTTTCATACGATACTAGCGGGCTGCCGTTGTTGTTCGCATTCCTTCTGGGAACATGTTTCGTGGCCCTCTTTGCTGTCTTCATGAGACGAAAATTCGGAACCGGTATGCCGATTATTGGGACTTGTAGTCTGGCAATTACGAAGTTAGTGCAGCTTGTCACCCTGTAGCTGGTGACGAGGGCGCCGCGACTAGACCGTTGATGTATGGGGCTGTTCATGTTGGCGAGGTTCAAAGCGAGCAAGCTCGTCATGTTTGCTTCAGCAGTAATAATGTAGGACCATTGGAAGACGGGGAGGCATATTACTGACATTGGTTGATTGAATTGCGGGCACTGGAGCGATCACGTAAAGCCAGACAGGCTACCAGTAACGGAAGTAGTCTCATATGGAAAGCAAGAAGCAAAATTCAAGGAACTGGTGGAACTCCAAGCCAGTGTCGGCTCAGTTCCCATTTTCAGAATGCGTGCAACCCTTTGCAGGCCAGCCGGATGTCAACAGTGGTCCGTTCCAAACGATTTTTGCTCCTTCAGCCACAGTTATGGGGTATGCGGGGAAGCTGCGCACCAGACCCCCACATGCCTGGGAAATAAGTTCTCTCCCGGGTTTACGGATCCCTCGCTCACGCTGTTCCCGCACTATTACCATCTCGCAATCTTTCCCATATCAAAGTATGAGCCTAAACACTGAAGTACTCTAGCATCAAACATAAACCGTCAATATGAGTGACCGTGTTCGAACCTCCGATTATAAACAAGCCAGAAAGGAAAGCGCAGCAAAAGACAATGATACGCAACGAGAAAGAAAGCGGGCGCTTGATCGCAAGGCACAACGGGCTTCGAGGGAGAAGACAAGATCATACATTGCACATCTGGAGAGGACAGTACAGATACTGAGCGAAAGGAATGGGACAGCGGCAGCGAATGAGTTACTGGAAGAAATCTCGAAGCTCCATGTCGAGGTTGATCGGTTGAAGAAGATTATAGAGGGCATCAGGTGTTTGTTGGGTGTTGACTTACACGAGGCTCCCGTGACTAAGAGGTGTCTATTCCTTTTCTATGTAAAGCTGTAGACTAACCCTCTCAGACCTTCTTCTCAGTCTTCGGTTCGTGATAGTACCAGCTCAAACAGACCCATTCCGGACGAGTCCGGACTCTGTGAAGTCCGTTCTCCTTCCGCAGACCCTTCTCATCTCCAGAAAGTTGAGACTCAAGATGGTTCTGCTTGGACTACCAACATCATCGATGAAGAGCTCGCAGTGAACGAACATATTGAAGGTGTCAACGAGGATATTAGCCAACGAGGCTCTACTGAAACATATCACATTACCCAGAGACCGGCACGAAACCTCGATTGGATGGACTTCGACGAGACAGACCCAAACATCTCTGCCCGCTCCCAGAACATTCTCCATCATGGCTCGCTCCCCAGCATCATGAGATCCCTGACTCCGACGCTGCCGGAATACGAGCCGTGCGAGGTCTGGAAGAAAGCCAATGCCATTTATGCACGCATCTTCAATTTTGACAGACAAAAGATCGCAGAAGCTGACCAGATAGACGGAGGCTCGCTCGTTCGTGTCGTCAAAGATGGCTGGAACTCATTGTCTGTCGTGGAACGAAGCAATCCCGTCATTGAGATCTTAAGGGAGGTTGATCAATATTTGTTCTGGGATTTAGACCCTGTCACCAAAGTTGCGAATCTTTACAAGAGCATGCTCATACTCAAGGTCCGTCTCGGAAAGCAAGAAGTGAGGTTCGATTGATGCTGATAGTGATTCAGTATTATTTCAATGCCGGCAGCCATAATCTAGAGAAAATGCCAGAATGGCAAAGACCAGTGTAAGCCTATCGAGTTAACATCAAGCATATTCTAACTCTTCCAGACAATCTCAAAAGTCCAAACGGCATCCACTTGCTATTGACTTCTTCCCTTGGTAAGTTAAGCCGAACAGATATCTCATGCTCAAACTTAACTCTGACTCTCACAGGCCTGCATTACGAGACCGACTAGTCCGTCAGCACAATTACTATTTTGGCACCACGGATTTTTCGGTCAACTATCGACATCACTTTAAGTTCAGTTGGCCCTTCAACTTCGACGACATTTACGCATATGATCACAAGAATAGGTCATATCAGCTGAGCCCTCTGTTTGAACGCTACCACCAAGACGTGAGATGCTGGAGCTTGCAAAAGGCGTTCTTCGACAAGTTTCCCGAGTTTATTGGCGAGATATCTGCTTTCGAGGATGAGGTCTCAAAACTTCCTGCTTCGAGTATTCCTGGTTATAGGCTGTCTCCGGCACGAGATCGTGCTGCGACATTCCAAGAAGCTCCGAATGCTAGGAATGCGAATCACGAGTTCGCGGACGACATAATGCAGCTTTTCGATGAATGTCCGCCAACATAATCACCAGGATCAATCTTAGCGAGGACTGGCTTGAGGAACAACTATTTTGTGTATGTAACTAAACAATGCGATCAAGCCTTCTTCTTCAAAAACAAAGATTGTGAGTTGCAGAAGTGTTTCAATCCGCTGGATCCCCACTCGCTTCCAATTCCACTCTGCTTGTGTCCTCCAAATGGCACAAGTGGAGATACCTCGATGTGAGCGTTGACCCAGACACTTCCAGCTTCCAACTGCTTAGCGATCCGAGCCGCTTCGTCCAAGTCGGATGACCAGACAGATGCACCAAGTCCCATTTGTGTGTCGTTGGCGCGGGCAACCACATCGTCTTCGTCGGACCATGTCATGATGGGGACGATGGGTCCTAGGATCTCACGTCAGCACTTTGCTCCTCACTGTTGTATAAAACTGCTACAACTTCGAAATATTTTGAGATAATACATACCAAAAGGCTCCTCTTGTACAATTTTGGAGTCCTCTTTCGGATTGTCAATAATGGTGGGATTGATGAAGTATCCGCCAGTCTCAGACACCTTGCCTCCGACCGCCATCTTCATACCGTTTTTCTCCACATCATCAAAGAATCCCTTGACCTTTTCATATTGCATCGAGTTCTGGACAGGTCCAAGGAAGACACCATCTTCGGTTCCATTTCCAACCTTGAAAGTCTTGGTGTGTTCAACCATGGCGTCTCGGAACTCGTTGTAGATGTCTTTGTGGATATAGATGCGCTTGACACAAAGGCAGATCTGTCCTGAGTTCAGGAATGCCAGAGTTGCGATCTTGGGGGCGACGGTGGCGATGTTGACCGACTTGCAGATAATGGCGGGGTCATTTCCTCCTCTGTTTGAATCCTGTCAGCTGTCCCTTCTTGTGCTCTACGTTTCGCGAATGGGAGATGAGCACTTACAGTTCAAGAGTCACTCGCTTCAATGTCTTGCTCGCGCTTTCCATCACTTTCTTTCCTGTCACGGTCGAGCCAGTAAAGCTGATCTTGTCAATACCGGGGTGGGATGTGATCCATGGACCAAGATTGTCGTCTCCGCTCAGAACCTGAACCACGCCGGGTGGAAAGAATTGTTGTGCGAGTTCACCAATCTTGAGGTCACAGTATGGTGTGAAGGGCCTGTTCTCGTTAGTTCTGCAGTCACCTTCAAGAGGGGTGATCCGTACGAAGGCTTCACAATAATCACGTTGCCTGTGAGGACTGCCGGGGTAATTTTTCCACATGCAAGTTGAACGGGGAAGTTCCATGGGACAATGGCCCCCACGACACCAAGTGGCGTATAACGAGTAATGACCTTGCGATCTTCGTTGTCTTCGACCACTTCTTCTGGTATGTCTAAGTTTCCAATTCCTTTGATCCACGCCGGCCCACTCTGTACTTCTTGACGAGCGAACATGAGCTGGGAATTTTGTCAGCTTTGTGATATCTCGTCGGCAATCAAGTGAGACTTTACAGGCTTTCCTTGTTCCATGGTCAGCAATTGGGCAAACTCTTCCTGGAGACTGCCCAATGCATCTGCAAACTTCACTAGTGCCTCCCTCCTCTCCTGTACACTCGTCTTCGCCCATTTCTTGAAGGCCGCTCTTCCTGCTTCAACAGCAGCATCGAGATCTTTCTTTGTTGCAACGGGAACTGGAGGATTGGCCTTCTTGGTTGCGGGATTGATGCCGTGGCGAGTGGCACCGTCGGATGCGGGGACGAGCTTCCCGTTGATGGTATTGGAGAAAGTGGTGAAGTCGAGCTTCGCCGTACCATTCGAGTGTCCATTTTCGTTTGTTGCTGATGGTGCCATTTTGATTGATTGATTGAATGATTAAACTGGTTGATGGGTTGTTGTTCGAGGGACCTTGGAAATGTGTCCAAGGGAGGAATCTCCAGAGTTCAAAAGAAAGTGATCAAAAGGGGGAAGGAACGTCGGAGATGGCAGGTCGAACTAATACACGTCGGCGATAAAGAGAGGGGTTCAATTCACTAAGTGTGGGACAGCGACAGCTACTCAAAGTATACCTAGGCAGGGACAATATGTGATGGCGGCCGATATATGGTTGCGGTACGAGTACCAATAACCGCAAATGGCCAAGCACGAAGCACCAAGGACACCCCGCAGCAGCCAAGTCCCAGGGCAGGGCTACGCAGCACAACGGATACTAGTAACGGCCTTCGTTTCTCTCGTTCAGCTCGTTCAATGGATGCTCTGCAATCCGGACAAGCAAGACCTGACTCGGTCGTAATGACATAACCTTATCCGGAACCGTGCAAAGGGAGGGACAAGACTTCCAAATGGACCCCGCGATTGGATCTTCATGATTAGTTCTGCAAGTGCAGGTGTCAAGCCGCATGACAGCATAGGTACATAAGCATACATATGGACTGTGCCGGGAGGATCGTCGTGTTGCAGCCGGTTGGTGTGTATCGGATCTGTTGTAAGATTACCACAGTCAAGGGTCATTATCTATATTGAACATCGCGTCTCGCATCCGACCACCTACCACAACCTCTGACGCCTGTTTTCCCTTCCCATTTTGAATACGATATCTTTTCCGGCACTCGATCATACCCTCGCTTGTTTGCAAGTTATTTATTATTATGCTCTTGGTTTAGAATTATTGGTGTTGGGTGTTGACTTGTTGTTGCTTTGCCGCGGCTCCTTATCAAGACAGCCACGGCCACGGCCAGGATGTCGACAACCGAGGGGCAAGTGCAAGTGCGGGGGTTTTCCCTTCCCCGGATTCTGGGACACACTCCGCTCCGTACGTAAGGTTACCCACTCGTCACCCTCGCCATTCCTCACCATTGAGTAGTACGCCACCAGTGGATGATAACGATGTGGATATACCACCAAACCACACAAGTACGGTAGTTTGCAACTCTGTCGTTGTAAATTTTGGGCCATGGAGATAATTCCGCGATCTCTGTGCCATAACGCCACAGATCTCAACTGGGATCAATCAGATGGTTGTGGAAAGTAACCCGACCTGAGCAGAGACAATTACAGTCCTCCAAGATTTTGTTGGTGGGTCTTCGGACTTATGAGGCTGGTTGTCTTCGAATCGAAACACGGAGACTAAATTTATTTGCAGTAATTATGGTCTTGCTCCTCAAGTCCGTCTCCCCACACAGTCTTCCTTCGCTAAATACCCCGCACCCGTCGTCGATTTTCTGCACCTTCAGGCCTCTTCAAGTCACATTTTCCCTCTATTTGTTCCTGACATATTCTCCCTCTGTCAGAATCTAGATCTGCAGATCACTGATCAGGTACCATGTCCGCCGCTGTAGCTCGGGGTGACGAGTCACATCTGTCCCGCAATGCCAGACCCAAACCCAAACCCAAAAGAGACTCAAGCAGCAGCCAAACGGCCAAGAAACGCGAGCTTGATAGAATAGCCCAGAAGAAGAGCAGGGAACGAGTGAGAAACCGGATGCTGGAGCTCCAAGAAAAACTGGAGAGGTTGCAGAGTGATGACAAACAGAAGCAGATTACAGATCTGCTGAAGGTGGTGGATGATCTGAAGAAGGAAAATGAGAGACTGCGGGATACGGTGGAAAAGATTAGAGGATTGGTCAACAGTACCAATGATATGTCTTCTTGTATGTCACCTTCTGTTTCAGATCCTGATACCAAGCTGATGCTGTGAAGTGAGCTCGGGCAGCCGCCCCAAGAAACGGGACTCCGCACCTAAGAGCACCATAGGCACAAATGAACTTCAAGTCAGGTCAGACATATGTAACGATAGTAGGTCTTCGATGTGCTGGGATATGAATTCAAGCAGCGAGTCACCAGAAGCAATCGAAATCGAAGATCATGCTGAACCGGCTCCTTTGCATTCGGATTCTCAAATAAACTCGACTTTTGATGTCTTCGACAACCCGCAGACCAATGCCAATTCCTACCTCTTCCTTTCCTCGTTGAACGGCCTCACGTCATTCGAAAGCTCATTGGCATGTGGAACACCAGGCCAACCTATTTTGCTCCCCATCAAGTCAACCGTCGTTCCAGATATCGAAAAGTGGCACACCTCGAATAACGCCTTCGTATTCGGCATCGACAGCGGAAAAAGTAGTCCCCTTCAGACCAAAAGCATCAATTCTTCTTCTGCTTATCAAAGGATCCTCTGGGGTTGCGAAAAGTCTCAACAGACGGATACGGAGCACCCATTCTGGTTGGCACTTCGGGAAATCGACCAAAGAGTATTTGGCGATTGGAAATCAAAAGCGCAGAAGATTGCAATGATGTTTGTAGCTCATAGAATGTTACTGGTAAGAGTTTTCCTTTTTTGAGAACCCCGAGATGACTAGTTCAGAAGCAGAGCTGACGAGTAAAAGTATCAAAGCAACCCATGCAAGGAAACGTTTGATAGAATACCAACGTTCATGAGACCAAGACCAAGTCAGGAGAGGACTCAGCATCCAGCTGTGGTTGACTTCCTCGTGTGGTATGTTTCCCAATTTTGTGTAGTCCACCTACATCTCCTAAGTACATGTCATCACAGGCCCGGCCTTCGTGACAGACTCGTATTCAGTCACAAACACTACACATCGACGGGAGACTTTTCTGCAGCATTTTGTGAGAACCTGCATTTTCATTGGCCCTTCTCGGATGACGATATCTTAATATTCGACGAAGAGATCCAAGACTATAAATTCAGTCCACTTTTTGAGAAGTATGCGTTTGATCTCAAAAACTGGACGATGGATGATGACTTCTTCGAGAAATTTGGAGAGATGAGGTATGACATTCCTGCTACCAAGTGTGAGAATGGACTGGAGAAGCTGTTTGATTATATGCCTATGACTGCATGAAGTTGGGCGCGCTGGGGGTTTTGGGGAGTGGGCATCAGAGTAGACTTAGAGGTTTGGGCTCCACTTCTTCCAAAGTGTACATTGCTTATCCGAAAAATTGCTACAGGATGTATCTTACCCCGCCGTCATATACATCTAATATATCAATCATCTCTTCTTCGGTTGTCTGATCATAGCCCAGGTCCTGTATATACCAAAGCCCCTATACTTCTCACCGTACGCGCCCAAATCCACGTCAAACTTCTCAACATTCTCATAGCCCCACTTCAAATACAGATGGTGAGCTCCTGGAAAAGCATTGAGATAAATCGCCAAGCCATCCTTATCCGCAATCTGATGACAATGATCCATGAGCCTCGTCCCCAACCCTTTCTTGTGGTGCTTGGGATCCACAGCCAAGGAGGAAACCACTTCACGGTGTCAACGACGGGGAGGCAAACATTCAACGGAGAACATACTATAATGCTTCTTCCCCACCATATTCCAATCCAACTTGCCCAACCCCTCTACCACCATCTGCGCAAACCCCCAATCAAACCCCGGTGGCGGTTCAAACGTCCCCGGACTTGTGAACTTTCTATCAGCCACCTCCTCTCCTGTTTCAAGCGTCATGCAAACCAATCCCAGAATTGCCCCCGAGGTCGCGTCAACCGCTTTGAAGATCTTCGATTGCGGCTCGGCGAACTTCCCGGCTAGACGATCGGCCATGTACTGCAGCATAATGTCGGTTCGAGGCCAGTCGAGGAAGAAGAAAGACATTACAGCTTCGGATATGTGTGACCAGGTCAAAGTTTCAGCCAACGCTGGTATGTCGGCTTCCTCGGCTGGGAGGATGGCAAAAGATGTGGCGAGGATATCCATGGTTGATTGAATCTGGAAGTAGATAGAGAAATCTTGATTCAGATGGACCTCAAGCTTGGATTTGAGAGAATATATCGAGAAGTTCGGCCGCTCTGAGTCGGGTGTAGTTGTCCCGGTTCGACTGCACTCGATTACTGAACCAAAGAATCCCAGCCAATGAACTACTTTTGGTCGTATTCGAATTGCTTTGTGTTCTCTTATCTACTTTGGGGACGCCATGATCATGAGATGACTTCAGACAGTACTTCTATCAAGTCTTTTTATCAAGTCTGAAAAGCTCTCGTCCAATCATAGCCACGTCGTACAAACTGACCAATGAGAAATGCCAAGTATCCGTTCACGCTGTCGAGGGCACTCGCGTATCTTGCGAACTTATGGGTCTTTCCCGTACTATTTGAGCCGTTTACAGATCTTGCTGCCTCTTATTGATTTGCATATATGTTTTGAAACTATTAGCACAAAGTGCTGAGTCACTGTGCGGCCTCTCCACGCCGCAGTTATTAAACGGTAGCACTATTCCTAGCATCCAAAAGCGCAAGTGCTTCCGTTTTAGGGGCCTGAAATTGATATCAGAACCCTGCATAAGCACACCCGGCAAGTAAATCATTAAGGGGAGATCCACCTACTTGCACTAGATACCAAAATTGTTCGGTGCTTTTTCTCCCGCATGCATACAGTCAGCAATAAGTGCCCCCAAAAGTTTAGTTGAGCCTCTTGTATACAAGATGATGTGTCGCCTCTGTTGTATTCCTGATCTGTGAGCACGAAAATCCTTTAGTACATTGCATACCAGAGCTCGCAAGCAATGGGTCAAGACTCCACCGCCGGCGCAGCAGTTTAATCCAAACTGTCCTCTTCATCTATGACTTTTGGGTCATCGGTATCTCCAACTTGTACGCATGGCGCTGTCCCACTGGCACCGTTCTCGTCCCATTTTTCAACAAAAATCTCAGCAAGAAGCACCTCGACATTGGCGTCGGGACGGGATATTTTCTTGCTCATGACGATCTGAAAGAGGACAACCAAGTCACACTCGTGGATCTGAATAAGAACAGTCTGGAAGCAGCAAATGGCAGGATCGGAAAGAAGGTGAAAACAATGCTTCACGATGCCTTCAACCATTGCCATTCGAGGGGAAGTATGACTCGATTTCGCTGTGCTATCTGTTGCACTGCATGCTAGGACCGTCGGAGGAAAAGGTGCCTCTGTTTGCGAATGTGAAAAGGAACTTGAGTAAACGCGGAGTGTTGCTCGGGAGCACAATCTTGGGACAAGGTGTCAGTCACAACTGGTTCGGACAACGTCTGATCAACGCCTATAATAAGAAGGGCTTGTTTGGCAATGTGATGGACAGCAGAAGGGTATTTGAAGATAGTTTGAGGGAGAACTTCGGGGATGTTGAATGCAGAGTTGAGGGTGCTGTACTCCTGTTCGAAGCGAGAAGGCCGAGGAGGGACAGCAGTGGTGGGAGGACGACGTTCCAGACGTCTTGATTGTAGAGTCGAATATGTTGCATAGGAAATGGAAGAACTAGCACCTGTGTGGGAAAGCCAATTGTACTGATAAGTAGGATGTCCCCGTGGAGAAAATTAAGCTCATGGCTGGAGTAATTGTTCAAACACAAAGCTCCATAACTCAAGAGCTCAAAAGTTTTGCCCTGTTATTGTCCGTCCGCACTTGATTGATGGGGGTAAGCTGGATGCTGGTTCTCTTCCAAGACCCAAATCTGGTTCTCTTGTCGAAGGTTTCTCCCAGTTGCAAGACGGCAATGACAGAGAGGCTACCGAGAGCGTAGGCTTTCATATGCTTCATCGAACACCGTTATCATTTTGCCCAAAACGCTTCTTCTACTTGAAAGTTTTTGCTTCACATGACGACATTGAGATTATCTCATCCCCTCACGGATCCCAATCTCTGAGAAGCATTCTTGAGATCTTTACTGTCCATCAGAGGGCAAAGCCATCGTCGCTCGCCACCGGCGGTCTTGATCGCATGTTGTGTTGCACCTATAAAGTCAGCCATTTCTTCACCAGCATCCGTATTGACTCACCAAAATCGTGTGGTTTAGAGTTCATGTAGACATTCTCCCAGTTTCCGGCGGGGACACTGTAGATTTCATGACCAATGGTGATCTGATCTGTCTTTCCCAGAGCAGACATTTCGTTCCACCAATCCCAACCTTCGCGATGTACTTTTCCGTGAGCCCATTTCTGTACATGCTCCACAGACTTGAAGTACATGACGGAGAGGACCACTGGTTGCTTGAGGACATCATTGCTGTTGTAGTCGGAGAAGCCCAGGAAGCCATACTCTTCAGCATGAGCTTCAAGATCTCGGTACATCGCTCGAGCAAGAAGACTCAAAGTACGAAATGTCGGGAAGAACAGGCCGAGAGGACTAAAAATCAGCTTGAGTGTGAAAACAGGACAAATCACTTACTGATTGCTCTTGTTGGTCAAGAGAACAATGCACATGCCATCGCCACCAACAGGTTCACCTGGTTGTCGAATCATGCTTCCATCTTTCGGAGGAAACAACGCAGTTTGGCGACCTGGAATAACATTCTCCATTCGAGGATTTTCGACAATACTGTATATCTTCAATACGGTTCGTGTGAGCTTGAACGCTACCAAACCAAATGTCGGCATGAGAACATAGGCGAGTGGTAATGGGGTAGAAAGAATGATGAATGCTTGTAGAAGAGAACCCATCAGAAGCCAATCAGCAATAGTGAAGTTCGCTCGGATTCGGGTATGCCCTTGGGTGGTAAGGAGAGGATGTGTTTGCCAGAATCCATCTCTGAAGCCTTTGATGGCCTGGGACATAGGCTTCGTTGCCTTGGGTTCATATGATGGTTTAAGCTCCATTTCCGAAGGTAGGGAATGTTGAAGATGGCAGGATCGTTTGGTTTAGGACAGGTATCAGAAGAGATTTCGAAAGGAAGGCGGCTTGGAATGCAGGACGAACTTTCTTATGGAGTTCGGCGTGCACTTGCTCGGCGGCTTCATCATACCACTTCCGGTCAACCCACATAGACGAAATATGATTCAGAATGAGGTGCTAGGTGCTATTTCGACATGCTGATGGAACGGAACGGGTTCAGACTTTCGTTGACTGCCATCAAAGAATACAAACGCTACCTGACGACCAGGCATCAAGACAGTAAACAATTATTTCATGCTGCGACAAAAGGACGTGATCAGGCTTTTCGTGATCTCAATCATGACGTTTCTTTCGGAGGAGATTTGAAGCTCTGAAACACACCGAACCTGAATGATCCAACAGCGCCGCTCGGCACACCACTTGGATTTTAGGAATGAAAACCATGACGAAACTTAGATGGAAGTGTAAATATCTCCAGCAATACTGATCGCGATTGTTTGAGGCGTGCGAAGGATATCAAAAGGTTGTCGATTGGAGTAGAAGTTGAACGAGAAGATGTGAGAAGATGTGGGGAAGAAGAAAGTTTCAAGGCTGCCGGCACGGAGAAACCGCGGAGGCCTGATAAAAAGACCAATACGACGTTGAATGCGGAGTACAAGAAAAAGAAATCCCCGAGCAACACCGCACCAAGAAATGCATGTATTCGTCACAATCAATTCAAGCCTAAATTGAGGAAAATAGAATATTCGAGTTGTAATCAACTAAGATCTTTCTAAATCAGGCCACATCCAGAAAGCTTCCTTATACCACTTCACAGCTTCCTCACTCTGCATGTTATCTTCCAACCTCTCCGCGATCCCCAACATCTTCCTCCCCTTCTCTTCCTCACTCAGTCCCCCGTAAAGTTCTTCGAAATCAAAATCAACGACTCTTTTATGAATAAGATCAGTCCTCGAAAGATATTTCTCTCCGGCCATCAATTCCTTTCCATCGTGCCCATTAACACTGGCGAAATGTTTCCCGTCAAAGTGGGGCGAGAATCTGCCTCCTAATGCGAGTGTCAGCTTAGAACTTTCCATTCGTCTGTTGGAAGCTCTTCAGAATCGCGAGTACAGTGGATGCAGTTCGATGCAGTAATGAAAGAGAATGCAGGAGAAAGGGCATACCAGGTAGATGTCGACACAATCTGAACCTCTCGTTCAATTCCTCAACCAACCACTCGCTACCCTCCTCGTCAATGACCTTCTCCTTCTTGAACACCGTTCTTATCCTTTCCCCACAACAAGTCGCACAATGCTCGATCATCGAAACTTTCTCGATCTCGGACTGTAGTTGGCGTGACGTTCGAGGGAATGAGATTGGTATGCTGAACTATGATAGTAGAGCATTCATAGGGGCTCAGGAGGTTGGTGATGATGCGGATGAGTTTATCTTCGCTTGAAGCCCCAGGCGAATGGTCTTTCGAGGGGAAAGTTAGTACGGAATGGGTGATGTTCATCTGGAGAGACTGCACGACTTTCATCGACTGGATATTTGTTGGAACGAGAGATAAGCTGGATGTTGGGAATAAGTGAAGACACTACACTACATCTTCTCCAACACGATGAACAGATTGAGAGTACCACGTAGTGTTTTTAATTGGGGGAGACGAAACAAAAGATCTCTCCATGCACCTCTTCGCCGAAGCTCAGCCTTAAGTGCTGCGTTGTAACTCACCATAAATCAGATCACACCAGCTAGCATTGCAACGAATCACTTTCCAGCATGCATACCGCAATTCATACATATCACAAAGAGAGCGATCAAGATATTTGCGTAGACAGACTTATTGCATTGAATTCATCTGAGAATCATCCCATATTTCCATCACTAAGCGCGCAGTCGCTTGTAGTTTCCATGTCAGCTAGATGTGCCTCAGTCCAGCCTCAGCTGGATGGACAGGAGCACTTCCGTATTGCCATCAGCTATCATGCAAGCATCTTTCTTCCTCTTCCCAATGTGAAGAAATCTGCCTGCCCTGTGTGCAGAAACGCGCCAATATTCATGAATTCGGAAAAGAAAATCAGAGCCATATCCTCCTCGAACCTCTCTTCAAATTCATGAAAAGGAGAAAGATCCACAGAAAGACCATATGTCCGTCCACTTTTGTCTACTCGCAAAACCATGGTGCAAAATGGGGAAAAAAGGCAAAGAAAAACAAATTGCGCAGGATCTTCTATGTGGGGAGCAGCAAAAGCCTGCCGACCCTCGAATGATTATTGTTGTGCGGGACCGAAAGATTTCGAGGAACATGACCGTCATAATGCGTTCTGTATAACCCAAGGTCGCACTCCCACGCTAAACCCAGGTAAAAGAAAGCATCATGACCGGTACGCCGAAGTTGGCGTCTCATGCATCTGCCTGATCGCCGTTGATCATCTATTGGGGTATCTGAGACGAGGGCGCGACAGCCAGACCAAAAGACAACGCTATCTATTCTTATGCCGTTCGATGGTCGAAAATCCCGAGTTAAGACAGCCCCATTTACAAGGGACAGAGGCCAGCTTGGTCGAGATAATGCCGCCACCAGAAAATCGAAAGGTTGCAACTCGAAAACGCGAGAACAAAGTACTGAGAATGAGAAGAAGCAAAGCATGTACCCGGCAAGGATACCCGTCAGACGCCTTTGTCCCGTCTAAGATGTACCGAAGTTGTGTCGAAAAGGAACAAAGATGCGTCGCGTAAGGAAAAATTACCACCAGGATTGGCCGCTGCCGCCTCCGGATGGGTTGCCATAGCTTCCACCGCCAAAGCCACCACCGTAAGAGGGAGCACCGCCATAGGCAGCAGGAGGGGGAGGTCCACCGAAGCCACCGCCATAAGAAGGAGCTGGGGCACCGCCAAATCCACCACCGCCGTATCCTGGTCCACCTCCAGCGCCACCACCAAACTTGCGGAAATCACGGTTGGCTCCACCTCCACGGCCTCGGCCACCTGAGCGTCCACCACCGCGTCCACCACCCCCAAATCCAGAGCCCTCACGAGCAATGTTCTCGAGGAAGGCTGGGACTTCTTGGTTGGCCTCCTTCAGAAGATCGATGAGATCACGAACGACACCACGGTTGCCACGGTTGAAGAAGGCGGTGGAGATACCAGTGTTACCAGCACGACCTGTACGACCGATTCGGTGGACGTAGTCATCGATATCTGTGGGTAAGTCATAGTTAACGACATGGGTGACACTGCAGAATGTTAGCACTTGTTTTTATGTGGAATCAGGCGAGGGGAGACAAACTTGGGAATATCAAGACCACGAGCAGCGACAGCAGTAGCGACGAGGATTGGGCATCGGCCGTTGCGGAACATCTCGACTTTGTAAGGTTAGCAAAAGTTCTAGAGCGGAAGATTGGGATTGTACGTACGAGCACGCTCACGCTCACGTTGAGTGCGATCACCGTGAATGGACGTAGCAGGGAAGTTTTGGTTGATGAGGAAGTCGGACAGCGAGTCGGCCATACGCTTAGTCTCAACGAAGATCAGGGTAAGACCAGCACCGTGAGTGTGGAGAATATCCAACAGAACAGATCGCTTGTCCATATCCTCAACGTATTCAACCTTTTGGGTGATGTTCTCAGAGGTGGAACCAACACGACCAACAGACAAGAAGACGTAATCCTTCAAGAAATCTCTAGCAAGCATCTGAATATCTCTGGGGAAGGTGGCGGAGAACATGAGGGTTTGACGGTTCTGAACACCTGGCATATCCTCGCCCTCAACAATACGACGAATTTGAGGCTCGAAACCCATGTCCAACATACGATCAGCCTCATCGAGAACCAAGTACTTGATGTTGCAGAGAGAGATACGGCCACGCTCAATAAGATCGACAAGACGACCTGGGGTGGCCACGAGAAGATCACAACCTCCTATAAAGAATGATTAGTCAATGAACTGAAGCTGTTTGAAACGTGATAATGGTGCTGTGAGATCTGGTGAAGATGAATCACAGTCCATGATAGAAGGAAATTTTGTGGCACTTGCTACTTCACGGAAGGAAAGTGTGTTGTGTTGGGTTAGTTGACGGGGAAGGGACGAACGGGACTACATACGCTCGATTTGACGGAGTTGAGATCCAATGTCAGCACCACCGTAGACAACACATGGTCGGACCCATGATCGGTAGGCGAACTTGCGGGACTCATCGTAAATCTGGGATACAAGCTCACGAGTAGGAGCGAGGATCAAGGAGGTTGGGTATGCCTTGCGTTGGCGACCGAAGTTTCCTGCAGCACCGGCTGGTGGGGCCGAAGGACCGTTAATGAAGGCCTGGGAAAGGATAGGGAACAAGAATCCACCAGTCTTTCCGGAACCGGTTTGGGCACAAGCCATCAAGTCACGACCACCCATAACGATCGGGATGGAGTACTTCTGGACTGGAGTAGGGACCTTGTAGTGAGCAAGCTCGATGTTCTTGATGAGGTGATCATCGAGGGGAGGGTTGGTGAACTTCAGGACTGGCTCGGGGACGTCGTGTCCAGAGGCTTCGACTGGGATATCGTCGTACTTCTCGAAGTTGATACCAGTTTGTTGCTTGGTTGGGTCATCGGCAACGCCAAAGAGCTCACGCTCAAGACGAGGGTTGGGTGGTCCTGCAATATGCTTGCCATCGCGCCATTGTCCATCTCCACCACCACGAGCTGGTGCAGAGCCGCCGCCACTGCCACCACCGGCTGCAGGGTTACCATAAGCATTGCGATTGAATGCAGCAGGTTCCTTGTAGTTGTCCCATCCTCCAGCGCCTCGACCCGCAGGAGGAGCACCAGCAGGTCCGTTGCCACGTGGGGTGAAGTCAGGAGCGCTGGCCCAGTTTCCACCAGGACGAGGAGCGTCACCTGCGAAGCCGTTTCTGCTTGGGGAAGTACGTTAGCAGGCCATCAATGAAGTGAGATAGGCATATCCTTTGAGAAACTTACGCAGCAGGGCCCCAAGCACTGCCGTTGATTCCGCCATTCATAGGAGGTCCGCCGTTAGCAGGTGGAGGCCCAGCAGGAGCTGGTCCGCCAACCTTTCCGCGCATGTGAGGAGGGATGTAGGAACGCTGTTCAGCGCCGCCGGGTCCGCCGTTGAGGTTCAGGCCATTCATGTTGAGTTGGTCTGCCATGTTGGGTGGTGGGTAGATTGCCTGTGAGGCTGAAGGGATGAGGTGACAAATGTTGTTTGCGGTGTGATTATGAAAGAGGTGAAGTGACGCGTGTCGAAGATGGAATTCTTAAACCCTCTTGAAAGACCGTGGGATCTGAAAGAGAGCGTAAAGAAAAGTGTACGAAGATCTATGTGCCGAAACGCGATCGAAACGATTCCTGAGAGAAGAAGGCCTTTGCTTCCTCGCGCAATAAAATCAAAGGGCGCAACTGGTCGTGTACCGCGTGTGTAATGTAGAAGAGGTCCTCGGAAAGATCTAACGACTTTCTAAGGAAATACGGGAGAGGGGAGTGTGTGTATTTTTTGTTTGTATGAGAGGAGTAGAAAAGAAGAGGAAGAGATTTCGGAAGAAGGCAGGCAAATTTTTAGTTGTAGCAAAATCCCTTTGGGACTCGCTTCCTATCTTTGCGCTAACCTTATCGAATTAGGCAAGGAGCATTATGTCAGCGGCCTGCGGTCTGGCTGGTGCTGGTAGCTTCACCGCCTTCTCGCCCCCTGGATACGAGGGGAAGGAGATCAAAGGAGGAGGTCTGATATATAGAAGATTATAATTCTAATTATATTGCGCTTCGAGATTTGAGCTCGGAAGGTTTGATTGTGCTCGATTTCTCTCAAGTTCTTGCGCGTGCGTTGTTATCCTATCTTTACTTGGATCCTCTCTTTGCTTCCTCTCTCCCAATTCCCTTCCTGGAAAAAGAACATCAAACATGGCATTGCTAACTTCAGGATATCCTGGCTATCCCACCCGTACACCGAACGTCCTGCCACAAGAAAAGACTGCCATACACGCAATACACAATCCTCTGGAGCAATCTGAGCATCAATGACTCAGGACGTTGAGTGGGAGGCTTCTTCAAGGGCAAAGGGGTGGCAAACCCGCTGCGCAAACATCAAGCGCTGAAAGTTGAACTTCGGACAGAAGTGGTGAACGCTTATTGGTTCACGAGCCTAAATTGCTGCATTCGTTCACCGCCTTGGCCAGCCGAAAGGGTCAGGCAAAGGGGTCACGCCCAGGTCACGCGTTCGTCGGGTATCTATCCTCATACATAAGGATTCCACAAGTCAAGGCAGCCTTGCTATATCATATCACTGACTCAGTATTGTCTTCGGTGGCAATGGCGAAGAAGTGATGGGCGATTCGATGAACTAGACATGCAGCTGTCCTCCAGATACATACTCAGATGCGTGGAAGTCCATACCTAGCCAAAAGGATCGTTGGGTGTATCTTTATTCATGGGGAACCAATCAAGGGAATCTTCTTGTCTCCTACCCTGACACAGGGTTGTCATCAGTGACAGTGGCCTTGGTGAAGAAGAGGTAAGACGCAGTCTGATGCATATGCATCGTCGTCAAGAAGCGCACATACTCAAGGAGGTTCATATCACATCTCAATCAATCATTCTGTGAGACACCCAGATTCTCATCTTAGTACCATCAGAGTGGTGATAGATTATAGGCTACGGGCAGTCCGTATCCAAGTTTGCCATGCTGAGCGGCACAAATTCTCCAAGTTGGAAGGATGATATCTTCGTGATATTTGCCATCCAATACTCTACATTTGATACAGCGAGACTCCGGCTCAGAGTGCACAATTCTACTCTTTTGCAAATGGCACTAAAGTAATATCATTCTCTAGCTATTGTCAGATACTGTACTATCAGCACATTGAGAGATGGAGACAAATTCCTGAGGTCCAAGGCTCTTCCATCCTGATTTTATTTACATCCTTTTGTGATGCATAGTCGAAGTTAGAGAAAGTGTCATACTCCCTTGACAAGCCCGTGATGCGTGGGAACTCTCTCCATGGCTCTGTCAATTTACTAGGCACTTGATGTGAGAGAGTTTGTGACCTTGTATCTCAACAGGGTCAAAGCAGTCTTCTTGCCTGAAAGAAAAAGAGGCCTTGCTATATACAGCGTCATTCTTGGAATTGACAGGCAATCTCGCCTGGCTTCGCTGAGTATTCAAGGCTCCATTTTATGGTCACTTTCTTGAAGTAGTAAAGTCCAGTTGACATCAAAGTATGAGGACTGTAATTTATGACAAATTTATTCTGCACAATACACGACAAAGGGATTTGTTGTACGTGTATTGGTCCTTGTCTTGCCCGCATGTCTCGTTTGCCCTCTCTTTGCCCCAGCGAAAATACAATATTGATGTCATGCATCATGTTTCGCTTAATGGGAGACAAACACTTTGAAGTAATATCTAGTGGTGCTAGGTCAGACGAATGTAATCTTTCTTTCTGGACTGAGCACGGAAATTTGACAGGGGCCATTCCATTTCACATGGGATTATTGACATAGTCTGAGCCGCTGCTTTTGAATCTATCAATGATGATTCATGTCAGACGGCAGGTGCATAGTCTAGGACTGAGAGAATAAAACATGAATTAGGAGGATGGCAACCGGATCATAACATGCCAAATCACACAGGGGGTTGGGGCTGATGATGTGTAGCGGGAGAGGGAAGATATACTTGCTTGGTGGTGGTTGAGTTGACAGTGGTAATGGTTGGTGTGGGTTGTGAGTTGCGGAATGTCTGATGGCGGGATGGATATTGAGTGTACTTTAATGTTGAAATTTGGGATTGTCTCTTCAAACTGTCATCACTAGATATAAGCTGGATGTAGAACTCTATAACCTGTCGTTGAGCATCTTGAAGCCTCGCCCTCCGTGACCAAAATATATCTTACTTAAAAGAGCGCCTCCAACTAAGCCAAGAGAAAACTTGACTCTCATTGCTTATTGATGTTGGAGATACACCTATCGTTGCTGCATGCTCCCGAGACACAGAAAAAGATATAATGTTGCGCACGGAGGCAATTGTTGGGATGTCTGCTTGAAAAATGCCAGGTCTTATATTCCTCTTACTTTGCCAGAAGCTGAAGCATTGAACTTTGAAGAGACATCATAGGAGTTTTTGTCCCAAGACTGGGCAAGTCATCACTATCCTACAATAATTTGCCCACAGTTCCCTAAATTTCAACTTCTCCGACTCTTTCGTTCTCAGATCCAATCGCAAACTTAGCAGTTTTTCGGGTTTCATTGCAGTGCAGAACATGGTGTCGAAGTTGCGCCACACCCCCTTGACGTTTTGGGTAAATCATGAACGGATTCCCAGCCCGATCTGTGACTTCCCTTAACATTTGAATAGGGACCTCGTAATGCTCATCAATTTTCAAGTACGAATCCGTTCCCAGGCTGGGATATCGTGTTACGGCAGCTCCATGATGCCATACAGTGTGGCTGCGAAGCCGAAGCTGGATAGCATAACCTTTCTTGGGAGTTGGTGAAATGGGGACGTACTCTCCATCAACTGCTGAAGTTGTTGTGATCTGGAATGATTAAAGCATGATCAGAGGTTGAGGTAGACGAGGACTCACAATCATGACCTTTAAAAGCTGGTGCTTCCCTGGTACGAGATCAAGAACTAAGACCATGTGTAGCTTCACGGCGTCTGGAATATCGGGGATTTGGACACCAGAATCTAGATATTCAGAGGTGCTCTTGAAAGAGTAGATCCGACCCTGGACATCCCTCTGTTGGATCATCCTGACATTGCTACGCAACATGGTTCTGCTAGGAGTGATGCTTTCCCACAGTGGCAAAAAACCTGTCCATCGTACTGCTTTCGTTTGAAATGTGCTGAAGGAATTCGAAGTTGAAGAAGCTGAAAAATGGGGAGCTGTGCCTGTGCCTCTTCTTATAGGCACCTTCAAAGGCATGTTCGACTCACTTCTAGCCTGACATGGACCATATTTCATTTCGGCAGTGGACTCGAAGAATCTGTCATGGAAGGCTTTAGCTTTAGCGAGCAAGGACATAATAGGTTGTTCGTCAAAGACACCAACATGGAAGTACAAGGCAGAAGGTTTCCAAAGGTTGGGCTGACTGATTCGGCTGGTCTTGGTTAATTCCAGCTTGAAATAGGTTCGTACACCATGACAAATCTCGTGAGACATTATTGGTTATACGTTTGGGAACGAAAGGATAGTAGTACAATACGGGGAGACAAAACTAAGTCATAAGAATCGACACGAACAAAGGCTCAAGAGCCGACGCTCTGCCCGCCGAAGAAAAAGCAAGACAGGATAGGCACTGTAGACTACTGGAGTGCCAACTTTATATAAGAGACAATCCAAACTGCCAGCTCAAGTCTCTTGAAGCTCTTCGCAATAGCACTGCAGATAGCAGGGTTCTGAGGGAGGAAAGCCGATATACATAGATAGCTGAAGCAGAAGATCACTTGGACTACTCCCAGTAGGTATGATTCACGAACATTCGAACCAATTTCAAAGCAAACCAGGCCATTCGCCAGTCCATTCTTAATGCCATGATATAGTACAACGAGCCTTCCCAGATTCATATCCTAAGGACAAGCAATTCTCGCCTCATCATCGTATTCCACTTCTTTGATACCATCCTTCGTAATCACCTTGACCAACATGCCCTTAAAATCGATGGGTAACCGCCTCTTCAGCTCGTCCGTGCACATCCTGAGAATCTTAAGACCTTGCTCGTAGTCGATATCAGGGTGGTGATGCTTATCCAGAATGGACAAGCAGTAGTACTGTGCATAGCCATGAGCAGCGTATGGTAATGGGGCCAGCGACGCTAGGTAATCGAGCCAGTAAAGGGAGGGCTTGTCGGTGATGGGGTCGACGCCGCCGAGGAGGAGGTTGACATTGTATGGCTTTCGGGATCGGAGGGAAGAGGCAAGTTCACCGCGGACGAAGTGGGCAACGGCAGATGGGGAGAGGTCGATGTTGTTTCGCATGGAGTAGAGTTGGGCATTTGCTTGGATGTATTCTGCGAATTGGACTGGGCGGGTCAGCTTTGCTTCGAACCGGAATCAAGCTTCCTACTTGTGTCTCCAGCTTCACCCGAAAATGCCATTAGAGTGTGCTTGTTTAATGCGCGAGTCTTGTCATCGGAAGCTTTGAGAATGGTCGCTCCTCGCATCGCAGCCTTTGAGGCGGCGACGAGAGTGAAGTCCTTGCCAGTGATGCCCAGTAAAACCTCCCTGTGAAGTCGCAGATGTCAGCATCATAGTCTGCAGCTTCAATGGAGGTGTACTTACATGTTGACGTTGTTCTGCGGTGTTGATTGAGGAGAGGAGTTGGCTCGCTGGTTGTGGTTTGAAGCTCAACTCTCCTACGCGTGGAGCTTGCTGCCTCTTACCTCGCCTCGCGACTTCTTAGCGTGACTGACCTGTTTCTCTGGGGAGAGAAAAGAATTGCTGCAAAACCACCACAAGAATTTGTACGAGGTTGAAATTTGATAAGAAGAGTGATCTGACCATGAAGACGATTTTGGATCAATTTATTATGTTTTTCAAGTGTTGTCAACAGCCCTCAATGAGCGTTTGATGAGTGTCACGTGTCTGAGATCAGCTATTCTACTTTCGGTGCATTCTCCACCGCTAAGGTGGCAGAATATTTTTTTATACAGAAATTCTAGAGAAACCCTCACGGCAGCTCCGCGGGTCACCGAAGCACAATACACGCTCAAAATGTCCTCCTTCTTCACAATTCCGAAGCAGAAGAAGCGCAAACTTCAAGATGCGACAGAACCTCCCAAGAAACGAATCGCATCCAGAAATCCCACACGAGTAACCAGACCGGCGCCTCGGAAATCGCAAAGGGACGAGTCTATCTCTGGTAGCGACGATGAGAGTGACGGCCCAAGAGACGATTTGGAAGATGCTGATGCCACAAGTGGAAGTTCCGAAGGAGAAGAAGAAGAGACTGCTGCGGAGAGAAGATTGAGACTTGCAGAGCGATACCTACAGAACGTCCGTGAAGAGGTGGTAAATCCAGAAGGCTTTGATGCTGAAGAAATCGACCGAGATCTTATCGCCGAGCGGTTAAAAGAGGATGTTGCCGAAAGCAAAGGTCGAATGTACAGGAAGTTGGCAGAGGATCTGGATTTCGATTCTGCGACGCACAGTTGGTTCAGGTGGAATTGCGAGAGTGTGACGAGTGTAGCTACATGTGCGCCTTGGGCATATACGGTCTCGAAAGACTTAGGTCTTGCCAAATGGAAGATACAGGAACTACCCGAAAATCAATGGCTACCAAAGAATGGAAAGAAGCACAAGAAGGCGACCCCGCCTCCAAAGAGAAAGCCAGAACAAGTCGCATTCCGGAGGGGAGACAAATTGAAAGCCAAGGACAACGCATACGAAGGGCATGTGGACACAATTCTCACGGTGGCAGCTTCACAAGATGGAAAGTTCGTGGTTACAGGAGGCAAAGATCGCAGAATTGTTGTCTGGGAGGCAGAGACATTGAAGCCTTTGCGTGTCTTCAGTCATCATCGAGATGCTGTTACTGGACTTGCTTTTCGAAGAGGCACGAATCAGATGTACTCTGCCTCGAAAGATAGAACAGTCAAGATCTGGAGTCTAGATGAGCTAGCATATGTGGAGACTCTGTTCGGACACCAGGATGAAGTCGTGGATGTATCTGCCCTGGCACAGGAGCGGTGCATAAGTGTAGGAGCCAGAGACCGAACGGCACGTTTATGGAAAGTCGTGGAGGAGACACAACTTGTGTTCCGGGGTGGTGGAGGAGAGAAGAAAAGAAAGCATGACAATCCCAGAGTCCAGGAAGGAAGCATTGACAGAGTGGCAATGATTGACGAGGAAACCTTCGTTACAGGTTCAGATAATGGATCGTTAAGTCTCTGGGTTATACACAAGAAGAAACCAATATTCACCCTGCCGCTCAGCCATGGCGCTGACCCAGCTCTGACGCCCGAAGAAGCATCCGCTGAGACTCATCCTGGACCAGAAGTGATTCCAGAACCACAGCCAAGATGGATCACTGCTTTGACGACCATTCCTTACTCAGATGTCATCTTGAGCGGGAGCTGGGATGGCCAAGTGAGAGCTTGGAAAGTCAGTGACGACAAAAAGAAAATCGAAGCTGTTGGTGTTCTTGGACCTTCTCGCATTGTCACGAGTGGAAATGTCAATGGCGATGAACAACATGGTACTTTTCGAGGTATTGTCAATGACATCTCAGTATTCGAGCGAGGAGATAGAGGCAAGGATGGAGTATGTGTTGTGGTAGCAGTGGGAAAAGAGCACCGAATGGGAAGATGGCAAAAGCAGAAACAAGGCAAAAACGGGGCGGTGGTTTTCGAGATACCTAGGGCACTAAAGGAGAAGACCAATGGTGTGGCTAGGCCAAATGATGGCGTTGAATAGCTCATTGGCGTTGCATCATGCAGGCGTTAGTACAGACATATTGCATAGCATGGCGAATTTGGTGATAGTAGTGGTATATTTTCCACTCAGTAGAGTCATGAATCTCTACAGTACAAATACAAACATCTCCCATATTTGAACCTTTTTGTTTCGTGCTACAAGACTGGTATTGGGTATATCTCTATGTCAACTATTATTTACCAGCCCTCTTCTTTCCTTTTCCATCTCTCCTCCTCTCCCAGACTTGCAGGTAACTTTCACCCAGATACAGCAGCTCTTTCTGGGTCTTCTCCACATACAAATCTTGGATTTGTACCCATTCCTCTCTACTCTTATCTTGCGTCTGTACCTTCCATGCATGCTTCTCTGTCTCGCCTTCCACACTATCCTCCCTTCCTCGCACAGCTTCATGTACAATATTTGCCACCAAATCATACCATATTGGCTCTCCTGGTGGGTGAAGTGCTGGGTTTGGCTCAACATATGGTGACATGTCAAGATTGCGTGCATCGAAGGTGACGATCGTAGGGTTCCGCTCTTCAACGAATTTGTTCTTGCTGAATCGCTTGATGTGAAAGAGGAGATATGGCGGCAAGGGATGTAAGAGGCGATATCTCTTTCGTTGGTTGAGATGTTCTTGTGCCTTCAAGCCATCGTACTTGCTGAGGATGTTGGTGAGTGGAATTTGCGGAATGATATTCTTCTCCAATTCGTCTTGAAAAAGTGGTGTGGAGGGAAGATCGAGGGTCAAGAGCATGAAGCGATTGATATCTGTTTGGACTGTCTGGGCCTCTTCAAATCGTAATCTATCTCCTGCATCTGCCTTTGCGGTAATGGCTTGTGATTCGACCTTCAGCTTTCCTTGGAAAACCTGTTGGATCATGCTGCTCCCCGGTTTGGTCTTGCTTCCACCCAATGCCAAATGTAGATTGTTGAGAAACCATGACAGGAATTCGACAGGGTCGGACTGTGCTGTAAGTGTAAACTTTTTGCTCGACTTGAGGGATATTTCTTGGAGTAATTCGTGAGGGGAGACGTGAGACTTGAAAGCTCGCGGATTCCAGATTTTCCTGACAAGGATAGACAATCGTTTTGCAAGCTCTGGGCGAGTTGAAAAGTCTTCCAGCATGAAGTAATTCCGTAATGGAGGTACATGCGAAAGTGCTTGAACCACCACGTTGAAGTAATCATTGTCCTTGATATTGTTCATTCCCACGAAACCAGGCGTATACTCCTTCCCTCCTAATGCCCACGCTGTTTGGGACTTTCGGTCCATCGCCATCACCTCTTCTTTCGTATACGTTGGATCCGAAACAAATTTGATGTCATCCAGACTCTTGTTCTTGACCTCATACCCTTCGGGGAGGACGTACACCTTCTGCGTCTGCATATTGATGTAGACATGATGTCCCACTTCCAATGCATGGAAGTATGCATGCGATTTTGGTCCTCGTCCTTGGTAGTATTTCCCACACACAAGGCACGCGTATACATTGATGTTGGAGAGAGACACGGAGCACAGCTTCTCGAAGTCAAAGTCGAGGAGACTTCGATTGATTGTGTCGAGATACAAATCATCGAAACCTTCGAGAGGAGCTGCCTGTCGTATGGTTACTGGTGCGATCCTGTCGTCTTCTTCATCCTCCTCCTCCTCCTGAACAGGCTGCTCTTTCGTGCGCGCTGGGAGCTCTGAGCCATTGTGAAGCTCGTGGAAATTCTCGACGCGTGACTTTTTCGAAACAGGAGAGTCTGTACCGGCGATATCCTCGAGAGCTTCGGTAGCTTGTCGTTTTGCCATCGTAGAAGAGGGTGTTCAGGTTAAAGATGCGATGTTTGTAGAAATTTTGGGCTCAGCATTGTTGATTCCAGCCTTGCGCTAGAGCCGAAACGGCACTAGCTTCTTTTCTCTCAACATCCTTCACTTCATGTCTTTTGGCCCATTTTTCACTAGCATCTGCAGAGGACCTCAAGAGCTTGGGATGACAACATTCCGCAAGCAGCTATGGACAATTTTTCAAGTTTACAGCCCTTTTAGCCACATCTTTAGGGCTCCTGGTCTGTCCCGCTATCGCGGTTTTACTTACCTCGTACCTTGACTTTGATCTGACTACTGAAAAGATCTGAGTAATTACGCTAGAGCTAGGCAGACCTCAATTCGGATGATTCAAGGTTTTTGGTATAATAGGATTTCATTCATTTACCGTCAAGTGGCCAATATGGTCTCGGATTTGGCTACATTGTTTTCAGCTCCGCATACAGAACCCACCCAATGATGCTTGGCTATCGAACTATCCTCAGTGTACTTTGATAACATGTGATATAGCATGAACCCGAACCCGAAAATACCTGTCATTTGTAAGTCGAGCCACATAGATACGAGGCGGGTTAGTTCCAAATCATACTTCACATACATGTATAGGAGCTTGGGTTTGCTTCTAAATCTTAACGTGGACATCGAAACACAATGAGTTGAGGAAAGGTATCTGGAACTGTGTTCATATGGATGATCTCACTTTAGTCTGTGTTTTGATTCTTCGGAAGATCTAGAACAGCCAACAGGTGCCTGGTGGCGAACAGATAATGTTTACCTTTACTGGGAGATTTACATATTATGAATTGAGCAAATCTGAAGTTCCGTAGGATTCAGGTTGAAAGATTGGAAAGAACGCTGACCTCTGGCCAGGAACCAAAAAGAATCAAAGTTGGAACGGATTGATCGGACTAGATTCATTGTTACATTCCTAAACCATGATCATGTCCTGATCTACATCAAGATGCCCATTCGTGACTCCATTTTCAATCAAGCCTAGTCCGTCCATTGCTCCCAGGGTATAATCCATCAAATAACTCTCATCAATTAGATCCTCGATCCTCTTGTATTGGCGATCAGAATACGCTCTCAAGCCACCACAAATTTCATCCAGGCTCTTCCCCCGTCCGCCCACTTTCAAATTTGCAAGTCGTGCTGCGGGGTAGCTTTTCACTAGCACCGAAAGGATCCTTTGCGCTACAGGTGCTGTTCTGTTGTTTGTATTCCAATCACGAATTCGAAGAAGCAGTGCAAAGATTTGCTGATCTGAAAGTGATGTTAAAACCTCATCAACAGCTTTCACGCCAGACAAACTTCCTGGCTCGGGAGGATTGACTGTCACAACCGAGGTGAATAGCGACAGAAGCCGAGCGGGGTGATTAAGCTGTAATGCTAGTGTAATAGCTTCTCGGTATGATCTGGAATGGATGTAGTTCTGCAATTCCTGCTCTTGCTCTACGAATTGAGTCGCAGCAGCAGTTGTTGCAGCCTGAGTGGAACTTGTCGTGTCTTTCCAGAATGTGACAGTGGAATCACCGCTGCCAGAAACAATCATGTTTGTAACAGGATGAACAGCCAGAGCCCAAACTCGGTCCTCGTGATTGTCGAGTGTGCATGCATCTTCTCCGGTGTTCGCATCCCATACTTTGACCAAGCCGTCGCCACCCGCACTGGCGATTTGAACATGTCGCTTGTTCCTCTCGTCTGGCTTCGGAGGATCGAGCCACGCAACCTTGAGAACACTGTTGGAGTGACCTTCAAAGGTCCGAATGCAGCTGAAGTCTGATAGGCTCCAAAGCTTGATCGTCTTGTCACCACTACCAGTAAGCACAACGCCTTTGCCTGCTGCTGGACCACTATCGCCTGTGATCGATGGTGTATCTTTGGGAGCGAATTTGACAGACCAGACACCTCGTCGATGACCGCGTAGGACTCCTTGCACTTCTCCCTCCTCAAGCGACCAAATCTTGACAGTTCGATCTTGAGAAGCTGAAGCAAACAGCTGTCCATTGTGGCTGACATCAATGGCGTTGATGTCTTTGTCATGGGCTTTTCGTGTGTAGGCTGCTCGGGGAGATTTGCCCGTTGGCTGCGTAGGCACAACCCATCGCTTGATTGTTCGGTCTTGGGAACCGGTCAAGATATACTCAGGTGGATGCTCGAGGGGTGATTTGAAGCCTGCTGATGATTCTGATGGCTTCTGGTGTGGCAAAGCAATTGCACCGAGAGATTCTGCGTGTCCTGTGAAAGTCGCATAGCATGTGAAGGTCGAATTTGCTGGATCTATTCTCCACAGGCGAGCAGTATTATCTTTGGCTCCAGTAGCAATCCAGTGCCCAGACCAGTCAATGTCCAAGCATATGATAATATCTTCGTGCCCTTTCAATTGCGCAACATCGGCGCCAAAGTAATCCGAATCATCCCCATCTTGGGAGAGGGAGACGATTCTGATTTCTTCCGAGTTCGTAGCCAGAGCCAGAAGAGACCGGTCAGGAAGCAGGTAGCCGAGGTCAATGATCTCATCGTGGGTGCCTGAAATACGTCGAATTTGAGGAAGCGCTGATATCGTTCCCTGAAGTTGGTCGAGAGGGTTGATGGAGTGCAGGATGATGGTGTGGTCTGCTTGAATAGACAAGATGTAAGGTAAGCCAGGCAAAGATATCGAGTCCACAATAGCATCGGCTTCGCCTTTCGTTGTCTGTGGTTCGGTGATTTCTCTTCCATCTTCAGTCTGCCATACTCGAATATTGCCTTGAACTCCACCAGTATATGTAAACCTGCCAGACTTCACAAATCCAGCTGCTTCAACCTCCTCCAATACCGGCACAACCTTCCGAACCTTCCATGTCCGTGCATCCCACCACATGATCGTTTTGTCTCTGCTTGCTGTGAGCAGCGCATTCTCTTCAGCAGAGTAATCCAAGGAGGTCACATCAGATACGTGGGAATCCAGTACAGAAGCACAATTCCGTTTGTAAAGGTCCCATATCCGTACTTTTCCATCTTGACACCCACTTGCCAACCGGAAGCCTCTCCCAGCTTCGTTTCCCTCCTCGTCATTGCTCTTCCTCCTCTTTTGGTTTCGCGAAGAGATTCCAGACACGTCGTTTTTGCTGACCAACTCAAAGAAATGTAGAGCAGAGATTAGGACATTCGGGCCGCGGAATGTATGAGTCACATAGCCTCCTAGAATGTCCCAGACCTTTACTACACCGTCTGCAGCACCAGTTGCCAGAAGTGTGCTCGTTTGATCAACTGCCAGAACTACTACGGGAGTAGTGTGAGGTTTGAGGGTTCGTAGAAGGTCAAAGCTTATACTGGGCGAGGAAGACAAGGACGGTTTGAGGGAGTATATTCGCATTGATAATGATCTCGAGCAGATGGTGAGGTGGGACGCCGAGGGTGTTACTGTAGAGTGTCAGTGGGGTTGCGGATTGGGGGCAAGAGACATACAGATCAGGGTAGAAATCAGCTCTCCATCCTGCAGCCAGCGTCAGTCACCATCAGAGAGGGATTTGGAGGAGCTTACTCCTTCAATCTTTGCCAGCTGTCTGCCAGTGTTCAAGTCTGTCAATAATGCATCCTCGCCCAAAGTTGTCGCAAGGATGCGCCCAGACTGATCCAGGGCCACACTGCCACCAGTATAAATTGGCTGTATCGTATACTCCGGTTCGAAGGTGGTCTGATACGGAGCTTTATTTGCCATCGTGACTGCCAGTGAGAAATTGTCAAAGACTTGGTCAATATCCAAGATGGAGAAAAAATATTTTGATGAAGCCGATAAGAGTAAGTTTCTGCCATTATCACCATGTGACTGAACCTGCCTGCACTTTAAGGCCTCAGGCAGAAATTGTCCATTTGAATCTCATTTCAGCTGATGTTCCTCTCAATAGCTCTCCGCCCCAAATGTTTGCGCAGAGTCAAACGTGCGTATGAGCAAGATTCTGCATCGCAAGTAAGATGGCATTCCTTGATTCTTGAAGCCCGGAAGTCGACAATTTCGAATCAAGATGGGCAGGCAGGGGTCGTTGACAGCCCTGGCATTGGTAAGGAAATTCATCATTGTGGCATCTATGTCCTTGAAATCTACCTAATCTTTTATGCGCCGAATGTTTCATCGCAATATCTGCTACTTCTCTGTTCTATGTTGTAGTACTTCAGGTCTCCTTGACAGATATCCAGTACCTGCACCACATTTCCTCTCCTTTAACACTCCCTATGCATCTATGTTCCTTCTGCAGCATACTTTATCTGCCGTTCCTATACTCACGCTTGCTAGGGCCGAGGTCATTATGAAGATGAAGTTATTCAAGATGCGGCTGCAGAGAACCAAGGAGCTCAACAATACAACGATCGTGGATATCCAAAGAATCCCGAGACCAAACGTCGAGAACGAGAGCACGTGAGAGCTGCCAACGAGGTCATGCAAGTAACTGGAGTAGTGGAAGACGCCGTTGCAGCGAAAGAAAAGGCCAATCTGTACCTTGCTGCCAAGAATCAAGAGTCCTTCCTCGGTTTGCGCTTGATGGATGCTTGCCGTACGACGTTCATTGGTGGAGTATGGGGTGTTATTGGTTTGAGAAGACGCATTCTGGTGAGCGGGTTGTTGAGATATCCTGTTCGCAGCTGACGGTTGCAGCTATATAAACCGTACGAAGAGTTCGGGCTCTTCAACATCCTGCAACGAGAGAGGACACAGTATTCTGTAGCGCACATTGCTTTCGCAGGTCTTCCCGCTACGTTGACCCACCACGCACTTGAATGGACATCTGTGTTCATTGATGCAGTGTTAGACGCATTGGATGAGGATGATGAACCTCTTGAGAAACCGGAAGAACGAGCTAACACTCTTCTTCAGACATGGTATGTTTGATCAAGTTTATCGAGAATGAAGCACTGACCTTGGCAGCCTTGACTATGGATTTATGTATTTGGGATTCCATCTTCGGATGTTTGCTACTCTTCAGCAGCTGAATCTTATACCCATATCCCGCATATTACCAAGTTTGAAGTCGTTCGTCCCGTTCTCCTCGGAATCCCCACTTCAACTTCCCCCAGATCCAATCTTCAGCCGCAGCTGGAGTTTAAAACTGCTCTGGAGCGCCACCCCTTTTCTTGTCATGGTTGGGTATGACCGCATCCGAAAATACGTTGCTCACTCGACTTACCGACCCATCTACAAATCGCTGCCGCGCCCAACTGGAGATGTTATGGTTCAGGAACAGGACTCGTACCCATCAGAGACCTATGATGGGTCTGTTGGCGCTACTGAGAGAGAACGAACAGACTACGATGAGCCCACACTCCGAGCACTTGAAGGGCTCCCTGCACTGGAAAGAACTGAGCCACGACAAGAACGAGAAGATTCTAGCGAGGATGAAGAGGATGAATTGGCTCATGCCACACTGATCAGCTTTGACGTCGAACCTACCGAAGGTGCGGAGTCGACAGCTGGACCATGGTCTGCAGAATTACGGAGTGCCAATGAACCAAAGCTGTCGGATGGCGTGAAGTATCGGGTGACGGGACTGACAATGCTTCCAGCGATTATGGCTACAGAGGCATTGAGGGATATTGTGACTGGAGTTCTGGTGATGCCGTTTGAGGCAATTATGGTACGAGTGCTTGCCAAGGCATATCGAGAGAGTGCTGGTTTGGGTATTGGAGATTTGTGTGCGGTTGGTTCCTACATCTCACCTTTGGGAAATCTGGTCTCGGTGGTTGGAATGCAGGTTGTGGTCACTGGCATCATCTGGACGGGATTTACCGTTGGGACTCAGGTATGGCTAGGTCGAACAAAGCTGCGGGAGTGGCGTCGGACGAGGCTTCTGAAATACACCTCACTGTGGAGTGGATTTTGGGTTCATGGGTTTGATTTTCTGCGCTGAGGGGTAAGTGGTGGTACTGGAGACTGAATCATGGAATGGACCGTTCGGAAATCATGGGACACCAGGGTGCGGATGACGAGACTATCAATCAGCCCGCAGGAAAAGATGGATGGATGAGCTAGCACGCGCAATAGCACGGGCAGGAATCTGAGATTCCAGAAAATCAAGCCTGATGATAATTGTTGAGTTAATCGGTATGTATCATATTGGGTGCGACTCGATTATGGGCTGATAGAGGTCAGGGAACACACTTTACAACAAAATTAAATCGCTTGTGACTGCCATAACATGTTGCCTTCTTGCGCCCAGACGTTACTAACTGTTGATTGGGTGTTACAGACGATTAAAACACGGAGAGATTTTCTGTCTTTAAATGACGCTTCCCTGTCGACAATTTGCAACCATCATGACTCGATGGAAGACACGAAGAATTTCGACTAAGCAACGGGAGAAGCTTTTTGGTGGCGCCGGAACCGAAGCCAGCCGGAGCGAACGCACGCCACCGCGCCGCCCAGCGCAGGTGGCTGAAGCTTGTCCCCATTTGGCTTCAGGTCTTCGAGATTTACAGTACAGTATTCACACCAAGGCTGGGTTAACGTCGGACCTTGCGGCACAATTCTGCATGCAGAAAGTAATTTATGAGTATTTTGATTGATTCACACGGAATCACCATCGTCTTCGGGCCCTTTGTGGATCTGGAGATTGGCCGGTTCTCAGCACCGTTATCTGTGCGTATGCGGCTCGAGGTGAAATTGGGGTTGTTGTCGCGAGCCATGAGCGGGTCTGAGTCCAGGATGTTCGCACGAAGATTTCAGCGCCGCCAAATCAGGTCCAAGCAGGAATTAGGGCCGACAGACGCCGATGCCAGCGCTGACGTCGAGGCCTGCAGGGCTAGCAAGGCTATTCCCTTCACTGTCCAGCCACTAAGTATGCAGCCATCATTCCTACTCCAGCTACTTCCACCCCACCACTTCCACATCCCCCACCACTGCCGGAGTTCTTCCATCAGTGCCGGGACCATGGCATGGCCATGCTTCATGGTTCACCCTGTCAGTAAGGACTCTGTTCTTTCACCAGGCCACTCTCCAACTTTTCACAACCAGTTCCGTCTCCCTGGAGATGCAGACTTTCTCCGACTGAGGAGAATCAGGAGATGAACGGGGCCCCTTCTGTCCCCTCTCGCATTTCACTCCCCCTGGGGCTTTGATGGGCCTCTTCCGACCACGGATCCTAGTCACAGAGCTAGTATTCTGGTCTGCCCCACTATGAGAAACCTAACTCGACCAAGTATGGGTTCCCGTTGATCATGAGACCTTGGGTGCCCGTTCGACAGAAATATATATATTTGTCTGAGACCCAGAAGAGTTCTTCTGTTCGCAACACCTCGTTTTGGTACCTTTTCTCCACCCCATTGTTGACGCTCTTCGCTATAATTCAACATGGCAGACGACAAGGTTTCAAGTGACAATCCTATCAGCTCAACTGAGCACAGTGAAGTAGGTGTGCCCGTCAAGGACGTCGACGAGAAAAATATTGCTGCCCCAGCTCCTCGACCAGAAGCATCTCGAGGACTATCCGAATGGGAAGCCATTCAGATTGCCGCTGCCGGCGACCATGACACAATCGACCGTGAGATTGGAGAGATCGAAGCCAGTCTGCAGGCCATGAACATCAGATCCACATGGTACAAGCCTCAATTGAGGTTGAATGACCCGAGATATTTCACATGGCTTCTTGTTGGTATATCTCCCGTATCTGCTACCTGATCAATGTCTAATGAGTTCAGGATTTGCTTCCATGGGTGGTCTTCTCTCTGGAGTTGATCAATCTTTGATCAGTGGTGCGAATTTGTATATGCCTACCTGTAAGAAACATTTCCCATTTGCTGCGATCTCTGCTGAAACATGTAGCTCTACACCTCAACACAAAGCAAGTCAGTCTTGTCAGCTCAGGCGTCCCTCTCGGTGCTGTGGGTGGTGCTCTAATGCTCGGCCCCCTAAATGAAGCCGTCGGTCGTCGAATGGCAATTATTGTCTCTCTCGTTCTTTACACAATCGGAGCTGCTCTCGAGGCAGGCGCTGTCGATTTCGGAATGATGGTTGCAGGTCGTGTTATACTTGGTCTTGGTGTCGGTCTCGAAGGAGGAACTGTTCCTGTCTATGTCGCAGAATCAGTCTCGAGGAAATACCGTGGAAACTTAGTGTCATTGTACCAATTCATGATTGCGCTTGGAGAGGTTTTCGGATAGTAAGTAGCATCCATTGCTTTTGCCTGCTCGAATGCTGACTTATCTCCAGTGTCATCGCTGCTATATTTGTCAACGTCCACTCTGGAAGTTGGAGGTATATGCTTGGATCATCCCTCCTTTTCTCCACCGTCATGTTCGTCGGTATCATCTTCATGCCCGAATCTCCTCGTTTCCTTATGCACAAAGGACGAACAATCGAAGCATGGCATGTCTGGAAGCAGATTCGTGGCGAGGATGATGAAGCGAAGATGGAATTCTTCGTCATGAAGCACTCTGTTACGGAAGAATTCCTTGCGCAGGAGAAGGTTCAATCGAAGAAACGTTTCGTGTGGTTGGACTTCTTCACCGTACCTCGAGCTCGAAGATCAATCATCTACGCCAATATTATGGTTTTCTTGGGACAGTTCACTGGTATCAACGCCATTCAATACTACATGGCCACCTTGATGCAACAGGTTGGCTTTAATGACAAGCAAGCTGTGTTCATGTCTCTTGTTGGTGGAGGTTCGTTGCTTCTCGGAACTATCCCAGCCATTCTGTACATGGAGAAATTCGGACGTCGATTCTGGGCTTGTGCTATGCTCCCAGGATTCTTTATTGGTCTTTTGATCATTGGATGCTCTTACCTGATCAATGCTCAGACCAATGTCGGAGGAGCTCAAGGCGCATACATCACGGGATTGATCATCTACGAAGGATTCTTCGGCAGCTATTCTTGCTTGACTTGGGTCATTCCGTCAGAAGTTTATCCTACCTACCTTCGATCTTATGGCATGGAGACATCGGATGTCACTCTGTTCCTCTGCTCTTTCCTAGTCACCTATTTCTTCGCCCAGATGCAAGAAGCCATGTCCAAGATCGGATTGACCTTGGGTTTCTACGGAGGTATCGCAGTTGTCGGTTGGATTTACCAGTTGTTGTTCATGCCAGAGACGAAGAACAAGACACTAGAAGAGATTGATATCATCTTCAGTCAACCAACAAGTCAGTTGCTGAAAGAGAACCTCAGGAGTGTTATGGTTACGGCAAATGATTTTGTTTGCTTCAGATGGGGGAAGGTTTTCTCGCCTGTATCCGAAAGCGATATTTTCCGATCGGACAATGGTCCAAAGGGTCTGAATGAGTTGGGAGAGCATGCTACTCATGATGAAGGGTTGTTTGAGAAGCCGGAAAAAGAGTTGTGAGAAAGCGTTGCTGGCGATAGTCGATATAAAGCAATATAAACATTGCTTGCTTAAGCGTACATGCCGAATAATTATTTTATGTTAACTATAATTCCAAAAGTGTTGCGGAAAGCCCGCAAGCTTTGCGTGCTTACAGCGACGTATTTCATGTCACGATCACGGGACTGGTGGGCCTTAGGTCACGCGGTGAGTCACGTGATGGAGTTTTACTCTCTTATAAAACTCCAAAGTACAGTAAAACTCCAGGAGGGGGTTTTACTCCACAACACTCGGGTTCTATATAACTCTGGGTTGTCACCCATTAGATAGGAGCTTCGTGCTCAACTTCGTTAATATTCTTGACTTCAAATACTATTGCCTTATCTTACTTCATTTACCATACTGTTACGACTCTCTCCTTACCCTAGTAAGGTCACGTGGGTTGGTATGGTGAATAAAGTAAAGTAAGGCAATGATATAGTAGTTAGGAAAACTTAATCAAGTTGAGCATAAGGCTCTTACCTAAGGGCCTCAAGCCCAGTATATATGCTTCTGATTGGATCCCCCAGGGTCCCTCTGGATCCCCTACCCCCTATGCGCGGGCGCTCTCTCAGTTAGAGTGCAGGATGCGGCCGCGCAATTGGCCCAGGCGCGGCTGACTAAGCGTCTTTAAGTAAGAGTGCATTAAGTGAGAGTGCACTTTGCCTCGCCCACCTCTACAGGCCTCTTGAACAGACCACGCGCGCGTGATGTTTATCTATAACCCTACTCACAAGATTGTAATATGCCTGGCTTGCAAGTCAAGCATCATCCCTAAGATAGGGAGCCAGGAGAGCCACTTGCGCGCCGAGCCACACCGACTTTCCGGTAATGCTCTCAAAGCAACAATCCAACGTTTAAATGATTACAACCTAAGGACTATTAACGAGCTAAGGGACCGGAAGCCCCGTCCTGAAGACTTGTGCGAGCTGATTGGGCACCTTGCTTACTACGATGGCTTCCACTGCCTACAGCCGGACTGCCTGTACTGCACCCGCCACCCCCGGAAAATGAAGGACTACGTAGCTTCTATACATAAGATAAAAGCAACTAAGCACTAGAAGAGCCCCCTGTGGAAGGCTTGCACGCTCCAGACGTATTTTACAGGGCATGGAAGGATCGATTACTTTGTAGTAGTCGATCACAAAGAGCCGGTAGACAAAGCGCTGGTAGATGGGGGGTTAAGTAATGAAGAAAAGGCCTTGTTTGAGAAGTTGGAGGAGGATTGCTACAATGTAAAGGGCGACCTCGAAGACTAAGCTAGCATCGTCTAGGGCTTTGGGGATTCCAGGGCAGAGAGGGTGCCCTAGCTCGAGCGGACCGGCTTCCCATCCCACCTGGCCCGGCTGAAGGACGCCGAGATCAAGAGCTCGTACGCCCTCCCGCCGAAGAGAGAGCTGGATGCTGAGGCAGAGGCTGCTGAGGATCCTGACTTGGTCCGGATTCTGGTGGCGGCTGAGGCTCTCTTGCGAGACGCATATGAGCTCTGTAGTGACGCCTCCTCAGACCGGAAGATGACCCAGCAGCGGGCCAATATCCTAAATGAGTTCTATGCTGGAGCTTCCGGCCGTTCAGACGGCTTCCGGTATTACAAGAACGCGTCGACACTACCTCTAGAAATCGCACTTATTATAGTTAACTATACGGCTCGGCACGCGAGATGACCCCTGGCTCAGGGGTCTTGTACGGACCAGTCAACCATAATAAGTGAACCATACTATGTAAACCACAAACACGCGCCCTTGCAGCTCTATAAGGCCCAGAACTTAGCGTGAAGAAGAGCTAAGCCTACTAGCACAACCCTTTTAGAGCTATAAGCGACGCGTTCATATACAAGCCCGAGTGGCGGGTGCTCTTCTGCGTTGAGTGCGGCTTCTGTTTATAGCCCAGACGCGATGTATGGCCTCAACACCTCAGGCAGCAGCCGCATTGCTTGCGAGGCGCGCCGCTGAAGGCTCTCGTCGAGCTCTTTGGGAGTTATAATCTGTTGGCCCCGGAGCAAGTAGTCGTGCCAACCCAGGCGGTTGCTGGTCTGCGGCTCCTAGACGGCTTCCAGTGCTCGACGTGCTTGGCAGGCCTCACGCAGAGCCTCTAGACTATCCAGCTGCACGTGTCTAAGGTACACTAGCAGAAGCTAGCGCTACATAAAAAGACGGCCCTCTGGCGGAAGTGTAAGCTACAGACCTTCTTCGCCAAGAAGCAGCACATCCGGTATTTTGTAGTGGATGATACCAAAGAAGCCACAAGAGCTTCAGACGCTAGTACAAAGAGCTTGGATTCGGGAGAAGCAGACTTCTTCAAGCTAGTCGATGAAGATGTAGCCGTAGCAGAGGCAGATGCTAAAGCAGAAGCCAATATCGTTCATGGTTTCGATAGCCACAGATCTGCTGTAATACCGTGGCTAAGACGGACGGGCATCGAGGAGCACACGCGGGGCTTAAAGAAGGACGAGATGCACGCCTCGTTTGTAGTGCCAAAGATTGCCGAGAGCGAGCCCGAGTTGTTTTTAATGCTAGAAATCATGGACGAGATCTTTATAGAGGCACACAGCTAGTGCTTCGACGGCCCAGACTGTATGCTGACCTGGCCACGGCAGCTAGCGTTGAGCCGTTTCCATACTAGCGCTGCCCCGGGGCAGAAGATACGCGCCTTCGACCCCAAGAAGAAGCCTAATACGCTTAAGACTAACTTCGGCTACTAGAAGCAGTTCCTGACGTTCTGCTACCGGGTCGTCTACCGCGGCAGCCACTTCACCACGGCCGACGACGACTAGCGGACCCCTGAGAGCTGCATCTAGCTCACGGATGCCCAGGAGAAGGCGTGGGAAGCGGCCTTCCAAAGTGCTGTCGAGCAGGACCGGCCTGCGCTAAGAGATGCTATGTCCGTCCTCTCAATAGCGCTAATCTGCCACGAATTTGGAGGCAATCGGTATAGCTTCCCACTACTTAGCTTTTGTGCTATGCTTAGCGTTAAGCCGTACACTAAGACTTGGAAGGAACCGAGCAATTACAATAGCTACTTGTTTAGTGTGATCTGGGTTGTGTAGCTAATTATCTTCTACACTAGCGCTTGTCTAGAGAAGGCGGAGCTAGGTGATACGCTCGAGCGCATTGAGCAGTATTGCGGGCGGTTCTTAAAGTAGGACACCGAGACTCCTATAGGCGAGATCCTTAGCTGGCGCTTACTACTGTTTACTATCTCGAAGGAGGTCGTTGGGCCGCACCAAGCACAGTGGGATGTAGACGAGAAGGTTCTGACCTACCGGGACGTTGATTTGTATATGGATCACGTGCCGCGGCTCTTACTCTCCGACTTCTAGTAGGCCTAGCACTTACTCTACGACAAGCTGATGTTCGGAGCCTAGAACCTCCCGCGGATGCGTACTTAGGCTTTAAAGGACAACTTAGACGCTGATGCCTTTGGCTAGTTCTTTGGCTAGCACCGGGAGAACGTTGAGCTAGTAAAGCCGCTGGTAAGGTCTTTGCTAACCGTTATCCAAGACTCGAAGCCGTTGTGGGACTCGTTCCTGGATGCTACCGCAGATTGCGCTAAGGTCTGGCGAGGGAAGGCGATTGAGTAGTATGAGGCTGTGGCTAACGAGTTCCTAAAAAGGCTCTTAGTCTTAATCTACATGGGTTCTGGCTAGCCTCTGCGCGAGAGTGAACTGTTCTCCGTCACCTAGTGTAACACCTAGTGGCGGCGAAACGTTTACTTTAAACATAGGCTAGTTATACTGCACACTACATACCACAAAGGTTAGTAGCAGACGGGCAAGTTTAAGGATAATATCCGGTTCTTGCCTGCACCCGTTGGAGACCTCTTGCTCGACTACTTGGT